CCCCCCCCCCCCCCCCAACCCCAAAAGAGTACTACCCCTAAAACTTCCCTCCTGCATTGCAAATCATAGCTTCGATCGCTTTTATTGAAAGAAGGAAGAAAGAAAGATACTGCATGCAAACGCTGACACATACGCTTCTCCGACCAGCCGAGGGACCGTGATCGAACGTCGTCAAACTCATCCCATAAACGGATTCTGCATGTGCGGGTCCCAGTCGCCCGTCAAGGCTGCCCTCGGCACACCGGTCGACGTAGTCGTATACGGCATGTCCAGGCCAAGTTGGTCGAGGTCGTTGGACGACGGGCCGAATCCGAGCAGGTTGTTTTGGAAATCGCTGCCCAGCCCGTCAAAGGCAAAGTCCATGTGCAAGGCGTGTCCGTTGGTGATGACGGCCCCGGCGTAGTTGGCCCCGTCAAACTCGGACCCTGTCCATTCGTACAGCGTTGGATCGTTCATGTCGAGAAACGTCATCGAGCCCGACATCAGATCCGTCGGGAGCTGATCTAGGTCCATAGAAGTAGAGGTGTTCGTAATATGGTGGTGTTGGTCCAGGGCCGTCATTGAGGTGATATTGTTGTTGTTGTTGCTGTTGTTGTTCATGATCATATCCACCGTACTCGTATTGGTATGCGCTTGCTCGACAAACTGGCCGATCGGCGGAGGTTGTGGAATTTCCTGCGTTTCTCTCTGCACATCATTGCTTTGGCTGGGTTCATCTTTCACGCGACTGTTGTAGGATATTCCGCCGGGCTGGATGCCTGGTGTCGAGATTCCTCCCACCTGGCTTTTGGCGATCATTTGGCCGATCAGGAAACATGCAGAGTCCGCAATGGGCCAAATGTCTCGCAGTTGCCACAATGCTCGGACGCAGTGGTGGAACTGTTGGCCCGGCAAGTTCTGACCCTTTGTCTTGATCTCGACGAGGAACGCGGCGAGAGCGAACAGCATGAAGCTGACTGCGAAAGGCGGGAGGAACTTGACCAGATCTCGCTTCTGTAGTCGCTGCACCATCTCGGCAATATCGTCGGCCGCGTCTTTCACTTTGTTGTTTGTCGAGTCAGTCGACATTCCTTTCGAGAGCATTTGCGGCCTGCTGAGGTTCTCCGTGGCCAACAGATACGTCATGCGCAGCAGGGCTCGGTGCAAAAACAGGGCGTCTTCCGTGGCAGAATCATAGCGACGCACGTTTTCCGACGACGGAAGCAGAACCCAGCAGCTGCCTGGCAGATCTCTGTACCATTGGGCTAGTTCGTCCCCGAGCTTGCTCAACTGTGCTGGTTCAATGCGTGACGCCTTGGGCTTGTATAACATCGTAGCCTGGGCCGTCGAGCCACCAAAGACGCGTAAGTGATACAGATCCCGAATGATGTGACCCATGGTTAGTAGGAGGTTGATCTTGGCGATGCACATTTCGGCAAGACTCTTCCGGAGCGTTGGGACGGTCAAGAATGGTAGCCCCTTGAGGGACACTATTGAAGTGTTGATGGGTTGTATATCAAAATCATCGTACCAGAGTGGTATGAGATTGATGTCTTCATCTTTGATCCTCATTGGGCGTCTCATGCTTACTGCTGTGATGCGGTCGCGCATGACACAGGCCCACCATATTCGTCTCCACAAATGACAGGTTTTGAGGTCTCTCTGGTGGTAAGTGATCCTCTGATCCAGCCCAAGGCTTACCGAAAGAGATACGCAGACACCACACCAGTGCCACGGGTCCTTCTGGTCGGTTTCAGAGACGTACCAGTAGTTTATGAGGAGGAGAGATTGAATGAGCGCGATGCGATCCACATCCCAGTCAAAGTCGTACAGCAACTTCAACAAAAAAAGTTTAGTATGACCGACAGGAAAATCGACACGAGTTACCTACCTTGACCTTCTGATAGTAATCAGCCCTGGCAGCTCTTCGGTTATCGTAGCCTGCATTCTTAAGGAGCTCAAGGTCGACAAACGCACTTCCGGCAAACATGACAGCTTGGAAAAGGGTCAGGCTAACTTTGGGCCCATTCGTAGTACCGTCTATGGCGCCGAGGAGCTCTTCGAGGTCGACAATGGGCATATATGTGTACACATAGAGCACAAAGCATCGTAGTAGTTGATCACGAAGGTCGTCGTTTGGTAGAGCCAAGGCGCCTCGATAGGACAGAAAATCAATATCTTGTCCTTTGATGCTGGGTCGAACGGCACGTATGTATGATGGAAGGTTGACGGCTGATGATGCTGACTGGGACGATGAAGCTGCACGAACATTCCGGCTTACAGACCAATAGCGTATGCCGTCGATATTGTGGCCTGAATTTGTCCCAACTGGGCTTTGAAGGATGTTGACCCTGGCAGTGGGAGTGTGTGCTGGTGCACCTGGTGGGATTGAGGTATTAGTACGACGAGACTCAACATGATGAGAATTCGAGCCTTGAACTCACCAGCAGCGGGAACGACGGGATCCTTGAACGCCTCTTCTCCGATGTCCTCGTTCGAGTGGGAGTCTTCAGTCGCCGTGGACTGGGCTTGCTTCAGCGGAGGTAGAGTGACCAGACCTGTCAACTGTCGTTTTTGAAGCCGATATTTCCTGCTGCGCCTGGATTCGACGACGACGCATTCAATGCCGTCCGATTCGCAATTGTGGCATGGCACACCAGATTTCATCAGGTCGCACTTGACCTTTCTCGTTCTGCAGTGGTGACATGCTTGCGATGCTCTCTTCTTGACGACACGGTCTTTGTTGGAGGACGATGTGGCAGGAACATTGCTATCTTTAGGCACCATGGCGTCGCGTTGTCAGGTCAGTCATGTTTCCCTTCCAACCCGAGTCTTTGCTGTCGTTGTAGATGATCGTGTTTTTCGCTGATGGCCTGACGTTGTCGATTCGTGACTAAAGTGGAAACAAGGTGCGAGGGCTGGTAAGATGTTCGTGAGGATGCGCCCGGGTCAAGGATGAATGTGGTTAGTTGGAGGCGACTCTCCCGCTCCCAGGTGTCCCAGGGCCCAGAGTTCATGCCTAAGCAGTCTGACAAGCCACCGATATCTTCCTCTCCAATAGCAAGACCGGTGGTGGTGGGGGAGGAAGAGGAAGCGGAGGAGATCGAAGATTTCCCCGGCCTCTTCCCCTGTTCCTACTTCTTCCGACTACAGCATACCATTGCTATTATCTACCTATGTCGCATATAGCTTCCAGGGTGAGCTACGACGTATACCGTATGCCTATCTCTGATTATTCCTGGACATCGCAACGTAAGAGACGACGGAAACAGAGACGAACGCATCGTGAAAATTGAGATTGCATCAACTACCAAGTCTCCTTACCCATATCTATCTGCCCTCATGCTATGCGACCAAACATTACATCTACTATCAAGCATCATCCAACAATATCGCCAGATATCATGAAAAGTAGCTTCGCACTGTAGCCTGGCCGTCGGAAGACAAGGACTGTAGTATCTGGTCGGCATTGATCCCACTCTGAGTCACCATTGCTTTAGCGCTCTCGGCGATCTTCTTTGCAGTTTGGCCCTGGATCATCTCAGCCTCAAGAGCAAGCGCAATGTGGTGGAAGACTTGTTGTGCCTTGGCGAATACGGCAGGATTTTGTCTGTGATACAATGTCAGTTTACCCCATGGCGAGGACGAAAAGAAAAAAGTGTCAAGCCAACTTACTGGTCAATAAGCTGCGCGACAAAGGAATAAGCGTACGGCGCGGCTTCCTCGTCATTCACCACAGGCAGCGTATCAAGCCATTGCTCGACAACTTGTTGAGCATTTTGCACTTTCGAAGCATTGAAATGCAAGATTTTTGCAATAGCTGCGCATGCGTTCTCCGTCGCGAACACTTCTTCTTCTCCTCGCGCATTGGGCACCCTCGTAATCTGGAACAGCATCTCGAGGCTGGCCGCCACGAACTCTGACCACGGCTCGCCTCCCTTTTGCGCAGCACTTCCGACGCCGTAGGCAGCAGCCTGACGGTTCGCCGGGTTTTCATCCGTCATGCCACGAACGAGAGCTTTGGTGATCTCGCCGCTCAGTTGCCATGACTGCTGGCCACAGAACTCCAGGACATCGTCGTAGATGCATAACGCCCACTGTCGTTGCGTTGCGTCGTTGCTCGAGGCGAAGGACTGATAAAACGGCATAAGTCTCTCCCAGGGTCTCAGGAACTCGGTACCCATCTGCTTGAAGATAGTGTGGAAAGCCTTGTTCATGTCGGAGAGGAGAGTCTGGTCATCTTCAATGGCATATTGGACAGAAAGTGAGTCGTCGTCGTCATCCACACCGGCTTGTGCCGCATCAGCACGATCGTCTGCACGCTCCTTGACTCGTTTCTGGTAGTCCTCAAGGGCTGATTTTACGGATTGGATGAACTGCTCCATGTGTTGCTGCGTCAAACAATTCTTACCAACGACTTCGATACTTTCGTAGAAACATTGGTACATCTCGGCGAGAGTGTCGACTGCAGGTTCAGCGCTGAGAATCTCAATTTCCTTGTCACAGCACTTGGCCCAGAGTTCCATGAGTTGTGGTGCGTGGTCGCCAAAGCGCTTCTTGTACGAATTGAGCAGCTGAGGGATGAGTTTCGCGGACGCAATCCGGACAGGATCGTGGAAGAAGAAAGCCAGACCGGGAAGTGCTATTCTCTCGGTAATGTCAGCAACGAACGGCTCAAAGTCAGCTTCCAGGATCTGCGCATAGATGGTAATCAATTCAATGGCAGTGTTCTTGTCCTCGAGAGTCGAAGTCTTGATTCCAATAACCTTGCCCTTTAATGGTACCAGCTCCCAGCCGTCTTCTTGATCCAAAACGTCGTCTTCGCTGTCGATGAGCTGGATATCAGCTTTAGCGGACGCCAGCTCGAGCAACGGGGGCATGACACCTGGAAGGTAAGGCACAAAGTCTCTTCCAAGAACACGGCACATCCTACCCCAGCAGTGGAGTAGATATTGGGATTGTGGGTCATCCTCGTCGGTGATACTCTGCTGAATGTTACCCAGTGTTTGCACCAAGGTGATGGCGTCCTGTCCCATTTTCTCCTTGCCGACAGCGAGAGCAATCAGCGTCGCACATTCCATGGCCTTAGCACGGAGAAGCCTGTACTCCTTCGATTGCTCGGTTTGCAGGACTCGGAATAGCAGTGGCATCAAGGTGTCATAATATCGAACAAAGGCGCTTTCGGCCGAATCAGCAATCGTAGCAATGGTTGACAGGGCTTGTTCCTGCACATAACGTTTCGGCGATTGGAGCAGTTGGAGCAGGTGACCGAGCAGTTGATCCAGGTAAGGTTCCAGAATAGCCTTCTCTGCCTCCTCGCAGAAGTTGACCAAAGCAGCCGCCGCATGGGCTTGAACTCGAGGTTCAGGGGCCTCCAATACAGGTATAATGTTGGTGAGCACGACTTGGTGGTATTTCTCCTGCATTGGTCCAGCGAAGTCGGTACTCATCTGGCCCAAAGCATTGCAGCCTGCGAATCGCACTCGCGGATGCGGATCTCGTAGGGAAGGAACCACCAATTCCAGAACTTTGTCGAGCTCACCGATCATGAGGTCTCGGCAGCCTTCAGAGATTGCAGAGATAGCCATCAATGCTGCATGTCGGTCTCTCCAGGAAGCCGAATGCATCATTCTAGGTAGCCAGGTGAAAGTCGCCGGTAACATAACCTCCCCCCCTAGTTTGTTAGCCAGACGGTCCATGCACTGCTCGCCCGCAACGTGGTTCAGATCGCTCTCTTCCATGTCAAGATCTTCCTGTGCATTCCATTCTGCGGCATCATCGTCATCAATACCGATATCGGTCATCAAACTCAGGCATTGTGTGACCATGTCGTTCGTGTATGACGGTTCTTTCTTGCACATTGCAGGTGCCCATTCCGCGAAAGTAGCCATTAGTTCCAGCGCATTTTGACGGGTTTGATCGCCCAAATCTTTCTCTTGAATACAGGATATGCTGAAACTGACCAGACTAGAGAAAAGGCTCTTGAACATCTTCGGGGCAACTTCAGCAAGCTCAATGAGAGACACAAATGCCTTGGAGAGGTTGTCTGTGTCTCCTGCTTGCTTCAGAGGTGGGAGGATGTTGAGGATATCGGGAATCAATGAGTAGTATTTCGACTGGGCCTTTTTGGTGACGGAGTGGAAGAACGAAGCGAAGGCTTCAATCGCAGCGAGTCGGACCTAAAGAGACTGTCAACGGACGAGATGTTTGGAGACGGGCTCTGCCTTCTCTTACATCGACGCTGTCATCCTTGAAACCTTTCCCAAAGACTTCTAGCACTGCACTTTCGTGCTGCTTCTCGATGATGCCGGGAGTGGTTGCGAATATTCGAAATGCGCACTCTCGCATGCCCGCATCGTTGGACTGACTTGCTTGGAAAAGCGCAGCGAGAAGTTCCACCCACATTTCATCTGCATTGGAGCGTCAGCCAGTTGGATAGAACTTTCTCATATGAGAGTTACAACATACTTGCGTCAACATATTGCCTAGCGATCTCTGCGATGGCGTCTCCGATTTTATTTCTCACAGCATGGACCTGCTCCCTTGCGAGACCCTCGAGCAATTTCGATCGTATAGCGCCCCTGGCCTCCGGGCCAAGTGTGAGGAAGAGCTCTTTGTTTTCGTTTGAGCCAGGAAGTTTCCTATTCTTCGAGGCTTGTTTTCGAAACAAGACGGCGGCAAAAGACCGAGTCTACACCTGGTCAGAAGCACTCTCAATATTGTAGGGATTGGTGCTGTGCATACCGATGCATCTTCGGAGGCCTGTAACTGTTCTACCAAGCCCATCAAGAGCACATCCGGCCGGTTGGGTGTCCAGTCATTATTTAATTGTTCCTCTGCCTGTGAGCGCAGGGTGTTGTCTGGGGAAGCAAGCGCTCGGAGGAGTTGAGACAATGCTCCCTGCACCTCGGCAGGGAGAACAGACATGTCGAACGATGAGTGCTTTATCGCATCAGCCCCAGGCAATCTGAGGCTATTTACTCTCGAAGTGATAGGATAGGGTGGTGTATTCGAGAATTAAAAGGATTTGTTGATACCTGAGGGAAGGAAATTCGGGACTCAAAAAAGCGTACACTCCTCTGGAAGTGTGGCTTCAAAGAAAATTCCTGCAGTAGTTGACCAGAGACATCAATCTCCCACGGGATTGAAATATTGTCTGGACGGTGGTGAGAGGTATAGAATGAGACAACAGATGAGAGTCTGCCCTGGCGGTCGACGTGGACGTGGATTGAGAAACAATAATTTTGGCGGCACCGTCAACGCACTCGAGTGGCTACTCCACCAAGAGGGTTCGACCAGAGGAGAAGACTCAAGCGGCGCGGTGGGCGTGGTGGGCGCTAAGCGTGCCACCCTGGAAGCAGCCCTGGGAAGCCCAGTGGCCCAGGCCAGTGCTCTCACAGTCTCGCCGCCTAGAGAGCCCCCAAAATCCCGAGCAACCACCCATAATTCCGTACATGTACTAAGTTAGGTACAGTACGCACTAACAGCACCAACTGGAGGGGCCAATTAATCCCTGTTGTCAATCAAAAACAAACACGCACGTGATGGATGATTTGCCCACCTCTCTCGCTTCTTGCTGGAATGTGATCCAGACTCTTTACTAACCTTACGATCTGTTTCATCTACTTGCTCCTTCTCCTTCTCCCATGGCCATCAATCCAGGAAATATCACGACGATGGCGATGAGAACGACTCGGTTCATTTTGTCATCTCTTCCCACTCCAATCTCACTCGTCTACGATGATTTCGAACCTAGCTGAAACCAAGTCGTTGATGCGGAGATGAAAGTGGTTTGAAATGATTGAGATGATATTAAAATATTCATTGCATCATTAATTTGGTATACACTAAATGTACAAAGAGAGAAACCCCATGCTCGCTCTTAGCCAAAGTTCATGGTGGAAGGCAATGAAGGCGTGGGAAAGTCTGGATCTACCACGGGCGTCAAGGAATAGTTGAAACCGGTGAGTCTCTTCAATGAGCTTTTGCGCGGTGGGTGAGAAGGCCACACCGGGGACGTCCCTTTCTCGATCGATAGGGGAGAACTAGGCGGCGTGGTCAAGTCTGAAATCTTTGAATCGTCGCCGTCCTCAGAGACTGCGGTGGCTTCCGAGACATCATCTGAGACGACTTCTTCGATCTTTTCCGGTGCCTGCCTCTTCGGTTTGCGAGCATAGCTGTACAGCGAAATGATCTGGTCGGTTTCTAGTATCCTTATGGTCGGGATAGACTCTGGGAACATCTGTTCCTGGTCTGGTTCGTTATGTTCCACGGAATGCTGATCAGTCTCGGCAATATGGCTGTCAACTCTTTCCGAGCCATCTATCATATCCACCAGCAAAACTTCGGACTCGAGTTCTTCAACCTTCTGAATCTCGGCTTCCCCCCGATGGTTGCTCTGGGTGGGTTGCAGGGTGGCATGAGTTGGTTCTGTCGCAGTCGGGTACTGTTCATCAGTCTCAACCTCATCTGACTCAAATCCTTCATTCGCTTTCCGCTCACTGAGTGAGATCAATTCAAAACCTTCACTTGGGTCTAGCATGGATGGCGTCCCGGTCTCTTCGCTGTGGGCCTCAATTTCGTCTTCCCTCGTGGCGTCATTTGGGTCAAGCAGAACGGTTTCCTGATCCTGGTCCTCGTCCGCAACATATCGATGCTTAGACGCAAAGTCATGGATCTCAAAGTTTTCCTGAGGTTTTGACATAGCGAATGCCGTTGAAGCTACCATAGGGACCGCATTTTCGACCGTGTTCACCTCTTGGTCCAATGCAGACAGTTGTGCTTCGTGGTTGCTGGGAAAAGAGGTCGACGCTCCAAGACCTAGTTCGAATGTCTCAAGTCCATGGATTCTCGCTCGCAATGGAAGATCATTTGAGGACTGAAGGGTAGGTCGTACAACGACGTGGGATGGTGGCGATTTTTCAGCACTCGACTGAGCTGTTTCTTCAGGCTCGAAGTCACTGAAATCTGACTGGGAAGCGAAAGGTACGTCCTTGTGAACAGGCAGATCGCACATGAACCCGTGCGATCCCTTCTCTTGATGCTTGTGGTTCTGTGAGCAATAGCCAGTGGGCCCGGGACTTTGGATCTGGTGAGCCATGCCAGGAAACCAGCGTCGCCCCAATCCAGCTTGTACTGGCTCGGTGAACGACCTAAGATTCCCTGTGCTTGACTTGCGAGGAGGGAGAGGTCTTAGGCGTGGCTTCTCAAAGGATAGTTGGTCAACCTCAAGGCTGCTATGGACTTCAAGCGTGGTCAGCATATGAGTTATTCTCGTCGTATTCGCGTAGTTCTGAGAGCCTTTTCGACGTCGGAAAGCTCGGAAGGGGTTCTTGGATCGTGACCTGGCAAGTTTGCATTGCTCATTCCCAGAGGCAAGGTGCTCAGACGGTGCTGCATGAACCTTGGTTTTCGAGCCGGATCGAAAGTTCAGCGAAATTGACCGGATGCTCCTCAAAGTCGACAGTCCTCTCGTGCTCTTCGACTTTTCAACGGGCATGAGAAGAGGCGCTGGATCTGTCACACTTCTTTTCATGACACTGCCATTGCCACGAACGAGAGATCGTCCGCGGGCCGGCAAATGCTGGCAATGTTGGTCATCACAAGAATCTGCACCTTCATCGTCGCTGTCTCCTAGGTCTGACGAGAGGTCATCGCCAGAACTATCCTCGCACTTTTCCTCGGAAGAGCTGTCGGAATACCGTTGCTCGCAACTACCTAAGCTCTCTGGAGAAGTGGCGCCCGTCGATGGAAACCAACTGTCCTCGCCGTGGGATGAGCTCAAATGCGATGGAGGTGGTTCGCACGCGGAAACACGAGAACCCTCGCTTTCTATTGTGACTTCAACGTGGCTGTCGAGAATTGTCCGGTCGATGTCCTTGCTGTTGTGGGAAGACATGTCGCTGGCTGTTGTTGATGGGACAGGTTGATCCTGTAATGACTGGCTTTCAATCTCGACCTTGACCTCGCTATCCCAGACGAGTCCCTCCCCACCGGCCGCTTCTGACTCAGGATATGTAAGCGGAACAGGTCCTATCCCATCACCAGACAGCCAGTTCACTCCTGCAAGGAGACAGTCCTCGCAGACCGGGTTCAGAAATGACCTGTAAACGGTGCGGTGTTGAGGGCAGGCCTGCGGCTCCGTCGGCTTCGTACGCCCCTTGAACTGTCTGAATGTTAATGCATTGTCGATGCCCGCGCCCTCGAGCCATTTGTCCCTAGGGTATTGGATGTTTGGTGCGAAGCATGGTGTGCCCCCTCGCCGATATGACCGGCACAGGATGCTATGGTTGTAACGACATCCACAGTCGCGGTATGTCCAGATTTCAGTAATGCACATTCTGTCTCAACCTGAAGACGACGAAGGGATTGAGAATTGAAATGGACAGGGAGTGCTCCACAACAAGTATTATGACCTGCAGGGAATAATGTCTGGAGATTGAGCTGCCAAAAGCATGGACCACGAGGCGACAGCACGGTTTTTGAAAGAAGTGTCCGTGTGCGCTCTCGGACCTGGCAATCTACACATCAACAACAACAGACACGCTGCACCACGCTGCTTCCTCTATATTATCGTGCCTGTGCAACTCGGCGCTCGTACTGACAGATTGGACTCGTGTTAGCAGTATGCCATTGCAGCTTCGCGACGGCGACCTGCATGCATGTTCAATTTTTGCCTGGTACATGTGTACTTGTGTGCGCCTCTTCTGCGAGAGGTGTATCTCGACGATCAGCCACTAGTTTACTGACGATCTTCAGTTGTTGTTGTGGTGTTCACGAAGCGAGGAATGCCAGATACCCGCACAACCCAATTTTTTAGTCAAACCTAAGGCGCGTCCAAGGCAACATGCAGTTGTGTGTATGTTATGTCGTGTTGCCAACCTCAAGACTTGCGAAATCAATCCAGCACTCATGCTCCACCATCTTCGGCATCGTTTCATCAAAAAACACTTCGAACCTGCTTGTGATACCTGGCGACGTGTCCGGGTGTTTTGTTGATGTCCTGAACTCTCGGTACAATGCAGCAACTAGTGTCAACATTTCGGCATTCGCCAGGTGCATCCCGATACACATGCGAGCACCACTGGAAAAGGCCCAGAAATAGCGATTCCTGAGATCTGCTTCGGGAACAAGCGCACCGGAGTCCGTCAACCATCGTTCAGGATTGAAATGTAGCGGTGAAGGGAACACAGTCTCATCTCTATGCAGGCAGAATGGTGACATGCCAACCACGGTGCCTGCCGGGATCTCATACCCGTCAATGATCGTGTCGATCGGGGACTGTCGTGGTTCGAACGCTGGCAGCGGTGAATACAGTCGTAGAGTCTCTCTCACAACCGCGTTTAGGTAAGGTAATCGAGTCAAGTCTTTCGGCGCTGGCATGCCATTGTCGTCGACCGAGATACGCGACACCTCGTCTCTCAGCTTGTCTTGGTATTGCTGGTGCTGAGGCAACGAAATGGCCCAGATCAAGAACATCAACGTGTCGGCCGTCGTGTCGATTCCGGCAAGAAGATGGTCAGCACACTCAGAAGCAATATCCATATCCGACAGATTGGCCTCTTTCCGCACCTTGAACAAGCGGCCAATGACGGTGTTCTCAGCAGCCTTGGTCTGCACCTCAGCCGGCGCACCCTTAAAGCTGTAAAACGCTTCCAAAGCATGTTGGCGAATTCCAGAGTAAGTAAACGGCTTCTTCATCGGCATCAAGCCAAGCGAAGTCAGAACTCGTTCCAATACTCCGGTGCGGGTGGTGATCCATCTGGTATAAGCTGGAAAATGAATCGCAAACCACGCCAGCCTCCTCCGCGCTGGGTTTAGAATGTCTGCGATGAGCCCTTGAGATTTCCTACACCCAGACAAAGCTGTAGTACCACCATGGTCGGGGCCATAGACGAATTCCGAGATGGCATCAAAGGAGAAATAGTGCAAACTTCGGAAAATCTCACTTGCATGATCTGGCTCTCTGTGGATGAGTGAGATGAATTCTGCCACCTTCGTCTGGACCATGGCGGAAAATTCAGGTCCCAGAACCACCGCATTTGCATATATGTGGCTGACCAGCTTCTTTCGCTCGCGGTGGAGTTTTCCCGATTCGAATGTGAAGAGATTCTTCTGACCGTATACATCAAACATGCGGTAGAAGGACGTCCTCTCAAAGCCGCTGCCGGCACCGTATATGGTTCGTAGCGCCGAGAGACTATTGAAGGAGACCTCGTTGGGCCCGATGCGGACGACAGGCCCATACTGCCTGTGCATCCCAAGCACAGCGTGCACGGAACGAGCTCGCCATGCATCCAAGCTCAACCGGAATCGCGTCGCGGCGTAAACCCAAGGCCCCGGAATATTTCTCAACCTCCTGGCCTGCGTGGAAGAAGAGGCGACAGCATATAGGCCCAAGGCTAACGCAATCCACACACTCGCAGAGAGGCCTAGAAAGGCCATATCTGCCCCCGTAGTATCAGCCACGCTACCGCCCCAGGCTTCTGGGGGAATATCCCTCTTACCTTGTGCAAGCGCGGCTAGGTAGGGCCGATTCTACTTTGATTGCCAGGACTGATGGTATGTTTCGGTAGGAATGAGCCGTTTGTCGGAGAGAATCTGTCACGCAATTGTACAGGTTCGAGCACCGTCCTTCTCCGCAAGCGAACACGAAGGCAATTCAAATCCATGGCATTTCACTCGCGCGGTCATGTCCGTACAGGATCTTGAGCGAGAGAGCCTTTTGTCCTGGCCCAGAAGAGTTGTGGTGCAGGCGAAGAGGGCTGGGCGATCTTGTGTTCACAGGGGTCTTACAGATGCCCGTCTGGATGCTCGAAAGAGTCCTTGCCGTCTAGCGAGATCCGGCACCGCAGATATGGGCTCTATCACCAATGGTTCAGACTCGTTTGCTACCGCTTCCCGAGGCACAAGGATCCTCCCTGCGGATCGTACCATCTTGATCACAATGTCATCGATGTGCTTCCACAAGTATTGTTTTCAAGATAGGCGGGGGCAGCCTCCGTTAAGGAATTGATCCTTCTGAAACAGATATAAAAGCCCTCAGTCACCCGTCTCGTTCCGGGTACGAGAGCAAGCGCTTCCGTAGGCATGCTGATCCTTCAGCATCATGGATTATCTACCTCCCACATCTATTGCCGCGACAGTTTCTCCGTACAATCGCGTGAGATAACGTCGGTCAACAAAAATGGGGGGACCTCAGGCCAGACATTTGTAGTCCGGAGAGCCGAGCAGATCAACAAGCCAATACGCCAAGCACAGAACATCCTTCCTATCTCCAGCCACCGTTACATATGTGGCGTGCGTCCAGAACATAGGGTACAGACGTGTCTCGACGCTCTTCCTCCTGTCGATACCTCGGTGGAGTCTATATTCCGAACCTTGATAACACTGTCGAACGTGCAAGGGCCACTGCTTGGGCTGTTCCGCGCTGCCTCGAAGGGGTATGCGAACCCTAGCAATTCGAAGCCAGAAGGCTGAAGGTGCACGATGGGTAGTTCCATGCTCCCGACTGTCAGCCGAGACGGGAGGATCATGGCTCCTGATTAAGGAGCAAATGGGTCTGCCATAGCTCGAGTATTGCTACAACACAGATGGTTCCCTTCTGCCACCTCCATACGGAGTACGAGGCCCAAAAACACTCTCCAGCCTGGTCGCCCTGCAAGGTACGGCCCAAGGCGAGTTCGCGCCTGGGCGGAACCACTCGACCCTTCAACTAAGGATTTAGAGCATTGACGGAGTGCTTAATCTTCTATCCGCGCGGAGCAAGCTTCCATTTTCTGCTGGGGAGCTGTTTGTTATCGGGGTGTGTAAGTCAATACATTTTACTGCTCGCGGAGATGAGCTACAGGTGATATTTGCTCCTGCATGTGGCCAGCTCTACAACGAAGATAGCTCATCTCCATCAGTGTCAGCAGGCTATCTCTGAACTGTCTTCCGGCCTGGAGATGATTTCCACACATCTTCTGGAACAATGAATCGCGACGGGCATCTCCTTTTCCACGAGGACTCGCTTCTGGGAGAATGGTCTGACCTGGTCGTGTCTGATGTTACAGCACGATTGAGACCAAGGAGGCCGTTCGGCCTTGCCACAACTCGGCCAAGGCTGAACGCTGCCGGGAGAAGTCGAGGTTATTTCTCTTCCATACCCGATGCGTCTGGGCAAGAGCTTGACGCCGTGCCTATCGCAGTCTCCTACAGCTTAAGTACGCCTCATGAGGAAAATCCATCCTGAAATGGGACCGGGGATACCTACCAAGCCCAGCTGGTCCTGACCAGGGGGGGAGGCCAGTGGCGGGCGTTGATAACGTTCAAGCGGATCTACGCCGGGCCAAGAGCCACCATCAAACACAATCTGACATGGTTGTGTTCCTTATCAGCAACCAAATGACCATACCCAGTAACCAGGAATCGCCAGTGCTACCTTGGTCGCTTCCTAGCGAACCCAGATAGATGATTGTCAGCCCGTCCACGCATCGAGGGTCCATTGTAGCGACGCTTTATGTCTGTCTGATCCGGATTCCAGATCTCCAGGGACCCGGTCTCAATACAATGGGCCTGGGGAGCAGGGGTTTAAATATGTTGCTCTCCCACGCCTTCCCATGCAAAGGACACACGCCTCCCGGAGTCTTACTTCGTTTCTTCCGGCCTTCATATATTGCTGTCCACGGCAGCTGACAATAATATACAACGGGCTTACCTTTCCAGAAGCAAGGTGCCCTGCTTGCTCCGCCGACTTGCAGGAGAAGCTACTGTTGCGTCAGCTGTGCTCCTGAAGTGTTCGCCTCAACTTCTCTTCTTGTGCCTACGGTTGCACACATCACAAGATGTCTTCCGGCGAGAACATGGACCCTGAAAAGGGCCCCGGAGAAGAGATCAAACAAGACACATACGATGGGGTCGACCGCAAACACTCTCTAGCCGACCGAAAGTCTTCGGTGGCCGGATCAGTCATCGCCGCCGGTCTTCTCGATGAGCGATACCTCACCACCAAGCGAGGTCTGAAGAGCAGACACGCCCAAATGATCGCCCTGGGTGGCACAATTGGTACTGGGTAGGTTCTTCATACTGCACCGCATACTTGGACGGCGGGGGAGAGAAGAAAATGGACCAAATAGCTAACGGAAATTCTCCAGTCTATTCGTCGGTTCTGGCGCAACGCTTCACCTAGGAGGTCCTGCCTTCATCTTGGCCTCCTACATCCTCATAACGGTCCTGGTATACTGCGTCGTGACTGCCATCACTGAAGTCGCTGCGTATCTTCCCGTCCACGGCGGCACCATGTCCTACTACGGCTACAGATATGTTTCCCGATCTATGGGTTTTGCCCTCGGCTACCTGTACTGGTACGCTCTTGGAATTCTGGTCCCCTACGAAATCACAGCGGCAGGCTTGGTCATTGACTACTGGCCCAACGACGTCAACATTGCCGTGTGGATGACCATCATGCTCGTTGTCATCATCGGCCTCAACTTCCTCCCTGTCCGATTCTACGGAGAGACAGAATTCTGGTTTGCCGGGACGAAGGTTATTCTCATGATTGGTCTATTGATGTTGAGTTTCATCTTGTTCTGGGGAGGTACGTCTTCCTGTCCCTTTCTATTCTCTCTTCTCCATGCGAGCCTTTAGGGGGGTCTGTTTATTAACGATCTTGACTTCAGGTGGCCCATCGCACGACCGCCTTGGATTCAGATACTGGAACGACCCTGGCGCAGCAAACACGTACCTCGTGAGCGGCGATACCGGCCGCTTCGTTGCCTTCTGGCAGACGGTCGTCAATTCCGTGTTTCCATTCACCTTTGCGCCCGAACTTCTAGTCGTCACCGGTGGAGAGATGGAGTCTCCACGTCGCAACCTCCCCATCGCTTCTCGACGCTACTTCTACCGTCTCGTCGTCTTCTACGTGCTGGGTGTCTTAGCCATCGGCGTCACCTGTCCCAGCAATGACCCACGCTTGACCGATGGTGGTGCCGGAGCCAAATCTTCGCCTTACGTCGTCGCCATCGCCAACGCTGGTATCGACGTCCTCCCTTCGATCGTCAACGCCGTCATCCTGATCTCCGCCTGGTCTTCCGGCAACTCCTTCCTCTACATCTCCTCCCGTGCCCTGTACAGTTTGGCCGTGCAAGGCTCCGCCCCGCGCATTTTCAAGGCCTGCAACCGCTGGGGTGTCCCCTACATGGCCGTCGGCTGCTCATCGCTTTTCTGCGGTCTCGCGTACCTCAACGTCGCTTCCAACGGTTCCACGGTCTTCTCGTGGTTTGTGAATCTTACAAATACATGGGGCATGACCTCGTGGGTCTGCTGTATGATTGTGTATTTGCGCTTCCGCAAAGCCTGCACCGTCCAAGGCATCCAGCCCATCTACCGCAACTGGATTCAGCCCTACGGCGCATGGGTCGCGATGTTCATGTTTACGCTCCTGTGCCTGATCAACGGCTTCACCGTCTTCTTCCCGTCCGAATGGTCCGCCTCGTCCTTCCTGACCGCCTACATCGGCATCCCCATCTTCTTCGTCATGTACTTTGGCCACCGCGTCATCTTCTGGCGCGACAAGTGGGCCTGGGATCCAGCGGAGATTGACATGCAGACCGGTCTCCAGGAGGTCATTGACGCAGAGAAACCCATCGTCATTCGCAAGGGCTGGAAGAAGATACTCTATATTATCGAGTAGAAGGGTGTACGTAATTTTTAGGGTTGCGATTAGGGGGTTAGTGAAGATTGGAAAATGAATATTTTTTTTCTCCCAAAATGTATATATACAGATCTATGTATACACTACACACACGCACACGCACGCTGAATTAAGGCAGAGAGAGTGGACTGCCCAGGTACTAAGTCACGACGACTGAATTCGTGTGCAACACATCTTGATTCTACTTCTTCTTCATCAAGTGCGCGTCCCAGCGGAGTACTCTTTCAAGACGGTCAGAACTACTACGGAGGACTAGGCAAGGACCACGCCGGGCTTTGCCGACGGACGGTCTGAAGCCACAGCTGCTGAGTGCGTGTACGTGCACGTGTGTGTGTGTGTGTGTGTGTGTGTGTGTGTGTTCCCGCATACGGTATATATATATATTCGCCAGCTTATTCAAGGTAAAGAGCACCGTCAACCTACACCACAACTTAAAATCGACCGATACAAAACCCAATCACCTCATCATACGAGAAGGACAAAGTGGTCATGGAGACAAAATGATATATGGTATCGACTTGAACCCGTTTACATTATTACCTTCATCATAAAATATTATATAGTCATGTCCTGCCTCATCCATAGCTTGCTTGTTTTGTCTGTTGCAGTAAAGCGTGCCCCCCCGCCCCCCCGGCTTACATGTAGCACAAATATATTTCAATCATACTGACTGAATGATCCCGAAGCCCAGGAAAAAAAAAATTCCCAAAAAGCCAAACTGCCAAAACGCTGCATAAAAGTATCTACCATGTCATACTTGTACTGTACAAACATTTCGTGAATCACCGGCTGGGGCAATACGATGATTTTCATCAAAACTCCTTCCCTCAACGAACATTAAACGCGTGCATGTCCAACCACCACCAAAAAAGCCTAGATAACAGAACTGTACAAATGTCCAATGTACTGCAGGGCGGTTGTTGGAAAAATACCAGGTGGTCAGGGCTAGAAAGAGAAGAGTGCGGTGGTGGCTTTTGCTCTGTGTCGAGAAGAAAGAGACTGGTTCTCTGTATTCTTTTGCGTCCTGAGGTGCAAAGCCCTAAGCTCTATCCTCGGCGATAACTGTAACATTGATGCTGGAGTTGTAATCCAAAATTGACTCCTGTCTTTGCGCTTTACACTTCGAGTGCCGCTTCTACCAAGTGCTGTTCGTACGCCCGAGTGTGAGATATGCTGAGCTCGCTCCCCAAGAGAACAGCTTTCCGTGCGACCGTGTCCTGGAACCCAACCCTTGCAGAGCGATCGAGAGGGCTGATTGTTGGCACACTTACGCGGAGAAGTCGTTCACCCCACCGTGTGAATAAGAGTAGTCTTGTATCATTGAATAGTGCCTAGACTTCTGCACAAAGGGTACGCCTTGGGTATAGGCGGAGTAGTACCTAGGACTGGAAGGCTTGTAGGTTGCTTTTTCGTACGGCGTATAGCCATGATCTTGTCGGTCCTGCGTCGAAAAGACCAACTCTGGGGCGTTCATATTATATTGACTCAACCCCTGCTGTTGGTTTTCCGCAGGAGATATCACAGGATAAAGAGTCTCATCGTAACCAAGGTCTTGATAGTCTTCGTAGTAATCTTGCGAATTATGAATCTTCCAAGACTGCCTTCGCAGATCATCCCCAATAGCGCGTAGCTTGTCCTGCCGTGTAGTAGCGTGAAGGGGCCATTGATCCGGGTTAATGTCCAATGGTTGCGGTGAATGCAATGGAGGTGGAGGAACCCACGCTCTATCGGAGTAGTCTTCCTCGTAGTCAATATAGGAAGGCTGTCGTACATGAGGTGGCGGCGGTGGGGGTGCTGCTGAAACGCTACTCAGAGAAGCAAGTCTCTGGTTCAGCACCATCTCGGGAGTTATTGGGGGTGCATCACTAGCAAAACTCGCTGGTCTGATGTTCCTACCCGGAATACCCCCTCTGTCATTGAACGACGATCTTCGACCTCCTAATCTCCCAAGGCGTTCTTGGACCGTACGACTTTTGGACCTCGAGAGCTCTGCTGCGGCCCTGTCATCCATTATATACCTTGGTCGCAGTGCAACAGTGGAGATACTATAAGGATTCAGGGTCTCTTTAGACACGATATTCTCATGGGCCAAGTCATATGGACTGGCTCCAAGGGACGTTGCCACTGTCCCTAGATCATGTATAATTGTCGTGTTGTCCTCATGGTGACTGAAGCCTGAGTGGCGTTGAGAAGGTGTCTTGGCTTCCTTCGAACGGCTAATCCAGGATCTTGGGCGACTGCGACTGCGTGATCGCCGAATCTCCACAGGATTTTCGGGTGCTGGCGAAGGAAACCTTATCTCTGTTTCCTGGTGGTCAATGCTTGCAAGGCTGGTCTCTTGAAGGTACGTGTTGTCAAGCTCGGGTACTATTTCTGAGCGAAGCCGAAGTGCTTCGCGTACCCCGTGTGGGACCGAAGGAATGCTTTGACCTTCAAAAGAATGGACTCGACCGATCGAGACCTTGGGAGGAGGCTGGCTCAATGTTCGTTTCTTCTGGAGCTTTTTGCGGGTTTTGACGGGCTTGGCTATGACAGCGTCGGATTCAAGCAACGCAGATACTTGGCTTGACGCAATCTCAGCAGGGCGGACATCAGATAAAGTAGTAAGCTGAGGTGCAGTCTTGCGTGACTTCAGGTTCCATGGTCTGTGACTGCGTGGGAAGGGTATCGCTTCTTGCCGTTCTACCTGTGTATTCGCTGTGTTGCTCGGTCCTGTTTGCAACGCTTCCTTGTCCGTATCAGGTTCAGAATTTCTGTCCTTTCGAAGGGAATTCAACGAACTGCTCGAGCTGTAGCCACTATCAGATTTTGCCGGAGCTGGGGGAGGCTGCAATCGCGTCCGGGGGGTCGTTGCTTCCAATTCAGCCGCAGGCTGGAAACTCTGATCGACAAACTGTCTCGTTGGAGACCAAACGGTGTCGGTATCACGGTGCTGTCTGTCTTCGTTGCTCAAGAGACCCACGATGTTGTGGTCTTGTTCGCCATCCTCCATACGCTGTGGCTTGTAAATAACAGAGCCAGTAGGGGAAGGCGACCTCGATGGCGGTACAATCTCAGAATCTTTCGGAATGAGATGGTCAGGACATGGGGATACAAATGGCGTTGAAGATGATGAGCAAGTCTGCAGCAGGCCTTCAGACTTGGTTTTCCGTAGGGAGGCATGTGAAGAGGTAGTTTTCAAATCCGAAAATGGGCTAATTGGGAGTTCAGCCATGTACTCTTGTGCCATTAATGAGGTCTGATCTGCAATTTCTGTCGAATCTGTCGGATGCACTGCGGATCTTACTGCTCGAAGAGGAGTCTGTTGCGCTTTCTGCTTGTTACTTTCCCTGCTAAAATCTCGACGTTGGGGCTTCTTTCCTAGCGTGTTGAGCCGTGGTAGATATCTGTCAGGGCCAGCGACCTTCGATTGTTCATCCTCAGCATCTCCATAATCACTTGAAACATCCCTATTAGCCTTCGGTGCTAACAGAAAGCTACGGGAGGTCTTTGACATCTCACTGAATGCTGGAGAGGCTCGCCCATTCACGACTTGCAAGGACCCATGTCGGAGCCCTCCAAGGTGTGAGTAGCTCAGATCAGCTGGCGTACCTGCTCTTCCCATCATTGCTGGAGGTTCCGGTGGTTGCCACTCGAAGAAGTCTGTTCCAATAACATTACAGTCTTCTGTCTCCTCGAGGGTCTTTTCTTCATCAATCTGTTCTTCTCGCAGTACTCTGGAGGCCTTCCTCGTAGCCGTACCGGGGGTGAAGGAGGCTCGTCGCGTTGGGGGAATGGACGGTGCGTCGACAATCCGATCGAGAGGAGAGGCTGGAGTCGACGCAGAGGTAGCCTCGTCATGTAGTGAGTTGAGCCTTCCACTACTTGTGGAGCTTCTGAAACTGTTCGACCGGTGTGTGGATAGTCGACGCAAAATCAGCGACTTCCTCTTCCTGGGCTTTACAGGCGACAACGGCTGCTCTTCCTGCTGCAGGCTGCGTGGCTCTTCAACAGAGGCTTCTTCCGCCTCCTTCACCATATACGCAATACTCCATGATGACTCGGTTTTTGAATGCTTGCTCTGGGAATCCGACGAGGAGCCGAAGACATCCGATCGAATCTGTTGGCGAAGAGCAGCATCGCTCGGGTTGCTCGACAATGGGCCACCTATTCGGCGATCTCCAGTACTGGCATTTCTTGGCTTTGGAACAGGTTCCGGAAGACTGGTGGTTGAGACACTTGTACCAGGCTTCTTGGTTAAGGGCTTAGACAGTCGGTTCCTTCGGCGGGCTTCAGGTGCCTCGCGGACGATTTCGATTGCTTTGTCCGGTCTCTGTTGGGCGAACCGCATCCTGAACTGCTCAAAGACTCACTCCTGTGGCGGAATGAGGAGAGCAAAGGGCCGTGACAATGGGATGGGTTCGTTAGACTAATAGAAAGCTGCCAAAGACCCGTACAGCCATTGCATTACTCGCATCCGATCTCCGATCAGTGACATATGCGAGCAAAATGCAGCAGGGTCGTGCTCGCGATCTGGTATGCAGGATGTCACCTGGAGGCAATGAAGGCCCCAGCTTCGTGACTATCAGTCCTATCGTTGTAACATTTACGTGAAACTTGCAACCGGCCAATGCTTCCGGGGTGACAGGCCGTCGAAGAGCAGGAAACGAACGTTGAAGAGCAAGTGACGGTCGGCCGTGTCGAGAGCAAATGGCTGGTAGACACTCGTATGGGCGAAAGCTGCGGGAACGAACGACTTCAATGACGGTGAGAGGGACCGAGGAGGAGGGCAGGCCGTCAGTGTGGTGAAGGTTTCAAGACATCAGGAATGAGGTGATGGGGGGTGCATGGGTGCAGCAGAAGGACCCTTCGCCTGTGGAAATTGCCCGTCTATTGGCTCCGGCCCTGAAGGATAAACAATTTGCGGGCCGGGCAACGGGCGCAGTTCAAGGCTTCCCACCGCCATCTCCAGGCTCTCTCCAGCGCAAAAACCAAGTTTATTCCAAAGCTAATGCACCCTTCAGCCACCGCTAATGTCGCATCATGGACAAGCGACTGGTACGGAGTATTCCCCTGCTCAACGCCACATGTCCGGCTTGCGGAGGAGGGTGACTGCCCGAGCCTTTGGCGAATCTAGTCACCCCGTGGGCACTGAGGCAATTACTGCTGAGACGACGTGAATGAAATTGCTGGTTTTGGGGGTTGCCCGTCAGCTCCCGGGGTCGATCGAGCTGAGAGAAAACCTCGAGCACGATGGTCTGGAAATCCTGTCTCTGCTTGGGCCAGATGCTTGAGGTTGGGGAAAAAGTGGCTGGAGGAAGTGTCAGTGTCACACAAACCACATGATATCCGGAAATGCGAGCTGCGACATTTTGCCATCCCAGCCGAACGCTCGGACACGGTACGAGTACTTGCACGGCAGGAAGACTTGCAGTTTTGCATACGTAGACATCCATCGTTACGAGTACGAGTCCTCCTCCTCGGCGGCCGGGCGGACTTGGTGATTCACGATGAACGACTTCTGGAGAACCTGCACGTCCCGCACCTCCATTACGTATGCCATCTACTCGTGCGCGGTGTACCCATGTCGATCTTTAGCGGCAATCCGGCTACCAGCCTCCGAGTGGCTGAAAAGAGACTCTGGTGCAAGAAAGATTGCAAACAAACAAGCCTACAAACGCACAGTATAACGACCAAAAGCAGTTCAAGACGGCAATGGAAAATCATTATTAGAAGAGAAATAACACTAGAAGATCTTGATCACAAGCATCCATCATTCGTGTCATCTATTCAGTATCTTGATTAGCCTGGTGGAGCGAGGGAGCTGAGATCCTCGATCCTAGTTACAACCCCATATTTAGTGTACATCCGAGCTATGCTGGTGCTAATGTAGCCCTTACACGCCTGTGCAAAAACACGGAACAATAAATCCTACAACCCGTCTCCAACGCCAAGTTATGCTAGTCGTCATGCCGTGAAGTTGTGTGGCAAGTAGTCAGGTTATGTTGCCTTGGTGCCAGCATGCCCTTCCTTATTCGATGTTAATGCGTCTGCTCTCCGGAGCCGGTGCCTTAGGGACGACAATGGTGAGAATGCCGTTCTTAAGCGAAGCCCGGACTGCCTCCTGGTTGACACGAGCTGGGAAGCTGAAGCTGCGAGTGAACTCGCCGACAGAACGCTCAGAGATCCAGTACTGCTGTTTTGGTTGTTCTTGTTCAGCGGGTGCTGGCGTCGGCGCTACGACTTCGTTGCTCTCCTTTGTGGTTGTCGGGGCGGTAGATGAGTTGGCTGGTTCTTCATCTTCGACGGTGGGTTGATGCGACTTGACGCTGCTGGTTTCCGACGCAGGAGCCTCCTCCAGTGCTGCATTCTTTTCACCTTCAATGCTGGCTGAAGTCGGGCGACCGGATTTAACGTGACGCTCGGTGCGGCCCTTGATGGTCAAGGTATGCTCATCGACGAATTCGATGTTGAGATCCTTCTGGTCGATGCCAGGAAGCTCACCCTCGAGTGTATACGCGTCGTCGGTCTCTTTCACATCAAAGCGAGGATTGAATTGCTTTCGCGACTGTCGGCTGGCTCTTTGGATTTCGTTCAAAGTGTCGTCGAAGAGGCTGAAGAGAGGGGCAAACTCCTGTCGAGTGACTGGGCTGCATCGCACTGGGGCGTAAGATATTCTGGGAAAGAAGAACGACATGTTTCTGGTGTTAAATGGGGTTGATCTGTGGATGTTTCTGGCGGCTTGAGATCTGATGGTTCTCGAAGAATGCATAAGACTTGATGTTGACTGTGATCTGATGCTGACATGCCCGAGCCGATCAAGCATTTATACCCCCGCGTTGTCCACCATAGAAAGCCCTGGGAGGTTCAAGGTTGCTGAGCAAGCATAAACCAGCTGTTGCTGGATGCTTCTCAACCACGCAAGCAACATCGGCCTAGTTCTGGTGCCTTGTGGAAGTGGCGAAATGTTTCTCCGAGGTTCTATGATCACGTGACGTAACATGGTATAGCCAGAACACTACCGCTTATTTGTGTCCAAAGTCATACAGTAAAGCGGTAATCGTGAGGACGCAGGTGTGTCAGCTACTGTAGCTTGGAGGGACCGTGTCCTTGAAATGATAGCAATATCATTGGATAGGTCGATCAGTGGATGTCTTTGACGCCAGGGGAAGAGTATAGTTCGAGCTTTCGCGAGCCCATGCGCAGGAGAGCTTCGATTGCGGCGAAGTCTTTCTTGTCAACCTTCTGGTGCTTGCGAAATTCGCGTCTGTCGGGCACGTCAGACATCGATCGAGACGCGCAGCGTCTGTTCAAGCTTACCTGGCTGCATCCCGAAAGTGTGTCTTGCTTGACTTTAGGCCGATTAGTCTGTGGCTAAAGGCGACAGAGTTGGCACGAACCTCAGGTTTCTTCCCAGCAGCTCGTAAACACTGTCTGTATAACTTCATCACTTCTCTTTGTAGGCCTGAATAGCGCATATCCGTAGAGATGAGCGGCAAGACACCCTCGTCTTTCAATGTCGAGCTTGGTACAGAGTAATGGAGAGTGTATGGTTGTCCGAATAATATGATTTATGGGCAATGACTTCCAATGTTTCAAAAGTTTCAAATGACCAGAACTTCAAGTTCGTTACCCCGACTGCAGTACATGCCTTCAACATGGATCCCGACAATGTCCTTGATCTACCTACCTTCATTTTCACTTGGTTGTTGTCAATAGTTCGAACGGTATTGAGCAGCATTGAATCGGCTCTTCTATGGACTGTCATGAACTCGTAGACATCAAACGTTGTGTATGTGTACATGCATGTATGGTGACTACCTATCTATATACGGACAGCTAAGCAAGTCAAGGATGATATGGGGCTGAAGGGGCTTCCCTAGCACCCGATTTACTCTTACCTTAGGGGGGGAGGGGCCCGGGATCACCGAACCACCTGAGCCCGGAACAGCCGGAGGACACCCCTGGTAATGCCCCTATGCCTGGTGAGCCCAAGTAAGCCACATGTACGAGATTCCAGAGGCCATCCATTATCCATAGTACCACGGCCAATGCGATGCCCCGTGTCCACCTACCTACCGTCTCCTAACTAGCGAGTTCCGTACTTCTACGCAAGAAGACTGTGTACCACAAGCGTCAGCCAAGCGGACCTACAAACACCACTTTTTTGGGCCGCGTCCATGCTGTCCTTAACAATGAGCTGCAACACAGCACTGCCAATAACGACTCAGGTCAGATTGCAGGGCAGGCCTGCGTGAAGTTCACGCTTGCCAGGTGCCAGATGGACCTGTACGTGGACTTCCTTTCAATCAAAGTAGCATATTTACTCACTTCGCAGCGGTCATGGCGGCTTGCGACAGCAGGCCTTCCACAAGCTCGCGATCCTTACTGCTCAGCGTTCTTCTCACAGAGAAGCAGACTTCCGTCGCTTGACGTCTTCAATCCTTCCTGCGAAATCCCAGCCAAACGGTGTCCTTGACGGGGTGCTTCGAGCACTCACTCCCACCCCGCGAACATCAATCACACCTCGAGAACTGGATGTCCTCCTCGCCTTGTGTGCCAGTGCTCACGATATCCACGATGCTTCTCATGCTGAACATCTCGTTAAAACGCTAACCACTTATCTCCCTGAAGCGCATGCACAACTCTTCACTCCCTCGCCATTCCTCCACGAGATTAAGCCTGCGCCATGGACAGCCCTTACTTTCCAGCTTACCCAAGCCCTTCTTGTACTTGGCATACGCTTTCCCACTCTCAAGCAGAGCGTGGCAGAGTGTCTCAAAGCTTATCTCTCCAACTGGTCTCAGTCTGCTGCAGCACTGGAATCTTTGGGCGCAGAAGAACTGGACGAAGACAATGACGGAGAGGCGCAGGAGGTGACTGCAATGACGGTGTCCTTGGCCGGCTTTCTTGACGCGGCCGCTCTGCACGAGAACTTTTGGTCGTCCTACGAGAGGGTAGAACTCATTCGTAACTTGAATGGATCTTTGTCGGAGAAATTTCTCATAACAGTTGAAACGGCCTCCTCCGCGATACGGACGTCTACGTCCATTCACATGGCTTCGAGAGATTGGAAGAAGTATTTGAAGAGATTCGCTGCTCAGGGTCTACCTGTGGGGGCTATGATGTTGCAGAAAGGGTTTATGAAACTTGTGTTGGCTTGCACGTCCAGAATGCTCTGTGACGAGCATACCGTTGAATGTGGCAATATTCTCGATCAGTACATTGCTGGAACCCATCTTGGCCGCTCTAGAGACGAGGATATCACCGAGGACATGATCGAGTATCTGGTCAACATAATTTCTGACCAAATCCGTGTACTCGAAGACGGCTCCGATTACTTGCAGCTGAGCTCCGCTTGGCAACAGCGTCTTGCATTCACTGCCAAAGCCTATGCATTAGAGGCTTTTCTCCATTGCATGATTCTGGACGAGGACCTTGCGGAACCCGACGATCTCTTCACTTGGCTAGAGGACTCCATCAGCAACCAGGCACAGATGGCCGATATCAACTTGGCCGACGTAGCTCTGAAGAGCCTGGCTGTCGTGGCAAAGCATATGCCTGAGGAGGCCTCGAACTTTGCACGTGTTCTGCTCCGCTTCATAGTCCGTGGAACGTCCACCCCTGAGGCTGTCGCCATTGCAGCTCAGAGTCTGTCACACATACTGAAGATGTTATCGCAAGATGCTGTGATCACCACAGTTTACTCACTGGGCAATGTTCTAAGTTCACAGAATGGAGCGGAAAAGACACATCATCCTTGGATGGGCGGAGAGATCAATGGTCATAACGGATCTCTTTCATCCTCGTCTAAGCTGCGAACCGGAAGTGTCATCTCACTTTCGTTGAGCGGCGACGAGGAGACTTCGCTAGTGTGCGGAAACGTTGCCCACGCTATTGTGGTCATAGCAAGGGAGTGCAAGGATCCTCGGATCACAGCACTTGTGCAGACAATGATGGTACAAAAAGTTGGAAGAATCAGCTTGCCGGTTGATTCTCGCATCATAGAGGAATCTGCAAGACTCGCGATTGAGGGCAAAGAGAATGAGTTCAAAACCCTCCTTAGGCTCTACTCAAGACTTCATAGCGAAGCTCTACGCCAGGACAACACTCTCATCTTCGAGGCGGTACGGAATGCCGAGGAGTACCTAGCCTACAATATCGAAAGCCGATCGTCACTATTCAAGATATTCGCGACGCATCTGCTCGAGCGGATCCTGAGCAAGGGCGATGTCGTAGAAGGCGAGTTTAAACAGTCCGCAGAGGTCGAGCAAGCAGCCAAAGAGATAGCACCTCTCCTGAAACCACTCTCGATTATTGCCGCGCGACGAGCCGTATCCATTCAAGGAGGCACCTTCGTTGAAGATCCTGATATTTTAGCTATGTCTCGTGAAGTTTGGTACAATATTGCGGTCCATGGCATCACGCTGCAATCCCGCATTGGTCAGCAGTATTACCACGAACTTCGCCTGTTGGCTATGAATTCCCGGCCTTTGGTTGATGATGACCGCGCCGAACTGTTAGAGTCGGATGTCGAGCTGAACACGGTACTTCGGCGAGGGATGAGCCAACAACACACGGCAGAACAAAAGAAGAATCTCGTTGCTGCCATCCCAGATAGAGATTCTGAAGTTCGACAACTGAGCTATCAGAAAGTTGTGTTCCTCAATGCTGTTTTTCTGGTGGAAAGCCTCCGAGCTACCACTGGTAGCTGCGCCGAGATTCTTGACTACTTCACCGACCCGACAACCCAAACCAGCCACATGGGTCTGTGCCTCACCTCAATCGCCAACCAGGTAGTCAAGAGATATACTTCAAAGGTCGTTATTGGGGGTGAGATGGAATTCACCGCGCCTTATGTCTCTCGACAACTAGCCAAAATTTTGAGTGGCTGTTGTCACCGGAGTGGCAAGATGCAAGAAGTTGCCAGGACAGCCACGAATCACGTTCTCACCTTTGCTCCCTCGGCACTCTGCCAGAAGGCCGCGTTGTTCGCATTGCTGGAACTCTTGTCCCTCATGTGGTCAAGTTGTCTAGATGCGGATCTCGACGAATATGAATGGAGACCATTCCTCACATCCACCAGGGGCAAAATTACGATTGAGTTGTCAGACGATTATGCCTTCAGGAAACGCACACTGAATAGCTTTTACAACGATTCAAAGAAATGGGTCACGACCGTCATGGCAGTGGCACCACTGGATGTTAAAGGCCTCCTTCAGACCTACCTTTCCGAATTCGATGACACCGGCGGATATGGCCACGTCAGCCTGGGGAGATCTTTTGCGCTGGAAATGGGCTCCATGATACCTCCTCACGATCACAGACTCAATGCAACTGACCGGAAAGGCGATTCCGTTCATATCAACATGGCTTCCGACTTCATGGCACAGTATACTGCGCGTCAGGAGTATCGATTCACAGGGATACCTGACTATCAACTAGGAAATGTCCACATCGATAACATCACTGGGAGAAGAGCGTCAGTAGGACGTCAAGCCGTGGATAATACCCGTATGTTGAAGGACGTGCTACTGGACCTGCACAAACGCACAGAACAAAAGACACATGTGCAGACCTCCGAGGTGAAGGATGTTCTCCGCCGCGCTGCGGCACTCCTGTGCCAGAGCAAAAAGTCTCAAACAGCGATAGTCCACCACCTCGTCCATATACCTTTCCAAATCTTCACGAAAGAATCCATTAAGCTGGGAATATCGCTTTGGTTAGGTGTCATTCACGAGAATCCTAGAATGGAGCCTAGGATATTGATGGAGGTTGTCCAGGCTTGGGAGAAGACCATCGACCGCAAGGAAGGCATCTTCAATCCCAAGTTCCAACATCACGACCCTTTCTACGTCAAGCTAGAATTCGCACCCACTGACAAGGCCGCAATCCAAAGGCAAGCTCAGAGCGCTCACAATACTATTTCACCACACTTCCGATTGCTACAATTCTTTCAAAGCCATTTCAATTCGATCAGACTTGGAAGTACCAATACGCAACGCAATTTCGTTCGCATGGTTGAGCGGACTTTGTTGGGCTTCATTCAGATCAAGTGGCATCCCCTTCTACGTGAGATGCACTTCTCCCTCACATACTTCGCGTTGCGGGTGCTTCAGACGAGTACTTGTATCAGTAAGCTGTACATGTGGAAGCTGAGGGATTTGATTCTCTCTGTTGGCCTTCGGTGGTTCTCTCACCCACTGTCATGGTCTTTTGGGGGCAACCGCTTGCAACTCAAGGCTGAAGTTCAAATCATGCAGGATGTGCTTGTATCCCTACAGAGTGCTAAACAGCCAGTCCTAGCAACTGCCGCATCCCGGAAAGACCCCCAACAGAAACAGGACCTGCTGGAAGCTCTCCTCCAAAATGAGATTACTCGTCTCAACGTTTGGCTTGCGCCTCTGGCTCATGCAAGTCACCAAACCCATTCAGAGGCTCAGATTGCAGGGTACTCACGAACTGCGTGGCTTGAAAATCCAAGCCTGGCGGTACAGCTTGTGGCCAGGTTTCAGAGTGAACAGCTCCGCCGTGATGTACGGTTTATGCTTCTTAATTTCACCGACAAAGCTTTGGACGAACCGGATGCGATTGACCTCCTGATCGGAGACAAACTGCCGTCAGACGTCTCAGGTCAATTGAAATATCTGCTTTATTGGGCGCCAGTAAACCCGGTGCAAGCCGTGACTTACTTCTTGCCCGCATTCGGAAACCATCCTTTCGTGCTCCAGTATGCTATGAATGCTCTCGAGAGCCATGCTATCGATGTCACATTCTTCTACGTCCCTCAAATTGTCCAGAGCTTGCGCTACGATTCCCTCGGTTACGTTGAGCGGTACATTATTGAAACTGGAAAGTTTTCACAGCTTTTTGCTCATCAAATCATCTGGAACATGAAAGCTAACGCGTACAAAGACGACGATTCTCAAGAGCCAGATCCCGTCAAACCAACGCTTGACAAGGTCATGGACAGTTTGGTCTCTAGCTTTTCTGGGGCAGATAGAGAATTTTATGAGCGAGAGTTTGCTTTCTTCGGCGAAATTACCGATATTTCGGGCAAACTCAAGCCTTTCATCAAGAAGAGCAAGCCTGAGAAGAAAGCCAAGATTGAAGAAGAGTTGCGTAAGATCAAAGTCGAAGTGGGCGTGTACCTTCCCAGCAATCCTGATGGTGTCGTTGTTGGAATCGACCGCAAGTCGGGAAAACCATTACAATCTCACGCCAAAGCGCCTTATATGGCAACGTTCAGGATTCGCAAGACCAGGGAAATCCCCGAGGCTGACCAAAAGTCAAATGCCGAGACAGCCTTCAAGGCCGTTCATCTTCCACGCAGAGGCCACAGCCGGCAGAACACAAATGAGATCTCCGATCTTGGACTTGACGACAATCCACGAACGTACGAAGTCTGGCAGAGTGCTATCTTCAAAGTTGGCGATGACTGCCGACAGGACATCCTTGCTCTGCAAATGATTGCAGCTTTCCGCGGCATTTTCAATGCTGTAGGCTTGGACGTGTACGTATTTCCATACCGAGTTACGGCGACAGCGCCTGGCTGCGGAGTGATTGACGTCCTTCCAAACTCAATCAGTCGTGACATGCTGGGGAGGGAGGCGGTCAACGGGCTCCACGATTATTTCATCACAAAGTACGGTGGCGAGCATTCGATACGATACCAGGAGGCAAGACACGAATTTGTGAAAAGTATGGCCGCATACTCGGTCATCAGTTACCTTCTCCAGTTCAAGGATCGTCACAACGGGAACATTATGATCGACGACAAGGGCCATATCCTCCACATCGACTTTGGATTCTGTTTCGACATTGCACCGGGAGGGGTCAAGTTCGAACGTGCTCCGTTCAAGCTGACTCCCGAAATGATCGCGGTGATGGGAGGAGATGATCCCAACACATCCCAACCGTACAGATGGTTCGAAGAGCTTACGATCAAGGCATTCCTGTGTAGCCGGCAGTACTGCGACAAGCTGAGCCACCTCGTCGGCTTGATGTTGGATAGCGGTTTACCTTGCTTCAAGCCCGAGACGATGCGCAACTTCAGGAACAGGTTCGTCCTTGACAAGACGGACAGAGAGGCCAGCGAGTTCATGCTCGCGTGTATCAAGAAAAGCGCAGGCAACGTGTCCACCAAGGTGTATGACGAGTTCCAGCTTCTCACCAACGGGATTCCGTACTAGGGAAATTTGAAAGGGGCTAGGGTGTTGGGTGGAATCAGCGACAGAAGTACATACATAGCAGCCTGTAGAGTGTGTGAGGGCAAGTTTTTTGGTCCATTTAGTCTAATGTGTACAACACAATATCCTTAAGCAAGCCATACTAAAGGGCCAGCGTGACTGAATCAAGAGCCTCCATATGGCGTGACAACTTTTATTTTGTTGCGTGTGACGCCTGCCCCTTGTCTCCCAAGTACAAAAGTTTTTCGAGTGGTTTGCTGCCCAACCCCTCGAGATAATGGTGTGGAACCAACCAGCACGGTAGAATTCTCCCCCGAAGACCAGTTTCGCAGTGGGTTTTGGGTTGGCATCAAATTACCTCGATACCAGGCCGACTTTCGCCAGCAGGCCTAGAATGAAGTTCCACAGCTGAGGAAGCAGTTTTAACTGTTCGATGATCAATGGCGCGATGACGACGAAAACGAGAAGGACTGTTTTTGTATTTTGCGTTTGGCGTCATGGTCAGCCAGAGCGCACAAATGTCGAGAAAAAAGGGGGACGAAGAGGAAGAGGAAAGCAGTGAATTAGAATTTCGTAATTGCAGAACATACCCACGGCGGCGACGCCGACAGGCGACCTTTTGACTTCCTTCTTCTTGTAGCTGGTTTCGGGCTTGCCCATGCGCTTCTCGACGGTTTTGGCGTGCTTCTCATTCGCACGGCGTTGGGTCGGTGTTTGGGCCTGGTGACCCCGGGGAGGAGGGGGTTAATCAACATCTCTCTCGCTTTTGGCTTCTCAAGACCGACACGACGGGGATGAGTGGGTGAGTGAGTGAGTGAGTGAGTGAGTGTGTTACTGGGTGGTCATGTTCCCAACGTACCATTGTCAGTGTTGGTTAAGAGGGGTGATGTTGTTGTTGGATTATTTTTGACGTTGCGAAGAGAAAACACGCGAGACCAGCTGGTTTACAAAACGAGTTGTGCGAATGATTTCTTTTCGTCTGTAGATAGAAGTTTTGCTACACTCTCGTGTCGTTCGAGGTTTGAGAATATGAGGGCGAGCCTTTTTTTTGCTTTTTTGTTGGTGACGCTCGAGATCTGACGCTGATGCTGAGGCCCAGGAAAGCGGTGTCCAGGAGGAAAGTTGTGAAAACGGTAGGCAAGGAGGTAAGGAAGGTAGGTAGGTTGTCGGGTAACGTTCGAGAGAAGAAGACAAAAACAAAAGGACAGATATGTACGCGAGCCTCGAAGAAAGCGAAAAAAGGGTGACAGAGATGTTGACAGATGTTGTTGAAATTGTTCGCGGCACGACTGACGGAGGCCCCTTTCCTGACTGAGGACTTTGTAGCTGACACTATCGTGTGGTAGGTAAGTAAGGCAGACGAGACACACTCAACTCGGAGAGGCGACGTCGCCAAAACACGGGATTACGTGCTGATTAGATTAGATCCGACCTTTTCAACTCAGGGTCCTCCGCACATAACAACAAGCTTGACACGCACCATGCCCGCCCGCGTCCACCGGGACTTTTGTTGTCGGCGTCCTCGACCGGACCGGCGCCAGGCACTTCACCCAGAGTCGTTTCAACGACATTTTTCCCCTTCTTCTGGGCAACTGTAATATCCACCATGCTATACTTGCTCTCTCCAGGTGCTTGCTCCCCAGTGATGCTTTCAAAAGACTCACATTGCCGAAAGCTATCGTTGTCATCGAAAAATCAATGTTCTGTATCCTGTCTAATTGTCCAGACAGGGCTTGTCAACACATTACGTTACGTTACTTGCTTTAGTCAGGGGCACACTGTACCTACGCACTGTGCCGTCTATATGGTATTCTCAAAATTAATCTTCAATCGTGATTCCGATGCGCATCATCCCTTCGTATCTCGCCAGCTCAACCGTCGACTACAACGCCAACCTAGAAGTGCGGTGGGTCGACTCCTTGGTTGCCACTCAACCTCCCCCGACACCTGCCACTGCGCTCCCGAGGGCGTTATAATATTGTCGGAAAAGGTAGCAGTTCTTATCAATCACACCCGCGTCGATGGGTTTGTTCAGGACACCGCCAACTCCCAGATCAGCCACCCGGGGAACGCCTTCCCAGCCAGGACCGGCCGGAGGATTGCGTGCAAAAGTCGCCCACGCACTCTGCATGTACCGGCTGAGCGCCTTTTCGTCATCGGTCGCGTTGACCCGTGGATATGTCCCCCAGACGAGCGAGATTTCCGAGGAGTGGTATGCCCCCGACCCAGGGAAGAACTGAGTGTTTGCGAACGTGGCGTTGAAGTAGTAGCGCCACGTTGGGAAACCGGCAGCGCGGGAGTCATTGGCCAAGTTGCCCGCCGGACAGGTAAAGGCGAAGTCGGTGGTGATCGCGGCGAGTTGCTGTGCAGGTGGAAGAGGGTACGCCGCCAGAATCGCCTGGATCAGAGCGGTCTGGTTGCCCAGCACTGAGGCGAGATATGCAGTGGCGTTGCTCTGGCCGACGGTAAAGATCGTGCCTTCGTTGGCATTGGTTCCCGTCATGATCGGAACAGGCGCGATGCTCTTGTTCACCCTTGCTTCCTCGGGATAGCGGAGTAAGGTGACGTTGTCCGAGACAGGGCGGAATGGCAGAGCCATGTGCTCGATCGTGGACTTGATGACAGTGGCATTTGCATCTCGGAGACAGGTCAGATTCGAGTGGGGATGGGTCTGGGTGCAATTCAAGGCAGCAGCAAGTGCCAGCCACGACGTTGGCGCATTGGTTGGGTTGATGTAGAACGATGTTTGCCCAGATTCCATGATTGCTGCTCGAAAAGGAGGGTTCTTTGGTAGGCTCGTCACGAGCGCGTCCACGCTACAATGAGAGATACGGTCAGCGAGATGGACATGCAAATATTGTCTTGATAGCGCATACCTCGCCGCACCAGCACTCTCTCCAAAAATTGTCACCTTCTTAGGATTGCCACCAAACGCCGCAATGTTTCTTTGGATCCAGTCGAGGGCAAGACCTGGAAAGTCATTGAGTGTGAGCTGGAGATCGACAAAGGACTGTGTACTCTGGGCAGTTAGACTTACGCTGGTCCCAGAATCCCAGATTGCGCCGGGCTAAGGGCAGCTCGGGAGAGTTGGGAAAGCCAAACACTTGAAGCAACTAAGTCAGCTCCTGCTTGTACAGCAACCGACACACTCACCGTTTGTCCGATAATTGAGCGTCACGATAATGACATCCTGGTTCGCGGCGAATGATGTTCCATCGTAGTACGAAGCTGAGTTTGACCCGAATTGTAGGCTACCTCCCTGAGATAGAGTCAGCTGCATTCATCGCGTACAATGTTCAAACCTAGAACACGTACATATATCCATGCCATAACGGTCTTGTTTTTCCCTGGGGTCGCAGGGACATAGACATTTAGGTTGAGACAATCTTCGCTCTCGCCTGCTGGCGGAGGCGGAGTGTTGAACCATGACATTGTCAGATTGCGCGCCGCTTCGGGATAATTGAACTGTTGGATGCATGCTGGACCATACTTCGTAGCGTTGTAGGGTGATTTCCATGGCGTTGGCTTTACGGCGGGTGCAAATCGCGTTGGAGATGCCCCGAACGGGATTCCTAGGAACTTGTCGACCGTGACGGTGGCCCCAGCAAGAAGGGTCGTTGTGCCAACTACCGCTCCGGAATCTATCGTGACTGTTGGAGCGGCGAAGCTGGCTACACTGGCTGGCACCGCATCGACTACGATGCAGAAGGCGACAGCTGCCACCAAGAGGTGCAGCAACGCACACATCGTGTTGAAAAGGCAGCAAACAAAACGAACGACGGGCTGGCGACTGGCGACAATCGCGGGGTCGCTTTTTGGACATGGTCTTTTTTTGTAGCTTCACCTCTCTGTCCACTCTCTTCTCACTCCCCGGGGACAAATGCCCGTCCCGCACAGTGCGTCATGCTGGTGGTCCTCGGCTCTGCAGGAAAAGCAATAGCTCAAGCGATCAAATGGCCGATCAGCCTCGATGCGGAGAAGGTGTTGAGGACGGTGTATGTTCATGGGTGGAATATTTGGAGCTTGTTCGAGATGGTTCATATTTTTGAGCTTAGCATCGATGGGTAGTATTTGTGACCACAGGTCTGTACTTGTGCCTGATGGGGTAAGGTTGCGAGTGACCAGGCCAGGGGATCCATCCGCCCATCCCCAGAAATGCTTGTCATTCGTGGAGACATTGGTGTGAGAGGGTCGCATAGACCCAAATCCGGGGAAGCGCCACACACGGCTGGCATGATCAGTTCGAAGCCGAGGTCGACACGGACGAATCTCCCAAAGCAGGAAGGCTGTGGATATGGACGACACCAGTGTCGAACGGATGTTCAGATGATCCGTACAGCCAACGATTGATCCAATCACATCTTTTCTGACATCAAATGCTACCACGTCTGCCTCGGGTCGGATGGCATCACAACTGACATGTGATGCGGTCTTAAGCTGTCCTCGTACCTGAAGCTGTCGATGCAACATATGAGGTGCCTTGCATGGACAAAGGCCCATCTGAGCAAGCTCGAAAATCCTTGTTCTCATCGAGAAAGAATCGGGATCGCGAGAATTACGATTACCGTCACGCTCCTTGCAACTGCTGACCGACCGCAAGCAAGTCCCACAGCTTGCCCTTTCTGCGGATCAAGTCATAGTAGGGGCCTTCTTCGACCGCACTTCCGTTCTCCAAGACCACCACCTGGTCGGCAAAGGTCATCATTTCCATGGCATGGGTGATCACTATCGCCGTCATTGTGCCTTGCCTTTCTCGGATTAGACGTATAATGCTCGTTCTGATAGTGTCAGCGCTTTCGCGATCCAAGGCACTTGTCGCTTCGTCCAGGATCAGGATCTTGGGATCGCGGACTAATGCTCTAGCAATCACTATTCGTTGGGCCTGGCCTCCCGAAAGACCCTGCCGACCTTCACCGATAATAGTTGCGTAGCCTTGCGGTAGAGATTGAATGAATTCGTGGATTCCAGCGGATCCGGCCGCAGATTCAATGCATCTTGCTGATGCCAGGCTAGAGCCAGGTTCGAGCCCATAAATTATGTTTTCACGAACTGTAGCTGGAAGGAGAAATGGTGTCTGTGGTACAACGGCAATCAGTGATCGAAGAGTTGCCATCTCCAAGGTTCGTATATCAAACCCGAACAACGTCAACGCGACTGGCTCCCGCACATCGGGTGCGAGTGCTGTCTCTACAGTGACTGATTTATTTGCTGCGGGAGGATATAAGCCCAGTATCAAGGACGTAATTGTGGATTTCCCAGATCCCGAAGATCCAACTACTGCGGTACATTTTCCACTGGGGATGGTCAGGTTCAACCGCCGGAGAGCAGGGGTCTCCAGGCGGGTAGGGTAAAAGAAGGTCTGGTTTGTGAAACTGACTGCCACTCCAAGTTTATCCGACTTAGTCTTGTCCAGTTTTAACATTCCAGCATTCTCGTGGGAATGGACTGCCATTCTGGCGAGTTCGATGAGTCGAGTGGCGTGTTCCGTAGCTGAGCTGACACGTGGAACGTAAGCCATGACGGCGCTCGCGCTGGCGGTACTGAATAAGAGAAGGGAAAATACTGTCAGAATGTCCATTGCTGGCCATTCTCTGCTTTTGGCCAGATGTACACCATACCAAAAAAGCATTGGCGTGAAGAGGGTAATGACTGCTTCTGACAGACCATAGCAGGCCCCGGTGTAGATTGCGCGACGTACGCCAATGTCAAATGCTGCCTCTAGGGTTCGGGAATACTTCTCATGAAAGAAAGACTCAAGCGTCAAAGCCCTGACTGTCTTGATGTCGGAGAAAGTCTCGATGAAGACATCCAGAAGTCTTTCTACTGCTGAGTTCATTCGTGCGGACCACCGGAAGGATATCACGTCCAGAAGTTTCACAACCGCATAGATGACTGGCATACCTGCGAGGCTCACAAGAGCCATCTTCCAACATGTGACCAAAGACCATGAAAGTCCTACAGTCATCATGACCATGACGACAAGGACCTGAGGAGCAAAATGGTCCACAAGAACCCTGACCCCTTCAGCATTCCGGTCAAGTGAGGACACTAGAATCGAAGGATTGTTGGTCTCTTTGTCAAACCAACCCTTTGGCTGCTGCAAGATGCGTTTTACTGCCGCCCTTCGAAGCGTATCAACCCATGTCTGACTTACCGTGCCCAAGAGGTACTGCATAGAAGCACACGCAAGGCCGTCAATTACTGCCACTCCAATTATGGCAAGTGAATAGATCAGCACTTTTGTGTGATAGCCAGAATACATGCTGAATGTGCCGAACAGCTGTATGATGGCGTATGCGAATGCCGGTGGAGATCCCGCATGGATGAGAGCTGCCATGAAACCTAGAATAAGCTTGACCCGAGTGGTCGCATTCAGAAATGGCCACACCCTCTGCAGGATTTTGAGTGTTGAGTCTCGAGCAGGCTTTTCACCATCAATAGTTTTCGAGCCAATCACACTATTATCTTCTGATGTAGTGTTTGGGAGTTCAATTGCAGAAGTTCCGACTGCTAACGTGTCATTGCAGGGCGGATTGGCTGCAGAATAGTCAGATAGATTTGTAATGCAGTCACCTGCAACCACGTTCGGGAGACCAGTAACTTTGTCGACAGTGACTGGTACTATTTCTGCAGAATACATGGCTCGAGCACGGCTTAGGGACTGCCGCTTCAGTTTCTGAAATGCTGGATCAGTGCGTAAAGTTAACACCGTCGAGAAACTGCCTCTGCTGTGGTCTGACTGGCGGACTACCCTTCGTATGCCTAGATTTGATGAAGGTTGTTTCTGTGATGTTCGACGGATAGAATCCAACCCCCTGATGGAAATACTTGCCGTCGATCTCCCAGCCTTGCTTCGGTATAAATACGGCTGCGTGTGCTGACTAGACCCGTCCAGATGCAGCTTATGTTGTAAATCTCCAAGGGTGCTGAGACTTCCGCGATGGATGACTCGACCTGCATCCATCACGTATACTAGGTCTCCTTGACGTATCTGGGTCAAGTCATGGGTGACGATGATTGTTGTCCTACCCCTTCGCCAATGACGAATTGACTCCATCACAGCATTTCTGTTGTGGGTATCAAGGGCGCTTGTCGCTTCATCGAGGATTAAGACCGGGGTGTCCCGAAGTCTGGCACGAGCAATTGCAACACGCTGCCTCTGTCCGCCAGACAATGTGGAACCTCTAGATCCGATCATGGTCGCAAGACCGTGGGGAAGATTCGATATCATGCCATCCAGAGACGCCACCGACGAACATATCTCAACTTGGGAGAGCGTGACCCGGGAAGGGTCTTGGCTGCCAAGTGCAATGTTTGTGAATATTGTCTCGTTGAAAAGTACGCTCTGCTGCTGAACCAATGTAATGTTATTTCTGAGCCATGTTCTGTTCAGATCTGAAATATCAACGCCGTCAATGGTGACGGTGCCACTTCTGGCAAGATAGAAGCGCATGAGCAAATTGCCGACAGTACTTTTGCCGCAGCCACTTTTGCCCACAAGGAAAGTAATCTGCCCAGCAGGAAAACAGATGTCGCAATCTCGGAGCACCAATTCTGTGGGCCTGGAAGGATATGCGAAAGATACCTTTGTGGGGTCAGCACCTCTTCACCTTTTGGATCGTGTTGACCTACTCCGCGCATGGCAATCGCACCATCACAGAATCTTGGTGAACACCCGGCACTTTTCTCCTGCTGTAGTTTCCCATTTTTAATGTAGTGCAATATTGCCGCGAGAGACTGTGCTGATCTCCTACCTTCCAGAAGCAGGAAACTTTGAGGAAGAATGTCCTCGAATGCTTTGGCGGCAAGCAGGCATGACCAAAATGTTGTGACCACTTCGCCAGGGCTGATTGTTCCGGCATGAACTTGTGTTCCCCCATACCAAAGACCTAGACACTTGTCAGATGCCTTAAGCCAAGACGAAAATTGCGTCGAGCATACTAGCCTTGAACAAAAATGATTGTAGTTGCAAATCGGACGAAGCCACTTTGCAACCCTTTGAAGATGCATAATGTGTGGGAATTCCTAGCAGCTTCTTCAATTGCCATGACGTATTTGCGCCTTTCATGAACTTCAGCGTTGAAGCACTTGACCATCACAATGTTCGAAATGAAGTGATTCGCAGCCTTCATCGCTTGATCCAGACTGGTGTTCTGACGATCAATGTACTTTTGCCCTCGACGAGATATCAAGGAAACCCCGACCAGAATGACTGGTAAGGTGGATAGTACCACCAAGGTCAACTTCCAGTTCGTACCCAACGCAAGGCCAAGCGACGACAAAGCCTGGACAAGTGCCAGAATCGAAAGACCCAATGGTTGTGAATTCGCAAGGTGCATTTCTTGGATTTGCCTATGAGAGTCAGGGTGAGCCCTCCAAACCAAAGAAAAGGTTCATACGAGTGCGTCCTCTCAAGCAGCGCTGCCATGCCGACAATTTGGCCATCGAACCATTCAATGTCCCGGTTCAACAATGCCTGAAAAACCACAAGGCGAGCAGACTTCGCTTGGAGCTCGCCGAAGCCAACCCAGCACACGAAAACGCCACCTTTCAAAAGAAGGGTACACAGCCCTATGGCGAGCAAGGCATATATGCTTCTTGAAGTGTTTCTAGTGAAGGTAGACTCATCAATGACGTTCGAAGCAAAATCTGAAAAGGCGTTGAAGAATCTGCCAAGATATATGGCCATAGCGGGTTGCAATAGGCCTGCTACCGCCGAAATGAGGATGCCGGCAATTAGAACTGGCAGATGAGAAGCTCTCAAGAAGGAAAAGATACCGCCCGGCTTCTCCTCCTCCTCGTCATCGTGTTGCCAAGGAGGAGGATGCTCGTTATGAGGTCCATCGTCACTCATATCGTGCGTACGAGGCGGCGGACGCTCAGTTAGGGCTCAACGAAACTGCAGGAAATCTACGACACCAGTAAAAACGCAAACCGAGGGGTTCTGAATCTGCATTGCATTTGGGCTTCGTAGTCTCGATTATCATTGCAAATGGCAGTATTTGCACGCCAAGGCCGACGGGGCTGCTTGATATTGTTCTTCAGGAATGCTGTCGCACCATTTAGAACTTCCGGCTGGTCCCAAATTCTCTCTCCTCGAAGACGTTGGCTCGTTTTGAGGGGCTTGGAATCCGTGTGATCTTGTTGAAGTCCTCCTTCGCCGAGGATTGAGAGGGAGGGGACATCTCTGCGACGCGACTGCGTCGTGATTGGCCATGCTATTTCATAACCATTTCTGTTGAAAGTGTTCTGAGACTCTCGCGGCAGCCTTCACGATTTGTTGCCTGCATCTTTCTGGGCACTCTCATATATCCAGTCGTTGAGTCCAGCTCGGTTTCTTGCAATCTCAATGGCGTAGAATTGCATTCGGACGGCAAAGATGGTCTCCTTTTCTCCGTACTCTGTCTTGGGGCTTTTTCTTAACATGGTGCCGAAGTTGAAGTCGTCAATCTTGTTGTCGCCCTTCTCATAGGCCATAGCAAACTTGCGCCACCTCTCTTTACCCTCTTTGCTCTTCATCTTATCCTCGTCGATCTCCTCAGCTGGATCAAACTCGGGGAATTCACTTTTGAAATGCTCCAAAATCTGGTCATCAAGCCGCGTGAGCCGGAGTTTTGAACCAGGAATCTTCTCCAATAGACTCCAGTACACCGTCATTTGTTGAACAGCCTTGACGGCGAATTGCTTCTCCATGTCCTCATAATTTGGGGCATTTTCGGCATCAATGTAGTTATTGAGCGCCATCTTGATGGGATATTCTGACCCTGATCGCTGCGCAGTCCTGACTGTACCGAACGCTGAGTAGATTTGACAATGTGGTAGAGAATGTGTCCTTTTGACAAAGCTGATGCAATGTAAAGAATTCGCCTCAGTCTAAGATTAATGATATTCGAAGTTACGACGAAGTTCCGGAAAATTCATCGGGCCTCAAGAAGTGGCTTGGCCGCGTCACGTGGACATGAATCGTGTATGTCCTTTCTGACCGTGGCACAGCACCATTAACCAGAAATGACCCAATAGGCGTCAACTTCCCCTAAAACGAACCCCTCATAGGGCGCCATTTTAACTAGAATGAACCCTCTTAACTATTATTTTTCACCCTGCTCGTTCTCCCCTCCACAGTCCTTGCCTAGTCACTATCTGTCTCAGTCTTAACTGTCTCTTCACTGGCTCTCTATAGCTTGCTTCTCTCTCAAACATGCTAGATATTTGTTGATAGTCTGATATCTCAAGCGGATAACGAGAAATAGTGGTTGCAAGGCCGTTTGGCGAGGTATGCTTAGCATCAAAATCGCTGCAATCGCTGCAATATCAAGGTTGTACAGAGCACGGTAATCTAGAGTCTAAAGAATAAGAAATATAGCGCTTCAATGGGAATCCTCACAAGAGAAGAGACAGATAGACAAATAAGTTATGACAATATGAGTATTGAGATTGGGGCCGTCGTGATTAGAGAGATTAAGCCTTAGGAAGGTTCTTAAAATTTGGGTGCCAGTCTGTTCTTCAGGCCAGCTTACAGTAGGGACAGTAAAATCATGCCCGAACAATAGAGGTTACCCGAATGGGTGCGTGTTAACGAGTCGGGGTTGCCTTTTAGCCCTTACCCGAAAGCCTCCGGCTCCAGGCGAATCATACTGCACCTGATTCGCAGTCTCGACACCGACGCCGTGAATAAATCCTCACATGCGCGCGACACAATCTGCATACAGCACATGTGAAAAGAGACAGCGAGAGGCTGCCGAACTCGCGCCTGGGATCAGGACACACTCCGTCTTCCGTACTGTGCTCTTACACGTTGCTCCCACCGTCTCCACCACCAAGGACTCCCTCACCCTGCGTTTACTGAACCTCTTCCTCGTTACCCCAACCATTCAGTCATGATCGCAACAGTTGAGCTCATTTTCTACGCGCCTCTTTGATACCTGACCTGAATCAGCTGTGCTCTTCCAGGCTACATCGACCACAGAGCAAGGCGAGTCGAGCTTAGAGACAGAAAGAGTATCGCCCACTGCTCGTTACACAAGTCCTACTCCAAAACTGCACCTGCGCTCTCGTCGCCAGCAAAGTCGACCTCAGCCCGCCATGGAGATGCCACAAGTCTACCGTCCTATACCCCGAAGAACGTTTGAAATCCCTTCAACCTCGACGGACTCGTCAATGCCCCCGTCTCCAGCTAGTGAGGGCGTGAACGGCGAGCTTCCCTCTGGGTCAAAGTCCGATTCCACACCCGGCCGGACTCGATCTATCCTCAATCTCACCTCTTCCACGCTGCTAGGCATTTACTCACCCATATCGGATGGGAACAGGGAGGACCTATCAACACCGTGGGGCACAGGAGCTCAAACACCCAGCAAGAGACAGAGCATTGATGACAGTCTTCATCGAAAACCCGAAGTGACTTGGCAACAAGATGGCAGTGGCCCTCGTCTAAAACCAAAACCGAAACGAAGAGGCTTTCCGGCCCTCGTTCTTCAGACAGCGTTACTATTCACGTTCGGCCTCGGGTATGGCTCCATTGTCACACATCTACATAAGACCCGACGTATCACACCGGTGCCTGTACCAGACGTCGAGCAACATTCAGTGTGGTACCTGATTTCCTGGGGTATCTTTGGCATACTACTGGGAAACGCGCTGCCGTTACTGGACGCAGTTTGGGAGGGCTCTGGTGCCCACGGTACAACCAAAAATCAGGGCACCTCGAATACGAAATCAGCTACTGTTGGCTCGGACGAAACAGATGCTTCGGACGGTGGGCTTGGGCCAATGTGGTATTCTGCTGTAAGAAGCATCGGGGTCTTCGTAGGTATTGCCTTTGCAGTAGTAAGCTTACCCACACCTCCAATCGCTAATCTCGACTGACTACAACACAGAGACGTCTCCCGTGGCAATCCACCTTGCAAGTAGCGTTGACTTTGGCTCTTGCCAACCCTTTCCTGTGGTACTTGCTTGACCGATCACTGCCCGGGTTTGCTTTTTCCGCGATTGTTAGCGTTGCTGGCACTCTGGTTCTATTGCTGGTTGATCCAAATTTTGTCCCCGTCCCCGCGATCCACCAGCAGGTGGTGTCTGACCAATTCGGCGTATATACTTGGTTGGCGAGCATCTTGTTCTGTACAAGCATCTGCTTTGGAGCGATCGGCAGAAGGTTACAACTGTAAAGAGCGCAGACTGCGTAGCGAGGTTGCGGTCCACATCTCCTACGAATGGATAGGAGGGCTTAAAAGGCAGGATTAACTCCTCCCCTCTCAGGATGCTCTAGATATGCCTTGTAGAGAATGCCAGGCCACGAGGCTGGAGGTGCTTTCTTCGGATTCCGCACAGCCTGTGCGACGACGGCATCGCCAAGTATCATCTCAATGTCAAGCCGTGGTAATTTGGACTCGATCTCCTCTGCAAATGATACGGCGCCCAACTCTTGTCGCGTTGGAGGCCGGAAATCTATTAGGACACCGAGTCTGACAAGCCTCGATAACGGAGCGATGCGTTCAGCTATTCCCGCAGACGTATGTAGCGCTACAGCTGTCCAGACCTCATGAGCATCTTGCTCGGAGTTGTGATGCTTCCGAAGGAGGTCCGCCGCGACGTCCGCACCCTCAACCTCGAAACGCTGTGGACCGTCGTGTAGATGGGACGCACCAAAATCGTGGCAGATGCATGCCACAAACAGAGCATCGGTGTCCGCCCACCAACTCTGCTCCTTTCGGGCCAACCAATTGGCAAACAGAAACACCCTCATGCTGTGGTGGATTATGGGCAGCGGCAGAGCAGTCATCATGAGATCGAATGCATCGGCACACATTGCGGATCCCCGGGGAACGTAGACTCGCAACGCATCTCGAACAGCTGGGTCAACAGTGTTTGAGGATGATCCGGTTTCACCAGCACCGGCTCTGGCGGATTCAAGACACATGGTTGGATGGCAAGTGCTTCAAGAGTGTGGCACATTCGTGTATACTGACGTTAACGGGGTGATGATGTTGGCGCCGTCGTTCAAAATCTTGTATGCGGCAGAGCTTCTGACCTTGTGCATGAACACCCTCTCAACGCGCTACGGATGATCACGTCGCGTTGTTCAGTTAAAGAATGCGGTCGTAAGATAGGTGCAGCTGATTCGTGTGAGACCCCTGAATCCTGGCAGGGATGGTCGAATTTGGCCCGTGATAGGCGTTCGCGACTGTGCATGACTAGGCGGATCCAGGAAAAGTGTGCACGGGTAAACACCACTAGAGGCACGGAGGCTATAAAAAAAATATACCACAACCTGAAAACTGGATCCAAGCGCCAGAGCGACTAGCATCATCCCTAACAGCGCCCTTGTCGCTTCACACCCTCTTCTGCCCTTGCAATATACCCCTCTGTTCATAAAGGCCTCCTGACTTCATTCGACGCCTCACTTTGCGAAGGTGCTTGATCCGGCGTCTTGTGCCACCCGGCTTGTTGCTACCCAACCAGTTCGCTATTTTACTCACGGCCCGCGAATACAAGCACACGCCCGCTCGAAAGAATCGCCAGTCACAAACAGCCACGAGATGGTCTCCTTCCAGTGTGAGGGATGCGGAGACACGCTGACCAAGAAGAAACTCGACGGCCACCGCAACCAATGTCGGGGGGCAATGTTTACGTGCATCGACTGCATGACGACTTTTCAAGGCACGAGTTATAGGGCGCATACGGTAGGCGACGGTTCAAACCATAACCTGTGAATGCAATGAACCTGTTCAATCTGACTGCGCCATAGTCGTGCATTTCCGAAGACCAAAAGTACCAGGGCGCATTGTACCGCGAAAAGCCCTCGAAAGCGGCCAAAAGAAAATCAGTGTCGATTGTCGAGCCCGACCAGAGCAAGGCGTTGGTCCCGCGCACAGCATACGTTGAAGACGCGCCCGATGTCGAGACCCCTCCCCATGTTCCTACCCCTCCACCAGCAGTGCCGGACTCAAATGGCGACAGCGTCTTCGACTACATGGTGGATAGCAGTACGGCAGGAACACCACAGATCAGCTTCGCGAGAGACAAGGGCGAAATGTCGATGAAAAGCAGCGCGCCCTCGATCTTCACCAACAGTCGGCCTTCGAGTCAGAATGGTCATAGAGACGAAGCGGGCCTTCACAGTCAAGAGTACGAGGAGCACGGATACACATGGGGAGCAGAGCCGGTCAAGCCGCGCGGAGCGTTGAACATGAACGGCAGTGCTCTGTCACTGGAATTCATGACTCCTGCCGCCAAACAAACAAAGACACGACTGGACAAGGATCGGCCTCGAGCACACAGCCGGACTGAGAGTGGCGAGAAGAAACGCAAGCGGGCAACAGACGACCAACACCACGACTTGGATCGAGATACTCTGGTCGTGGACACTTCCAGAACAGATACTCCTGGGATCGTGCACTCTGGACTCACGGGCGGTTTGAGTCGCATGATCACCGAGGACGAATATCCATTCCATCGAGAGTCAGATACGGTCGACAGGAGGTCAGCGGTGGAGAAGGACCGCCACAGTCGACGCGCTCACAAGCCGGAAGACCCCACGTCGCCCTTGAAGCGCACTCGACATACCAAAGAAGACACGAACGGCCTAGGTATCTCGATCAAAGGACGAGCTGTCAAGGCGCTCTCTATGGTCGGCGGTGCGCTGCTTCCCGGAAGCCAATTCGAGGCTCAACAAGCCAACACTCGTGTACGGCGAAGAGCAAGCTCTTCGGATCACGGTCAAAGCCTGACCCGAGTCCGTGAGGGAGAGAAGCGTGAGAGGAAGAAACACAAGGTTCATCGGCACAATGGCACAGCGTCCGCGAACATTCGCCACGAGCACCGATCTCGGCGCCGCGGGAACAGTGATGATTCGTCACCGAATGAAGCCACCACGAGGAAACTCAAGGCCATTGAGTATCGCAGACACGATGACTCAGCTTCAGACTCAGAGGACGGCGGCAGGCGGCGAGGCAGCGACAAAGCTATGGTCGTTTTTGGTGAAGAGCAGAGGATGAGGCATTCCTGTCAGGATTTCCTTGCCAATGCTCCGGGCTTGGAGTCGGACAAGGGCTACTCGATCCATAAGATGCTCAAACGGTGGCACAAACAGAACGATGTGAGGAGCGGATCCGCCAAAGCAGATGAGGAAAGTGAGTTGTGGAGGGCGTTACGCATCAAGAGAAACGAAAAGGGCGAGTATGTTCTCGTGTTCTGATGGGAATGCCGTTCATGAGGATGGAGGCCGTCAGTGACAGTGGCATTTGCTTTCAGTTGAAGGATTCTCTTCTTCTTCTCGGCTTTCGTGTTTTTTTTAGGTTTGATATACCATGAGCGTTTTGCACCGCGCTGGTTCCTTTGGACAATTGGATCTTCTATGGCCGTCAGCAGGCTTGTCAATGGGGCTAATACATGTACAAGTTAAACTTGGGACGGGCAGGTGTAGAACACATGGAAGTAATTGTCACGGAAGGATTGGCATCTCGACTGGGGACAGGCAGCATTTTCTACGGCACTTTTGCAATGGCGAGGTAGAACTATTTTTGAAGGTGCGTCCATTGATAGAATGGTTTCTTATGCTGTTGATACGGGACGCTTTATACAATGTTCAAACCTGTATTTATCCCGCTGCATCCCGAAAACCAAAGTACAGCACGGTACCCCAGTGGGATGGACGATGAGGTAGTCGAGATGCTGAGTTGTCGGCTAAGCTAACTTTTTTTTGCGGTGGGTGATGGACGCCAATTGGACTTTTGAAGGATGTCAATATGCATCGTTCAGGAGGCCTCGGGGTAAATGTCGTACTGATGCTCCGTAGAATCGACTGGAAACTCATTCAGCGTCGTCTGTCTGTACGCGTACGAGACCCGGAAATGAGAAACACGCAAGGTACTTCCTCCTGCTCAGTGGTCCCGTACTGTAAGAGGAAAGGAGCAAGGGTATCGAATCTGTACCTGGAAGCTGAAACAGCCCGCGAGCACGTTATCTGCGTCGGCGCTCGCGTGGGATAGAGGGACTATGGAAGAGCAAAAAGCAGCTGGCTGAAACAGATTGGCCCGGTGAGTGGACTGACTTATGCAGCGGCTGGAATTGTGGTGCCGTCTGACGCATGCAGACGGCGTCATCCTGGCGACTGACAGTGACAAGTCGACTTCAAAAGGTCAAACAATGGGGAATGAAAAACTCGATCTGCACAAACTGACACTTTGAACGCGGTCTTCAACGAGGACGCCTCATCTTGATTGAGCTCAGTGTCTCGGTTGAGTCGGCGAGAATATTTCAATGTTGAGAGGAAACATGCAGCCTACCTGAACTGGATGAATTATTGTCAGACATGCCTTATCTTAGATATGAATCTACGATGGGATATGTACGTACGGAGTAGTTGGGGCCCGGAGCTGGGAACAGTGGCTTGTGTGGCTTTTTGTTTGTGGAAAGCCCGAGAACTCTGGAGTGAGAAAAAGGTACAGGTATCCGTCAGGTTACCGGTAGGTACAGTACGTTTGAGGCGTACCAGGCTCGAGCTGAGCCTGCAAGGGGATCTACCGAGTCGGTACGGGAGGGAGACACTACCTAAAGTTTAGATAGCTTGGGCACCTGGGCGTAGGCAAGGGAGGCCTAATGGGGAATCCCTCCGAGGGCCGGCCCTGGAACAATTCATATGCGGCAGCCCACCAGCCCGCCAGTCCACCCGTCTCTCCATCCTCGCACCCTGCAGCTCAGGCCTTGTCCTCACTACTAATAACGAGTTAGTGAACCCTCTGTGTGCCACCGAATCCCGGTGCCTGGCTTGGCCCAGCGATTCCTCTCTCCCTTCGTTTCCTCGTAAGCTGACCTCCTCCCTCGACCACGATCTCTCTCTTAATTATACCCAACCGACATACAGAACTTGATTGTTTCCTTTCATCGGCATCCTCCCCCATCCTCCCATTCTCGGTCTCGCCATGACTACATAGCCATAAAGTTCTCTGGATATCCCACGTCCCTCATCATGGCTGAACCTCCGCCTCGGCCCCCAGGAGGCCGACGCGGAGGACCCAAGACAATGCTCACCTGGGCCCTTTTCCTCCTGCTCATTGCTGCTGCTCACCCTCAGTCGATCCACCAGCCCGAGTCCATCCAGCGTCTGGTGGCTTCCACCCAGAGTGTCCGCACCGAGCCAAGTCGACGTCCTCAAGCTGGCCGCAGCCCAGCAGAAATCCCTCTTCTGAAGAACGACATCACCACGGTCAAGTTCAGAAGCACCGATGAAAACCCTCAACAAGCACCAAAACTCCGTGCCTTGGCTCCAGCCTACGATAGCAGTAGTGCTGTTCGAGCACCTCTTGTTCAGTCTGCCGAGTCGTCCAGACTCTCAGCGCTCCCTTCAGCGCGGCTCCTGCAAGATTGGGAGGTGGAGAATATTGTCCTTCTGGCCACCATCGACGGCACCATACACGCCCTCGACAGGAGAACTGGCGCAGAAAGATGGTCGTTGGGAATCCCCGACAGTCCCATGATCGAGACTATTCACCACAAGTTGAACCGAAGTGACCTGGAAAGCGATCCCTCTATGGAAGATGACTACATGTTTATCGTGGAACCGAGCAAGGACGGGAATTTATACATTCAACATCGAGACCCCAGAATAGGCCTACAGCGATTGGGCGTCACGGTTCGATCCCTCGCCGAGTCCACACCTCAATTTGTTGAAGATCCTCCCCTCGTGACGATATCATCTCAAGAAACTACTGCATATGTGGTAGATGCTGCCACAGGCAATATCCTCCAACAGTTTGATCGCTATCGTGGCTTCTCAAGTGAAGATCAAGGTCGGAGTTGTCGACGCTTGACCGGCCTGTTCGACCTAGACGATCCTGCCTGCGAGCCACTCGGCACTCTAAATCTCGGCCGTGTCGAGTACACCATTCAGATTTCCCACAAGGTCACGAATCAAGCTCTATGCACCATCAAGTTTGCTGAATGGATACCCAACAAAGGTGACAGTGATCTCCAAGATCAATATGTTGCACCTCTCGATAACAACCATATTCAGAGTCTGTATAACGGCCGTGTCATCGGCCTCGATGGAGACAAAGACTCTCGCAAGTATACAACCTTTTCTCAACGGTTGGACACGCCTGTGGCTCGAGTGTTCGATGTCGTTCGTCCACAAGACCACAAGCAGGGCACACCAAATCTAGTCCTACTAGCACGGCCCACCGACTCACCACTTCTTGATTCGCCTGAGGTTTGGCGAAATGAGCTGCAGCGAGCCGAAAGGGTTTTTGTCAATCGTACAGAGGCTGGGATTTGGTATGCCATGTCGGAGCTGTCATACCCTGGTGTGACCAACGGTGCAGCACCTGCAAGTGCACACTGGAACTATGACAATCGGCCTCTGGATTTCTCCGGTGACATGGAAGAGCTCATCGGTGTACATGTTCTATCGACTCAGGAGAATGTCGCCCCGTTGCGGCTGACCATATCCGGCCCACCGCCGTCATCCGATTTGGTGGAGGATGGAGAAAGAGCAGTAGCATCCATGGATGCAAAGCTTCCTCCGTCTCTCCTACCTGTGATCAGCAGTCCCTGGTTGTCTGTGTTCAATATCGTCGTTGCCTGTCTGATCGTCTTCATTGTAGGACTGCAGATCAAGCATCCCATGATGATCAAGGTGCAAGGCTTTCTTCGCAAGGCTGGTGTTGAAATTGCACTCGAGAAGTCTCGGGCAAATGTCTCGGCTTCTACTGCTGATGCACCTGTAATCGAAGAATTGCCAGTTGCAGATGCTTCTCAAAGGCCTACGTCCGCAGATGAGATTTCAGACCTCATGGACGAAGCTATCGCGACACCCGCAAGAAGCAGAGCCCAGAGTGTTGCGGTTACGTTTGCGACTCCTGCCAAGACTGTGAGGCTTGCGGAAATCAACAATGAAGAGAGCTCTGAAGGTGAATCAGACGAAGAGAAGAACAAACCCGACTCGAACTCGAATGATCCTGCTGATTCTGGGGCGCAACCTCGTCGTAGACATGCTAAGCGTGGGAAGCGAGGTGGAAAGAAGAACAAGAAAACGCCCAAGAAGACCATGGACCCAGAAGCGATGGATGAGAAGGTTGAACTGGCTACAGAAATTCCCACCAAGGATGGTCTGATACAAGTCGGCAAGCTGAAGATCGACACTAAGGAGGAGCGTTGCTTGGGCCGTGGAAGCAACGGAACAGCTGTCTTCCCAGGCTCACTCGATGGCCGGGAAGTTGCCGTCAAGCGTCTTATCCGCACGTCGAACAGCCTTGCTGCCAAAGAGATCAAACATCTCCTCTCAAGTGACGAGAACCCCCATGTCATTCGCTATTTTGGCAAGGAAGAGTCTCAGCACTTCACCTATATTGCACTTGAGCTTTTCACCACTTCTTTGGATCAGTTTATCGAACGGCCATTACAATACCCCAGTTTGGTGAAATTTCCGGAAGGGTTTGACGTCAAGGACTGCCTGCGTCAAATCACCGACGGCGTCCAACATCTTCATTCACTCAAGCTCGTTCACAGGGACATCAAGCCTCAAAACGTTCTTGTCAAGGCTGTGAAGAGTCAGCGCCCTGTAACGGGTCTGCCAAAGCTACAATTCGTCATATCTGACTTTGGACTGTGCAAGCCATTGGAGGAAGGACCAGAATCGACGTTTGCTCCGACGGCAAACCACACAGCTGCCGGAACCACGGGTTGGAGGGCCCCAGAACTACTTGTGCACTCTCGAGCTTCTGTTGCCGCACCTAACCCCAACTCGACGACTTCAAAGTCGACAATACATTCAAGCGACGGCGCCGTCGTTGACCTTCCCACTGGCCGTCGTGCCACCAAAGCCATTGACATTTTTTCGCTGGGCTGCGTCTTTTACTATGTCATGACCCAAGGCCACCACCCATTCGACGTCGGCGGGACCAGTCTCGGTCGGGATCTCAACATCAAGGAGAACAAGTTCAGCACCGACGACCTGCGTCTGCACGAGTATCAATTTGAAGCCGATGACCTGATCATGCAGATGCTCAAGCACGACCCGAAGCAGCGTCCTGACACGCACGAGATCCTCCGCCATCCTTACTTCTGGGACGTGGCCGACAAGCTGGAGTTTCTCTGTGATGTGTCGGACTGTTTCGAGCGTGAAAAGAACTCGATCAACAACATCTTTGACGAAACTGCGGTCCGCACTCCCGAAGAGAAGGAGTCGCTCGCCGAACTTGCGAGCCTCGAAGAGCTAGCTCCGAATGTCATCGGCCCGTCCAGGGACTTTCTCCGTGCCTTGCCCAAGAGTTTCATCAACGAAATGGGCAAGCAGAGGAAATACACCGGGTCCAAGATGATTGACCTCTTGAGGGTCATCCGGAACAAGAAGAACCATTTCCACGACCTTCCGGACGATGTCAAGGAGCAGATGCTCGGCGGAAGCGCGAAAGGGTACTACGAGTTCTGGGCCAAGCGATTTCCAAGTCTCTTGATCAATTGTCATTGTCTGTTGTTGGATCGCGGTCTTGTGGGGAGGTTCAAGATGGACAGGTATTTTGAGGACATGTAGATGGATAGGTATTAATTGGGAATGAGGTATGGGGAGAAATAGAAGCTCCATTTTCTTCATCTAACGTCTACCCTGTTTGAACAAGCTCACCGCAAGACTCCACGACGGAATACTCTGCAACGAGTCTACTGTAGAATGAGAAATCATCTACCCTGTACCCTGTTCTCTGTATTCCCTCTGCGCGCTAAACATGTCGACAACTGGCTGGTTGGTATCCGTACAAAAAATATTCGTACTGGTGTGCCCTGGAGTAGGTGTTCGAGGCTCTCAAATGCTGTTTATTCTATCCACCTTAGCCTTGTGGGGGATTTCTTTCATCTAGGTTCATCGCGTAGTCATACATTTGACTCAAATCTACTACCGTGGATGAATTACAAGGTTTTGAGGAACTTGCTAGGTAGTCATTGTATTTATCGTATGGTTCATTGTGACACCCAGATCGTCAAACTCATCAACGTGACCGGTCACTCTCACACTCAGATTTCCTTTCCTGTCACTTCTTTTCCTTGCAAGGCCTCTTTCTCCAGGCTTCCCACAGGGCATGCCTTGGCAGTCATCTCCGCTTCAATTCCTGGAGTGATAAATCATCCCAAAACAAGTCTCGAAGCCTGTGCTTTTCTTCATCTTATTGTACTCGTAGTAAATTATCATTTGTTGTGCACGTCCTAAGAAACAAGTCCGAGCACGCAAACATCGGCCCGCCGCACTGTCGATCTCCGCCCATCAGATCGTAAGGAGATTTATTTCACCGCGATTCGGGATCGCAATCTATCATTGGGTATGATGGAAACCACGGACCATGCGGTATGTTGTGCTGGCCGTTGCGCCGACTTCCTTGTAGACCAACGGCGATGGTCACGAGCAGAAAAGCACACGGGTCCTCCATGTGAGCAATTATGTTGCTGCACCTTTTGATTGGCCTTGGCAAAACAACACAATTGACGTGACTGTGATTTGAAACGCTCAAGGGAACTCAAGGTACACCGTACCTCTGACCTAAGGCCAGAACCCATCGATAATTTGCGAGGCATGTAATTTCTTACATGCGCTCTCTCCTTCTTGGCGCCGCTCGGATAATGTTGTCCACTCTCAGGAGCAGCTCAGCGGCTTCACTCGCCGAGCTCACCACAGCTTTCTTCAATTTGTAGCTTTCGATGACACCTAGATCACGCATATCTGCGATGCCTCCCCCGGGCGTCAGGAGATCGAGACCACTGCTCGTCATGCCACGATAGACTTCACTGCGCAGTTCCGACACAAGTGCAGATGAATCCAAACCGGCATTGTCGGCCAGGATGGTGGGGAGTTGTCTCAATGCAGTAGCAAAAGAGTCGATGGCGATGCGTTTCTTACCGCCGACCTTTTGTGCGAGTGCATCAACTGCTTTGGCCATGACCATTTCAGCACAGCCGCCACCCAGTGTGACGCGTGGTTCCCTGACGGTCTGGGAGAGAACGGCCAGGGCATCGTGGAGACTTCGCTCTGCCTCGTCGAGAAGTTGCTCAGTTGCCCCGCGGAGGACGATCGTGCATGCTTGGCCAGCCGCAACGCCCGAAAACTTGATGAGTGTATCTTCGCCAATGATGACTTCCTCGATGAGATCGCAATGTCCTAATTTGACTTGGTCCGGGTGGTCGAATGTGCTTGCGATCTCACCTCCTGTGACTAGAGCTAGACGTTCGACGCCGTCAAAGTCTGCGTGCTCGATGGACATGATTCCGGCCTCGGTGAAGAGCTGCTCGGGCCAGTTGTAGATGAGCTGTCGGTTGATGAAGCAGTTGATTCCGTGCGCCTTGATACGTTCGACCTTGGCCTTCATCTTGTCACGTTCGGCCTTTTCTAGCTCAGCGAGTTCCTTCGGAGATCCGACCTTCATTCGCGAAGCCCAAATCTTGACCTTGTCTGTATCCATGGCAGTGTTGGCGACGAGGATTTTGGCGTTCTCAAGACGTTTCGGTTGGTTCACACCCATTTTCTTGTCCAAAATGAATCCCTCGTCGAGGTAGCTGTCTGAAAGCTTACCTCCGGCCTTTTTGATAATCTGAATATGATTTAGGTCTGTCGAACCTTTGAGCCGGAGCACAGCGTCGCATGCTAGGCTGGCAAATTTATCCCGATCTTGAGAAAGTACTTTGGAAGATAATGTTGTGCGTGCAATGGATTGGAGGTCTCGGCGGAAAGCGTCAGGGTTCTTGGAATTGTCTACGGCAGACTTTTCAAGGGCTGAAAGGGCAGCTTGGGATGCAAGACGGTAGCCGTCGATGATGGTCTGTGGGTGAATATGGTGAGCTACAAGTTGTTCTGCTTCTCGGAGGAGTTCGGCGGCAAGAACAGTGACGGAAGTGGTACCGTCACCAACCTCGTCGTCCTGGACTTTGGAGATATTGACGAGGACTTTTGCGGCGGCGTTATCGAGAGCGATAGATTTCAGAATGGTTGCTCCATCGTTTGTCACCATGATCTCGCCTGTCGAGGCGCTCTGGAGAATCTTGTCCATGCCTTTGGGGCCTAGTGTAGATTTGACCAGGTCGCCCACTGCAATGGCACCAACAAAGGCAGAGAGGCGGGCATTTTCGCCCTTCTCTTCTTGCACGTCCTCGGCGAAGATTTGTGTTGGATTCGCCATTGTGTGGTATTGTCAGTGGTGTAGGGACGGGGGCTTCTAAGCGTGGTGCAGGCAAGCGTGCTTTGGACAGCCTGCTCCAAATTTTTGATATCACACTGCGGAGGGGGCTGAGTGGTAGAGAATCGCAAAGAAGCAGGTGCGCCGGAAATCACGTGAGGACTCGCATGCCACCGTTGAAGCCTCAATGGCCCAAATAGCTGGGAATCTCACCAGCCGCACCGGCCACACCAGCCACAACAAAGCCTGGAGGCTCTTATGAAGCTGGGAACTTCTACTGCAATACTCCGTACTCCGTACGGATTGCCACCATACAGGGCTCTGGGCCTCTTCAAGCCCAGCACGAAGATCTCCCAGCCCGTTCTCCAGGCGCTGAAAGTCAGGGTTGGACTCCAGAAGTGCGGACATCAACAGCAACAAAAATAGTAACAGAAACTTGTTTCACTTTTGTCCTGCCATATCCGGGCTTTTTCATTGATTTGTTGTTTGCAACTCCGTATCTCAGCACATGTTCACTTTGCTCTATCGTTATCAGCCATCTCCGTAGGCTTCTGCACCTAACTAAACGATGTCCTCCATTTCCGCAATCACCTGCTTTTCTTCGGGCATTTGGTGGTCTGAGGAGGCTTGGAGGAAATTAGGTTGGCGCACGACGGGGCGATCGCAGGGGTGTCGGTCTTCTCGGCAGGGGGTCAGGGTTTGATGAGCCTTTACCAGAGTCGGTGTGGATAGTTCCTCGAGACCGACCTACAGTACATACATACTTGGAGCCGTCGTCGATGGAATGAGCGCCTCGGTTGCTGCTGGACGTGGCTCGTCATGACTACGCGCATTCCAGATTGACTGCTATGGAGGACGCCTGTCCATTAAATTATAATATAACAATCATGGGTGATAATAATATCATTGTTATCATTGTTTCCGAGTAGGTGCTCAGGGTAGCACAGAGTACAGGGGACCGACGCCGAGCCCACCGAGCTGGTGTGTAGCTTAACTTTGCCCATCTCTGATTGCACTGGTTTCGCATGCCCCAACGTTAGATTCAAGCTCACTACAACGTCGGGTCCGCAGATTTCAATGGGCACTCTAGACCTCAATGGGCGGAGTGCTGGGCTCTCTCAGCCTCTAGTGGCCTCTCTTCGGCGTCGCTAACAGGAGACTCAGACTAGCCAGGAACCCGCCTCTGCGCTTATCGTCAATGGTGGGTTCGACAATTTCTTTAGCCTTCACTTTCAGCCTGTCAATGCCCTGATGCGCCCACACCAACATGGCGGAAACAGCAGTAATGGAGGCAGGCGGGACGCGTCAAGATGTCAAGTTTTCTGCTCGTTTGATTCCTACCCCGGACACTCACAATACAATACTAACACAGCCGACTCCCTCGAGCCATGTGAGGATTTTTCTATCTTTCCATCCCAGCTTTACTCCAGTACCGTTACAGTCGCATCATTGTACGTGTGTATACACAAGATGCGACCTCTCTTGTCCACAGTGCTTGCTCTGGGTGCGAGTGCTGTCCTTGCCGTCCCGGTCATCGACGAAGCCTCAGAGCCCTATGAGCTTCGCGCCCGCAACATTGTCACCGAGATTCAGGACGAATATGACTTTGTAGTCGTGGGTGGTGGCCTCGCTGGTCTTGTGCTGGGTGGACGACTCTCAGAGGATTCGAATCACACCGTGCTCGTCCTGGAAGCAGGCAGTAACGGAGATGAATACAGAGAGCGGATAGGTACGTGATGGTCACAACCTATTCGCGTCGAACCCGCTGACATTGGCGCAGATACCCCAGCAGATGCCTACTACAAGTCCTTATGGCCAACACCCCTCAACTGGGCATACAACACCACTCCTCAGGTTGGCATGAACAACTCGCAGATGACCTGGCCCCGCGGCAAGACGCTTGGAGGTAGGGTTATTCACATGAGGAGGATTCGGGCAAGACTGACATGAACCCACAGGCAGCTCAGCCATCAATGGATTGTACATGAACCGGCCGAGCGAGATCGAGCTGGACGCTTGGAAAGACATGCTCGGTGACATGGATGGCGCCGACAACTGGTCCTGGGATTCCCTCTTCGCCGCGATGAAGAAGAGTGAGACCTTCTCTCCTCCCTCCCAGGACATCGCTCAGGAAGCCGCCATCACCTATGATACCTCAAGCCACGGCAGCCACGGACCAGTCTACATGTCGTACCCTGGCTAGTACGTACAAACAAACCCTACCACGTATTGCCACGACTAACAGTCAACAGCACGTTCCCTATTGTGGGCGAATGGTCTAATGCCGTGTCGAATGCCGGCATCCCTATCTCCCACGATACCTACGGCGGCAAGACCTGGGGAGCCTACGTTTCGACATCTTGCATCAACCCCACCAACTGGACGCGTTCTTACAGCCGTACTGGCTATCTCGACCCTCTGCCACCACGTGCCAACTACGATGTTCTCACCGATGCTCATGTAACGCGCATTCTCTTCAATTCTTCTTCAAAAGCCGGCAACCTCAGCGCGAACGCGGTCGAATACTCCCCAGATGGCGGGGCGAGCAAATTGACGGTCAAAGTCAAGAAGGAGGTAATCCTTGCTGGTGGGTCAGTTGGCAGCCCTGCCGTTCTGCTGTACAGCGGTGTCGGTCCCAAGGATGTCCTTGACGCAGCTGGCGTCGACGTCGTTTCGGAACTGCCTGGCGTTGGTCACCACTTGCAAGATCACTTGGTAAGCTGCAGTCGAAGATGTGAGACCCCAAGAAATCTAATTTGAAACAGAGCTCCACGGTGCAATGGAGCACAGATCAAGCCACGGCCGGTTCTATATATGCCGCCAATGGATCCGAGAGTGTAGGTTGATTATGTCTGTGCTTTTGAATTTTCAAACTAACGTATTCCAGACCGATGCTGCATTCCTCTCCTATATCAATTCTGCAGTGGCATACATCAACGCCACCTATATCTTCGGTGCTGGTGCCGAGGATTTCAAGAACACGATTCTCAGCCAACTTGATTCATACGCCACTACTGCCGGCACTGACGAGACCGTCATAGCTGGATACAAGGCGATTTCTGAGGTCACCGTTAACAAGATCTTTGATAGTCCAGTTGGACAAATCGAATTGCTCATCGGCAACAACCTCAATGGGACCATCAACATCGGAGCCGCCCTTCAACATCCTTTGAGCCATGGCCAGGTCTCAATCAATTCATCAAACCCGATGGATTACCCTGTCATCAATCCCAACTACCTGACACACCCTGCTGGTAAGCTATGCTTTCGACGACTGAGGCATACCCTCTCGCTAACAATATTGAACAGACGTACAAATTCTCCGAGAAGGCATGAAGACCGCTCGGCGTTTGGGTGGAACTCAACCTGTAGCGGGAAATCTGATCGAGGAGGTATGGCCAGGCTCCGATGTCGAATCTGATAGCGATTGGGAAAACTTCCTCCGCCAAACAGGCTACACAGAGTACCACCCATCCTCGACCTGTGCCATGCTGCCATTGGAACAAGGTGGCGTGGTTGATGCAAACCTCCGCGTCTACGGTCTATCCAACGTCCGTGTTGCCGATGCCAGTGTCCCGCCCATCGCCTTTGCTGCCCATCTCATGGTTTCGACATACGGCATTGCCGAGCAGGCAAGCACCCTTATCCGGAAGCATTATAATGTCGACTCGATTCCTAAAAACACCACAAGCTCGATACAACCAACCAAGACCGGGTCACCCGTAAAGTCACCTGCCGCAATTACCAGCAGCCTCAGCAGCAGCGCAGCCAGCGCATCAAGCACCAACGGTAGTGATGGTAGCTTCTCCATCCAGCCTTGGACACTTCTCTTCACAATCTCAGCCTCGCTGATTTTTGGATATTTCTTGTAAATGACGACTTACTTAGACTAGCGGCATGACACCAGGCGTTCTTAGTCCCAAAATTGGAACCAGGATACGGGTTTTCGACGACTTCATGGATACCTTGGCCCTTGTGTATATTGGGAAGGGAGGGAAAGGTCACAGGGTAAATATTTTGAGGAGAGAAACTCCTACATATTTTATCTAATCATAATCATCGCGAGACCATCGTCTCGGTACCCGCACAATGCTTCTTGTATGACCGAATACGTGGTTGTAGGCTAAGGTGGAGGTATCTTCGCGAGTGTTTTGGTCTTCGCTTTCGCTTTGTTATTTTACAGTGGGGATCCGACAACAAGTTTCAACGTCGCTGATGAGAGATCGAACGCGAACACTGTAGAATGTTTGTTTTGAGGTCTTTCCTAGGAGATGGTATGGGTGGATAGCTACCTGTATTATTATAAGACCGTGGGGGCTAGAAATCTCAAAGCAGCTAGAGTGGAGAGAGCGGACAAGACCTGGGGTTCACGCGGGGTGGAGCAGGAGAGTTGTACAGAACTACGAGTTCTCCGTATCTGTGTTGGAGGTGCAACTCCTGGTCCACGAAGAGGGCGAAAAGCGTCCAAATGGCAAAGGGGCATCCGGAGTTCGGAGCCAAGTTAAAACAGAGTTGGAGAAGTTCATCGACTCGGCATTTAACATTGAACCGCAGGAGACGCTACAGATGAATACCTAGGGGATTTAAATTATATATCTACGAAACTCTGGGTGGCTCAAGATCTCCAGGTACCGGGGTCACAGAGTACAAAACTACGAGCGTCGAGTTGCCCCCTCTTGACTTGTACTTCCAGGTTTATATTAATATATCCATATAACAGTGAGTAAGTGGGTGTTGGAGCTCACACCACGATCGATACCTGTACACATCGAGACAATGACACTCCCGTCAACAAAGGCACATGTCGACCTCCGCCTGCTCAACGGGGGGAGTATGAAGGCCAACACGAAGACGATCCACGACGGCGTCAGCGACGACGACGAGGACCACATGTTTCGTCTGTACGACTGGTGTTTTTACATTTACCAGCCTGAACTGCGGCGTCATGTGCTGTGGGACGTTGGCATGTCGAATGTGCGTACGGATGAGTTTGATTTCTCAAATTGGGTGATTCGTATTATACCAGACATGAATTTTCCCTTTCTACTCCCTACTCAAGCCCCTTTTTGCCGCCTCTTGACTCTGATTTTCTGCTTCTTGCTTGCCTTTTTTTGCTTGCTGCTTTGCCGGTGGTGTGCGCAGTGCGCATCCTTACATAACACTCAGACGGAACATCGTTGCTGACGAGAAAGCACTTGTCATGGTGTGTTTGTTACAGGACGGAGACGCGTACATTTCTTCGATACGAGATGTCATGAAGGTCATGTCTTGCGTCGGACCGGACAAGCCACTTGCACAACAACTGAGGGATTCATGTGGCGTTGAACCCGAGACCATCGATACCGTCTTGTTCAGGTACGCAGTAGCACCTAGTGAAATAGCTCTTGTTTGCTCGTGGTGCCCAGCTATTTATCTACCCACCCACCTCCGAGTACCTAATGTATTTGAGTGTTCACCCTTCCGCATTCATAGCCACGCCCACTTCGATCACTGTCGACCTATACGGCACGAGTTCCCCAATGCCCATGGGTTCTTCGGACCGGGAACCGAAGACGACTGCAAAAGAAAATTGGAACCTTGGTGTACCGACCCCGGGGTCGGGCACAAGTTCGATCCGCGATTCTTTGACCGCGCCCGTTCAACCGAGACGTGGTCGGAGCTGAAGGGGCCCTGGGTGCCGTTTGGACCGTTTGATCGCGCCATGGACTTCTTCGGGAACGGGAGTCTGTGGCTGATTCAGGCCCCGGGACACATGCAGGGCAACCTGTGTGCGGCTGCGAGACTCGCGGATGGGAGTTGGGTCGTTTTGGGGTCGGATTGCGCCCATACAAAGTCAGTATTGTCCCCGCCTCCATTTTCCATTTTCCAATTTCATTTTCTTCCCCTCTCGATCACCCCTTTGAGAGGGGGTTTGAGACGTCGCAGTGCTCCAAAGGCGGACGCGCGCGAGAAACGACACGAGAATAAAAAAGGGATACGCTCGAATTCGAGCACCTGCCGTAAATGTACGCACGCTGACCCGTGGTCCGAACGTCTGTGACTACCCAGGCCATTACTCGACGGAAAGTACGATATAGCCGAGGTGACGAGACCAGATGGGTCAAAGTGGTCGCTGCACGAGTATGTGTGTGCCGCCAAGGAGACCATTGCCAAAATTCACAGTCTGGAAGTCGACCATGGGTGCCATATCGCCCTTGCTCACGACGCGTCGTGGATGCTCAAGCAGACCGCCGAAGAAAAGGATCCTGTGCTTTTCGGGCTATTGGGTGACGACTTCACCGAGGATGTCCGAGAGCGCGTGGCTCGGGATGAACCTTTCTAAGAGCACACTGTTGATCATGTGACAGATATACTTACATGCATGCATACTTTACGTACATTCCGAGCTCTAAGGGGAAATCGTCCCGTGGCTCAAATCGATATATGGTGCCGTGGCGGGCTTCTCATTGTCAATCTCTGCCCAAGCCGTCCAATGCTTTCCCTTCATTCTCCGCGTTTCGGCCTCGTCCGCAATTGCTATCGCGAGGTCAAAGGTCGAAATACCTTCGAACCGGCCATTCAACTCTGCTCCGTCGTTCGGGTCGCCCTTGACCGGGAGGAAGTCGACCTGGACTTCATACTTCGATGTTTTCCCACCGGAGCGATACATGGCAGGAGGCGACATGAAGGTCCAGTCGAAACTCGTGTTGCCGTCAAAGAACATGAAACTGGTCCTGCACGCCGTGATGAGCGGTTTGGCGCCCCCTTCACCTAGTGCAATGTTCTCTTCGTGCGTTTTGCGGACGAATCGTGCCTCGGGCGTATCACGGCCTTCCTTCAACGCCTGACGGGCACTGGCGTACGCGCGCACACCGTCGGTCAAAGCACTGCCGAACCGTGATTCCATGTAGGAGATGTGTGCAGGTGACGAGGCGATGTGGCGCCAGTATGCGAGCCAAAAGGTTGGGCTGTCGACGGCGCAGATGCGTGTCTCTGTGCCTGGGAGATAGAGGCTACCGCAGCCCCCTAGCATGATAAAATACGAGACTTTCGCAGCTCGAGACGCCAGGACGATCTTGCGGAGTGTCTCGAGGAATGGGACTTGACGGAGCCGAAAGAGGGAGTTTTAGTGGGACTTTCTGGTAGGGTCAGATGTAGCTGGTGAGGGAACGTACCATACTTCAAGGCCGCGAGACCGCTGGTATGAGGGCCGTAGGCGCATACCAGGACGTCCAGATCTGTGAGCGTCTTTGATATCTCGTCCACAGTACCATTTTCGAGGTCAATAGTTCGAGGTTCGTAACGTGAATGCGTCCCAAGTTTGGAGGGATTGCGTGAAAGGCCGATGACTTTGTGCCCCCGAGAGATCAGTTCAAGGGTGATATGGGATCCGCTCCTGTATATGGCTTGATTAGTCTTGGGAGGGCTTGCATTTGCTGGAGAAAGTGAGAGAGCTGGCTGTGAGGCTGAGGGATATGGCGGGTGAAGCATGGCACTTACATGCCTGAAGGACCCAGCACACCAATTGTCAAAGGAGACGTGCTTGAAGACATGTTCAGGAATCCCTGGAAAGTTGGTTCTGGTATTGACAACTTTACCGTCCCCTTGAGACGAATGAGGGGCGAATGACATGTATGTGTTTCTTCGCTTTCTAGCCAGTGTCGGTGAGAAGAGTACTGGCAGACGAGTCGTTGCTATGCTCAGAACCGTTTTCGATTTGTTTGTGCTCGAGAGTTCACTGGTAAGCAGTGGTAGTGCTAGGTTCTTACATGTACCGGATCTGGGAACACTTCACGAGTCTCGCGTGAATAGGGTAAGTGGGGTTGAGTTCGTTTAAATCCCCTCGCGGAGCACTTTGTACACGGTCACTCTCTTCCGAACTGTACATACCTAGGTAGGTAGATTGTTGAGTCGTCAAGAACTTCCGAATCAGACAGCCATGTGCAGCGTAGACATATTGTGAAATAGAAACTTTGATCAATGAATAGGTGACCAGTGGAGGCGGTGTACCAGGCTTTCGTTAAGGTATTTGTGTATCCATTTCGAACCCATTCATGAGTGATTCAGGGATATATATACCTCGATTCGCCCTCAGTATCCTGGACTGCTCCAGCTCGTCGTGTATCTGTTCTTTTCAAAAGGGGGCGGTGATCAACAAGGTGCATAGTTGAAGAACCGACCCCAGCATCCGGCCACTCATGGAGCTGGAAGTAATTCAGGTTCGCGCCGATATGTGTTCTGAGTTCTCATTTACTTTATGCCCTGAAAGCGAGTTGTCCCCGAGTAATCTGGGGTCTGGAGCAGATAAGAAAGACTCGAGGCGTGAAGAGAATACGGATATGTACCTATTGTATCTCCGGGCCAAGAACATGCATAAAAGCAGCGGCACCCTCAGTATGGATCACCAGCCCGCTTAACTAACTAACTAACGGGGTATTTAGTTAGTACCCAACTTAGAGAGCCTCTAATTAAACTTAGTGGCCTCAGAGCCTTAAAGCAGAAGTTTTGGCGATCTGTTAAGGGATGAATGACCTGTAGACACTGTATGGCATTTCCCATAGAAGAACCCTTGGTCGGCGTCCGCGCGGCCTTATAATAGCTCATTTGCCCTACAGCTTCATTTCTGTACAATAAACATCAACTCCATCGTTAGGTATTGCTTTACTGAACTGTATATTAGCCCCTTTCATCCTCCCATGACTTAGAATACCTCGGTCACACGAGTAATTGTACCGCTCCGACGCCCCCTTTCGGCCGGTCCGAACCCTCAGCATCTTAAAGTAAAGCCACAGGGATTCCTACACTCAATGTCCTTTCAAGTCCCCCAAAATGTGCCTTCATTCACCAACAGCCAACGAGCCTATGAGGATACCTACTGGCGCCAGAAACAAAGTAATGGCCATGCGAGAGTTGGATCGACGGGAACGGTCACTTCTAAGATCAATGATATCTTTGGGGAACACAAAGACCTCCCCATGTACAAGGACAAACCACATTTTCCTTCGAGCCGAAGGAAACGGGTGTTACAGCCAAAGAGAGTACTCGCCCTGACAGCCCTTCCTGCCTTGCTTTTTCTGTGGTGGATGGGCTGGTTACCTTGGACCTCGGGCGCAGTCTACGACCCGGCTGAACATGAGCACCCCTTCTTCAAAGATGAGGACTGGTCTGCACAAAGAGACGCCGTGAGGGAGGTGTTCAAAACATCATGGGCGGGATATGAGAAGTATGCCTGGGGAATGGACGAATACAATCCTTTGACGCGCAAAGGGAAAAATATGGTGCCTGGTGGCATGGGTTGGATCATCGTGGATGCATTGGACACGGCTATCATGATGAACTTGACCTCCGAGGTTGCAAAAGCCCGGGAATGGATATCTACATCTTTGTCATACACTGCCAACCATGATGTTAGCACTTTTGAGACCACGATCCGTATGCTCGGAGGTCTTTTATCGGCATATTACTTGTCGACGAGCTTCCCCAACTTGGCGCCGCAACGTGACGACGACACCAACCAGCCCGGTGAGGATCTGTACATTGAAAAGGCCGCAGATCTCGCAGATAGACTGCTTGGTGCATATGAATCGAATTCGGGAGTCCCCTACGCCTCGGTCAACCTCAACACTTCCCAAGGTATCTTGTCCCACCTGGATGGCGGTGCTTCTTCAACGGCTGAAGCAGCAACACTCCAATTGGAGATGAAGTACCTTGCCAAGGTCACAGGGGAACCACATTACTGGCAGAAAGCCGAAAAGGTGATGGAGATCATTGACTCACATCGGCGAGAGGACGGCTTACTTCCCATTTTCATCTATCCGGCGACGGGCGAATTTCGAGGCGATAACATCCGGCTAGGATCGCGAGGGGACAGTTACTACGAATATTTAATCAAGCAATACTTGCAAACGGGAAAGGTCGAAACCGTCTATCGAGACATGTGGGATGAGGCACTAGAAGGGATCAAGAAACACTTAATCACCTATTCTCAACACGCATCATTGACAATCCTGGCTGAGAGGCAGAACGGGCTCCATTCACCTTTGACTGCCAAGATGGACCACCTCGTTTGCTTCATGCCGGGAACGATTGCGCTTGCTGTTACGGAGGGGGAGACTGTCGAACAAGCTAAAGCCAGACTAGGCAGTCGGTGGACAAAGAAGCACGACGAAAACCTGAAACTTGCCGAAGAGCTCATGAAGACATGTTGGGGAATGTACAAGGTTACGCCGACGGGACTTGCTCCGGAAATATCCTACTTCAGGACCGACAATCCACCAAGACAATGGCAAGGCCACGTCGATCCGGACTGGACGCCTCCCGTGTCGAGTGATCTGTCGGATGCTCAAAGCGCCACCTGGAGATCAGACTACGACATTCACACCAATGACGTGCACAATTTGCAACGCCCGGAGACAATCGAGTCGCTGTTCTACATGTATCGAATCACCAAGGACCCCAAGTACCGGCAATGGGGCTGGGAAATGTTTGAAGCATTCCGCGAACACACCAAGGTTATCGACGATGTCTCGGGGACAGTGTACGCGTACACCTCGCTCGACACGGTCATGGAGAATCCTGTGAAAGACCGCAAGCGCCGAGACAACATGGAGAGCTTCTGGTTGGCCGAGACACTCAAGTATTTTTATCTGCTCTTCTCGGACGACTCGTTCTTCCCCCTGAACAGCGTCGTCTTCAACACGGAAGCACACCCTTTTCCGAAATTCGACATTAGCGGAAGCAAGGTCTTCAAGACGGGCTGGCAGAGAAACATCGGCGCTCCACCGAGTCCGAAACCTGGTAGCGATGGGCGGGTGGTGCGCGTTGACCCCGCGCCGCAGAAGCAGGAGGAGCGCGAGTCGAACAGTGGTGATGCGCCGGAAGTCGCGGTACCGCATGAACACGAGCACGATGACACAATGGAGCACGGCCACATTGAGGAAAGCGGTCGGGGCAAAGAGACCGGGGGCCATTCCCCGCTGGAAAACTTTAGGGAATCTCCGGTGCAAGGGCGAGGGCAAGGAGGTCGAATGGTTGAGTCAAAAGGTCATGGATAACGACTTCTCGAAAGAAACAGGAGGACAGACTCAAAATGTGGCTTTGGATAAGGAAAAGGGCGGGAAAAGTGCCGTTACATTTTCGAGCTCGACCTGGATTGATTCATAATCGCTCGCTTTTTGTTCTTGGTATAGCATGATGCATCGTTGGTATAGCGCATATATAGGTCAGGGATCCATAGGCATATAGTAGATATCCACTGATATCAAAGTGAGATTGTGTTGGATATTGAAGCACAAGGAAAAACGAAAAGCATTTACGGCTTGATATTGCATTTCGCATTTGACCATTTTCTTCATCTTCCTTCTTCCCTTTGGTCCTCGAGTATGTACAGTTTGATCATCGTTAGGCATCTGCTGTGCCTGTCTTGGACTTTTGTGTAGCAACTTGCTGGCTCCGTGGGTGTTAAAGGGCAGGCTGTCTGTCCTCGCCTTGGCTATGTCATGTACACTCCTCAACCCTTGTGGCTGCGTTGGTGCACATCCATGATGACAGGACACTGTCATCATCCTCACCCTCGCCGAGGACGGCGAAAGTCCACGGGGTGGGTCGTCGAAAGTGAATGTGTATCGCAGTGTAGAATAGTCGGAGGCAGAACATGTCCGTGCGAGAGCGTAGGAGCTCATATCGTTCGGAAGGAACGTCATCCTACAGATACTGGTATTGCATGAATTCACCGTTTGGCCATCGTGACAAGACGAAACGAGGCTCGGCCGTCTGTAAGCCTCGCAGTTCAGCACAGCATCGTGACGAGACTGACTCGCTCGTTCATCTGCAAGCCAGGGGTTGTCCCCTTCTCTTCCAGGCGAGCAGTGATGGTTATTCATCTTGACATCCGTCGTATCAACGCCGTCTCAGACAGGTACTCTGTCCGTAATGGTCGATTCCTCGGCCTATATTCGTGGACAGTCAAACTTGGGCAGAGGCGACGAAGTGGCTTTTGTGTTTCGTCCATCGGAGGGGCGGCCAACACTGACTTTTCCGGTGTCGCTCAAGAGAGAAACGAGAACAGAGAGAGCATCGTGGCGAGGAACGGTGTCACTCAATGTCCACATGGCCGTCAAATTCATTTTCATTCATTCGTAACCTTCGTCTCGGATTCAATGCTGATCCTGTCTGTGGGGTGGATCAAAAGAAAGAGCAGAGCTTTCAAAACTTGGGGCCTCGCCTTCTCCCAGTGTACTTGGAGTCTGTCTTGACGATTTTCCCTTTACTCCGCATCTTTTCCTTCTTGTTCATGACCCACTGTTTGCTGCCCTTGACATCGCCCTTGCGTCCGTTGCGCCGGTGCAGGGCGTCTCTCATCTTGCGGCCGTCTTCGATGTCCACATTGTCCATCCTCGACACGGTCCCCGTGATGTCGCCGCCGCCGACACTCAGCACGAGATAGGTCTTGACGTTCTTGGTGCCGCCGTCGTCCTCGAGGATTCCGGCGCCAAACCCGGCCCGCACCGCGGCCTGGCTTATCATTGTCCTCTGCTGCTCGTTCTTCGGGTAGAACTGGCACACGGCGCGCCCGCCTCGGCGCAGCGAAGCGTAGAGACCGTCGAAGAACCTCCGGAGCCGGCCCTCGGGGCTCACGCCGCTCGTCTCGGCGTTGCACAGCCACTGGATGGCACTGATGCTGATGGCCGCGTCGAACGCGCCCGCGCGGAACGGGATGCCCTGACCCATGTCGGCGAGGAAGAGGTCGCCTTCGACGCTCTCGCGCTGCAGCGCGATGTCCAGCATGCTCGGGGATATGTCCATGCCGACCCAGATGTGGCCGTCTTCAGAGAGGATCTCGCCCGAGAGGCCAGAGCCACAGCCGATGTCGAGTATGAAGGACGCCTTGTCGAGGTCGAGAAGCTCGAGCGCGCGGTTGGTCATGGACGCCTGGATGGCCTGGATGCGCGAGGACGTTGTGTATTTGGCCGACTCGGTGTCGTTGTAGTAGAGATCGGGCGGAAGGAGGTCTTCGGGCCGAGACATGGTGACGAGGTACTGTTATTATGGGCTCGAAAAGGACCTGGTTCGGGAGAGGAAGAGGGAGGTGATGCTGGGGTCAAGCCATTAGATTTGCGAGTTACTGTAGGTGTCGTTGCAGCAGGACGGTGTGAAATAAATTTCTGGGGGAGAAATGCTGTGCCGCGGTTTAGCCGCCAGCCTTGCCGTCGTTATCGATAAGTACAGCCTCGTCACGACATGTTAGATCGCAACCCCGCCATGAGGTACTGAAGGAAGCGGTTCAACATGCATGATCTACAGTGTGGTGCATCTCTCGCCGACGAAGCGAGTTACAACCACCGGGGAACTGATACGTCGGGTCGATGCTGCACAATTGTCTTGGATAATGTAGCAGCAGGTCTTGTCACGAGAATAGTCGCTGTCACAGGCCCAGACCAGACGGTTACTACACCGCTCAAGACCATTAGCATTCCGCCCTCGTCACAAATGGCCACAGATAGTAGTCAGTGCAGTATTGGATCACTGACGTTTCCGATTGAGTCTAGTTTGACCACATCGCTCCGGAACAAATTCAACGTCCGAGGTCTTCTGACCTGTCGATATCCGCACACTGACCCAGGGCATTTCCGCCAGCTGCAGAATGCAGTCCGCATTGTCCGGTGTCCAGGCCTTGAACACCTCGACGCTTTCCCGGGGACCATCACAGTCGTCAGACGATTGTGACTGGTCAAGTGCCTCAGCGGGAGATTGGCTAGAACATCCGGCACGGTGCTGATTACGGTCAATTGATCCATCTCCGTCAGGCAAGGGATTCCAGACGTGCATCCAGCAGCCACCGCCCTTGCATGACGCCTATAGGTTCCCATGATTGCCGTATGGTTAGATAATAATTATGGGATTGCTTGCGCATGTTGCCGAGAGCGTCGCCTCAACGTCAGTCCGGCTCTGGTTCCGAATGTCGAGTTACCTTCGTTGGAGGATGCCGTGATCCCAGCCTTTGAGATTAATGTGAATCAAAACGTGCCTACAGCCGGGCATATTGCTTGCTGTGGTTACAGCACGTTCGGGAGAACCGGCAACAAAAGGTAGTGCAGGCCAGAGCATATTGAAGGATTGCGCATGTGAAGAAGTCTTTCTCCCCATTCCTCTGAAGGGACTGTTAGCGTGAAACAGCGAACGTCAAGATCCGGGGTTAGTCCAATTGAAGAAACAATTTCCATCATGACCTGGAGGTTCAACAACTCCGCCTCGATCCGACATACCCAGCTTCTGTGAATGGATGTTATCCAAAAGCGTTATTCTCTGCCGGGCGATCGAGATAAGAGCAGTGATAAGACCATTCCGGGCAAAATGACTGTGCCCGTCGAATGGCTGGAGCTGTCTCCCATTATCTGCTATCCATATCTCCCATCATTGTGCCTCGACGATTCGTAGTGTGGAATCGCAACTGATATGCTGTCGTGTGCTCGAGAACCCTTTGAGGCTTGGTGAAAGAAACTTTCGTCATTGTCGGCGTTGATTCGAGGTTGGAAAAAGGTGAAGCTTCCGATACATATTACGACGGTGTTTGCCGCGGACTCGGAAGACTGTTTGATACAAGACACCAGCGATCCCTGGCCACCTTCACAACAAACTTGACCACGCTTTCGACTTCACTCTGGTTTGTCTTGATCGTGAACAAGAACTTGTATCTACTACCCTCAATTCTGTTCACTCTGTCGGACTGTGACACACTCTCGTGATCGGAGCGAGGATCCGTCATTCCGAAGTCGCTGGCCTGGTTGTCTACAAAAGCAGCCGCGACGCCTCGATTATGGCTTCTGCTAATGTCCTTCTTCCTGCTTCATCATTCTCTCCTGCAGTGTCTGTTAGCAATCTCAAGAGAAAAAGGCCCGTCTCAGAATCTCCCGAGCAATTGAGCATCATGTCTCCCAAGCAGCCCGAACACATGGCGTTTGATCCCTCAAAGCATCTCGCCTTCACGCCCCCGCAGAAGGTCTGGTCTATGGAGGAAATCGGTATGGCAGACAAGGGCGTCTCTCCGAATGCAGTCTCAGAACCCTTTCCACTCTTCACTGAGGAAGCAGTCCATCAAATGCGAGCTGAAGTCTTAAGTGAGCCTGTCTGGAAGAACTGCCAGTACAAGAGCAATATTGCCCATTGCCAGTTGAGAGGATTCGCTCCTGAGTAAGTTGTCATTGATCCTCAAGGATTTGCAATGTTAACCTGTACAGCTACGCTCCCTTCGTCTATGACATTTGGCGCAGCCCTGAAGTTCTTTCGATCGTCTCGAAAATTGCTGGTGTCGATCTCGTACCCGTCATGGACTTCGAGATCGCGCACATGAACATCTCCATCAAGAGCAAGGAGGAGCAAGAAGCAGTCAAGCAGGCTCTTCAAGAGAAAGAGTATCGTGATGCAGATGAGGGTGTATCTGGCTGCCCATTCGAGGACGAAACTCCCATTGTCGACTGGCATACCGACAGTTATCCTTTTGTCTGTGTCACCATGCTTAGTGACTGCACCAACATGATCGGTGGAGAGACTGCCTTGCGCAAAGGTGATGGGGAGATCATGAAGGTTCGAGGACCAGGAATGGTATGACAATACCCTTGACCATCACGTCTTCAGGCACTAATTCCATTTCGAGGGTCATGCTGTTGTTCTGCAAGGACGATACATTGAGCACCAAGCCTTGAGAACCCTCGGTGGCACGGAGCGTATTACCATGGTGACATCCTTTAGACCCAAGTCAGCCTTTCTCAAAGATGACACTGTCCTCACCACCGTCCGCTCGGTCTCTGACCTGTCAGAGCTCTACTCTCAGTATGCCGAATACAGGCTCGAGATGCTGGAAGAACGCATCCGAGCCCAGCTTAAAGAGATCCGTGACCGCAAGCGTGCTCGTCGTGCTTTCGATACTGCCAAAGCGAAGGTGTTCATCAACGAGCAGAAAAATTTTCTTGATTCAATGCTTCGGGAAATGGTCGATGAGGACCTTGTCACTGCCGGCTACACTGATGATTCGCATCTCTTGAGCGATGAGCTGAAAGCTGAAGGTCACAAGAAGGCGCTCTATCATGCAAAAGATGCAGCCTAGTTGATCCTTACCCAGACGACCACGTCGTAACGGATTTCATTTGTCACACCAGCATTGAAGTCATCTCATTGCTGTACATTGAGTGAGTGGAGAATCCATCCTTGAGCTGGAGTGGAAGCAGATACAAATGTCTTTGCGCTTTTCAGATTTCTATGGTGCTAGGAGCTCATGCGAGTTTTCAGTGGTTCAAGGCTTCAGGGTTTCAAAGGTTCCAAGGGCTCACATTGTGTCGCGTGTAAAGCGGGCATTGACGCCTGCAGCCCTGCAGCATGGTGTTTGGTGCGTAGCTAATAACATAGAAATCATGGTAAATTGATCTTTTGACAAGGGTTTTATCATATCCAAAACAGGAATTGAAGTAAAAAGTGCTCATGGACCTCGTCATGTAGATGTAGCTGTAGATATAGACAGACATAAATGTACAGGAATTGGAGTCCGTCAGACAAAGGGTGTCACTCTATCCCCAACCTTGATGCTGATAGGGGTCGAATGCTGGCCATGTCGGGCAGCTTTCACACACATGTGCATCCCGAACCACACCTTGCCGTCCCTCCGGCGCGTCTTGGCCAGGGTGCTAAAGGGCTCCTGTCGTCGCTGGGCGCTCTTCTGATCGACGCAGACCATCTGGCACCGCTGGCACGGGCCGAGGATCTCAAAGTTGTTGTCCGGGAGCGATCCGATCTGCACCGTGGTCCACTCGTCCTCGACGTAGGGGTGTTCGGCGAGTCCGCCGACATGCTGCTCGGCGATGACGATGTTGCCGCGGAACGAATCGGCAGCTACTGCTTTGCCGACGCCGCCGCCGCCGCGACTCCCTGGTCCGTTCTGTTTGATTTGCTCGTTTAGCCTGTTGACACTGGACCGCGAGACGAGGAGGATGGGACTTTCGTTCGCAAGCGCGATGGACCTCCCTAGCTCGGTCGCCTGTTGGTGGTGGTGGCCGCCGCTGCCGCCGCTGCCGCCGCCTCTGCCGGGGACGCGGACCTGAGCTTGTCGTGTTGTGCCGGTGGTGGGGAAGCGTGCCAGCGTGCAGGGCACGCCGAGAGCGGCGGTGAAGAAGTCGGACACTTCGCGGGCCGTGTAGACTTGGACGTCGACCTGGTCGCCGCACACGGTCGATGATTTGTTGGTGGTGGTGGCGTCGCAGGTTGCGAGAGACGTGAGGTGGTGGTGGCGGGGTGATTCCTCGTCGAGAGTGAGTTCGAGAATGTGAGATGTCGTCGTCGTCGTTGATGAGGATATTGACGATGCCGAGACATTGTCGGAGACGTAGGATACGCGTAGGACGCGGTCGGTGAGGTCGATCTCGGGACGCAAGAGGGCCATGCGAGGATAGCGTTTCTGGCTCAATGCGGCGCTGGTACCTTGGTGCACGAGACACCATTCGCGGTCCCATGCTAGGCCCTTGGGGCCAACCTCCCAAGCCATGTCCGGCGGGATTTTGTACGCTGCGCAGCTCTTGATCGGGAACACTGACAGGCTCTCGACGATGAACGAGTCCGCTGGATGTTGTGCCGATCGCGTTGTGTCGGCGGGGAGGGTAGGGCGGGAGATGACGGGGTTAGCGTCGACGTAGAACTCCTTGATGAAATCGACAAAGGTAGCGACGTCTGTAGGACTGCTCATGGCGCCGAAACTGACGCGGATAGCACCCGTGGGTTTGCCGTTGATGATGTCGTTGTCGCCTCCACAGCGCTGGCCGGCCGCGTAGTTCCGGCGCATCTCGTCGGCCGAGAGGCCCAGGTGGGTGGCGACGCTTCCGGGGTTGCAGAGGCCGCCGGTGCGGAACTGGATGTTTTTGACGATGCCGAGCTTTTCGACTTCGTTTGTGCTCACGATCTTGCCCTGTTTTTCTTTGAGATTGAAGGCGACGACTGGACCTTGAGTCGTTTCGGACACCTCGTCCCCTGGGTACAAGACACAAACCTGTGCTCCGTTCGCGTGTCGCAGGTCGCGTAGTAGACGGCGAAGCTTGGATGCAAGAGAGTTGGCGTGCCTCGATATGTTGGCCATGCCGCCATAGAGTCGTTTGTGGATGTCCAGCGCCAGGTCTAATGCGACGATGTTGTGAAAGGGTAGGGTGCCATCCTCGAGTCGGGTGTGTAAGGATGTTTCTCTCTTTGCGTGCCAGGCCTCGCCGACCATGGTCACCATGTCGACAGTGCCGCCGCCGAAGTATTTTCGTTGTAGCAAGATGTCTCCTGAGCCTTTTCGAACGATCAGAGCGCCGACGTCGGGGAAGCCGAAGATCTTGTAGAAGCTGACGGCCGTGAAGTCAGGAGCTGCCGAACTGTTGGATAGGTCTAGAGGGGCTGTGGACACTAGTGCCGCCGCGTCGAGAAGAGAGTACACAGGCAGGTTTCGAGAGGCGCGCAATCTCTGTATCTTCTCTGGCCATCGCAAGGGCAAGCGTCGTCCCGTCATGTTAGACTGGCCTGGATATGCAAACAATAACGTCGTCCGACCGAAGTCTGCACTTGGCTGTTCCAGGTTGGTGAGCCATTGTTCGACTTCATCATCATCTCTCAAACAATGACTTCCTTCGGATGCCAATTCTCTGACACCAACGACACTCGTGTGGGATTCGACGTGGTATCGGTAGCAGAAGCCATCGTTGCTGTCGCGGAAGGCGTCGGCCACAAGCTTGATAGCAGCTGTGGCATTGGCAACGAAGACCACGTCAAAGTCGTCCGGGCTCGCATTGAAGAACCGTAGGATGCTCAGCCGTACGTCGTCAATGCGACGCGAAGACAACTGAGATGAGGCCGATGCTGAGTGGGGGTTTCCCAGGATGTTGCTGCTCAGTTCTTTGGCATACGCCTCGATAAGGCTCTTGGGGTACAGGGTGGTGCCGGCATGGTCGAGATAGGTTGTTTGTGAGAGATTGGGATATTCTTGATTCCGAATCTCGTCGATGTTGGCTATAAGACCCGTATCCGGATCGATTTTCGCCACATGTTGAACTTCTTTCGATCCTGGGCCGCGCATTGATATGCCGTGGTCCATTAGGGTGCCCAATCCTGCAATATCCCTCGATCGTGCGATAGAGACGTAGATTTGGTACCCATTGATGGACTGCAATGATTTGCGATGAGCTCTGAGAGCGCCCTCTGGCTTATATCAGCTTGGGTTCATCTATGGGGGATTCCTCAAAAGAAAGAAACCGTGTACGACAGGCTTAAGGCACGATAAAGATGGAGATTTCGTTCCCGCAACTTCGGCCTTCTCCGACGAAGCAAGCGATGCGTGATTGGTGAGGCTGCCCACTTATCGTACTCGTACAACTTGTACTCGGACGACCCTCTCTCACTAATCCCCCATTCTTTGAATCCATCATCCCAGAACAACTAATAAACCAACTACTCCAGGAAGCCCTTCTAGAAATCCCAATACTCTGTTTCATCAGTGACATTGCAAGTGAAGCGATCGAGACTCAGTGAGCAGCGGCAAGAAGCCGCTCTCTAAATTTATTACGCAATCATATTCAATCCTATGAAGATCTCCCAAGAGCGCTGTCTAAAGTGGTCCATATTGTGCAGAGTACCAAATATGAGGTCGCTGGGTCGCTAATACACATATGCGCAATGTCGCAAAAATACAAGAATGGCTCACCACATTGCACAGTCATACCAAGGAAATTCGTTAGCCCAATGACCCAACTTTTCGCACCTGGTTCCGAACGGGGATCAAGGTCCTGGTCATTTATTCTAGACGTAGTATTGTCGTCTGCTGCTGCTTCTCCTCGACCCGGACCGAGAATGGCCTCGTCTGCTGCTGTGTCTCGATGATCTTCTGACTTCCTTCACAACCACCTTCTGTTGATGCCGATGAAGAAAGAGGGCGAGAATGAATGTCCAGAAGAAAGTAATAGTATTGATGATGCCCAATACCCAAGATGCCTTCAACATGGAGCAGTTTTTATTGAGGTTAACAGCCCATGACGAATCACTGTTCCGGCCATAGTATCCAAATGGCCCCAGGTTGATATAGATTGAGCCGCTTGAAAAGTTACCGCAGCTGACGTTGCCGATACCCCGGAGCTCGTAATCTGCAGCGATGAAAGCGCCGACAAAGCATAGGTCGATGAAGGCGACGAACATGGCCGAGCGTCGGGTGGACCCGAGGCGCAGTAGGGTAGCGATAGCCCAAGCGCAGGCGAGGACAGATACAATGAAGAGGACGAGGATGAAGGACGGGGTAAGTTGGTTATTTTCATTGAAGCCGTTGACAAACCATGCCTACAAGACGGTTAGCGATTCCTTTACCATTGAGAGATGCTATGATCTCAGGCGCACCAGCATCCCAATGACGGGAATCAGAGTAACAATCTCGAAGATCCTCGCGAGAGCGAAGAATAACCCTCCAAGCATCGTGCCAGCAAGCCTCGTACGGCGGTTCTTTGGCACTGGCAGCGTTTGGTTGTTGCTCAAGCTCGGTGCTGCTGTCCGTGCGTGTGGCGATATGTGATGGTCACTGCTCTGGTCCGCGGCGTGACAGGTTCAATGCGGGGTTAAGCAGATGGTTCCGTTGGATGCCTCGACTGATGAATCTCACCCGCGTCAGTGAGGGAGACTAGTCGTCGACGTAAAATACGGAAAAGGGAGTTGCAAAGATATTTCTGGCCTGCCAACGTGCCTGTTAATTATAGAGTAAGAGGAAGAAGGAAAACACATCTTCTTTGACGGGCAGAGAGATGCGAGAACAGCCACCAAAACGAGGAGGCTGGGACTAGAGGTGCTAGTGGGATGTGTTTGGCGTGGCTGGTGAGAGAGAGAACTGGGATACGAGGCCTGCTAACTAGTGGTAAGCCCTGTTAACCTCGAGCGCCCCGGTGACGAGCCCGGTCTCGGTAGGGCCACGAGTTAGGCTAGTGAGCCTCAGACACTAAGAAAGCAAGCCTGGCGAGTCTAACTAGTTAGCGCCTGGGAGCCACTTTTTTCTCGGTCGACGTCCCGTTCACAACGTCCTCTGTACACAAAATCTTGATCATTCAGCGCTGCGAGGATACCATGCAGCAACAGACATCCACGTGAGAAGGCCTTTGACTCTCTTTGGGACTCGTCTGCCCTGCTACACGCCTTTCCAGGGGCTCATTCGACTTCCTCGCGCGCCCTCCCACATGACTGAAGGCCGGCGGCTCCCAGCTTCCTTCACGTCCTCTGCTCGAATCAACGCCTCGTCTCCCAGATACGAGCGCTTAAGCTGTGCCCCAAGTTTCCACCTCTTCATGCTGAATGGCAGAAGCAAATGAGCTTCATGGAGGACTTCCACCTGCTAGGCAAATCCTGTCGATTCATTCTGATCGTGAGGCATTAGAGCTGGACCATGCTCAATCGAATGACCTTCCCTCTCTTACGACGGTCGTAACCAGTCAAACAACCCCCAAAACATTGCGTTGGTGGCGAAGACATGTCTCGTTGGGGGTCTCCCACGTGAAATGCCGGGATCATCTAGGTAAGAGTGAAAGGACAGGCGATAAACTGCTCCTTGCTCGAGAAGATACGACCTGGCTAATCATCCCACTCAGCAAACGAGCGGACTTTTTTGGGTTACCTTCGGACGGGACAGGCCTTCGCCATGCTAGGTGTGGTTATTGCTCAGGTCATGCGTCTTCAGCATAGCCTTACTCCTAACCCAGTCTTGGGTTACTTTGCCGTCAGTATACCCTTGTCATCTGCTTGTCACGCGTCAGCAATCGTTGTGTCGGTCCTGGGAGCTATTCGATTCTTTCAGTATCAGAAGGAAATGGCTCGGGGCTACGCTGTTTCAGGTGGATGGGAAATAAAAACTGTGGGCACACTGGCCGCCATGGTATGTCTGTCAGCAGTGGTGTTGACGATCTTAACAATCTAATGTTTCTAGGTTTTGTTGTCAATGTTCTGTCTCGCAGTGGCCATTACAATCGAAAAGAGTTGAACCCGGTCCTAGTGAAGGAGAACCTCCACTGGTCCTCATTTGAAAGGGCTGCAGGCGTTGCAGATATGGGCGAGTGCCGGGGTCCACTTGAGAACTCGCCGAGCCGAGCGACAAAATCCGTATGCATGCTGTGCCGCCGGCCACGAAGGCCTGTATGTGGGCTCCACATCGAAAGTGCGAACATGTATTCGTCCACCATGCTTGGGGATTGCGCTTCCAATGCTATGCGGATGCCCTACGGCCAAGGTCGACCGGTTACCTCTCCCTGCGTCAGCCATGTTGGTCTTCAAGCAGCGCCGAAAACGCACCTGATTTGACGGCAATGTGACTGCAGTGTGCATCTCCCGGATCACAGCCGGTCACCAACGATAACAACCACAACAGCAACTGCAGAATTGCACAATCTCAAGACCGACTTTCGCTAGGGACTGGCCTCCTCAGTGGTGTTCTTCTCTCTCGCAGCGGATCATTTGCGGCCTCTTGACCCTCGGGAATTCGTCCGGATACCTGTGCGGCATCGCTCCTCCGGCTATGCGCCACTCACAAACGCCAAAAATTCAATAATTAACTGCAACCGTCTGGTCAAGCTCAGCATGGCTCTCAGTAAGTCCCGGTAGGAGGACGACCATTTTCTCATCCAGAAGTCAACCTTGATCGGCCTCGACCATCCAGACCTGATCCAATGACAACCTCTAAAGAGGGTGTCCATATTAGTCACGTGACTATATCGCCGTCTTCTTTCTTAATCACCATGCTAGGGAAGCTCATGCAGACAATGGAAAGGCGCCTTACCTGGGTGAAAAGATTCTGTAAAGGCTGTGAGCACCCGTGAAGAGAAGTAGCTCTCTGTTTGCATGTTGGAACGTGGAATTTTTGCTTATGGAATCCGCAACGTCTTTGAGAGTTATCGAGAATGTCTTTGTTGTGCCATGTTGCCGTCCTCCTGACCTCAAGCTCCAAGGCTTTCACCACGAAGCTCTGAGTTGAGATGCCAGACTTGTCTCACCATCTTATATTGTTGCTACCGTCCCTGCGCGCAGTTCTAGCAGTCTAGGTCATGTCCACACCAGAGGACGCATTCTCAAGACTTTCGTTGGGCAATTACCTCGCCTTCGATGATCCAAGATGTGATCTGTCGCACAGGAGACATGAAGTCTGGGATATCCTTTCCTCTTTCGACAAGTCGACATTTGCGGCTGAATTTAGGCTTGCGGACTGGAATAAAGTGGCCGATCCCCAGCGCAATTCCGCTCTCACTATACCCGGGGATCTGGAAGGAACTATGCTCTATAGAGGTTGCCACGATGCAGCAGCCTGGCAGGCACTGAACAAGTCTTTGCCATCAAGCGTGCGAGCCAAAATGTTCAGTGAAAAGCTCAGCCGTCGTTTCTCGGAGCAATTCCAAAAGTTCGACGGTCTTCAACATACGGTGCGTGGAGGGAACGAAGTGAGACGCAAGCTGGAAGACATTTTACGGGCATTCCGATATCTTGCCAGGATTGGCAGAAAGGATCTCATGAAGCGACGCGAAGGGAAAGCAACCTCAATCATCGTCCTTCTCAAGGTTTTGCGGGATGTCTGTGAAGACCAAACCGCCATTTCGTCGCTGCAGGGGAGTAGCATTTATCACCTACTAATTCGCAATGCTGCTTCTGACCAGGAGATGTTCATACTCGACGCCCTCGAAGCAGTAAACTTTACTGATCCATCTTGGACGACGACCACTGACGATCTGCGCGAGATGGCCCACCAACTGCAACGCATTGAAGCGGCGCTTAGATCTCGCTCGGCTCCGTCACGCTATATATCCTCCACCCGGAGCATCACGAATGCTGTCCAAGCAAGAGCTCCTCGAAGGCGTGGCACGTAGCCAACTGGGGCTGAATGGCTTAGGGGGAGATTCGGTAGTGCCGATCAAGGTGCCAAAAGCTCGACTGCATTTAACCCGGTATGGCACTCCTCTAAAGGGAAGACTTGCAGTCGTATTCTGTCGACTTTGATTTTTCATCTTGGCCACTAACGTTGATCTCGATGGCTGAGAACCCGACCTTTTCGGCTGATCTTGAACGATTTGGTAGATTCCTTTCGCATCTTTTGTCTTGGCAACTATTTATCAACCCCCTTTATAATTCCTTCATAGCTACGTCCATAGAAACAGTGCTGCGATGGCTTTACCTATGGGTAATTATGGCACTCCTCGATGATGAAGTGGATGTTGAGCTTGTCGAGCAGTCTCTACCGAGGCAGCCTGTGGCAGAGAACTACAACGGCCATGCAAGAGGGATAACTACTCGTAGAGTAGGGATCATAAAAGTTGGCGGTAGTTCAAGTTTGCGGGTTTAGCTAAACTCTCCTCAAGTAAAGGTACCAGGCATATTATCTACCGTCCGTGGTCCTGACCACCCCCATCGACGCTCCACCGAGTTTAGGTATCTACTGTTGTGTACTCCGTAGTTGCGCCGCCGAAGCCGAGTTATTGATACTGAGTCAGCATTCGCGGGGTAACACCCACCTCCTCTTGTGCCTTAGTGGTGTTAACTAGAATGCTTCGCACTCACACAGTCGCACTCGTGCAGGTACCTCAAGTCTGCCCTAGGTACCAAGGGTGCTATAGCTGCGTGGAACAAGAACAAATTTACCGATGCTACCTATAACAATTGTCAGTCGATCCATCTTTCCCCCCAAACAGGAGTGACCAGCGACGACGAGCCTATCGGCCTATTCACGGCTCAGCCGAGGTCCCCCAGGATTGTCTGTAGCGCTCTTTCCCCGATCTCAACTCCGCAAACTGATTGATTGCGATTGTGGAAGGTCGCAACTAGAACTGCCCTGACTCGATATGCCCGAGATCCCACATCCTGCCACGGGCAGGTATTTATTAAGGCGGCCTGGCCCCTCCCTCTACCCTTCCTGTCCTGTGATAACCCTGTCCACAGACGTCTTTGACCACCTTAGAAAGTAGCTCAGTCCTCAGATCTATTCGAGTACTCACCGCAATCGTTCACCCCTTCTCAACCACTGCGTAACCATGGCCTCCCTCCAGGTGCCTTCACGTCACAAAGCTGTCGTGTATGATAATCCTGGAAGCATTTCGACCAAGGTCGAGGAGGTCGAGACACCCAAGCCTGGCGTCGGCGAGGTTCTGGTAAACCTAACGCACTCTGGTGTTTGTCACAGTGACATGGGTGTCATGAACAACGTATGGCAATGGCTTCCCGCACCTACACAAAAGGGCCAAGTTGGTGGTCATGAGGGAGTGGGCACGATTGCTGCATTTGGTCCAGGCACCGAGAACTCCGGTCTCAAGATTGGCGATCGTGTAGGCATCAAATGGATAGCTTCGGCTTGCGGCAATTGCCAACCTTGCCTCGTTGGCGCTGATGCCATGTGCACCACGGCAAAGATCAGTGGCTATTATACTCCTGGCACGTTTCAGCAGTACACTCTCGCTCCAGCTCACTATGTTACACCTATCCCGGACGGCGTACCGAGTGATATGGCCGCTCCGATGCTCTGCGGTGGTAAGTTTGGCTCATCTACGCTCCGACGTGACAACTGCTAAGCAATTTCCTTGTACAGGTGTCACTGTTTATAGCGCCCTTTGCAAATCAGGCGCTCGACCCGGAGACTGGGTCGTCATCCCAGGAGCTGGAGGCGGTTTGGGACATCTGGCGCTTCAGATTGGGTCTCGAGGAATGGGATTTCGCATGATTGGGATCGATATGGGCGAGAAAGAGCAGCTCGTCAAGGAGTGTGGTGCTGAGGTCTTCCTTGATCTTGGAAAATACTCCCGAGACGATGAGGGAACGGCAAAACTTGTCGAGGATGTCAAGGCTGCTACGGGAGGCGGTGGTGCTGCCGCTGTGGTGGTGTGCACTGCCAGCAATGCGGCGTATGCTCAGGGACTGAGCTTCCTCAGATTTCGAGGGACTCTTGTTTGTGTAGGCGTGCCCGAGGGCAAGATGGTCCCGATTGCAACGGCAGACCCTGCAACTCTTCTTGCTGGGGAGAAACGCATCGTGGGTAGCGCGGTTGGCAATCGAAAGGACGCGCTGGATACATTGGAAATGGCAGCTAGGTAAGGCCCTTGTCGAGACCTCAGAAGACCATCTACTGACCAACTCAGGGGGATCGTCAAGACTCACTTCGAGGTGCAGCCGATGGACAAACTGACAGAAGTATTTGAGCGGATGGATAAAGGCAAACTGCAGGGAAGAGTGGTTCTCGACCTGAGCGGGTAGTTGAAGATTATTTCTTATAGTCGTAGTTACTCCGTCGAGTGAACCTATGTGAGATCATCTGACATTCTTCATGACGATTCGAGGCCAATATATTATATAGCCCATCAAGTCCAATTGCTACTGTCTTTTTTGCCCGCATCTCCGTAATTGCCTTGGACGCGGACGAGGCTGTGTCCAGAGTTGGCGCCAACACCACGCGTAGACCTCCGATACGCTATACAGAATACGAACCAGTTCAACTCCCTTCCATAGCTCACCGTCAATGCAACTTGGCGCAGGTCTCACAGCTCGGAATGCTAGAGAGGTGCGATCTGAAGCAGAGAGGTTGATTACCAGTGTTGGCCTGCTTAGTGGCCTGTGCAAGCGGCAGCGTCCCAGAATGAGAAGATGAATCCGAATCATTCATACAACTACTCCCAGTCGACTCCAGGCCCGCCACAACCTCCCTGGCAAGCTCCTCCTCGCAAGTCTGGATGGGCTGACCCGAGATTCCAACCTCAGCCGCTGTTGTCACCACAAAATGCGAACTACCATGGCTTCGGCCCTCCTCTCCCTCCTCCACCCGACCCCAGCCAGCAGCCGCCTGCGCAGGTCGACACGTCCGCCTGGGGTGTTCGCTACAGTCAGTCGTCGGTGTCTCAGAGTCAAGATCCAAAGCCACCACTACCACCTCGCCCGCCGAGTGCGACTGGCCGAGTAAGTCCGCAGCCTGGACATACTCCTGCCTTCGGCTACCAACCGCAGCCTTCGACGCAAGCCCAAAGCCAGGCAACATCACACCCACATGGGACATCATGGGGTGGTCCATATCTACCAGGGCAAGCAACCCAGGGGCCTACATATCCTGCAAGCGCTCCGGTGCCTCCACCTCCTCCTCCACGTCCAGCAGCATACGAGGCCGAGATACAGTCCTTCCACAATCGAGTAAATACTCCTCAAAGCGAATACTCCCATAGGCCGCCTACCCATCATTACGACCCCCAGCAGCAAAACCCATGGAACACACAGAATAATCCTGCGTCCGTGGCATCTTATTATCCATCTGCGCCGGCACCACATCAGGCCGCAGGAACCAATGATGGATATCTAGTGTCTCCCATAGAAGCAAGCAATACGCAATGGAATCAGCAAGCCGGGTCTAACGCAGTCCAAGCAATTGGCAGTATCCAGACATCCCAACCGCATGTATTGGGTTTTGGAGGGCCTTCAGACTGGGAACACTACGAACCTGGTATGCCCCCTCCCGAACAGACGCCTACCAGTCCACCTCCTCCAGCGGTGGGAAGTCCTTCCCAATACTCTGCGCCCGTCTCGTCGCCGGTAGGACCTGCGGTACCTCCAGCACCCCAGACACCGAAGCCTGCGCCTGTACACACGCCATCACCAGTGGAAATTGGTCTCGCAAGCCCTGTGTCACGGCGCGGATCACACCAACAATCGCCGAAATATCAGGTGGAGTGGTCTCAGCCATCAAACACCAATAGGCCTTCATCTGCGAGCGGTCATGATGCTGCTACTTCTGGACGTTCTGACAGCTTGAATAGTACTGGAAACATTGACAGCGTGATTCAAGCATGGACAACGCCGTTGAGGGTCAAGTCTGGAGGGGAAGCATTCTCGCGGCCTGAATCACGGATCTCTGCTGCATCGCCAGAGCCCAGTGTCGATGGGCGCATGACTGATCCATACGCAGATTTGGCACCAGAGTTTAAAGCGTCATTGAAGAGATACGCCACTATGCTACGGAAGGAGTCTGCAGCAGATTCTGATGAAGAGAAGTTTGAAATATTTGAAGCATTTGTTTCAAAGGAACTCCGTCTGAGGAGCCTTCTATATGGCGTGGAACTCAGTAAACCCACCAAAGATGTAAAAAAGGCTGCTAATCTTGTTGACATCCAGGCGGCACTGCCACAATCTATACAGGAACCCCCAAATTCTGCTAGGACGGCCAGTTTAGACATTTCCGCTCAGCCCGCAACGACGACAACGACAACTGCAGCGCAGCCGACTGTCACGCGACAACCCCCACCAAGCGATGAAAACAAACAATCTGTCCTTGCAAATGTGACCGTGACTTCAAAACCTGCAGCATCTTCTCTAACTCATACAGGCTCCGAGGATGATGGAGAGGAAGCATACAGCCCAGGCGGCCGTCCCAAGGTTGGCAAAGCTTCTAAAGCAACTGGTCCCTCCCCAGTCTCGGATAGCAAGTCCAGCGCCAGTGACAATGCAGTCGAGAATGAAGCTTACAGTCCTGGCGGTCGACCTATCATCACTAGCCTGACAAAAGGATCTGATAAGCTTTCAGTGAGCATACCTCCACAAGGCAAAGGCCGTGATCACGATTCTCCTGGCCCAATCTCCCCTAGTCTCAATGCGCCGATGGTCCTCGAGGACTATGCTATGGCACGACCGCCGTCCCCCGGGGTTAATGCGCCGATTATTGTACAACCAGAGGCATCTCGTACGTCCCCGAGCCAGCCTTCTGCAGGACAAAGACCACCCTCTACACCCATCAAATTCGAGCCTCCCCGTCCTGCATATACTCCGTTTCGATACAGTGCTGCTACTCAGGCTGCACCAACGAAACCATTCCAGCCTGCGGATCAAGCATACTCAAGCTTGCGGCACTCTATGGTTGATTCTGGTCGACTTCTGACGCAGGAGGCATCACTGATCCCCCCAAGACCTTATTCGGCCAGTGGCAGAAAAGAACATGACGAGGCTTTCATAGGTTTAATCCGAAATCAGAGTATGGCCGTCAGACAGAAGACACCAGGACCGCCGGATGCTCTCAAGCTTGGTGACAACACAGTGAAGTCTAACACTCCAGTGTCGAGAGGGCTAGAAACTTCTCCTCTCACAAGGGCACAAGATCCTCTCAAGCGAGCCATGATAGCATTGCGAGCTCTGGTACCCGAGGAAGGTATCGTCGATTCCAATTCAGATCCTAGTGTACAAGATCTGAAGACAAAAATCGAGGCTGTTCCTGATCAATTTACCTTCATTCATGAGACTGTTGTCGAATGGGATCGAACGAACCGCGGGGTACGAAGACAACAAGACGCCGAGCGAAGGGCCCGGCAAGAAGAGTCAGAAGCACATATTGATGCTTTGTTCAACGACAACGAGATCGGCTATGCTGATATAGGAGATCTGGAGGCTGAGTTCAAACTTGCCGAAGCCGAGCGACGGTATCGCGAGAACCAAGAAGAGCTTGAGTCCTTCACCGCTCAAGTTTACACCCCTGTAACTGAAAGGCTTCAAAAAGAGATTCAAGAATTAAACCAAGCGTATGCGACGGCAATGGAGCTCTTAGCTAGCAATTGTGAGCCCGTCAGTCGATGTCTCAAAGCGCGGGGCGGGAAAGCAAAGATGGCCGAGGTTATGGCTTGTGTTCTTACCCTCTTCAACAAGATTGAGATCAGGCACCGCAAACTAGCCGAAGCAGACGTGGAACGGGAAAGACGACGCAAGCATCTCGAGCTCACAGTTCTCTACACGAACAATGACAAGGACGGCATGAAGAAATTGGAGCAGGAGTTCGCGGCAGCAGAGAACGCTCAGGTCTTACACGAAGCTCGAGCTACGGATGAGAGAGCGAACAAGCTCATGGACGCATTCGATCGAGCGACCGTCCGCGGACTAGGAGACAACCAAATGTTCATCGATGATGTACTGGTCAAGATACAGGATCTTAAGCAGGAGATTACTTCCAGAGGGCAGGCCGTCAAAGAGAAGCTTTACGAGCCATCAGGAGCTCGCGACACCTTATCAAGGATCCAAGACGCTGTTGATCTTATCATGACGGACTCGCGCACACTCCTCGCATTATCCAACGAAGCGGATGTGCTGTTGAACGACGCAGATTATGGAGTGTCTGTTGCAGAGGCCCGCGTTAGCAACGCTGGAAAGGAAACATACGTGAACCTCGCCAGAGAAAAGGCCAAGGAAGACGCTAAACTGGTGGAAGAAGTGAATACACGTATTGGCAGCGTGGTAAAAGGGCCACAGCATGCCCTTGACATCCTTCGCGGAATGATGGATCAAATCGGAGCCGACCCAGAGCACCAGGACCGGATCAAGAAGGCTCTCGAGGCAGCCAAGCAGCGCAACGCCGTGAACGACCCGTCACGAGATTGAGATTAAGTAATAATGTAGTCATGCATATACCATCTAATTTTCTGGAACGCACAACTTGCAGCCGATAAAGCGAGCCATTTCAGCCTATACAATTCCTAGGACTAGGATCAGGCCAGCATGGATGTCACGGAACAGATCTGGAGAAGGTGAGGCGTAGGGAACCATGGGCGGTACGTTTTCACAAATGCAATAGTTGAATCCTCCTGCCGGCTGCAGCTTGTTCAAGGATGGTACTGGGTGCATCCTCCGAGACCTTCGCGGAGAGTAGGGATATGTTTTCCGCGATGGCGTAGCTTTTCGTCGGACGCAATTCAGCTTTTGAGAGTCATTTGAGCGGTTGTTGAAACGAGCCACCTCCACCGTCCAAGAGAGTTTCGCATGACATGCTGAAAAGGTACTATACGACAGAGTACCGAGGACAGTATCAAGGCATGCTGTCGCTTCCAAGGCCACAGGCCAAAGCTAGCTCTACCGCCTAAGCCACTAAAGAGGCTCGAGCCTGCGCGTTGTGTGGCTGCTAGACCTAATAAGGCTTGTTAGACGGCGGGGTGAAGGTCTCAGTAGCTCCACGAATCCACGTCCACGGGCTACGCAAGACAAAAGGCTGACGTCGAGCTGGGCCCCCCTGGTAGGCTCACCCTCACTGAAACCATTGACTCAAGTCAACTCCTCCACGTACAAGCACTTCTCCTAGCTGAGCCGGAGCTTGCTGAAGTCGACGAAGAGCACTGCGACTCAGGGCCAGTGGACTGTTTGAGACGCCTACTGTATGTCTGATGGACGAGCCCTTCTGCCATTCACACGCGACGTCGTCGAGGCCAAGACGCGTTGGTGCCAGGCATGAGTGGCGAAGGTAACGAATCACCATGCAGGCTGTCAGGGACACATTTTCAGCTACGGGGCGCTGTAGATCAGGAAAATGGATGAGAGATCGAGATATTTCGTGAGACGGGTGGGTTGGGAGTGGGAAAGGACCAGGGGCAAAGCATTATTGGAGAGAACTATGTCAGCCCTAACGAAGGCAGGCGAAGAGGAGGTAAGAATTGTTACCTACATGCTATAGGCTATGGACTACGCCTTCGTGTGTTCAAATGACTCTCAGACGCCTTGTGAACGGATGCGTGCTCACTAGGCTGGCGGTGGCTTGCAAAGGATCGACGCCACACATTGGAGGCGAAGATGAAGTGGCCGAAAAGAGAAGAGTGGTTGACGAATTCGGTCAATGGAGGATCAACCGGTTTTGCACGACGGCGAAAAGCAACTTCAGCTAACTCAAACACCGCCCAATAACACCCAAGGGTTGATGGTGGTGATGCGAAGACTCGTTTACCTAGGGTACCTAGCTAGGTTAGTCCCCTGGAGTAATAAAAGTTTAGTTGGCCAGTCAGTGTTTACCAGCCACCGCGGGCACTGTGCGAAGATCGGAGGGATCAACAGAAAACAGCACTGCTGGGGACGGGACTCTGGTGGGAATGAACAAACAATATACGAGTACGGAGGATACTGTGTAGATCCTGGTGAGTCAACGTTCTACCCGATGTAGGCAGGTAAATTGTGCAAGATACAGTAGATGTCTATGGACCTAGGGATTGGGGGATCTATTGTACACTGTACGCCGTAGAGCTGGTAGCTAAGCTATGTACCTTGGATCTGGGGAACAGCACGATACTTGCGGGCAATGGCCCTAGTAAAAGAAGCATGCACCCCATGCCCATCGGTGCCTGAGAACTGAGATCTTGTTACTCCGTAGCAGCAGCACATGTACGTTATTTAGCTACCTTAAGTTACGGCGTTCCCGGTATAGTCGTGATTTAGTCAATCTGTGGCACGACAGGCCCTCGTACTGTTGGGTGCTTCCGCTGCGCCCATAACTGACGCCCGCGACAGTTTTGTCTTTCGCACCTGCAGCGGGCGCTGGGCCGATGCGAAGGGGGCGTGATTGGCACCTACAACTCGTTGGATCGGTCACTAACTAAAATGATCAGCCTCACCAGCCAGTGCCTCGCCAAGTAGCCAAGTGGCCAAGCAACCCAGTCGGCAGCCCAGTGGCCCTTTTATCCAACACTGCCACAATTGTTGACGCCCGTAATCGTAGATTTGTTAGCAGCTGCATACAATGGACTCATTAGTAGGCGCAACCCCCCTTGCCGTTCTCTCGTCGCTGGCTGCTCTCATCATCGTCATCGGCACACACAAAGACAAACCTCGCCTCGAAGATTTCTACGGGAGTCCTCCATCTCCTTGTCATCGTCCTGTCACTCGATCCTCTCGTCCACGCGCCCGTTACGAGAAACACGAGCGGAGCCACACTCAGGAGCAGCCGGCCTGGTGCGCCATCACTAGCCCACCAACCTCATTCTGATCCCTGCCCAAGTCGTCACTCCTCCGCACATCCCAAACACTGGATCGCGGGCTATAGTGGCTGCAGGTGGCTCAAAAATCCTTCTGCGCCACTTCGCTTTTTCCTCCCTCTCTCTCTCACACACACGCTTCAGTCCCCCCCGACCCTCGTGCGAGTCTCGTGAGGCAACAAACCCAAGGTGCCACTCGGAAGCTGCAATTCCAAGAGCGGGAACAAAGCTGGACCAAGACAACCGTGTCTCGTTGATGTCCTTTCGTCTGTGTCATCCACTCTTACGCCTCTCCTGGCTTGTTTCTCGACAGCCGCAAGCCACTTGACAATAGTAGACTCCACCAGCAAGCCATTTCTATCCACCCCAGGGCACCGGGTCCTGGCCCAATCGATAGCCTGTAGGCTGTGAGCCTTGCAATCGTCACCTCTCCGGAAGTCCATCTTGCACCCCCAGCGTCACCCGTCACCCGTCACGGCCATCAGTTCATCAATCCCATTCTGCCGTCCTTCTACCCATCCCTTCATCCCATCCCCCCCCTCGACTTTCGGCTTCACTAAGCTTGGGACGCTCATCTTTTCCAAATACACGTCTGGAGAGCGCCGACACTTCTCACGCCACGCATCGTATCCTTCCATCCCAAGAGCTTCGTCCCTCCAGGCGAACGAGACCATCCAGTGTCTTCGCCCGTGGCTCAACACCAGGACGGCGCCACATCAATCCCAACTAGGTTGTGGTCAAGCTTTCGTCAACAAATCGCGTGTCATTTCAACGGGCACTCATATTGGTGGCTAACGGGCCATCACACTCCTCCTGGTGGCCGCTCCGTCAATTCTTGCCCGCCCGCCTCTCGAGTCGAGTTGAAACCAATACGTACTTAACAACACCCAAAACCATTTGCTGGCTTTGCTGCCGGCTGGTTTCGACTGCTCTACCTCTTCAATCAACACCTATCGGCCCAGCTCGATTCCTTGCTTCCTCTCCTCGCGCGCGCACAACAACTGTGCCGCCACAGCTTCGTACGGAAAATCATACCGTTCGACGTGTCCCAACGCCGGCCGACGCACACTCAAAGGAGGGTACATCCCAGCCTCATTCGCTACCAACCTGCGCCAACCGCGAAGTCTCCCTACGCTCACCTACCTAGTTTCTTGCATTCCACCGTCAACACCTTCGTTAGTGTTAGCAAACAGCATATCGACGCCGAGCCTTGAGAAAAATACCTATCCCGCATTTACGAAGCCTGCCTTTTCACTGGGAAAGCAGCCCTTCGCCGTTGTTCGCCGCTGCTGCAAGTCAGCCTTCTAGTTTCGAACTGCGAATTTCCTCCTCAATCAATCGCCTCGGTCGCATACCATGCTGTGTATTGTCGCTCTTTCCAAGAGATAGGACAGAGGACTCTAAAAACAGATCAGCGCCGGCGCCGCGCATCGACTGGCAAGGTTCAGCCACAACCTGGCTCTTGTTTCGTCGGGAAAGACACTGGTCAGGCTTGATCATCGCTTGTCCACCATCTGCGCGCCTGAACATATGTACGCACGAGGTACGCCGTTACATTCACGCACGCGCCCTCTTCGTGCAAGACCAGGATCTCCATTCCTGCTGTGGGGACTCTGTTCCATTGTTCACGCGGCCTTATACCTAAGTGTTCGGTATTTGCTGACGTTTTTTGACTCAGGCCCGAACCGCTCAGTCGAGACTTTACCTGTTTATGGCCGAGTCCAACATCGATCCGCAAGTAGCCCAGGAGGGTTCATCGCCGGCCTTTCCTACTTTCATTAAACCTATCAGTCCTGCTCAAAATCAACCAAAGCTAGGAGCCACTGATCCCGACGACTTCGAGGACTCATCAAGATCTACAAAGAGGCGAAAGCTCGACACTCCTCAGTTGACTGCTGCTGCTGCCTTCGCTGAAGCGGGGCAGGGACTCCCAAGATCGATATCTCCAGCGAGTACGGGCACCAGCCCGAATCCTCCCCAACAGGTTCTCGGCGCTCTCATGGGCGCGAATTCCAATCTCACGAGCAAGGCTCCCCAGTCTGTCACTGACAATGTCACTGATCCAACGACTACAGTCAGCGAGCCTCTGGCCGAGGTGGCTGAGAGTATACAGCAGGCCTCTGCTTCAGCTGCCGACGTCTCTGCAGCCGGCGACAGTCATGCCGAGCAGACCAGCCCAACCAGCCTGTCCAGTGTAGGGACTTTGGAGAGTGTACATGGTGTTTCGGGCATCACCACTACAGTCGGAAGCCCGCTGCCCATCGAGCAAACTGTTGGTCAGGTCGTGAATGCCATGGAAGCAGGCTCTACCTCACCTGGCGAAGGGTTCAAAGGCTCTTCGTATCCAACCCCTGGCTTGCAGTTGCCGCCGAATGAAGGCGCTAGACGAGGAATGAGCTTGCCTCAGTCCACCTCACGACCAGGTACAAGATCTCCCTCCAGCAAGAAACACAGATGCCCCTATTGTGCCACCGAATTCACCCGTCACCACAATCTGAAGAGCCATCTGTTAACACATAGTCAAGAAAAACCATATGTATGCTCCACCTGCCAGTCGAGGTTCCGACGCTTGCATGATCTCAAAAGACACACCAAGTTACACACCGGCGAACGTCCTCATATTTGCCCAAAGTGTGGTCGCAAATTCGCCCGAGGCGACGCTCTGGCGCGCCACAACAAAGGCCCTGGAGGCTGTGCCGGCCGCCGAGCCAGTATGGGCAGTTACGGCGGAGATGACGACGCGGAAGGCGATGAGTCGATGGAAGGTGTCATGTATGGTGAACCTGAGGTCATGGATGACGAAGCGGGCAATGACAAGACCCCGCGAATACGTCGTCAAGCTCCCTCAGGAGACGACACGGTGGACGATGCAGAACAGGCCTCGCGATTTCCCAGCACCTATCCACCTATTCAGGGTCGTCCTCCGGGTGGCCTTGCAGGTGGCGGTTACCAACCTCGTGGCACCTTCAACCCGAGTCCGTCCGGGTCTGGCAACGCAGTTGTGCCGCCTGGGGCACCACCTCCGTTTCCGCAAGTCTCTGGGTCTTCTTCGGGATCGAGAACCTCGATATCCAACGCCGTGTACCCGCAAAACCCGATGACGGAGAGTCCGAAACCTCTTTCGCCAGGTCAGGTGCATAGAGCGCAGTTGACGGGCGCAGCTGACGCCAGTCTAAACCGCAATCGGTCTCCTAGCAGCTCGAGTCACTATCCACCAGGATCGTTTGGTCGAACCAGTGGTACGAGCTCGTCGCTTGGGCTGCCATCTGGACCCCAGCTACCTCCACCGAATGTGGTCAACCCGGTAGACTCCAGATACACCTTGTCCAGTCAAGGTGGCCCCGCCCATCCGCCCACACAGCCTTCTGGGCCTCCCACGCACATGAGTGGTGGTGGACCTCTGTCATCTCATAGCAACAGTCTCTCTTCTGGCCATGCTCATTCCGCCCATGGCAGCGGAGAGACTTCCAACATGTTTGCCGACAAAGATAGGCTCTGGGCATATGTGAACAGTCTCGAGCAACGGATGAATTCCATGCAACAGGAGATTGAGAGCCTGAAACATCAACTTGCGGTTGCCACGCAAGGAACTCAACAGCAACCACGAATGTGAAAGAAAAGGTGCATACCACCACATGATTTTCAGCAACAACGAGAAATCCGATATCAGACGATTTTTAGCCGCGACCACGAATAAGTTCAAGAAGGGTAATACTATAGTCCATGTCTCAGGCAGATGACACGAGATCCGTGGGCGTAGAGCCAAAAGATGGAAGGGCCCAATACCAAAAAAGCATTGACAGGAGCAATGAATTTTCTTTTTCTTTTCATTTCTTGCATATCGCTCAACTATACTTATAGATACCCCATTGAGTTTTTTGTCTCTTTTCTGCTTTCCTATGGTCTCTGAGTTTCTGCTAGGGCTTAGCAGGGAGAACAAAGGACCAGGGAGGCAGGTTGTGTCGTACGAGCTCCAGGCGTTGAGACAGGGGAAGAAGGGATGAAAGATGATCTCGCAGGATTGAGAGGAAGGGGGAATTACGGAATGTATTTTCTATTAGGGGGTTCATACGGACGACAGTGCAGGGATAAAGGGATATATATATACCTACGGTGGTATGTATGGTTTGACCCCGAGAAGAGAGATTCAGTCATTACCTCAGGTCGGGCATGGGGGAGGAGTGTGAGAGGGAAATGACTGGCTTTTTTCCCCAGCTTTTTAGTGTCTCGGTCCTCTGCACGTTTGAGGATATGTATCAATATGACTCAAAAGCTTTGATTGTCACATTAGTACAGGTACTCGAACTACGAGCAGGTATCTGTTCTATTTTAATTAGGTTGTGAAGCAGTTTTGATGGAGCAGTTTCCTTTTTCTTTTCTGTGTCTGTGTCTGTTGGGGTGCGTGAAATCATACCTGTGAGGAAGTCTGTGTAACGGTGTAGGGAGGGTGGTACACACCACGTACGCAGTACGGGAGTAGACACGGAGTGTCCGGTTGTGTGGAAGAGCAGGAGAGGGAAAGGAGATAGGTAGGCAAAGTGAGTTTCTCGAATGGACCCAGCCAGTCGGGGGCGCGCGCCCACCTTCCGGGGGTTATCGGCGGGGCGGAGGTCCTCCTCCGAAACAGGCCTCGCCGCGGCGACGAAGGGGACGTGGGAAGATGAAGAAGGCGCCCCGGGAGATAGGTACTGGATGAGGGGAGGGCGGCGGTCGTCAAGCGATATTGCCTCTGCAGACCTCATGAGATTGTTGACGCAGAAAGAAAACTGGCCGCGGTCGTTCCCCTGGATTCCGGTACGGGGGAAAGTGGCTGGGCAAAGGTTGCGGACGTGGAGGGACAATGTCTCTCTCTCTCTCTCTCTCTGGGAGACGGATGGGCCGTTCACCAGACCTGTCAACTTGTGTTCGATAACATTCATCCTTGTAGTGACACCCCAAGCCAGTAGCAGCAGTAGTAGTTGTGCTCTCACAGGTGAGAGAGATGTGTAGGTCGAAACCTATCAGTGGAGATGTCGCTTTTTGCCTCCAATGTCCCCCCGGCCTTAGTTCCTGGATCATTCGGTACACACCCATGTACCCTCGTACCCTGAGCCCAATCGATCCCCTTCCGTATCTTCCACGGACCGTGTCTTTTCTTTGACCATCGCTTCAAGGGTCCATCTTCAGCTGGGCGGTTGCCACCGCCGCCACTTTGGCTGGCACTTCACGATCATTCTCCTCCACCAGCTTATTCAGATAGACCGTGACTCGGTGGTGGTGGTGGTATAGACTGCCCGAGCAGTCCGATCCTCTCGACAACCTCACGCGTGGAATCAAATTTCCCATGCCAGCAATCCAGTATCAAGGGTCCCATGTGCAGATCATCCACGTCCGGAAATTTGATCGTTCCCGTACAGGCGCTCGACGTGCTCTCGTGCGTTTTCCATTCCGTTTGAACCCATGATACGGGGGACCGCCGGTCTCGATTTCATAGAGGGCACAAACCCAGGGCAAAGATGTCGGTCTGCACCGTGGCGTGGGGCGTGGACGGTTTATTCATAGCCGAACCACTCGTACGAGGAAAATGGCTCTTCCCCCGTCGAACGCTGCAGCCTTCCAAGTCGATGAGTTTTGAATCGCCCGTCAACGATGATCATGTTTCGACATCCCACGTCGGCCTGAATGATATCGTGGTCGTGTAGATGTTGCAATCCCACGGCCGCCTGTTTGCTCCAGCGACACTCTGTGCGCAATGAAATTAATCCGGTACCGTTTTGCTTTTTTTGCTTGGAGAGTTTGACCTCGAAGCACTTGTCCGCGCCCGAGGACAGTGGAACCATCTTCCCAGAGCGCCCAGGAATTCGGCAACGTCGGGATGATGGCCTAGGCGGTCATAAACTTTTCTCGCTCGGCACGAATCTCGTCGTCGTCGTCGTTGTCGCCGTCGTACCTCTTCACCACTCGTCGCGCGCGTCAAGCGCGTACACACTGCCTGATTTTCCGACGTCGATACAACCCAGTCCCTCTAGAGCGGAAGTTGAGGGAAGGCTGCGGTTGTCCATATACGTCTCTTTTTTTCCAGCATGAATGTGTAGCGGCACATGATCGACATAAGAGAAGAACTAGACGATGAAATTGATTTAAAGAGGGGTTGGTTTCGAACAACAATGTTCATCTGTGGTTATAGCGGCGTGGAGAGAAATTAAATGTAACGGGCGACTTGCCGTGGACTCTGCAGTATGTGGACTGTAGTGTGCATGGAGCGGCGAGTAGGGATGTACCACTGATATTGTCCTACTTTACTTATCCTCTACTCTACCCTACCCTCGGTAGCCTTAAGTAGCTACGTAGGTAAGGTAGACAGACACGTCCTTCGTTGACCACGGAGTACGGTACCAGAGTACTCGGATTGTAACTACTACGGAGTACCTGGGCAGGTATACACTTATTCACCCGTCGGTGCTTTTCAAACAAACAGACTTGGTATTTATTTGACGCTATCAAGTAAATCCGAATCCGATTGAAGATGGGTCGAATCGTCGGTGGCCGCCGAGAGCGTTGAGGGCCAAAGATCAAAGGTTCGAGCAAGGGTGTCGAGTTTGTTTGACATGGTTTACGATTTGGAGGTATATGGGTTCGGCCCCTTGTACCCATCCACGTCGGTCGAGTTGCTTAGCGTTTCGAATTTCTTGTAGTTTTGTTCGTACTGGTCTAACTTGTTCATGATGGCGGCGTACTATCTCGGGGGGAAACCAAAAGAAGAGGAAGAGTTAGTAACAATTGTTAAGTCAAATATCGTTTGGTATAAAGAGAGAACGAGAAAGGTTTTGAACCGATTCGGCCAATTCGGATGGGAGGGCTGGTGGTGGTGGTGGTCGTGTTCGCGCCGAGAGGGCTGAGTGTGCTGACGCTAGGTCATGCCATGGAAAAGAAACAGGAACTGGGAGTCACGGCACAAGAGATCGCAACAACGGAGTAAGAGAGTATCGGAAAAACATACCGCATCACTACCAATCACGCATCTCAACGGGGGATCTTTCATAGTGGCCAATTCGTACATTGCTCTGGCACCCTTGACGGGGTCACCGGCCTGAGTACCGTGACGGGCACCCATACGTTCAACAGCGTTCATGTCTGCGTATTGTTTTTTGTCAAGTCAGTTACCAGTTGACATTTTCCTTATTTCATTCTGCCTTTTGCAATGTGTGTCGGAAGGAGTGTTCGGATTTGTGCTTGTGCTGCTGCTTGTGTTTGGTAGAAAAGGGGAAGCGTGACGGAATAAGAAGAAACAAAAAAAAAGCACTCACGATCATAAGCCGGATGACGGTCGGCAAATTGCATGCTTCGTCCAGCCCAATCCGTCCGAAAGCCACCGGGCTCGACGCAGGTGAACTTGATGCCCCATTCGGGCTTGACCTCGAGACTGACTGACTCGGTGAAGCCCTCGACGGCCCATTTGCTCGCGCAGTAGACGCTGAACAGCGGCACGCCGCGCTGCCCGCCGATGCTGGTGACTTGTTGAATCAGCCCGCCTTGCGGCTGCTGGCGGTCCCGCATCACCTGCATGGCTTCGCGGGTCACGTCGATGAGGCCGAAGAAGTTGATGTCCATCTGCTGCCGGACCTGCGCGTCGGTGTACTCTTCGAAACAGCCTGCGAGCCCGTACCCGGCGTTGTTGACCACGACGTCGATCCGGCCGAACTTGTCGAGCGCCGAGTTGAAGGCGGCCTTGATGCTCGCTTTGTCCGTCACGTCGAGTCGAACTGCCAGGTGGTTGGTCGGCGTGGTGCCCTTGAGTGAGACCTTGGAAGGGTCGCGGGCAGTGGCGACAACGTGGTCCCCGCGGTCCAGGACTTCTTGGGCATATTCTCGTCCGAAGCCCGTGGAGCACCCGGTGATGAGGAAGACGCGGGGCATGGTTTGTGAGTTGTAAGTTGTGGGAGCTTCTGGGACTACTCGCGCCTGTGTGGGTCGTGGATTGCTTTGTCAGGTCGTCTGTGTCTGGTGTCGGTGACTGTCTTAATTACTATGTCGGTGTCAGTGTCGATGTGGTGTGTGGTGTGTGACAGTGTTAGGTTAGGATATGATGGTTGTTTGAAGCCGTCCTACACAGCCTCTTTAAATACCCGGATACTCTCTGGTGTTTAGGCGCGGAGATAAAGCAAGAGCCGCTTCTTTGCCTACGGAACAAACAAGACTTGAAGGGTGCATTCCGTGACGTTGAGAGAAAAGGAGACACGAAGACGTGTAGTCCGTACAAAGTCCTGCGTATAGATCGTCCGCCTTCCTAAAAGGATATAGTGGCTGATGGGTGAGTAATACGCCGGATCAATGGTCAACTTCCTTGCTTGTCGCTAGTGACAAACCTTGGTAGATAAACTCGGGGATAGGCTATAGAATACAGCCAGCTAAAAATGAAAGGATGGGAGCTGGAGGGAGTCAGTGGGTCATGTCCAGAGAGTCTGGAATACGTTATCACAACCTCCGTTCCCCCCGATATAGATAGGAACAGTGTAAGTGCTCAGTAAACAGGTACCTACGTGCCTCCGTTGATGGTGGCCCGTAGCGAGCCGTAACGAGTGCCTCCGGAGAAGACTACTTGCATACTGTAGTAACACGAGCAAGTTAGTTCACTTGCTCGTTAGTGACGATTGGCTGCATTTTCAACAGCTTCCCTCCATCCTCTATCGATAAGCCTCGTACACTAAAAACTTAGGTACAATCTGCACACGCGGGGTTCTTCCAAGAATACCTTTTACTTGTGTAACCCTCTACCGGTACCAACAGCTCATTCGAAACTGCTGACTTCTTCACAATTCTCAATTCTCCTGGTGCCATCCACCATTACTTGTCAAGCTATGTCTGCTTCATCTCAGAACGCCGGGGAATCCGCTCCCAGTGAATCTACACGATCACCGCAGGCGGCCTTGCAACCGTCACGGCTCAATAGGGCGCCATCGTTGACGAGCTTCTTGCTCGATTCTGCCCCTCAACCATTCTACATGGCGACGCAGCATCCGTTTCTTCGTCACGCTGGGCTGGGCACGCTCTCCAAAGAAACCCTCGAACGTTGGCTGTCACAGGACCGCCTGTATGCTCAATCCTACATCGGCTTCATTGGTGCCCTGATTGCTCGAGTCGAGCTGCCCTACAGCGTCGCCGACCAGTCCACCTCATTGCGCTGGCGGATTGTCAATCTACTCTCTTCTGCACTCGAGAACATCCTTAGAGAATTGCGATTCTTCAATGACACTGCGGAAAAATATGGCCTACGACTCGACGCATCCGCTGGGCCAGAAGGACCCTTCACGGCTGAACCAGCGACAAAGCAATACATTGACCTATTCCGAGCTTTCTCGACCGACCCGAGCATGAGCTTACTCGAAGGCCTCGTCGTCCTGTGGGCTACCGAGAAATGCTACTTGAAGGCATGGACCTTTGCGTCGTCGTTCATGGAGCCTTCTGGAGCACCGGCAGCTCATGCCGATAAAGATGGCGGGGCGCTGCGTAACGAATTCATTCCCAACTGGACAAGCCGCGAGTTTGAGAAATTTGTCGAGGACATCGCAGAAGTGACGGACCTGTTGGCTGAGCGCGAAGACGCCATCAACCGGAGTCAGGACGTATATACTGCCGTGTGGGCGCGGTTACTCGATATTGAGGCCAAGTTTTGGCCCTCTGTAGAAGAATCCTAGAGGACAAATCGACCAGACCATGTGTCGTTGAATGCTAAACTTTGCTCTCAATCGAACCCCCTTGTAGGCCGCACATTGTCGGCTCGCCACAGACCCATGACTGCACCCGTTTCATTCATCCACTCTCTTGCGCCGTTGACGGCAGCCTTTGCCATTCCAGTGTTCCGTCGCTTGTGTCCCTTTTGGAACCCCACCCCTTGTCTTTCGCCCGTTGCATACTCGGACCCCATACTCGGGAGAACATTCTCGCCTGCGCTCAGACTGACGAAGAGCGAGAACGGCACCAGCCACACACACAGGCCGAAATAGGACGCGATCTCGGTGAAGGAGGGTTGATCGTACGCGGGCGCTGCTGAATACCAATCCCGCCTGCTGCTCGGCACGCCGCGGTAGCCCGTAGGTCGACTGAAGTGCCGGAACCACAGCCAGTGGTTGAGGATGACCAGGCCGCAACTCGCTATGAAGAAGGGGTCGGAGAGCTTGACTATGGGGAAATGGCGCAGGTTCGTCGAGTACACGCCGTGGCTGGCAACTCCCAGCAGAGTCAGGTACCAGGGGAACCCGTCGACCAACCAGAGAAGCACCTGTGCCACCACGACCACATAGATGAGTCGTCTGAGTAACTTGGCGCTGAGCACCGAGTGTTCTTCGACGAGTTCGGAGAGGTAATACAGCCCGGACGCGATGGACAGGGTGAGGAACCCGAATCCCACCACTAGCCCAATGTAACCGAGGAGAGGTAGGATGTACATCTTCTTCTTCCTTCTTCGCCCTGCAAGAGGCCGTGTTGGACTGGCGTTGTTATCTAGCACTGTCGAATTTACTCCCTCAACACTCCGTCCTTTCTAGATTTTTTTGGGCATGGTCTTTCAAAGGGCCAGCTGTCACTTTCTTCGAACGAAGACGACGGGGTTGGGGAAGTAAAAAGCCACCAGTGACGTAGACCGGGTAAGTCACGAGCTAGTCCCAATCGTTGATGCTCCCCGCGCCGCTTTAAAAGACGAGAGACACCTTCTCAAGACTCGTATGAGACTTTGATTTGCTCTTCTCATACGATGCATGTCGATGGTATCAGCGTGCTATGTCCTGTTCAAGAATGCTAGTCTACAATATAGCCAAATCCCTCGTGATACCATCGACGTGTATCGTATAAGAAGATGAAATCCCTCGCACCCACTCCAACATTCCTCATCACCGCGCGCCTGTTGCTTTTGGATTTCCTGAGTTAGGTAGCTCTTGAACCATCTGGCCATATCTGCCGTCTGGTCCAAAGAGACCGAAGCGTGAATTTCAATGCCCAAATCCCCGACAATAAAAGGCCATACTCCACTATGGGGAACTCCCAGCTCTAAAAATAATTCCATAAAATATGTACATCGCCAAAACGCTAAGAAAACCAATACAATTCACCAAGAACAATTGCTGACGCTGTCGTAATTTGCATCAAAAGTGGCAAAGCATTCACACGAGCAAATTTCAGTTGACTGACTTTGATGCCTTTGTCAGCGAGCAAATCACGCCAGAGGAGGCCTGCAAGACTCCCAGCGAATGTGTAGCTGAAGGCTCCAATGTTACTGCCCATTGCAACCGAATATATGGCGCCGAGTAGTATTCGATGATCCGCTAAAGCAGCCGAAGACTGCGAGAAAGCAGGGTTTCGCATTATCTCGACAAGGATGATTGTGGCTCCAATGTTTGTGCCCGCGAGGGGACAGAGAAAGGCCGCGCTGACAAAGCCCATGAAGAAAACCGTCTTGGCTGGCGTGGTACATGCGTTTGCAAAGCCCTGGGCGAACACTTTGATCCAACCTCTTTGCTCGAGGCCGCGGACAAGAATAAACTCGCACATGGCAAAAGGCAACAGTGAGATCGGAAGTCGGCGGACTGTGCGCGTGGTTCTGGGAAAGCGGTTGGCCACGTTACGTGCAAAAGAAAGGAGAGACCATTCCTCTGTCGCCGAACCGATCGTGTTGGGAGTGCTTAATGGAGGAGGATCGGGCTCTTCTTTGGATTCCTTCGCATGACCATCCACTGGGAGTTGCTCTCTCGGTGGTTCGACGATTTGATCTTCTGTGGACGACGTGTACGAATCCTTGACCGCAACCTCCTGCTTTCCATCAGGTCTCCATAGATCGCTTACGACTTCGAAGCAAAAGGCCAACACGCCAGCCGGCATTGTGACCATCCACACCTCGACGGCATGACCTGGAACAAAACTTGTGCCAACCAGGACGGCGATCGTGATGAGCATGAGGGCACTCAGCGCGAAGGCCCCAATGCGATCGCGTAGCTTTGACCAGGGATCAACTTCGATCGGTATCAGGGTTTTGGGGATTTTCTTCCAAAACATGGCCATCAGAATCGGATATGTTAGGATGGCCGGGATTATGGAAGGCAGGACCGTCCATTTCGTGAAGTCTGTCAAATAATTCAAGGAAAAACTGCCCGCAATGAGGATATTGGTTGGGTTGGAAGACACCAGCACAGCCGATGCGGTGTTTGCAGCCATAAATTCGCTGAAGGTCCATGCCTCTGGCTGGAGTTTGGAATGGTGCGTCAGGTACGCAAGAAACTGCCACCCCGGTAAGTGTCTGCATGTGTGAATCACAAGGGTTGATACTAGCATACAGGAGTCCCCGAGAGAATCAAAGGATCGTTCCCCACAATACAGGCAGTCAACAAGAAGAATGCGTAGAGATAGAGGAAGAGCAAACGGCCGGAACTTCCACCTTTCTTGGACACCCAAAGCGCTACCGCTTCGAGAGCGCCGGTACCGTCGAGAGCGATAGAGATGTATGCCTGTGAAAATTTAGACAGTGTTCGAAGATAAATTTGACTGTCTTACCAGAGAAATGAAAAGGACCAGCACATCGTATGGCTTGATGCTTTCATCGCCTTTGATTCCAAGTTTGATCGTGCTGCCATGGATAGTGGTCGTCGCTAAGAGTAAGATCACTCCAATTATCGGCGCGGTTTTAAGTGACAGAGAAAGATGTAGTCGTTGTTGGGATAGCTTGTCATAGTCGCCATGAGATATTATCCTCGTCGACCGGAGTAGGAGCAATAGAGGTCGTTGGGCAGGTTTGGGGATCGGGATCCGCAGAGGCCAAATCACGAAGATCGAGACGACGCAAAAGACAGCGAGAATAAAGCCACTGTGACCATTCAAGTGGCCTTGCTGCCCGTCGAGTTCGGTCATGCGTCGCGGAGTACTGGCGACTGCTATCGAAAATGTCGAGCGAAGAGAGTCCGACACTGACAACGTCGAGAAATGTTGTTAAAGAACCGAGTCCGAGTCCGAGTTTCAATGGTTACACCCGCACTGTTTGCAGTTAGAACATTGTTATCCTATCACGAAGCCACGTTGAACCTTGTCGTTCTGGGCACCACAGTGAAGGGATCCTCTTCAAACTTGGCACTCACATGTCATGAATGTGAAGACCTTAACATTGTTAATATTGTGACCCGTTGTGACCATCATGGAAAACTCCTCAAAGCACACTGTGCGAGGAGTGAGGGCGGTGAAGATAATGCAGACAACGACGAGGCTGGTATTCACCTTGTGCTCCAGGTAGTTAGGCACCTAATTTTGGTTATGTAAGGGACTTTTAGGGCCTTAAAGGCTCTCTTATCGATAAGACCTGCTGCGCCTTCATGCGCTTCGCTCTCCGCGCTGCTATACAACTTCCCTCGAATAAATCTTTGGCCATAGAAACGCAATGGCAACAACAGCAGAGTCAGACCAGTCTGCTGGTCAGGAAGTCAATTGGAAGAAAGAAGACAAAGCTTTCCAAGCGTAAGTGAGATGCTATAACATCCGCATACCCGCATGTGCTGATGGTCTGGGGCCATTGTAGGAAGCGCACCTCAGAATACTACGATCCATGCCAGGAGGCAGCGAACAAAAGCATCAGGTGTATGAACAGAAATGGAGGAGATAGAGATATGTGCCAGGATTATTTCCAGTACGTTGATCGCCCAACGCAGCCTACAAATACCTGCCCGCTGAATGAAGCTTTGATCTCGCTGCTACTTGCTAGGCCGGAAGAACTGACAGTGTCCACGGAAAACAGAGCGTACCGGGATTGTAAGAAAGAATGGGTATGAGTGCTCCCGGCTGAAATCGCGACAACTCGTCTAACAATATTTGCACAGATGGCGCGGCGAAAAGCTCAGAGCAAGTCATGGTTCAGCTGAGTGACCTGGTGCCGTGTGGTCGTATTTGGCAATGTGAAAAACTACATGTATAACAGATAACAGGGACATATATCAAAATCTCTAAAAGCATAGCACGGCGCGGATTATGCACAAATTAATGTCACAGCAGCCGGAGCGTCCTGTCCGTGTCAATGAAATATCTTTTCTGGTGAAGAAGCACGAACCCTGATGTCATAAGAACAGCAACATATCTCTTCTAGTTGAAAAGGGTCCTGTAATCGCTGTAAGCGGATTGTTCTCTCAAGGCGTCGACGAGGGTAGAAGGCGCACCATTAATCCCAGTTGGTAGTGAGAGGTGCCTGAGGAACGATCTACAGATACTCCGCAGTTCACTGTTTCTGTCACCTTATTTTAGTTCTTTCAAAACAATTTTCCCCTCACACTTACTTGCGCTGTCACGTTTGGTGCCCGTTATGTGACAATGTCTGATCCAAGCGTGACTGAGCGCAGAATTCGCCCGATACAGGATGCCATAGCAACCTCTAACTGGAAACAGGCGCTCCAGGCCTGTGATAAATGGTCAAAGAAGGGCGAGAAGTCCGATAGATTCCAGGTATACCGAGACGTCTCGGGTCTCTTTTTCGAGTCCTCTCGTTGAGAGTATCTTCGATGCTGATGCTGCATGACAGGCTCTAAGAGCATTTGTTCTCGTCAGCCATCCTGAGCCAGCACATCATGCTCGCGGCCGAACAGAGGTCCTCGGCCTCTGCACGCGCAAGCCCCCAGTCACCGAGCCCGAAGCCATATATCAACTGCAGGATGCACTGAAGGCTCTAGCTACAGAAGCTGATGACGAACTCATGAAGCTATGGGAAAGGGCCACAACAGCTAAACCAAATGACAAAGACCTGCTCATGCGCTGGATCAATCAAGCCATTGACTTAAGCGACTGGCGCAGTGCTCAAAAGGTGTGATTACATGAACGTCTGTACGGTCACAAGAGATGGACACTGACATGGGGCCAATTTCTCGACAGGCCGCCATGGGTTTGCGAAAATCATTCCCCCAGGACCGAAACTACGAGTTCTGGAACATCGCCATGTGTTACCTGATATCCATAGAGAGCAGCGTGCCAGAGAAAGACCGAATACTCTTTGGGACTCTGGCATACAGGATGATAATCAAAGCAGTAGAGGCGATTCCGCCCAGTCAGGTTCGTATCAAGCTTGGACAGCTAGAGCCAATACTGATGCTCTGTAGGACGAGAACTCTGCACCTGGAAAAGGACTCGCAACTCCAGAAGAAGTGTCGTTGCTCGTTCAAATTCTCAACTCGACTGGTCGTCCTCAAGAGTCTGTAAAGCTACTGCAGAGCGAATCTCTGAACTCGAAGTCTGGGATTGGAAAGCGAGATACTCAACTAATAGCGCTTCTGCTGTCTCAGTCTCTCGAACAGTCAGAGCAGTGGGAGGAAGCGTTCTGCTATTGCCATGAGCTTTTGTCAGATCAGTCCTGCCAGAGTGATGACCGGATTTGGGGTCTTTACCTTACAGCACTGTCCCACTTACCCTCGGAGAGGTAAGACCCGCATACTCAAAGCTAATGACGCAGTTCTAACGTTGCAGAAGCTTTCGACCGAAAGCAAAACAGATGCTCGATGATGCCTGCGCTGCTAAGCCGTTTTCGAGATCCTCACATATGGCGATGATGAAGTTCTTGCAAAGCGAGCAAGGAGACGACCATTTGGAAGAACTCCTTCGCATCTGTAAACTGTACGCCGGCGAATTTTCTGACAAAGCTTTTTGCTTCGATGACATGAAAGGGGCTCTACGTCGACTCGATAAAAACCGGTTGGATGATTTCACCATATCACTCTCCCGTTCCACTGGGCTTCTGGCCGACTTATTTAACTTCAAAGTTGACTATAGTTTCCTTCCAGCCGACGCACCTGACCAAGAACTCATAGGTTTTGCCCAACGAGCTCTGATGCTTTTTAAGGAAGCTGAAAAGGCTGGCAAACCTTGTCCAGAAGCGGCGTTCCTAGCTGTATTGGCTGTACTTCGGCTTTCGTTGAAGAAAGACTGCAACGAGCTTGCGTTGTTCGCTCTGACTTTGCTTGAAATAGGACGAACCAAGTACGGAGACTATTATTTATTCACAGTCTTACTGGTTCATCTGCAAGTGCATCTCGGCCTCATGTCTCTGGCAATGAGTACGTTCAAGCGGCTTTCTATTAAGAACATGCAGTGGGAGACTGTCGGGCACCTCTTCTTGACACGAATATCAACCTTGCATCCTGCGTCGAATGGTGCAGGCGAAGAAGGCTTCGATCCTTCCAACGCCATCAGTACTGGCTTGACAATACTAGAGAATGCAGATAATGCCCTAGTCCGAGGAATTCGAGGGGGTCTCAATCACGGCAGTTATTCCAACATCCACAACAGCGTCGTTGTGCGTTCTCATATCGAAAACAGTATGAATCGACAGGTGTTCCTGATTGAAGAGCGGAAGCTTCTCAGACAATTAGGAATCCTGGAAGACACCGTCTTGCCGCGGCGTCCATCAAACCTTGTGGATAAAAGAGACTTCAGTTACCTCCCAGCTTATCGGGACGACGATCCTGAGCTGCTAGCAAGCTTCAGATGTGGTCCTCTACCGAAAGAAAAGTGGATAACCGCAATGTCTGTTTTTGAGAATGTGGCGACATATCTAGAGGCGCAGCTAACCTCGCAACCGGCATTGTTGACCAAGGTCTCCGAAAACTTGGACGATGCCCTGACACAGCTCGAAAGTGTCTGTGACAGTCCCGAGAACACAGATCTCACCAAACAGGAAACCTCCAACTTGGCATGCTACAAGCTTCTCGCTCAGGCCGTACTTTTCATAAAGGACGGATCGGCGACGCAAGACCAATGGAAGGATGTTCTGTCTCAGCTCGGTCAATGGCTTTCCAAGACTCTCGATGGGCGGAAAAGAAATCCCTCTGGCTTGTCGGTGGGCGATGTACGCGTGCCCGTCTGGGAGGATCTACACAACAGCCTCAGTCAGCTGGAGACACTCAAGGTCGTGGCCATGTTGCTGGGCGTTTCGTCGAAACCGTCAAAAAGAGCCAAGGGCAAAGCCGTCGGCCCGAGCAAGGAGGAGCTCGGTGAAGTACGAAAACTTGTCTCGGAGCTGGAAAAACAGATCCATGACGATGCGCGAGACATGAGAGAACAGGTCACTGCGGCCGGTGTGCTGGGCAAATTGGTTGATGTAGGCTTCGGCCGCGAAGGCGTCCCCTCGGAGCTCGGGCAGATAGTCCAGGAATTGTGCGCCGAGGCTTGGATGGAAAACTACTGTGGGAACATGAAAGAGAGTTGGGAGGATGCTGTCAATGGGGTGTTGGCCGTCAAGGTCAAGGTGTACTCCTGAGAAGCGAGCGCATCTTGCCACACTGATTGCATCGTGATGCGACATTCTGGGTTGCGGGCCTGGTCATGCATGCTGCCGGGGTTTGCATTTGGCAGGACAGGACGTCAATCAGTTCTAGAATATCACAAATGAACTTGGAAGATGAGGGACAATGGCTCTAGGTTGCATTCACGTCGTAGGAGTGGTTTTGCTTATTGTGATTCTTCGCGGTTGTAGCCTACCACATTGAACGGGCCGAGCTCGTTATGAGCTTCGACGAGATGGTAACTCCCGACTGAATCAGTCTGAGAGGGCTGCTTCGTTTGTAAACCTAATAATTGGTCACCTATTCATGCATATTGCGCCTCTGCACCCCAAGTGCTTAGTCCCTTGATCAACAACGCCGGTATGTATGCTTCCGTGACCAGCGACTTTTTGCCAATGATACAAATTCAACCCGTCAAGCTGTCTGTCCTCGTGGCTGCTTGAGGCGTTGATCCCGAAGTCTACTCCAAGATTAGAGTTCCTCTTCCTGTTCAGTGGGTGTGCGATATCGTTCGAATCAGTCCTTTGAGATTAATCTTGTCTGCCCTTCAGTAATCGTTTGGTCACCTTGTCCTTCTCAATGATGTATACGTGTGCACCCCAGCCGGAGAGGGCGTCTCGATCGACCGCATTGAGAAGAGCTTGTGAAATGGTTTCGAAAAGGTCATCTGGCTCCTGTTATGTGATATTAGCCTCTTCTGTCGACACTCTGAGCAACAGCATTCCTAGCTTACCAAGTCCGGCTCCCATAATCCTTCGCAGGTACCAAACAACTGATCACTTGCTGTTCCAGCCACGATAAAGTCTTTGGCGAAGTCGATGCAGCCTATACTATCGAAGCCGCAGATGAATGGTTTTCCGGTTGTGTGGTTGATGCCAGCAAGAACTGGGCTGACGAACCAGGGTCCGAACCTCCTCTCGTACAGACTGCTGGAGACTAGATTGGCGAGTGTCTGTGGTGAAATATTGCGCTCCTCTCGTAGTCTGTACATGTTGACCTTGTAGCGGAATGTGTCGCTGACCGTCTGGACGTCTGTCGCAAGACCCGTTAACCCAAGGTACACGGATGGTGCGTAGTTGAAGATCTTTGGGAAGTTGTTCGAGACGGTCAGGGCTTGGAGGCCGAGACGGAGATCGCAGGCTATGGCGACGCAATCCTTGCCGACCATCGCAACGCAAGCACCGCCATCTGCGGATAGGTTAGAGAATGACCATCAGCGGACCAGAGAGGCGGCATACTGATATCGAACGGAGAGCTCTGAAGCGAACAGTGTCAGTAACCTCATTTGGCTCCTGGGCTGGAGAGGGAGCTTACCATTTTGAAGTGTTCTAGAGTGAGGGAAACGACAAGGCGAAGACAGTCACAAACAACAGCGACCTGAAGCTCAAGTGATTAGTGTAGAGGGAGAGGTTGTTTGTAGACAATTGAGTGGTAGATGACCGGGACTGCGGACTGGGCGCAGGCACTTGCTGCAAACGCGTTGTTCGGTAGAGACTGAGTAGGGGAGATTCGGGCGACCAATAGGCGTGGACGAGGCTGGCAAATGCTCGCTATGTCATCATTCGTCTGCCTTCGACTTGTCGCCGCTGCGGAGGAACTCAACACACGTCGTGCAGTATGGGTGTTGGACTCCAGGCAATACCATTTCACTCTCCATTCTAGACCCTTCTATCACAACTGTCTGTCTTAGCAAGCCGCGTCCTCATCCAGCATCTACAAAGTCACCCAAGACCTGCCAGGAACCTCCTTCACCCCAACCCCACCTCATCTCGACCCCAGCCTAGCCAGGCGAACATGGCCTCCCACGTTGTGGTGATTGACTCGAGTCTCCGACGTGCCACGATCAAAACGACCCCTGCAAAACCACTGAGCGAAGTGTTAGAAGAAGCATGTGCCAAGCTCAACCTCGCTCCCACTCAGTATGGCCTGAAGTGAGTCTGGCATCCCGCATACGCAAACCCAGCATCTAACCAATCTACCAGACACAGCAATAAACAGGTCGACCTCTCCAGAACGATAAGACTCTCCGGGCTCTCTTCCGGCGCCAAACTGGAACTGGTGCAGCTGTCCAAGTCAGCTGGTGTGGTCTCAATAGCTCTACAAGTGCCCGAATCAGAAGCAGCAGGAATTCCCAATGGAAGACTGACGGACAAGTTCCCCAGTGACACGACGTTATGGAAAGTCCTAAGAAAGTTTGAAGAAGGATCAGGCTCTCGGAATTTCACTGCGAGAGGAATCCCTTCATCGACTCAGAGTGGTGCCGGGAGACTATATTATGAACAACCAGTGGTCCAGGCCATGAACAGAGAGCTGTCCTCGCTGACTGATTTACAAAAGACTCTTGCCCAACTTGGCTTCAACAGCGGTTCTGCATTGTTAAGGCTTAGCTTTCGTGCGACAGAAACACCCTTAGAAGAGGCTATGCTCCAGATTCGAGGATATTTTGAATCGGTAGACGGACCTGCACCTCAGGACAACCCAAACGCAACCTCAGTACGAGACGAAACTCCAGCTATCTCCACTCAACCAATAGCTGCGTCAGAATCAGCGTCACCAATTGCTCCGGCGCAATCCCATGAGGAGACCCAACCAATTGCGCCTTCACAGCCTCAACCAGAGCAGATAACGACCGCTACAAGTCGCCCGGTCTCCGTTTTTAGACCGCCAAGCTCGTCAACACCGGCTGCTGCTCGGCAACTCTACAACGATGCAGATTACACACCTACGGTTGAGCATGCACAAGTACACCAAAAGTTACTTCAGCAGAATAGTAGAAATACAAGGTTACTTACTGACGCCCAGCTGGCTGCGCAGGAGCAGGAAGAAGCCGCGAAGTGGGCAGCGGTGAAGGAAGTCGAGATCAAGATTCGTTTTCCTGATCAAAGTGCGGCAAGTGCCAAATTCACTCGACTTGACTCAGCAGCAGATCTCTACAATTTCGTCAGAGAGTGTTTGGCTGTGCGGTGGAAATCGGAACCATTTATCCTCAGGAATCCTGGTATAAGAGGCAAGAACGAAGCGATACCGGATGACTCGTCTAAGAAACTCATCAGAGATCTTCAACTCAAAGGCCGGATACTGGTCAACTTTGGTTGGGACGACAGCAGAGCTAGTGTTGAAGCGAGGAGCACCAAGGCAGTATTACGAGAAGAGTTGCAATCTCAGGCTCAAGAACTAAAAGTGCAAGACATTCCTGGCGTTGTAGAAGACGATAAGGATCCCGGCACGAAGGTGGATGTGGGTAAGAAGGACACAAAACCTGACGAAGGTGGAAGCAAGGCTAAGATGCCGAAGTGGTTAAAGGGGCTGAGCAAGAAATAGATGGACAACCACGGTACTTTCGTACGCGTCAAAATTTCGGATTTTGGGTAGAGTGGTATTCAGCGTGGCATAGCAATGGCAATCTAGGTACTGTAGCGTTTAGCGTGAACGGGATATGAGATGTTTTTTTTGAAAGCTTCAACCAGCTAAAGGACATGGCCGATTTTCCTACACTCATCCTCATGATTCGTCTGGGTATCTTCCGCCAGCAAGAAAGGAGTAACCGGACCTGGTGCTCGTAGTACTCGTAGTATTCGCAAGGCTGCATGGTAGCCTTGCAGTCGATAAACCCGCACGTGACGAGACCGTTCTTCGGCACAAACTGGGTGGGGATCCGAATATTGCAGCCCACAATTGGATTTTGGCTGGCATCTACTACTATGCAGACGGAGTGACTTTACTTTGCGACTCTGTCGAAACCATTTGTCGTATCGCCTATTTTGTTCCCCCGACTAAAACCAACAAACAAAAAGCCCAAGATGCCTTCCGAAACCACCGATATCAAGCAATTCCTCGAGATTGCGCGGAGAAAGGATGCCAAAGGTGTGTTGATGGTCTATTTTTTCCCCCTCTCTCTTTCGTGCCGAGCTGGACCGGAGGGCATTGGTTTTTGAACGGAGGGAAGGGAGTGAAGAAGTCTAGTCTAGTCCATGGCTTGCTAACGGATGTCCCACGCGTCGACACTTGTAGGTGCGCGCCTCATGAAGTCGTCCAAGAGCAAGGACATCAAGATGAAGATCCGATGCAAGCGGTACCTCTACACCCTCATCCTCAAGGACAGCGACAAGGCCGACAAGATCAAGCAGAGTTTGCCTCCGAGTAAGTCACCGTCCTCCCTTGGGAGAATTCTTTGTCCCGTGGCGTCTCGGTAGCGTGTGTCCTGTCGTGGTATGCCGGAACGGGAGCAAGGCGCGGTCGCAGAGAAGAGGAGGGAAAAGCAAGATGTAACGTGTGTGCACGCAAAAGAAACAAGAAGCCACAACATACCGTGTGTGAAAAAGAAGGAAAAAGAAAAGAGCAGTTGATTTGTGAGATATCGCACATGTTCGAGCGTGTACACCGGTGTGGTTGTTGGTGGTTGGCAGTGTGATGTTGTTTTTTTTTTTGAAGAGGGACATGCCGAGCTGTCTTTGAACCTGCAAAGTGCGATGGAGCGGTGCACGAGAACGAGGGGGACGGATACGAGAAGTTCCACGCAACCTAAAAGTTCCAAGTTCAAGTTGCAAAACATCTCGTCAGAGGAATGCGAGGCTAACCTTTGTTTTTTTCTCTCTCTAGCCATGCCCTTCCAGGAGATCAGCAAGAAGAACAAGAAGGCCAAGAAATAGAGGAAGAGTACCGTGGCAGAGACGGTGGTTGAGTTGTTGTAGTTGTTGTTGTCTTGTCAGGACCGAACGAGGATCACTCGCAACAGGAGGACACCAAGTACCGCTTCACCAATGATCGAATGGCAGTGGGAGTGCGCGATGTGCAACAACCTTGAAGGAAAAGAGTTCATTTGCTTCTCTAGCCCTTTCGGACACAAATCATACATTCCCGCAATCGGTTCTGGTGGGGCTCCGTTCCCCTTTTCATCCTCCCGGGCGTGCGATATCCAGTCTCGCAGTCGCGAGAAATGCAAAAAGGGAGAGGGGAGGGAGGATAGGAGCGTATCCTAGCTAGGTACTCAAAAAGCTAGACCAAGAAAAAACCGGAATGAAAATAAAAACAAGGCGAACCAGCAAGACGAACGAGCATTAAAAGGCGCCCAGTGACTCTCGGATGAGAACTGTGTTCTATTTCTCGCCGCCCATTTTCTCAGGGTTTGCGTTACATTCACACTCCCGTCTATCTTGTGTACTCGGGGCACACGTATTCTATCTCCTCGTACCCGGACAAGAACCGTTCCATCCTCGCGGAGCCAGAACCCAACAGCCCATCGACCTTGTCTCTCTCGAGCCGTAATTCGTATTCGCCAAAATACGAAGGCGTGTCACTCGTTCTGGAAAATCCCAAACTTTCAAACAGCGTAATGCTGCGATGGTTCGTCTGTCCTATCTTGACCGCAAAATGGTCGAGTCGAGACCGACCAATAGCATGAGTCTGGTCAGCGACGAGTTCCTGTAGTACGCCCTCTTCGTTGGTGACTATGTATCTCATAAAAGCCAAGAGCGCGGCTCGACCATAGCCTTTCCGATGCTCGCTGCGTTCAGCGATCATAAGTTCGAGTTCGCCGACGAGAAGTGACAGCCCCGCGTCGTCTTCGGTCGTCGAGATGAACATGTTCACATCGCCAATCATGGCGTCGGCGTCGAGCAGTCCATTGCGCACCGTCACCATGGACTCCTCCGGTCGACAAATAATGAAAGTCAATTTGTCGGGGTCGGTTCGCCAACTTTGTTGCATGTCATATTCTTCGTCCAGACTAAGTGGCTCGGAAGCAGTGGCTTCTTGGATTTCCTGACATAACATGAGACCCGGGTAAAACACTGATGAATGGCTCGATTCCTACTGGATCTTTCATCCACATATGATATTTTGGGACATGATGGGCTGAGTAGGGCACTAAGAGCACGTGTGCCGTCGATACGGCTGCAGATAGTCAGGAACAATGTCGAAGACGCACAATCGACGTTGATACTGACCGGTACGCTCGTTAATGCGCATTATTCCATAGCGTTTGGCGTGTGGAGGTTTGTGGAAGAGGGAGTATGCAGTAGACGGAGAGGTTGGAAAGTATTTCATGGAATTATCCGAAGATTTTCCGCAACTTCAGCCTCATGATCCATGACCATTCAATTGTGAGGCTGCGTCGTGAATATCGAACTTGACCACCTCGACTTCCAGAGTTTTGGCATCCACGAGAACAAGCTCGCCGGTTTCGTGAAATTTAGGAATTGTGATCAGGCGAACTTGTTGGTCCCGGGGTCCGTCTATCACTGTAGTGTCGAATCGCGGTTGATTGCCCACAAAGAATACATGCGGGCATTGTTCGATGACAAACTGGTCTCGATCTTGGAACGGATAACACCACAGGGTATCTGGTGCTGTAGGGGCACCGCACCGCCATCTCAGCATACTAGCCATGACCTCCAGCCTGCCATCAGCGCCTTTGCCGTCAGGACCACCGTACTCGACATATTTGAGAATGTCATCCACGGGTTGACCACTGTTTCCCATGAATCGCCACCCCTCAATGTCGCCATCCCAAGGATTCGTGACGCTGTCTAGCCATCCAGGTTGGTCGGCCTCTGGGTCGCTGACGTTGGCGGTGGTATATGCTCGTGAGTGCGGCAACATAGCGGGGTGAATAGGTTGTTGCGGTAAACTGACGTTTGCCGGGTCCTGGTCACCTGGTAGAAGTGTTATGGGTATGCTTGGGAGGAGCTCGGCAAGAAACTGGTCCAGCTGGGCAGGTGGTGAAGGATTGTACGCGGCCGCATCATAGCCGTATTTTCTGTTCCCGAGCTTTTTTGGGTCGTCGGACAGTGGCTGGTGAAGCGCAAAATCGGAGACGACGGAGTTTCCAGCAATGATCAAGCGCGATATCGTGCTAGCCTCCTGTCTGTCTTCCGTATCCAAGGCTTCCCCCAGCAAGAATTCACTGAGCAAGGACAGCGTCAAGGTGTCTGCCTCTGTACCCGAAATATTCAAGCCGCTCAAAATAGCAATCTTGTTTCCCGGCCGATCCAGGTCCATTTTCACCTCCTCCTCTTCGTCTCCCTCCCATCTCTTCGGCTGCGACGGCAGTTCTGGAACGTGAAGATCTAACACCTCGAAGTCTCCATTGGCGTTTTCTGTGCCCAGCACCGCCACGATGACACCTGTGACCAACACGTTGTTCTTCAACATTGCCCCTGTCAAGCGCAGACGACCAGATTCGTCTTCAAGCATCACCTGGGTGTCTCCGTTCTCAGAGTAGTAAGGATGCTGTGATGCTGGCCCGGCAACCCAACGATCTTTCGAGATGTCTTCTAGGATGTTGGGCTTCAATGGGAGATCCATGTATATTGTGCCCACAACCCAACATAATTGACCCTGACGAACATCCAGCACTCTTTCCACCCTCTGGGCTCTTTCGCCTGCGATCTCAAAATCATCCCAATCTTCGGCGGCAATCGCTTCGACAGCAGGCTTGAGCTTCGCAAGTCGTAAGAAATACATGTCGCCATATTGCTGCACATAGTGTTTATTCTCCCCCCGTAACAGGCGGTACGAATAGAGCGGGCTGTAGTCGCTTGACACTCTAGTTTGCTCCTGGGCTTTCTCGTCTTTTTGCCAGGGCCGCAAGAGACCGTGGATCGGCGCCATCACGACAGATCATCCAGGTATATGATCTTTGTTTGGGTTGAAGGCACTTGACGAGGTAAGAGTACGGCCGGTGCGTAACACAAAGCACAAATTATTTGACTCCTACACGAGACGCGCAGGGCACGCGTCCAACAGCGTTAATGGGTTCGGTTGGGCCTGGATCCTGTGCGCGGTTCATCACCCAATCACAGACACAGTGGCTGCAGCCTCGGCAAAGGTGGCCAGATCCTCTTCGACGTGGAGTAGCGCGGCCAACGGTGCGCTTTTAGACGAATGCGAATCACTGGCACCGATTCTACGCAGATCGGAAACATATTCCGGTCATGGACATGATACTTCTCTCTGTCGACTCAGACACGCCCTCAAAGGGTGTATTCCTGGGTACAAATAGATTGACGCATCCTGGGCCATCATCGTAATAATGCAACAGGACATGTCTCCTTCGCCGCCCTCTCAATGTCGAGCTTCCGCTCCATCAGCAGTAATGCATCGCGCCCTCCTCTTCCTCCTCCTCCGCCGCCGCCTAAAGAAAATACAGAACGTCGGGCCCGCAAGAACGTATCATTTGCCTGTCAAGCATGTAAGGAAGCTAGACGAAAGGTTCGTCGTGGGGTCATAAGTTAATCTCACTTGGCTTTCCTGATGCAGGCAGATTTTGGGTACAGTGTAGTGGTACACAACCCTGCGATAGATGCATTGAGAAATCCCAGGAATGCATCTTCAAGCAAGAGGAGGATGGCCGACATAGGACCAGGATGAAAAGTCAAATCCAAGAGCACGAAACCCACAGCCAACTCCTCAACAATCTGCTTCTGACTCTGCGTGACAGTTCGGAAGCAGGAGTCGAGGAGACGGTAGCCTTCATCCGGGGCAACTCTTCCTTGGACGCAATAAGCCAGCATCTGCAAGAGAGGAGGCTGGCCATCCGATCAGGACCAGCGTCAGCATCCGAAACGGAGCAAGCATCTAGTTCGGCAGATAATATGCCCTCGACAGACAGCGAGACTCGCGAGGATGGTGCACCAAGGAACGCCGCCGTCCATAGGCCATTAACCGTCAGCGAGCTTGTTGGAACGCCGCCGGATAAAATGTCGCCACCATAGAGGCCATTGCGGAAACCTGCTATTACTCTTGTCACTGACGTTCCTGGACCATTCGCGGTTGCGGGTTATGTCTTGACATGAAAGTTACCGCTGCCGGAATTAGCTGTTTTGCTGGCTCTAGCAGTGAGCGCCAGGGAGAAAGGCATGGGATTTCTGCTCCTACAACGATCAGAGCCCTTCAATCGTTGGGTGCAGGCCCCAAGACCTCTGATAGACCAAGGTCGACTGTGCAACTGACCATTGATGGAAGCACCGACGTTTGAGACGATCACATCACACATGACAGGTGGAGGCTTACTCACAGCAAGACTACTCACCTGGCTGGATGTATGTCGGGCTTTAAACTCCAATCGGATGTCGGGGTCTTGTTTTGGTCTGCCAGCCTCGCGGATGGTATTCGCCTGCGGTAATCGTCAAGTGTTCATTGCTTGTTGGGAAGCAACGTCTCTGTATATGTGTGTTCGAACGCAAAGGTGTCCTGACCTGGATCAGTCCTGAAGAACGTCCTCAAAGCCACGCGCTCTTGTTCAAGTCAAACAGTTCTGGGATAATTAATTGACCGATCTCGATGCTTTCCAGGGGATCATCATTCGACCTGTGTGAAATGTGTTTATCAAAAGCGGATATGGCTATTGATGAGCTCCTTCAGAAGACCTCTGATGTTGTTCTACGACACATATCCGAAAGTATAACACCCTTTTGAGATGTCGGGAAAGACAGAGCGAGGTTAAGCTCTTGTCGCGGTCAAAATGGTTATGTCTGACAACTTCGTGCAGCAATAAGTACCCAATCATAGAGGCTTGGAGGCTTTGTCAGACATGCTTATATTCACTGTCTACCTTAGGTATCTACTGTACTGTGCATACTGTACTCCGTAGGTGCAGTACCTGCATTATGGAGCTAAATTCTCTCCCTCATCTCAGCTTCTCTTCTCCGTTTGTTGCCCAATGATGTCTGAAAATCGCCTAACGAAATGATGACACCCAGTACCCGACATACCATCTCATCGTGGTACAACTCACTTGATCGCCTACACTGTATCTCAGCGGCCTGTATTTATTGTACCTCGGTACCATTATACATGGCCCAGCGACCATGATGAGCAGCTTACTGCCATAGAGCCGCCTCGCCGCGGAGAGCCTCGGTAGTTGCACCCAGTATTGCCAACCCCACAGTTATCATTGTCTGGGGAGCGAGTATTTGAACAACCCCAGGATATTCTTGTAGAACAAAATGCTGACCTAGGCTTCATCGCCGTTGAAATCTGCTCCTCTATTGTTCCCTTTTTCCACCAACTCGAATTTGCAGGATTTCTCTTCACAGCCACTGTTCATGATGTCGTCCACGCCGCCTCTCACCACGCCGTTGACGCAGTTGCTGGGTATCAAATACCCCATCATGCTCGCTGGCATGGCACGAACCTCTGGCGGTCCGCTCGCCGCGGCAGTGTCCAACGCCGGCGGCATTGGAACGATAGGCGGTCTAGGATATACACCAAAGCAACTACAAGAGGTATGGACGCTCTCCCCAGGCCTCCTCCTCGGCACTCAAAAGTGGGTGGCAGACGGCTGACTCGTACAGATCATAGACGAACTGAAGGCTAATCTGAACGATCCCTCGCTTCCGTTCGGCGTGGACCTGGCTCTTCCTCAGGTGGGCGGCAACGCCCGTAAGACGAACCACGACTACACCCACGGCCAACTGGACGAGCTGATCGAAGTGACCATCCGCAGTGGCGCAAAGATCTTCGTGTCGGCCGTCGGCGTCCCGCCGGCCAGGACGATAAAACGCTTGCACGAGGCTAATATCCTGATCATGAATATGGTGGGGGCGCCGAAGCACGCCGAGAAGGCGCTCAAGGCGGGCGTGGACATTGTTTGCGCCCAGGGCACCGAGGGCGGCGGGCACACGGGCGACATTGCCAACAGCATCCTCATCCCCGCGGTGTGCGACGTGGCCAAGAGATACAAGTCGCCTCTGACGGGAGAGCCCGCGCTCGTGGTCGCGGCCGGTGGAATTTATGACGGGCGCAGTCTGGCGAGCAGCCTCATGCAGGGCGCCGTCGGGGTCTGGGTCGGCACGAGGTTCGTCGCGGCCGAGGAGAGCGGCGCGAGCAGATTGCACAAGGAAGCCGTCGTCAGTGCCGACTTCACAGACACCCTGCGCACGCTCGTCGTGAGCGGCCGGCCTCTGCGGTGTAGGATGAACGACTATGTCAAGAAGTGGGAGGACCAACCCGAGAGAATCAAAGAGTTGACGGACAAGGGTATCGTGCCCATGCAGTATGATCTGGAACAAGAGAACGAGATTGACATGCCGTTCCTAATGGGCCAGGTCGCCGCCATCATCAAGGATGTCAAGCCGGCCAGAGCCATCGTCGAGGAAATGGTATCCCAGGCTGTAGACATGCTGAGGTTAGGAAGCTCATATATCGGCGGCCCGAGAAGTAGATTATAGAGCAGAGCACCTACGTAGTTGGGGAGTTGGGGGGGCAATCGCTAAGATGTTTGGATTCGTACAAGTACACTGATCGCCATCAAAGCTATGGCCATAGCCGGACGCAACAAAGCATCCTACGGTTCGCGATCAACCATGTTGCCAGTATGTAATTGCACCCGAACAGAAAACAACAACGCGGCCGAGCCAGTCCCCCTAATGTTGGGCGCCGTTGACCAGAGCGGCAGCTTTCTGACCGTTGGCCTTGTTCGCTACCATCTCTGGCGGAGGCACTGGGCCAAATACAGGTTTGCTGATTTCAACGGCAGACTCTTCTTCGTCTTCATAGCTGATATCGTCGTCCTCTTCGTCTTCGTCACCGTATCCCTCTTCGTCTTCCTCGTCGTAATCACTGGACTCGACGAGCTCTGGCTGTACGGGCGGACCGCGACCTTGTTCTTGCATGCTCTTGATGATGTTCCGCATCTGAGTCTCCTGCTTTCTAAGCCGCTCTAGATCCTCTTTGTCTCGAGTACGCTCCTCGGCCATCTCAAGGATATTGCGGTTCGTCTGGTCATGTTTCCTAGTCAACGTGGCGTTCTCTTTTTCGAGGCGCTTCGTCTTCTTGGACATTTCTTCCATCTCCCTTCTGAATGTCATGAACAACTCATTACTGTTGTTGAGTGTGTCTTCCACCTGCTGCATTGTGAGCAAGATTTCAGCCATTTGTATCGACATAATGAACGGGGTATGGGAAAGGGTCATAAACTAACCTGTTTGAATTTCTCGACATAGATATTGAGCTGACTGCGTAACTCTGCTTCTGTATGAGAGAATGTAGACACCTGGTTTGTGAGCGTTCTGCAACGTCCAGCTTCTGCATCGGCTCTTCGACGTTCGACCTCGTGTTTCGCTTGTAGGTGGGCAATTTCGGCGTCCTTATATCGCAGTATTGCTTTGAAATGCATCTCTCGGATTTCTGCTTGATCTGCCAGTACTTTGCAACGGGTCTTGAATCTGTAAAGCTGAGTCAGTATACTTTGTCTCCCGAATCACTCTTGAATAGCGTACAATTCGTCCAACTCAAGATGGAGGTTTTCATGATGTGTGCTCGTCTTAGAATTCATCACTTCTTGGACGTCGTACAGCATCTGATCGAGTCTTTCGTTGATATTTTCGCGAGCGCGTTTGTCTGTCTCTTCGAGTTTCTTGTTCTCGTCCTTGAGCTTCTTGTTTTCCTTTGTCAATTCTCGACAAAGCTTTTCCAGTTTGTCCTTCATGGTCGCGGTTTTGCTGTGCTCAGACTTTGACTTCTCTTGGTCTTTTTGAAGTTGATCTGCTCGCTTTTTGGTTCGCTGGTATTCCCGGTTCACCTTCTCCATGTCTCGCAAAAGCTCCTCATACTTTCTTTTTGCAAGCTCGAGCTGTCCCGAATGCCCCTCCACACTATTGATCAACTCATTGAGATCTCGTTGGGCCTTCTTGACTTCTCGGTCAACTTCTGCTTGTTGGCTCTTCTCTCCGGCTTTTTCTTGCTCAAGCTGTGATAACCGTGCCTGGATCAATTTCGCATTCTCTTCCGCACTTAACTGCTTATCCTTCTTTGGTTTTGCCTTCTTGCCCGTAGGCGCTGGCGGGGCCTGGTCCTGCGTCTCGCCATTTGTTACCGTCGTGGTCTGAGAGATCGGGCTCTGGGCGATGGTAGCCATATGAGATGCCTTTGACGATCGCCTTTTATTCAATCTCCGGGGCTATTTCAGCGCCGACGACTATCAATGAAACGTGTAGGTGAAGGACTTTCCCCGTACATCTGAGAGCGCAGGTAGAATCCGGTAGGGTCGAGGCGGAGTGGTCCAATTGCTGGATATGCGGGGCTATAGCGAAGTAACACGTCCGCTCAGAGTTAGGATGCTCGATGCAGATATCGACGCCTGAGATCGCAGCTTTGAGAGTCAGTATCAGCGCCCGGGAGTCGCAGTGGTGGAGTGGACTTGCAGATCTTTGCTCGGGGCCAAGCCACACCATACAATGCGCAACAGGGCGGTTCGGACGGGGTATGAGAAAGCAAATTCTTTGTAAACAATGATGCCACCAATAGTGTGTACTGTTGTATGTTGTTATCGTTTCCTGGAACAGGGAGACCAACATGCTGAAATGGGTGTATAACGAAGACCTTGCGAGGCAAGTCCACGATGGCACGTGACTGCACCCGGTGTGGAGGTTGCAAAATCCATTGCCTGTACATCCATCTTGGTCCATCGGCCATTTTCACATCTGTCGACGGGAACAATTGCAACGTTTACTCACCTTGATTTTCCGACAGGACAGCGGTCGTGCTCCATTCCGAATTGGATTTCGGCGCGAAAGCAGCACGAACTGTCATGCTCAGGCATGGTGCGGTTCGCCATGGCCTACAGCGTTGCGCCCGACGACCTGCGCCCAAGACAAGAATATCTCGGAATAGACCAGTTACCAGCAAAGGGTACGCTTCGATAACGGACTTATCGGCATATCCGAAACCGGGAGAAAGTATAGAAGGATTCACCTTGAAAGAGATCAAGCACGTTCCCGAGTTACACTTGACGGCGCTGCGATTAGAACATGACAAAACAAAAGCAGAATATCTGCATGTGGCTAGAGATGACAAGAACAATGTCTTTGCCATCAATTTCAAGACGAACCCTACAGATAGAACAGGGTTGCCTCATATCCTGGAGCATGTCACACTGTGTGGAAGTCAGAAATACCCAGTTCGAGACCCGTTTTTCAAGATGATGCCCCGATCTCTAGCCAATTTCATGAACGCTTTCACCTCCTCCGACTATACATCCTATCCTTTCGCAACTACAAATACGAAAGACTACCAGAATCTGTCTTCAGTCTACCTCGATGCAACATTACATCCACTTCTCAAGCGGACAGATTTTCTCCAAGAAGGATGGAGACTCGGGCCAGAAGATCCTCGAGCACCGGCCACAGAGGAGAACGTGGTCTTCAAAGGTGTCGTCTATAATGAGATGAAGGGTCAGATGTCGGATGCGAGCTATCTGTTCTACATCAGATTCAGAGAACACCTTTTCCCGTCTTTGTACAACTCTGGTGGCGATCCGGAGGTAATGACTAATCTCACCTACGAACAGCTTGTTGACTTCTCCCGACAACATTACCATCCAAGCAATGCGAAGATTTTTTCCTATGGCAGCCTTAGCCTTGCTGAGCATCTTCAGCAAGTTAACGAAACGATATCTAAATTCGACCAGTCGTCCCCGGACTCTGACATCAAGTTACCGATTGATCTTTCTAATGGTCCTCTTGCCTTCGAAGTGCCTGGACCCCTTGATACAATGCAACCAACAGACCGACAGTACAAGTCTTCAATGACCTGGCTTGGTTGTGAAGCCTCAGATATTGTGGAAACTTTCTCTCTCAGCATCATGATGTCGCTTCTGATGAATGGATACGGTTCGCCGCTCTACCAGGGGTTGATCGAGTCGGGTCTCGGTACTAACTTCAGCCCCAACTCCGGGTACGATAGTTCGACCAAAATCGGCACGTTCTCTATCGGTCTCGATGGGATGAAGGCAGAGGACACTGCTGGCTTGAAGGACACAATTCAGAGTGTCCTCAAAGACAAAGCGCATGAAGCATTCCTGCCTCATAAAATCGAAGGCTATATGCACCAGCTAGAGCTCAGTCTCAAACATAAAACAGCTAACTTTGGAATGGGCCTTTTAGAGAAGACTCTGGCTGGTTGGTTTAATGGTGTCAATCCGATGGACGGCCTCGCTTGGAATGAAATCATTGACGCCTTCAAGATACGATTGCGGGACGAAAAGTACCTCGAAAACCTTGTACAGAAGTATTTATTGAATGACGAGTGCTTGCAATTCACAATGGTACCATCCGAGAGCTATGGGGAGACTCTGGAGATTCAGGAGGAGGGACGGAGAAAATCTGTCCTGGAAGAAGTCAAAAAGAATGCGATTTCATCAGAGGCAGCCATTGCCGAACTGGGCAAACAGGAGTTACAGCTGCTCGAGGAGCAAGAGTCTGCTCAATCCGAGAATCTAGAGTCGTTGCCAACGCTCCGTGTGAATGACATTGCACGAGAGAAGGAGAAGAAGCCACGCTACCAATCAACGATTGGTGATGTCAAATGTCTTTGGCGTGAAACATCTACAAACGGTATTACCTATTTCCAGGCAAAACATGTTTTGAAGGATCTTCCCGAAGATCTGAGATTGCTGATGCCGTTGTTCACCGAGTCCTTGATGCGATTGGGCACCAAGAACAAGTCTGTTGGGGATCTTGAAGCTGAGATCCTGCTGAAGACCGGCGGTATCTCCATTTCTCCTTTCACGGCTCCGGAGCCGTGGAGCTTGGACAAATACAACGAAGGGTTACTCTTGAGTGGTCATGCGCTTGACAGAAATGTCCCAGCTATGTTCGAGCTGATTCGCACATTGCTATTGGAGATCGATTTCACGAACCCTAAATCCTCTGCTGCTATACAGGAACTTCTAGAATCAAAGACATCCGGCGCCTTGGACGCCGTTGCAGAGAGTGGTCACCACTTTGCTATAACCAGTGCAGCTGCCGCTCTGACCAGTCGAGGCACTGTTCAAGATCAATTGTCGGGGTTGGCCCAAATAGAAGCCACAGCTCGAACGTTGAATGCGGCACGGAAGGACCCCGGAAGTCTTCAGGAGGTCATTGAGAAACTGCAAAGGATCCAGTTATTCGCCATTCGTAACTCTCCAGATCTATCAATGCGTCTGGTATGCGAACCTGAGTCGGTTTCGGCCAATCGCTCCGTGACTGAAGCCTTCCTTACGCAACTCCCAGCGGGTCCAGCAAGTATTGCAAGTTCTAGCTCGCGCTCTGTTGTGCCAGGATCTTCACTGTCAAGAAGAGCATTTTTCAACCTCCCTTTCCAGGTATCATATACTGGCACCTGCCTGCAAACAGCGCCATATTCCTCCCCCGACAAAGCTCCTCTAACCATTCTCGGCCAGCTTCTAGTTCATAATTTCTTGCATCCTGAAGTGAGAGAGAAAGGCGGTGCTTATGGTGCTTGGGCAAGCGCAAGTCCGGTCAGCGGTCTTTTCACCATGTCTTCATACCGGGATCCAAATCCCCGGAATTCTCTCCAGGTCTTCAGTCGTGCTGGAGAGTATGCTCGAGACAAGGAGTGGAGTAGTCGGGAATTGGAAGAGAGCAAACTCAGCATTTTTCAGGGCATTGATGCTCCCAGCAGTGTCAGCAGCGAGGCGAGTAAAGAATTCATGTACGGCATAACAGAAGACATGGACCAAAAATCACGGGAGAACTTGCTTGATGTTACCAAAGAAGATGTTCAGCGAGTCGCACAGAAGTACCTTGTTGAGCCATCTCCTGAGCTAAGATCTACCTGTATTCTCGGGGAAAAGAAGGACTGGATCGGACAAGACCCGGAACAATGGCAGGAGAAGAGCCTGCAGATGACTGCTTAGGTTGTATTCCCGTTCATGCAGGTGAGTGTTGTACAAAATGGCTGTATATTAATTTCCACTCCCGCAGAGATACCCTCAATGTACGCATTGATGTTCCATTCTTTTCCATGTCCTGTCGTGCATGTTCCAATCCCTTTACTTTGTTTTCAGCAGCGCGACTCGAACAGAACATACGTCTCCGGCTTCATTCATGCCATGGCCGGAGATCACAAGTCACAAATGCCTCTGAGCATTTTCCGCGCGAGATCGAGGAGAAAATGCCCTGCTCTTTCACGACAAACTCATTTCCGAGTGATGTTTGGCGGAAGAGCTTTGCTGATTCATGACATACCTATTTCAGACCTGTTAATCTTTGAGATCAAGGATTAGCAGACTAGAGGTGTGCGTACATCCTGTGATTCTTATGCTCTATACCCATGCCAGGGTGTTTGAAACTATCAAAGGTAAATTGTCCATGTCAGACTAGGTCCTGAGGTTGCGTCGATATGATATTACATTGAGTTACAAGAGTCTGCCGATCTCGACGTGGTTTTGGTTTGGTCGTAACCAACCACTCCGTTCACTTTATTACCACTGCCTTGTGACTTTGAGCAATCATTCACAGCTCAAACTTGATCCGGATCACAAGGCAGTGGTTACACTTGCTCACGCAGCATCTTTTTTCCCCAGCCCCTTTCATCTGTTCCTATAAGGATTCTTTGTTCATTCTATTTCCATCTCCTTCTGGCGAGTCACGTAGTGTACCTGACGGAGTCAACCGCATTTCGTGCTTCTTTCCATCTCATTTTGAATATCTTACTACCCATATCGCCTTTATCCTCTCTCACAAACTTGACATGCCTGTCACCAGTTTGCAAGATTCGGACAAGGATCCGGACAAGAATTGGGATAACGATAGGATATCGTAAGTCTAGAAGTCTTCATTCCTTCGCAACGACCCTACAAATCATGTTGACGGACTGTGATCTAGCTTCGTCTCCCAGCTCAACAAAGCAGAACCTCCTGGCTTGACAATAATCGTCGGAGAATATAGCTGGAAAGCCCATGCCCGGAAATTATGTAGCTGCTCCGAGTTCTTCAAGAGAATCATGCTCTCTCATGAGGTATGTCGATTTACATTTCAAAGGCTGAATATCATTGTACTGACAAGTTTGTGCGAGGGTGCCATTAATGTGACCCTCACTCTCCACGAGGAAACCCCCATACTTGTCGGCAGTCTTTTGCGTTGGCTTTACACACTTCACTATTATGAACCAAAGGACAACGACGCCACGCAGACTGACCCTTTGGTGCCGAATCTTCGTCACATCATGGCCCAGGGACGAGGTGCACCAACATGGGACCTTAGCCCCATGCTCGACCGACAGATTTTGGAAGAGCCCGACTCGTTCCATGCACAGATGTACTGGCTTGCAGATAGATATCAGATCCACAAACTCAAAGAAGAGGCCATTGCCAAGTTCAAATATCAGTTACTTCTATTCCCGGATGACCTTGTCCTGAACCTGAAGCACTTGCTCGGCTGTCCAAACGAGTCCATGGCAGAATCCGCAGCTCGGGGTCCATCGTTGACACCCGTAACCATAGCCACTCCTTCCATGCCGGTTCCTTCAGGCGGTACAGTGGCTGGACCCGTCGAGATATGTCAAGTTTTCAACCCTTCTAACGCGCTCAACGGGATCAACGGAGACACGGGCTTGCATCTCAAAAGCACAGCGCAACCTGAAGAATCAACGACCATGAACACGGCTCTTATCTTGAATCCAACCCCGGAACAAGAAAGGGCGATTAGGAGGCGCACTATAACCCTCGAAGACGACACCGGTCTATGGTATTTCCTGGTGGCTAGGACTAGCGAGTTGTTATCCCAGCATATCAACGACACCACCTTCAGCACGATAATGCAGGGCAATCCATCTTTCCAATGGGCCGTCCTCCAGCAAGCCGCAATCAGGCATACCACAAATCAATTTACCATTCAGGAACTACGCGACGAAGTTCAGGTTTTGAGCGATAGAATCAGAGTGCTCGATGAAGACCGAATATCACTCCTTTCATACACGTCCGATCAACCCACATATTTTCCCATCACACCACCTCCGAGAGGAAGAGAGCTACCGCCATGTACTGGCGCTGCTTCTACTCCGAAAGCCAGGAGGAGCCTAGTATAACTTCATAGGGAGGCTCTCCAGGAAGGGAACCAAGGAGCGGTTGGTGGCGACACGCGTGCAACCCCGAGCTGCACAAGGACGGCAATACAAGATACAGCACTCGGCTCACACAGCACTTGAACTGCATTCATTGCGGAAATTCGAATTGCGAAGATGCTTACTATTATAAGAACTGAACCGGAAGGGGCGCATTCGGAGGCAAAAGAGCCCTTGTCTATTCGAGAGGAATAGAGCCTACAATTGCGTTGACAAGTTTCTGGGAAACAATCACAAGGCAGTTTTGAATAACGAAACGATCAAAAGTTTGCTTTTCAAACCAATCATACTGAGAGATACACATGATGCTCGGGATAATTCATCTTACCTGTTCATTGAACCCAGCTTTGTTACTAATCGCATGTCACAATGAGCTTTATCCCCTTTTCATGGCACAAGTCATGGCACGGAGGGTACCATCTCTTTGTCATTGACGCGCCTTGCAAAGCACACAATGTCTGGTCTCTAAGACAGGACAAGGGCAACGCTCCTTCCTTGTCCAAGCCTAGGGGCATAATAATGGCCGATGCCCCTCGGTGACTGCCTCGATTTTACGACAGGACATTCACCACAGCCTCGATCTCCAAGAGTATCTTCAACCAAATCACCCGTGACTCTGAGATCGAGACCGGTAGCTTCATCAGCCAGAACACCGCAATCATGGATCGTGAGGAAAGAAACTGGAATCTCATCGAGGCGAATACGGACGGGTTTGTTTATGCTAACATGTCAGGATTGCAGACTTTTGATGCGGAGGACATCATCAGCTTCTACGCAGCCAACTACCTACCCGAAGAGCAGACGGAGGACGAACAAAATCGAATCATGCAGACGTTTATAAATGCCATTCGCCGCGTCGGGCTTGTCGACTTGCCGTATGCCGCTATACTCGCCGGTCGTCTCCCTTGGCCCGCCGACAGCCCAAGAGAGTCTCCTACCAGACAATTCCCGGAATCGCCAGCTGCCCTCGACGTTTACAGTCCTGTAGACAACGACCCGTTGCCCTCCCCGATCGACAGCGACAGCGACGGCTCCTGGCCCGAGGAAGAGGACGCCGACGAGCTGCATATGGACCCACCCTACTTCCAGTTCCGACTTGTTACTTCAAACGAACCAGCTCGACCACGCAGCACGTCAGAACCGTTCTATGAACCAGACGTTGACTGTGCGGCAATGCTGAACCATCTCCGTGACAACATCTTGGACTTGAGGCGTCTCAAGGACGGGTTTTCCCAAATGATTCCGGTAATGAAGGAGCGGGTCAACATCGTGCGCCGATTCTCTTTCTGCACTCAAGCTAAAACTAGCGAACTCGTCCGGCTGCTAACTGACGCGGAGCTTACAATCTCTGAGATCTCGCTCCCGAACGAGAACGGTCTGTCACACACCCGTTGGGGGGTGCTGTGCCGAGCCGTTCACAACGCCGAAGACATGCTGGTCAGCCTGAAGGGCGACTTCAGCAGGGTCGACCAACATCTGATCGAGTTTGAGCGGACCTTGGTTGGTGAAGAGAAAAAGACTCGTCTGGCCCTGTTTCGCTATGAACGAGCGAGGTACAGAAAACCTTTCCAGGATGTGGTGGACAGTCTGCGGCTTTCACACCTACGTGAGCAGTTTGCATTCCCTCGTTTGAGTCCCGACCCGAGGCCGCTTGATGCTGCGGCTCTCGCCGCTATCGCAGCCGAGGACGGCGACTGCGTCATCTGCCGCGAGGACCTAGGTGAAGGTGAAGCCGCCGTCATCTCCTACGATTGCATGAAACCATATCACACGGATTGCCTTCTGAGTTGGTTCAATGAAACACTTGCTCACACGTGTAACGACATGACGTGCCCGTCGTGCAGAGAGGTGTGTTATACAGACGATTACGGCGAACTGGTCGAACACAGAAATCGGCAGCTGCGGTGTTTGTGAGGCGCCTCAGGCTTTCGAAAAACAGGTAAGGATTGTTTAGGTCAGTCTTGGTCAGTGCTCATTCATTGGTTTTGAGATTAAGAGAAGGAGGTGGGCGTTGTTTGATTTTTAAGAACCGAGTAGAGGCTGGGCCCTGATAGAAGGTAGGTGATAGGTGGTAAGTGGTAAGTAATACTGATTTAGATATCTTTGTTTATACAACAGTCAATACGCCAGAACGCTCATTGCATCTTGAACTCGCTTCATGTAACCCTCGGCGCAACACAAAAGCAAAGCATGACTTGTAGCCCCCTAAATTTCCGAAACAGAACGCCTGGTCCAAAAAGGTACGGCAGAGCCGTTTGACTGAACTTTTTGTACATCCGTGGTCTCATCCCATGTGGATAATTTCACGTCTCATCAACAGAGAGAAGAGAGATTCTTTGCTATCATTTCATTAGTACTCCCTAAGTATGAACACATTTCGTAGACTAGTATCTCAGGCAATGTTTCCCGCCATGCCCTGTAAAAGTCGCGTGATGTCAGTACATGCGTACGGTTTGCACCAACAACAACAACAACGAGGGGGCTGGTGGATTGAAGGGGGAACAAGACGTACCAAGAAAATTGCCTGGACCGCCAGTTGCAGACTCCACAGGCCAACCTTTTTGAAGCGTCTCAAACGTGCCTGCTCGTCCGTGACGTCTCTCGCGAAGGCGTCGTAGACCTCGGCGGACAAGTCGTCCATCAGGCCAGAGTCGAAGACGGTCCAGCTCCCGTCAAAGTCAGAGAGGCGTTTCACGACGCGGCAGTTGATGGGTATAAATGTTCTCCGAGAATTGATGTACGCCACGATCGGGCGTATGAGTGCGTTGTTGATGTACGACAAGTCCCTGGTGAAGAGGGGGACTACGGCGCGCACGTCGTTGAGATGGATACGGAGGTCCATCACCAAGTATCGCTTGTCTTCCTCCCTGACGGCCTTGGGCTCGGTGGACGCAGAGAGAACGCCGCCGCCGTCGTCGGATGCGACGGAGTCTGCGTCGTCGCGAGGAGAGATGAGGTCAACGTGTTTGCGTGAGGTCAGTGCTTCTTCCATCCGCTCGTAAAAGTCCGTCATGACTTTCATGACGGATTCTTCAAAGTCGTTTGGAATCATCACGTCGGCTACGATGTCGACATTGCCTTCATGGATCCACGACAACGGCCCGACAGCACCGCGGTTAAGGTGGTCAATGTTCATTGCGTCGATTCTGATCCGTGATTGCTTCCTCCACGGTTCATTAGACGGATCGTCTGAATGCTGCAATGTGGCGCCAGTGTAGGAGTGTGTTTGGCGGGGATGGATGGTAAAGAGGGATCGGTCGAATTCGCCAGTCATGCTGTTCGCTCCAAGGAAGTCGTAGAAGAGCCATTGTTTGCGGAGGCGGGGAAGGTCTGCGTTGTAGATGCTGACGGGGAATGGGCGGAAGCCTTCTGGCTGTAGGACGGTGACAAGAAGATCTTCGATCTTGAAGGATTCGATTTCAAAGTCACCTGGGTTATGTTCGTGACGGTATGATTTGGGGTCGATTTGTTCATCGGTCCAGAAGACGTGGGTCCGGTCGACCACGCCTCGGATATGTTTTATCTCGACGTTTTGTAGAGGTCCTTTGGAGTTCCACCACTTGCTGAACGATAATGTGACGTTTACTTCGCCGATTGTGATGTCAAACTGCGTGTAGTTCTGTTCTTCTGGTGGCACGGGGTCTTCGGCAGACGAGGCTTGTGCCGCCGCCTCGGGCGACCCCTTTGTCACTCGGGAATTGCTTTTGCCTGGTCTTCTGGAGACAAACACGTTCTTGAATGTGATGACTCCATCACTCCATTTTGGGACGATGGCAGATTCGAACACCACGTGAAGGCCGGACGACTTGGTCAAATAGTTGCCGATCCAGCCGGCCAACGTTTCCTGAGCGAAGACTGTATTGATCGCGAGTATGGCCAGCGAAACAAAAGTCGTGGTCCCTACAACAATCCAGATGACATGACCCAGCGCAATCCACGAGATGAACCCGACAATCTCATCAACATTAAATGGTCGGGTGCTCTTAATAGTCAACCACTTGAAGCGAACCTTGAGCCGCGACCAGAATCCAGTAGCGGCAGCCAAAAGCTCTTCCTTTGTCGGACGATGGAACTGCGGCATGTGGATTCTGTCATAAAAGTGCTCATGATGGGATTGGCTCTGTCCTGTCTCGGGTCTGGAGGTGCTTTGTTCCTGTGATACTTCAGGCTTTGAGGTTTTATTCTTTGCTTCTTGTTCAATTCCTTCTCTTCTCGAGGCCGGCTTTTGCGTGCGTCGCTGGCTTTGATGGAACCCTCTTTTTAAAATTCGGGCTAGACGAGTCTGTGGCCATGGGTCGGCGCTCCTCCCAGCCAAGTGTAAACCGAGCGTTGACGCCGGTGCTTGGAAAGAATAACTTATTGGGCTGGATTTTGCGCCAGACACTGGTGTTCCGACGGGCAGTCGACCAGCTTGCGAGGCGAGAAGACCGCTCCCACGGAGTCCCTTGGCAGCTTTAGTGACATAGCTGTTTGACGGACTCTCCAAGACTGCTATTCGTCGTGGCGTATGGTATCTGAAGCTTCGGTACAGGGAAGAGGTTGCAAGCCTTTGTGTTACTCGAGTCGTCCGGGTGGCCAGTGCGGGAAATTTCGAGACATCGCGTATGCCTCGGACAAAGACATCCGTCATAGTCGGGCGGTCATAATGATAAAGTTGGGTTTGTGCGAGGAATATGGAGAGGAAATCTCGTAGAGGCAGAGTGAGGCAATTGAAGGATGAAAGGAAGCAAGGAGGAAGAGAAGCATGTGCATGAATAATGATGCAAGCCGGAAAAGCCTCGTTTCGCCTGGCGATGGATCGTAAACTTGATCCATGCATTTTCATGCCTTTTCAGCCCAAAAGGTCAAAACCCGCTGCGGAGAAAATTATTTCTTCGCCCAACCCCGAATCCCTCACAACCGCCAAACCTTTCACAGAGGCAAGTGATATTCTCTTGTTCGAAACAAAATCCAAGACACTGCCGTCATCGACAGGATGCCTGCCCCTACGGCGCTGCAACGCGCTCCTGAAGCCTTCGCAGAAACAGAAGCACACCTCCAAGAGCCCTCTTTCGACCAAGCCGCCGACGAGGCAGGTGACCTCGACCTGGTCACCGCAACACAAGACGCCCTCTTCTCTTCAGAAAAGACAGACGATACAAGCATGCAACTCGACGAAGAAGGCCGCCCTCGCTTTGCACCAGCGGCCCAAGCAGATTCTCTCACTACTGTCCGAATACAGTCCCGCAAAGTCCCCATCCCACCACACCGCATGACCCCGTTAAAAACCAGCTGGCCCAAAATCTACCCTCCGTTGGTCGAGCACCTCAAACTCCAAGTGCGCATGAACATCAAGTCCAAAGCAGTGGAACTACGGACTTCGAAATTTACGACTGACTCTGGGGCCTTGCAGAAAGGCGAAGACTTTGTCAAGGCCTTCACTCTCGGATTCGATACTGATGATGCCATTGCTCTCCTGAGGCTGGACGATCTTTACATTGAGACTTTTGAAATCAAGGATGTCAAAACCTTGCAGGGCGAGCATCTGGGACGAGCGATTGGTCGGATAGCAGGCAAGGATGGCAAAACGAAATTTGCCATTGAGAATACGAGTAAGACGAGAGTTGTGCTGGCGGACAGCAAGATCCATATTCTAGGTGGGTTCCAGAACATCAGAATAGCCAGAGAAGCAATTGTCAGTTTGATTTTGGGTGCGCCGCCCGGAAAAGTGTATGGGAATTTACGGACAGTTGCAAGAAGAATGAAGGAACGATTCTGATCGAGGTGCGAGACTTGATCTATGACAGGTATGATGGGCAGAAAAGGGGCGTTACAGAAGGGGTTCCTGCTTTTTTCGATACCTGAAATCGGTCATTTGCGAAATTTCATGCTTTGGTCAGATCATATACAGCGTACAAGCATGAGACAGATATGAATACCATTCAATATTGAATTGGTCAAATTCCCATTCGCCATACTATGCATACAATGACAACGCCACCAGAAGCCAGCACCTTTTCTAACCTGGTCTAGTCCCTCTTGAGAGGCGTGAATGTTTCTTGAATCCCATCCTTCGTGATGATGAACATCTGAAGACCGTCACCAACTTCGATGTGTCGCTCAGTGGCGCTTGAGAAGGCATCCTTGACCAGTCCCACCACGACGTCTTTCGGCAGACTTTCGATTGGTCTTTGTTGCAATTCGTGTCCATATCCTGAGGCCGGAATATATTGATTTTTGTAGTTGACCTGGTTGTCCAGGAAAGGCATGATCAAACTGGCCGCTGCACCAGCAGCTCGACACTGTTCCCGCTCGTAGCTACCAACCGGATCGTAGCTGTACAATGCTCCCTTTCCGTCCTCATCTAGACCACCGAGGATTGCATGGACGTAATATGGAAAGAATCGCTTCTGGTAGAGGATCGTGGAAAGTCGCTGTGCGCACGCCTTGACACTCATGGGTTTGCCATGTTGGTACTTGTACATCTTTGCAATCGCATCGAGCCGTTCTTTCAACGCATGTCCGTCTGCTGCAAAGCCAACCACCGACAGAACGATACGTGATGAGTCTTCTTCATCTCCAATGCGGAAGAGCTTTGGTTCGTAGCGGGTGTTGATGTTGTAGCCGGAGGTCGATCGCGTATCACCAGCGAGGATAGCAAAGTCAGCGCCAGTGATTCCTAATGTTGAACCGCCATTGTCCGTGTATCTGGGATACGGTCAGCCTGCTGAATTCAATCCTATGAACAGCTTCTCAAACTAACGGGTAGAAAGCGTGTTGCTTCGTTCCGGCTGCATCAGTAGCAGCGGCAGAGTTTGAGAACGAGTAGCCAGGCTGATCTGAGGGCATAGCTCCGGTATTGAGTAGGGAAGCCATGTTGAAGGAGTTATTGAGAAGGAGTGTTGGAAAGTCGTAAATGTCCTAGGACTTGACGTACTGTGTAGTCGCAATCGCCGTATGCCTGACACGGGCTGGTACTGAAGCGCAATTGCACACCGTAGTTAATCTACGGCGAACCATTAAGCCAATAAACGCATTCTGATATCCCTACAGAATATTTGAACACATGATGATCACTGATCAGTCTCAAGATTTCCTTGTCCCTACCGCTTCTAACCACTCTTTAGTGCGGGGAAATTGACCGTTTCTTTCTCGAAGTCCATGCGGGATGAGCGCACTTGTGGCCTATGAAAGTAGCAGCGAGGAGGATGAAGTTGCAGACGACAACAAAGGTCAAGATCAAGATGCCACCACATCAAACTCAACGGGACACCATAACCCGTATATCGGTTCCAAGTCTCCTATCAAGCCTGTTGAACTCAGTTCACACATTATCACCCCCACTGCCCACGCCGACACAGTTGGGCCTATGGTAGGTCCATCTATGCCAAGTCAGGTGGACAGTGAAATCGAGGACGAGCCTTTATCAGAACTTCAACAGTCCATGACTGAGCGAGACATTATTCACCAGCTTACATTTGCATCGCATCCCATGACGTCGCTCCCTCAATCTCCGCCTGGCTCTCCCAACCCGGCGGTTGAAGCCAGGTTCAAGAAATTTCTTGACTTGAAGACGAGAGGAACTCACTTCAACGAGGACTTGGCTAGCAAATCAGCATTCCGCAACCCCGGTCTTCTCGCCACCATGATGCTCCGCGTAGGTTTGGACGAAGAGGATCAATATAAGACATCGCTGCCCAAGCAAGTTTGGAATCCTACAGGCTTTCCAAAATCTGCATACAGAGAAGAGCTGCTTCGAGCCCAGCAGACTCTACGCGATCAAGAATTGGCCACGAAAAAGAGCCTTTCTGCGTCAGGAAAAAGAACGATCGAGTTCACTTCTGCAGGGAAGTCCGGGGATAGTAGCCGTGATTCCACCCCCGGCATGCCAAATAAACGGAAACGACCTTGATCATGGATCGAAGCAGATCCGCGATGATGTTTCGGATATTGTAGCAACAGAGCCGACGACAAGCCTTGACAAATTCATCGACTGGGCCTATTCTTACCAGAGATAGGAGGCTTTTGAGGAATGTCCAAACGAGTATGCTGACTTATTCTGGCCGCAGCGCAAAACTCAGAGCAAGTGCATTTACTCGAAGTGATAAAATCTAGAGAAGGTGCACGGCGCGCTCCAACTGGTGGACCAGATCTGAAGTTGGTGTGAACGACGTCGTCAGTCACAGTGGCCCCTTTACAAGTTTGCGTTGATAGGATCTGGCCTCAGCCAATACCCAGATAGGTCTGTTAGGGTTCGGGTTCCTGCAGCTGAAACGACCGCGATATGGCGTTCCGCCGGCAAAAGATTGCTGGTTCCCAAGTGGCCTAGGGAGAAGAGCGTGATGACCAACAGTCTGGAGCACGAAGTATTGTACACGCCGAGGACGGAGTCAAGCAGATGACCGTTGACGCCTCGGATCGTCAGGGTCCAGACACTGATCGGCAGTTGTTGCGCGTTTCGTTAAGAGTGCTACATTGCGAAGGCCTGGGTGTGACTGACGAGTCATGTCAATCGAATTTATCATGGGGGCTCGAGCGACGAGCAAAAACATTCGATCTCGTTGGGCCCCTTTCGCCTTGACTTGTTCGCCTACGTCTGATATAGTAGCACTCTCATTCAACTTATGGAGCCGAAAGAAAGAAAAAGAGGGCAGATGCATGCACTCCCGGGGACCCAGTTTGGCTAAGCACATGGGAATCGCCGCGGCCTACGGCAGGGGGCGTGCATCTTGGGTAAGGTTCGTGTGGGCATTGCTTGAAAAGCACATTTGGGGAGCTTTGACTGGGGGTCGGAGCTAATTACAAAACTAGCTGGATTAGAGGCTCCCGCCGAAGCGCAATTACAGTACATGAGGGTAACGTTTCATGAAAACGTGGGTGTTTGTTTGAGCCTTTCGATTTGGATCTGAAACTGCGCGGCCCTACACTCGGTGAACTCCTAGATTAATCACTCGCACAGACGCAGGTACGGATACAATACCTACCGTAGATGAATTAGTAGGTCACTCACGAGACGCGGCTCAGGAATGCAAGGGTCCCTATCTAAGTACGGAGTCTGGATGAATCTAGGTGGGCATGATACCGTACTCCGTACTGTAGTCCGTGGTACGAGGTGTAATCTCCATAGGCTGCAGCCGTCGCAGAGTGGAAATTGACAATGCGGCATGAGAGCAAGCGAGCTCGCACGTACAGTACAGTAGGAATTACTGGAAACCGTGAAAACGCAGCCCTCTGGGACGCACAGTACTTGCGTCCAGCAGGCTGTTGCTCTCGTAGACTCCTGGGCCCTGGCTATTGATTTTAGGCATCGGCTTCATGCCCGATACCCCCAAGCCCACTTAAAAAACCAACTACACGTTGAGACTGAGATACGAGGATGATCAACACCTGTATCCACCTTTGTTCGAGAGCTGTGCATCAACCGACAACAGGTGAGCGAGGGCAGTGGTTCATCTGACCTGCTGCACTCGTGGTAGTTGTATGATGTGCTATTGTATGCCCACCACCATCACCACCGTTCAAACACCAAATCCTCCCTCCTGACATTCGCCAGGACCCAATCATTCCCCCCAGACGACCTTCGCCTATCCCGGCGCTTACTTGCACACTTGGGTTTGTCGACTGTGGCGCTTCTAACTGGTTCGGGGTTTTTGCAGGACCACGAACGGCCAACCTCTTACACTTCTCGTTAGACCCGTCTGCGCGATCCCACGCCTTTTTGCCTTCGTTTTCCACGGCGCAGTCTACCGCTGGCCTGTCAGCGGTGTCCAGGTGTTCTCCCTGATCCTCATGGCTTGAGGCTAGATTACCTAGGTTCCTCATGCTGCCGATCACTCATTTCCTGACATGTCGACGCTGAGCGAAGCGACATCCCGCTCACCCCAGATCCGTTTGAGCCCATCAGCCGCCACTGTTTCGTCCCCTACACCGACTGACCCTCATACCTACATCTCGACCGCCCGCAGACCTGCCCAGAATGTCCTGGGGAACAATCTGATTCCTCGAGACTATCTTTCCTCGAGACCTGGTCCTGGTCAATCAAGGAACTTTGCAGACACTGCCACTCCCACTCCCCAACAGATGAGTGCCGTGCCTGATACAGCGGTGAAGAGTGCTCCAATACACATACGGCAGGGCGAATCTGCTCCAGCACGCGACCAGTCCGGCAGCATTGGTACAAGCAAGCCCGGTCTGGATGCAAGTCTCTCTTTGAACCTCACCAGCTCGGGAAACAACGAGCAGCCTGCCCTGTCCGAATCTCCGAAGTCATATGGTTCGCTCGCAACGAGCGGACCGATAGTGACGACCATGCCTCGCACGTCTTCCATAGATTCGGCCATCTCGAGCATCTCTTCCCAGTCGCACGTTCAGAAGCAACCAACAGACACAAAGGATCCATCCAGGGAAGAAGTTCTGAACCTAATTGCTACGGCTGGCTCAGCGGAAAATCTGGTTCTGCATCTCTTGAGGGACAAGAACCATGCGGCAGCACAGAATGCGCAATTATGGAAACTAGTGGACAAGCAAAGAAGCCTGCTCCTGGGTCTAAATAAGGATTTGGAGCGAGTAACGAAGGAGAGGGAGCGGTACAGGAGAAAAGTCAAGGAATTACAGTCAGAGACACCAGCGGTTCCGGTGAGCGTTCGCCCAGGCGACGCCGAGTCGCCACGATCGGACAGCGACATCCCGAGCACCTCGCAGGACACCAGCGCCCTATCGGCGTCCGAGTCGAAACTAAGGGCTGAGCAGAATCAAACGCCCAGCAAGGCCGCGCCAGTACAAACACAAAGCTCGCCGCTAGACCCAGCAATGATGCCTCCTCCCCTTCACCTGCAACAGGCACCGAAAATCCAGAACCTCGCTACAGACATGATACAACCTGTCTTTGCTTTAACTGAGGCGACTCCGCTCTCAGATAAGCCCCCAAAGTCTTTTCAGGCTTCCCGGAAGGCTCCCCCAAGACCTCTTGATTTACGCCCCACGAAAGAAGAAATTGCGAGTACCGAGGTGGTCATCAGTGATGGGGATGATGACGAACAACGAGGACCCACGGAGCGTGGTAGGCGGAAGACACGAGAGGAGGACGACCGCGAACGTGAGCTACTTGTCATGAAAGAACAAGAAGCTAGGAGCCGCTCCAAGAAGGAAAAGAAGGGCAAAGGCGAGGCGACAGAGGTTGTGCTAGGTGATCTGCCTCTTCCGCCACTACATTCACCGCCCGCTGTGCCCAAGCAGGCTTACACAAGTGAACCCAAGACACACGACCACCTATCTCCCTCGTCGACCCTTTCAGCTGTTTCATCAACTCAACTCTCGGTTCCGCTAAGAAGCTCTGGCCTTCCGACCAGTCCACGCCCATTTCCCCTTATGGGAGCTACACTTCCAATGTCGCCACGAGCGCCAAAGAGCAATTTCCCGTTGTCTCCTAGAGCGCCCAAGCAGGCCCTTCCAAACCCTACCACACCAGGTCAAGAGGCACCGGCTCCTGGCAGCCAAAAGAAGGTTGGTCCGTCGCAATTGATGAAGATGGACACGAATCAGGTGAAAGACGACCATGGTCGAACCCAAGTGCACGAGTCCCCCCTGAGTCCCGACGACGCCCCGCCTGTGAGTCGCTCGCTTGTCAGCCCAACCTGGCCTGACTTCCTGTTGCCTCCCAACGCTCTTCCCTCAATTCAGATCAAGGTGGCATCGTCGCGGCTACGGCCCTCCAGGAATAGTATCTTGGGGGTAAAGGGGACGGAGGAAGCTTCGGTGTTTAGCCTGTCCATTTTTGAGCGAGCGACTTCCTCGGAGCTCTGGCGCGTTGAGAAAGTTCCGACATCGCTTCCAAGTCTTGACCAGCAACTCCGCCCCCGTTGCGCAGATCTACCCAAAATACCGGAACGGAAATTGTTCTCTGGACACTCTCCGGTCATAATTGATTCGCGAAGAGCTGCGATAGAATCATACTTTGAAGAGCTTCTGGACACACCGATGGACGAGCAAGCCGCTGCGGTAATATGCAAATATCTATCTACGGATGTGATGGATTCACAGCTTAATTTGCCAAATCATAAAAGCGAAGAGCCCCAGAGTAACACCAAGCCCCCACCCAGTGCTGGCATTCCAACAAAGTCTGGGTACTTGACCAAAAAAGGCAAGAACTTCGGAGGATGGAAATCCAGATACTTCGTATTGGATAGTCCGGAGCTGAGGTACTTTGAGGCGCCAGGCGGCGCTCATCTAGGAACGATCAAGCTGCTCAATGCACGCATTGGTCGACAGACACAGACTGATCCGGCGGCAAACGCTGAAGTTGACACGGAAAACCAGTATCGGCACGCCTTTTTAATTCTCGAGCCGAAGCGGAAAGACAACAGCAGCTATGTTCGTCATGTTCTCTGTGCGGAAAGTGATTTCGAGAGAGATGAATGGGTTGAGACCCTTCTTCATTACATCGATGAGAAGCCTGCAGAACCCAAATCTCAGTACGGTGCAGGCGTCCCAAGCTCACAATCCAAAGATGCCAAAGCTTCTCATAAGTCTACCGTTGAGGATGGAGCTTCGAAAGGGGCCGCAAGTCCAAGGTTCAACCAATCCCAGAGTGATACACCGTCGCCATCCAATGCATCCAGTCATGCTTCTGAGTTTGCACAAGAGGCAGCCCCAAAACCGGTCAATATTTCTGGTCCGATGAACGGAGGTGTCATCTCAGATGCTGGACTCTGGGGGAACAAATCAGCCGGGCATGGCAGTAGCAAGGAACGGGAGCAGAAGAAGCGTACTCTCTTGGATCATTTCAGGAAATCGTCTTATGAACAACTTGCAGCGGCACCGCAGCCGGTTCAACCAAAGCGAGCTGACCACGTTACGCACGCTCACCGAGGTGGGCATGTCAGACCAGTCTTCGGCATGCAACTTCAGGAAGCTGTCGAATATTACTCCCCTACCGATGTGGACATATATCTACCCGCCGTTGTCTACCGCTGCATTGAATATCTTCGAGCCAAAAATGCAGCCAGCGAGGAAGGTTTATTCCGTCTCAGTGGTTCCAATATTGTCATCCGAGCGCTCAAGGACCGCTTCAACACCGAAGGGGACGTGGATTTGTTGACAGACGAGGAAGAATACGACGTGCATGCCGTTGCTTCACTTTTCAAGACCTACCTGCGAGAGCTCCCCTCAACAATCTTGACCAGAGAGCTGCATTTGGAGTTCATCAAAGTTCTCGAGTTGCATGACAAAGCTCAGAAAATCACCGCCTTCAATGGCTTGGTTCACCAACTGCCAAGTGCCAATTTTTCATTGTTGAGAACTCTTTCGGCCTATTTGCTAGAGGTAGTGCAAAACTGTGATCGCAACAAGATGAGTGTGAAGAATGTTGGGATTGTCTTCTCACCTACTCTCAATATTCCTGCCCCGGTATTTGCGATGTTCCTGACCGAGTTTGAGGCTATTTTCGAAAAGACCAGCGACGCAGGATCTGTCCGTTCGACTGACATGGATCGTGAAGGGGCTTTGACTCCCGAGGACATCCGATCCCCTCGTCGCATGATGTTTACCGACCTCCCGACTCCAGCGTACAACCAGAGTAGTTTCTCTCACAACTCGAGCGCCACCGGTGCGTCTCAGGGTCAGACGGCAGACCATCAGACCGACAGCACCAGCGATGTTGGCTTTTCGCCCATCCACCCATCCTACGAAACCCGGAGCTACGTATCGATCCCGCACGACATGCCCATGCAACCACGCTACCCTCCCCCGCAGCCACCATCTGGTAGCTACCGATATGGAGGATCGAATAATATGCTTGTCCCTGAGAACGCCGCCAGCGCCAAGGCCAAACGTCGCGAGAGTGCGATGTTGTTCCTATGAAGCTGTTTAACGACGATAATACTACGAGGTCGTGGTTGACTGGGCCATTTTTCAAGCAAGCGTCTTGGCCACTCCATTGTTTCTTTTCTTCTTTTTGTACGGTCTCGTTTAGAGATACCCAATACTTTCTTTTTTTTTCCCTTTCCAGCGGGTGAGCGTACATGTGTGTGCTACACAATTTGTTTTGTTGTGAGGAAAACTGAACAGCACTGGCATTGTGAGCGCTTTAGCATATGGAGCATTGTAATTCTATCTGATAGTGGTGGCGGAAAAGGGGTTGGACAAGCCTTTTTTTTCCATGTCAATCACCAATGAAGGGAGGGTGGTTTCTTTGTAGTTGTAGGTATGAGAAGGAGAAATTGGAAAGAGAAAGAAGGAAAAATACGATGGGATGAAATGAGTAGGACAAGAGATGGATGATTATTGACATGTCGGGATACGGATACAGCCTACAGGGAACCAGGTACATAACTACCTGAGGTAGCTCATGGACCTGTTTACCTCCCTAGAGTTATCTGAATGTGGTTTTCTCTTTTCCACTGATGCAATGACTTATTTATCACAGATCTAGATCTCTCCCCGCGTCTCGCGAATCGCCCAGCTTTCTTATCTTTTGGCTCAGGTACAGTGCGTGAATCTCCCGGACCAGATCAGAATAAGTCTTGAACTGCCGAGCGAAAAGTCGAGACGGCGACCACTCACATCATACCTTACTATCAGTGACGAGTGATGAGTGATCACCCACTTGCGTGTCGTTATTGCACCATCGAGAGGCACCTACCAACCTCTTACATTTTGATAGCAGTAATGATGATAATACGGCCGTGGACGTTCGTTCCAATAGACGTCCTCACTTGTCGTCCCTCGCTAACTAAAAATGACCTGAGCTAGCTTGGCTACTCCGGGACCTAGGTCAGACACAGATACTTTGCAAGTGGCTTGAGCTCAGCCAGGTGTCTTAGATAAGGTACGAGTACCTGAGGTAGGTACTGTAGCTAAAAGTCTGGCCAGGTCTCTCCAAGTTTATTTTGTTTTGTTTTGTTTTGTTTTGATTCGATTCTTTTCGTTTCGTCGACCTCGGCCTCGACCTGGGTTGGTCCTCGTTCATGTTCCCCGTGCGCAGAATAGGAAAAAGAAAGTAGTGGAGAATTTCAATAGCTGGATACCTATCTACCTTAGGTACCCTAGGTACGAACGGGGGGATACGAGAGAGTTCAGCACCTGGTGAAGTCTGGACACTGACACTTTTTGTGTATTTTGCACCCTCCACATATCTATCGCACAGACAGATCACGCACGTTTCAGGTCAATTTCACTTTTTGGGAAGCCTGAGAGTTTAGTAGAATAGTTAGGGGGGTTTTTTTTTCTTTCTTTCTGGAAAGCGAGGATCGGATAAAGAGCTAGACACGCCAGGAGAGAGAGAGACGTAGAGAGTCAGAGAAAGAAAGAAACCAAAACCAAAACCAAAAAAAAAATGGCACCAACAACAGGCCTTGTCAACTCATTCCTAGCAGCCATCCAAGCCAGTCTGTCCGTCTTGCTGGTGATCTTCTACGGCGGCGTGGCGGCACACCTCCGGCTCCTCACGCCGGCCAACACGAAGGCCATCTCTAAGGTGTGCGTGCGCATGTTCCTGCCGGCGCTGCTGGTGACCAAGATCGGCAGCGAGCTGCACTCCGGGTCGGCGGGTCGGTACCTGATCGTCCTCGCGTGGGCGGTCGTGTGCCACGTAGTCAGCTTCGTCGTGGGCGTGGTCGCGCACCTGTGGCTCGGCATGCCGGACTGGACGACGGTGGCGCTCATGTTCAACAACACCACGAGCTACCCGCTGCTGCTGATCGGCGCCCTGGAGCAGACGGGCATCCTGACGGCGCTGATCACGGACCCCGAGAACGAGACGACCGCCGCCGCCGTCGAGAGGGCCAAGAGCTACTTTTTGGTCTTTGCGACCGTGTCGAGTTGCTTGACCTTTGCCGTCGGCCCGCGCCTGATCGATACCGAGCACGCGGCCGAGAGCGGTGACGGGGAGGCCGAAGAGGACAAGGATGATGGCGGCGGTCTACTTGGTGACGAGCGTAGTAACGAGGCGAATGGTGATGGTGCGCATGGGCATGACGGTACCAGTGGCGGCGGCGTCGTGGGAGTGACACGACGAGATCTCGGTGAGGACCACGACCGCCACCAGGACGACAACGAGGGCGATGAACATACACGACTCCTCGGCGGGAGCGTACTTAGCGTGAGCACCCTGTCGATCAAGCAGAACTCCTTCTTCCCGTCCACGAGGAGGGCGAGCGTGCTTGCTTGGGACGGCGACGAGGCCGGCCGAGGCCAAGCCACCGCGGACCTCAACCGTCGACCGAGCATGGTCCCTCGACGACACTGGATCCATTTGACCCCGAGGACGAAGTGGTGGTTGTTGTTCGTTTCGGACTTTTTCAACGCCCCGTTGCTCGGTGCCATCGTGGGCGCCGTCATCGGCCTGGTCCCGTCGCTGCACAGGGCCTTCTTCAACGACACCTACGAGGGCGGCATCTTTACCGCCTGGCTGACCTCGTCGTGGAAGAGCATCGGAAGCCTGTTCGTGCCGCTCCCCGTCGTCGTGGCCGGGGTGTCGCTTTACACGGCCATGAAGGAGGCGAGGAGGGCACGCTCCGACGGCAGGGAGGACGCCGGCCTCCCCTGGGCCACCGTCACGTTTATCATGATCGTCAGGTTCGTCGTCTGGCCTGTCGTGTCCATCTCGGTGATTTACGCCCTCGCGAAGAAGACGGGCGTGCTGGGAGAGGATCCCATGTTGTGGTTTGCCATGATGTTGATGCCAACAGGTATGTTCTTTTCGACGTTCGAATCACCAAAACCCTCCGAATGGGAGAGGGAGAGGGAGAGGAGAGCAATCGCTAATCTCACGGACTACACTTGTAGGACCGCCGGCTATGAAGTTGATCACGCTCGTGCAGGTCAGCGACGCCGACGAGGCCGAGGAAACGAATATTGCAAAGCTCTTGACGGTAAGTCTGGTGCCACCAAACAGAATTGAACACGATTGCGTTATGGGCGCATGCTGGTGCTGGTGCGGGTGCTGGTGCTGATGCTGATGCTGATACTGATTTGCTGTTCTAGCTGTCTTATGCCATATCTCCCATCCTGTCGTTCACGGTTGTCGGAGGACTGAGAGCTGCTCAGGCAGCCCTCTGATAGGAAGACGATCGCCATCACTGTGTGAGGTTTCAAAGGAATTCAGGCCCAAGTCGTATCAAAATCATTAACTCTTGTCGTCGTCTACAAGTCACGTCGTCCACTATATTGGAATAATTCTAACGCCCATCTCGTACAATGCTTGTTTCCAATCCGTCGGTTTTGCTGCGCTGCCATGCCCTGTTTGGCTCTCTTCCGCCCTCGCGTCAAGGGCATCCCAAATTTTGTACACCATGTCCCGCTGCCTGGCGTAGTTCTCAACCCTGTAACTCTGTACGCGAGCCCACCACTTCTCCCATCTCTTTCTCTGCTCTCCGACTGCTTCACAGCTAGCCACGAAGGCAGGCCAACTTATAGGTGCGGCAAATCCGCTCGTACTGTTCCGAACACACCCTTCTTTCAAATCCTCGGCTCTGTTCATGGCGTCGAGACACGCCGTTTGTTCTTCACGCAGAGTACGTCGATCGCAATCCTGGATGCTGCGGAAATAGTAGATCAGAGTTGCGTTGTAGAATGCCGAGACCTGCGCGTGGGCTATGGCTTGCATGGACGATGTGGTCTGCTCTTCGATAGAGGAAAGAGGTTCGGATTCCACAGTCCAAAAGGCAAGTTCGTCACCCACCCTTTCACACTCGGCGAGGAGTGACTGGGGAACGTCTTGACTGGTATGTCTGTAGTATGCGAGCGAGTTTGAAAGTTCTGTAATTTTGAATATCGCTCTAGCGATGGAAGGTGTGATGCCGTAGAGAAACTCGATGTTGCTATGGAGGTCGTTGAAATTGGATTCGCCTAGTATACCAGCGGCTATACCAGGGGCCCAGGGTTTGGGATCGCTGTTGTACAGTGCTGTGCGAGCAAACAGATTCAACATCGTACAAATACTGTCCAATTGTCTTGTTTCGTGAGTAACCAGGCGGGAGTCGTGACGGGATTCTTGCAAGCGCCGTGCGGCGTCGAGGTGGATCCAGTGATCTTGGGTTCCGCCGTCCGCAACCTAATAATCATTCAGACAAATCCACGCGGAAGAGATTTTACTTACATCGACTGAGACGAGGGAGAGGATCGCAGTCATGAGCTCCCTGTAGGTGCTTTTCTTGGTAGTCAGAGCCTTGCGTGCCGCTGATAGAGCAGTCTGCTTGTGGTAGTACGCAAGCTGAGATAGTTGACCTGCGTTAGATCTCAGGGCTTGGAGGTTGATCGCGGCACAGGTAAGTATGCTGTGGAAGACAGCGGTGCTTGCTATCGAGGCTTGGCTGCCGTTGGTCGCCATGTTGAGATCAGGGCAGCCTTGCAATGCTGTTGCGAGGTAGATTGTTTTGAATGGGCTTTGCAGATGATATACCGGTTGCATCAAGCATATCAAATATTGTTCAAAGTGATGCACAAGCATGGCTGTAGTCGAATTGGAGAAGAGTGAGAGTGGACGTTCATTGCTCAGACTCAGGCCCATGGACCTCGCACTGTTAGTTTCCGGGTGATATACGGCGACATGTAAGTCGTCCAAGGAGCTGCCGCCGGATTCGGCGAACTCAGTTGATGTCGTAAGAGGATAGTCGTCGTCACTTTCGAGCTCTATTCCCCCTATATCTCGGGTTGCTTCCCATTTCGATCTCGGATGATCAAAAACAGGTGAGTCCTCCATTTGTAGCTCGGTGAGTGACAGGCAATCTAGAACAAAGCCGCTAGAGATAGATTGTAGCGAGTCATCATCTGAGTTAGTGACTAGCAAGGTGGTTAGCCGGTTTTTTGGTGAATCAGCAGAATCGAGGTCGAAAGCAGTGGCATCATCATTTCCCCCCTCGACGCTCATTATCGGCAGCTCAAAGCTTAGATGGTTGAGCACAATCTCGGACGAGGACTCGGCATGGTCAGCAGAACTGATTGAATATGGCTCTTCAGCGACAGGAGCCACAATGTCTGCGAGCTTGATCACAGAGAAAGGTCCAAAAGTACCAGACCGATCGTGGGCAGCAGCCTGTTCGACTTCAGAAAGCGTCTTAGACAAGGCATGATGTGTGAGTGGTTTAAGTCCGATTTGGCCTATAAAGAGGAGATTAATCGACCGCACCGAAGCCGAAACATGAGTCGTCGTACCAGGTCTTATTCGTCTGCGAGTCCATCGTTGTCCTTCGCGAGAGCCTTGCTTTCCGTCGGTCTGCCAGTTCAACCGTACACCATATCCGGCACAATGTAGCCTCGAACGCTCGCAGTTTCTACATGACTCGGGCCTTTCGTCGCACTTTATGTGACGTGACCGGCATGTCCAGCAACTCCATAGCATGAGTAAGACGACCAACGCTAGGGATGATTGCAGAGCTTACCCAGTAAATGTGGTTGACCTGCGTGCCTTGACTGGGCTTTGACCGGCAAGGCTGAGCTCAACTGAGCCTGGTAACGCCCATGCATGTTCAGTCATCTCTTTCCAGTAGTCACGACTGCTCCATCTCGTGGTGTCTTTCCGATTGAGGAGAGAAGAGTGGAAGTAGGAACATAGCGCGACGGCTCCCTTTGTGAGGACGATGATATCTCCCCGTTCCTAGGAGCGGTACGATCAAAAGCTAGATTTACCGCCTCTACCGATACCATGGCATCGCCTCGTCGTCGTTTGCTGAGCGTGTGGTGCTTATCAGCGGCATGGAAATTCTGTCGAAGTCGCCGTGTGATTGGAGGGCAATTCTAGACTATCCCCTATTCGGATCGTAGCCAACTTCCCCTCTTGGTCTCGCGGCAACTTTCCTTGTGATAGACGATGGATGCTTCTGAGAAGCCGACAAGGAGGAGAGCTATATCAACAATGACCGTCGTCGAGATAGACCTACGATGTCTCTGCCACAACGCAGCTCCTTCCTCGATCCTGCGGTACCGTCATGCCTCTCGTTCGAGGTGAAGAGATTGCCGTTTGGGGGGACCAACACAAGGCCAACGGTCACTTTGGGACAGAGGAGAAGTCGACCCTCGCTATTGCTGGAGACTTCAAGGACATCCCGGTCATCGACATTTCAGGCATATTCTCTCCCGACTTGAGAGACCGGCAAGCCGTGGCTGATCAAGTACGCGATGCCTGTGTTCGGGTTGGCTTCTTCTACGCCAAAGGTCACGGTATACCACAAGAGATGATCGACAAGGCCTTTGACTGGGCCGAGAGGTTCTTCGAACTTCCCTTTGAGGAGAAGATGGAGCTTTTCATCAACAACCAGGACAACTACCGCGGGTACACGCCCATGTATGGCAGTGGTAAGCCGGACATCGATGGACTAGCCAGTGAGTATCATGCCCCTTCGAAGCGTGCTTCTGATACTTAACGTACGTCCTGTATCACATTAGATGCCAACGAGGCCTTCGACTGGGGTCTCGACTCCAAGTTGAACGATGACCCAGAATACGCTTGCTCCGACCCATACATGAAAGGGAGCAACGTCTGGCCCGAACGCTTGCCTGGGTTCGAAGAGCACCTGTCCCAGTACTACTGCAAGCTACGAGATCTAGGCCGAGTCATGGCCCGTAACATTGCATTGTCACTGGGTCTTAGCGAAGACTCGTTTGAACCATACCTTACTCACCCAGGTTGCTCTGCCGTCGTGGCGCATTACCCTCCCATGGACATGACGAGCACGAAACTCGGACTGGATCCTCACACGGACAATGAATGTAAGAGGAGGCTTGGAACGTCGCAACCCAAAGCAAAACATACATTTCTGCATGCTGACCCGAAGCCTGGGCATATCTAGTCATGACGTTCCTGGCCCCGGGCAAGGTCAGAGCGCTAGAAGTCCTCAACCGCGACGGACAATGGATTTCTGCGCCACCGATAGAGGGCACGTATGTTGTCAACGTCGGTGACCAACTTCAACGGTAAGCAAGACGGAAGTGTCTCTTTCTATTTTTTTTTCCTTCTCTCTGTGGCAGGAAAGATCGAGGCCACCTGACAACCGATACTAATCGTGTTCTCGCCCCTCACCAGCCTCACGAACAACCTGTACATATCCACCATGCACCGCGTCATCAACCATACCGGCGAAGAAAGAATCTCTGTCCCATTCTTCTTCTCCGCGAATTGGGAGTGTCTAATCGATGTGAGTATCCGGACCTGCCAAGCTACTGCTGCTTGCTGTCCTCTGCTTGGTGCCTCGCTCGCTAACACTTCACTTTTCTATTTGTCTCTCAGCCCCTGAAGCAACTGCTCGACCCTGACGCCGAGATCAAATCGAACAACGTATCAGCAGGACAGGTAAGTTGACCATTCCACCAGCCCCCTCTAACATGGGAGAGAGACGACTGACCCCTTTTTACCCTCGGCTCCTACAGATGTACAAACACACCATGATGGCTTTGCACATTCCTGGTGACAACAACCCCATCTTCCAGAAATATCTCAAGGTGGCATAGCTTGGGGAGAGATGGGATGAAACAATTTGCATGCTTATAAACGAGAATGACTGAAGAAAGGAAATTGCTTTGATCATATGAATCTTATTTCATTCATCGTTTCCTCGTCGAAGTCGCTGTCTTCTTCTGTTTCTGCTTCCGTCTAGGCCCCTCATCTTCTGCAAAGTCACCGTCCTCCTCCTCCTCCTCATCGGCCTGATCATTATTTTTATGTTCGGCGGATTTTCGACCTCTTCTTGTCCTAGAAGGGACCTTTGTCTTGTTTGCTCCACCATCTTCTTCTACGGAATCACTCTGGACAAAAGCCGGCTCTCCGACACCATCTAGGATTTGTTCTTCCTCGTGCTCGGCCTCTTCAAACTCGTCCCCTTTTCTCCGCTTGACAGCCTCGCCTCTCAATCTCTTGAACGCATTCTTCATCCTGCCGGATTCCTTGCCTGTCCTATTACGTGGTGCCATGCCCTCAACGCCCGCATTGCCCGGACCTTCGCCACCCATCGCGAGACCGCTCATTGCCCCGCGCCCGGTACCGCCCACTCGGCCCCCTACACCAACTCCACCACTGAAGAACCGTGTGATATTGCTCTGCGTACCTTCGATCTCACGTTTATTCATATCTCTGATCACCGGCACCAGGATCTCGTCCGTACGCTCCTGGCTCCAGCCGATCGTGGCCATGAGGAAACTCCGCAATTTATCCAGATCCGGCACACCCCACTGGAACGGCTCGGGATCTGAATCGACCTCCGGGTTCAAATATGCCTCGTCGACCCTCGCGTCGGGAAAGCCTGGCGGGAGGAACAGTCTCTTCTGCACCGTGTTTCGGAACTTTCGCCGGAACGGTGTCGTAAGTTGATCTTCTAGATCCTGCGGCCGTCCAAGTTGAACACGACTGCACCATTCCTTGAACTCGGTCAGCGTCGCGAAGTCGGTCAGGATCTCCAATGCCGTGACGGGTCCTACGCCCGGGATGCCCTCTGTATAGTCGCTTCCCAGGAGATGGGCGAAGCGGATCAACCGTCGCCGGTCGAGTAAAAACTCTTTCTCAAGTTCGCTCGCAAGGTAGCACTCGACGTACTTCGCCGCATTGAACATATTCTTGTATATGCGCGTACCGCCGAAAAGAAAGATATCGGAATCATCGGTGACGATGCCGTCAACGAGACCGAGGCGAACAAGCTCAGCGCATTGAGCTTCTGCCTCCATTGGCGCCGTGATATAGGGTATGCCGAATAGGCGGAGTAGAGCTTGACACTCCTGCACCATGACTTGGGTTACTTCGTCTGCGTCACGGCGATCCTTCTTCTGCTGATTACGCAGTTGTTTCAGTTCGTTTTCGTAGTCGCGCATCGCTTGTTCGGACATTCTTTGGTTGTGCAGAGACGAAGCAAATCGTGCATGTTCTTCCGCTTCAACGGCAAGTTGGCGCATGAGTTCTTCCTCGGATTCAGACAGGTAGTCGAAGTCTTCTTCGACAATGGTACCCTGAGGCTGCGCACTATTACTGTCGTCAAGTATAAGTTGGTCGTTCAGTGCGTCGTCCATCGATATTTCTGTGGCAAGAGTCTGTTGGATGGCGGGCGCGGCCGCGGGAGGTGCGGACATCTGGACATCTTCGAATGCTTCACCCTCGTCGTCGTCATCCTCCTCAGCAGCAGAAGCCTGTTTTGCAGTGGAAGGTATCTTGTCTTTCGGCTCCTCATTGTCCACCGTCCCCAGAGATCCAGGTGTCGCTGGCTGTCCGTAATCAGACTCGCTCCAGTCTACTTCCTCAAAGTCACTGCCTGCTGCTTCACCAGTGGCTGGTTCTGCAGCCGAGGGTTCCGGAGCAGGGTTGAAGTTAGGGACGTCTGATGGTTGCGGAGGTTTTGCTTGGACTTTCTCCGCCACATCACCCATCGACATAGCATCCGTGTCGTTCTCTGCTGCAATTTGCCGTGCCAAATCGTAGCGCTTCTCCCTCTCCTCGTCCCGCTTTCGCTGTTCCTTTTCCGCTTTCTCGTCAACGATCAAGATATCATGCTGCGGCAGTTCGGGCTCGGAGATGACATGAGATTGCTGAGTCATTTCTGGGATCTCTTCTTCATCATCTTCCTCGATCTCGATGACGTGATCATCTTTCTTCTTTCCGTCGTCTTCTGCTTCCAGGTCAATGATCTCTTTCAGACCTTGCCGGCGAATTCTGTCATTCATGCTCGTATCTAGCTTCTGAGATTGTTCGATCCTATCATCCTTGTCCGGTTCCGGCGCATGCTTGAGATCCTTCGTGGTAGGAGCAGCGTTGAACCAGTCGGGCATTGGTTGAGGTGGTCTTTCTTTGCGGAAGGCGTCTTCCCCCAGATCACGATCGAACCCTCCTGATAAATCCTCTTCAATCTTCTTCGACTTCTTTTTACCAAGTAGGGAGTGCCCAAGATTGATGGACTCAAAGGGTAGGGGTCCGTCAAACTGTGGTGTTGGAAGACTTGGCTTCTGTATTGGGATGCGTTCTCTGACATTCGTCTTTGCAACATGCTTCGACTTTCTTGACTCTGCAAGTGCTGCTTGTAGATCGAAACCTTCGTCGTCATCTTCATCTTCAGCTTCAAACATCTTGGATTGTTCCTGTAGAAACCCACCAGCATCTTCTTCATCCGAAGCCTTTTCAAGTGACATTGCAATTGCTCGCTGTAGCTCATCATCCGTGTCTTCTTCAACGGGACCGGGCGGTAGAACGTCTTCGAACAAATCATCGGCCCCATCCTCCTCATCAGGTTTGTCCTCAGGCACGAACAGAGCATCGTCATCCTCTTCTGCAACTGCGTGTTCCCTCTGGCTTGTCACTTGCAAGGGTGCTGCCGGACGAGCCGACTCGATCCTCGAAGCCGCCTTCCTCGCCTCATAAACCGCCTTTCTCTTTCGTGCGATTTCCTCAACCGCATTATCAAAGGGCGCGTCTCTCTCCAGATCCGCCGCTTTCCTCTTTTTCGCCCACACTTTGGGAATGCGGTTCAACCCCTCGATCTCGACATCTTCAAAATCCTCATTCTCCTCTTCATCTTCTGTTCCATCATCGTCGCCCTCTTTCTCTTCCAGATCGATCGCAGTCTCCTTTTTGGTTCCTTTGCGATCGCTCACCACACCAAGCGCCCATCCTCCTTCCACACCATCATTCTTCACAAGGATGTACTCCTTTCCTTTCTCACCCGCGATTCTGCCACCGCCATGCATCAACCAATCTCCTTCACTCATCCCATTTATACCCATGAGCCTCTGCGTCAACTCGTTTCTCTCCTTTACGCGCTCGATTTGAAACTTGCTGAAGGCCATCCTGTCTGGAAACATTCCGTCCAGCTGTTCCTTGCTATACCCCATCCTCAAACGACTCCTCAGCCTGGCCGCGTTTAGGATATTGTACCGATCGCCCGGAGGCAGAGACAGGAAGAAAGGGCTCTCAAAGTCGATCTTGCTGAAGTCGTAGAGATTCACATCCTCGCCACTGTGGAATTGCCGCGCGTAGTCCTCCAGCTCAGCTTGCGACATGATTCTCGGGTCGTTTGGTGCGCCCATGTCTGCAATGCTGACATCCAAATCTGGGAGATGATACTGATCCTTCCTGCGGAACTTTTCGCCTCGTCCAGCTTGTCGCTCACGTGCGGACATGCCCAGCTCTTCTACGTACACCAGCTCCTCGTCGTCGGGCAACTCCTCTTGTTCGTCATCTCCTCTTGCAGCATTTGTGTCTCTCGCGGCCTTTCTTCGCTTCTCCTCTTCCTCCGCCGCTCGAGCGACTTGTACCGCGAGCAACTTTCCCGCCGTGCGCGCAGCATCTTCCCGTCTACCTTCCCTGCGCCGTGCGCGTTTTCGAATCGTCTCACGCTTGAGGATGGGTGCGCCTCCATCGAATACAAAGACAGGCTTGATCCCAAAGTACAGCAGTTTGCAGATGCGCCGGAAGAACCCGACAACATGGCTGTTCCGGAGCGCGTTGCCTTCTTTGTCTCTCACCGCTTTGAGGAATTGGTAGATCCAGATCGAGGCGTCGACGGCCAGACGTTTGCGATTCAATGAAGCCAGTTGTGTTGGGCGGGCCGTGGGTGCGACGACGGTCCATAGGCCCGTGACACCCATGTTGAGACTTCGAGACTAGGCGGCAGAGGGAATTCAATCATCGTGTGACACCACCGGCCAAGGTTTGAGGTGAAAAGTCCTCGGTGTACCAAGCCAGCCGAAGTGATGAAGACTTCTTGGGCGCAGAACTCATCGTCAGTTCTGACAATGCGCCAATTTGCAGCGTGACTTGGGTCTTTCATTGATAGTGACGACATTAGCACAAACGCGAGATCACGTGCTGATATCTGCCTGGAGATAGCATTCGGTACATGCCTGCAACTGAGCGACTGAGCAACTACAGGAGTTAATCGTTGCTAGTCTCTCTACTTGATATTATGCTCGACGTTTTCTCGTAAACGACAAACGGCCAGCCCCATTTTTCGTGTTGGCCGGTCCTACCCGATATCCCAGCGCCATGCTCATATCTGGTGGCCTCATCAGGGCCAGATGGTGGTTAAAAACAACATAAGACTTCCACCAATAATACAAGACAAGCCCGCAAATGATCTCAGGGTTTCCCATCTTCCTTTGAAGCCTCCGATGAGCCCGACGGCCCAACAAGTGTAGGTGCTATTCTTCTCTTCTTCGTCTTGTTTTCTTCCTTTTCGCTCTCGCTCGTTGCACTGACGTCCCTTTTGCCCAGGACACTTCCGCTGATGGAGCTAGTCGCAGAATGATGTCCGCCATGCGCACTTGCTGGTGTCTGCGGCGGTGTTGACATTGGAGGTATAGCCACGGGTGGACCTGAATTAGTAGCCGTCACCAGTGGTACATGACCCATCGTTGGGGTTGGATTGTTTTGTAGACTAGTTGTCTGTATGGACGCCATTGTGGCGATAGATGATTGGGAATTGGACCTGGCTGGGCTACCAGGACGAAGGACAAATGGAGCTGGAGACTGATGTGACAAGGGCCCTTGTACAGGAGATGCTTTTGTTAACGAGGGAGAGGCTGTGGCGGTAGGCGTCGGCATTGGAGTGGAGCCCGCAGATGAAGTGGGCAGAGGGATGGAAGTCGAGACAACAGGGTGGTTGTATGTCGGGTGAGGGCCTGTGTAAACCTGGCCCAGTTCTCCCGGTGAAAAGGCCAATGTAGAACAATACCCATCGGTTGAGGACATAAGCAGAGTTAATCCGTCGTTCGACCTAGAAACGATTAGATGGCCCAACTTCAATCACAATTTGGTATAGCTCACCAAGTCAGGTCAGAAAACGTTGCATAATGTAGATTGCTCACCACGCAGATGGGAGTCAATTGCTGGGTATCATAGACGAACACTGCATCCTGCGTAGCTACAGCGTAGACCATCCGATAAGGCAACGCGAAGACAGAGGAGGAGGAAGAATCGGTGTCAGTTGCAGGTTTTGGAGAAGGCGCTGACATTGATTCGGGAGCAGATGTTGCAGTTGAAAGAGAGGGGGGCTCCATGATCGACGTGGGAGTTGGAGCCGTGATGGCCTCTGGAAGCAAAGGTATTTCTTCGCTGGCTGAAGATGTGTCAATGGTGATATGGTTGGTAGGTTTTGTGGCTGAGCGGAGGGTATAAAGAACAGGAGAACATTTGACAGCAACGGACGGCTTCTTATGCCCGGGTAGATGCGCAATAGGAGGTTTGTTGAAGCCAGCTCGGGTGTAGATGTAGACAGTATTTGAGATGTCCTCGGTAGGCTTTACTGGGTCACCCGCACCGGGAAATGCTTGCTTGTAATGACCGGCAGGTGTGAATAGCAAGCTTCCATCCGGCGAGAAGGACAATCGACGAAAGAAAGAGGTCAGCGTTTCGTTGTGGTAGATATTTGTGTTCTTCACAGCCAGGCCCATGGCTGCGCTGAGACTGGGCGACGAGATCTCTGGTCGCACAGCTGGCAAAGGGAGCGATGGCGCGGGAGAAGCGGAGCGGCGAAAGGATGGGGATGATCCGAATGAGGAACGGCGGCTGGATGTGATCATCGGGGGGTCCATAGGTAGGGGTGTTGCCAGAGGCGTTCCAGGATTTGAGGGTGCCGGAGATGCAATGGATAGATTGTTGGCACTGGCATTCGATGCACGATGTGACAACTCGACTGGAGCGGGACTGTTTGAAGAGATCCGTCGAGCAGGTAAATCCATCTTGTTGAATTTGCCATGTGTCGAGAGGGTGGGTGTGCCATCCTTGAGCTTCAGAGCATAAATGTGTACTGATCGATCTGAGGACTGGGTCGCAACGAATTCGTTGAGGGGATCCCAAGCAACACCTTGAACGAAGTGGTTGTGTTCTGCTATTTGTCGTATCATGGCGCCTGCAAGAAAATCAGTATGGCTTCTTCTCATGTTGAAAGTGCATCGTCGAACCAGTATGTGCATTGAATATCCTAGCTGTGTTGTCGACACCGCCAGTAATGAAATATTGGCCATCCGGTGACCATGCTAGGTCATATATTTCGGCTCCGCTGGAGGTTCTGCACATGTGCTTTATCCTCCATGTTTCTTTATCGTCCGCGTGCTCTTCACTCAAGGTAGTTATTGCAGATTCAGAAGGGACCCAAAGAAGGACGTTGCCATCGTCTCCGGCCGAGGCTAGCATTTCTCCTGTGTTGCGTTAACGAAGTGTTCCACGACTTTAACAGCAGATACGGACCTTTGGGACAGAATCGAACGACATTCACGGGTTGGGTGTGTCTTGTCAGCGTTGATAAGTACGTAACCTTCCTCTCTTCTCCTGAAGCTTCAATGCTCCATAACTTAACCCCGTTAGCTGAGGTACAAAAATCGGTGGTTGTATTGTTCATACCCGGACATTGTTGTCACTGGGAGATCGGTCAGCAGGCGGATCTTCTGTGTGAATTGTGGCAGACTCACTTTCCAGCAGTCGCCAATCTACCCTTTCCCCTGGGGTCGAAGTGAACGGAGTAGATGGGCTGATTATCATTATGCCATGTTATGAGAAGCGGACCGGCCTTCATGATTGCATTTGTTAGTGGCCTCGTAGGCCACCTTTGAAACGGCACTCAAAATCGCCAGGTAGTGCGTGTGAAGAAGATTATGTGTGGTTGGGAAATCCGGCAGATCAATATCAGAGGTGCAGAGCTCTGTGGGAGGATATGGGTTGACAGAGGTGAGAGGCTGCAGAGCAGCGGAGGTGCACCTTGCAGCCGAGTTGGGACGCCAGATTTTGGAAGGATTCTAAAGGAGTCAAGGGTAGAGGGATCAAAGTGTGCAGTTTTCGATCACACACAAACAAGAAAGGTGGTCGTCGTTGTCAGAGGAAGCATAGGACAGAGTGAATGCAGACATGGGCAAAGAGGTCAACAGATTGGGTGCTGTGCAGACTGACTGAACGCCTGCACCAGCCTACTGCGAGGTGGAGATGACATGCTGCTGCTCCGTACAAATCTGCCCAGAGGCTGCGCCTGCAACCCTCACCACCCTCACCACCTCCGCCAACTGCACTCAGCAGCAGTAATCGCCAAATCTTCTCTTGCACGCGACGCGCCGTCCGCCTATCGCGTATACCAAGCTATTCATTAACGCTTGTCGGCCGCCTATTAAAAGGAGCCTCCACCACTCTCATCTCTTCGCAACTGGCTCTCCGGTCAGGGCAACGCAACTTGACAAAGAGTGAGCCTCCAATAATACCTACCAGTCGTTTCATCATGAGTCCTTCCTGCTAGCGCGTCTACTGTGACAATCAACTGTGTCGCTTGGTTACTTCTCTAAATGTTAACACGTCTTAAGCTCGGACGCTTGTGCTGATAAGAGTATGGATTCTTCTGTAAAACATTCCAACAGAGATATTTCGGTACAGCTGAAGGTGAATTCAGTCCATTGATCAAAAATTCATCACATTCCTGGTCGTCATCGTCAATGTCTAACCCCCCATTGACTCTCTTGTGGCCGCTTCCAATCTTCCCAAACCGACCAGGGTGATCCTGTTCAAGCACATTTTTCCCATTCTTCTCGGGGCTGGCCTTCTGCAAACCATTGCAGGCTTTTCTTTTGGCAAGTCCTGGTCCTAACACAGTATATCGTCCAACGCCACCGGTCTTTTTACACAATGTCCTGGGTGAACGCCATTCAAATGCTTATAGATCGACAGCCATGGAGGTGAATGCGCACCACTTCCAGATCAGAGCTGAGTCGGCCTGAGCTATTGAAGTCTGATGATGTCTCATTCATAGGCCGTATAGTGCTTTCAACCTCAAATTGAAAGTCTTTCATGCAATCGACTGGCACTTCTGGAGTTTGTGTATTCAGAAATGTTTACGTTAGAAACTTTGAGCTGAGACTTGTGCAGGCTGGACGTGGTGATTAGCTTGGATCAAGATTCGGAAGTAATCCACATACCGGGCTGTTGAGCATATTCTGCCGAGCATTCCTCCCTCGTTTGATGTGGCTCTTCAGAGCACTCGAATCCAATGGCTTCAAGAGTTCAAAGCTGCATAGGAGATTGCTGGAAACCGACATAACAGCGCCCCAGTTGTCGAACTCGCCACAATACTATGCAAAGTCAGCCCTATTGGTACCAGAGAAAGTCAAATCACTCACGTTCGGCGCGGAAAAAACAGTGACCAGGAGTCTGTCGTTGAAAAACTCATAGCCATCCTCAACCACCATGTGTGCGCGGCAGACCAGGTCGAAATCATGCCTCTGAAGAAAGTCCACTATCACTTTCTTCCCAAAGCAGTAACTAACCCCTCGTTCATTCGAGTCCCAGTCTTGATCCATATCTGCCGGATCGCTCCACAAGAGATCGTTGAGCAAGCCATAGTCGGGAACATCGGTTGGTCTGGCAATTTGACGGATATCGTCCATGTGGGATAAACTGGGAGATAGTCCTCCATGGACGCAGAAGATCTTGTCTGCAACAATTGCAGCAATAGGTAAGCAGTTGAAAGTATCGATAAATGTTTTCCAGATTTTGATGTTGCACCTTCGTTTGCATTCGTCGTAGAAGCCGTAGACACGCGTCACATTGGCGCATTCATGATTGCCTCGCAGAATGAAGAAATTCTCTGGATACTTCAATTTATAGCAGAATAGAAGTAGAATCGTTTCCAGAGACTGTTTTCCACGATCAACGTAGTCTCCGAGGAAGAGGAAGTTTGCGTTAGGAGGGAACCCGCACATCTCGAAAAGACGGATAAGATCATTGTATTGGCCATGGATGTCGCCCACAATTTTCACAGGAGCATTCAATTCCAGTAAGGCGGGCTGAGACAGAAGCACTTCGCGGACAGCTGTACAGATGGCGGTGATCTCAGCATTCTTAAGACATACGGCTTTCGTCACCTTGGTACTGTAACCAGCATCCAGTAGCCGAGAAATCATGTCGTCAAGGTCCATATCATTGACGTCTCCGATTCCCATGCCTCCTCCGGGTGATGCACCAGGCAATTCTGCTAGTTTGGCTCGTAAAGAAGCCTTGGTCTCTGGAGCCCGAGGATTGATCTGGTTTTCGCGCTTTACCAAGATTGAATCTCCAGCTTTCTGCGCGGATGAGTGATGATGCGCCTGATGTGGCGCCTCATCGGAAACAGCGCCTACTTCTCCTGTCCGCTGAGCACGGTCTACTGACTTGTGTCCTTTCCCAACGGACTTGGAGGTGGTCGGCGAAGGTGGGCGTGCTGGCGTGCTTGTACCCGGCGATGGAACCTCGTCATCCGCATCCGTGGGTGAGACGGGGGATTCGACTAAAGGCGCATTTGTGATCTTCTCTCTTGTTGGCTTGGATGAGCCTGAGCGACCGCTAGCAATCGAACTGGCGTCCCCGCCGTCCAAAGCCGAGCCTGATCCTCGTGGACTGTCATTATTCTTCTCGTCTATCGAGTTTTTGATCTTGCTCCTGATCGAAGATCGTATAGACCTGGAAGTACTTTCCTTGGTATCCGATTTGGAGATGGAGGGATATGATTGCAGCGTATCAGTAGCTAAATTGGAGGAAGAGCCGCTCTTCAGAGGAGTTCTACTTCCATCACTGCTCTTTGACTGTTGTTGGCCCATTGAATGAGCGTGAAGCCGTGAGAGAGTGGTAGGAGGGAGCGAAAGGTGGGAACGGTCGTGCAAGGTTCAAGGAGGTTTGAGGAGTGAGATAAGCAGCCGCTTTGAGGAATGCGTTTTGGCGACTTGGTTCGGTGAACTCGGGAAGGAGCACACTTGCCGTATGCTCAACTCGATTCAAGCCGCAGGTGGAGGGGAGGCTGAAGCTGAGTTTCGGCCGAGCGGTGTGTTCGCTTCATTCAGGTCGGGAGGTGACAAAGGGTGTCTGATAATACGGCTCGGTCAACGAAGGCGAATTTTGCGTCGGTGCCTGAGCCGGCAGAAGAAATGGTCAGCAGTTGGACAAATACACAAAATAGAGACCATTGAGTATGCGTATGATGCTGAGCCATTTACCAGGCCAGTCACGACAGGCCCGACCCAGGGATAGCCATATGTCGCATGGGGCCATGTGGTGAAACAGCGTTGCGTCACCGTTCGCTCGCAAGGGAGGATAAGGAAGCATGACTACTGACCTGCAAAAGCCTCAAAAGGATGGCGTAGCGAAGTCGGTGAACGAACAGCGTCGGGATATACAAGATGCAGCAGGCGGAAGATACGGAAGATAATGATCGAGAGAAAGGCCGGATATAATACTGTAGGAAGTACGGGAGTACGAAGTTCTGAGATGCTTTTGTGGTTGATGCTTTTCTGTCCTGCCCAACCAGTTGCTACAATCAGCCAGGGCTTGCGCAGCGCAGGCGGCCCAGTCACACTGGACTGCGTACTGACCAAGGAATACTAATAATGACTCCCGGACCACCCACCGCTCTGGCTCCCACGGGACTTTAAGGACCCAGCGGGCTAGTTAGGCTAATATTGTTACTTGTACGGAGTAGGTCAGGGAGCCTCCGGGCTAACTAACTAGTGAGGCCCCGTCGGGGGAACACGCCCTCGACAGGCGAGCCAACCGGGCCCTCAGCCTGTCGCCTGCCTATTGTACTACAACACCTTATAGGTACCTAGCTTCCCTTGGCGCCAACCCGCCCCTTCTCCTCTTCCCCCCTTCTGTGGCCCATTCCAGAACCTTTGGCTTGAAGCGAGGCGGCCACATGCGGATGCGATACTGATATGCTGATAGACTGATCGTAGTTACCAGGCTTGCCACGTTTCAATTCCATTGCGACTGGGTTAAAGGGGCCGCTTCGCCTCGAACTCTTCCTATCCATTCATCTCCAGCTACCTGATAGTCTCACCTGAGAACATACCAGCGTCCAGCGTCGAAACCCTCCTTGAAGCGTAGCAGGATCGTCTTGCTTGTTACAGCCCAGGGCCACGAGTTTCATGATTTCGCTCTCAGTGATAAAGACTGTCCGCTAGGCCACTCTCTCCTATCCTCGACCTCGAGCTTGGTGATCTGATTTCCCGGTACTACGATGAGTCCCACGAATCTCGAGATCATGTCACTCCGGCTTGCCTGTCCTGTAGTTCTGAGCTTCTCAATGGCTGCTGCTTCGACAGCCTTTGACGGCATCCTATATTCAAAGGTACTCGAGAGGATGATGTTGCTGTCCTACAGCGAGTCAGCACGCAGCGAGAAACCAACGTCACCGCACGGATCTTTACCTTGTCGGTACATCTAAATGTCCCCGTGAAGAGCCGCCCTATTTCCAATCGTCAAAAGATTTCTTCTGATAATGTCCCGTAGAGGGCGGTGTTACCATCGGGGGCAGTCACATGCAACGTCTTTCCCAGGAGAGATTCTAGGAATTGGGCAGCTTCAGCCTCCATCTCGACAGGGACTTCTTCAGGTCGGGAGTATCAATTAAAGCCCTGTCGTATTCTGTCGCACTTGATCTTCATCCTAGGAGTCTAGCCATGGTAAGCAGAGTCCTGACGCTCTGACGCAATCGGATCATGGACCGTAAATGGATCTCATTTAGGTGTACAGGTACATCTGAGCCTGACTTCTTTGGCAGCAAGAGTTACTCTAGGTATGGCTTGGCGACTCTCGCGGCAAAAGGTTAATCCGCCCGTCTTGGTATGACCTCCTCAGTGGCTCACGTTCGATGCAATACTCAACTCACTTTACTCAGGGACACTGTGCATCACGTTGCTGCCAACCCCGACAATCTTACTATCAGAATGGCTTGTGGAATTTCGTACTCCTCAAGCCGTTCGGTTCCCGATCGCCGAGGAAGGCCTGAACTCACCTCACTTTCGGCTTGATTCTGAGGCCCTGTCCACTCAGGATGTCCGAATGACTTCAATATGCTTTCATTTCGACTTTGCTTTCATTTCGACTTTTCCAGTGTCGAAAGACCATTCTCGTTCAGTATCCTTTGGGCAGTTCATTCTTATCTTACCCTCGTCGGCTTCCATTACAACTTCCAAGTCATATGCGCCATTGTTCACACTATCCCATAGACTAACCCCCCAAGGATTACGCCATGAGTTGGCCTTTCCGTCGTGATTCGCATACGCCGAAGCACGTTTGGACTGCGCAAGATCGTGAGCTTCTAGCTGTCTTACACAGGGTCTATGATATTTCGTCTACGGACGTGACTATTCTTTTCAATTGCATCAACAAGGATCACCTTCGTCAACAAGGCTTCGCTCGTGGCCTGAAGACGACAACGATAGCCGCGCAGTTAGGAGACCAAAAAAGAAATGATCGCGGAGGAATCTTTAACTCCATCCAATCACTGACCCAAGCCGTCCTTGTCCGGAAGTATCAGGGATTGATGTCGAGCATTGAAATCGCCGCCCGCGATAATGGAGTTTATCTGAAGCGTAAAGATATCAAGACAGAGGCTACCGCGCAAAAGAGCCTTCCAACAGCAAATATTCAGGACTGGGAAGACGTCTTGACCGACAACAACACAGAAATCCGAGACAACAGAAATGAAAGATATTCAGCTTCGAAGAGGACAAGAGGAGTCAGCATAACATCATGCTTTACAGAACCCTCGGCTAGGGCCACATCAACACCTAGTAGTTTGCTGCTATCATCTGACGAGACAGAGTCGACTTTATCTGAATCAACGAGGTATCAGCCTAGTTCAGATTCCGAAGACGATCCTTATCTTCATCTTGACAACAACGACTTCGAAAGCTCTGCGACCAAACTAAACCCACGATTGAAAATTCAATTTGATAACAAAGGACGACGTAGACTTTTACGACCTCGACTGTTGTTTCGCGCATGCAACCCTGACCATAATCTAAGAGCACGAGAGTTCTTGACCAGACCTATTTCTCTACCGCCAATAGATGAGCCGACTTTTACTGAAGTGGCCAATCGACACTTACATATCGAGAATTTCTCATCGCCATTCCTGTCATGGACAGATAGTCCTCGTCGAGCACTTCAGCTAGCCATGAAGAGTCGTGATAGCGACACCCCGCTCCACATACATATATTGGACTATAATGTTTATGAGGAAGAGCAGGAACGTCGGTATGGACGGAACAATGGTATCTGGTTGGTTCCCGACTTGTGTCGAAAATATCGCTTTAAACTACCTGGAGACTACATAGGGGCAGGTGAAGTTTGTTATCACTCATCACCATTAAAGATTTACTATCGATATTGACTCTCACTTTAGTTTCTCAGCTGGGGTTCAGTTGAATGCAAGGCAGTTGGTTCGCTGAACAATACTACAGCCGTGAAGCTGTACGAGCTAATGCAAGGTCTCCGTGGACTTTCTCATGAGTCTGGCATTGCTGTCAGCAAGGTATATTGCTTTTTATTGACACACAATGGGCTATACTAACTCACTTAGGTCCTTCAAGATGTCTCCTCGAAGTATAGAGAAGTTGTCGCTTACAAACTGCTGAGGGCCTTCAAGGTCATGAGTAGAAGCCAACGTCCTTCTTCAGCCGATTTCCAGGCGTTTTCCGAGGGCTTATATGGAATGAACTTGGGCGAAAGCTCAACCGTCGAGGTACGCGTATCAGCACCGTCATGTATCTTGAGAACAATCACTGTCGAGATTCCCTCACGCAAGCCTCAAGGTCCAAGTCTCAACCATACTACGCCTCACCTTGACATATCCAATGATAATCTCCAAGGACTTGTTGATAGGCAACTATCAATCGAATGTCACGCTTTTGGTATCACGGTGGAGTCCGCGCGGGAAACCACTCCGAATGCTGGTAAAGCAGCTGAACAGATTGACGGTCTCTCTCACATATATGACGAGGAGAACATGATCAAACAAGAGACGGAGGATAAGTTCATGGAGCAACTCATTGAATGCGCGACAAAGGATTTAACTCCCCAGGCTTCGAACCTAGATTCAGCGTCTGAACCAATGTCAATCCGCGATGTCCCCTCGAGTGCTGCACTGGAACTCGATACATTCAAGGAGTCGGAAGACCTTAAGTTGCCGAAGCATCCATTGAAAATTCAACCACACAGACGACCAAGGAAGAATATCGACATCCGAACAGTGTTCAATCAGACCAAAGCACAGCTTCAGTCTGCGACTACTTCCAAAATGCCCGTGTTGTCGGGGGACAGGTCAAAAGAAACAACACCTCCTAAAACCTTCAACGACTATGTAGACACAACAATCGGCCCTCAGACCACAGCACCTACATCTCAAGTACGACGGAAGAGGAATCAACCCTTTTTTGAAAAGGCCGCCGAAGACAATGAAGCTGCACCAGCCACCACGTTGAACGGACCTCCACAGACCGATCCGACTACAAGTGAAACTGAAGAAGTTGATCCGACAGGCGACAGCGCGCGCGCCGAACCTCTCCACAGCACCACAGCGGGTGTCGCAGGCTGGTCTCAAGACGGACTCGGTGCAGATGTTCACCAAGTCATCGACGAAGAGCGAGACGACACGGACCTCGAACTCATCGGTTCTGGAACTGTCCGCCGCTGCCGCCGACGCCGAGTCCGCCGCACGACAACAAACAGACGAAGGACTGTAATGGAAATCCGGTCGCGAAGTGTCAGTGAGAGCCTGGGCCTGGGCCTTCGTGACCACAAGAGAAAGAAAGTGAAGACATGATTGTCGCGGGCATGTCGAGGCGCGATTATGGCGTACCGAGGCGCGGTCAACGGAAGAACCACAGAGTCAGTTTCAAGAATATCCGGAAAAAGTCAGAGGATCCGGAGAGATGTTTTGTTTTGTTTTGTTTTGTTTGCGGTCTGGCGAGAAGTGGGATTGAGAGAGATGAGCTCTGTCCCTTGTCTGTGGAGGAAACAATATACCCCGTCTCAAATCGGCGTTTTACTGAGTGTATCCCCCTACGTCCCCCATCTTCTCCTAGCGTACACGTTGTAGAGATACTGAATTATGGGAAGGGGACCGTCTGATGCCACTTTTGAGTACGTGCCTAACTACCTAGTGTTTCATTGATGACCCGTCATTAAAAATCGTTCATATACCGGGCACGGTGTACCCGGATAGAGGTTACACCCCATTTTCTTTCTTCATTACACAACACACACACACTCAAATACACAAACTCGCCTTCGTACTCACTCATTTAGGAGAAACAGAAAAAAAAAACTCCATCGCTCACTTCGACCCCATGGCTTAGATGACCTCGACATGCTGTGATATAGTGATGCATCGAAATAAATGCTTTGCATCTTCAAATCGGAAATCCATCCTCTTACGTGCATGAATGTGCACACCACACAACCAATGTCAAGCCATATGGTTCCGTTGTTTTCTGTTTGCGGCAAAAGATATCGCAGTCTTTATGTTAAAAAAATTCTTCACCTCTCCTCTCACATGGCTTTGAAAGTCTTGTTCAGTCCACCCACCACATCATCTGCTTCATCTTGGTCCTCACCATCGTTCCAGATAGTTATACTCTGTACTCTCTCACCTTTGCCCAGTTCAACTGCTTGAAACGCATCCACCTCTTCAACTTCGTCCGAGGGCTCTCCTTCCTCAATTACCTCCTCATCCTCCTCTTCTTCTTCAATGATTTGACTTTTTCGGCCTCCGCCCTTTCCGCGACCACTACTGGTCCGTCTCGCTGATCCCCCTCCTCCTCCTGCCGCACTACCCAGAAACCCAAAGCCCAGAGCAAGGTTCATCTTGCCATCACTACCTTCACGATTTCTCGGGTGCTGACCTGATCCCATACCAGCTCCTACAATCGCAGGACTCGAGAAACTGGCAGGGACGCCGGTGCCAAAGAGTGCGCTATTCAACATTGGGCCTTTGAACGGGCTTCGTTTCTTCTTAGCAAACATCACTCCTCCAAATGCCGGGGCGCCAGGTGATCCTTCATCGTGTATTCCCGACAGTGGACGCGGCTGAATACTCGCCTCCGTTCCGCTGGATGTACGAATAACGCGCACACTGCTGGGGAATGTACTTCCGACCGGCGTGTTTGGCAGTACCTTGATGGAAGAGTGAGGGCTCCTTGTGGTGCTACGACTCGGCGCAGGACTATGGATCGTGTCTAGACTGTTGCTGCTCTGACTCGATGCTTTGCTGTGGCTTGTGTGGCGAGGCATGCTCCGAATCGAACTTACTGAGGACGAAGTAGACTTGCGACCGCGCAGGCCGGCGGAGCTACGACGATTGAAGGAAGAGCGTGGTGTCAACGGCGAAGGAGAAAGTGAGTTGCGCTGAGACCGGACTCGCGCGGCATCGATGCGAGGACCTGATGTTTTGATCGCAATCACAGGTCCAGAGTGTGATGCCACTGGTGTCAGGGCAGCTCCATAGGAAGACCTTCGGGAGACCGGAGGGGCATCGTTGCGGCTTGTTCGGTCGAGAGCAGGGGTACTCTTGGAATTCTGTCTGATGGCATGGGCAATATGGCCGTTCAAAACTTTATCCTCCATTTGACGTACAGGTGACTTGGCTTTCTTCGTGGATTCCACAAACCAATGCTTCAACGCTGTGAGTTGGCCAAGGAAGTGCCGGTTGCGTAGCTTAACTCCACGTCTTTTGGCAATGCCATTCACGGGACCAAACAGGTCTGGATTTGTTGAGACCATCTGCAGAGTACTACTCCGTCGACTTCGTTCCTTGGGCGGGAGAGGAGGCCGTGAACCACTGTGTGAGCGCGTTGAATCCTTGTCGATCGGAGGCGGTGGGGTGGCCGAATTTGCAGAGCGTACCACGTCACCTTCTGGAAGCTGAGGTAAATCGCTAACGAGAATCTGAGGTGTGCTTCTCCGCTGCGTTCTTCCACGGCTACTGCTGCGGCGTCCTTGCATCTCTGTATGCGTTCCTTCTTCATCGACCTCCACCAGTGTCGGTGCAATCCTCTCGACACGACTGCTAGCACCGCTGAGCCGCCTAAGTAGTTTCATCTCTGCTTCTTTTTCCTTCCGCTTCCGTTCTCGTCGTACTTGTTTCCTCGTTTCCTTCTCGATCAGCAACGACCACCACCCAGATAAGTTGTCACACCGCTGGGCAAGGACATTCTCTATGACTTTGTCAATGTCGACACCGGCAGCTCTCATTCGCTCCAACGTGTCCTTCTCCAATTGCGTCGTAAAGGCAGCAGGCTGGGACAATTTCAGTATGGCCTGCTGTGCCGGTGCATGTTCGGAGAGGAAAGGGTCCGCAAGGATATCTGATAAAGTAGGTCTGTACAGCGGTCTCTTAGACAGCAGCTTTGATATCAGTGCTTTCGCAGCTTCCGGAAAGGTGTCGGGGTATACAGGGTCGTCCTTCAATATTTTCGCCTTCGTCGCTACATCATCGTCCTCGTCAAAGGGGAGCTCCCCTTTAAGGAGTGCGTAGAGTATGATGCCCAGACTCCAGACGTCGACCTTCTCACCCGCATACTTCTCGCCTTTCAGCATTTCCGGCGCGCTGTAGCACACGGTCCCGCAAAAGGTCTGCAGGTAGTTGGCTTTTCCCTCGTATTCCCTCGTAAAACCGAAATCGCACAACTTGACGTTGTCGTGCTTGTCCAACAGAACGTTTTCCAGCTTCAAATCGCGATGGACGCATGATTTGCTATGTATATATGCAACGGCTCCGACCAGCTGGGTGAAGATCTTCTGTACAGTCTCGACAGGAAGGGCTCCGTTTCTGCATAGGTAGTTGTATAGTTCGTCACCTATTGATGTGTTCAGCATGCGCTCTTTGCTTCTCGCCGCAGGCGCAAAGCATACCTGGACAGTACTCCAAAACCAACCACACATGTGTCTCTGTTATTATAACTTCGTATAATCGCGCGATATGGGGGTGGATGAATTGGCGGTGATGGTGAATCTCTCGCGCAAGGTTTGCATCATCTTTGTTCGAGGCCTTGAGGACGACCTGTCTTGCATTGAGAAACTGCTGCTCGTAATGCTTGTGACGAGCCTACCTTGGAGCCATTGATGAGGTTGTGTCTGGCAAGGTATACTTTGCCAAAAGAACCCTTGCCAATGAGTTTCCCTACCGTGTAGTTGCCGACGTTTTTGAGTTCTTGAGAGGCAAACTGTCTGCGGGCCTGTCAATTTTTGGGTGCCGAACATGCGACGCTGTGATACTCACTCTAGCAGTTCCGAATAAGAGTTCGCAAGCTGTTGGGCGCATGCAAGTCAGTGCCGACTCTTTTCCAGGGCGGTGTGAATCGGGAGTTTACTTTTGCTTTATGTTGCTGCAGCTCTGCTTTAGTCTTGGGGGCTTGCATCCCTTGAGACGGCGGTACAGTATGCTTTCGCAGACAAGTTCATGCGGAGCGTCGACGGCGAGGATAACATGTGGATTTCCGTGAGAGGGGGGGGCTGCGGTGAACCGTGCGAGGTACGCGTTCGTCCTGGGGGCAAGGGAGGAAGTGGCGAGGTCGAAGGACTCGATGCGGGTGAAGGAGGGATTCGAGAGTATATTGCGCAAGCGACCGCAGGCAACAGAAGTCCTCTGTGCCTTGTCCGCAAATTGAGATGGTATCCAAGATGACGAGGCGCGACAGACGTTGTGAGGTCGATCAGTCTTGGGATCACTTGCCCAAGGCCGATCAGGACATGGTAAAGTGTATGGAGTACGTAGGCCGTAGGGCTATCTACGACAGGGATTAGCGGAGTAAATAATGCTCAATGGTCGACGGGGCGCCGCGGATGGTGGAGGACGTCGCTGTCTAGTGAGAGGCCTAGTTCAGTATTTGTGAACACTGCCTTCGTGCGTATCGCATCTCTTTGTGCACGGCGTTGTCGACGATTTCTCTCCATCCATCTGCCATACTACGGATATACATCGTTCTATTCTATCTAGTCCAGAGCCTGCTGCCAACAAACGCTTATCGTGCAGAAAGTGGGTGCAGGAAGCGTATACAACATCACCACAAGAGCATATTTATGCGGAGGTCTTCGCTTTTGACCCCATTTATGAACATTCAGAAATGCCCGATACGCCTCTTGGGACCGTGTACGTGTACGAATGAGGCAGGATGCAGGAGGCAGGATAAAGCACTCGGACTTAGGTTTCGGGTATCTCGAACGGAATATAATCTTTCGCTCAAAAGCCTACCATGTTGGCTACCACGACTAGTCCATCATCCAGAACGCCGTGCTCAAAAAAAGACAGACGCTTATCATCTATATTGTATACATTATTTCTTGCCTTCGTCAGTTCGGCGCGCCGCCAGCCCCCCACAATACTGTCATCGCAGTGAAGACGCACTTCTAGTGTCTGCTGATTGCAGCTCTTGGTGCTGAGAGGCCAGCTCGGGGAGCATGCTGAAGCGATCCGAAGGTCCAGAAGACTCAGATTGACTGGTGCTCATTCCATATTGTGTGCTGTACCGATACTGGTTGGTCATATCTGAAATTGTACTCATCCGATCAGAGTTGGTCCGCAGGTTTGGTGAACCTTTCTGCGTTACGTCCGAACTTGACAATTCCGAAACCATGGACATACGGTTATTAGCGCGTAGATTGTAGTCGTTCGGTGGTGTCAGATGTGCAGTGTGGTAGGTTGATCCCGGCAGTTCGGCCACAAATGACTTGGGCTCTTGTGGTGGTTGATGATGGATCTGAGCATAGTAGCCCATACCATTTTGTGGCACAGTATATGCGGGAGGGCCATAATTGCTCGTCCGCTTGTCGTCCGTACGAAAGGCAGGGTGATTGGCCATTCCCTGCCAGCCGAGATCCTGTTGAGGTGAGAGCATCTGCGGAGACAAAGGTCGATCGATCGGGGTGTTGAGAAGTTGTGACTTGGCCATGTGTGAACCGGGCTGGAAATGGGGGATCGGGCTGGCCGGCGTCACCTGTGGTCCGCCATTGCTCTGCACATGCTCCTCTACTCGTTCAGCTTTCTTCATAATGCGCTCCACCAGCACCTTGTGAGCGTTGTCGAGGTTCTTTCGCACAAACCCAGAGAGCATTCTATTGCATCGCATGTCGCAGTCTTCCCGTAAATATAGGCCTTGTCTCGGCACTTCAACGCCTAGTTCTCTGGCTTCCGGTGGCTCACCAGGCAGTGTGCCGCCTATTGACCATTTCTCTCGAATATCCAGCCCAGTGGGTGCGTAGATATGGGTTTGAAGTCCATAGGGTGTGTCATGAAAACATGCTTTGTAGCTGACTTTCCCCTTTACTAGCCCAGGCACATAAGACACCCTATCCGTCAGTTGTTGCCAAACGCAGTCGAGGAATTCATCGGCCGGTGCATCTCTTGGGGTCTTGATGGGGTGGTGTTCGATAACCAGGGGATTGAGTTCGATCATTTCATCGTGATTATGAAGCATAGCTATCGCGACCTCTCGCGAGACTTGAGGGGGTAGAGGTGTGATGTTGGTGAACAGCGTTCTCTTTGGCATCGTGGCGAGTTGCGGACGCTGGTTGTCAGATAGTGCGAAGTGTTGAAGATAGTAGTTCGTTCCTTCGAGAGTATGTGGTGCTGTGAAGCATTCAACACGCAGACCGTGAATAGAGGGTAATATGTGCGATGCAGGTATTATACCGACGACTTCGTTTGTATGGCTGAGTCTCGAACAAAGCTGAAGCCCTAGAAGTACGAGGGGCTGTGGGCAACCTAGAGATACAGGTAGCCATGCATCCCCAAGACGATTCTTGGAGTAGACAAGTAATCGTCGCTTCAGGTAAGGGTTTGGTCGCTAAGAATAGCTAGTGCTTATCAGAATAGGTGGCTGACAGGGGATGAATCATGATTGACTGCCAAATGCCACCAGTGGCCGGCGGAGGATGCATCGATGTCCCCAGAATCCACGGCTTCAGCCTTCTTTGATCGCTGTGAAGCCAGTTCTTTCGCCTGGGACCCCGCTAGCTTTGAATTTTGTTCTCAGTTGGGAATAATGTCTCTGCATCAGCTCGTCAGTCTAGCTGGTCGTTTCAGCCATGGCTTGGCTGCTTCACTTTTGCTGGTCATGAAACGCTTGAAGGCTTCACTGTAGATACAAGCATCAAGCTCACGCCCTGGTGGTCGTTTGGCAAGATCATCAATCATGTCGCCGGCGGAATCTGGCCATTGCGGTCTGTGGATGAGGCAGTAGGGCTAATGAGGCTGAGCTCCATCGCCGAGCGGATCACCCACGAGCCGTGCCACGGCCTCACTAGGCTGGTGAGCATTCGCCATGCGCCGCCAGAGGACTTCAAAGCCTCATACCAAAGACTTAAACATGCTATAATACTCGACACCTTCCCTCCTTCAGCGACTGCAGTCGTTCTAGTTTGGCCTTGATGTTTGCCGTCCAAACTACAACAGCGTCTAGAGGCGTGGAGAGGGGGAAGGTTGTTGAGTGGTAACATACATCAGCTCAATGTAGTCATCTCGCCACTTGGACGAGGTAGGGTTTGTCATCTCAATCGCCAAGCGACGTTCTTGAGCTTCCCTACTGATTGTCGGCTGAAGCAAAACGTAGGGTCGAGTTCTTTAAGGCCAGGCTCTCTGTAGATGGCGAGGGCTGCAAGGCCTGTGTACGAATGCAACAGGTCTACGCAACACGTCAGCAGCCACATCGCCATCCCACTTTCGCTGACATACCAGGGAGTTCACCAGGAGCTTTAGCAAAGCCACCTATTAGGTGTGCAACCTTCTCGAGAAGATAACATCTCAAAGCCTCGATGTCTACCAGCTCCTGTCGTTGCAGAATCTACACGCTTCGATCAGTAACTGGTCGTACCGCTGGAGCGCACACTTACAGCCAGAGCTCCTGCGTTCCAGAAGCAGTAACATGTATCAGCCATCTTCCCACATCTACCACAGAATCCAGCAATCGTTTTCTGTTCGAGCGACTGAATTGCCTCGGCCGCGGTGGCACTTGATGACTTATCCTGGTCAGTGAAACGAGGAGCAGCAACATCATCTTCATCCTCCTCTTCATCTTCCTCTATCCAAGTAGTCTGTCGGTCGATCATCCACTTTATACATGCCTCTATATCTAGTCCAGCTTGACTTGAGACATCGTAGGCTGATACCCTCGGGCTTTGTAAGAGTCCAAGGAATGATATTGTTGCAATTCCACAATAGTTCAAACCCGCTGCCAGTTCGTTAGCCTGTTGACTGACTTCATAGGTGCCACAAGGCAGAATAGAACGTACAATGTGCCTCGAGCAAAGGCTGCTGAGCGATTCCACCATCATGACTCTGCGTAGATTGTCAGCTCTGCGACTGCTTGTTCCCGAGCTTCTCGAAACCGTCATGCTCACCTGACAATTCGAAATGTATTCTTTCAACTTCACAGTGTCTATCGGACTGTCACCGACACCCTGCTCGGTTCCCTGCAAGATGCTCAACGTACCGAGGGCACACATACACAGCCTCGGGTCGTCGCCACCTTCAACAGCATCGTCCTCGCCTAAGAATTCGCCGAAACTGCCGTTTTCTCTTTGCAGACTCCTTACCCAAGCAACGCATTCTTTTCTCTTGACCCTGCTCAGATCGTCGCCGAGTATGACCAGTGTAGCCAATGCAAAATATGTGTTGGGAAGATTGGCAGAATCCCAGTGCCAGTTGTGCAGAGTTCTCATACTTCCTAGGTTGGTGCCCGTGAAGCCTCGAAATCCGCCTGTGAAAGGAACTTGGCATGCGTAGATCCATTCAATCCAACTATGTCTCTCTTCGGGTGTAGTCGCCGTTTCTATGGCATCGAGAAGATCCAGGGCGGCCACGATGAAGAAGCCGAAACTCATCCGGTTTGACTCTCCTGCAGTATACTGTTCAGGTAGCAATTGTGCGCATCGCTTCCAGTATTTCACATGACGGTCTATGTCAAGACGAAGATTAGGATCGACAGGCATGTCGACATCTAATGCTAGATCGTCCGCAGGGGCTTCAAAGATCCGGCTCTGCTTCAAACTCTGATATTGGTACGTCCGCAGGTTGTTAGTTCAATGTTGATGCGGAGGAATCACTAGTTTGACCAAGCTGGTGATGGAAATCTAGGGAAATTGTATAATAGTGGTTGCGGTGTGGCCCTTTTCAGCGGCAGTTGAGCGGCTAAGGAAATGTAGAGGTCGAATTGTGATAACCAATTCATGAGTTTTTATATTCTGAACTCGAAACTGACCCGACTCAACCACAACATAGTAAAGGATTGATACCAAAAACGTATATCCAAAAACGAGACTTGGGAAGGCTACAGACAGTATTTAGATATTTATCTAGCGGCCCTGTCTCTCTAATCAGTCCCCGGATAGAAAAGCAGCTGTCTATCTTGTACGCTATTTCGTATTTTAATCAAGTTAGCTCTACTATGAATGGCCTGAACGAAAAATGAAGAAGCAAAAGTTGACCCAAACCGAATCATATCCCACATCACATGAAGTCGTCATCCTCTAAGCCATCATCATAACTCGTGACATCTGCAACTCCCCTACCAATATCTCGGGTGGCTGCGAGGCTTGCTTTTGTCTTTGCGGCCTTAGTCTTCTTACCACCCTTCTCCTGCGCCTTCTCCTCCTTCATCTTCTCGTTGCTCAGCGCAGTCAGGGCACTAGCAACCTTCTTGATCTCAGAGCTTGGCATGTCGGCACATATCTGCTTCACAAAAGTCGACATCCAAATGGGGTAATGTGGCTTGGAGGAGGACTGTTTCAGCAGAGGGACCAGGGTGGCTGAGAGTGCGTCAAACTGTGCCTTGGTCGCCGGCTTGAACATGGAGAGAGTTGACAGATCAATTGTCTGACCGGGGTTCTGTTTGTCTTCGATTATTAGTGCCTTGTTGGGAGTCGAGCGAGACTTAGGTCCCAGGCCAACGTCTGCGAAAAGGTCCTGTGCATGCTTCAGGTCGGAATCTTGTTCTGTTTGGCGCAGACGTGCCCTTCTTGTCGCCTCATCTTCATCCGAACTGTCATCATCCCCCTCTTCAAGACGCTTTCGCCGGTTGGCCTCTCTGTGCTCTTCTATTCGCTGAGCTTTCGATTTCTTGTTAGCGGCAGCTTCAGCATCAGCCTTGGCTTTGGCTGCGGCAGCCTTTGCAGCCTTTTCTCTCTCGACTTCGGAATCTTCCTCTTCGTCCCAGTTTTCAGCGACCTACTTTATATTAGCCTCTCAGCGTGGGCCGGAGTAAAGGAATAATTTACATCGTCGGAGTCTTCTTCGTCTGCAAACTTGCGACGGGCAACTGGGATGTCTACAGACTCATCGGATGATGATTCTTCAGATTCTTCGTCTGTAGATTGGTCATGAGCTACCGTTCATCTGTGATCTCTGCGGTTGGGAAGGAGGCAATCCGCCACAATGGCAGGATAAGTACTCACCCCACTTTGAGGGAGCCATGAGGGAGTTGTGCGCAGGGTATGATAGTTTCGCGATGCTGGATACGGAAGCGTGTGGTGACGAGAGCAGTGTCGTGTGATTGTCAGATGTTTGCGTCGGGCGACAATGTATGCGACAACAAGAGAGAGGGAATTAGGTACATCCCAGATTAATTTTGTCTCTGGTGGCCGCAGGAGGGCGATCTACGAAAATGCCGCTTTATGCGCCAAGCCGCACGGCGGCCCAAACCGGTGCCTGCCCAAGAACTGACGTAACGACAGCGAACATCGCATCTTGGTAGAATCGAAGGCGACCTCAGTTAAATTATTGTCATAGATAAATACCTGCCAGCGCTTCAACAATAGCACAGTCTATGGTTGGAAACCCATCTTCAAACTCTCTGAGACTTTATTGTATTGATAATCTCCACGCTACCATTTTCGCATGAAGATTTGTGTCCTTTTGCGCTACCTAAATAGACTTCATCGTCGCGGACTTTTGCCCAGCTATGCCAGGCACGTAGCAACTAAGCAAGCCGTATTTACAAGGTAACGGATTTGCGGAAGCTGGTGCCAGCATAGATAGCGTTGGATCCAAGTTCTTCCTCGATGCGAAGGATTTGGTTGAGTTTGGCCAGACGCTCGGAACGTGCTGGTGCACCAGTCTTGATCTCGCCAGCTCGGATACCCACAACCATGTCGGCAATTGTGACGTCCTCCGTCTCACCTGAACGGTGAGAGACCATCACACCCCAGCCAGCAGCGTAGGAGTCCTTGGCAGCCTGGATGGACTCTGTGAGGGTGCCGATCTGGTTGACCTTGAGGAGAAGGGCGTTGCAAGCCTTGGAGTCAATGGCTCTCTTAATGCGCTTGGGATTGGTCACAGTCAAGTCGTCACTAGGAAAATCAGTAGCTGCCTTCACATTTTAATCATGATGAGTACTCACCCGACAATCTGGAAGTCGGAAGTCTTGAAGAAGTAGCTCCATGCCTCCCAGTCATCCTCGGCGAAGGGATCTTCGATGGAGACAATAGGATACTTGCTTGCCAGGTTCTTGTACAAGTCGGCCAATTCCTCATAAGTGATCCACTTGCTCTTGTCGCTGTCTGGGTTCTTGAAGTCCAGGTCGTACTTCTTCTCATCTTCCTTGTAGAATTCGCTGGAAGCAACATCCATGGCAATATTCATCTTGCCCTTGTACCCAGCCTCCTCAATGGCGGCAGTGATCAGGTCCAAAGCCTCTTCGGCGGTTTGAATGTCAGGAGCCACACCACCTTCGTCACCAACGTTGCCAGCAGATTGTCCGTACTTCTTCTTTGCGAGAGTCTTCAGCTTCTGGTAGACCTCTGCACCCCATCGGAGACCTTCGGAGAAAGTAGGAGCTTGACTGTGTTGCTCATCAGAATAGGCTTGAAAAGATACAAGACTCTGGACTTACTCAGGCACAATCATGAACTCCTGGAAGGCAAGACGACCACCAGCGTGAGAACCACCGTTGAGGACGTTCATGAAGGGGACAGGAAGCACGTATGGCTTCTTGGTACCTGCAAGATCGGAAACATGTGCGTAGAGAGGAACACCCTTCTGGGCAGCACCGGCCTTTGCAACAGCAAGACTGACACCTAGAATGGCATTTGCTCCCAGATTGGTCTTGTTCTCCGTACCATCAAGTTCGATCAAGAACTTGTCCACAGCAGACTGATCGGTGGGGTCAATCTTCTTCTCGATGAGCTTTGGGCCAATGATGGAGTTGACGTTCTCGACGGCCTTGAGAACACCCTTTCCACCCCATTTTGACTTGTCACCGTCTCGAAGTTCGCAAGCTTCGTGTTGGCCAGTCGAGGCACCGGAAGGAACAATGGCTCGGTGGAGGCCGGTCTCGGTGACAACATCAACCTCGACTGTCGGGTTGCCCCGGGAGTCGTAGACAGATCGGGCGTGGATCTTGACGATAGGCATGGCTGCAGTGATTCAAATTTCGTCAGGACTCACAATTGCTCACAATTGCAACAAGGCTACGAATGATATAGAGAAGCAGTTGGAGGGAAGAGAACAAACGGGAGAAGAGGTATCGTGGTGCAGAAGGCCAGAGTGAAATAAGGAATAGCAATGCAAGTAGGTGGCATTGGAGTTGGGTAGCTGGAACCCCATTGGGTGATCACTTACTGAATAGTCAAGTGGTCTGATGAGAAATATAAGTCAGCAGTCTTTGCTTAGTGAACTGAAGAAGAGAGGTAGGGCACAGTACACTGATCTGTAGGAGGTACTGAAGAGGAATAAGGAAGATGCGAAGCTGGAAGAAGTGAAAAGCAACTCAACTTTTTGTTGTCTTGGTGGGGCATGTGAGGAAGGAGCATCACATCGCGACAGAGCGCTCTCAACATACCTACTGTAGGGAAGAGTCCAGGCGCGGGACAGAAAAATGATCGCCGAGAGCGCTGGCTGCCCCTCCTCAACCCAGGGCTGCGCCAGCATCGCCAGGCGAGCTCGTCACCGCCTCTAAGGGCCACACTAAGGCAGCCTCATCGACGCACGACCGGCGCATCTCGCCCGGCGCAGACCACGTGATCTGGCTTGGTCTCCAGCCTTGCGCCTCTCCCTGCTGGCTTCGCCGCGTAGCCTTTGGTACCTGCGGCAAGCTTCATCATCAACATCAGAGTCCCCAGACCGACTACCTTGATCTTCATCACATTCCTACCGTCGCAACGACCCCGAATTTTCTACTAATCCTTGCGAATCCCTCTCGGCCTATCCTTCCTCCCAGATACTTCACCTTATCAACGCTGCCGGTGCCCCTTTGCGGATTGCACAATGGACGGGGGCGGAGATCCGGAGAGGCAACAGGCCCTGCAACAGTACAAGGACAAGTTACTAGAGTCAAGAGAATGGGAGTCGAAATTGAAAGCCCTACGGATGGACATAAAAGGTCTCCAAAAGGACTTCGAAACTACAGAGGAAAACATCAAAGCCTTACAAAGTGTCGGTCAAATCATCGGAGAAGTGCTAAAACAACTGGATGAGGAGAGATGTATGTTCGCCTACCCCATGTTTCGTCTCTGATACTCACCCGTTCCAGTCATTGTCAAAGCATCCTCAGGTCCGCGGTATGTCGTCGGTTGCCGATCCAAAGTCGACAAAGCCAAGCTGAAGCAAGGCACGCGAGTGGCACTTGACATGACCACCCTCACGATCATGCGCATGCTTCCTCGAGAAGTCGACCCTCTAGTCTACAACATGTCATTAGAAGATCCGGGCCAGGTATCCTTCGCTGGCATTGGTGGCCTAAATGAACAGATACGAGAACTACGAGAAGTCATTGAACTCCCGTTGAAGAACCCGGAGCTCTTCTTGCGGGTCGGTATCAAGCCTCCCAAGGGTGTCCTACTCTATGGTCCACCAGGAACTGGAAAAACATTATTGGCAAGAGCAGTTGCTAGCAGTTTGGATACAAATTTCTTGAAGGGTAAGATTGGACATGCTCCTGTTTCAGGGCTCTATTGACCTTGATGTAGTGGTGTCATCTGCAATTGTCGACAAGTACATTGGCGAATCTGCTCGATTGATCCGTGAAATGTTCGGTTATGCAAAGGAACACGAGCCATGCATCATCTTCATGGACGAAATCGATGCTATTGGAGGTCGTCGTTTCAGCGAAGGAACATCCGCCGACCGAGAAATTCAGAGAACGCTGATGGAGCTGCTGAACCAATTGGACGGTTTCGACTATCTCGGGAAGACTAAGATCATCATGGCCACCAACCGACCTGATACTCTCGATCCAGCTCTGCTCCGAGCAGGTAGATTGGACCGAAAGATCGAGATCCCTCTACCCAACGAGGTAGGCAGACTGGAAATCCTCAAAATCCATGCTGCCGGGGTGGTGACTGAGGGCAACATCGACTTCGAAAGTGTTGTCAAGATGAGCGATGGACTCAACGGTGCCGATCTGAGGAACGTAGTGACCGAGGCTGGCCTGTTTGCTATCAAGGATTACCGAGACGCAGTCAACCAGGATGACTTCAACAAGGCAGTCAGGAAGGTGGCTGAGTCCAAGAAACTTGAGGGCAAGCTAGAGTACCAGAAATTGTAAAACACCAATGGCTGTGGTTGTATTGGGGCCATCGCATTACCAGGCATGTGTTGGGTGACGGTGCCTGTCATTGTACTATAGGCCCGGCGACGGAGCTGCATGCGGTACGTACCAGCCCAGGTGCCCAAGGGTTGGCCTAGTCTGGCGGTGCAAGAATCTGCTCGAGGGTACTTGAATGCATGCTTCAGGATGTCCCAACAGCGAATCGCTTCGCTTTAGTAGAAGCCATAGTTTGGGCGAACTCATTCATGGGCAAAACCCATTGCAACACGCCACCATCTCAGCAACCCTCGTATTTCCATCTGTGATGCCATTTCCTTGACGGAGTCAACTTCGACCAAGGTGCCCGCGGGGCTGTCATCGTTGTTCTGCGGCTTGTCCTGACACTTGGCCAATGCCTTCACCGGTGCCACTAATTGGTAATCCTTGTATCGTAAGTCATGGACAGTGTCGACCCATTTTTGCACGGCGGCTCGCTCATGGCCCTGTACATACATCACCCCAGGCACACCTCCTGACCGTAGAAGAGCGAAGCATTGGAGAGTCTTTGCCGCAGTTTTGAGAGCGGCAGCTTTTTTGCGCGATGTTATGTGGTGAGTTCGAATTAGGGCGTGGAACATGCCTCGTCTCCCTGCTTCACGATATTGGACAGACAAAAAAAATTACATGCATCTAGATACATTCAGGTAGGTACCTACGTAGGGAAAGCTGGACTTCAGAAGGACTCCGTACCAAGCCGTTAAACTCAAAGCCAAGGACCATCTTCCCCGCAAAGGCATTTTTGCCGACACGCATCAGGAACCGCTTTCCCCCCAGTCTCGTGTGGACATCAGCGACGACACTTGACGACCACGAGCTGATCTGCTTCTGGAGGCCGTGATGACTCCGCTCTCTCAGCTATCACGAAGACACCGCAGCGAGGGTAGCCTGGATGCTGAAACATTGTCCCATACGAAGATGAGCAATTCGCGGTTGCAGGAGAGCCAGCACGCCATCATTCTCATGTCACGGTCCCCCATCGACCATCCTTTCTTCCCCACTCCACGGCACCGTAGATCCGATTTATGATGGTGTCCCTGTCTGCCAGGGCTATGGCTGTCCTGTTACTGGCCCATTGCAGTATCTAGGCCTCGGTACGAGTATGCTTCTGCACTGCTACGGAGGGGGCGCCGAAATCCTTCCATGGAAAAGCGGAATGTTGTGTTTGCCATTGCGGATTTGTAAAGATCTTCCTACTGCCCAGGTCCCTTATGTGCGCGTCAGGTCATATTGTTTCTAACTTGCCCTCACTCCTTCGCCCACTTCAAGGTGCTTACGGTACTTTGAAGCAAACACTTTCTGAAGATTTTTTTCAGGACTTCACCATATCAACAGACAAGAGCTCCTGCGGACTCTCCATGGCATATTCCTTGCGTTCCTATTCTTCACTTATAGTCGCCGCAACAGCACATTCCACCTTGCAGTGAACGACCAGAACTGTGACGAATCCTTGAAATTTGCCATCCAGCTGGCTTCAGTATGGAAAAACCCAACTGCGAAGTTTCGAAACTCGGTGTCGAAACTATACCAGTCGACTCTAGTAATCCAAACGACTTTGGTTATGAGGAGAAGGCCATTATTCCTCCACCTCCACCTCCTGTGAACCCTCCTGACGGAGGTCTGAGAGCTTGGCTTCAAGTTGTCGGTTGTTGGCTGGTTTTTTTCAATGTCTGGTATGTGGCCTCGATGCTCTGGGTCAGGCGAGATCTGATACATTAATGAAGGGGTACGACCTTTGCTTTTGGTATATTCCAAAGCTATTACCTTTTGAACATGCTGCCTGGGGAATCATCTTCCACGATTTCTTGGATTGGCACCGTTGCTACCTATCTCTTGATTGTCGTGGGCGTCATTTCTGGACCCTTGTTTGATTTGGGCTATTACCGGTCTATGTTGTTTGGGGGCGCCGCACTGTCATCATTTGGTCTTATGATGTTGAGTCTGGCTACGAAGTATTATCAGATCTTGTTGGCGCAAGGTATCTGCTTGGGTCTAGGAACAGGTGTCTTGTACGTGCCCGGCCTCGCTCTTGTCAGTCGTTCATTTTCCAGGCGCCGGGCTGTAGCATTGGGCATTGTCACATGCGGTGCTCCATTTGGTAGGTCGTGCTTTTCACAATTATTTACCGTCACTTACTGATCATGGCACAGGCGGTATAATTTACACTATCACATTCGACTCTTTAATCGACTCGCTCGGCTTTGGCTGGACGGTCAGAGTGATGGGCTTCATCATGGTAGCTTCATATCTGATTGCATTTCCCCTGCTCCTCTGGGGAGCCGGTAATACCGGGGATATTAGCAGTGGTACTGCGCGAAAACTTTTCGACAAAGCGGCTTTCAGGGATTTGCCATTCTGGCTGTACAGCTTCTCATGCTTCTTCGTAAGTTTCGATGGGGCTTGTGAGATATGCAGACCTAACTCTGGCTGATTCGCCTAGCTTTTTTTCGGCTACATGGTTCCATTCATCTTCATACCCAGCTACGGCCAAGTCAAGCTGGGTATGTCTCGATCCTTGGCACTTTACACGATAGTCGTTGCTCAAGCCGTTTCAATCCTCGGTCGTCTCGCGGCAGCTTTCATCGCTTCACGAACTGGAATCATGATTCCTTGGCTCGCTTGCGGTACTCTATCTGCCGTCATGTGTCTGGCTTGGGCTGGAATCCATGATGTCGCCTCCTTCTTTGCCTACGCAGCATTGTACGGTATGTCAACGAACCCTCCCTACAATCTTGTTCCAGAAACATGGATCTCACTTTCATGGCAGGTGGATTCAGTGGCGCTCTTATCCCGCTACCACCGAGTATTTTCCCAGTCGTATGCCCTGATCCGAAAGTTCTCGGGGCTCGTCTTGGAATGGCTCAAGCGATCGGTGCCACGGCCTCGCTCATCGGAAGTCCTATTGCCGGCGCCTTGATTCGTGACCATGGACGCAATTACCTCGGACTGCAACTGTTCAGCGGGTTCGTGATGTTGGTGGGAGCAGCCTTGCTAGTATGCCTCTGGGTCACTCTGGTCAAGCAGAGGAATTGCCGAAAATTGATATAGTTCGAGAGACAGACTTGCTTCCCTGCTCCGGGGCTTTGTCGCGCTATGCAGCACAATTCGCGCATACACAATGGTGGCCCTATTTGCAAAGAATCGAAAAATGGGTTGTGGACAGGGCCATCGGGCTATCGACATTACCTCGAGATGATGGGACAAGATCAAAATATATACGCTAGCGCCGCCGGGGTCGAGTCCGACCATCTATGTTATCGCTCTATGGTACAAAACCACATCAATGAAGACGGTCCATCCGATGCCTTCCACTGTGGCCGATTAGATATCATACATACAATGACCACCTTTCCACTAGGGGATCATGGGCTTGTGCAGGACGTCATGCAAGCCCGCTTTGGCGGCGTGGGCACCACCTTCGGCGTCTGGTATACTCAAAACCGTGAGTGAGAGAATAATACCCTCTGAGAGAAGATGTTGACAAGCTCGAAATAAGGCCTTGAACCGTTTCTGCGCATTTGCAAACTTGTGATCTTATTTCGGGTATTTCTTCCAGCCTCTGCCATGACCACGCTGCAAGAAAAATTGTTAGCAAAGTGCTTGATGAGAATCTCATCCAATTGAGAAGACTTACCCTCTTCCATTCGTTGATAAGCTCTGGCATATTCTCCATAGCAGTTCTCCTCTTTTCTAGAGTAGCTCCCACATGCCTTTCCCATTGATGTCCCTTTACTTTTTGGCCTACACCAGTACCTCTCACGGCGAGTCCTCGCTCGAGCAATCGTGACTGCTTGAATGCGGTCGATTTGCGGCCAGGAGGTAATAACTCTTCTATTTGGCATTCTTTCGCCAGTTTAACAAGCTCCGCTTGCCGTCGGAGCCCAATCCTTGCGCCCGCCCATTTTCCAGTGACAAAATTTTTCCGCGGCAGGAATGGATTTGGGGGGAAACTGTTCGTGGCAGGTGAAGAGTGAGGTGTAGGTGTAGGAGGTGTTACTTCGTTTGATGTTTCGGCATTTGCTCCTGCTGCTGCTGAGCTCTCAGCATTCCTGGCGATGGCGGCCTCTTTAGCTGCCTTGCGCGTGATAGGTATTGCCACTCCGGTAACTTTGGCAGAGTATACCTCGGGAGGATATCGAGCGAAAAAGTCGAGTAACCGCTTGGGGAGCTTTAGAGAGGACGGTGCCATTGCCCGCACGGCCTCCGCCATGGCTGGAAAATATCGCTCGAATCAAGACAACAGCAGAAGACGGGTTCAGTGTAGCATTGAAGTCCTCGAAGAAGGCAAGTCTACTCCAGCTGCGCGTAGGGAATCGTGAATCGTGATGAGTAAGTGGGTTTGAGTCTGGCGCGCAGAGGTGGTTGAAGCGCAAGGGACGTCCGCAACTTGCAATTCGAGAATTTGCTCCGCAGCCCGTCCGCAGACTTGGCGCCGTGGAAATCTTTGGGATCTCTTTTCCAGCCTGCTCGATTTCACGCTCCAGCGCATCCCATCCCCTGCGCTTTTCAACTCTGTCCTATTTCTACCCTTCCGTCCCTGTATTCCTGTAGGGCCCATTTCGCGAATCCCGCTCTATCCTGACAACAGATTGAGTGCTGTCGATCACTATCAGCGTCCCGCATTCTCCGTTGAAGAGCAGGCTGCGGCCAGATGGATGTCTTCGGTGGAAACGATGAGGAGAGCGCAGAGCTGCGAAAGCTTCTGGCGGAACTGGTAGGATACACTTCATCACCTTGCGACAAGAGCCTGCTAACTTCCCACCTACAGGATGACGATCCAGACAACTTCGAGATCTGGGAGAAACTCGTTCGCACCGCGGAATCCCTGGAGGGAGGGATCAACAGAAACTCGAGCTCTCATGCCATAACAGCTGTACGGGGTATCTACGATCGGTTCTTGAGCAAGTTCCCCCTCTTCTTCGGATACTGGAAGAAATATGCCGACCTCGAGTTCTCCATTGCGGGCACAGAGGCAGCGGAAATGGTACGATGGATTGCCTAGAGTTAGCTGGATGAGCGTACACTAACAATGCCACAGGTTTATGAACGAGGTGTCGCGAGCATCACAAACTCGGTAGATCTTTGGACGAATTACTGCTCTTTCAAGACCGAAACCAGCCATGAAGCCGACATCATACGAGAGTAAGTATACAAGAGAAACCTTCCCTCTCGTTGAAAGACCTAAACATAGCACGCGACACAATCGTTAGCTGGACTGGATGAAACGACGATGGCCATCGAAAGATTGGTGAGAATCGTCATAAGCCAAATTTCCCTGCTGGAGTTGCTTCTCACAAGTCGTCAGTCAGGTGCTTTGATTTGCTCTTTGCCCGATACGAGGAGGCCTTTTGTGCCCATTCATTCTGTGTACAAGGAACCACACCTGTTGCTTCAAAATGATTGAAGGATCATTATCACGTCACGTACATACACCTCTTTGCACCCTCTGCTTCCCCTATCCTCGTTCCTGGTGTCAAGAGTCGTTTGTACTAACACGTTCACATTAGACTGTTTGAGCGAGGTGCTGCCTGTGTGGGCCTGGACTTTCTAGCCCACCCATTCTGGGACAAGTATATTGAGTTCGAGGAACGGATGGAGTCACACGACCGGATATTTACCATTTTGGGCCGGATCATTCATATTCCTATGCACCAGTATGCTCGATACTTTGAGAAGTATCGACAATGGGCTCAGTCGCGCCCACTGACTGCAATTGCTCCTCCTGGTACTCTTACTCAGCTGCAGATGGAAATCGAGAATGATGGTGCCGGATACAAAGCTGGTCGATCTCAAACCGAAGTTGAGAGAGAGCTCCGATCCCGCATTGATAATTACCACCTCGAAATCTTCCGACGGACCCAGAACGAAACCACGAAGAGATGGACTTATGAGTCTGAGATCAAGCGGCCATATTTCCACGTTACCGACCTGGATGAAGCCCAAGTCACCAATTGGCGCAAATACCTCGATTTCGAGGAGGGCGAAGGCGACTACACCCGCATCCAATTCTTGTATGAGCGATGTTTGGTCACTTGCGCCCAACACGAAGAGTTCTGGTTGCGGTATGCTAGGTGGATGTTGGCCCAACCAGGGAAGGAGGAAGAAGTTCGGAACATCTATCAGAGAGCATCATGCTTCTTTGTGCCTATCGCCCTTCCCCAGACTCGACTCCAGTATGCCTACTTTGAAGAGATGACCGGCCGTGTCGATGTGGCCAAGGACATTCACGAAGCAATCTTGGTGAACCTCCCGGGCCATGTAGAGACGATTGTCTCCTTGGCAAATTGCACCCGTCGCCACTCTGGTCTAGATGCAGCTGTTGCGGTCTATCAATCTCAAATTGAATCACAGATTGACACCTCAGCCAAAGCAGCCCTGGTTGCCGAGTGGGCCAAGACGTTGTGGAAGCTCAAAGGGTCTGCCGATGAAGCTCGACAACTGTTCCAGAAGAACCGGCAGTTCTACCAACAAAGCCCAGAATTCTGGACAGCTTACTTGCGATTCGAAATCGATCAACCCGCCATCGACGGCTCTGAACAGACTCAACATGACGAGATCAGGCAGGTTATTGACGGACTCATGACCCAGAGCGCTTTGCCTGAAGCGACGGTGCAGGAGTTGGTGGCAATATACATGAAATACCTTCTTGACCGAGGCACGAAAGACGCCGCGAAAGAGTATATGAACCTTGATCGAGAGATCAATGGGCCTGTGTCTGTGCAGAGATTATCAAAGACCCACGCCGCAATTGATCCCATCAAGGCTGCTGCGTTAGCCAATGGACAGGTGAGTTATCTTTCAGAAAGGCTGTCATAGTTTGCATGGTCGCTGACTGTTTTCTTCCTACAATCCAGCCGCCTCCAATCAGATATTCATAGAGCAGGATATCTTCCGCTCCGTACGACAACATTTATCGCGCCAATTCCAATGTTGGTGCCCATTTAGCAAGTCAAGTCAAGTTTCATACTGGGAGGACGTATACGAGTGACATGAGTATGCTTAGGCGTGTGCGAAAGTCTTTGCGAGAGCGACGTACCCGGACAGTTGGCGAGAATTGATGACTGATGTGCGAAACCGAACTCGGCATCATCGAAGAGTTTCACTAACTCCTCTAGACACCGAGAATTGGGGGACTCGAGATTCAAGGAAAGAACAACGAAAAGGGACGAGGAGACTAGTCACAGCCGGTCATCCATAGCCTTGTCTTTGTGTTTCTGATTTTCAGATGTTCTCTCCTGTATCCGTGTGTTGGCAATTATGAACAAATCTTGTCAATTGCTGTGTGGTTTTCGATCCTTTGCTTTTTCTCTTAGTCAATTCCACTCCTTGGACACGGGAGCATGGTGCACGTACATAGCTAAAATTCTATCATGAAGTCGACGCAGGCAATTTGAAATCACACATTCCCTCAACGGCGCTCGTCAACTCGACGACGCGCGGCTTCACGAACATCTTCTCCGTCTCGGAGATGTAAGGCTCGTAGTAGGACTTGTGCATTTGCACCTCCAGCAGCCACTGGGCGGGTTTCGACCAGCCCTCGACCCACGACAGACACGTTACGTTCTCTTCGGGCTGCGGCGGCACCGGCTTGCTGACGACGAAGAAGCGGCATTCCGGCTCTGCGATGACGGCGTCGTAGGCCGGCCTGAAGAGTTCCCAGAACCGGGCCTCATCGGCGGGCTGGATGTAGACTTTGACTTGGAGGACGCAGCCTGTCGAGAGGTCTTTGTAGATTGAAATTGGTGCCGAAGACATTGCGAAAACGTCGATACGATTGGGGTCTGGAACTGTCAAGTGCAAGTGCAAGTGCAAGGGCGCCTTGGAGAGGTAGGTCAAGCAAGATATGGGAAACAAGGAATATACATCCGGTGTGTAGACAGGTACCTAGGTCAGATATGTACCTGGTTTTGTGACAACAGTGATTTCCCAAGAAGAAAAAATAGAAGAGAGAGATAGACAGAGAGAAGGGGGAGGGGGTGATTGTTGTATATATCTCTTCACATCATGACCTTTTCTGTAGTCTCACTGCCCCCGAGAAGTCTGTGGATCTATTTGCGTCTACTTATAAATCAGTCTACCTATTTGCCGTTCTGCTTCCGTGAAGGTAAAGCGGTGATGGGAGGCCTCAAGGTGGAAAATTCGGCTGCACTGCGACACGCCAGCTTTGTCCGCGGACTTAAGACACTCTCGGTGCTGCATGCGTAGTGGAAGGTGCCGTTGATAAGAGAAGGAAGGGCACAAAATGAAGTGGCGCAGCTGAATTAGGTAGGGAGGACTCCTGAAGTACTGAGCACCTTAGAAGTACTGTAGTTAGCTACCCACCTAGGTGTGTAGCGAGGACTGCACGTCGAAATCAGAGCCGTAATTAGTCATCAACGCCTTGGATAAGTACGGGGGTAGTTCGTGGAACAACCGACGGGCCGTACTCTCGGTAGGGATCTATCAGGATCTCGACCTTGAGGTCTCTATTGATGGAAACAACCAACTCAAGGGACTAGGGACTAGTTACAGATGGCTGCGGGAGTGAGTTCGTTCGCTCAAGTGCGAGCGCAAGCAGTGCCGAGGATAGGCACGAACTTCCAATCGGGTCGATGTGATCAAGAGAGGTCGAAATGTGTGACAGTATTGTAGTACTTATTGGTCCTCGACGGACAGTTAAATGCCACGTATTCGTATTTCCCTCCCTCGTGGCAAGATCGTCCCGCCGAGATGTTTTCAAGAATAGTAAACCCAAGGTTGACAGCCCAAGGACTAACGAGTAGATAACTCGACAGAGGGTCAAAAGAGGAATAGTATGACAGATTGACGATGGAATCGCACTGGAAGAAAGAACCACACCAGTGTCGAAGTAGGTTTAGTCCCCAAGCTTGTTGATGCTATTTTTACCCCGCAAATCATATTGTATGAGGAGGGGAGGGGGGGAGGGAACGCAAGATCGCTCGCTTCTTTACATTATGTTGAAAGTCTGTAGATAGATACACATTTCCTAGGTATATATAGGTCCCTGGCGCACTCTCTCAAGACTGTGATTCTTCTTTTGAGAGCAAAGAAAAGATCATACTTTCGACCAAACGTATACACTCCTCGACACCCTGAACTAAAACCATCATTCACTCACTTCACACGAAACAATACCTTTGAACCCCACACAACAACATTTCATCCCGATCGCCGGCCACCATGGGCTTGCTGGGCGACAAGTGGAAAGCCTTCCAGAACTACAAAAATGGCCGCAATCCAGATGGAACCTCCAAGATCTCAGAGGACGACCTACAGAAGTACACGGGCATGAATAAGGCTGAGTTGGACAAGTTCGCGGCAACCACGCCTGGAGTCGCTGGGAACCAGAACGCAGGGTCCCTCACTGCGGGAGGGAATAGTGGGTTGTATTCCGGGGCTTACTACACGGTCGATGGACATAAGACACCCAAGAATAGATGAAGAATGAATCTGAAAGGCGCGAGAGTTGAGTCGAAAAGAGACCGAGATCGAGATCGAAACTGAAGACAGGGAGACATTGCCGACGATGCTCCGAGTCGGATCCAGGTCCTCGTGCCGTTAGGTAGTTCGTGCAACAGAACGTAGCAAATTGAGAGGCTGCAGCCTATGATTGAAGAAGGCCCGGGTCTTTTGAGGTGGAGGTTCACTACGCGACTAGTTACTGTAGGTCTATTTTAGCAGCACAAGTAAGGATTTCCTTGTGTGCTTGGAGCCCGAGGAGACAACGCTTTGAGCACCTATGCCAGAACGTAGACACTTGTAATTCAACTCGCACTGTCTTCGGCTGCTAAACCTAAACTCAATGTACACACTGTACCTCGCTGAGAGTGATGCGTTGCTATGCCCTGCCGTTGTTGTGGAGCACTCTTTAAGCCCGCCAGCCCGATGACCTAAATACCTACCTCAAGCCCCCCTTATGCACAGTACTTGTGTCAGGAAGTACTCCGTAGGTAGAAAGGCATCTGCCATCTTCCCCTGGCATGGTCCTCTCACCCCCTCGCCTCCATCACATCATCTCATCTTGCAGAGCGAGCCGTGGGTGCACCCAGAATCTGCCTGAGTCACAATCAGAACAACATTGAAGAGCAGAATCAACAAGTGCGATTGATGGGGATGCTCTACACGTACGCCAATCCATTTATCGTCTGGCTCGGACCACCTGATCGCCATCCAAATGTCGTCTTCGACCTTTCACGCAAAATGGTTCGGACTCCTGGTTCACCGTCCTGCTCCTTTTGTAGGAGTAGCCTTTCTGAAGAGCAGAAACAATCGACAGTCGAGGTCTGTCGGCGCCCGTATTGGCGGCGTCTCTGGATCGTTCAAGAGGTAGGACTCGCATTTCGGCTTGTCATCCTGGCAGGACAACATGTTCTGGAGTGGGAGCATTTCTCTTCAGTCGTGAAGCAGAGAGATGAAGTCTGCTCACGCTGCCGCTTCAGGGACACAATTGACGGTCTTGAACGCACCGCCGGTCATTCTATGTACCTGTGGCGCCGAGGGGAATATCGAACAATGGAGCAACCCACACGATCCCTTGCTGATTTATTGAAACCATTCAAAGATCAAAATTGTCGAGAAGTTCACGATAGGATGTTTGGCTTTCTTAGTATGATTGACACCGTAAGAACTTTCACCGTGGACTACCATGACTCCAGAATTGCGCTCCTTTTTAAAGTCCTCGACCACCTAACTTTCGACAGCGACTCTGTTGAGGTCGCTAGGCTCGTCGGAGAAGCGCTTCTGATAGATGATCAGTCATATGAGTCGGAGAGGCTTGAGCCCAAGACTGTTTCACTTTACTCAGATCCAGTGAAGTGCAAAATTCATCCGATTGGCTATTTCTGGCTCGGCCTGTTTGGTCATCACAAATGGATGTTAACCATTGCCTGAAATATGCCACGTCTGCTTATGTGTTTGCCAGTCTTGTACCGGTTTCGCAAGTCGGCTTGACTTCAGCTTGTTTGTACCACACAGTGGATGCCGGTTCCGTGTATTCCAATTCAAACGATTCAAAAAAGACACATATCTTTTTCACCTTGGACAGTCTTCTCGAACATTCCCCTCACGCTTGCTTCCATATCCGAAACACTGTACCTACTAACAAGCATCAAATACATGTCTCAGTCGGCGCGACTGCATGCTGGCATTTGGATGACATGACTTGTGCTGCTAATAGCGCATGAGTAGATGGGAAGAGTCTTTTCTCCTCTCGTCTTCTGCAGGTCAGGCATATAATGGCCCAGGAGGCATTGATAAGCATGAATTGGCGCGAGAAGGGGCTCGGCCAATGTCAGGGGCGGGCTTAGCGCCACGTCGAGCTGAACCTGCGAGCTGCTCCCAACTTCAGCCTCGTCTGATTAGCTGGACGACTTCTGCAATTCCTGACCGAGCCTGGAGGTAAGGTAGGAGCGATACTCTCTTTACCTGCGCCAGATGTACTCACCATCATGCGCAAGTTCAAGAACAAAATCTTCAACCCCGCGAGAACCCCGCGAGGACCCCGCAACGCAAGACGGAGAATTCGCGATCATCATCGCCAAGTCCAGGCCCCACCATTGCCTTCCCGGACGGAGTGAAGGTGCTCCACGACCGTGCTGACGCTACGGTCGACATCTGCTTTGTTCATGGCCTGACTGGCAACCGCGAGACTACGTGGACGGCAGAGGGGCAATCTCAGCCGTGGCCGCAGAGTCTGCTATGACCGCAGATCCGAAGCGCACGCATTGTGACCTACGGCTATGATGCATACGTGGTGAAGAGGTCAGTTGCATCGTCAAATCGACTGATAGATCACGCTTCGAACCTCCTTAACGACCTGACTACCGACCGAGCGAGCCATCATGCCTCTGACCGTCCCCTCATCTTCGTGGCCCACAGTCTGGGCGGGCTGGTGTGCAAAGAGGCGATCCTTCAGTCGCGCAACAACCCCGAGAGTCATTTGAAACAGATATTCGAGTGCACCAAAGGGATTATATTTATGGGGACACCACAAGCAGGAATCTGGATGGCCGATTGGGCGAGACTGCCGGCGTCGACTCTGGGAATGGTCAAATCCACAAACAAGTCGTTGCTCAAGATCTTGGAGACGGATGATCAGCTGTTGGAGTCGGTCCAAGTTCGATTCTTGGGCATGATTCGAGACTTGAGAGAAAGCAATCGGCGACTCGAGGTGACATGCTTCTTTGAGGAGCTCCCGCTCCCAGTGGTGGGGAAGGTCGTGTCGAAGGAGTCGGCCACATTTGCTGGATACAATCCGATCGGTATTCACGCCAACCATAGCAACATGGTTAAGTTTGCCTCTCTAAACGAGACGGGTTTTAAGAGAGTGTTGGGGGAGCTCACGCGATGGGAGACAGAGTTGCGTGGGTCTATACCGACTGACCTAAGCCCTTCGGCAGTATCGGGTATGTAACACCATGACGGCGGGACTAGGACTGGCCCGGGCTGGATGGGGTGTGTAACGGCCTGGAGCGGATCGGGGTAGTGTAAAAGCCAGACGCTGACAATGTTGCAGGACAACCGTCACCTCGCAAAACGATATTTGCGGTACCGTTTGAAGCCGACCCTCACTTCATCCCCAGAGAATCCATCTCATCGGCTATTGATAAGCAGCTTGAGCGACATCAGCGGGCGGTGTTATGTGGAATGGGTGGGGTTGGGTAAATATCATCTACTATCGTGTGAGGAGAAACTCCGATGTACTGACTCGGTGGATGAGAAAATCACAAATTGCCATTGCGTATGCGTACCAGTACCGCCAAAGGTATCCACGCAGACACGTTTTCTGGATGTATGCGGCCACGAGAAGTCGGTTTGCACAGGCCTGCATGCAAATGGCACGACGGTTGAAACTACCCGGATGCGACGACCCCAAGACGGATGCGTGCGAGCTGGTGGCGGCGTGGCTGGCCGATGAGGACAACGGATCCTGGCTTCTGATTGTTGACAATGTGGATGATGCCAATCTCGCGCTAGGTGTCATACCTACCGGTGATCTCGACGGTGACAATGATGACGACGAGGAGGCCTCGGTGAAGCCACTGATCGATTATTTACCTCGCACTCTGGATCCGTCAAGACGGCTCCTGATCACAACGCGAAATAAGGATGTAGCGGATGGCCTCGGACAGATCGCGTCACCCATCCCTGTGGGACCTTTCTCGTTACCAGAAGCGCGATTGCTACTGCAGGAAAAGGTCAGGCAAGAGAGCGCCCGGCCTTCCGAGGAGACTGTAGACGAGCTGCTCACATCGCTCGCGTACATCCCGCTGGCGATTACGCAAGCGGCGGCCTTCATCAACCGGAATGTGATGACCATTGCGGACTATCTGAACCTGTTTCAGAGTAGCGAATCGGAACGGATGAAGCAGTTGAGTGTCGAACTGCAGGATCCTCGCCGCGAGCGGGGATTTTCGAGTTCAGTTTTTCGCACGTGGAGGCTGTCCTTCGACCAGATGCGACAACGCGATCCAGCTGCTGCCAAACTTCTAGCATTCCTGGCATTTTTGGAAGGGCAGGCTATTCCGTTAACATTGGTGCAATATACGGAGAGTGTGGAAGCCGACTGGCGCCAGGCATTGGGTACTGTGGCCGGATACTCGTTGGTGGTGTCAGCGGCGGACAAGACGATCTCGATCCACCCTCTCGTGCAGGAATCGGTGCGATATTGGTTACAGCAGCAGGGGGAGAAGGATGCGAGTGTGGAGCAAGCGGTTGTGGTACTAGCAGCCAGCTTTCCCACCGGAGAGTATAACAACTGGCCGGTGTGCGAGACTCTGCTCCCTCACGCGCAGTCCGCATTGCGTTACCAAGGGACAGGTATCCTCACGAGTGAAAGCCGAGGATATCTCCAATATCATGTTTCGTGGTTTCTATGGTTGTCTGGGCAGTATATCGGGGCATTGGAACATGTCTCGGAGTCTTACAATATTCGCGTGGCGCTGTATGGAGACGAAAAGTCTGAATCTCTCGAAAGTCTAGAGTTAATGGCAACTGTGTTGCATTACCAAGGCAAGTACGAGGATGCGGAGGCGATGATCCGACGAGTGCTGGCGGGAAGGGAGAGGGAGCTGGGCGAGAATCATCCCTTCACGTTGACGAGCGTGAGTAACCTGGCAGAGGTGCTACGAAGCCGAGGGAAGTACGAGGAGGCGGAGGCGATGAGTCGACGAGCGCTGGCGGGACATGAGAAGGGACTAGGGGCCGATCATCCCGATACATTGATGAGCGTGAGTAATCTAGCTGTGGTGCTGCGAAATCAAGGAAAGTACGAGGAGGCGGAGGCGATGAATCGATGGGCGCTGGCAAGGAGAGAGAAGGAGCTGGGGGTGGATCATCCCTCCACATTGACGAGCGTCTACAATCTGGCTCATCTACTCGATGCCAGACAAGATTTCCAGCAGGCCTTGGTTCTGTATCAACGTGCGGCGTCAGGCTACGAAGATGTCTTAGGCGCAGATCATCCCACAACAAAGGCTTGTCGAGCAGATCTATCGTCGCTGTTGAGGAGGATGGGGTGACTGCTTCTTTACTTCGGTTTCGTAGCCAGTCTGCCGATACGAGTCTTTCATGGTATACTGTAGTGAGCAGCAGGTTCGAGTCTTGTACAGTACACATCAACTATATTGGACCATCTCTGCCATTTCTTGTGTTTCTATTGCACGTCGGTATTGGGAACCTCCATAGCGCACATCATATGGTCCTTCCCAATGCATTACGAATGCTGGTATAGCGCTGTACTGACCGTGCCATGATGCATAGTACTTGTCGCTGATTCGTGGGTGAGGCGAAGCTGAGCGTTCCGGATCTGGACATCCATGACCGACAGGTAAGCGTGGTTCGAGTTGGAGAAGTTCAATATGTGTCCACAAGGGGGTATTGTAGGCAGGTTTCGGGAAGATCTGTACCGAACGATCTTTACAAGAGATGTATCTCACTTGTTATCTTTAGCTCATAGCTTTTATTGGCGACACGTATCAATTAGCGTTCGCACCAGAGGATGTGATCAATCTCGCTGCTGGAAGGATCCAAAAGGAGCCATCGTGTTCGATTTATTAGTGGTTTGCTGGAATGTCATACGCGTAGATGGAGATCTGCTGGGAAGAGCAGTAGGGCGGCATCGCACTAAGCCAAAAACAGAGTGATCTCAGATATTCTTTCTTAAAGAGCATTTGCCAGCGGCGTAGTCAACACCCAATATTCCCATTCGTACGATTATAACCGGCGATCACACTCTTCACCTTTCCTTACTTGAGTTCTTACAGAACCCTCCCGAGACCTGACTGTGCGATCTGATCCACAGAATCTGCTCGCTGTCCGCAACCGGTCTCCCCAGAATCTGCCCGCACTGAACCCAACTTTACAGTTATCGCCCTTCATGGCGACTGGAATGGTGAACGGCCACGATGCTGACATCCCCGCGCCGCCTGTTGACCCTATATCAAGACCACAGACTCCTCCGCCTCCACCATCAACGCTTGCGCCCCCTCCGCCTCCGCCGTCAGATCTTGCGCCCCCGCCGCCCCCGCCCGCTACCAACGGCGCGGTAGTCAAGAAGAAAGGATGGGGGGCCTCGACGAAACCGAAGTCACAACCTCTTTCTGTAGAAGATCTTCTGAAGAAGAAGCGGGAGGCTGACTTAGCTGCGAGCAAGCCCAAATTCCTTTCCCGTGCCGAGCGCGAACGGCTTGCCTTAGAGAAACGTGCGAACGAAGTCGAAGCCGCAGCCCGCGCGAAATCTCAGAATGGCCATAATGGAACGCCGCCTCTTGAAGCGCCTCAAGATGCTGGACGCTCAAAGTCATCTGTGGCACCGACAGGGCCACGGGCTTTTCGTAATGGCGAAGTACCTACCGGTCCAAGCGCGATGCGATCTAAAGAGCGTAATAGAGGCGTCGATTTTACTCCTCCTACAGCCCCCAAGTCCATATCGTTCGGTGCAGACTCGAGAACGCAGAAGCGACAGGCGGATGAAGATCGAACCGGGAAAGCAGAGGTGGACCTGATCCGTCAAAGGTATATGGGCGCAGAGACCAATGTCTCGACTTTCTCGGCCTCGAAAAAGAGACGACGTACGACAGAGAAGAAATTCAACTTTGAATGGAACGCTGAAGAAGATACTACCCCTGATTACAATCCTATATACAAAGAACGCGCTCAGCCAACCTTCTTTGGTCGCGGTCGCCTTGGTGGTTTCGACCAACAGGCTGCGGATGAAGCCGCCCGGAAATATGCCGAAGCCCTGCAGTCCAGAGATGTTGAGGCCGGTGCAGCGCGAGCGCAAGAAATCCTAGAGATGGAGCGCAGACGGAAAGAAGAGTCGAGTCGCATGGCAGTCGACAAGCATTGGAGCGAGAAGAGACTCGATCAAATGCGCGAGCGGGACTGGCGAATATTCAAAGAAGACTTCAATATCAGTACCAAAGGAGGTGGTATACCGAATCCGATGCGTAATTGGAAGGAATCGGGGCTTCCGCGGCGTTTGCTCGATATCATCGACCAAGTTGGCTACACAGAACCTTCTGCTATCCAGAGAGCCGCTATTCCCATTGCCCTCCAGAACCGCGACCTTATTGGTGTTGCTGTTACTGGATCTGGTAAAACGGCAGCTTTCCTTCTTCCTCTCCTGGTATACATTGCCGAGCTCCCACGACTAGACGAGGACGAATGGCGGCGAAACAACGGCCCCTATGCCATCATCCTGGCCCCGACACGTGAATTAGCACAGCAAATCGAGATAGAAGCTCGCAAATTCGCATCACCGCTGGGTTTCACGGTCGTATCCATCGTCGGTGGCCACTCCATCGAAGAACAGGCCTACAATCTACGCAATGGCGCAGAAATCATCATCGCCACGCCAGGCCGTCTAGTCGACTGTATTGACCGACGCATCATCGTTCTCGAGCAGTGCTGCTACGTGATTATGGATGAAGCAGACCGTATGATCGATCTCGGTTTCGAGGAGCCCGTCAACAGAATCCTGGATGCCCTGCCTGTGACCAACGAAAAGCCGGACACCGATGATGCCGAGGATAGTCGAGCTATGTCCAGGCATCTCGGTGGCAAAGATCGATACCGCCAGACAATGATGTACACGGCTACCATGCCCGCGGCTGTCGAACGCATCGCACGCAAGTACCTCCGCCGCCCAGCCATCGTGACCATCGGCAACATCGGCGAGGCAGTCGACACGGTCGAGCAGCGCGTCGAATTCGTCGCTGGTGAAGACAAGCGCAAGAAGCGGCTCAATGAGATTCTCCAGTCGGGCGAATTCAGACCTCCAATCATTGTCTTTGTCAACATCAAGCGAAACTGCGATGCTGTGGCCAGAGACATCAAATCTATGGGCTTCAGCTCCGTCACGTTACATGGTTCTAAGACACAAGACCAGCGTGAGGCTGCATTGCAGTCTGTCCGAGACGGGAAGACGGACGTGCTCGTCGCCACGGATCTCGCAGGTCGTGGTATCGATGTCCCCGACGTCAGTCTCGTCGTCAATTTCAACATGGCCACCAATATCGAGTCTTATACCCATCGTATCGGTCGTACGGGTCGTGCAGGGAAGAGTGGTGTCGCCATCACGTTCCTGGGCAATGAGGACACAGATGTGCTGTACGATCTCAAGCAGATGCTCATGAAGAGTAGCATCTCTAGAGTGCCGGAGGAATTGAGAAAGCATGAAGCAGCACAGCAGAAGAGCCAGCGCGGTGGTCATGGCGGCGCGAGCAAGAAAGGTATCACGGCAAGTGATGAAAGCGGTGGCTTTGGTGGCGGGAAGAGTGGTGGCGGTGGTGGCGGGTGGTAAACACACCCAGCAACCAAACTTTGGATACCCTTAGGTAGTTCACGTAATTAACAAAGTGGACGCCATCCTGGCCTGATGAGCCATGCACTCATGTATGTTTGTGTATACCCTCTAAAACACACAATACCGTTTGAACCCATACTGCGATTTTCCCACTCCACGGGACTTCCCCATCCCTCAAAGGACCCCATAACGCATTTCATCGTCGTTGCCAACAGCACCCTACGCGGCGATGATATTACAGTTCCATCTACCACCGGGACCTCGTAATTTGTCCAGTGTCAAGAGATTGTCTCCTTGCGCTTTAGGTCATGCGTCGGGAGCCTCTCCGGATCATATTTTCACAGATGACGAAAACCTGCCGTCCGTTTTCTTCCGGTCACAGTGACTATAGTCAGTCCATGGCGGTTTTGCGAACATTGTGGCACTCGAGAGGCACCCTTGTTCCGAGGGCCTTTTGGTCCCTGCCGACGAGCTCCAGCGCTTCCTTCAGCCAGGCAACGCAGTTCCAACCCTCCGCGCCGCCCCCCTCGTAGGGGTCTGCCGCAAGACGGCGTCAAGCCGAGCCGGATCGGTGACCTTGCCGACCAAGATGCGCACCGGGACCATGTCTGACGGTCGGAGCGACACGGATCTCTTCTCGAATTCCCAACGTACGCCGCCGTCCGGAGTGACGATTTCTTTCGCGTGGTACCGCGCACCTTCTTCTTCGTCTTCTTTTTTTCTCTCTGCCGGCCTTTCGGTCTTGGGACCGACCATCAACGCCCAGTGATAGCTGCTGTTTCGTGGAATTTCTTTTGACAATCTGCGTCCAAAAAAAAAAAAAAACGCAATACTCTCGGAACAGAACCGCACCTACGTATCTTCGAGGTCTCGCATTCTAGGCCGACCTCCTCTCGCATGGAGACAAACGTACGAGACAAACGTACAGCCGGTCTTTGTTGGACATGGCTCCTTTGATTGATGACGACCCACTCGGTTGCCCCTCTCACATCGGTGACAGGCCTTCCTGTGTTTTGGGGTCGTAGGTAGAGCACTCAACGGAAGAAGAAGTCGCTTGCAGGCAGCGTAGCCCACGCCGCAATGGCAGAGTCAACGAGCGGTTCATTCTTGGGAAGGAAAAGGGACCAACGCCGGACGCAGTATCGCGCCATACACGGGGCAGCAAGTTGTTGTGGAAAGGATATGTGACGTTCAAAAAAGGCCTGCCTTGCAGCGGCTGTACGGTTCACCGTAGAGGGGGCATCTAACTACCGCTCATTGCAGGCTTGACATTATATCCGTATAATTAATTTACTACATTTGCGAGTGCTCACATCAATTGACGGCTTTCTCTTTCCTGCGCGGATACTATTGCAGTCTCCCTACATAAAGTGGGATATTGTCGAGTGATGATGAAATCAACCGTCATATTCAAAAGCAGGACAAACTACCTGACCTAACGCTAACAAACATAATCAGCAGTACGCCCCGTTTCACTCCAGCCTTTCCAGTCATCCAATGGGTCACGTTACGTTTTCGTATAAGTCTTTGCGTCTCGGAGCCAGAGAGGTCTTCAGGCTCAGATCGGACTCCGCCTCAACGCGCCAACGCGCTTGATGGGCGTATGCATCATGGCCTCCTGCATCTCCGGCGGGATAGCAGGTCTCGAAATCTCCTTGTCCCAGTCGTTCCCGTCGTGCGCTGCATTTCCTTTACTCGACGTTGAGAGCGAGGGGTTGAAATTCTCCTTCTCGACATTAACCCGAGACAGATTGAATTTCTCGATCCGTTGCTTCGACACAGGTAGTGTTTTCTTCTGTATCGCGTTTGTCCGTTTTGGAGCGAGAGGAGAACGCCGGAGAGGCGATGAAGCCGAAGGTGGGGGCGGGTGATGTGGCTCTTGTTGTTGTCGTCGTTGTTGTGTTGTAGAAGGAGATACAACCTGTGCTGAAGCTTCATGAGTCGAAACAGGTGCAGGGACAACAGGTACAGACGCGACCTCCTCGACTTTCTTGGACGTCTTCTCTTCCTTCGCCTTCTCCTGCGCGCTGACCCAGGCCTTGAAACCATGAATCGCGCTGACCCACGCTCCGTCACCTAGAGGTCGGCTCTCGACTTCCTTGCCCAAAGCATTTTGGACCTTCCTGTTCTTGCCAGCCAGGGTATTCACCGCACCACCATAAACAGCAGTAGCAGTGACGACAGAGGTTGCAACGATTTCGCCGTCGTTCAATATGGTCACCGTGACAGCAAATTCAATATCAACTCGGCCTCGAAAAGGCAACAGCAGCATGACCTTGACCCCTAGTTTCTCGTCACCCATAATCGAAACAGTGGTCACGCCCACCAAACCCAACAGTCTCAGCTCTTCAGACACTCTGCAGGCCAGGCTCCAGCCGTTTGATACCGTAGACAACAACGTCTTTGCAGTAATGGTGCCCTTGGGCATCATCGCAAATGCGTGAAGCTGACTTCGAATCAATTGGAGGAAGAACCGTTTCTCTGTAGATAATGATGGTGGGCCAGCTTGAGAATCGTCCTGGTCGGGGGCATATGTTAAACTGATCGGAGCAGACGGGCCAGACGTGGATGCAGACTTTCTCCCTGATCGACGTCGTCCACTCTGTTCGGGTTTGAACTGGAAGGCTTGAGGATGGAAGAACAAACGCAGCTCGTCTTTGTACACCATCACAAGAGCGGGCCCAAATTCGTTGGGTTCATCGACATCCTCTTCGGCAGTTAGGAGACGCCAACCCGTTTTCTTCTCAACGGTTTCGACCCTCGACTTGAGCGCCAAAACTTCGGCGACTGGCACGCCTCTGTTCTCCTCTCGTACCCTTTCAGACTCTGCAATTTGGTCTTGTAGCTCGGCCTTGTAATCTGCAGCTGCAATGAGAGCGTCGTTTTTCTCCTCCATCTGCTGCTGCAAATCTTCTAGATGAGCAGATTTTTGAAGGAATTGCTCGTCAACATGTCGTAATTGCTGGCGGAAATCCTCCAAAGCTTCGTGATCGATGCTATCAATTTCTTCGAGGCTCTGCCGTAAAGAGTTGGCTTGAGTCTCCAGTTGCGACTGCTCTTGCAATGCTTGCGGGACTACATCATCCAAAGCGCGCTGCTGTTGCTGTAGAACCTCCAGATCTGCTGCCATGCCCTTCTTGATTCCCTGCAAGCCCGCTTTCAGACCGTCTACAAGCTGTCCACGCCATTGATACCATCCTTCTTTGCTCTGGAGGCGAGCGTTTGCCTTTCCATTTCGGAATTGATTATCCATGATGACTTTGACATCCGGTCTCGCATCCAGGTACTCTCGGAAAAGTGGTGGCTGTTCAGCCAATGTTTCTGCCTCAATAGAACGGATGATCTTACGACCCGTAGAAATGTACGACTTCAACTCTCTGGTAGCATGCTGATAGAGTTCTAGCAGAGGCAGCGTCGTCGCGGCAGCAACAAAGTTCATCTCAGTGCTCGGAGCGGTGGTCCCTTCTTGCGACTCCCTTTGAGGCATAGATTGTGCCAGAGTATGCCTTCTCTTTGTAGTCGAAAGCTCGATGAAGTGGATGTTAGTCATGTTCAGGAAGTCTTGGAGAGAGATCTTCTCCTGTTCTGCTGAGGTAGAACCCTCCTCTAATTGAGCCGTTGAAACGTCGATTGCTCCGACCACATTGTCAAGCTTGTCCCCAAACGAAGTCGGCCTATCGTTGCCGGTAGCCACGACATCTCTGAACCGCGTTCCTGCTTCGGGACTTGCTGGAACTGTTTCCCTTACCAATTGGAAAGCATCGACAGTCGGCGTTGATCTGACTGTACCTGCCATCTCTGCAAGTGACTTCTGCAGCTTGAGGCTCAATTTACCAGTCGTCTCGTCTTTGCTGGGCGGCTTGGGCAGATGAACTTTCTTGACAGGGCTTCCTTCTCGCGAGACAGCTTTCAGACGCTTCGGCGTCGACTCCGCTTCTTCGTCATCGTCTATGTCCAGCTCTGCTGGGCGCTTGCCCAGGAGACCTTTGGCGCCACCAACAGCAAGACTCTTCCTGCCTTTGATTTTGCTGGCTTTCAATTTTTGGGGGGACATGGTTTCAATCATTTCCTTTAGCTGAGAAGTTGTCTGTTCCTCTTGAGCTTCATCTGCCTCTCGTTCCATCACAAATCGGCCGCTTTCTCGGCGGTGTTCTTCTTGCCGCTCCAATTCTACCTCCTGTCCGAGTTGCTCCGCATCTTCAAAGCGCAGCTTCGTCGGCTTGATGGCCCCAAGTTTGAATTCTGCTGAAGTGTCGCCGATCGAAGCTCTTCTATCCAAAATCTCCGAAATTCGAGGGGAACCTATGCCAGCTTTATCAATACCAATCCCACTTGATCTTCTTCGCTGTAGCTGAGGTCTGCTGGCACGCAATATTATGCTAGGTGTTTGTTGTCCGGTCTCTGCGTCCCTAGAAAACAAACTGTTGGTCTTAAGAGTTGCCTCTCTCCTCGTCGATGCTGGCGACGCTCTGGCTTTGATCTCGGCCTTGAAAAGCTTCTTTGGTGACGCACCTCGATGTTGCACATTCGCAGACAGAGGCGTCTTGTTGGGGCTCGGTGCATGCTCCGGAAGCGGAGTAATCTGCTGCGATGGAGTACCAGCTTGTGGTCGTCGATGAGACATGATAGGGGTACTTGGGGGCGGTGCTTGAGGTGTCGTTGAGGCTTTACTACTGCTTCGCTGTGATCTGCTAGAAGACTGTGGCTTGGCAACAAGACTTGGGCTTCCTGTCTCGGAGGCAACTGAAGTCCGATGCAGTTGGGACTTCGGTGTGGTCTTTGGTGTGGTTTTGGTATTTGACCGTGGGGTCGCCTGAGGAGTTGTCTTTGCAGTGGACCTCTCGGATGGTAAGGTTCGTGGAGAAGTAGAAGCATTGCCGACAGACTGTCTCGTAACTCGCCTCTTCGCAGGAGAATGTTGATTGATTATCGATCCCACCGCCCTTGTTTCCTCCATTGCCACTGTCTGCTCGTCTTCAGCATCGGTCTGCGGTTCAGTGTGCTCTTCAATTGGCATCAATATGCCGCCGACGGCTGCCGTCATGTCCATGGTTTGATTTTCCTCGAATTCTTCTGACATGTCAGACTGTCGGCGGTCTGCATTGCTCAACACCCCGCCTACAGCAATCGTAAACTCCATGGTCATTTCATCGAACGAACGGGTTTGAGTCATACTGGCATCTGACTTGTCACTTTCTCCAATGATGCCACCTTGCATCACGGTAAATTCTATAGTTTCGTCAAAAGAAGATTCATTTCCCATCGAGCGGCGAGGGTGAATGCTTCTGCGACGGGATTTTGGGGACTTTTGGTTGGTTTTACCAGGTGACTGTCGCGGAATAATACCACCGACAGCCCTGGTTACGTCCATGCTCATATCTTCAGATTGGGACTGTGCATCATCGTCGACTTGAAAACTCGAATCTTCCCGTCCGGCATCATGTCGGGAGGACTCGCCAACAAAGTTACCGTTTTCTTGATTGACGCTGTTCTTGATTTCGGAGACTTGCTTTCGCGCATAAGGTTGAAAAGCATGGGTGACAGTGCCAGTGGCCATCTCCATGGACATATCTTCCTCGTCATGCTCATCGTAGTCTACACCGGCGGTGCCGGCCTGTGCTGCTGCCTGTCTCAGGCGCCCTTCCAAACTAGAATGCGTGCTCGATCCCGAATCCTGGGAATTTACTGTGTGAGAGGTCTCATCGTCCATACTCATGGCCGTGTCGCCATCCGTGTCCGAATCGTCGGAAGACTCTATGCCATCTTCAACGTGCATTGGACTGCTATTCGTGGTGACATCTCCAGATGGACTAGAGGAGAAAACCTCATACTGTGACTCATCCAGCATAGGCTCTCTAGCTGTAGAGCTGCTTCTCCTCCTACGTTTCTGCTGATGGAGATCTCGTTGATGTGCTGGGGAAGGTGTTTCCATAGGGTTCTCTAGCTGCTCAACCGGCGTCGACGGAGACGCAGATGAATCGCGAGAAGGCATCACTTTGACCGGCGACTGTTGTGCTGTCATGGAGGATTGTCTTCTGGTCGAATTCGATGCCGAGCTTGTAGTAGAATCCTCCGCAAGTTCCATCACACTCCATGTGTGCAGCGTGGCTTCTGGCGCAAATGATACTCGCCTATTTGCGAGCGATTTCCGTCTAGCTGCTCTTCGGTCTAGGATTGCTTGTTTCTCAGCTTGTCGTTTCGCTTCTTCCTCGCGCTCGCGCTCCTGAGCCTCCGCACTTGCAGCTTTCGATTTACCTGGAGACTGTCGTGTCATGGGACTGAATGGGTCGGCCACATTTTCTGAGCCCTCCAGCGATATGCCACCACGATTTTGCATGTTCGGCCCTGGTGTCGAGAAATCAATGAGCAGTTCCTCTGCGCCATTCTTTGCCGGTGATTTTCCTTTCCCTGTACTTCTTTTGCGCAACTCGTCAAATGAAGGAATCGCCTTTGGAGGCGTTAAAGGTATACTGGGTTTGAGGATCGACTTGATTTGAAAGGGTACCGGCGTCTGACTTGTTAACATACTCCCCCCTGGTGTGAAATGAAGCTGCGACATACCTTTGTCAAGTTGCCCGTGGTTTCTGTTAGAGCTTCAAGACCTCCAGGACCAAGGCTTTTGCCACGCGACCGCTTTTTGGCAGCTTGCGCAGCATTGTTCCGAGCATGGATGGCAGCAATGTCTGTTGTTACGTTGTCCCTTGATGCAGACGATCTACTCGACGGAATATGGGCGATCGACTGTCGCGACTTTGGTTTGTGTGACTTACGGTCTGTGGAAGAGTCTGCCATTGCTTCTGGCAGAGGCAGAACTGCCACAGTACACGGGTTTAAAGTGTATGAGTGTTGAATAATGTGTACATGATAACAACGATGTTTGTCAAGCGACCAGATCCACGTCCCACTCGCAAGTCCAATCGCGCCGGGGAGATCCACTTGTAAACACGGCTGCGGTGCGAAGTCATGTGACTAACACTTAGAGACGCTATGCCATTAACGGTCTAGGGTGAAATTTGGTGCCAAGATCCAGAATGTGCGCAGCAAAACTCCTTTCGCCTAAATCCCACACATCACCAAGTTGCCAGGACCTACGACGACAACCACTTCTCAACTCGCGCACCTTTCCAGTCAACCACCGCAACCATGGCGACCGAGCTGACAGTCCAGTCCGAGCGCGCGTACCAGAAGCAGCCACACATCTTCCTCAACCACAAGTCCAAGGCTGCAAAGAGCAGGAGAGTTGGAAAGGGTGGCCGAAGATGGTACAAGGATGTCGGTCTGGGTTTCAGAACACCAAAGACTGCCATTGAGGGTGTCTACATCGGTTAGTCACCCTTGTCGATCGCCTGTTGTTATTTTCCTTTGCTGGGAATGAGAACCTTCAAGTCTCGTTCCACTACGAGTCTGGGAGTTTTTCGACATGCGCAAGCGAAAAGGGAAAATTGGAGACATGAACTAACAAAGTCCTCTTCACAGACAAGAAATGCCCCTTCACCGGTCAGGTTTCTATCCGAGGCCGTATCCTCACCGGCACTGTCGTCTCCACCAAGATGCACCGAACTTTGATCATCCGCCGAGAATACCTTCACTTCGTCCCAAAGTACGCCAGATACGAGAAGAGACACACCAACCTTGCCGCCCACGTCTCTCCTGCTTTCCGTGTTGAAGAAGGTGACACCGTCACTGTCGGTCAATGCCGACCTCTCAGCAAGACTGTAAGGAATCTCTTCGATGTTTCGCAAAGAAAACAAAGGGAGTCACAGTAACTAATCTTCTCGTGCCAGGTCCGATTCAACGTCCTCCGTGTCCTGCCAAGAACCGGCAAGGCCGTCAAGGCTTTCCAGAAATTCTAAGCTCGCGGCGAATTGAGTAGCAGAAGTGAGGAATGGAATTGGTTGGTTCGAGTGGGGGCTTGAGAAAAGCATGAGCATATTGTCTTGCGACCATGGTTATGGGAAGATATCATTCGGCGTCAATGATTAAAGCACAGATCGAGATAGAGGATGTGCCGTTGACATGGAGCCGCGCCGACTTTTGGCAACGAAACAAAACCGGCTGAAAACAAAAGTCAACACTCACGAAATAAATCAGCTTTCCGAGTCTTTGGACCATGATATCGTACTTGTGTTTATGTGTGTGTGTGTGTGTGCGTGCATTGTCTTCATCTGCGGAATTTCATCACGAAAACAAACGCTCTGAATGTTTTAGAGGGCTGATGCTCTCAGGCAGACACATCCAGTTTCAGCTTTGAGCCGTGGATACCCCGAGCTGGTCGACTTTGGGTAAGAAACTCAACTTCCGTGCCTTCTCCTTGTCATTCGCCTCAATCCATCTTTTGACCTCGCTGTCGACAACTCCAATCAATGATCAGGGACTTCCGTAGCCGATCTGATGCAGCTGTGTTCCGCCTGACTGCATTCTCAGCCGCAGAGGCATCAAATTCTCCAATGCGCTGGTCGTCTTGCCGTCCAGTAGCTCCTTGACAAGATACGGCTCTGTAGCTTCAACGGTCTTCCAATGCCTACCCCATCCCCAGCGCCGCCTGCGACTGCTTTGACCGTACCTGACGCTGACCTGAGGCCGCCTGTCAGTTTCGCTTTGGTATTCCTTAGACGCCCACTAGGCTAACGGGCAGGAATGTGGGGACTAAAAATTCACACCATTCTATATTATAACACTCGTGAATAAGCTCTGATTCGACGCACAAACCGAACTTGAACAAAAAGTTCCTTAGTGTAGTGGTTTATCACATCTCCTTTACAGCATCTTCAACATACGCGGAGAAGGTCATGGGTTCGATCCCCATAGGAACTATCTTTCTTTTTTGGGCGTTTGCTTTTTTGGATCTCGAGAGATATTTGGTGTATTGAGACAGGATCGAAGTTCCCAGACTCAACTTGTAACATTTGCCGAGGACCAGCTCATACACGTGGGCGGAAGCCAACAGACAATGGTACTAGATAACACCACATCGGGCATGAGTTTAATAACTACAGGGAAGGTAGACCCAAAACCAAGTCGAGAATGTTCAGGTCACGATGAACACCGTCTACCTATCTTGGTAGGTAACTTTTACCAACTGACGCTCATCAACTCCATGCCAACGCCGACCACCATGATCTCGCACTTGTCGCTCGACCTGGGCACTTCTCCCCCTTCGGAACTGCTTGGGGCTTGTTGGTCTATTCCATACTTGCGGACAACTTCAACGCCGCTTACATCGGCAACATATGTCCACGCCGAACTCAGTCTCTCTACCTGAATCACTTCGCACAGTGTATCGTGCTGTGATGTGGTCGCATGAGGCCGATCGCGGGCACTGCCAGTCTCTGATACGTCGATGCGTGCTCTCCACGCTTTCACGCGCTGATCGTTCCCAACACTGACGATGGTGGCAGTGTAAACGTTTGCCGTTCCTGATACATCGGCGACCTTGACCGCTGTAAGGGCTGCAGCGTGGGCTCGAGGGATGACCACTGTTCGAAAGAGTCGATCGTTCTGTGAGAGATGGCAATTTGAAAACAGGGTAACGGCAAGCGCATTGTCATCTCCACCTGTTGCGATCAAAGAGGTTGTTGTATCGAGAGCGATGATGTCCATTGAGAGAATACTGCTTTGGTGGATTTTGTGGAGCCTTGTCGTGTCTGTTGACTGTGCAGCTTGTATATAGTCATCAGAGCCCGGGTCCAGGAAAATGCCAAGCTGATTGAGGTTCAGAAACCCATTTGTTCCAGCCGAAATCATCTGCGACGGAGATGATAGCAAAGACGTCTGCATGATACAGAACGAACCATAGTGGACCTGGTGTAGAGTCACAAATGTGCCTTGGTTGCGTACTGCGGCTGGGGTGTATTCGAGGATCTTTGACTTGCCATTCGAATATGCCAGTGTCACAATGAAGGACTCATGAGAACCCTCCCCTGGAACGCCAACCCCCTTCTTGGTCCCTTTGATACGTAAATCAAAATCCATTATCCTCGCGTCAGAGTCCTCGTCTTCCTTGGGCATGACATCCCAGAGAACCGTCCCAACTTTGATGCAAGGCACATCCGGGGTCAGCTTCCACACTAGAAATTCTTCACGACCAGCACTGCTGAAGAGATAATCTCCTGAAGGAGAAAAAAGAAGGTGTTGTAGCCCTGCATTGTGTCCCCTCAGAGTAGCTATGCTACGAAAGGCGGCGTCATCGAGCGCGTTATGAGGCAGCAGACTTCCTTCTCGAGTTGCGAGAGGTGCTGTGTGATGTTTCTCGCCATCAGAAAGCAGGGAGAGTTGTATATTCGTATCTTCCGCTCCTGTGGCAATCACAACGTCACCATGAACAAGTTTTGGGCTGCGAGCCACTGCCTTGATTTCTCGGCCGTGGCCACCAGTCCTTATGACTGTATGATCTCGCCCATCCCTCATGGACCAATTGAGACTGCCAGCTTTAGTCCATATGAACGACATTGTCCCGCCGCTGGTGCGGATGTCGTCCACTTTTGAGATCGTGCTTTTCGACGCGATTGAATCATAGTATACCCAAGTCCTGTGTGCGCCGCCACATTCAACTGAAAGCAATGTTGACTGTCTGGTTTCATTCCAGACAATGAAGGACGTCGAGCGGAAGCCATATAGGATTAACTCATTTGAATCTGTCCCTAGAGACTCTTCGCCTAAAGTCAAATAGGACCCTTCGATATAAGGCCCAAAAGGAGGCCTCGATGTATGGATTGTCGAAAAGGTTACATCTGGTAAATTTAGTCGATGGGCGGCATAAACACCATCGCGGCCTGTCGTCAGGAAATACGCGCCGTTTGTAGGATTCCGCGACTCATCCGGAGTTTCAAGAATTGTTATCGAGGATACACAATCAGTACCATGGATGTGTCTCACGCACAAGGACGCTTCTGCTACACTTGATTCGGCTGCCACAGCGGCATAGACAGCGAGCGCACCAGCACGAGAGCCAAGTACCAATGTTTGGCTTGACTCGTGGTAACAACATGCTGCCACCACAAACGAGTCTGGAAGAAGAAGTTTCGTGTATCGGCCTCGAAGTGAATTTCCTTCTCTCCTCAGCCAGATAGCCATTGTCTCTTTATTCGCCAATGCAGCAACGACGCAGGTAGGACCTGCAAGGCGTCGATTAGTGCAAGCGACCTGGAACCACACGATGCTGAGTGTGGTGGGTAAAGATACGGCCAGCAAAACGTTGTCTCTGTCGGTCGTAAGTGCGAATAGACCACCTCGTTGTTGAGCTATTAGAACAACCCCAAGCGTGTCAGCTCGACACATCATGATGCCACCACGGAGAGGACTGTTGTAAAGATGTGTATATTTCAGTTCACCGTTCTCATTAATTATACTGTACACATCCCCTGCGTCGGTGCTCGCAAAGCACGTGCTCCCCGAGATAGGCACATACTGTTTTAGAGCCTTCTGTGACTTTGTGATTTCTTTGGCTGGTATTGATGTCTTCGATGGGTGATCATCAAGGGCGTTGAGCAGGCTAAAATGTCTGCATACAATCTGACCATCAGCACCACCAGTAAACACGACCGGACCTTGGTCGTCATTGTCCAAACACATAGACCATGCATTTTTTCCTGAATGATGCCGATCGCTGCATAACGACAACAGGTTTATACCCGCTTCTGGTGTTGGGTCTAGGGACCAGAGCTGGCATACTGTATCTTCTCCTCTCGACAACAACAGAATCTTTGTCTGCTCGCTCCTTTCTAAGGGGCCAGCAAAGTGAACACCCCAAATACGGGATGCATGGCCCCATGCAGAAGCGACTTCGGATTTTTCGCTGTTGCTGAAGTTTCCAAAGCCAGTCTCTGTCGAGATAACACGGTGATCAGGCTCCGAAGACAACTTGCCATGGTCTCCGATATCCCACACTCGAATTGTGCGATCATCACTACAACTTGCAAGCAAGCGAGTTGGCCGGTTACTTAGAACGAGTTTCGGGGATATTGTGACACCGAAAACAGAACCTTTGTGCCCGTTAAAGGCATGCTTTGCAGATGCATGCCATTCTAGCTGGCCACTGCCATTCCTGGAGCATGTCCAGACCAGGATCTCGCCAAACACGGTTCCAGCGGCAACGATAAGCAGGTTCGAATCAGCAACACATAAGTCGCCTGAGTAGAGGAAGGATCCCGGACCACGAATCGTGTGCAAGGTGTTCTGATCTATGTTGAGTGCATGTCCATCTGTGGCGACGACAAAATTCGCTAGTATATTATGCGCTGTAAGCACGAATATACCCAACTCGTTGAAGACAGCATCGAGAATCCAGTCTCTTATGTCCACTTCATCCCCTAATTGAAGATCGAGTTGCGTAGCCTCGAGGCTAGTTATGACCAATCTGCCAACTCGCACCAGCTTCCCTCCCCAGAAAAGAATGCTGAGTACATTGCTGGTGCTCCCAGTCAAGGTGTCACAACGCGTGTGAAAACCATGAAGAGGCTGAACTTTGAAGATCTCGGTAGAAAGAAGAGTCTGTCCGTCCTCTCCAAAAATCTCAAGATTAGGCCCAGCCCCAGCGAGAAGAACTCGGCGTCCGCCAACTCTGGTGGCGTGAAGAGCAGTGACTGGAAGACAGGAGGCTTGCGTCTGCCAAAAAAAATTTAGCGTTCTGTTTTTCGGGACAGTATCTGAGAAGCGTACCTTGATTGAACATGGCATTGAGAAAGCTGCCACTGGAGGAGGGCTTAAGGGTCAAAGAAGATTGGTTAGTCTATGGACATTTCCCAACCATGGATTCATGTCACCCGTTGCCTTGTATCACTGGGCATCGAGATGAGGTGGACAGGCACCGAATTGACCGCCAAGGCTGAACTGTGCCAAGACCCATGTTGGCCCCTGGAATCAGTGGCGGCGGCCGGGGCTGGCGGCGCCAATCAGCGCATTCACATCAACATTGGCCTTGGACTTTCCTCTCGAGTGTCCTCAGTGCTCACTCACTCGTGCATTCACCAGCGTCTGGAAAGCCACAGCCTCATTCACCGCCAGGGTCCGCTCGCTTTCGACCTCAGTCGCATTCAACGTGATTCTCCATCTAACTATGACGCCCGTTGTTGTGAAGATACCCAAGGCCTAAGCCATAGGTCATTGGGCGCCGCGTGACGCCTCCACAAGTCGCGTCCTTCATCACCGCCAACGCCCTCTTCACAGATTGGTGCGCTGTAACTCAGCCCCCGACATGATGAGTGGCTTTTTTCGTATGGCGACTCCAGCAACACACCGTACTCCCACAGGGGAAGAAAACAATACTTCGCGCCAACCTCCGAGCAGATTTCCGACGCTCTCAGCGTCATCGCCTCGTCAAGGTCCAAATGCCAGCAATTTTGATGGAAATCCGGATGACCCCATTGTTTTGAGCGATTCGGACGATGAAGACTCAGATCACCAGCCGGGTTGGGTGGACCTGACATCTGACAACGAGCGTGATCGTTCACTCAACCCATGGCGTCGGGTCAACCATAAACCGCAGCAGTCTACGTCAAGTCCCTCACAGTTGCGCTCGGCATTCTCAACCAGGCAAAGTCCACAAATCAGAGACAGTGGACAAGCTATCCTCCCTAGGCCCGTAATTATAAATCAGTCCTCTGCAGGAGCACCACGCATTGTACCACGGCCTACTGATTCTACGGGAGGACAGACAAATCTCGTGGGACGTAGAAAAGCTCTAGATTTCTCTGCTCGGAAGCCGCAAGTGCAGCCGAGAGGCGGGTATGAGGTGAGAACGGGGATGGCAGAAGCCCCAGTCTCTGGGAGGACTTCTCTCCAAACTTTCTCAGCGGCCTCGATATATTCAGACCCTGCACACCAAAGATCTCCTGAGGAACCGGGACGTGTGCCTTTCCGGCCCACAGCGACAAATTCTCAAAGCATTGTCAGACCGATCTTAGCGAACTCCATCAATCAAACTCTCCAGGACCGACACAAGCGTATCGCTCCCAACCTTTTCAGCCAAAACGTGTACAGATCCTCACGAAGTTCTCTTCCAGATACGATCAACGATAATTCAATACGCACGAATAATAGTACTGAGCCTCCAGCTGAAGATCCTCGTTCCGGTAGGTCTGACCACTCACCATTGCTTAGGGAATATAGCACAACTCAATCGAGAGGGCCCGTAAGCAGCGCTGTAGGGGCTTCTGCTCACAATGGACAACATGCTCATGGCCCTCAACCCAGTATCTCAGCGGAATCATCTAGCCTCCCATTGTATCGCCTGAGACCCGTAAACCCTGTCCACGAAGTTATCGGGCGGCCTTCCAACGGGACAATGCGAGCATCTCCAGCAGATCAGGAGAACCGCGCTCCCGGACTAAGGTTCGAACGTCCAGTGGAATCGGCTACTCAGAGCATTCTCCGGCGTACGAGGCCAGAGCATGAAGAACGAGCAATAGGTGGTGCGAGGACCAATGTACTCTCTGGCGAAGCAATTGAGCGAGGAAGAAAACCCGACCAAAGGGAATTCCTGCCTGTTCACCATATACCAGAGAAGCAAGCCATTGATCAGAATGCCCAGACGGACGGCGCGACTGCAGAAATGATTGAGGACGACAGCTTCGCATCTGATGATTCAAATACAACCCCTTCCGTAGCTCGCATCGAACCCAGACTGGAGACAATGAAAGCCATCATCGAGAATCTGAGAAAAGACCAACAAGCATGCCGAGAAAGATCGGTGCAAGCCGAGCTCAGGCAGGCTTCTGTGGATATGAGAAAGCGAAGTGGCCCGGTGGTTGATGCTAAGGCAGCTGACCCTTTCGCCGTTCTTACAGAAAAACGTCGATCTGAATATGCAGCAGAGTCAGCCTCACTGATCAAGCCCCAGAGCAAGAAGTTGCAGCTGATTCCAGCGTGTGAGACGTCATTCTGGACTGGTGGAACAATATTGCCAAAGTACAAGGCCATTGGGAGAGTATCTTCAAGTTTCCTTTCGCCCGGATTCCGGACAGCTAAATATCATCCCTACGATGCAGAGGATGAGATACAAGATCCAGATAAGACGAGAAAGTATGAAGAGCGATATCAGAGGTTGAACAACAATTTTGAAAGCTTAGTCGCCCAGCGACATTGTCAGGAACTTGTCTGGCTGTGGAAGCCTTGGGCAGAAGACCTCTTGTCGGTTCTCAAGATACAGGACACCGATGTGCTATACTTTTTCATGATGGCACACTTTGATCCTGAGCGTCACATTGAAGTCGGCGATATTCCAAAATTGAGGGAGGAGCAATCCAACAAATGCCGATCATGTGGACTTGGCCCTGACAGTAGGCGGACGCACTTCGAAGAAACCTTCAGCAGTCTCCCAAAACCTGACGACGAAACCCTTGCGCTTGCTGGAATCGCGGCATATGCCTTCCATGAAGCTACCGACGTGAGTCTCTGGCATATAGCACTTGGTGGGCTCATACAGCCACGGTATGAAGACCCCAGTGCGAAGCGCAACAAGGATCTCGAACTTTGTGTCATTTGCTTCCGCCATCAATGTCCCGATCATGGTTCATATGAAGAGCCTGCTGAAGATGTTTCCGGAGCTAAGGACCCCGACGAGGACATCGCCGCCTTTATCAGTGACACCGCTTTCATCAATGATGAGGAGCGAGATCACAACATCCGGAAATTCATTTCGCTTCCAATGCGAAATAAGACTGGGTGTGAATCGCATACATGTGGGATTTTCTGCGTCGACCCTTCGCGAACTCTGAGGCAAATCCTCGGTAGGCAAGCGGACGGCACAGTCGACGGAGACTTCCGTCCAGTTACACAGCGCCGCCATATTCTTGAGGACGGTGAGCTCTGCGGGTCATCATGCTTCTGGGACACCACTCAAAGACGCAATATCAAGATTACAGAGGTCAAATTTCAACCATTTCAATCACACTCGCAGAAAGTGGTGGTTGATAAGGCATTGCAATTCTACCTCAACAACAAGCGAGGGCCGTGCCTCATTGCGCAGATTGTTAAAGATGTCAGTTGCATGAGGATTTTTGAGTACTTTATTTGGCGTATAGCAAGCAAAGCTCACCCGAGTGTGGATGGGGAGATCACGTCTGACAGTAGTACCGCTCAGCGGATCAACCATGCACGAAAGAAGAAGAAGCCGCCGCCGCCAAACATTGACACCTCCTGGAGTGCCGAACTAGATGATCGAAAAGCATTCGTACCTTGCTCGCACGAGGGGCCTTGTTACAACAATCCGGCCTGCTCCTGTTCCAAAAGCAAAGTACATTGTGAACGAATGTGTGGCTGTGACGAGTCATGCAAGCGACGCTTCCGAGGCTGTACGTGTACTATGCGAGGAAACAAAAACTGCTTCAAAGATAGCCGGTGTGACTGCTGGTCCCACAATCGCGAATGTGATCCGTTCCTCTGCGGCAAATGCGGCGTCCTCGAAGTCCTGGATTCCAACAACAAGTACAACGAGGAGATCAGGAAGGGACGATGCAGAAATAATCGCATCCAACTCGGTCTGCTTGCGCCTACTACCAAAGCGCCAAGTCAGGTCCAAGGCTATGGCCTCTACAGCAAGGCGGCCATCCCTGCTGGGGAGTTTATTGGGGAATATACTGGCGAAATCATCAACATCCGCGAAGGAGACAGAAGAGGGGCAATGTACTCGGTGCTGAAGCAAGAATATCTTTTCAAAATAAATGTCACCCAGGAGATCGACGCTTCGAACTATGGAAACAAGATGAGGTTCATGAACAACTCGCAGCTTGACGAATATATCAATGTTGAGCCGAAGAAGCTCTGGTGTAGTGGAGTGGTGCGGCTGGGCCTCTTTGCGAGGCGCTTCATCGAACCTGGTGAGGAACTCCTCTACAACTACAATTATCCGGAATCTGTCAGCAAGCATTTCTGGGAACCGGGCGAGAAACCAGCAAATGCCAGGAGAGCAATCCCAATGGCATCAGAGCGCATTGCGAGGACGACCGAAGCCAATGCAATCACAGCGGAACAATCCAATCACCCCATCAGAGAGGAGAGTAGTCAATCACCACTATTGTCTCGCCATGCCAAACGCAAACGGCCTCCCGAGGACTCCCCCAGCGTGTCCAGCCACAGGAATCTGACTCAATCGAGTGGTGAAGGCAGTTCGACCGAAGAAACACTGGAAGTACCAGAAATTTCAGAGACAGATGATTCGGAGTACTCCGAGACGAGTGGTCAGGTGTCTGAGGGTGGTGAAGAAGCCGATGAGCTCTCTGGTGATGAATCCGAGCTCGACCCCATTCAACTTCTACCTACGAGAAGGAGGGGTTCGCGCCCGTCACTGCTGACTGGCCGGGCAACCTCGAGGGCCAGTAGTCTAAGGCATAGTACAGATGGTGGGAGTACTAGGTCTCGATCGCAGCAGGGTAGCAAACCTTCGGCAACGTCAAGCGGGCGACGGGGAGCTGCAGGAGGAAGTGTCCAGATGGTCAAGCGCAGGCGCAAAATCGGGCCTAACGACAGAAGATTAGGTGGGAGGTCGCAGCAACTTGCATGGCAGACAAGAAGAGCAAGGGAAAATCAAGAACGAGGTAACACGGCCGCCACCAACGATGTTTGAGAAGGTGTGCGTAAGCTCTCCGTCTACACTTTGAAGATGCGAAGATGGTAAATACACAGCGAACACTTGGTCTATGTATCGTTGACGGGCACGGTTGACAGGAGATCGGTTCCCTGATCGCCATGACGATGAACTTGGACTTGGACTCACTAGACGTCTCTCGCCAAGATCAACAAGCCATGCCCAAAGTTAACAGATATGAGGATAAGTACGAGCAGGGGGCGGGACGCAGGTACTCCGGCCATATCTTCCTATGTACCAGTAGAACACCCACCGACTACCTAAGTCTCCACAGTAGGTACCTGTCCCTACAGGGCCTTAGCTAATGAATAATGCCAGCCCATACTCATCCTGGTCCTCGTCCTCGTCCTCGTCCGCGTCCATACACGTCGAGGTGTCCTCGTAGGAGCTTCTTTGGCGGGAGGCGGCGCAGCGACTCGTTCTATGACATCAGCAAGATTGAGTTTGTATGGGGACTTTCTGGGTGGCTCCAAGTAAGTACTAAGTTACTACAACGGCGCTCGATGACGTGAGCGGCTTGTTGCTTCGACGACGAGCTTCAAGCCGCTTTGGGACAATGCCACCAGCCTGTCTGCATCGTGAGCAGTTATTAAGCCCGCCCATCCGGTCTTCTGCAGAGTATCATTTTTCCTCAGGTACGAGCACACATACAAAACACCTGAAGACCTGAAGAGGACGTGTACTACCTCACATCATACCACGTCAAATCACACAGCTTCATCAGCTTCAAGCTTCCCTAGCCCGGCTCATCTTTTGTACCTGCGCCCGTTCGCGACCGATCCAACTCTTCTCTGCAACACCACATTACCCGCCTGGTAAGTCCAGCTTCCCTTTGCTTGTCTTGCACTTCTCTGCTCGAATGTTCGCGAGTGTTGTTGTGAGGCAGTCTGGACCTTGCCAATGACGTTGTTGGAGGCCAGCATCCACGCTGGTCTGAGACACCATTGACAGCGTCGGGATGACAGCTCAATATTGTGCGCATGGCACGTACTAGCGAGGATGTGCATAATTATTGCAGGCGGCGCACGAGCAACGAAGCACATGCTCGGCTCCTCGTATCTGTACTAGCAGCTGGACATATGCAATGATAGTGCATGGGCATCGGCCGGGGGCTCACTAGGCTGTGGCTGGGGGCGTCTCTGAAGAGCCCGGGCTCACTAGGCTGGGCCGGGGCCCTTGACATCAGGGGGAAACTCAATCCAGCTTAGGCTTCCCTGGGCCAGCTCTCCAAGCGATGATCCAGCTGCTCACCTGCTCTACGCTGCCCTGTGCTTGGTCTCCCGAACCCATCCGGGACGTCATCAATCCACACCAGCAACCGCTTCGTACTTCACCTTCACCTCATCTTCATCCTCAATCCGTCTCACACAGCTTGGTCGCCTGCCTTTCCAAGTCCATTTCCCCTGCATATCTTTCTATCCTACCTCTCAACACTGCTACTGCTGCTGCTGCTGCTGCTGCTGCTGCAACTCGGATCGCAACCTCTCAAGCCTTCACGCTGACACTGTCCTGCGCACTCAGACTTCCTCGGGCCCCTCCACCTGAAACTGCGCCTCTCTGCTCACATTCCCCAGAGTCCGCGTACGAACCCCGCCTCCTCTCACCACATCCCTTACCGCACCGCTACAACCTCTCACGATGCATCGCACGTACTCTATGCGCCAGTCGCGCGCTCCCACAGCTTCTCAGATTGAGAATCCCCCGCCGCCGCCATCTTCCACGAAGAGTGGCCGCCTCTTCGGTAAATCAAACTTTGGTACGTCAGGCCACGTCTTGTCGCATCATCCGTCTAACAACCGCACCCCTAGGCCATGCTTTTAGGAAAGGAACTGCTGGTGCCTTTGGCCCAGATCTCGCCAAGAAGCTCTCGCAGCTCGTCAAGATGGAGAAGAACGTCATGCGGAGCATGGAGCTTGTAGGAAGAGAGCGGATGGAAGTTGCTGTAGGTTTCGCGAAATAGGATTCATGCACCCACAACGACCATGCTAACGGTTTGCTCAGCAACAACTTTCCCTATGGGGTGAAGGTTGCGACGAGGATGTCAGCGATGTCACTGACAAGCTCGGCGTCCTCATCTACGAGATTGGCGAACTCGAAGATCAGTTCGTCGATCGATATGACCAATACCGCGTCACCATCAAGTCTATTCGCAACATCGAGGCTTCCGTCCAGCCATCCCGAGACCGCAAACAGAAGATCACGGATCAAATCGCTCAGCTCAAGTACAAGGAGCCCAATAGCCCCCGGATCGTGGTGCTAGAACAAGAACTTGTCCGCGCCGAAGCCGAGTCACTCGTTGCCGAGGCCCAACTTTCCAACATCACCCGCGAGAAACTCAAGGCTGCATTCACTTACCAGTTTGATGCCATCCGTGAACACTGTGAAAAGGTGGCCATCATCGCTGGATATGGAAAACACCTGCTTGAGCTGGTTGACGACACCCCCGTCACTCCCGGCGAGACCCGTCAAGCATATGATGGGTACGAGGCTTCCAAGGCCATTATCCAGGACTGCGAGGACGCCTTGACCAACTGGGTAACATCACGAGCTCAAGTCAAGCCCAAGCTTTCCACCCGCACCCGTTCCCTTAGCCAGAGAAGAAAGAACTCGGCCAAGCGCGAAGGTGGCGTCGACCTGGCCAGTCAAGATCAGCCTATGAAGGACGATCGCGATAGCTGGGTCCCTGCTGGTCAGCATGGCGAGTATGAGCAAGAAGAAGAGGACGAGGAGGAAGAAGAGGAAGGCGAGGACGAGCACCATGCCGGCACAAACGGTGAGTTCCCTAAAAGCCGAGAACACTAAAGCATGGCGGATGTGCTAACGTAATTACTAGGTCAACATCAGGTCCCAGCATGAACGAACAAGACACCGATTGGCCACCCTTTTCCGCAAGAAATTCCGCCGGTAGATTGACGGTTGACGCAGCATGGACGAATGCCGGTAAGAAGTTGAGATAGTCGATGAGGCAAATACCCAGGTGAATATTGGATGGCGCAGGCAGGTGTGTATTTGTCGTTGCGCAATTGGTAATCGAGACATGTAACATTTGAGACCAAGCTTGGGAACGGGAGTGATGTTTGGTGAAGCGTCAAATTTCACGTGGACTTCGTACGTGGTGTTTTCTCTTCTCCTTTCCAGCCAAGTCAGCGATTCCAAGAACCAAGACCAGCGTTTAAGAGTTGATTTGTGTCATGGAGAAAAGGGGAAGAGATATCAACAGGATGCGCGCAACTCAACGAAGACGAGTTCGGATTTTGTTACTGCAGTCAGTCGATAGCCTTAATGAAATAATGGAGGCAGTGTGTCGAATTTGCGTGGCCTTGTGGCTGAATGATTTCTTGGGATGCCCTCGTGAACCTTAGCTTGTAGGACCGAGTATGCCGCATCGAGAACTTGGCCTGGAGCTGACGAAGAAGTACGTGTGTGTATGTGTGTCTACACACATGTCTGTCTATGCCTGCGTATCTATGAATAACGCGTTACGAGTACAACGACGTCGCTCCACGTATGTCGGGCGGTCGCAGTCGGTGGTCGTCTTCGTTTCCTCGTTGCGTATTGCGTGCGGTCGCACGCCCCTATGAAGTAGTGTGTGTCCCTGGTTTTACCTCGAGGAGAGAACACTCACCGACGCAAAGCTCCTCCTGAATACCGCGGTACTACCGACCTACATCAAGGTACCTCGTACTTTTATGGCCGGGAGGGGTATTGGTCGTTTCTCCACAAAGTGCCAACTCGTACGTCGCACGCCCGCATACCTGAGCCCCTTGAGGTATGAGTACTCGCATGAAGGAGCATGGAGAGAGTCGAGTGTTTGGGATCAGGATTAGGGCGCGAAATGATGAGATGATCAGGCACACATACAAGCATCATCATATACTACGGTATGTGTGAGTGTGACATTATTCCACGCGGTGCCTGGGACGCCGCTTATTAAAGGCTGCATCTATTAATAGAGTCTACACGCTGCACCCAGCCATGCCATGCCATTGCACCCTGCGTACTCCGTACAGGAGTGTGGGTATGCCGTATATTAAGGTACAACACCTATTGTAGTAGTCTGGATTAGTACAATATTACCCATGCTGCAGATCTGGTAAGATTTCTTTCCGCCTTCTGTTTACGGTATATTGTAGCGCCAGCTCGGGCACCGTGGAGTCTGAGATACCTGGGTAGCGATCGGACATGGCACGACTCGCCCAAGCCACATGATTGACGAAATCAAAAGATGGATTACGAGCCAACATGTCTGTTTCACCAACAAGGCTGACCAGGTCACAAGAAATGGTGATCCTAGAAGGTCAAAGGCTGTTAGGGTTCTCCGTTACAAGAGGCGTCATCTGAGGACACCATCTGAAGACGAACGGAGACAAGGTGGTTTGCGTATACACCTAAGAAAGGTCATCCTCCAATTCCTCTTCTTGGTCCTAGGCACACAACTGGATCTGAGATGTGGCGAACCGATTCGAATCAGGATTCAGGATCCAAGGATCTACTGTAGTCATTTGGGGGGGGGAGGGGGGGGGACGGGTCCTGTGGGAGCGGCAAATGCAGCTGGAAAGAGAAACCGAGTGTGGGTTGAAGTGAAGATCAGCCACAACGAATTCGTACCGTCGATATTGTACTCGTAGTACTCGGTGTGGGAACCCTAGAGTGCAGACCAAGGTATTGTACTGTACACACTGCATTCCGTAAGAGTTTGAGCTGGCTATCAAGATACGAATGGCCTACCTGATACTCCGTACCTAGCGCGTGGAAACAAGAGAAAGCATACGAATCTGTGTGTAAGGAAAAACGACGAGGACGAGGCCACTAGCTGAGCCACTTTCTACTACGGGACTCTTGACTGTGCCACCTGCTCCATACGACGACGCCCAAACGGGGATACAATTCTCGGACTGTGTTGAGTGTGGTCTGCCAGGTACAGTACCTGGTCTCGTCGTTGATACAAATACTGAGCCAGAGCAACCCGTACAGAGGTTCTAACTAGATCCAAGGCAGATACAGAGTACTTCCCGTTGATCGGTATCACATCTTTCGCTGTTCTACCACTCTGTCCCTGCAGAGTCCTTCGCACAGAGTCTTTCGGTTTCAGCATCTCCGCCCTCCTGACAAACGCCTCATTGAAACCTTCGTTCAGCCCATCCTCACTCCACGCACAAACCTCGCCTCGACGAAGAAACCGTCCTGTGTGCTTCGCCTACAGCTGCGGCTACTTATCACCTAAAACGCTATTTAGCACCTTAATTGAGGCCTAGTTCAGTGAGGCTGCGGCTCAGGTGGCTTCGCCGACTTAATCCCAAACGGCGGCGGACCCTTTTGAGTGCTTACGGCCCCCCAAGTTCAGCTTTCGGACTCCAGAAAAGCCACCCATCATTTGTGATTACTTGTGTTGGTGTACTTATTATTCTCGTCGAGTCTGCAATTCCCATCTCAGCAGTTCCTTTACGAGATCCTACCACGAATCACTCTAGCCAGCTTTCCCATCATTGTTCCTTTCCTTCGACGTCGTCCTGCGACCTTCACCGACCAGCCTTGGGTTGAATCTCTTCCCCGCACGAACCCAAGAGTCCAACCTGCAAGTCCAAACAGCCAGCGCAGCAGTGATCTGGACTGGAAGATCAGCGGATTGTTCATAAACTGAGACAGAGGACTGGGCATTTGGCAAAGGCCATCTTCACATCACCATCATGGTCTCAGCAGGTCGTGTGTGCTGTATCACAGCTCCATTCCTCCTCTCTATTGGCGTCCTGGTGTGCCTGGTACTGGTATTCCTCGCTGGTACGCATGAGCGAAACGACACGCTTGACGACCTATACTTTCTCAAGGTGAGCTCTTTTATACCCGTCCGCCATTTACTGTACCTGTTTCCTTCACAGAAGCACCATGAAGCTAACATGTGTTTCGTTTCGTGACAGATCGACCTGCGGAACATAACCCTCACATCCTCGGCCAACCTCTTGGGCGATGACACCTCCACGAACACGACCGTCCTAGGAGGCGCCCTTCAAGCTGCCAAACAGTCCCTGGGCCTAAAAGACTATTACACCATCTACCTGCGGAATTACTGTAGTTGGAACGGCGACGATACCTACGCCAACTGCACCGACCCAAAAGCATACTTCTGGTTCAACCCGATCAAAGTCTGGGGGTTGAACGACACGGGCATCGACGTCGACGATTACCTCCCCAAGTCCTTCCGCCATGGGTTGGACGTGTACCACGACGCCAGCAAGGCCATCTTCTACCTGTACGTCTTTGCGCTCTCCGCCGCATGCGTCACGTTGTTGGTCGGCCTCTCTGCCATCTTTTCCCGGTGGGGTTCGTTCTTCACGACCTTTTGCGCCGCCGCCATGGCCATCATGATTCTCGGCGCCAGCATCACAACCACGGTGGTGTACTATGTCGTCAAGGGGGCCCTCAACGAGACGCTAAAGAAGGATTACGGGATCAAATCGACCGTCGGCACGAAGGTGATGAGCGTGACGTACATCGGGACGGCGTTGGCACTGGGCGCGGGATTCTTCTGGCTCCTCAGCGTCTGCTGTTGCAGTGGACGGAGTCCGTACAACCCTGGCAGCCGCGAGGCAAGACGCACCAGGGCCGAAAAGACACCCTACACGTACGAGCGTGTCGGTAGTCCGTACTTGGGTCCCAGCGATCAGCAGAGTGTGCCGTTGAACACGTTCTCATCGGCACCACCCAGCTTTGCACCACAGCCTCAGCATGGTACAGCGTATGAGCCGTTCAGGCCACAGCATGTGTGAGGAGGGGTGTTTTGTTTTGTTTTGTTTTGTTTGTATGATCTGTCTTGAGAAAGCTAGCAAGCGAGATAGGACAAGGTTTTTGATTTTTGATTTTTGATTTTTGATTTTTGTTCTTTAAAGAAACCGAAAATCGGGTTTTGCATCTTCAGGTTCATTGGTGACGAGCTTTACTATCCTTGCGTGCCTAGGTATCCAGGTGGAATACCTACATAGGTACCTAGGTACTGGTTTGTCTCGGTGATGGTGATGGTGATGGTGATGGTGATGTTGGGATAGGCGTTAGATGAAAGGTACCTACCTTACCTACCAAGGTAGATAGATATACCTTTGGTTTTTTTTTGGGTTTCTCCATGAGCGCGCATTGCATGCATGAACGGGTTTACTTGTCTTTCGAGAGAGAAGGAAGTGAAGGAAGGGCAAATGGGATACGCCACACATGAAACAACGACAGGATTGGCTTTGCGACCAACGGTTCAAAGAAGCACAGGCAGACAATGGCAATGTTTAATGGAAATGATCTATATATTGACGATGATCGATGATCCCACCCCCCCCCTCCCCATAAATTGGACTTTTTGGAGTTTTCGTTCATTGAGGGAAGTGAGTGTGTGCGTGAGTGAGTGAGTGAGTGAGTGAGCGGTCGAGGGTAATTTTGTGACGTTGGTTACGTGACTTGACTTGGACTTGGACTTTGTTGATCGCTGCTCACTTTCTTGCGTATTTGGTCCGATCGTGTGTGCCTAGGTATGTAGGTGAGGTGGTTGGTGATACATGGTAAGTACCTACCCGTGTATGCCCCCCCGGGGGGGGGGGTGGGGGGGGAAGAGGCCTATACGTAGCAGACATTTTCACGGTGGGTGGGTATGAGGGGGTTGTGCGAATGAGGGACGGTACGAGGACAGATATGCGAAGAAGGTATGAGGGCACGAGTGTACCTGGTAGGTAGGTATGTATGTATGTATGCCTGTGGGTTTGATGATGATCCGTCGTGAAATCGTTTGAGTGTGTGTTTCTCCATAGTACGCTCGCCGCCCGTTACAAGACTTAAAAGTGTTATACTGTAAAACTAACTACTACCCCCCACCTTTGGTTTTCACGACCAAAACCTCTCCTCGGCGATTTTGAAACACCTGAGGGCATTCTCGTTGAACTCGTCGGGACTCTCGAAATTGCACGTGTGCGCGCCCTTGGTGACGACCCACTCGGCACCGTCGACCAGGTCGCACAGCTCCCTGGATTGGCAGTGGGGGATCAAGCAGTCCCTCTCGCCCACCAGGACGAAGACGCTCATGGGATTGGCATTCGACGACGACGGGGGATTCCCTGCTTCTTTCTCTGTAGTTGTCGTTGCTCCTGCAGCTCCTGCAGTAGCTCCTCCTCCTCCCCCTCGTCCTCGTCCAAGTCTACCCACGACGGCTCGACTGTCAAACTTGGTGATGACGTTCAACTGGGCCAAATAAGCGGCGAGGCCCATGTCGCGGTCCGCGTCGGCCGTGACCTCGTCCATGGCCCTCACCAGGTCCTGCTGCGTCGGGTCGGCGAACCACTCGGGGGTGAAACACCAGAGCAGGACCTCGCGGCTCGCGTCGGCCACGGACATGCGGGTCGCCATGTCGCGCCACAGCGAGAACATGCGCGTGCAGAACGGGCCAGGGGCCGCGTACGTGCACGTCAGCGTGAGCGAGATGAGTTCGTCCTTTCTCACGAGGTTGGCCTCGTCCCGATCCAGGCCGGCACCTGCCCCTGCCCCTGCCCCCGCCCCTCCTCCTTCAACAACGTCGCCCGTACGAGTGGTCGCAGAGCCGTCGGCCGGCAGGCGGGCGTACTTGAGGGCGTAGGCCTGCGCGATCATGCCGCCCATCGAGATGCCCATGACGTGGTACCGCGGGAGGTCGAGGTGCTTGACGAGGGCGCGCAGGTCGGACGCCATGTCCGCGGCCGTCCACTGGACGTCGTCGTGCGCGGTCGACGCCGGCCGCGAGGAACCCCCGACCCCACGGTTGTCGAACGTCAGCACCGAGTAGCCTGCGTTGATGAAGGCCGTGATCTGCGCCTCCCATGTCACTTCTGTGTCGCCGAGCCCGCCGATCAGGATCACCCAGATGCCCAGCTCCTCGGGCGGGGTGGTGGCCGTGCTGTAGTTCGACCCCGGCCCGTACTTGTGTATGGTGTAGTTGATGCTTATGGTCGGGGAGACTTTGAATATCTGCATCGTCGCTGTGTATATAGGTAGGTCCCTTGGTAGGTCCCTCTCTCCGCACTCGATTTCGTGAAAGGGAAGGTAAATGTTGTCGCGCAAAACAAACAACAATGAAGGAAAGAAGTGTGGTTGACAATGGTGCCGAGCAGATGACTGCTTTCCAGTTTGTGTTTGCTCCCTTTCCTCTCAGTACTGAAGATAACGAGGATTGTCCTTGGACGTAAGATGATGATATATGTCAAGGAGATAAATATCGCGGCTGCCCCCCCACCCTGTAGTCCGTGCTTTAAGCTTGATTCTGGCGTGGTACAGAGCGACGACAGATCTGGATATACTACTACCTAGGCGCCTACTACTCTGTGGTCGTGTCACCTTTTCGTGAGCTTGCTGGAGACGAGCTCTGAGTTGAAGCCCGTTATCGCAAGAATTAATAAGACACGGATAGATACGGGCGTCTTGGTACGAGGTACATAAGTAGGTTTATTTATTAGTAGACAGGTCCAGACCACGGCCGTCGACTAAACCACATTGAGAACCTCTCAGCCTCGCACAGCCTCGTCAGAGCAAAAGTTCAGATAGTTGCGAAGAACAGCTGGTTTCCGACAAGGTTAGGGAGTCCGTACACACTGGAAAAACGGAACGTGCTGCATGTTTTTGTTTGCCAAGGTTGAACTTATCTCGTTCAATTCCCATAACTCCCAGAATCTCACTTTCTTTTTCTAAATGCAAAAGAGAATCTAAATCCCTCTTCTAACTCCTGACTGAGTAAGTAGTGTCTTTGGCTGAAATTGAACCCTCTCTTCCAACGCCTAGCGCTCGACCGACCATCCAAGAAAGAGATATTCGTCATAAAAACCTACCATGCCAGGTGAAATTAGAATATGCAAGGCCTTTCCCGCATCTGCCCCTGCCTTGGTCGTACACTGTAAAAAAGATAATATCTCATAGACTCATGTGGCTTTCCCCCTTCATGTCGTCACCACCACGGCCATCACCAGTCCCAAACCCCAAGTCATCCTCAGTGTTGCTGCTCCTTCTCTTCATCAAAATTCAGATGGTCGACATTACCCTCGTCATGCCCTTCTCCAGCCCAAGTGTGACTCCAGTACGTGATGGCGTAGCTGGGCCAGTGATCCGTGGCCAAGAGCAATTTACATCGTTCGGCTGAAAAGGATCGTCTCGTCGCCCAGCAGACGTCCCGCACGGCCTCGCCATCTCGCTGCCACGAGTATGGAAAGATGTATTGGAAGGGAAGGACTTCGACCGAGTGGCCCAGACCCCTTCGGGGGGTGAACTGTTTCGCCGTCGGGTTCTTGGACACCCATTTGTCCATATTCTCCCCTCGGAACTTGCCGTCCTCGGCCAGGTACTCGTTGATCTTGTTGAAGAGCAGCGCGGGCCCAGTCGTGTCTTCTGGCCCCTCATCACTTGTGCCCTCGTGCATGGTCCTCATGACGTGCTCGAGAACAATGAGAAAGAAAGGGTGGCCCGGTGTCGAAGCCATCCATGCGTTCGGAATCGAGTTTGCTTCTTCCGTGTCCACACCCATTCTTCCAAAGAAGGCCTTTCGGCCGTTCTTCTGGAGGTTGTACGTCGACATCGGTCTGGGTTTCGCATGGGACACTGTCGATACGTTGTACCTCTTGAACAGCTCATCTGACGGCCGGAGGCATTCGACGTCGAGATCTGCATAAACACTGATGGTTTAAACGCTGTCAGCTTTTTTGTTTTCGTGGGGCCTTGACACGCTTTGCGTGGCTGAAATGAACGGAGCCGTTATCAGGCTTGCTTTGCTTACCCTCCAAACATGTACATGTACAAATTGCGCGCCAGGTCTGCTTTGTATATGACGCCAGGGAGCGCCTGGTATGTCGATAGTAGCCACGGGAAATGCGTTGCCACCAGCTTTTCATTATCCTCGTCCGTCCACAAGATATACTCCCAGTCTGGGTGTTGTTGCCGGCATGACGTGCTCCACCGCTGGAATTTGGCCGGCAGCTCGTTCGACGACCAGCTCTGGTGGAATAGCTTGGGCACCGTCTGGAGGTCTTTCGAGATGGGCCGCTCCATCAACTTGGCCGGAGTGAGGTATTTGGCCTTGGCCCCGGACGACGTTCGTCGTATAGGGTCAGGTCCATAACTCTGTCCTGTCAGGGCTAGGATAGCCAGCGTACCGAGGACTATGCATATGGCCCATCGTAGTGGTTTCCGCGACCTGGAGTACTGATGGAGAGGGTTTATATTGCGAGGTGCAGCCCCCGCTTCCATGATTGAAGGATAGCGTATACAACGACACTAAATGCAGAGTGTAGAAATACAGTAGAGCAAGAAACGAAGGAAGAGCTCGACGCGGACAAGGCGACAGCAAAGAAGGAATGAAAGCCGGAAAAAGAGAGGACGAGAACGTTCGAGGAATGTCTCTGGAATGCAGTCCAGCAGCAAGTCTTCTCGATACTGTAGAGGTTGCAACAAGGGGGGGAAGGTAAGGGGAGATTGAGTTTTGTGACCCAGAGCGAAGGGATACCAGTGACGACAAACGCGTGTCTCGTTCGCAGGCCCATGGCCGATAAGAAGCACCCAATGCCTACCTGAGTACGTACGCGGACAAGTACTCCGTACCTAAAGTGGTTCAGACCCGGGAGCAAGCTAGGGAAGGCTGGTTGCTCTGGTGGTGCGCACATGTCTCGATGGTGACTTGGGAAAGTTACAACAGCTCGAGGTGCAATCTCAAATTCAAGGGCGTTTGATGACGCCCACACCAAGATCCGAGATGAAAGATCGAGGCGACGCAATTCGTCAGACGCAGCCACCAGCGCAACCCATGAAACAGCCGGTCCAGGGAGCCAATGCAGGTCCCCGAGTCTTATCCGAGATGGAGGGCTCGCTAGGCTCACTAGGCATCTCTAGGTTCAAATTACCTGCCTAGAGGTCTCCTGTCGCCAGGCGCCCGCAGGCGTCTCCAGGGCTCTCTAGGCTCTCTTAGGCACTCTCAGGCTCCGCCTCTCAGCCGTTTCCCAATTAAAAGAGCTGCTTTTCGGGAACAGGCGGACAGCACCTAAACTGACTCCCATCCCTTTAATGATTGCTCTCGGTACCTGCATTAGTTTTGCTTTTCACTATCGATAGCAGTCCATAGTCTATTAACTAACTAGTACTCGTACCATACGGCGCGTTTTCCTCACAGTCGACGTGTCTCACACACTTTCACATTCCGTCATCGGCAAATTCAAGAACGATTCAGAATCCAGCAAAAATGTGCCAGGTCTGAATCATCAGGGACTGTGAGTTCTCGGTGCTGGGGTATTGCGAAGCTCCTTGACATTATGGTTGAGGCCTCCCTCACTCAGTCTTCAACATCAACGACTTCCACATGGCCAACGGCCGCACCAATTTCCTCGATACCCATTCGTGCTGGCGTGGAGTCTGGATATTGACTCTCAAAGATTGCATTCCCCGCCAACATGTTTTCCATATTCAACCGGGTAGAATAAACCAGATGTTGGGAATTCGCGTTCTCAACCTTCCTCTCATTATCTGCTCCATACCCGATATCACTCCATTTGCTTGTGTTTCCCTGTGGTCGCGACACTCCCACTAGCTGAGGGAAAACCGAGATACATCGGAAGTTATACGCCTTAGTCTCGCAGAGATTAGCTAAGCCCCAGTCCACCGGTTTGTTGAAAGGCACCATGCTCATATAATACAGAACTTTACGAGCGCCTTGCTGTGAGATGGCGTAGCTAGCTGTGCAGACACCTCCTCCTGCTTTGAACACTATTCTTGTTTTATTATCACTCTCGGGGCCTTCCCAATACGACATATCAGGAACCTTGACGTTTTGTCGGTGTTGAGGCGGCTCGACGGTCGGGTCATTGGGTATGACAAAGAATCGACGCCTTCTTTCGGGATAGACCCATGTTCCACAGTGTCCGATCCAAAGAATGTCCCACCCGTCGCCATATGGAGATATGGGAATCTTATCATCGGGGGTCTGTAGCATGACTCTTGATCCGCGGGCAAATTGCACCAATTGTTGCTTAAAAGCGACATCCCAGTCAGCGTCATCCTCGAAGACCAATGCTGTGGCCACTCGCTCGCGGACAATCCTCTGAGCGACGTTCAGATGAGCTCTCCAGCAGCCGATAGCATTAGGGCTTTGCTCCATGGTCTGGCCATCTTTATCAGTTTTGACTTGTCGGTCAATGGCCCACGTACCTACATGTGGCAGTGCCTTCTCCGGTACTTCGTGGCCATCTACTCCATCCATCTGCGTATAGCTGATTTCCGAAAATGCTGCCTGCAAAGCGAATGCATCTCTTTTGTCTGTACGATGTGGAAGCGAAATCATATACACTTGTTGAAATCCCAATGTTTCATTTTGTACCCGATAGATTGATCGGTCCTTGGTGTATGGACTTGCGTTGAACTTCCGTCTGGATGCATCCACATGTCGAGCCAAAGAGTTGGCAGCATCTGGAAAACCCACAGTGCCGGCGTGTGGTGGGCGAAGGCATAGGGCAAGCAAGAGAACTGTGAACAGAAGCACGACGACGATGTACCTGAAGCGCAGTAACACGATGGACATCATGTGTTGCGTCAGGCGTTCCTCCTACTAGAGTACAAACAAGATTGAAGAATCACTCGGCATGAAAGACAGATGCTGAACTCGGATCATGGTATTTCGAGTGGATAAAGATGGTTAAGCTGAAAGAATGCAGTATGAAGACAGCTTCGGCGGATCGATCGGCAGACACAAAGGAGGAAACGGAGGATTCACCCTCGAGAGACCTGGGTACTTGTAGAGGTGGTCCTGTTATTTCTCGAAATAGAACCTTGGACTGGACGATGGCTTACCAGACCACCAAAGCCCTTTGGTGCTCGCCAATCTGATTGCAATGAGCGCGGCCCTTGCATTCATCCTCCCTTGCCGACGCCACACATGTGTCGCCGCCCTGGAAATTCCCAGGTTGCACCAAACAGGTTGGGAGTATTGAGAGGTGGTTGAGGATATGTCACATTGCACAAGCACCGACAGAAATTGGTCCCAGTGTCGAGAGTCTTTGTGGAAGCGTGTTGTCCTTTGCATCAACCCCCCATTCGGTACGATGCGAGCATGATCCGCCCGCATTATTGGTAACTGCGTCGGCAATGTGACACCAATTCAGCCCAGGGCCGACCGCGGCGGGACGCTGAATAAAAGGGTCAAATATATGGATGTATCCCAAATCGAGCGGCGGAGGGTCTTTATTCTTCCTGACCTGGAGCTCAACGTCTTGGTGCTGTGAAGGGTTGTGATATACACAAGCCCAGGGAGCCGTCAGGAGGCTTACCTAATATCCTCCGGAGCCTTGTTTAGCGAGTCTAGAAGCCTGTCAGCCTGTCACTGACGCACTGACTCGCCGAGAGTTATTCTCGTCTCGTAGTTAGAGGCCACCGGTGGAAGGGAGGCGCGCCCAAAGACAGCCCAAAGTTCCTGCATAGGTATGTACCTCAGCGACCTGGAGGCATTGCCCTTCACCGACTGTTCTGAGCATATGGGTCAGCCTGAGGTGGAAACATGCATTTCCTCAGGAGATTGTTTCAACATCGTTGAAAGAGTACCCCATACGACGAAGATCTTCTCGTGTTTACGGGGAGCCCGACAACACCTCAACTGATCTCCCGTCTTGACTGGTACGGAGGACGCACAACACATGGCGTATTAACGCCCAGGGGGCTTCACGCTAGCAACCCAGGCTAAACCGCCTATGGGTAGCACCGTGAATCTGGACTTTCGCCATGGCCCAAGGCATTCCGCAGCATGCGCTTGTCCTTTTCCTCTTCACCTCGACTCCTGTCTCCCTCGTGTCATGCTACCTTGTTTCAGCTCCTGCTCCATTCCTCGACACTTCGTTTGCGCTTTGCCAACATGCAAGACTAGGTTTCGGCATTCAAAGGTTCGCAAAGAACGAATGGCACTGGCTCTCGAGCGCCTCTACTGTCAATGGCTCGTCGATCGCCAATATCATGCTCGTTCCCTTCCCTAAGGAAGTCGTCGTTCACATCAAAAGGCCAGACGACAGAGGCCGGCTAGAACTGTTTCGGCCCCATGTACTCGGTCGTACTCCTTGACTGCCCCAGTGCAGAAGGATCCTTCGTCAGCTCCTTATTTCAGCCAAGCTTACTTGAGTGGCTCACTGACTCGTCCGTATATGGCTTTGTGCTGTCATCTACTCGGTTGTTAGCCTTCTCCGCGTTTTTTTCTCCCGTGGTTCGAGACCTCTTGTTCATTTTTTAATTTGCTGACTTTTGTCCTCCTTCTTCCTATTTATTTTATTACGTTGTCGCCGTTGCTGCTTGTTGCTGCTTGTTGCTTTGTGATCCCTCCCTTGGTTGCTGGACACCACGGTTAATACTCCAGGCTTTCACACCGCCGTCCCTCTGACTGTTCTCCTGAGTAAGAACACTACCGATCACACTTCTACGGACCAAATTGTCCTTCGAACACGACACCGGAATGGATCAGGACAAGAGCCCCAGGCTCCAGGTCAACGATGCCTCTTCGTCGAATGCCTCGAATCCGAACGTGCCTCTCTCTCCGATTGTAGACCCATCCTTCACACCAGTTCCTCTGCGAATGAAGACCCATACCTCGCTGGACTTGGACGATTACTTCTCTGGGCCTCGAGATATGGACCACCATTCCAAGGTGCCCTACTTCCTCCGTTTGCATGGCAGTGTTGTTCCCAAGATGATTCTGCCTCTTGCTTTTGTCGGAGCTTGGGCAACAGCCGTCACTTGCATCAGCAAGTTTGTCCACAACCTGGGCATCAACTCTGTTCTCTTGACAATCACCGGTTTCGTGGTGTCCCTTGCACTGTCGTTCCGATCGACAACCGCATACGAAAGATACATGGAAGGCAGGAAATACTGGGCACAATTGATAGTCACGTCCAGAAACTTGGCTCGGTTGATTTGGATTCACGCCTCTGAACGACACAATGTGAGCGAAGACCAAGGCAAGGCCGACCTCCTGGGCAAATTAACCGCCCTAAACCTCATCAACGCCTTCGCCGTGGCTCTCAAGCATCACCTGCGGTTCGAGCCTTCCGTCGAATACCCCGACCTCCAACCACTAGTTGCACACCTCCACACACTTGCCGGCGAAGTAGACCAGACAAAGCTGCAACCCAAAAAGACAAACTCGTGGAAAACCGCAGGCCAGTACCTGGGCGTGAGTTTCGCAGAGTCGAACCCTCGCAAATTGATCAAACGATCCGGCGAGAATCTCGGTAATTTGCCGCTGGAAATCCTGACGTACCTCTCGTCGTACATGGACTCGATTATGAAAAATGGACAACTGAGTGCACCAATTCACCAAACACACGCCATGAACAACATCACCGCCCTGGCCGAGGTGCTGACCGGCACGGAACGCATCTTGACCACTCCGGTCCCCATCGCTTACTCAATCTCCATCTCCCAAATCACTTGGGTCTACATTCTGGTCCTTCCATTCCAGCTCTACAAGTCGCTGGGCTGGGTGACCATTTTTGGCACCCTACTCGCGGCGTACATCATCTTGGGTCTAGCAACGATCGGCTACGAGATCGAGAACCCCTTTGGCCATGACGTGAACGATCTCCCGCTCGACTCGTACTGCCGCGAACTTGCGGCTGACATTGATGTGTTGACGAGCATGCCGGCCCCAACGGCTGAGAACTTTATCGCCACCGCCGAGAACAAGGTGCTGTTTCCGTTGAGTATGAACAGCTACGATAACTGGAAGTCGCGCTCGCTTGTGGACATCCGAAAGGCGCTACGCTCCAAGGCCACAACTGCGGCCTCGACGCTGACTTTCGAACGTGCAGCGGCTCAGAGCCAAAGTACGAATGAGGCAACTGCTGTTCCTGCGGTTGATCCTAGCAAAGACAGACCTGAGGGTGATGCCTGTTGAGGAGCACAGCATATTCCATTACATCCTTTCACGGTCATCAAGCGACAAATCTGATCATTGGGCTACTCTCCGTTTTTTGGGGAGGGTAGAATGGTCGATCAGGACAGGACATGTGGTTACGCCAAAAATCGAGACCGTAATCTATTTGAGGTAACCTGGCTCCCTAAGTACGGACAAATTGTCACAAAAAGCATAGCGAAGCATATAAAGAAAGTTACAGCATATACAGCACAGCACAGCATCAATCATGTAAATCACAATGCACTTCACTTGGAAAAAGAGTTGTCTCTTCAAGACCGAGGTCACATCGCTCCAATGGAGATTATATGTTCTTTGGCGTAATTTTGTCTCTCTCTCTCTCTCCCTCTCTCTCTCAAGCATCCTTGCTTTTCTCACCCAACTCGCGGGGCATCTCTCCGGCCTCGGCCATCTCGTTCATGACCCTCTCGGCGACCTTCATGGCGTCCACGCCGGCCGGCACGCCGCAGTAGGTTGTGGCATGCAGGATGGCCTCTCTGATCTCGGTCTCGGACAAGCCGTTGCGCCTGGCGCCCCGGACGTGCACGGCCAGCTCGGGGGCGCGATTCAGGGCCATCAGCATGCCGATGTTGAGGAGCGAGCGGTCGCGGCGCGCGAGGCCCGGCCGCGTCCAGGCGTACCCCCAGCACCACTCGGTCACGAGTTCCTGGCCCGGCCGCGAGAACTCGGTGCTGCCGTTCGCGAGCGCCCGGTCGACGTACACGTCGCCCACGACCGCGCGGCGCATGGCCAGCCCAGCGTCGAAGAGGCTTTCGTGGAACGGTCGGAGCGCCGGGTCGGTGGACGAGGTGACCTTGGGTTTTTGTTCCGACATTTTATTTTTTGGGGGGGGGAGGTTCTTTTTGAACAAGTGGCAACTGATAAAGTGTGTGGGGGTTGTGTATGGACTGAAGACGACGGTGTTGATTTTGTGCCTGGCGTCTCGTGTCTGGTGTGCTGGTTACGTCCAGCGAGCTCGGGAGGATCCTATCTGTACGTCTCTCTTATAACTTCTAGATCCACCGAGTTAGTCGTCAAAGAGAGAGTGTGTGTCTCTACAAGGTACGACGAAGGTAGTCCTGGAAGAGATCTTTGGGATGGATGGGTGCACAGAAACGAAAAGAGCAACGCACGTACACACCTGGTTGGGGTAAGATAGGTCAGGTAGAGAGGTAGTTGGGGCGGTCTCAGGACTTTGCAGGTCCAGCTGGTACTGTAGTAGAGGGAGGCAGGGTAGGGTATGTTAGGTATGTGAGAATGGCACAACGATTTCTGCCGGTCCTATGGGCCTTTTATTTATTTCACTTCCCACTGCACGCCCACGCACGCGCAGAGAGTCACCCGCAGCGCTCTACCGGCCCGAGGCAAGACCGGTGGACTGGCCATCTCCTACGAGTACGAATAAACTGTACGGATAGCCACCTGGCATCCCTCGAAATGAAGGAAAAAGAGACCCCTCCATCATCTCCCCCACTGAGGTTCACGCGGTGCCTCCGCATTCGGAGAGAGTGATGGATGGGTGCCCTTTTTACCTCGAGTATCCGTCAGGTAGACACTTCTCCAACTTTTCAATTCGCGTCTCCGATCTGTCGTCGGGTGGCGGTGGACCATTACCCCGAAGTCGCCAACGTCGCCATTATCGTGAGTGAAATTATTGCTGACTGAAAGATAATAGAAATCCGACCGCATCTCGTCGGTACGTCAGTTCTGCGGCTACGCGAGTCCTTAATAAATCACACAGTACAAATTCAGATCCCAAGGCTGAAGCTATGATGTATTCTTCTACACGAACGGACTCTGTCACGTCAGCTTACTAGCCGTGGCCTCGTCGGCATCTTGCTGCCAATCCTCTCGTCCTCCGAGGTATCTGTACACCACTCTGGAATCAAGATCTCGACATCTGGGGTCATTGCTCGCGCCGTCATACGTAGCCAATCCTGCCTCACCCAGCACGTTCTTCGATCCGACTCTCTTCGCCATCTCCAGTGCGAGGTTGTAGTCCTTCCGCATCAGCTGCACCTTAAACCCATTCGTGTAGCCTTTGGACGATGGCGCCTCGGGATAGACGCCGGGCACAGGGCAGAACCGGTCGCTGATGGTGTTCTGCGCCGTCCCCGCCGCGAACACCTTGTGCAGAACACGAGGGTCGAGTCCGGATCGCATGCCCATGTCCATCGCCTCGGAAACGGCAATCGCAATGGTCCCGGAGAGGTAGTTGTTGGAGAGCTTCGCCGCAAGCCCCTTGGACGGTCCACCGCAGGGGATGACGTCCTTGCCCATCATCTTGAGGAGGGTGGTGAGATGAGGCATGTTGGGGTCCGCGCCGTCACAGCCCAGGAAAAATGCTATCGTGCCCTTTTGTGCGCCCACCACGCCGCCGCTCACCGGTGCATCGTAGAACGAAGTTGTGGGGAATTTCTTGTTGATGTACTCCTTCACTGCGAGGCTGCTGGCCGTGTCGATCGTCGAGCAGTCAAGCAGGAGCTTGCCCGCGACGTCGCTGGAGCAGATGGTGCCGTCACCGCCCTCCATATACACCAGCCGCACGTGCTTGCCCTCTGGCAGCATCGTCATAATGATTTCCTACCACCCCCAGCGTGTCAGTCAGTATGTTCACGTCAGCCTGTCCAAGGACCCACGCTGGGATCTTACTGATTTGTCTGCGACTTCCTTTGCACTTGAGCACTTGACTACCCGCTTCGAATACTCGCTGTGTAGTTGGTCGACGCTTGCCTGGTTGATATCGAAGACAAACATTTGGACGTCTTCCGGTAGCTTTGCTGCGAGATGCCCGGCCATGGGAAGACCCATGGCCCCCAGTCCCACGAAACCGAGGCCTGAGATCTTTGATAGATCCATGATTGCTTTGAGCGTTTACTGAAATCTATGTTTCGAGGTAGGCTCGGGGAGGATGAGGTGATCGCTTGACGAAGAAGATCTGGTCACTGTCGAGTAGCCCTTGGTCCCGGTAGAGTCCCAACAGTGCCTTGTGAGGGCAATCAATGGAAATGGCGGGTATATCAAAAGAGACGACAGATACAAGTCTCCCGCGAGAACAAAATCCCGAGATCTCGAATCTCTAAGGATGCAAATTTCCATGTTCCGCATCGTATTCGTGAGGTGCCAATTCACCACACATCACAGCCTCCCAGAGAAGAAATATTGGGGTAACCCCGATGATGCGCTCGAGCATTGCCGCGAGATTCGGAGAACAAAGGCAGGCCTTCGGATTGCGGTGGATTGGCCTGTAGGCACAGAGATACATATGTAGGTACTTCTTGTAGGTAGGGACTAGATTCTGAAGGTCTACCATCAATCTTGTTGTGTGCCCTCAATGGGCTCAAATGAGATGCTGCTTCTTTGTCGAATGGCATGAGGAGGTTGTCGAGTCGGCCTGACATGGCCTTTATCGGGGGCACGAACACGAGTACGAATACGAGAAAATACACGGCCCCGGTCCGGCTTTCCACAATATGATAAGCTGGAATTCAGCTGCAAACCGCGAGCCAAGCGATCTTAACGAGCAATTGCTGACACCTTGGATGAATCCGAAGCATATTACTTACATTCATTTGTTTCAGCTATGGGCTGAAATGGCGTTCCTCAGCTTTCGACGGGCGCCAGTCACACCCAATCTCCGCAAGAACCCAGCAGATCTGTCATCACCGTCGTAGGACTGTGAACACAGACAACATACCGAGCTTTGTTCGCAATTCCCGAGACAGAGCGTTGCATGAGAATTTTCCTCTTGCCCTACAAAGCTGTCGATGATCCTTTACCGTGCACACGAGGTGCTTCACTCCACAACTTGGCGCTGGCCTGCGGAGGGGTGTCTTTGGAGTCTCTCTGATGATGTCCTCTTCAAACACTGACCGCAGGCACAACATAGAACAGAATGTTCCGACGGCATGTCCACCGCGTCAGGGGTGACGTTCTCGTGTCGTCGGAACAGGATCTGAATGACGCTTCGGTGTATCCAGCACGATCTGGCTTACGTCAGACGAGCACCGACTCAACTCAGCCAGTCTGACTACAGTCGACGGATCAGTGTTCCAACTCCTTGCTAACGGTGGTACATTACCATGTTTCACTATTCCCATGCGCCATCGGTTGTCAGCTAGGACAAAAGCTATTCGCTTACCGACTACAAGTCTTGTAGCGACCTGCGAATGGGAGTAAGACAAAGTATTACCTTTTCCAGGTCATCAACTCAATTGTTTGATGCAGCCACCCAGGCTCGATTTCGAAATCATTCACCATATCCGACTGCTGACTCTCGAGTAATGCAGTGGCCACCTCAAGGCTGGAACATTCCGTTGCTCTGGCACTCATTGGATTCAATCGCTTTCGACTCGGGTACGAGTAACACTGTTCTGGTACCCTGCAGGATCAAGTTCTTGCCACTTGTCGTTCTGGAGATGGCAACCGTTGCACAACATCGAACCGCATCAGTTCCATGCCGCCACAGGTAGGGAGTCTTTTCTTTCTTAAAGGTATCCTTTGATCAGTTGCAGTGCGCTACAAGTCAGAACACCAAATTATTGACGCTGGACGTGATCCGTGGGCTATGTATTCGTTTACGCGCCCCATGCAGTGGACACACGATCACCTTGTCAGACTTGTAGCTCTTCTACCGATACCACGTTGCTGCGCTGATCTTGCAAGTCTCCATCCCACTGGTCAGCAGAAGTCTAGCAGCGCGAGGTGGCGTTCTGACGCTACCGTACTACCACAACTATATATGTCCCACTGAACCCACCAAACCTTGCACTGGCCCGATATATGCTCACAGTGTACGGTCATGGACATGCCTTCACTTCTAACATTGCTGCACGCATTTGCGGCAGTCATTGTTTTATATGTCAGTGTAGGATGACGCCCATGGCGCTGCTTATGCTGACGATTCAGTAGTTCACCGGCCTGGCTGTATTTCGGATTTACTTTCACCCACTTGCAAAGTATCCAGGACCTTTATTGGCGAAAGTAACTCAATGGCCGGAAGCAAGATCTGCGTTTCGAGGAAGACGATTTCTAGATTTGCACCTTATGCACGAAAAATATGGTATGCGAACAGTGGTATCATCCCAACAGCGGGATATGAAGCTAATACGTACGCAAGGGGATGTTGTCCGCTTTGCACCCAATAGTCTCTCTTTTCGGACGGTCGGCGCTCTGCAGGACATCTACACGGACCGACGAGCGAATGTGATTAAAACCGGCTGGACCGACGTCAGTCTCCGAATCAGTCCTGGGATCACAACTCAGGTTATTTCGAATCGACAACTCCATGCCGCGCGAAGGAAGTTGTTAAACCACGCGTTTTCGGAAGGAGCTCTAAAAAACCTGGAGCAATACGTCCTGGCCAATATTCGCGAATGGTGTGGCTACATGGCTCAACCCAAGGAAAACAGCGAGAAGCATTCACCGTGGGGCAAGGAGCGTGAGATGGGCCAGTGGTCAACAAATCTGGCCTTTGACGTACTTGGAGACCTCTGTTTTGGCAAAAGCTTCGACGCTATGAAACAAGGCAACAGCTATATTCAGAAACTTATCATGTCCAGCGCGGAATTCACAACAATGGTAAGCGATATATGTCATTCGTCTCAGGCGCATCGTTCTGACAAGGAGACCCAGGTAGCGTATTTGCCAGTTCGAACGTTGATATTGCCTTTTGCGAAGCCGAGCATACTGTCGCGGCTAGGTAACAACACAGTGAAGCAAAAAGTGAGATATCGACAAGATATCGGCGTCATGGTACAGAGGCGATTTTCCTTGGAGAAAGCGAACAGTGAAAAGCTCGATCAAGAGCATCGCAAGGATTTCTTTCACTATCTACTGCACGCAAAGAATCCGGAGACGGGAGAGACTTTCCAACCTGCCGACTTGGTCGGTGAAGCGGCACTTCTGGTTGCCGCAGGTGCAGATACTTCGTCGACTGCCATGTCAGCCTGCTTCTTCTACCTCGTTCGCGACCCGAGAGTGCTGAGAAAGCTGCAAGAAGAAGTCCGCGCCACGTTCAACGACGTCGAAGAGATCAAGTGGGGAGTGAAAGTAACTGGTCTGCCATATCTGCGAGGATGTATCGACGAGGCATTACGCATGTCCCCGCCTGTCCCAGGGCTACTGGAACGTCGAGTCCTGTCCGGCGGCATGCTTGTTGATGGGCACAGTATCCCAGAAGGCACATTGGTCGGAGTTCCCAACTACGCGGTACATCATAACGAGGAGTATTATCCTCGGCCCTTCGAGTTCCTACCAGAGCGGTGGGTCGAGGGATCAGACCCTTCTGTCACTGGCTTCGAAGTGACACCCGAGATGGTGAGCACCGCCAAGTCTGCGTTTCATGCCTTCAGCTCTGGTACGCGAAACTGCGTGGGCAAGAACATGGCCTATATGGAAATGCTAATCACCCTGGCTCGGACGATGTGGTTATTCGACATCAGACTCAAGGAGGGTGATCATTCAGGCGAGGGAGGCCCGGAGCTAGGCCCAGGACGAGAGCGTACTGGAGAATATCAACTGACGGACTGGTTCATCTCAGAACGCCACGGGCCTGTTTTGGAATTCAAGAAGAGAGAGGTATTGTGATGGAGATAGTTGGGTTATTTCAGTCAACAGCTGGGGCCATTTGAGCAAAGTCCATGCCTTTAGATTTTCCTTTTTCAGACAGTTTAATGTTGCAGCAGTGATTTTCAGTTGATTATTATAATTGGTGTATCACGATCATTGTAATTTTACTGCATGGTATTCTTGCTTCCTTGAATAGCTGGCGAGTTTCATCCGGAGCGGAGACGGAGAGGAGAATAAAATTGACTAAAGTCAATCACCAAAAAATTCAACCGCGACATTCATAAATCGATGTCAACGCCTACGCGTATGTTCACCAAGGACCAGATCTGCACAGAGATCCAAGACTGCGACACTCGCCAAACTCTAATGCGTTATGCTAGCAGCCGCTGCAGAAATTGCAATCCGCCTGCAGACCGAGGGATGATAGTGATAGCCGTGCCACGATGACCATGCTTCGCTCGCTTCAATCTGGCTGACTTGAAACGACGGAACTGTGCGCCAACCCTCTCATCTCACGAGAGCGTGTCCATCGATCGCGATGGCCGATGAAAGTGACTATACCGAATCTGAAGCGGCGTTCGTCCCCGAGGCATCCGACAATGAAGCGGCGGCCACGCGAAGCCGACGACGAGCATCTCTCTACGACGTGGTGGCTGGACGTGTCGGTCGCAATGGCTTCTTCACCCGAGAAGAGCAACAGCTATCCAACATGGCTCCCGTTGGGCCCGAGGAACACCTACTGCGGCACGGCAGGGTTCCGGTAAAGGCTCTTCTGGAGGTTCGCGACCCAGGAGCTGATCTCGCAGCAGCCGACCAACTGCCCGACTCCGACATGCTCAAAGCCATCCACACGTACGCTTCGGACTTTTACAGCGCGGCTACGTCGAACAGTGGCGCGTACGACTTTCGATCCCTGGACGAGACGGCGCTCATTGCAACGGGCATACTACTCGAGGAGGCAGTCAAGGAAGCGCTGGGTGAGAATGGGGACATGGTGTTTGTGGAACCGGAAGGTCTGGAGAAGGGACTGGGAGAGACCAAGATGACTCAACACCAGATTCGAGGGAGAGTGAAGCCGCGGACAAAAGGTGAACGGTTGGAATTGTCGGGCGACGAAGATCAGGACCAGGAGTCACGCGCAAAGCGAAGGAGACGTTGATTACCTACCTACATTTCGCAGCACGAGTCATTCTTGCGTTCAGAATCGAGTAGCCCAGGTTCTATACGAGTAGTAGGTCATCTTTCGGTCTGTGTCTCATACTGTACAGTATTTAGTACTCGGCTACTGTAGGGTTCTCCATTGTCCATTCGTGTGCGAGTTACGCAGATGGAAGCTTGAGTAGATGAAGCTTTGGCATGTTGTGCTTGTCACACGTGCAGGATGGGGAATCCCGGAGGTCTGGTGTCTGCAAACTGTGCCGCCTGCAAAGTAAATGGCTAATAGTAATGACGACGGCAAACGACACCATGACCTTGGATCCGCACAACATCCGGATACTGTAATGTAACCCCGCGGGATGAGTGTGATGCGTGTATTTGCGACTATTGAAAAGGTGTATGTAGAGCGTCCTGATGTAACTTGGTGGCGGCGACGACTCAGGACGTTCTATTTCTCGTATCGATCAGTGGATCAGCGTGGCCTTTTCCCCTTTGTGTCCCTTGAGAAATAAGGACAGCAGTAATACGGTAGAGTCAGCTGGCTATTCTGTTTTCGGTACGCTAACTTAGAGGCGACCCGTGGGTGGGAGTGACAGATGCCAGAATCTCTGCAGCATCGTGGCTGACAGGTACTGTATCGTCAAAGGGCTCAGGGAGTTAAGTTAGTTAGAGGTGTTTCTGGGGGCTCACCAGGTGTCACTCTCCAGGCTCCTTTTAGTTAAGTTGCCGGCTAAAATAGGGAGGCTAGGCAGTGATCCCGCGCTGCTTGGTGCGCCTGGGATTACCTACCTAGGTAGTGGGTGGGAAGGTACTTTAGGTACAGACTCTGTCGACTCTGTACTGTATGAACTGCCTGCAAGTTAAACTCACCTCAGGTAGGTCGAAAAACTTGCCTGTTGTCCACCAAGCGAAGTAGGACAAACTATTGTGCTCTGAACTCGGATGATACATACAGTTTACTGTCTACCTGTCTACTTGTAGTACAATCTACACTACTAGCGAGTGGCACCGGCGGCTTTGTCTTTCTGCCCCTCGCCTGTGGTGGCGGGAGGCCCGTGGTTCGTCCAATGCTCGCCTAGTCCAGCCTGCATCTCACGAACGCGAAAAACCCAAACCCACAGGAATCTTCTCTCCCTGGTCTGATTAGCTGGCACCGAGTCGCACCGACGGAGACACTCTCCTCCAGGCGTGGTGAGCCAATTCTCGGCCTGCCAAGCTTCCCAAAGGCTTGAACCCATCGACACAAGCCTTTGTCACGCCCAACTTCTCCGTTCTCCAGCGTCCTGGCTCATCATCACTTGAGCCAAAGCTTGGCCTCTTGCGTTGCTTGTCAATGCGAGTACCCGATATCATTGTTCCAGACGGCTGTACCTGAGAACGACCGTCGCTCTAAGCACCTGTCTCGAATACCTTCTGTCGCTGTCGTCGCCCCTCCTGGAGCTTCGACGACGCTCCCTGCGTACTACATCCGGCAGCGTTTCGCTTCTGTCCACCACCCATCTCCCCCCTTGCGACCTGGCTTGGGCATCGTGCTCCTGCGCGGCCAGGACCCCGACACTGATAGTACGGGTATGTCTGAGCCTGCTACTCTCCCGAGCCCTTGCTGGTCGCACTGGGTCGACTCTCTGTCTGGCCTGGGGTTACGCGCAGGAGGGATTGTCGCAACTGCTGACCAAGCTGACGCTTTTTGTTCTTTCAGCTAGAAGACTTGCAGCCTCTAAGCCACACCACCGACGCAACGCCGCTCTCGAACGTTTCTACCTCGAATCACTGTCTCTCATCTGCCCGCTCGAGCCAGAATCATCAATGTTGTCGTTATGAACCTCTCGGTAGCATTGAATGGCTCAAGTAGTAATGGCGATGCCTCTCGAGTCGCTGCTCACAAACCCCAATCCTGCAGTGCCCCGGTCGCGCTCGATCCTATCGTACTTTTCCAGTTCAATCGGTAAACATGCGCGGAATATGTTCGACCTCACAATCGAACCGGAAGACCCTTTTCGAGTTTACTCGCCCGGTCAGGCCGTAAAAGGGCATGTTCTCTTGACTGTCACAAAGGGCTTCGACATCACTCACCTGGTGATCGCACTACATGGTTATGCAAAAGTTTATAAACACCATGTCCCGCCAGGGGAGCGGCATCCTGCTCCTGAAGGCCTGACAATAGGAAAAGGGACAAGAGGCTTCCAATACCATGGCAATGGGCTGGCGACGCTCTTCCAGAACGAGCAGATCTTATGCGGGAGTGGTTTTCTCAAGAAGCATGTCTACAAGTTTGCGTTCGAGGTGCCGTTTCCCGCAAAGAGTCTGCCTAGTACGATAGATGTTTGTCTCTCTTCCCACGGGTGTCGATCGAGGATTACTGACGCGATGCAGTTTGAGCGAGGAACGATATCATACACACTGACAGCCACAGTCACCCGACCTGTAACCATCAGCCCAACGGTCAGTCGAAGCACTAGAGTCAAGTTTCGGGACGAGATCGACATCGAGCCCTTGGTCACGCCGAAGTCGAGAGTCATAACACTCGAGCCTATTTCGAAGCGAGGCAAAGTCAAGGTAGTAAAACCTCCGTCCTCTACCTCGACCCAAAACATTTCACCAGTCAGCCACCTGACACGGAACAACACGCAAAACAGCACCACCAGTCGAAGTACTAATTCCGTTGGCAACCCACCTCTGAGTCCTGCACCCAGCGAGGACACTGTCCAGACAAATACCACAAGCACCAGCACACAGAGTTTCCAAGTGGCTGACGCCGAGCTGCCATTTCGGAAACATAGTCCCCAAACCAGTGATTCACGGAGCAACGTAACCTCTGCCTCGTCTCAAACCATCACCGCCACCACCGAGCTTCCACGGCATGGTGCCTTGCCTGGGGAGACGATTCCCATTCGTGTCTCGATCAGTCATTCGCGCAATGTGCGAGGAATGGTCATTGCAACCTTGTATCGTCAAGCCCGGGTGGACATGCATCCACCGATTCCTCTGGGAAACAACGAGGGCAAGTCCAAATCCGAGTATGAAGATGTGTATCCCAAATCGCGCACAGGTTTGGGCGGATTATACTTTGCCAACGCGTCGCCCAACAGTGCCTTTCGAAAGGATCTGTCCCAGGCCTCGACTGTAATGGTCGTGAACCCGGCCAACATGACGGCAGATCTGTCCATGTCTCTGAAAATTCCCGATTCCGCCTTTCCCACCATTGCCAATGTCCCAGGAGGCATGATCTCTTTCACATACCATATCGAAGTGGTGGTCGATTTATTCGGCAAACTTGGCGAGACTCGGCTTTGGCCACGCCTGACCACCAGTGATCCAGTTTTCTCCCAGACTGATGAAGTCGGCAATCAACTATCGTCTAATTGGGCGCATGGCATCCTCGACACCACGCCCTTGCGCCGAACCAAAGGAGTTATCACATTTGAGATGTCACTCGTGATTGGTACGCATGACAGCGGCAGGCAGAGGAGACAAAACAAAACGGCTGAAGTTGAGGTTCCAGAAGAAATGTCAGAATGGTATGACCAGGGCGGTCATGATGCATATTACAATGGTGACTACGACGGACAGTATTACGATGAACACGGCCAGCCCTACTATGACGGACATGGCTATGACAACTGTTATGAACAACAGTATTTCCCCGAGTACGCAACAGCTGCCCCAGAGATGATACCTCCACCTCCGTCACACGAGGATACGGATGAGAAGTCACGGCTACGGAGGCAAGAGCAGTTACTGTTACCGAGTGAGCCGCCGTCTAGCGGGGAGTCTTCGGCTACTGCACAGGCATATGCCCCGACGGCGCCCGTGATCTTAGCGGATGAGTTGCCTCGCACCGGCAACTCTCGACAGGATGGGAATATCACTCCTTCCACCTTCAACACGGCAGAATCAGTGACATCGGCGAGATCTGGGGAAACGATACGACCGAGCTCGGCCTCTCCACCTCCGGCGCCCCCTCCAATTGGTACCATCGAGGTTACCGATGACAAGCACGAGCTGGAGCGAAGACGATTGCTCGCCGAAGCAAGCGCGCCGCCGATAGAGGACAGGGGAGTTGCTTCCAGCAGTTCTGCTGCTGCTGCTGCTCCTCCTCCTCCACTCGGGCCCAGCGCACCTACAATTGACGAACAAGACGAATATAATGTACAAACGCTGAATCATGATCATGCTGGGCCGGATCTACCGCAGTATGAGCGGTGAAGGAAGAGGATGTGTTCAGTTGGATATTTTTTGATCTTCCGTGGTTTTTTTCTTGCTATGCGAATCACAGCGATGGCGCCGGGCCGGAGGAAGGAATCTTGCATGTTGTGGTGGTGGTGTATATGTGGATGTACAAAGTCACAAACTGATGCGGAAGTCTCGCATGACTGTCGAGTAGATCGATTCAGTCGAAGATGGTATGAAAGAATAGGTGGAGCGATGTTGGGCGTCCTGATATACATTTATGTATATGTGAAAAGATGAAATCTATCGATACCCTTTGGATGCCTGAGTGATTGATTAACTGATTGATTGATTCTATTTCGTCCGGGAATATTCACGACCAAGACACAGCCTTTTGACCTTGGTGGGCATGATGCGTGTGAACCGCGCATCTGTGTCGTCCGTCCTGCCTGCCTGCCTGCTCGCTCCTTGCGGTTGCGATTTTGGCAAGAGACTTTCCCCCGATCGCCATCGTGGAATACATACAGTACCAGGCAGGTGTGGAGGGGTAGGTTCCTCCAGAATTCGTTTCTCTCGGCGGTACGGATACGCGCGTTGACAGAATAGGTAGGTGAGGCAGTAGGTGATCTGTTGCACGACAAGGTGTTGCACAGGTTGACGAGTGAGTTCATGAGTTCATGAGTTCACGAGTTCACGAGTTCTCTTGCTCTCTTTCACCTTCCCCATCGTCGTGACCTTGCTTATTCTTTCGAACCGGGCAAAGGGCGGAGGAGGACTCGTACCGCGACGCAGGTGTCTCTCGTATACGTGGGGAGGAACCAAAAGGCGAGGGGAGGGGAGGGGTGGATATCTCTATCTCTTGATGGAGAGAAAGTTGCGACGGAACCCAGCCGCGGACATGTCCATTGTTGATCGTGACATCAAAGGGCCTGACGAGGTACGAGTACCAACCTATCCGTACCTCGTAGATGGGGTTAGGTAGGTGGTTTTATCTACGGAGTGTCGTAGATATCCACGATGGAGAGACGACGAGAGTGTGCAGCAGGTGCCGTACTCCGTATACTCCATATGCACTGTATGTACCGTCACGCCCGTCCCGGCCAAGGGGTTACCTACCTCATGCACTCGGTACCTCAGGAGTTACCTTTTGTACTTCTCATCGTCTTCTCTCGAAAATCTTCTTATCGGTACCTCCTCCCTTTTACTCGTAACCGTTCTCCGGCCGTGTCCTTTCGGGAGATTAGGTTTCCGACGGCGGCGTCGTAACATCACATCGTACTTGTAAACAAAGGTCGTCTCGGATGGAGTGTAGTACAAGTAGTTGAGAAGTACCGACGGCGCAGAAGAAAAGGATCAATCAACCGCGAGGAGCGAGCGCTGATTTTTATTTAGTCTTTGACTGTCGTCGGTCCTGCTTGCTTACGTGCTCGATTAGACAGAAAGACAGACATCTCGTTTACCGTGACCTAGCTGCTGCTACCGCCCACGCGCTCGACAGGGGTCTTGACGCCTGCAGCCTGCAGGAGGCGGTGGTGGTGGCGGATGTTTCGCGCGCTTCGGGAAACTTGATCACTCACCATAACAGGGTGATAGACAGTCAGACAGACAGCACCGGTAGCCGTGCCGCGCTCTCTTTTCTTTACATGGGGACTTCTTCATCTTGAACCGTACAAGATTTGAGAGAGAGAGAGAGAGCAACGCCAACTCGGACAGTAGCCGCTGGGCACGTGCTGAGGAACCACGCAGCGATGCGACGCCCGCTGGAAATAGTGGCCCCACTCCTCTCGTCTCGATAACGGAAACGTTCGACCCAGGCCGAAAGTAACCACCACCCACTCCCGACAGCCTCACCTCCCAACTCAAGCTCCTGCATCTAACCAGAGATGTCGGTCTTGGCCGGTGCAAAAGATGAGCGCAGCACGAGGCGGGCGAAGTGACGTCGTCATTGTCGGCAAAGGGGAGTTGGGACACCCGCGTATTATTTGTATTCGTACTTGTACAGGGATTATGCCGTCCTGGTTGTCCCCGATAAGTTAAGCCTTGCAGCCCCGGAACTACCCTTGCGTTTCGATGCTTGGGTGCGGATATCGTCACCAGTACTGGTCGTCACGCCATGTCGTTCAGCGTAACATTGGTCGGGGGTCGTCATCGTCTCTTCATAAAAATCAATATCCGAGGCTCGACTTACCACACGACCTGCTACTCCGTACGGAGTACAGCATGTCGCAATCGCGGGCCAGTATGAGCCAAAGCGCAAAATGAGCCTACGATCCAGTTAGATTCTAAGTTGCAGACTCGCAGTTGCCCGGCGAGGCAAGACTTGAAGAGCCGAACCAGCAGAGTTCACCTCCTTTCCTTTTCCAGAACAAATTTCGTTTGGAACGGGGGTTGACGACAGCTTGCAGTACGCATTCATTGCAACGCTGGGATAGCAGATCCGTCATCTGGGTGTCTTTGAAATGGTGTTACTGGACAATCAGGTTCAGCTAGTTCTCGCTGATCGAGCCGACGTGGCCCAAGGTCAAATGGTGCCAAAGGCACTGATTGGCTGACAGGGTGACGAAAGCTGTCCCTTATCTTCAACCCCCCAAACACTGCAAGCTGTGCGATAGGTGAGATGCCACAACCTTGAGACTTGAGTTGATTGTGCCGATGCTATCCTGTCGAACTGGTGCGAGTCTGTGGCTTGTAACTTCCAAATGAAGCTTTGGCTCGGTGAGTCCGTCTCCATTTCCTGAGCGCCACGGAAGACAAGCTTGCAGTGGCTCTCGGCTGCATACCCTGCAAGTGGTCGCCCTGGCAAGTCAAGCAAGCCAAGCTACAATGAGAAGGATGTGTTGCATTATTGCAGGCAGATAAGCCAAGATGATCACGGAGTCTTTGTGCGGCTTATCTTGCTTGAGTGAACCTTGACTGTCGCCCTGGTGTCATTTATACCTTTGGAGAGCGACCTTTTCTCCCGTGGTCTCTTCCACTTGTAAGTCACTTTGATCATTCGTTTCGTTTCAAAATGGCCACAGAAACAGAAAAGGACGTCCAGGAGCCGAAGGTGCCTGGGCAAGCCGTTGACGCAGATGTCGAAGATGGAGCCACACCGCAAGCCGGTTTGGCTCGTAACCTTCAAGGGCGTCATATGCAGATGATCGCTATCGGTATGTACCTCGTCTCCCATGAGGTGCATCTTTTTTTGACCTGCTGTATTAGGCGGTTCTATCGGTGCTGGTCTCTTCGTCGGTTCTGGTTCTTCCTTGCAATCTGGTGGTCCGGCTGCAGTGGTTCTTGGCTTCATCATTGTAGGCGCCATGTTACTGTGTACCGTTCAAGCGCTCGGTGAACTTGCTGTCCTGTATCCCATCAATGGTGCTTTCTATCAATACGGTGTACGGTTCATTGATCCGGCATGGTGAGTCCAACTTCACGTGTGCCCACTGATTTTTGTCTGACTCTGGTATCAGGGGTTTTGCCATGGGATGGCAATACGCGATCGGTATGTGACTTCATGGGTCCTGGGTACATGGAATGACCGTTACTGACGCCGATAGGCTGGCTCATTACCCTGCCCTTCGAAATTAATGCTGCTGGTCTTACCATTGGTATGTAATTCTGCAAGAAAAGACGTGACCGGATATCTTGACGTCGTTGTTGGGTGCTTGAAGTTCGTCTCCTGACCATTTGTAGATTTTTGGCACCACTATAACATTGGAATCTGGATCGCCGTCTTCATGACTACCCTCATTATCGTGCAATTCTTTGGTGTGAAGGGCTACGGTGAAGGTAAGTGTTTGTTCTCGCGCAAAATGAGCGTTGACTGACAAGAGATGCAGTGGAATTCGTCCTTGGCTTCATCAAGATTATTGCAGTGCTCGGATTTATCATCTTCGGTATCGTCGTCGACTGTGGTGGCGTGTCTACCGATGATCGTGGCTATATCGGCTTCCGGTACTGGAACGGGAAAAATGGCAACCACGCCTTTCGAAATGGTAAGTAGATGGCCCCTTCAAGCCCCATCTGAGTGAAATGAGTTGACCCGATGCAGGCTTCAAGGGCTTCTGTTCCGTTTTCGTCAACGCTGCGTTTGCTTTTGGCGGGACTGAGATGGTCGGTCTTGCCGCCGCTGAAGCCGCCGACCCCAGAAAATCACTCCCAAAGGCTACCAAGCAGGTATTCTGGCGTATTGCGGGCTTCTATGTCATTTCACTTTTGATCGTGGGCCTCATCGTGCCGAACAGTTCGCCAGATCTCCTCAATTCATCCGGAGCCAACACCAAAGCGTCACCTTTCGTCTTGGCGATCCAGTATGCTGGCGTCAAAGGGCTTCCCTCGGTGTTCAACGCCGTCATCACAATCTCGGTCATGTCTGTCGCGAACTCGTGCACATACGGTTCGACTCGCACTATGCAAGCTCTTGCCCAGTACGGAATGGCTCCTAAATTCTTGGCGTATATTGACAAGAAGGGGCGTCCCATTTGGCCCGTCGTCATACAGATGTTGTTTGGCCTCTTAGCTTTCATTGAAGAGGGTACGTCTGGAGCGACCGTTCTCAATTGGCTTCTGGCTTTGACAGGTCTATCGTCCTTCTTTGTGTGGGGGTCGATCTGTCTCAGCCATATCCGATTCCGAACAGCTTGGAAAGCAGCTGGACACACTCTGGATGAACTGGCCTTCAGGTCTCAACTCGGTGTGTATGGTTCGTGGGTGGGCTTGTTTCTCGCCTGCATCAGTCTTGTGGCAACCTTTTACATCTCGCTCTTTCCAATCGGAGGTAACCCAGATGCCGAGGCTTTCTTTGAGAGCTACTTAGCCGCACCGATTGCCATTGCCTTGTTCGTCTTTTGGAAGGTCTGGACCAGAGATTGGAGCTTTGGAGTCAAGATTAAAGACATGGACCTGGACACTGGTAGGCGAGACTTTTTAGATCTCCCACAACCAGAACCAGAGCCTGAAGGGAGACGAGCTAGCCTGCGTAGACTGAGCCAAGCCATCTTTTGAGGCAGGTTGAGTTTGGTTGGATGTTTGTGGCAGAACAATTGTGGCCTCGTGGTGGATTATTCTGCATGTTAGCCATGGTGTGTCTTGCGTCGTTCTTCTTGGTCGCCAGTGCCGAGGGCCATGTCTATAGCAGAATTCATCAGGATATCTGAGGGAAAAGGGTTCGAGTTCTGGTCGTCGAAGCAACTCACGTGGAGTCTCTGCTGCTTGGGTCTGCAGAATAGGACAGGAATGAATATTGTCAATACATGTACGGATACTGCATCCCAAGAAGGCCTTTGAATCTGAGTAAGTGCAATGAGATTAGATCAAAGGAGAGAGCGTCAAACCAGGTGCAATTTGCGATGTAGTCGGGAGAAGAGACAGATCGAGGCGGACTGTATGGGAGCCTGGCCAGATGTACTGTACTGTATGATGGATTCTGCACCCAGGCTATACCAAGGCAGGCATTTGTGCTCGGCGGCCCTTCCCGTTCTAGTTGGTCCATAATGAGTCACACTTCTCTTGCAAAGACCGAGTGGGATGAATCAATGTGGACAAGTGAGTCTCTTGTTGTGATGTCGTTCATTCTGACGGTTCGAAGTGGAGTCCGTGTAAGAGGCGAGTGGTAAGTCGACGAATGTGAATTGGTAAGCGTTGTGATCACGCCCTTCACGAGACATGGGCTGGTTGTGGTCCCGTTGTCTGCGACTCCGAGACCCGACGCCATAAGAGAAGGACATGGTCCATCCGAGGTAATTTTATGTCTGGTTCCGCAATGGCCTTTGTCAGAGAGTGTCGGACAAGATCTTTGTGTCTTAGCAAAGTTATATTCTCTCATTGGGGCGGACTCAACTGTAGGTGGCCTAATCGAAGGAATATTTACTGCAGCATGGAGCTGACTATGAGAGATCAAGGGCCACACAGCGTGTGTGCGCGCAGCATCAACAATTGAGCGTTCACATACCCATTACACGGTATGGGAAACGGCGCAGTGCATGGAAGCCCAATTACCTTCTAACTCAGGATAAAGGTCATTCTTGATACCATTGCACTCTGTCTATGGATCTACCGTATGATTGCTGAAAATGCCCGTTCATCATCCTCAAACGCCTACGAGTCTCTGACAACAGGTCAGAAACGCGTGCCCCTCAGCCCTGACATGTATTCCCGCTTAGAGATGGGATTCAAGTCAAACGTCGAAGAGTTCTTTGAGCTGTTTCAGCGTGTCCGCAGGATTTTCGACGGAGTGGCCGATCGTTCTTGGATCAGTATAGATCTCCCAGTCATTACCGCCCTCGAAGCACTTGTCGCCGAAAAAGTGAATGGTCTTGTAGTCAATGCCGGACAGTCCCTTGCTTGCGTCCGCCTCTGCCTCGACATGTCGTAGACAGTACGTCTTATCCCAACCCGTTGGGAAGACGTCGAAGGAGATTTGTCCTCCGATGGAGTATCTATAACCGAGTCAGTCTCAAATTCTCTTCGTGTGCATGACATCCCTTACGTGACAGCCAAGTCGGGAAAGGCCTTCTTCAACGCTTCAATCATCTTTGGTCGACAACCGGTCTTCTTGTCCCAAGCCTCGAACTCGTTTCTCTCGGCCGTGCTGGCGTTACGACCAACGGGGCTGACGTTGATCATGCCATTTCTGAACTCAATGAAAGTTCCTCGCATGGCTGGGAGACCTTCAAGCTCCGAAATGTATTTCAAGATCCATCTGGCTAGTTTCTGGTACTTCTCTTCTCCGATCCACTGGATGAACGAGGTTGACTGGAGGGGTTGACCGAGTCGATAAGCCTCAAGACCATTCTCAGCGAAGCAGAAGTCAAAGACGTCCTTGACCGAGAGGGTATCTGTGCCGATTTGTTCTTGTTGTTTGGGGAAGTTGGACCCTCCAACCTGACTTGATCAGCCTGGGCCCCAAACTGGACTTGGAGAGGGATCTTACGTAGCCAATGGCGCACTTGTGTCTGAGTTTCGCAAGAGCCTGTCTCATCTCAGGAGAGATAGGCAAGCGAGCAGGCGTGAGGGTGTTGTCGACATCAAAGAGACAGATTGTCTCCTTGAGAGGTCGGTCTTTGAGGTCAGGGTACAGATCGGCCATGGTGGTGGGACGATGGACAACGCGGGGAACGACGAGAGAGATGTCAAGGCAAGGAGGTGAAGACGTTCAAGGAGGTAAGGACAGGTTGCGTCAGGAAAGGGAGGACTGAGCCATGTAGAGAAAGAGACGCCTCACCGTAAGTTTCAATAGATTGCACACTTTTGGCACATGTGGCTTCACGGGCGCATCCACCGCGCAGGGAATCTCGACGCCCTCAGACACGGTTTTCCCAATTCGCAGCGTTCTAGCCAAACAAGCGCTCTCCGCGTCACGTGTCAGTCTCGGGCCACTTTCTCTTTACAGTATGGACAATAGATGCCTCTGCGGCCGAAATGAGGAGTATGCCGACCAGCTGCTGCTGTGCCCTGGCAGAGCGTTGGGCACGACGCGCACAAACATTCGCATGCAAGCCGGATACAGCAATTCATACCACAACTTCGTATGATTTGGCCGTCTCACGGACGGTACTTGTACAGACTATCGCGAGTACCTCAGTTTTGCATTTGTGAAACGCCTTGACTCTCAGCTGTGTTCGAATTATGCCTGTCAGGCTTGAATTTGAACCTATGTTCTACTGCTCTGGACCAATCCGGGTACTGCCGCTGGAGGTGCGCTCCTAACACCACCTCTCCTCAAACTTCTAGTTTGCAATGAGGAAGTCAAATCATATGAAATGGTGGTAGCAATCATTGTCTCTGCGTTTTATGCGAATGGCGTGCGCTCCGAATGGTCTGCCAAATGGTGAGCTCCAAGACCGACCGGGAAAGTTGATGCATCAAGCTTAAATGTTGGTTTCATTCTAACTACCATCTGCTCGTGTTATGCTCTTGTGACGAATGAGATGGCGCTATGGCTTGCATGGTAAGGTGATTCTCGTACGACAGATGCAGAGCTGAACACAGGCAACTTACGTGAAACACACACCTATTGATGTGCTGATAAGCTAGACTGCGAGGAAACTCATTTCTTTTACTTGTCCACACCTTTGCAATCACATACGCAACCACAGGCTTCAATTCCAAGAACCATGGTCGGACTCCAATACGAAGTCGAACATCAGCTGTATGGTCGACCCAATCTGGGCAGTCCAACTCGGACTGACAGGAATCAAAACCGGATGGGAAGCTGCCCAGGATGTGAAAGCAGCAGGCGAAAATTTGGCCCGGCTACAAGCGGAAATGAAATTTCTGGAGAGCATCCTTAAGTTCCTTGAGGAGGATGGGCAGTTGATCCCAGCCGAAGCCGAAGTTCTAGACGTTCCAATTCAAAAATGCAACGACTACTGTGAGGTATATTGTCAAGCTACCCATGGGAACTCAAACTAAGCTTAAGCCTGTTAAAATCAAATTCCTTTTCGTTCGCGTACCTACCTAAGTCTTGGGTCTTGGTTCGCAAAGTCACGGTCGAGTCCACGGCTACTGGGCGGAAACGATGCTAACATTTGGGCAGTGCAGCCAGACAGGACAAGTGGATCGTGGATAAACAACATTCGATGGAGAATGAAGTTCTTATGCTGGCTTCGGCGCAAGCACTAGATGTGGGTCACTTATTTGGATGTTGCTGTCATTACTTGGACATGCTAGCTAGGACCATAACAAGGAGCTTGAAGTCGAGATCGAATTAGTTTTCCTGAAGACGAAGAGCGATATTTCGATGTCGGTGGTGCACCGGAGACTACAAGGAAACCTCCTGGACATTTTTGTTTGCTTAAATGATATGTTCAGGTATGCACAGCACGCTGGTCAGTGAGTTTCCTTCGAGCCGATCGATTTCAACGGTGGCTATACCTTCCTGCTCCTCCATATGAATAATTTCACCAGGAGCACCAGTGACCGCCCTCTCTCGTAAACCAAGTCACTTCACTTGCAGCAATAATAACCATGACTGGCGCTACAACTGAGGCGATATCAGTGGCCATGTTCTCCCAGTGACTAGATTCTCTGCCGTCAGACGTCAGCCTGGACAGCTTGACCTGTTCGCCAGGCTGTAAACGGAGATATCTACGCCTCCTAGTGGAGTAAAGAGTCGGGCAAGATAAATCTAGGTGGGGGTTGGTATCGGAAATACGGGTCCGTTTGCTGCTCTGTCCAAAGCGACGAAAACACTCGAGAGTTTCTTTTGAGACGATGATGGGTCGGATTGGCCACAAGAAGTGGACAAAGGAAACTGGCTGAGACAAAAACTGGACTGTTCTGGCAAAGTCCCCGCTGATGCCCAGCGGCTTTCTCACAGCTGTATCCCGAAACAAGCACCGAGCCGATCTCTTTGCCTGCGCTACCGACGGGAAAAAGTCTACACTAGTTGGTCGGACTTTGGCAAGCATCTGTGGTCAGAAAACACGCGGAGCTGGTGGTGTCTCGGCAGAGGGTTCAAGACCGGTTTTCAGACTTCTGCTGTGATCCGGGAGGCTGAGAGGCTCGATCTCCATATTGTCGAGTCGGGTGGCCTTGTCTACCATACGGGCTGGAGTTCAATTGATCGATTGGGTTCGGGGAGCGAAGTCGGGGCTCCTCAGACTCAAGGGCCAGGTCGAGTGCGTTGTGGTGGACCCAAGTACACTTCAGGTATAATACTGATCCGGAAGTGGATGGAAGATGAGATTATCGGAGTCTTCACGAACTCAAAGCGAAGGTTACTATCGCAAATTCCCTTCGGGAAAAGAGGGTGGAATCCTCGAGAACCATTCAGTCTCCAGGTTTCCGCCATCCAGGTTCACTGCAGTTGGCTCGCATAAGGAGATCGTTCCGGCAATGACCATGACTTTTCTCCCTGCTGCTTTCTTTGCAGCTTTATTCTCAATACCTTCACTTTAGTGGTATAAATTCCGGCTATTCAAAGCAACTAATGGCTATATTGGGCGTTCACCGTACGAGGTACTGGAACAGTATTTTCCCTTTGACGGATGTTGACAAAGGTAGAAAGACGGTCTTCTGTGGGTAAATAGCGCGGACTATGAAAGATACCAGCTATAAGACAGTAGAGAAGATATCGCATACCCTGTGAAACTACGCTCGAACTTAGCCCTTGGTAGGAGGAAGTCGCAAGATGTATGCAATATGTAAGCAAAGGGAGGGGCAGTTTTGGGTACGACTGTAACAGCAGCATGAGGCTCCCGTACAGACGCGTGCGAGGCGCTTTTGATTACTAGACGTCTCGCACGTGTGGATAGCCACGTGTCTGTGAAATTAAGTCTGGTTCAAGTGAACCCATCTGGCATTCGGCACTGGATCTGTGACCGAGTGATCATCGCGGTAACGTTGGAGCCCATATATCAGAGCTGGGCTCAGCTAGTCTGGCATCGGATCTTGGTATAAGCGATGAATCGTCGCCAACCTCGCGATAGGCATTCCTTAGGCTCAGACTTATACCTTCGCTGAAGCATCAGATCTCTCCCTTTCATGTTCGAATGCAGGAGGTCTGTTCTCATTCCAGTAATTCAACAAACTAGAACTTCGTCCGACCAACTGTTGAAGACCTACGATGTAGACAATATTCTTGCGCTTGTTGCTCGACTGGCTCATGTAGGACAGTAAGAGAGTTAGCTTGATCTCGGGATTGCTTCAACCGCAAAAAGCCCCGGCCACGCTACCATTACCCCGGGATCAATGGTCCAGAACTGTGGGGTTACCCACTCCGGAGTTGCGGAGTACAGTGGTTATTCACTACACAGACTTGGCCCGGCGCGGCATAGTTGAGGCCCATCCATATGACAGACTTCGAGGGCCTAGAGCCTCCCTGGCGTACACTTCACCACGATTATTCTGGGATCGATGTTGTCTGGGCGTAAACTTACACACCTAGGTGCCGATAGCATGAGAAATAGATATATTAGCGAGCAATGTCCGCTCCAGCTCTTCCAGCCACAGCGCACTCACAGCTTTCACTAGAATCGCCTGTGCAGCAGACGAAACGACGAATTCACTCGCCATGGCAGAAAAATCCGGGAACACCGAGTTTCAAATTGAAGATACTGGGGCGGGTCCGGACTCCAACCGCATGACCAAAGTTGACACCTTGCATGGCGATGAAGCTGTAATTGTGCTTGAAGCCTATGATGGCGAGTCGACTTGGACAAAGGAAGAGGAGAGGCGTCTGGTCAGGAAAATCGACTTGCGACTACTACCCATCCTCATCATGACGTTTGGTCTTACCTTCTATGACAAAGTGCAATTGGCGCATGCTGTATGTCCAGTTATCGCTTTTGAGGCGGCTAGAATACTGACAGCAAGAACTTAGGCCATCTTCGGATTGACGAAAGATCTTGACCTATTGGTGGGAAACCGCTATTCTATGTCTTCGTCGATATTCTACCTTGGGTATATCTCAGGATCCTATCCAGCAGTACTTCTCGCACAACGCTATCCTATCCAAAGGGTAATATTTGGCATCACCTTCGTTTGGGGTCTGTGTGTCATATCTTGTGCAGGAGCTTTCAACTACCAGGGTCTCTTTGCCCAACGGTTTTTCCTTGGTGTTCTCGAATCAGGCATTTCCCCAGTCTGGATGATGGTAGTTGGGGGCTGGTACCGCAAAGAAGAGCAGACTTTTCGTATGGGGTAAGTTGCCTTGACTCGAGACTGGAAGCGAGTCGGAATCCTAATGACATAACGACAGAGTCTGGTATTCAGCGGCTTCCATAATGTCGCTGCTTGCTCCGATTGTAAATTACGGCCTTGGGCATATCAATGGGTCCCTAGCCCCCTGGCGGTATATGTTTATCGTCGCCGGTGTCATCACTACATTATGGGCCTTTGTTATCCTGTTTGTTCTGGAGTCGGACCCAATTCACGCCAAAAGCCTCAACGAACGAGAGAAGTTTATCGCCATTTCTCGCCTAAGAGAGAATAACTCTGGCATTCGGAACAGGCACTTCAAAGCCCCTCAACTCTGGGAACTTCTCACCAGTGCTCATTTTTGGCTGGTGTTCTTCATGGCCGTTACTATCAACGTGTCTAATGCTGTCCCAACCACCTTCAATCCAATCATTATCAAGGCAATGGGATTTAGCGGTTTAAATGCGCTACTTCTGACAATGCCTACTGGAGGTGTCGGCTTAGTCACCACCCTTGGAACAGCCTTTCTCATGGCCAAATACTCAAAGCACAATTTACGGACCTTGGTAATCGCAGGCGAGGTATCCCTGATGCTTCTATCGTGTTGCCTCATGTGGCAACTACCACATGCGGCCGTGGGGGCCAGGCTATTCTTTCTGTACCTCCTGTCTTTTTACCCTGCGGCCTATTCACTCATCATGAACCTTTCAATCGCAAACGCCGCAGGGTATACCAAAAGAGCCCTGACTTCGTCGGGATTGTTTGTCGGCTACTGTTGTGGTACGTATTCTCAGACTCGACATTCGCATCGTTGTCCATGAGCTAACCCCCAGCCTTGAACCACTCTAGGGAATCTGATCGGACCATTTTTGTTTTTGGAACACGAAAGGCCACTTTATCATACAGCGTGGACTTCGATCACAGTTCTAACTGCCATTTGTGTCCTTCTCGCCTTGACTTACAGGCTTCTATGTCTCTGGGAGAACAAGAAACGAGAAGATGCTGGGTTCACAGAGTCCTTTGAGCATGCTTACGAGGACGACGTGACCGACAGGAAGAACCCCCATTTCCGATACATCTATTAGCTGCGAGTTACGCCCAAGAAAGGCCTAGCAGACAGGGCAAGGGGAAAAGACTAGTGAGGCCGTCCATCGGAAGTCATTGTGGAGGTCTTTTGGGATGGGCTTCTGTGGTAATCCCTAAGAGCGAGACGTGTTGTGCTTCACGGACAGAGGTAGCCTAGCAATTCGCATCCTGAGCCTGGACAACAGTAAAGCCTTGTCTGAGATTCCATTGAGATCGAGCCTTGTTTTCCATAGTTAGAACCCCCCCCTCAAAACAACTATTCGAGGCTACAATTGCTAAATTCGAGCGTCTCTTTTCGAGCTGTTGGCTACAGCTTGCTGCAAGGTCAGCAGCAAGATCTCTCGGCAGTCAACAAACTAGTAACTGCCGAAACGTCTGCTGATATCAGGATCTCAAAACTAGGAGGATCATACGGTCTGATGAAAATTCAAGTCCAGGACTAGGAACTTGATACAATAGGCCGCGCCACGCAAGAAGTGCCGAGAGTACCCCAACTCCGGATTGGGTATATCATATGAGTGCGTGACAGTTGAGCGTGCACTAATAAAGTTGATTGCAAAGGCCCAGATCACGCCTCCACGAGCTCAGAGAATACCGCGGTCCCGGGCTACCGGCACGTCGAATTATGCTTGCGGGATTGCGAAGTGGTTACACAACTTCCCCGAACCGAGGTTGGCGCCACGCACGGTTTCCGGTGTACCCCGTCCTATCCCGTCCTATGACCGCGAATACCGCCCATGTTGTATAGAGGTAATTGTTCCTTGTCAAGTATCCGTGCATACAGCTTCATATGCTTCAGGGATTGTTGTTCTACTTCTGCGACTACTTCTCCTCCAGACCAACATTCTCACGAAAGGATGGCCGTGATTAAGAAATCGATCTTGGAGAGGCTCCCAGGCAAGCTCCCGACCGCAAGCATACCTGAAGAAGGCGACTGGGACTCCATTGCTGAGGAAGTTGTGAAAGACCTCAGCAATCTTTCCACATCTTCGTTGGCTGCCGATGCCATTTGGCGCGACAGTTATGCCCTCACTGGCACCTTTCGAACATTCTATTCTAACGCCACCATTGCACGAGAATGGGCCTTATTAAGCAAACAGCACGGCATCTCGTCTGTGAAGCTCATTCCGGGGTCCAGTAGAGTCGTCAGGACTGGAAATAAATACGCCTGGCTCGACTGCAAATTTCTATTCACTGCTACAAACCCAGCCACCGAATGCTCCGGATACCTTTCCTTGGTACCATCCGAGGGCGGCAAATGGAAGATCTGGGTCTTGAGGACAGTCTTAGAGCAACTTATAGGCCATGGAAACGTTGACTCACTTGCACCGACTCTCTCAGATGGCAGGACCAACGGATTCGCAAACGGGACCACCAATGGATCTCAAAATGGACTTACAAATGGGCATTCTGCCACAGCGCTAAACGGATCTTCAACTTATGATACGTACGCTGTCATAATCGGCGGAGGGCAGTCTGGCTTGAGCACTGGTGGCCGGCTGCAGGCTTTAGGCGTTCCGTATGTGATTTTGGAAAAACACAGCAGTGTAGGGGATGCTTGGAAAACCAGATACACGTCGGCAAGGCGTAAGTTCAAGAGTTGCCTCACCTGTAGAAAGACTGTATACTGACTTATTTGTTATAGTGCATACAGTTCGAGAGTACTGTGAGTATTCGGAGGGCTACTTGGGACCAGGTCACACCTGACTAAGAACTTTTGGGCAGCACATCTACCATTCGATCGAACCTTTGGGCCTGAGTACCCAGAGTACCTAGGAAAGGAGGAACTGGCAAAAGGACACAAAGCCTGGGCGGTGAAATATGGCATAGTGCGCGAAAGAACCTGGAAACAAGTCTTGGTATTGTTCAGCTAACTTTTCTCAGAACATATGGCTTTCGACAACTGTGGATTCCGGCTCTTGGGATAACCAGACGCAGACATACACTCTGAACATTCGCAGAGCCGGCGTCGAATCAAAGGTGACTGCAAAACACGTGGTCATCGCAACTGGAGCAGGATCGCAAACGCCGGTGATGCCTGTGCTCCCCAACCGGGTACGCCTCGTTCCTGGCTGATTTTATCAATTGATATACTTAAGCTGAACGGCTTTCTTAGGAGAAATATCGGGGACTTGTCCTGCATTCTGCGGACTATGTTTCGGCCAGTGAGTGGAAGGGGAAGAAGAATGGCATTGTCGTTGGTACTGCAAATACGGGTGAGCGAATCTGCCTCAAGATGCAGTGTTGGGGTTTATCTGATCTTTTGTTACAGGGCACGACGTTGCCGACGACATGTATGAGGCTGGCATGAACGCGACCATGGTTCAAAGGAACCGCACTTGTAAGCACGACGAAAGAAACAGTCATGCAAACTTCCACCTTTCGTGCTAATTGAGACCAGACGTTCTTCCAGTCGAATATATTGCGGATCGCTATCATGGTATATTACCCTGATCCCACTAGCACAAACAGACTTCTAACACATCCTTGTTTGGTACAGCACTATATAACGACAAGCTGCCTACCGAGGTTAGCGACCGCATTATGTTCACTAATCCAGTTTCCATCGCTCGACTCACCTCGGCTGAGGCTTTTCATACGATGGCAAGGGGGCAACCAGAACGTTGGGATGCTCTTGAACGAGCCGGCTTCAAGGTCGATCCCTATGGAGATATCCAAGATGCCATCAATGTTCGCTTAGGTGGCCATTATATCGATGTTGGAACATCTGCCAAAATCTCAAAAGGCCTAGTAAGACCTCCGAGCTTTTTCAGGTGCACGAAAGTCGTTGGCTAATTCCGGCGACAGATCAAGGTCAAGTCTGACTCGCCGATTGCCTCCTATACTGAGGACGGGCTTCTATTCGCGGATGGCACCGAAATCAAAGCCGATGTAATCGTTTTTGCGACCGGATTCGTGGGCAATTTGAAGCAGCATGTTCAAAAGTTTTTCGGTGACGAGGTTGCTGAAAGAGCGGGCAATTGCTTTGGACTAAATGAAGAAGGAGAAATTCTAGGGGCTTTCAAGCCAACGAAGCGTAAGTCCAACCTCGTATACCTGCAATTTAGCCTATTAACATGCGGTTGCAGAGCCCGGCTTGTGGTATATGGGTGGTGCCCTTGGGCATTCAAGGTATTATTCTAGGTATTTGGCTCTGTCAATCAAGGCCGATCAGTTGGGAACACCTCTGCCTGTTTATCTGGAGAACCAACATAGACTCGATTCTGAGTAAATCTGGCCAGCAGCTCCAGCCGGTTCATCTGGAGGGTGAGGGATAGAGAAGAGAGGTTTTGAATCCTCAGGCTGTAGCGTATCTAGAGAGACCGCACTACTTGAACTTGAATGCCAATATCTAAGTTCGCAGCTTTCCACATGTTGCAATTCTTAATCTGTCTCCCTGCTACTGGCTAATAGTGGTACGGCCATCATCGTGGAATTACACAAGGTCAGAGGCACCGTCATCAACCAAAGAAAGAGGTTCGGAGGTGTTTGAGTCATCACCAGCATCTTGACTGGCTGAGGTCCATATCCTATTCGAGGATCTCAACATGTCAAGTGCACATTCTTTGTTATCGACAACTTCAGTCGGTATACGTGGGTGATATTCAGTATCGACAACAAGAAACCTGGTTCAACATCACATGGACGCTGTGGATCACATTTTTCGGTACATCAAGCAAACTGTTGACGTCAGTCTCACCTCTCGTCTCTCGAAGGGCGTATCCTTGGTTGGATATGTGGATAGCGACTTTACTGGCTGTGCTGATACCATGGCATGGATAGAACATGAAACTGAGTTGCCTTCTGACTACGCCAAACCGTCTTCATAAAGCCCTGGAAGGCTGCATAAAGGCCTTGAATGCTGCCAGTCTCTCCGGATCATGTTTAGCGTCTCCTCACGATCCCCCGATCACTGTTTCCCGGGGGCTGGTGGGCTCGGAACTCGTGTGTGGCACACTTAACCCGAATCGAGAGAAAGCGGCTTGGTGGTGATTGCTCCCCCAGGTCCACACTAACCTCAATTTCGGGGTCGTCCAGAAGTTTATTTAGGACCGCAAGATCTAAAGCACTCATCGCGGTTCAAAGATTTGAATCCAGACAAGACCCAAGGGTTCCAAAACTAACAGGCGACAAGATGTCTGTGAATCTGAACCTCATCACCCAATATGGACTTTCGCCCTTTTGGTTCATTTCTGTCTTGCTTATATTTGTGCCAGTCATAATCGCCGTCCAGAACTACCTACGGCTCCGACATGTGCCTGGTCCTGTCTGGGCTCAGCTCACTGAATTCTGGATTACGCGGAAGCTCTGGAAGGGAGAGACTTGGATAGATATAACTGAGAAACTGCACCAAGACTATGGCGATGTGGTTCGGTGGGCGCCGAGAAATGTCCTCTTCAGTGACCCTGCGGTCATCAGTACCATCTATGCAACTAACACTGTTTGGAGGAAGGTAAGCGGCGGCCGCTTCGAAGTCTTTGTTCACACAGTCCTTTGGCTTACTGATGTTTCTTGCAGGCCAAGTCGTACGAGCCAGCACTAACAATAATCAACGGAAAGTTGGCGGATTCTTTCGTGACGACCCGAGATGAGCGTCGTGTATCTGCTATCAAGCGACAGATTAACTCGGCATTTACGGCGAAGGCGATCTCAGAATATGAGTCTCATGTGGACGAAACTATTCAACTGTTGACTAGGCGAGTTTCAGAACATAGTCCCCGGGTTAACCTTTCGCGATGGCTGGAACTGTTTGCCTTCGAGACCATCTGTCAAATTGCTTTTAGCGACAGTAACTTCACCGAAGAAGACGTCCAAGGCACCATCGCCGGGATTAAGGAACGCTTTAATCATTGGTTTTGGTGGTTTGCGTTGCCGGGCCTTGAAAAATTGCTTTATAGGCATCCCTTCGTCGCTGGCCGTATGACGCCAGGTTTACTGACACAGCGGGCGGCGGCAAGGGTTCAGGAGAGGGATGCTATCGGCGGAGTGGGTTTACACAAAGACCTCTTGGAGTGCTATATGCGGGCTAACAATAAGGTACCGAACACCTTTGACCGTGGCACGGTGGTTGGTATGGTTCTTTCTACCATTCACGCCGGCGCCGAAACAACCGCATCAACTATGATTGACACGGTACATTGTCTCTTGAAGAACCCAACATGTCTGGCTACGTTGATGAAAGAGTTGAAGGATGCCGACTTACCATCTCCCCCCACTTTCCAATCAGTGGCCAAGTTACCATACTTGGAGGCCGCATTCAAGGAGTCGATGCGGCTAAATGGTGTCTCCGTTTCGCCGTTAGAGCGCGAGGTTCCGCCTGGCGGTGCGCACGTCGGTGGTGTTTATCTTCCCGGCGGCACCTCTGTTGCTCTCAACGTTCGAGGTTTGGCCCTCAAGGAAGATGTCTGGGGGCCAGAACCCCGCCAGTTCCGACCGGAGCGCTGGCTCGAGGCGGATGTGGCAGCGAGGGCAAAAATGGAACGAGCCTTCTCCGGCTTTGGCCACGGCAAGAGGATGTGCATTGGCCAACATATCGCATGGATCGAGATGAAAAAAGCCATCCCGGAGCTGCTGCTCAATTTTGATGTAAAACGCCCCTTCCCCTCGTCCCTTGGAAAGGCTAACCACATGCTATAGATAAAGTTATTGAACCCAGATGCTCCCCTGGAACACTATTCAACAATCGTCCAGGTACCGAAGGAATTATGGGTGAACGTGGCCAAAAGAGAGATAAAGCTTTAAGAGATAGGATCGCTTTTACATGAAAGCGATATTGGGCAGTAGACTTTTGCATGTCCATAGAGAGGGTTCAACTGTCATTCTGTACCTTCTGGCTCCTGCGAAGCCCAATCGTTGCGTTTTATTGAACATGCTGAGTCGCGGGCACCGACGACGACGACGTCTTTGCAACCCACTAGTCAAGTACCCCCGGCTAATGCGGACGCCCCGACGCTCGTTTACAACTTTTGCAACACCATCAATTCACTCCTTTTCCTATATTTTGCTATATCATCGGCCTCCACAGGGAGGCTGTCTCTCCGTCTTAAGCGTCTGCCGATTGCCTCCTTGCGGTATAGTGTACCGCGGCGAGAAGACCTTCCCTCGGAAAGAATAGATCCACTTGCATAGCCTATAACATATAGATATCGACCTCCTAGTCATAGAGGTCAGACTCGTCAACACGTTCTATTTGGGCCCCAAAGCATGCGTTTATTTGTCACAAAGTCAATGCAGGTGCTCAGTATACTTGTTTATACAAAAGTTGTGCCAAGCCTGAAGCACAACAATCGGGCTAGGGGGCTGCGCAAGAGGCGCGCGTATACTCGCTACTGGAGCCTACCAAGCCCTTGATGGGCTCCGGTGGCAACCGTAGGTGCATTACAGTACTAATGGGAAGAAATCGAGCTCTGTTCGGATCCCCGGCCTGATTTAGGGACCGAGAGGCCGCATTGAAAGGGATTCGACGCACGAGAGACTGTGGAGCTGCGTTTTAGCTTTGTGGGCCCACAAAACCTCGAAGCCTGCGGGTCATTCCTCCCCACAACCCCAGGAATGCCCGATTACACCCTGGCGCTGGACAACCCAACTTTTGCTCTTCAATTCGGATCGATTTCTTCCCCGCCTCTTGATATCACCCTTCTGGCACGCCCTATTCTTTACAGCGTTTGATGTTGCTGTTGACTGAAGGCCATGCCCCCATCAGCAAGTCATTCTCAGGCAGGAGACCAGCCTCGTCACGTGTGCAAGACCTGCCACAGAGCTTTTGAGCGTCGGTTCGTGACATTCGACTCTCGCAACTTTGACAAAAGCCCTGTACTTACCCTCACCACAGTGACAGTCTCCTCCGGCACCACCTCCGTGTTCATGACGATCGTCGGCAGCCCAAAGCACGCAAAAGAACGGCATGCATAAGGTGTTCCACGTAAGTGTCGCGCGACGGGCCCCGACATTGGATGTTGGGAGATTGACTGTTAGCCAGATCCAAAGTCCGCTGCACTGGCGAACTGCCGTCGTGCGCAGCATGTCGTCGCCGTCAAGTCCCCTGCGCTTATGATTCGCATAGAGTTGGGCAGAACAATGTCCAATCGATGAGCGGACTACCGGAGAGCCAGGACATGCGACCAGCAGAAAGCATGAAGCAAACCCAGGGGATACTCGACGAAATTTGTCCGGATCCGTCGCGGATGAATAGCATAATCACCTCCTCTGTGACGGACAGCATCAATGATGCGACATCAGCAGACCTCACCGTGGGTGCCATGGTTTCCCCTGAAGCCTTCGAATCCCACGTTCCATCCTATCTCTTCGCCCACAGCCTGGACACCCTGGATGCGACTGATTTCAATTCGAACCTCGACTGGCTCTTTGATAATCTCCCAGGGGAAGAGTCGGCCCATTTTGTGGACTCATTCGGTGAAAGAGACTTCAAATTTCCTTCCGTCCCATTGGGAGACGCTCCGGGAGCTCAAAGTCCACGGCCAAATCTGACCGCCGATCACCATCTCTTGGAAAAGGCCAACACACCCTCTGTCCAAGGTGCTAACGATCTGGATCTTCCGTATCCTGGACCCCAAGATAGCTGTGGTCCTGACGATCCCTGGCCGATGGAGTGGCATGCTGAGCCGTCCCAGCCCATTGTAGATCTACCCAGCCTAGGTTGCGATGAAGACGAAAACCCTCACTTGTATCCTCGCTTTTTCTCGAACGCGTCCTTACACCCATCCACTGTCGAGGCACTGGCACACCACCTCAGACTTCCAGCCAGCCGCAGTCCTTGGCAATCCAGCAACTTGGACCGTTTCCCAGACAAAGCAAAGCTCGATTATTGTATCGATAGGTATTTTGCTCAGTTTCACCAGGTAGCTGAAACCCGATAAGGACCTGATCAGTAGCGCTAATCACTTTAGTTATTCCCCTTTATTCATCAACCGACTTTTGATCCCGCCAAGGATCTTACTGTAACCCTGGCCATTGCCAGCATCGGTGCACTCTATACCCAGCTCTCCGAAGCCGTTTCTTTTTCCAACGCGCTGTCGGAGCTCAACCGCCGGCTACTTTTGTTCCTGGTGAGTGCTCATAGGCCTGTGGCGTGAATTAGTGGCGATCGCCAGAACGAGCGCTGATTTGGTCAAAGGCAGAGTATGATCGCAGATATGTGCGGACAGAGGCCTATCTAACAGCTCAGCTCCTCCAAGGCCTCCACGGCTACTACAGTGGAAACAAGCGACTGTTCGAACTGAGCGAATCGTTTCGGAACAATCTTGTGCATCACGCAAAGTGCATGGGTCTTTTCAGATACAAGCCAGAACCGAATATGACATCAGCAACATCACAGAAGTTGGAGGAGCGGTGGAAAAACTGGATCCGTGAGGAAAAGTTGCGCCGACTGGGCTGGGCCGTCTACGTATAGACCTTCGTGCTCCCCATCCCGATTCTGTGCTCACTGGGTCTAACATGGTTGATTGACAGGAATACGATGCCTCAGTCGCGTACCTACACAATAATCGGCCCTTTCTCAGTATCGGAGAAGTTCACACTAACCTCCCTTGTATGGCAAACTACTGGAGTGCCGAATCTGCTCACGCTTGGGCGGCCATGTTGCAGCCGACAGTGTCCGATCCGGTGTCCCCGAGGCTCGAAACCCTTATAAGAGTCTTCTTTGACGGGACTCGGAAACCCGAGGAAAAAGTTCAAGACGAACGACATCGATACATAATCGTCAGCACATTGTGCCGGATGATCTGGACCCTCAAGGAGATCAGGTCCTCACCGGTCGTGGATCTTGTTCCTTATGGCCCACAAAACACTACCGAGATTCTTGTCGCGGCGGCTGACAAGTTAAGCAGGTGCCCTCAAACTCTAGCCGCGACTCTTACGACGGCAGAGCTGGCACATGCTATGCATACGCTGCAAGTCGTCTACGTTACCCACCTGTATGGAGCGGGCGGTCTGATGAACTGGCTATATCCACTCCTTCGCGACGATTACCTGGCCACTACGACCTTCACTAGCTTGGACCATTGGGCTAAACAGAACCCCAGGGTAGCAAGGGAGGCGGCCTTCTACAGTGCGCGGATACTTGCTATTGCAAGAATCTACCCGAGTAACTCGCCCAACGAGCCCGCGATGATATTCCATGCTGGTACCGTGTTGTATTTCCTTGCGAAGGTTCTGCCAACGAACTTTGGGACAGACAGAGCCGCGGTCTGGCTCGATCAACTCTCCCCCGGGGACGACGGACCTCCGTCGCCGGTAAAACAGTGGATTAGTCACGGTGAATCCTCGATCGTCTGCATGCATGGAGTTCCCTCGTTGCTCTCAGAACAAGGAGGGAAACATATTCTCGATCAGACGGCAGAGCTACTTAAACGTCGACGGGTATGGGGCATAGCGGACAGCTTTTTCAAAGTAGTCCTACGGTTGCGCGACCGTACGAAAAAGTCTCTGGAATGACTTGCAACAAGATATCGTACCCATCTCCGGGATTCATTCGAGGGGGCTTGATTTTCGTTATGAGAGTGACATGAAATATAATTTGAACACCTGTTGCCACATGTACAATATGGTTGACTGCAACAATGCAAGCTCAAGGAAACTAGAAAAGAAGATTTCAAATTTCACGATGAAGCACAGCGAGATAGAGAGAAGGGCTCAAATCAAATCACTATTCAACCGTGGCTGTCTCCAGTCTACATGTCCATGCTTTCGTTCAGTTTGCATCTTGCACAGAGCAAGGATGTAGTGTCACCATGAGTTGTTATTTCGGGAGCTAACAGGCTAGGTGATTGTGTGGCCATTCAATCTCCTCGTTCGGTACTTATTTGATTATAGGTTAACCCCGTCTAGAAGCTAAGGCTGTGAAGACCGATAAACCCGCCTTTTTAAATATCCCGGCCAAATTTCAAGTAGAGAGGAGAGACAGAGGGCTCACAGTGACTTGATGGTGGTTTAAAATTTGCAAAGGAGCGTCCGGCGCGTCGGTGTTGACCCCGCCGGGGGGGGGGGGGGGGGGGGGGCTAGGCTTGACCATTGAGTTGTACGTAAAGACGTCGTCGTCAAGGTGCCCATAACTCGGCCTGTCCAACACGGGTGTTACAATAAAAAATATGTGCACCAAAGATCTTGCCGAATAAAGCCCAGGTAAAGTGCCTCAATAATACGTACACTGCTTGAGTGATACATCTGAGAAATCGCGCCGAGAGTTACTCTATCTCAAAAGGATATCCAAGAATTGGGGACCTGAAGTTCAACCTTGGATGGACAATCTCTCCAGGTATCCCCGATCCCCAGGAGAAGTCTCAATCGCGGGGCCAGGAGAGGAGTTCTCCCCGAGGTATGTGTAAGTGTGTGTGTGTGTGTGTGTGTGTGTGTGGAGGGCAGCTGCGGAGCTCCACCACTCGCTAAACCCGAGCCAACTAGCTTTCATTTCCCTGACGAGGGCCGATGACTCGGGATGTTGGCTGTCGGGTCTACACGGGCTGGTTTCACGACTTCGGAGCGCAATAATCGGGATCATATGGCGAACCATACGCTTGGCCCCTTTGTGGACTACCGCAGCAGCAACATTGAGCATGTCCAAAGCAAATTTGCCCATCGGAGGTTTGTCCCCAGATCCGGTCATGCACAGTCGGATTGCTGAGCTTTGTAAGTCGGTATTATCGTCCGTTCGCCTCGCCTTGCGATCGCATTTGGAGGGCCCGTTCAGCTGTACAGATCTCCCTACCAACCTTGTCGTGGGCGTCGTTGTATCTGCGCTGGTAAAAGGGCAATCGGTACCGGGCCCATTTTCAGAGGTTTCTCATTGCTAGGTTCAGGCAATCAGCAAATCATTATTTCGTAATGTCCGCAACCTCACACAAGCCCCTCGTCGTTGTGCTAGGAGCAACCGGTGGCCAAGGCGGATCTGTCATCAGAGCGCTGCGAGGAAACCCCAAGTATCGTCTTCGAGGTACAACTCGCAATGTCGAGGGCACGGCAGCAAGGGAACTGGCCAACCAAGGGGTTGAAGTTGTTGCGGCACAGCTAGACGACAAGGCCAGTCTCCTAAGGGCTTTCCGAGGCGCGAGCATCGTTTTCGCGGCCACCGACTTCTACGAGACGATGCGGACATCGGACAGCTGGCATGCGATGAACGTCGAATATCAACGAGGTGTGAACATCGCAGAGGCGGCTGTGGAGGTGCCTACCCTGCAACATTTTATTTGGAGCACGCTTCCGTCCGCCCACAAGCTATCCCAGGCCCAGTTCTTTGTGCCGCACTTCGAAGCCAAAGCCAAGGTGGACGAGTTTATCAAGTCCAAGCCTCAATTGCTAGAAAAGACGACCTTCTTTTGGGTCTCTTTCTTTGGCGACAACCTTCTCAAACCAACCTTTCGGCCCCTGCCCAGCGGAAGGGAGAATCACCACCTCCTGCTTCTGCCCACTTCGCCCGACACTCGCGTAGGCTTCATCGGCGACCAGAGGACGAATGTGGGCATCTTCATCTCGGCTATCATCGAGCAACGCGAACGGACACTGGGGAAGTACGTCTTTGGAAATGTGGAGACACTCTCGTGGCGGGACTATATGGCGCTGTGGACGTCCGTCACGGGAAAGGCAGTTCAAATTGTCGAAGTAACCGCCGCTCATTACTGTGAAATGTTTCCGAATTACGGCATGGAGATGATCTCGATGTTCTTCTTTTGGAACAAGTACCCGGATGCTGCGTGGTCAGGAGAGAACGTCCTCTCTGCTGTAGACCTTGGCATTAATGACAAACTCGTCGGTCTCAGGGAGTCTTTGCAGGCACTTTACCAGTAGATTGAGTGTCCTTTCCATAGCTAATCTAACACCATCTCGCCCATTGACCATTGGAAGCCTGTCGCCAGGACCAAGTCAAATCGCGCCAGCTAGCTACTTCGGACGGAGACCTACTAATAAGTAGACTTGGTGGATATCCCGATTGTTGCATGTTCCAAAGCAACAGGGTTTTTTTCCTAGAGGATCGAGCAACGCAACTTATTCAAACTGTGTCGACATGTACATGAAATGTTCCACCGAGTTGATTTCTAATTTGTATTGTCTAGCTTTTAGAGAATCGACATCATGTTTCCCACCATGAGCACAAATTCGCTTTGTTTCTCAAACTCGAGTTCGATGCATTTATGCCGACCCTTTAACCCAAGAGGCGAGGTTGTATCCCCACTCCTCTTCGGCAGCAATGCTGGTCCCAAGCGCCAACGGCGGGCTGATATGATTATGCCCTTTGATCTGGACGTAGCCGACATCCAAGTTGGGGACGTCCTTCAACCGGCGCAGTACATCTTGGTCAGCTTTGATAATATCGTCAGGATCCAGCTCCGAGTCCACGATCAAGAACCGGGGCCATGGACCGGAGCTGAGTTCTCCTGTGGGTTCAATCCTGTCTAATAATGCTACCGTCGATGATTGATCCAGTTCTTCTCCAAAATACCCAGTCAGCGCTTGCCTCAACGGCGGAGAGGACTGGCGGAAATCGAAGAGAGCACCAAGGAGAATGGCGCCAGATACCTTCACGCCGTCCACACCCGCGAACAGAGATTGGCGGCTCTTTTGGAATAAAGGTTCGAATAGCCATGTCGCCACGTTGATGCCCCCAGCTGAGTTGCCGAAAAGATAGACGTCGCGTTTCTGACCACCATATTTCTGGGCAATCCACTGGAGCGCAGCATCCACGTCCTCGCCACCGCTGGGGAACTTGGCGCCATGCTTGATCAGTCTGTAGTCGATGATGATGGTTTCAAGGCCGGTCTTCTCGGAGAAAAAATAGCCGAGATTCTGATAGACGAGAGGCTTGGCTTCGCTACTCTTGTCCCCGTTGGCGAAACCACCGCCATAGACGAACACCAGAAGTGGACGAGGAGAACTCTTGTCAGTTACGTCCTCTGATTGCGACGGCGTGTAGAGATCGAGTTGTTGACGTGGGTCAGCACCGTAGGCAAAAGTTGTTTTGTTCGCCGAGAGAATAGCCGAGGCATTTTTGGCGAGCAGTGGTGCGTAGACGCCGTTTGTTGGGGGGATTACAAGCCCAATGGCTTTTCCGAATGGTGGAAGTTGGTCCATGGCTGGAACAGTCTTTGTCGTCGTGTGGGCGGAGGTGGTCGAGGTGCGATGAAAGTGATGATGGGCTCGTTTCTTCCTCAATGTGACACTTTCACTATATGGCAGAAGGATGTTGCTTGGCCACAGGCACCGAGGGGGGACGCAAGCAACCCACAGTCTTCGGGGAAGCACCTCCATCTCTCGGAGGAGTTGGTGTGGATCTGTTGACGATTCCCCCGTACTCATTATTATTATTTTCGACCTTCGTCGGGGGAAGCGGTGGAAGCCGGCTCGGTCCGGGGCAAAATGACCCCCGCAGCCGTAAATATCGACAAGAGCTCCACTCCTATTATTGTTGTTCGATTTTCTTCGGGGGAAGTGGTGGAAGCCAGCTCAGTCCGGGGAAAAATGCTCCCCGCAGCCGTAAACGACGGCAAATGGCGCTCGATGACTGAATAGGACAGACCTATATGGTTCAGGGCAACTCTCTGGGATGTATTGGCACCATACAAGCTTTTGTTCGTCGCCATGAGGATTCAGATTTTGGACTTTGTCCACCAACTTGGGTGGCGGGCTCTACCACTGGCGGGGATTCTTGCGATTGTCGTTTATGTCGTGTACTTGCGATACTTTCACCCGCTGTCCAAGTATCCCGGACCGTTTCTGGCCAGTGTGACCAACTTCTGGAAGTTCTATCAATATTCGACGCTACGCTTCCCGAATACTCTCATCAAGCTTCACGAGAAGTACGGGCCCATCGTGAGGATTGGCCCCAATGACCTCGATTTCAATTACCCAGAGGCTATTGCGCCCATATACAAGACAGGCAAAAAGATGCCCAAGGGTGTCTTCTACAACGCCTTCACCTCATTTGTCCCGAACATATTTGGAACCACGGATGAACACGTACGTTGTGAAGTCCTTGAATCTTGTTAAAGTACAAAATAAAATAGAATAGCAATAGATGAACTGTTGTTCTAACCCAAAAGTCTTTTAGCATCATGCGTTGCGTCGTCGGCAAACCGCTCATGCTTTCTCAGTCAATGCTTTGAAATCAATGGAACCTATATTTAACCAAAACATTTCAAACTTGATATCGAAATTTGGAGCATGCGCGGATTCTGCTGCCATTGTCGACTTGAAGATCGTGTTCACGTACTACGCCTACGATTTGACCGGCAAACTGGCTTTCAATGAGGACTTCAACACCCAAGTCACCGACGACGAGAATCTAGTGCCTCCGTTCAGCGACCACTTCCTCCTTGGAAACATGTATGGAAGCGTGGCCAACCTCCTCCCTTGGATCCGCGACTGGACTGCCTGGCATCCGTTCGTCAAGAGGATCATCCAAAGCCGAAGACAAATGGGACTTCAGGCCGCGAGGTGTGTCAACAAGGCCATCGCCCACCACAAGAAAGACGAGTCTGTGCGAACGCTGCTCACAAGCCTGATTGACGCCAAAGATCCCGAGACTGGCGCGACGTTGACGGCTGATGAGATTAACTCTGAAGCATTTGGATTCCTGTAAGTTTTCTTTTGGTGCTTCGATTGCACACAAAGTCCAGAAAAATTGTTGGCGTCTGACGAGTCCTCTTTCTCTACCTCAGGGTTGCCGGCTCGCATACCACAGGAAGCTCCCTGACGGTCCTCTTTTACTATCTGACGCACAATCCTCACGTATTGGCCAAGATGGTCAAGGAGATTGACGAACGCATCAGCGATGATCAAGAGGTTTACGACTTTGCCGGCTTGGAAAGCCAGCTTCCCTATACCTTGGCTGTCATCCGGGAAAGTTTTAGAATGTCGCCCGTCGCGGCTTTGCTCCTTCCCCGAGTCGTGATTGACCCGCAAGGCATGTTGATTAATGGGCAACTGATTCCGCAAGGTGTAAGTTTCTCTGAGTCTTCTTCAGGATCTACAGTGGATCCACCCAACTGACAACCCCCGGCTGTAGACAAATTGCTGCATGGTCAGCACGGTGATTCACCATAACCACAAGGTCTGGGGACCATCCCACGACGTGTTCGATCCAGATCGGTTCTATCCAGAGAGTCCGATCTACGATCCCGCGCTGGCCGGATATCTGATGCACTTCGGCCAGGGGTATCGCCAGTGCATCGGCAGGAACATCGGCTTGATATCAATCTGGAAGATCGTCATAACGTTGTTCAAAAAGTTCCACTTTGAGGCCGTGGATCCGAACGAACCACTGATCCTGGACCACACTGGAGCAGCAGACAAAGTAGGTCCTCTCCTGGTCAGGGTGACGCGAAGGTAGCGCTCTCCCGTGGAGAAATAGTTACGATTTACAACACTAATGTCCAATGTTGCTGGCACAAGTTGGCCTGATGGTACTTGTAGGCAGACATTTCGGAGGGTAGCACTGGGGGGGCCTTTTTCTCCTACATAGTTTCTGCATCCATCGTCATAGCAATGACAAGTCTGATCATTGAGAGTCTATCTCTTCCCATCATTGAATAGCTGGACTGGAGAGTTTCAGATTTCCAGACCGTTGTTAATTAAGCAAGCTTCTCACGGCAGTCCGTAGACCAACCCTGCCGCTGCAAGTGGACTCAGGATGTGGTTTTTGGAATAAATACGGTTACGTGAAGAAGTACCTCGTTATTAGTCGTGAGGTAACAAGCGACAAGACATGGTTGCTACTACTGTTCGATAAGCCAGCATCCTCAGAAAAAAGTGCAGCAATTTCACTCTCGAGAATCAGGTGCCCAAGGCAATCAATCAAGAAGCCTTATCTTTCTGATTGTGACATTTGGGACCGATGACCATCCATGCACCATGTACGACAACTACCATGAGCTTCTATCTACTGACTATCAAATAGTGGATAGAATACGAGAACCTACAAATGCTTGATCTGCTCCCCATGGGGAACCCCTTTTGCATATGATTTAACCAGTAGTAAAAGTGCAGTGTCACTCAGAGTCGCGCAGCCATTAATAAATTTTTAATGACTCGTTCATTTGCTTGACACTTGTATCTCTGAACTACGTCTTGTCCAAGACTATATATACACTGTCATTTTCAAGGTTTAGACGTCGAATCCCCCATTTGGGAGTTTAGGAGTTTCGGAGTTTCCTAAGTTCTTTTGACCAAGTCTACACCTCGTCAAAGTTGACACGACCGTCGTTGTAGTCAACTATAGTGCTGACCATGTCATCGGGGATGCCTTTGAGAGCAAAATAGACGAATGTTTTGGCCGGGACATCTGGCGAAAGCAATTCTCCCCTATCATGGACGCCCTTGAGCCACTCATATGTACTTTTGGGTAGGTCGTCCTTGACTGGCGGGCGATGTAGCAGATTAGCACCAGGGTTTCTTTTTGATAACACCATCGATGAATTCAATGGTTGTGGAAAATGATGCCTTGAAAGGGGGAGGGATGGCTTACGTTCGGTCCGGACTGCGGTCTGCATACCTGTGTCGACAATGCCAGGTCTGACACACACGCTACGGACGGTAGGGTCCTCTTTTTGCCAGCACAGGTTGATGTAGTTCATGGCAGCCTTGGAGGAACCGTACGAAGACCACTCGGGAAAGGGCCCTAGAGAAACACCGCTGGTGGTCATGATGATTGTGCCGCCGGTCTTGTGCAGATGGGGAGCGGCGACTTGGATCTGGAAACAACATGCCACAAGCCATATTGCATCGTTAGAGAATTGAGATTGTTCCTCCTTACCCTCACTGAGGGATGGCATGATCCACACGTGGGATGGGAGAGCTTACCGAATGTACTAGGGCGAAGAAGTTGATGTCCATTACTCTTTTCCAGGCTGCAACGTCTACGGTCAACATTGATCCCACGGGCCCTTGGATTCCGGCGTTCAGAATGATCGAGTCCAACCGGCCTGACCGCGAGATGGCAGCTGCAACACCTGCTTCGCTCGTTGCACGGTCGCTGATGTCCCCTGCAATGACCTCCAACCGGCCTTCATGCTCCGGTAGCAGTCCCCGAAGTCGATCGACATGAAGGTCAATCGCCACGACCAGCGCCAGTTTCGTCACTGGCTGGGCCAAAAATTGCTTCGTGATTTCATACCCGATTCCTCCATTGGCGCCGGTCAAAAATCTGGCACACTCGGGTCAGCGCAGACCGAATAAACGAGGAATGAAAATGGTTAGGCGGAAAACGTGGGCACTGGAGATGTGGAGTAGTTTTTGTTTAGGGATGGAAAATGCTCACACAACACGTCCAGTCATCGTTGCTTCGAATTCGAAATAACTTGCCAGCTCACAGCTTTAGAGTGTGGTAGGTTTACCGGTGCTTCAAAACTTGTTCTAATATAATAGAACAATTCTGCCAGGTTGGTGTGTACGATACTATGTACAGTTCACACCCCAGACACCCGAATTCCGGAGTTTCGCTGGGACTCGGAGAACCACCTCCAAGCCCCCTTTTTCTGAGCTCGTGACGAATCCCGATGTTTGCGGCTCGACCGAGAGACTCTTTCCACCTCAAAGTCCTTATTAGTCTCTTTTCACGGGCACACCCATCTCCAATATACGATACTAGGCTGCTATGACTTTGCTTCATGCGTCTTATTTCAACTTGAACCGGTTGTGAGCCTTACATCTACCGGAACGGGAACTCGTCTCATCCGCAAAGCCAGCGTGTAACGACACCCTAGATTCATCCTCGCCTAGACATACGATATCTCTAGTGACTCAGTGAGCAAAGGACGAGATAAGGAAACGGATAACCTAGCGTCGTTGGAAGGACACTTCGCATAAGGGGGTTCAATAGACCACATTGTGTCAACTATCTCATTACAGGGCTATTCTCAGTGAAGGCCCCGACACTGCGTCCTAAGGGGTCTCAAGCATTTGACAATTGAGCATTAACGCTTTTCTCGTGCCAGTCTCTCTTCTGAGGGATAATTTCGATGATGTATCCATCCTGTGACAGTAGTTAGCCTGCTTGCTTGGTCACTTCTCCTAGAACTAACTTAGAGGAAGGACTCACCGGATCAAATACGTGCACAAAGGACTTAACGATTCTGTTGAACTCGGGAGCCAATCCGTCTTCGTCGCCTAGACCTACGCCTTTTTCGGTTTCCCAGGAAGTGATGGGCAATGTCGCACGATCAGAAACCCCTAGAGGTTTGAAGACCTTTACGCCATGCTCTTCGAGCCGTGCGACCGTGGCCTTGACGTCTGGGACGGTAAAACCTAGGTGGCCAAAGCCCAAAGCTGGAACCACGTTGCCAGTCCCCGTATAATACCCCTCTGGCTGTTTTTCAGAGCCATGAACGTGCATGAGTTCTAAAAGGCCTGAAGTGAATTGCGTTCGAAGTGCTGTTTCCCGACTGAACTTGGCTAGATCCGCTCGGTGCTCTGTGGTTTGAGGATGCGTGAGATAGTAAGTCGTAATGGGACCGGCATTGATGGTAAAAATGGTTCGCATTCCCAACAAGTTCTTGTAGAAGAAGAGCGACTTCTTAGGGTCGCGCACCCGGAGCATGCAGTGATTCATCCGGATGCCCACGGTAGGGTCGTCTTCAGGTAGAGGAGGCTCATCAGGATGGCTGCCCACATTGAGCTTACCCCATTCCAGAGGGCATGATGCTGTTGGATCGGGATTGACCATGATGGCGCGACGACGGCAATTTGATAGGTGTGGTTTCTTCTTTTGGGGTTCTGGTTAGCAAACGAAAGCAAGAGCAGGAGGATCACGCCGGGACTGTACTATGTATACCTCAATTTCGAAACGATATTTTGAATCTTTTCAGCATAGTGGCTGTTGTACGACGTCGATCGACAAAAGGACGATGTCCAATCCAGCAATCGGCACCCGAGTGTGCGTGCTGTACTGTGAAGTGAAGTGGTGCTCGGGGTAGATGCCGATGCTTACCAACAACCCCTGGGGACAGTCGGAATGCCATGTGGTGGGTTTGGGGATGTTCACTTCTCCGTACGGGGTAGACTCCAGCGAACCAGAGGCTGTGGGGTCGTCGGCATGGAATGTGGTGCTTAGATTTGCGAATTCAGCCTCTCCATACGGCTATGACGGCCTGAGGCCGTCCGGTGACATGCATTCCCAAATGCTTCGTACATGTGAAGTATAAGGATGGCTTCAGAGTGCTTGCTAGTTCCGACGTTCCTTCCTCTTTGGTAGATTGACATTGCCTTTTAGTCGTTTCCCTCACTGGATTACAATATCTCAAAAACGAAACCATGGTTGAACAAACATTAGCTGGAAAAGTAGCCCTGGTAAGCGGTTCCGCCTGGGGTATTGGCGCCGCAATATGCGTTGAGCTTGCTTCCAAGTAAGTGCTTTGTTTGCCCTTTGTCTGTGTACTTTGGTGGGCGGCAGTAGCTGAGATTGGGTCTCAAACAGAGGCGCACTGGTGGTGTGCAACTATCCCTGGGACAGCCAGGCTCAAGATGCCGAGGGTGCACTGGAGCGATGTCGCCAGACCAAAGGGGCTCAAGTCAATGAGTGCTTCACAGTCGAGGCCGACCTGCAAACGCTGGAAGGGCCGCAAAAATTCGTCGACGACGCAGTTGCTCGCCTCAATGGCCGGAAGATTGATATCCTGATCAACAATGCCGGCATCGCGATCATGAAGCCATTGGTCGACGCAACGCTAGAGCAGTGGGACAAGCAAGTAAGTTTAAACTGCAGAGGCATGTTTCTTCTTACGCAAGCTGTTCTACCACACCTGTCGAGAAAGAATTGTCGCATTGTCAACGCCAGCAGCGCGGGAGCCCGCTTGGGAACAGCTGGTTCGACAATCTACAACGGTTCGAAAGCCATGGTAGAAGCGTTCACGAGGTGCTGGGCTGTGTAGGTCTACCTCAACTCCTTCATGTTCTTCAAGTTCCTCCTCTGGATCGGCCTAACTAACCCATTTCCCCTCCAGCGAGTTCGGCCGTGATTACGACTGCACTGTCAATGCCTACTGCCCAGGACCGACAAAGACCCATGGATTCTCACATGCAGGGGAGAAGTTCCTTGCATCACTCCAGCCAATGTTGGAAGCAACTCCCAAGGCGGGAAGAATGGCTGACCCGTCCGAGATTGCGGGTGCTGTAGGTCTCCTGTGTGAAGAAAAGGCAGGCTGGGTCACAGGCGTGTGTATTGGGGTGAGTGGGGGTTTCCACATGGCGTAAGGCTCCAGTTACGAGGGCATTGCTACGTTAAACATATTAAATTCAACCGTGTTGAGCTCAGACATAGAAGGATTCAGAAATCAGGATAGCTAGCTGAAAATCTGTCGCTGACATGCCTTTGACGTCCACAAGAGCTCCTCGTATCGAGTTGTAGCACCAGCGGAAGGGTTATCAACCCTAGATTGATAAGGTAGAGCACCACCTTGAGTACGCTTCTGGGCACCCTTATGGCTACTATCAGTGATTCTTCGTATGTAGGTGTTACTTTTAACGAAAGTCTCTTTGTTTCAAGTAGGACTTTCGCTTAGCGTATTACTTTTTAGGCGTGATTACCATTAACTAGAACTTTTCTCTTATAGGCGGTTGATGGAGAAGTAGTTAGGAGTGTCTGGGTAGTAAGGGAAAACCGCCGATCTCCCCTACGTGGTCAATCTCCATTAATAATCCCACAGTGCATTTCCGCCGCAGACAACGGCCCTCGGCACACGCCGGGATGTCCTCCTCGGGATAGACATGGTGCTGAGATGCGTGTGAATGAACTTCGATCCACGCTCTCACCTTGTACGGACCACATCAACGCCCGATGAGACAGTCACAGGGCCATCAAGCATTACTAATTGGCGAAGAAGAAGAAGAATGTCATACTTGCTTCCTGTCGTGAACGTGAGCCTTTCCCGGTCTTTATGTGAGCTGTTCCCGATCAGTCGTCGGTCACTGTCTTCAATCTCCTTGTTGCATAGCCATTCACATAGCCGCCGTTTGGACGTTAGACATTACCACCACATCAGCTTTCGAGACACCATGAAAGCAGTCATTGCTCAGAACAAGGCCCCCGTCCTGGTGACGGACCGACCGCAACCCAAATTACGACCCGAGTATGTTCTCATCCGTCCGGTCGCCGTTGCTCTTAACCCAACGGACTGGAAACATGCCGCTATGGGCATTGCCGACGATGGAAACCTGCTGGGCTGCGACTTTGCCGGTGTCGTCGTGGAAGTAGGTTCGGCTGTGACGAAGCCTCTGAAAGCTGGCGATGAGGTCCTGGGCGTCGCGCATGGCGGCTGCCCCGAGCAGCCCGAGGATGGCGCCTTTGCAGAGTACATTGTTGCCAAAGGCGACACCTTGATTCGGAAACCGGCGAGCCTGAGCTTCGAGAAAGCGGCAACTCTCAGCTTAGGTGCCATTACTTGTGGTCAGGGTCTCTTTCAAAAAGGCTTGAAGTTGAAGCTCCCTGGTGAAGGTGGTGTCCAGGGGAAGCCGTTTGTATTGATCTATGGAGGCACCACGGCGACAGGATCCCTTGGTATCCAATTCGCGACATTGTAGGCTCTCTAGTTACACCTTTAGAGGCTACAGGAGACGTTTCGCTAATCCGCGTTCAGGGCCGGTTACTCTGTGGTTACCACGACTTCGAAAGCCAATATCCAGCGCGTCAAAGACCTCGGAGCTGTCGAGGCCTTTGATTACAACGAGGCTGGTGTCGGAAGCAAAATCCGGGATTACACCCAAAACGGTCTCAAATACGCGTGGGACACATTTGGCAAGGAACAGTCTTCCCAGGTGTGTGCCGACGCGCTCTCGTCCGAAGTTGGTGGAGTCTACGCTTGTATACTCCCGACCAAATCACCCCGAACGGACATCCCATCAATCAGCACCGTCATGTACACCATGTTCGGGGAGAAATTCTCCATGAAGGGCAACGTGTTCCCTCCCTCAGCAGAGGATTGGGAGTTTGCGAAGAAGTTCATGAATTTAACCGAGCAATTAATTGCTGAGGAGAAGTTGAAGACACACCCAGAGGTTGTTGGCCATAATGGCTTGCAAGGTGTAGTGGAAGGACTAGCCTCTTTGAAGGCCGGTGAGGTTAGGGCAAAGAAGTTGGTCTATCGCGTGGCAGAGACTCCTTAGTTATAAGTGTTGGGAAGAGACTAAGAAGCCGCCCAAAATTGAAGAAAAAGAACTGTATTGTTCTCTCACTCGATGACTATCGCTAACAACTCTTTTCGTGGTGACTTTTCGACCACCGCATTTGTGGCATCGCCCCTGTAGGCCCTAATACTATCGTGTGAAAAAGGTTCACCGCCTGTAAGCCATACGTCCTGTCACGATCTTGTCAAGAAAAGGTTCTCTCTTCGATCAGTCCGCCCCATGATGCCTTTTTACTGATGTGACTCGTTAGCCACAAAGTCACCAACCAGGAAATGCGCCCGACGATTGGTAAAATTGGGCACGTCCTGGAATACGTTCTTGGATGCCTCGTCGGCCACCGCGTTTTTGATGCTTTCTTTACTGTCCCACGTCAGGATGGCACCGAGGTTATAGCGCTTGCTGCCGTCGAAGCTTGTGTCGTAGTTGATCAATTGATAGCCTCGGAGACCATGCTTGCTCCAATATTTCATAACAATCGGCATGTGTACGTCAACGTAGTACTTGAGGTCGAAAGTGGCGCCTTCGTCATTAGGATACAGGACCGTGGAATTGTAGACCATTATGCCGGTGGTTTTGGTGCCGACTCCAATCTTGTAGCTATTGGCGATGATATTCTCTTGGTGCCGGTAGGGAAAGCAGATGTGTTGCTAGGGTGAGTTGAAACGGGTAGAAAGCTGTAGCAGCACCTTGGGTTGCCCTTCCAAATAATCTGGGAGCAGCTCCTTTCACACACATCATCTTTAAAGCCAACCACCACCGAATGCTCCCCAGACTCTTAGTTGAGGGGGTTCTCCGCCACCGGATTTCTAGAAAGGATGCCACCCATGCTCCGAACTCCACAGTGGGCCTTCGGGGTTTTCGTGTGGTCCATGGACCCAAGAAGCATCATGATCCAACTGATCCGACTTTGGTTGTACGAGGTATCCCTTGTGGTGCGCATTAATCGTACGGATTATAATTCACAGTGAGCACTATCCCTTGAAGGATCCTTGGAAAAGAGCTCGTGAGAAGAAGCCTCACTCCACGACAAGCAACCCGTCAGTGCCCACAACGGCTCCTCAACTCCAAAATGCCCACGTTCAAGGTGTCGAGGGGATTTGAATACTCCTACATCATTCGGCGGCCAGTATCAGCTCCCAAGGGTTGGCTGCTCTTCCTGCATGGCTACCCTTCCATCGCCCACGAATGGCACTATCAACTGGATCATTTTCACAACGCTGGCTACGGGGTGATTGCGCCAGATCTCCTGGGCTCTGGGCACACTTCTCGGCCCGCCGAGGTAGAAGCCTATCTGTATAAAGATATGGCCAAGGACGTCGTGGAGATTCTAGATCATGAGGCAATTGATCGAGTTTTCGCCGTGGGCCATGACGTGGGTTCGCTTTTGCTGGCTAGGCTAGCAGTGTACTTCCCGGAGAGGGTAGAGAAACTGGGCTTCGTCGCCGTCGGCTACCGTCCGCCAGGGGCTCCTGTCAGTGTTGATCGCATGAACGAGATGACAGCAAAAGTGATCGGATACCCGGCTTTTGGCTATCAGGTGTTCTTTACCAGGAACCCCGACGCTGAAGTGATTCTCAATCAGCATGTGAGTGTCCAGTTGTTCAAGACTTCGATCGACCCATGAACGATCAAAAGGAACTGATGGTGGCAACAACTTACAGAAAGAATCCCTCTTGTCGTTACAATACGCACAGGATCCATCTTTGTGGAAGGACCACATGTGTCCTGTTGGAGCCGTGGAGGAGTGGGTTCTCGCCGATAGACAGGCGGCCTGGGGGGAATTTCTTACCGAAGAGGTTCTGAAACCCACCATTTGACCGACCACGCGACTGTACTGACAAGTGGCCCCTTAGGATCACCGAGTCCGCAGAGAAGAAACTGCAGATGAACTGGGCGGCTTACCGACGTTGGCATGGTACAAAGCTGCTGCCTGGAACTTGAACTATGAAGTCGAGAAAGGTACAGTCGAAATTCTCGATACCAGAAGTCATGAACCAGATCAGCTAATGAACTGGCTCAGACCTTGCAGAGGAGGCGAAGTATTTGCACCAACCCACGATCTACATTACATGCGCCAACGACTACATTGCCGTCCCTCGTGCCCAGCTGCCACAAATGACACCCTGGGTTCCCAACCTGGAGGTCAAAGAGCTCGATACGGGCCACTGGGCATTTTTACAGCGTCCCGAAGTGGTCAATGAGGCTTTAGAAGCGTTCTTTTCCAAGTGAGTCGGGACTCGACATATGAGACTCTGGACAGCGCAAACATGGCCGGGGGATGTACTCTGTGCACCACCCGCCACCCCAGACTAGAGCATTCCTCCCATATAGATCTATAGCATTCCTCCCATATAGATCTATAGCATCAGATGGTGCCAATCAATCTTTCACCACGCAACGTTTTGAAAGCACAAATGAACACCACGAGCGAATACAAGATGTGTGGTTACACCGCAGTTGCGTCAAAGTGCTGTGGCACAGCCCCCAGCCTTGTGGGTCACCCCCGATTCTCAAACTTGTACCTAAAGCAGCCCCCAGATAGGGAGTATCGACCTTTCTCACCATGTTATCACTCTGCGTATTTCTTTAGGCCTTCCTAAAATCACACCTCCGGACGAGTTTGAGTACACAACCATGGTAGAAGCTGTGATGGCTTTATCCTCTGGTCAGCAAAGTAAGGTTTTGGACAAGCTCCAAAACGTGCGGGAATGGATCTGATCATCTCAGCAAGCTCCTTTTTTGGGTCTCCGGTCTTTTGTAATCGGGGATTTTTTGATTACAGCCGCGCCATGGGAAACACATAATTTGAAGAGTAAGATCCTTGTTGCGTTGGCATATATATTCATGCAGGTAGGAATCCGCCATATCTGAGATCTGAGGTCGTCGTCAGGAAACTAGCTATCGAGACTTTACTGGAACCGCCGCGGGACAGATTGCTACTCAGTCGGCATCAAACTGTCTTGTCCAGGATGCTGTCCTTCCTTCGACCAACTCAGCCTCGGCGCACAGACATATCGAAACTCAATCCTATCCCCTTTGAAGATGGCCGCTCGGTCGTCAAGTTCCACCCACCGGGTTCGTCCTTTGCCATGACACACACCATACCACCTACGACGCCGGGGAACGGGCCGTCGATTCTTCAGCCTCCATTCCATTACCACATCTCCCAAGCCGAAAGCTTCGTTGTTCGATCTGGCAGGGGCGGATTCTGGCTGGGGACCAGTGCCGAACCATTCGTTACCCTCTCCACAGACCTTGGACAGTCGTCGACGGCCGCAATCCCGCCGAAGCGCCGTCACAAATTCGAAAATGCGTCGCAGACGGATCCTCTCGTGGTGGACGTCCGACTGGACCCAGAAAAACACGATCAGGAGCAGCGTTTCTTCCGCAACTTCTTTGGATATCTGGACGATTGTCGCAAAGCCAACTCTGCACCCAGTCTTTTCCAGCTCATGGTTTTCCTGCACGCCGCAGACACGCCACTCGCGCTGCCCGTGCCCAACGAAACGCTAGCATTCTGGGTCAGCAGAGCATTTCTGATCGTGATGGCGTTCTGGGGACGGTGGATGCTGGGATACAAAGATAGCTACCCGGAGTATTACGAAACACCCAAGTCGAAATGAACGAGCTACGATGGACCCTTTACCTGCTCCAGTCCTGCTGCGCAAGTCATTTTTCTGTACAGACTTCAATCTCATCAATCGTGACATAAGGTAACCAGAACAATACCTGCCTCCGTAGTAATCTCGAAAAAATTCCCAATTCGAGCTATTGTACTGCATACCTTCCCTTAGCCTGACGCAAAACGCTCAACGCCGAGAAGGAAAAAAAAGACGCAGGTCACGCAGCACTCTTGAGAATTTCGCTTTCGTCGACATCCTTGATCCACTTGAGAAAGAATCCCACATCCTTCGCGATCGCGCCCGGTACACCCAACTTCTGCACCCACATTGGCAGATTTCCTCTGGCATCGCTCGCGGTAGCCATGATCCACTCTATCTCTTCCGTGTCGCGGTGCCTCCTCACGACCTCGACAGCCGTGTAGGCACCCATGACCACAATCTTCTTTTTCTGGGTGTCCTCGCCCTCGCTGAGGTTCCTCATACTCGAGTAAAACCCGACTTTCTTCTTCTTGTTCTTCGCGGCATCAGGGTGACGATTTGCACTAGCCAGGTCCACTGGCACCGTCACGGCGACAATCTCTTCATCTTCGCCGCCGCCACCAGGGCCCTTGCTCGCCGTGACGACCAGGACGCAGAAACACCTCGGCGTCAACGGCGCCGGGAGGGCATGGCACATCTCGTACACGCCCATGGTCGGGTTCCTGAACTTGTCGTGCAGCCGACCCTCGCCGTCCAGCTTGTTGATCTGCCCGGCCCAGTCGACCACCTTCCTCGCGTCGTACAGCGGCGGTGTGAACTCCATCTCGTGCTTGCTGTGCTCGTCGCGGATCCCAAACACGAATTCGTCCCAGCTCGCGTGCCCGACCTTCTCCTCGCTCTTGCTGCTGACGTCGGCGTGCACGCTGCGCCTTGCGAACCAGTGCTCGCCCTCGGCTTTCTCGGGTTTACTTCGTGAAATCGCCGCACCACCACCACCACCACCACCACCACCACTATGATTCTGCGCAGAGGAAGGTCTTGTCCACTTAACCTGCGCGATCGAACTCGCCGGTATGGAATGTGTCAGGATATCCACCTTCGCCGCAGAAGGAGGGGACATCTTGGTGGATTGGTGTTTGAACTTGGCTTGGAAACTAGACGGGGACAGGAACGACACGCCGTCTTCAAGGAGCGCCGTGAGGAAGGGGAGCAGCTCGGCCGAGGAGCCTGGCAAGTCAGGATGGCATGGGAGATCGCTGGCTTGCAACGGAGCAAGGCGGATAAGATTACTCGGAGAGGATGAACCCGAATTTGATGATGAAGATTCACCCGCCATTGTGCTTGTCTTCCCGAGTTATTTGGCTTTTAGGATGGTGATGGTGTCGGGCAAGAGTTCAAGTCTCGACGCCCTGCTATGAGGGTGTTACATGCTGGGCTTGATGCCGGAATGCGCAGTACGTCTCACGAAAGTCGATTAGGCTAGCAGGTACGCATACGGAGTAGACGAAAGGATAAAGTCATGGCCATCCAGTGACGCGGTACATGACTCGTGGTTTGGCAGGTTTCAGGGGCATTTTGAATCATGTAAGGCTGAATATAAGCATCGGTCAAGCTTCCACATACGGTACTAAAGCCTGTAGCATTTGTTGCACATGGTCAACCTCCATAATCATACAATCTTGTCCATAATCTCGTAGACACTGCATTACGAGACGATAGACATCTCCCTCAACTGTGTCATGGTGACCATTAATCATATCATCAGTGAGCGTCATTGTTAGACCTTCTTGGGACTCTCTGGCTCCTCTGCCGCCTCGACTCGCACCAGAATTTCTTCTAGAAAGCCTTCCAAGAACTCTGTTACACCGCCACTCATGCCAACAGGGAATTCTTCATCACAACGTTGGATCTCTTGAAAGATAGCTGCGGCTTTTGCGGCCAAGCGTCGTACTTTCTCGTGGGTCTGCACCCTCTGATGCTGGATTTCAGCTGCTGCAGGCGATCCTTGCTGTCTGGTCCGACTAAGCTCCTTCAGCATGTAGCTTCGACGATGGATTGCAGCCTCAAGTGCTGGAACAATCACAGAATTGAGAGCAGTAAGCTCGTCGTTCGGGTCCTCTTTCGAATGCTGATGAGAGGGACCTCCCGAAGTTGGTTGCGTTAGAGGTGTTGGCTTATTCGTCTTACTCGTCAAGGGTTGTGACGGTGGTTGATCAGTCGATGATATACCAAGTTGTGATCCTGGTACGGGTGCCAAGTCTTTGGTTGAAAAGGAGGGCAGAGGCTGCTGGGCAACCGTCGTCAATGGTGCCGCTGGTTTTGCGGGGTTGAGAGGCTCTCCTCTCCCTGGCTTACCTCTGAAGGGCGGAATCTCTGGAATGACCATGTGAGGCTTCTTGTTGCGTGGAGTTGACCCTTGCGAAGTAGGGCTGTCTGAACCATCGATCTTCAGAAATGCCATGTCCTTGGCTAGTTGAGCCTGAAACGCTTTGTTATATTCGTTGGAGTCAGGGCTGTCTTTGTGTTCTTGTGACGTAGAGACCTGAGTCTTAACTGGATTGGCCGGTGTCTGCGGCACAGACAAAGGAGTCGAGCTTTTCGGTGGGATAGCAGGGGTAGATAGCTGAGAGGGGACTGGAGCTCCGCTAGAACTCGTTTCCCTGGTTGGTGAAGGTGGCAAGGGAGCTTTCGCCGGAGTAGGGAACGCCCCCTTAACAGGAGACTTTTGCGGAGACGAGGGAACTTTGACAGTCTCGTCCCATTCACCCTTGTTTCTCGAAGCTGGTGGCTCCGCAGACGCTCTCGCGTTAGCGTCAGAGTCATTCATTGGGCGAAGTCCAGCTCCTCGACCACCCACAGGTCGAACGGTTCCAAAGTCCCAGAGATCTTCATTCTCTGAGGCATGAGACTGTTGGGCGGGTACCTCGTCTTCATCCTCATCATCTGAAGATCTGCTGCCGTGAGTTGCAATGTATCTTTCATTGCGTTCGATTAGCTCAGTCAGATACGTTGTTTTCTTCGCCTTCCGTATGAAAGGGTGCTTCAGCAATTCTTTCGCCGATGGCCGTTCTCGAGGGTCCCTCCTGAGGCACAATTCAACGAAGTCCTTAAATGTACGAGAAAAGCTCCCTTGTAGAGTTGGTGGTGGGTTTTTGGGGATCAGGAAGAGAACCTTCATGGGATGAATGTCGGCATATGGAGGCTCCCCTTGAGCCAGCTCGATGGCTGTGATACCAAGAGACCAAATGTCAGCCTTGTGATCATAGCCAGACTGTTTGATGACCTCTGGCGCCATCCAGAATGGGGTCCCGACAAAGGTATTTTTCTTGGTCATAGTGGCTGACAGTTGTCCAGAGACACCAAAGTCCGCAAGCTTGACCTGCCCATTCTGCCCCAAAAGAACATTGGCCGCTTTGATATCCCGATGCAGTTTCTTGTCGCCATGTAGGTATTCGAGTCCCATCAGCAATTCTCGAAGGATGATACAGATGTAGTCTTCGTGGATCATGCCTGGTCTCATGAGATCTGAACAGCTACCGCCTGAGCAAAACTCCATGATGATCCATAGATCAGAGCCTTTCAAAAAAGAGCCATGATACTTGGTGACATAAGGAGACTGCAACTCCGAAAGTATGGATATTTCTTGTATAATGTCCTCGACCTCATCTTCAGCGTTCTCGACATCTATAATCTTGATTGCCACGGCGTGCCCAGTTCGCTTGTCAACGCCCTTGTATACTTTGCCAAAACTACCGCCTCCAATGCAATTCTGCTTGGTGTACAATTCTTCTGGGTCCATGTTTGTGAGGAATGAGCAGGCGGAGGTATGTTGGGGGTTGTTACGGCTGGACGAAGATATCGGAGGGGTTTCAACCTAGAGCCACTCCAGGGTCCGTGAGGACAGTATCCGGGGATGTGAATTGTCTGCAAAGAAGGTGTCGCAACTGATTCAAGAGGGTGGTTACTAGGATGTCAGCAGGCGCCGTGCCAGAGTGCCCCTGCCTTCTATGCGCGTTGCTTTCTATCGTGATGGATCGTTAGGGCGTGAATCATTGCTGCCTCATGACGCGCCAGGACGTTAGCTCATCGTACCGTGTGTGCTCATACATTTGCAGGTGCATCTCTGGGAATTGAAACAACTTTACGGCGTGTTTACTCACAGACCGCAATCGGGTGCGCGATGCCACTGATCGCTCTGATTGGCTGAACACCCCTATTGGCGGGCAGAATCGATGGCCACACAACACCCGCAACAGTCAACTCTTGGAAACGTTCAGGTTACAGACATCAGGATCTCATGATTGCTCGTCCGAGACGATAGACCTGTACGATGTTCTTCGCGTAAAAGAATAGGCCAGGCGGGCGCCTGACTGGCATTAGTAAGTCGCCTAAATCTTGTAATGCCTCGCCATGCACCTCTCCAGCCCCTGGAACAAGATCTCTGGCGGAACTTCAACTATGAGTCTATTGTATCAACGACCATCTACTCCACAAACTCCACCATCACAGTTCCATTTTTCAATCCTGCAGCTTCGATTGTCTCTTGCCGAGAATCGATGAGATTCTTTCCCATAGACACCAATTCAAAGTCCTGCCCCTCTCTGCCCTCCAAGGGTTCGGCCTTCAGAAATTCATATATTCGTTGTACAGGATCGGCTTCGCCAAATCGTCGCACGATCCTACCGCCTGGGTGTCTGATCTGGACTCGCGTAATGCCAGGGCCAGCAGGAGGTTCCACATGGGGACGGTCAGAAGCAATCTGTGAAAATGGGGATGTTTCGCTCGTCGTGGCTGCGCTAGGGTCGTCCAGGTCCATAGCTTCTGCAATTGATGGAGCTTCTGCATCTCGTACATCTCCAATACTCCTTGTGAGGGCGTCGGGATCCTCTGCAGCAGATGACCCGGGTTCTACAATCTCCTGGGATCCAAGACTTGCTTGCAATGCTCTTTCGAGTTGTTCTTCCTCAGTCAATTGATCCAGAGGCTTCTCCTTCTTAGCTTCTGATTTGCGCTTAGCAACAGGATTTCGTGCATTGTTGTCCAAACTGTATCGATCAAGGAATTCGTGAAGTTGCATTAAAAACTCTGCCGGCGATGGTACCTTTCGTGACCATAGCTTGATCTGTTCGCCTGTTCTAGGATCCACGATCGCAACATGAGGATACTCATCCTGGTTCTCGTAGGTCGGAAAATAATATTGGATGTACTGGCCAGCACGTGGGTCGTCCTTGTTGTATTGAATGAAGACAAAGTTCTCTTTGACTGTGTCGACAATACCCTCGTTCTTCCACAGATCGCGGTTTAGCGCTTGGCAGTCAAATATGGATGGGTCTTGGATATCGACCAACAGCCATTTTTTGTGTTCTTTGCCTTCGCCTCGAGCAGCATCCCATTCTCCTTTAAACATCAACTCCCAAGGGGGCTGAAAAAGTCGGGCGAGCCTGGTGGATCTCGATGAAGCCTCAGATGCTCCTCCGGTGGACTCTGCAAGAAAGCCTCTTCCAGCCTCGGCTTCTCTAACATCCCGATCCCAGATGCTTGATGGAGGCTCATGTTGGTTGAATATGCCAGGACGAACTGTGTGGCCGTCAGTCATGTTGGTACTTACTCCAGATGCAGACCAACCTTGATTGCGTCTCCTTTGAAAAGAACGTAACCTCTCCTCTAGTGCTGCATCATACTCTGGTCCGGCCGCAGGAAAGGGATCCGCGCCAGGACCGACTAACGTCTCGACTTGTCGGGCAATGGGGGCTCTGACATTGTGCTCTACATCATTGCTGCCATACATCTCCTCTTGTAACCGCCTCGCCATCGCCTCGTCGTCTTCAAAGTCATTCGTAGGTCGTGAGGAAGCAGCGCCTCGTGATGCTTTCCTGAAGCCAGTAATCTCGGGATCATTGTCATCGGAAATATGCTCATCTGCGTCTAAGTTGATTGGGTTCTGAGCATCACCCGTTTGGAAGGAGCTTGTGGAGGGTTGAGGCTGTGGAAAGGCGACGCCGAGATCTGCGCCACCGTTTTCGAAGAACAACTGAACCGCTTGGTTGGGGTCTCCATCGGCGAGCTGGACATATTGCGCGGCGATTTCTGGAGTCGACCCAGTGACGGTGATGACCGAGGCAATCGCTTCGTCCATGTTGAGTAGGAGGTTATTGAGACTGGAGAGGATATGGTAGATTGGAGATAAATCCCCGGAGGAGGATCAATACGTTTGGGACGACGGACTCTCACTAGAGTCTCAAGGATTAGAAGTCTTCATGTGAGAGAAATCTCGTGGATCGTGATACCAGAAAAGTCAGACCGAAGTTCAAGACACCGATGTAGTTGAATATCTCGAGAACAGGTAGGTATGGCAAGTCCAGGCAAACACCACAGAGGCCCAGCGTGAACGCAGTTTGACTATGACGAAAACGCTCCGGGCGCCTATCGGTGACAACAGGACCGGCCTAGTGAATCTCATCGGATGCAAACTCGCCAAGAAACGCGAGGTAAGGCGTCGGTCAGCGCCACAAGCCCCTTCAATAACCGCCGAGGCTGAGGAACGCATCTGCGTTTCACGGGCGAGTGGTTCACCTTAGACAGCGCTTAGCGTTTAAGCGCGCTCTGTGGCTGGAGCCCTGTCACGGCGGCTGGGCCAAGCTTCAATCTACGCGTCGACGCGTCTGCATGACTCGTGAAAAGGCAAGTCGCGCCCGTGGTCGTTCCTTCCTTCGTACATCCTTCTCCAACTCGACAACTGCAAGCAAAAGCAGCAACGACCACATCGATGGCGGCCTCAGTACTTGGAAAGCGCTCTCGAAGACTTATAGACGAGGAAGGTATGTGCAAAAGCTGATTCGAGCTGGTGAACTTCCGTTGACATTACCCCGTGTAGATATCTCATCTCTTTCTCCTGTCCCCAAGAGACGGACGCGCCGTTCTGCACCCCAGATATATGAAGACACCGATGGAAAGAAACACTTGGGGGAGCAGCCTTCCCCAAGCAAGCACCAAAGTCCTGTTCAGACTCGCTCTGTCAGACATCGTATTGAAAAACCAAAACGTATCGAACCAGACAGCCTGGTAGACAGCAAAACAACCGCAATCGAGATCCAAGATGAAAACACTACACCTGCAGCTCTCTCAACACCAACAACGACCACACGCTTCAAAAATGCACTTGCAACGCCTCCATGCACACCAAAGCACCGCGTACGACTTGGAGCTCGGTTCCTCACGCCACGATCAGCACGTACTTCGACGCATTCGAGACAAAATGTTTACTCGCAGGCGAGACAACTTTTCACCCAAGCATCGAATGGAAAAGTCATTGGCCGTGAACCAGAACGAAAACGGCTAACAGAGTTCATAACCAAGGCCCTCGAGACTAAGAAGGGTGGCTGCACTTATGTTAGCGGACCTCCAGGGACCGGCAAGAGTGCCTTGATCCAGGAGATCATGCAAGATTTCCAGGAGAAAAATGTTAAGCTCGCAACCATCAACTGTGTCGCTTTCAAGTCTTCCAACGAGGTTCTCACAAGTTTTGCTCAAGAATTTGGCTGTGGCGGTGGCAATCAAAAGGCAACCAAGGCCAGCCTCTCGAGGCTGTTCACCGCGCAAAAGGGAAGTTCCGACATGCATCTGGTATTACTGGACGAAGTCGACACCCTTCTGAGTGGCGAATGCGAAGTGCTGTATAATATCTTCGAGTGGGCGATGCATCCAACTTCCTCCCTCATTCTAATAGGCATCGCTAATGCCCTGGATTTGACTGATCGATTTCTCCCTCGGCTGAAGGTGAAGAACCTCAAACCAGAACTTCTTCCATTTCTTCCATACGATGCGCAGCAAATCTCGAAGATCCTCTCCGAGAAGCTGCGAACACTACTACCTGCTGACAGCACAGCACCTCCCGATTTCATTCCTTTGATCCACCCGGCAGCAGTGCAGCTCAGCAGCAAAAGGATTGCATCTCAAACTGGAGATCTCAGGAAAGCATTCAGTCTGATTCGCCGGGTAATCGATAAGATTGAGCAGGAAACGCTCGCCAAATTGAGTTCAAGCCAGACAACTCCAACGAAACAGCCTCTTGTGGAGGTGGGAAATCTGCAGAAAACGATTGAGAGCCGCTCTGTCCTGTCGCAACTGACCATAGAAACGGCACCTCGAGCCAGCCCAGCCCACGTTGCAGCAGTTGCTTCCAGCATTTTCAACAATACCACCGTGTCCCGACTGAGTGGACTGAATCTCCAGCAAAGAGCGGTACTGTGTTCTCTAGTAGCGTCCGAAAGTCGACAGAGACATTGTGATCCATACACAACACCTTCAAAGTCACAATCGCGAATCCCAACCATCAAAGCACTTTTTGAGAGATACACAGCGTTATGTAAACGAGATGGAACATTGGTGCCGTTGAAGGTGACAGAGTTCCGAGACGTTGTCGCCAGTCTTGAGACACTTGGTCTGGTACATGAATCGTCGGGTCGAACGTCGAGCCTCCTGACACCAACAAAGACACCTTCAAGGAGCGGGAGAGCGTTGGACGACAAACAAGTACTAAGCGCAGTTTCTGAGAAAGAGATGAGAGATAGCCTGAGTGGACCAGGCGCCGATCTGCTGTTGAAGTTATTTGAGGAGTATTAGACTAGATTAGTAAAGGAATGGCTGTCTTTGAGTGTTTCGCATTTTGCCATGAGCGAGGAGTCTAGCATAAAGGTGAATGGGCCTGGTCTGATTTTGCCTTGAAGCAACACCCGCATAGCATTAGCGGACAAAACAGTCATTTTCGTGGAGAGCAAGCTACTAGTTAGTTTGTTGCGAGTGTACAGATGACGATTGAAGTAAATTGCACAAACGTGCTCCCTCATCTGTGGCTCCTGGGAATCGGATTAACTCTTGGTCCCTCATGCTCGTACTCGTACCCTGCAGACTTGCAAAGTGCTCGTACAGGCGTGCTATCAAGTTTCCACTACGATGATGTCAACAATGATGGGCAAATCCTGCGTCAGGAGTTGATCGACCGGGTTTCCGGGCGATGCCCACTGTATGACAGGGATTACTGGGTGCGAGGAGGGCGGAATCCTCAACGTCATGCTGAGGATCCATCTCAAGCTTTTACCAAGCTTTGTCAGATGGAGGGAACGTGGTGTTTTGGTCCACAGAACCCTCTCCTGGCCCTCTTCTTCCAGCCGTCGTATCCGTGGGCCGTGGCATGGGATTCTCGATCTGGGCTGCCAATGTCGCGATCGCCCGCCCGTCCTCACTATTGTACACTACAATAATACGGCCGAGGACGGGCCTTGTTTTTTAGGGCTGCTTACCGGTCTGCCTGTTCATCTGTGCTCTCAATGCGCGCCTGCGTCTCTCTTTATCCAATTCCTCCTCTCCCCCGCTAGCTACAACCTCCGCGCCCTCGAGCGAGAGTCGTGTAGCCACCGTCATCGGCCATGGCGCAAGCCAACACAGATGCCCCAGCTCTGCGCAAGGAGCACCCCGCTGATAAGATTGGTCCCAAGCTTGTCAACGAGACCGACAAGTTACAAAACAAATACCACCCAAATGCAGGATCAAGTGCTCCAGAGAAGAAGAAAGGCCCCGCAGGCGGCTTTGACGACACGCCGATTCCCTACGCGCCGCCCGGATACACGTTGAAATTCACATTTCACAAAGCCGAAAACCTTCCCTTTGCCGACCTGAACACGCTCTCTTCGGACCCTTATATCCTCGCCGTTCTCAAGTCAGACCTTGTCAAGCGTCACAAGCAAGACCCGGATATGTGCATCCGCACGCCGACCATCCACCGCAACACAAACCCAGAATGGAACACCGACTGGATTGTTGCCAACGTACCGAGTTCAGGTTTCCACCTGAAATGTAGGTTGTATGATGAAGACCCGTCGGACCACGACGATCGCTTGGGCAACGCGCACATCGACGTCTCGAGCATCGACGAGAACTGGAAGGGCTTTTCACGGCGAAGCTTTGGATTGAAAAAGCGCATGGGCAGTAAGCGCGCATACACGTTTCGCGGGTGCGCTGCGCTCTTCTCACGAAACATCAAGATGGACGGCCATTTGATCGTGAGTGTTGAGAACCTTGGGCGCACAAAGGACGAGACTGGCGGAAGGATGTATACCGTCGGACCTCTGGCTTGGAGCCGGCACTACTCTCCACTCATAGGACGGCTGGCCGGGACCAAAGATACAGAAATGGGCAAAGACGGCAAAGAGACGCAGAGATACAAGTAAGTTCGAGCCTGTCTCTCCTATGTTCTCCTAGCAAGTGATTAGGCGCGTGGCTAACAGGGAGGGAAAACCAGTTTTCAAGCCGTGCAGATGCAATTCCGTGGTCCGGTGCCCGCAGACCTGTACCATCGATACGTGGAGTTCAAGCCCTTTGTTGCGGGTATGTTCACGTCTCATTCCCTTCGAGGGAGGCTACTCAATCGCGCACTTCATCATCAACACTCCCGGATATACAACTACGACCGGATGACAAAGTACGGCACGTTCCCGGAGCCGACCGTTGACATGACAAAATTGTTCCTTGACCTGGTGCATTATGACGAGGGCGGCCGAATCTTCACGTACGTCCTAACTCTGGACGGCAACTTTCGATTCACGGAAACGGGCAAAGAATTCGGCATCGATCTTCTAAGCAAACATACCATGCACAGCGACGTGAGCATATACATTGCCTGCAGCGGGGAATTCTTCGTGCGGAAAATCCGACATCCCAAGACGGACAGCAACGAGAAGGACGTGGACCCCTTGGAAGGCACGCATAAGCCTGCTCCGGAAAGCGGGATGGCGGAGGAAGAGAGGCAGAACCGGGAAATCGATCGACTTGCCATCAATCAGGACAGCGACGAGGACGGTGTTCAGAACGACGAGAAGGATAATGCCGACGCTGACGAGAAGGAGAACGACTCACAAGATGCCGTGACGCCGCCGCCGCCGTCGAGCAGAAACGGCAAGGACAAGGAGAAGGACAAAGACGAGGGTTCTGAAGGCACCGACGTGCCCATCGAGAAGTCGAGCAAGGACACGGACCCTTCACACTACGTGCTGATCATCGACAACGACAGTGGGACCTACAGGCCCAACGGCGAAAAGTTGCATCTTCTGCGGGACTTTCTGAAGACGAACCTGCCTGGCCTCAAGGTGGTGACGCTGGACTGCCAAGCCGACGCGGAGCGCATGGACAAGCTGAAGAGCGAGCAACGGGAGCGCAAGAAGGCGACCCGCAAGCCGGTCATGTTCATGCAGAATTCCAGCTTCAGCAGCCTCAGTTCGAGCGACGAGGAGGATCTCGCCGCGCGGGCGGCAGGAGAAGACCCGAAAGAGCATCGCTACAAGAAGCAATACCATGCCTTCCTCGACGGCGGGACGGACGATCACCACGGGCGACGGGACGCCGCCGCCGCCGGCGGAACGTCGACTGATGAACAGACGGAAAAGGGTACACCACCTGTTGAGAATGGACGTGTCATTGATGATGCAGAGAATCCGGTCCCCCCGGACGCCTCGGACGAAAAGCAGTGATGTTGGGAATTTGTCGCGGGCTGAAAACGTACAGGGTACCCCGTTGGTCGACCGGCCCATTATATTATGATTGTTGTTTATCCGTACCTGATACGAGATTCCCCGGGACGAGGTAGGAGGGGAGTGAGGGAGGTAGCAAGTTGATCGATCTTCTTGTTGGTTACGGTGTGTGTGTATATTGCGATACCCAGGCCTGTTTAGCAGCATCCCGCGTTATGTTCATGTTATATTATACTAGTATATAGTCCTAGTATATCGTCCTCCGTGTGAGCCGAGGGAAATGATTCAGGTAATGTTTGGATACGTCATTAATAACTGCAAAGAAACTTCAAATGGTTTTGTTAATTGATCATTTCACTCATGTCAAAAGTTGTACTTGGTGAGGGTGGCTCCTTAGGTACCCAGTACTTGAGATATCAGCTTCCAAAGTGTACCTGTGGTGGCCACCAGGCACATAGTCCTTGGTAATTGGTCCTTTTTTTGTCGTGATGTTCTGTCCAACTGCCCGCAGATCAGCGTTCGTCTCGGTCACCAGGATGTGACGCCGTCGACACTGTCGACACCCAAATAGCTTTGCGAATCGTCGAAACATGGTGTAGCCTAGGAAGTGTTGCATAGGTACCTATGTCCTCAGCACATTTTCGAGCCTGTCGAACTCCAGCCCAAAAGTCATTTGCCACCGCCCCTTGGATTCAGCTTCTTTGAAGCAACACTGCTGCCACCCTCGCGTGAAACATACCTGGTTCCATCACAGTTTTTGGCTCCGTCACCACAAGGGAGAAGGAAAAGCGGGCCGCAACATAGGAAAAACAAAACACCATTTACCCCACATGAGATGGATGATGATTTGTGGCCGCAAGCATCAAAATCTACCAACAAAATCCTCTAGACCCAGACATCATCCCATAAGGACCTGAAACACCTTGCTGTACCGAAGGAACGACTTTTTTTTTCGTCGGCTGTGCTCCGCAGGGGCTTTGATCACCAACTGCGTCGGAATAACTTCCAGATCCAGCACACACCTGGTTTCGTAGGCATAGTTCAGCTCTCCGCCTTCCTCTTTTCTTCCAGGTCCGACAGGACTTTTCCTGTGGCTTCGACAATCAACCTCCATTCTGTGTCGTGTATTCTCTTTTCTAGATCTTCTTGAGAGTCCCCTGTTTGGCATGGAACTTCTCTAACCAGAATGGGAGGGCCCATATCGACATCTGCCTCGACATAATGGACCATCACCCCTGTCTTGGTGATGTCGCCATTCTTGAAAGCTTCAAACGCACGTCCGATGGCATTCGCACCATTAAATTGTCCAGGCAGAGCAGGATGGAGGTTGATGACGGGGACACGGGCGGCAGCTAAGGCGTTGATGAAAATCGGCGACAAAATATGCATCCAGCCTGCACAGACAACTAGATCTGGCGAAGGAATGTGGGTGAGGATCTTTTGGGCGAGATCAGAGTCGTAGTGATTCCTTGCAGCTTGTACGTTTTCGGGATATCTCTTCTTGTACTCCACCAGGTTGTGGTACGTGACAGGGATGCGGGCATCTTGAGCACGAGTCAAGCCGTAGGCCTCGCGACGATTTGAAATAACGTGTGTGATCTCGGCCTGCGGGAGAAGGCGTTTCGGAGTAGGCCGGCTCTTCGAGGGCGGTGCTTGGCCACAAGCATCGATCAGGGCCTGGAGGTTCGTGCCAGATCCGGAAATGAGGACAGTTATGTTGAAGGAGCTGGATGCGCTGTAGGTGCGGGACTTGTCGGTAGAGACTGATTTACCAGAAGGCATCTTGAAGTTGACTCCCTCGCAGCGCAGACTTTTCTTTCAGGCAGTATGGATGAACAGGGGACTGGGAGCTCGAAGGATGCTTCTAGCTAGGGGCAAGAAGGCGATGAAGAGGTCAATTTAGCGCGGGGCAGACCGGAGTCGAGCTGAGGATAGGTAGTGCAGATTCGAATCATGCCATGTCTGGTTGGCCAATGCGAGGAGACGTGTCCGGAGTATGGCCTGCGGAGTAATGTGGATGGAGGCAGAACAAAGCAGTCGCGAAGGCCGGGCTCAAGACATTCGAGGTCGAGCGCCGCGAGAAAAGCGAGAACGAAAGGTGTCTGAAAAGTGATATAACTTTGGGCCGTGGACGAAGAGCAAGACTGGAGGCGTGGAAGCTCCCGTAGGGTATGATCTTCCTAGCCAAAGCTAATACTGCAAGGTCACCAGCCTGGTCAAGCGCCTGGCGGTGGAGAGTCTTAGGTGGCTCGTCGTCTCCGCCGCACCGCATCATCTTCTGCCCCGCCCGCAGCCTGCAGGGTGCAGCTCGGTTCTACAAGCAACGCAGTCTGCAGCTAAAATCACTAACGGCGTCCGCGGTCCCAGCACTTCCTCCTCTTAGCTACATACAGGTACCTGTCTCAACTGCCGTCTCACTGGTCCTCGTCATCAACCCGAAGCTATTGTCCTGTGCTACTCGAACTGCTGGGTCGGAAGAGTGGTCGCCCAAGCCTTCTGCAGCTTCTTGGGTATGTCACCCACCTGCCTCAGGAGGTCCGTGGACCATACTGCTACAGCACAGGCTATCTGGGGCTCGCCGATACCCTTGTATGCATCGTATCGATAGTCTACTCGGAGCGCCAAAGACCCTGATGTCGATCGTGTACGGCGAACGGTACAAGGGCCTGCTGCCCTTCTCCCTACTCGTTGCGAGCTTCAAGCCACCATGACACTACTGGCCACCTCGTAAATAACATCACATCCCTCAGCCCTCGCTTGCGCAGATCATCAGGTTGTTCCTTGAGCGAGTCTCGTGAGCATTTAGAACGGTTTCCACTGGTGATTCTGGACCGTCAGACCCATCTTATTCCTCGTCTCCCCCAACCGAAGAACCATTCTCTAGGGGCGTTCAATGTCAACGCAGCAGAAGATTCTTGCTGCGGGGATGCACCGTCTGCATACCCGTCTTGATTGACCCACTGAAGCTACTCCTGCAGCAAGCTGTAGCGTAACCAGCTGCAAGGGTACAACTGTCACGCGAATTAGCCTTGGTCCCGCGGGTCCTTGTATGCGCGAACACCGTCGAAGACGATGCAATAGCTAGAATGCACGGCGAAAAGCGACCCTGTTGGAGGGTGGCTTGCAGTGGCGCGATATCGTAACCGAGTTCACCTGAGCGAGACTCATCTTGCAGGGTGATCCCTCTCATGCCACTGATGAATAAGACTGCATCGACACTTGCTAAAACGTCAATCATGATACAAGCTGTGAAGTTTGCATAAGATGTTCTCCTCGGCGACGCCCACATCCAACCATAACGAAACATCATCATACACAGGCCGTCGCCCGGTGACATCGTTGTGCCCTAAACAAGACTCCGTCAAAAGGACTACTTGTCAACTTTACTCTATTGGAGAGCAGAAGGGAGGTGACAATTGTTTGTCCTCGAAGTCCCACAGGCTCCGGTTTGTGGAAAGAAGTCCGGAATTCATATCAGCGGCTCATTGCTCGGCATGACGCGCTGCGTTTGCAATGCGACGACGCTTCGTCTCAGCTCCTGCCTCTATCTATGAATACTGCGCAACGGTCCTACTCAAGTGTTCTACGCTTCAGGGTTGAGGAAAGGCTGATTTTGACGAAAGGAAGCCTCCTGGAAAGTCTACGACCTCGGAATATCAGATCACCCTTGACTTGAACGAGATACGAAGTCTTTTCTCCATCTTTCCTCCAGAAGAACGTCCTGGCAAGCGGTGCAGGCGAGCAATGGTAGTACTGATGGCTAACGGAAACTTTGTATCAGCTACAAAGGCAATGCATGCTCCTTTGAACTAGTTTGTCTCACAACAGTGCCAGTACCAGCATTGAGCGAAACATACAATACTTGAAGGTGGGAGTCAACCTCTGTATCTTCGCAGCAACAAGGATCTCTGGAATCCGGGGAAGCTTAAATACTGTGCTGGAGATTCGAGAAACACCGGTGGGTCAGAACAGCTTACAAAGAGTCTAGATGCATGCCCGTCTCATGATCTCAGCTTAGAGTTATGCTGCAGAGGCCCAGACTCGTGGCCATCCATAGACGTAACTCTATTTGGGTACAATCGGTGTTAAGGCAAGTGGACAATTCCAGAGCTTGCGCAACAATCCACCCTCGCGTTGAGGTTCGCTGCCTACATATCTAGAGTACTCAATCCTGGTACTATGTCAGTTGACAGAAGGTAATTGCCATGGTCTTTTGGTTGAAAATGTTGACATTACAGGATCGATAAATGTTTGGGAACAATGCTCCATGCACGGGCACGCGTTACGCAACGAGGAACCGAACAAGACGCAAAGTGTCAGAATAGGGCGAACTGCTTTGCAGAAGTATTGTCAATGAGAGCATTCGGCAGAGAGCAATCGTCCGTCCCATGTGTATGCCAGCACATTGGCACACGCGGCTTCACCCTAGCATAAGCTCATGTTCGCGATGGCGGCTCTCTGAAAGAGATATCCTCTGGGTGTGTTCCTCAGGGTGTGGGGAGAGATCTCGTTGAGTGGAAATCGTTGCTGAACATGCTTGAAAAACAATAAAGCAAATGTGCATCATCGCCTGAACCGATCATCCACGTCGCTCCCATTTTGGCCGTTCTGATAGTACGACGCAATCAGCACGTTCCAGAGCTGGCCAGACGGTCTTTTCCTGAGAGGTCGGCTCACTAGGCGACTCAGAGTGCGTCGTGTCCACTTACATATGCAAAACGTCAACATCGATGCCGACGCGCGCACGCACCAACTGCACATGCGGCAGTCAACACAGGGATCGGGCATGTATCTCAACCTGTTCTCAGATTCTTGACGGGGGTCTAGACCCGTAGCAGATTGACTCGATCTGATGGCTGACACGGATTGATCCGGGACATATAATGGAAAGATCTGGAATCTGGGGTCACGAAAGACGATGGCTCCAGGGGGGAATCGATGCGACTGGGAGCCTCGAGATTCTCGCCAGCTACATGTTGATCGTACTGGTGTTCATGTACGGGCTCCGTGGTAGCAAGTAAGCAACCCAACCAATAGAGACTTAGTTGCTTCAGTAAGCGTCAGAGATGCTCAGCGACGTAAAAGTATCACCCTAGACGTTGTCATTATTGTGGCGGCCCCTGTTGTCAGTGGAGGCGACAGGGAGGTCCATGAAGACAGTTATGTGTTGGTGCCAGCCTGGATTTTCCGAAGGGCTGTCGCAAGACGGTTGGTTTGCGAATCAACATCAGCCACAGCTCCGTCCTGCAGGACGGCGGGGGTCGCGAAGGGAGCGGAAGGGCAACCTGTCTGGACGATGACCGTACTGCCTTTGTATCCTGTTACGACGTGTCACTCGAGAAGCTGAGAGTGACTTTGGGGATTCTCGTCGTGGTGCAGTGGACAGACTCACTTGCCAAGACAAAAAACACCAGTCGGGCAGCGAACAGCTACAGCCGCACCGCCAGCCTACCGTACGGGAGTTATCACAGCTGAGGGATTCGCAGAAGAGGCCGTGGCCCTTTGTTGACCCAACCGGGCCACTGTACCACCTCATACAGGCATACCCGTGGATGTTTTTACCCCGTATCTTTTGTTATTAGTAACATTTAAGCCCCGTCCCTCCCTGTCCATCGATGTCCGTCAAACAAACGCCCCAGACTATTGCGGTCAGGTTATATAAGGGGCCCGGTTTTTCACCGCTCCTCTTTCATGTCCGTCGAATCAAACACTCCGAAATGCGCCCTACCGGGAGATCGGCTCCGCTGTTGACTTCCTGAAAGCAGTAATTTGCCAATCCGCGCTGTGGGTAAGATTGCAACTGACGTCCTGGCCCCCCTGTCGCACGGTCAAAGTACGAACGAAAGGTGCAGAGAGGACTCCCTTGCTGGAACTGAAGGGCGTTGTTTAGACCGTGATTCGGCCCAGCAGGGGCGCACAGTTTTCCATCTGACACGACCTTTTTGGCGCCGGGAAACCATTTCTTTGGTCAAGATCGGCGAGGGAGAGGGCCATATTGTATAGATGGGTCGGCGAGGCCACACGCTAAGAGGGTGGGCTGTATGTTTGAATCACAAAGAGAGGGGGGGAAAAAAACCCAAACTTATTAGATATCCGTACAGTACTACGGACTTGGTATTTCAAGCACTTGCCCCCCTTGCTGTCGAGATTTTCTTTTCCTCTGTTTCTTATGTCAAGCGTCTGTTGCGCGCACTGCTCCTGTGTCACTTTCAATCGTCCCCCTCCGCCTTTTGGATAGTACCAGCCATGGATGAAGAAGTCAACCAGCCAGCACCCCATGAGACTGCTGCCTCGACACAGTCGATCTCCAGCGCCGAGGCTGACAAGGAGAAGAAGGAGCTGCCCAAGAGCACCACCATCGATCTTGATCGTGTCGGCGAGACCGAAGGCTATGTGCTCGACGAGGCTCAGCTCAGGGAGAAGTTGGGTCTTGCCCCTGATGTTGCTTTGAAAAAGTCCAAAGGCGGTGTGGTGCTGATCCCCCAGCCTACCGAGGACCCCGAGGATCCGTTGAACTGGCCGCGATGGAAGAAGAGTCTCATACTCCTCGTCATCGCCGTCAATGCCTGCACTGCAGATTACTCTGCTGCCACTGGCGCGAGCGCGTTGATCCCTCAAGCCGAGGAATGGCACATCTCTCCTAACACCGTCAACCACGCCACTGCCGGGTAATGCCTCTCCATGTATGCGAGAAATGAATTCTTGGCTGACTTATCAACAGCAACACTTTCATGTTGGGCGTGGGTGGCCTCGCGACCGTGTGGTTGTCTGCCTACTTCGGTCGACTGCCGGTGCTCTTCTGGTTTGGCTGCTTGTCGGCAGGTACCGCCGCTTGGTCTGCTGCTGCTCAGAGCTTTGAATCATACATGGCGTCGCGAATTCTGAACGGCCTCTTCTGTGTCGCGGCAGCAGGAGGAGGGCTGATGTGGATCAAGGATGTTTGGTTCTGGCACCAACATGCAAAGAAGATCAACATCTGGTCCACGGCCATTATCCTTTCCCCCTTCCTCGGCCCACAGTTCATGGCAGCAATCGTCAGCGTCACCTCGTGGCGCAAGGGAATGTGGCTCGATTTCGGCATCATCGCCCTGGGTCTGGCTCTCACCTCTGTGTTTGGGGACGAGACCTTCTACCCCCGGCACTTGATGCCAGACCGTATCCCAAAGCGCAAGTCGCGTCTCTTGCGTGTCATTGGCGTTGAACAATACAAGACCAAGTACACGACCAACACGTTCTGGGAGGCCGGGAGTCGTCTGGGCTACACGGCTTTGAAGTTGCCTGTGTTCTTGATCTGCCTATTTTACTTCTTTGACTGTATGGAACTCAGCTTCTCCCGCTCTTGGCTGCCACTGCTAACTATTCGCAGTCCCGTGGACGATTGGCAACAACACGACCATCTCGGTTCTCATTATCCCAGCATACAACTTCAGCTATCGCAATCTGGCAGCGATCTATACTGCACCTGTTGTAGGAGCCATTCTGGGTCTGGTTCTTGGACATTTCATGTTCGACTTGGTGGCTAAGCTTTGGGCGAAGCGCCACGGAGGGCGTATCGACCCAGAGAACAGATTGATTGTTCTTTGGTTGGTCTTGCCTTTCAAGCTCATTGGTTACAACCTCATTGGAGCGACTCTGCACAATGCCCAGACCTGGTCGTACTGGGTCCTTGCGGTCGGCTGGGCGATGCACAACTTCGCGACCATTGTCACCACAGCTGCAGTTGGTGCTTACCTCCTGGACGCGTATCCGGAAGCTGGTGGCGAATGCGCGGCATGGTTGAACTTTGCCCGTACCCTCGGTGGCTTCATCGTTGGTTACATCCAGGTCAGTAATATCTTCAGACTCGGCGACCTACAGTCCCAATAACTAACGTGTTGAACCAGATTAACTGGGCAACAAAGGCAGGCACACAGACCGAGTACGGCATTCAGAGTGCCATCATGGGAGCAGCCTTCTTCATCGTTGTCTTCTTGCAATTCTTTGGCGCCAAGCTGAGACACGCTCAAGGCCCGTTGAACTTCAAGACAAATTAGGCAGTGTGCATGGACGAAGGTCGGTGCGAGATTCGGAGGGATAGTGACACGGGCATGATTTACTAAGAGTCTGTAAGGGTGCTCAGTGTGAAGATCGAGCCAGGATAAGTAGCGAGCAACGAGGGTATATAATACAAAGTAATATGTCTGCTTGGTGCTTGAACTTCAGCAACATACAGTACTTGTCCCTGGTACTGGAGCGCGAAAAATTCCCTCGTCGGCTGTTGCACTGCGGTCTGCGCGGAATGTTTGGCGAAGGTGGACTCGACGTCATGGTGGGATGGAGTTGATGATTGGTCGCCGACTCCGGAGCTTCTTTCGCTCGTCCCTCTGCAGAACAAAAGCTCCTCGATAAGTGAACGTGAACTCTGCACCGCACTGCTCCCTCGTCACCTCTGCCCGCCAGTAGTTGTCTCGACCTTGTTCGGCAATCTCTCACCATGTCTCTGGCACGATCGTCTCGCAGCGCACAGGTAAGCTGCTCCAAAGCCGTGTTGTGCAGCTACCGGTCCACTGACGAGCTTTTTCACAGTCGCTGTTCCGCGCAACCCAGCGAGCGAGCCGATACCAGGCCACCTCTCCTTTCCTCGCGCGATGTGAGCAGTATAATTGTCTGAAGCACCTGCTTGCATCCAGCTGACCCCTTGCAGCCTATGCCACAGTCGAGTCCGATATATTCAAGCCTACGAAGTATGGTGGAAAATACACAGTTACGCTGATCCCAGGTATGGTCGGCCTCTCGCAGATTTGACAACTGGAAGGTCTTTGTGCTCACGAAAATGTCCACAGGTGATGGTATCGGTGGCGAGGTTGCCGAGGCAGTCAAGACCGTGTTCAAGGCCGACAACGTTCCCATCGAGTGGGAACAGGTCGACGTGACTGGTGTCGAGAGCGGAGGCAAGCACTCAGAGGAGCTCTTCAAGGAGTCGATAGCATCCCTCAAGAGAAACAAGCTCGGCTTGAAGGGTATCTTGCACACTCCTATCGAGAGATCGGGCCATCAATCCTTCAACGTCGCCCTACGCCAGGAACTCGACATCTATGCCTCGGTGGTTTTGATCAAGAACATCCCAGGTCTGCAGACACGGCACAACAATGTAGATCTTTGCATTGTCCGTGAGAACACTGAAGGTGAATACTCGGGCCTCGAGCATCAATCGGTTAATGGCGTCGTTGAATCTCTTAAGATCATCACCCGGGCCAAGTCTGAACGTATCGCCAAGTTCGCCTTTTCCTTCGCCCTTGCCAACAACAGAAAGAAGGTCACCTGCATCCACAAGGCCAACATCATGAAGCTCGCAGATGGTCTCTTCAGAAACACGGTCAAGAAGGTCGGTGAGGACTACCCCACCCTGGAAGTCAATGACATGATTGTCGACAACGCTTCTATGCAAGCTGTTTCCCGACCTCAGCAATTCGACGTCATGGTCATGCCCAACCTTTACGGTGGTATCCTGACCAACATTGCTGCTGCTTTGGTTGGTGGACCTGGTGTTGTCCCTGGTTGCAACATGGGTCGTGATGTCGCTGTTTTCGAACCCGGCTGCCGACATGTTGGTCTTGATATTCAAGGCAAGGACCAAGCCAATCCAACTGCCCTCCTACTTTCTGGAACCATGTTGCTGAGGCACCTTGGTCTTGATGACCATGCCAACCGCATTTCAAGAGCCGTTTATGACGTTATCGCTGATGGGTAAGTTTTTGAGGTTGACTGCCTCAATGGTAGATGTCATTGTCACTAACTGGTCTGTAGAAAGGTACGAACACGCGACATGGGCGGCAACAGCACTACTCACGAATTTGTTCGAACCATCCTGGACAAGATGGAGGCGGAACTGTAAATGATATGTTTAGAGGAAACAGCCTGGTTGTGGACTAGGCAGTGTCTTTGGAGAATTGATTATAGCCAGCAAATTGTACGAAGTTGACTTGCATTCTGTGCATCTATGCTAGAAATGATATTTTGTATATGAATTTGCGTGCGGCTCCTCTGGTCATCCTTGTAGCAGCAGCAAGTAAGTCACTGCTCCATCCACATGGCGTATTGTGGACAATTGTAGCTTTTCCAGAACCCGATGGTCAATAATCCAGATTGGCGGAAACAAGGGGATCTGCGCGGTGCTCGCCGGCTGAGGCGTCTCCGCAGCCAGCAACGCGTACTCAGGTCATACTCGTACCAAGAGATATGACCAAGGTGGCAGCTCACCAGTTTTCCACTCCACAGCATGCATTAGTAGCATGTGAAGTTCGCATGTCTTCCCAACAAGACCAGGGAATATGGCTTCATGGTCTATGGCCCATCTGATGATTACACTTTTTGCCCGACACCATCCGCCATGACCTGATCAACACCACCGCGCTCTCGTACATGCGGAGTTTCTCTGCCCTGGTCTGTTTTTCCTCGACTCCCGCCGGTGCCTGGCCCGATGACCTTCATGAGGCCTGCATGTGATGACAGCGGCCGACGCAGTAGTTCGCAGGAACGCTTCCACCGACCCAGCTTGACCCTCGAGCGAACCCGCACACCCTACCATCTCAAGGCCGAGAGCCTGGGCAAACCGATCGGCCTGTCTACTTTCTCTGCACCGGATGGAAGCGCTTCATCAGCCCGCAGCCGCTCCGAGTCGAGCGAGAGTGGCACAGAGGCGGACGACGAAAGGGGGCCTCTTCTGAAAAGTCTTCCGGCGCCGCCCCTGCGCATGAGAAAGGGCCTGCGTGGAGCCTCGCCTGCTGCCTTGACCCCGTCCGCCAGTCCCTTGTCGACTCCTCCCGCATTCGTCGAAGCGCGAGAGTTTGAATACTTCGGCACTCCTCGGAAGACGGCAAGGAAGATCCCACAGCCCCAGAAGAATGGCAAGGACTTTGAAGCGTACAAGGCTCGAAAACGGAGAGAGATTGTGCGGAGATGTGTCGAGACCGTGCTCCTCGGGGCCATTGGTGGCATAATTTGGACGAGCGCAAGAGAGTCGCCTGAGATATCGGACTGGAAGAGCGAGCTGCTGGCATACCTGCTTCTCCCTCCCGTGACATATCTCACTGTTCCTGTTCGCTTGGCCTTCCGCGCCCTCGCTGCAGGGAAATCAATCCTACAGGCGGTTCGTCTGGGGTTTCATATCCCTTCTCGGTTTGACCCGGGACCTTTGTTGTACCCGGTCGTCTTGCCAGTCCTCATCGCTCTGTCGTTGTTCCAACGATGCCATACATTTCTTCCGGTGGCCATTGTGTGTGGGCTGTCTTCAATTCCTCCGACCATCACCGCAACACCACGAGTCAGGGCGATGGGCTACTATGCTCACTGGCTGATGACGATATTCCCACTTCACGCCTCTCGGTTACGATCTCCTCACGAATACCTCCATAAACCAATGTCTTTGAGACTAAACAACGAGGGCTTGTTGCAGCAGGACGACTTGACATTGTTGTACCCACTTCATCAGTCGCTGATGACTGTCCTCGGTTACCTGACGACTTCGAGTCTCGACATTGCCGAACTCAGATTGTTGTCAGCCGCCTTAATTCACCTTTTTCTATTCGCAAGAACCCCACAGGCAGAAATTCTGAAAGCCATGTTATGGCTCGGGGGTCTATGCATCTTCATCACATGTAGGAGGATTCTGGCTTGGGAGGTCGCCCTTGCACGAGTACCAACCTGGAAACTTCTACGGAAACGTCCTAGACCTGGACTTATTTCACATGTTGATCAAGCCATCTGTGTTGTCTTGATGCGTGGGCACCTCCGCTCCAGGCGGCGTGAGTCATCCGACAGCGATTCTGAACAACTTCCGCTCCCGCCCATTTCTACAGGGAAATCCACGTTGCGACTCAACATCAATGGGAGAGCGTCCGAGGCTCCGATTGACGAGCCGTTGTCTGCAATGGAACCTTCCAGCCAGAGGACAGCATTCCCAGATGAGCCCGTCCTTCCGACAACCCCTCGACGGAACACATTCACAGTGTTTGACCGGATAGCTAGAATTAAACAGTCTTCGGCGAGGAAGAAAATGAGGACACCTCTTGCAGGCCCGTCTAACGTCTTCCTGTCCTTCACCATAGAGCAGGCTCGAGTGCGCAAGTACGCGTACGCAGCAACTGCGTACTTGTGCGTATCGGCCACAATACTAGGGCCTGTTCGACTCTATGTTGGCAACAGAGCCTTATCTGGCCATGAGCCCTTTGGATGGGCTATCGGCTACCTATTCGGAAACATTTCGAAATTCAGGTTTTGGGTGGTCAGCAATAATCTCGAGAGATGGATATGTCTTCCTGCTCGAGTGTCCGGAGACGCCGCACCCGATTCTTCTTTCTCGATCGAATACATTCGCCAAAACATTTTCGGGCCAGCAAATACTCGCCTTCTGATCTGCGGATACTGCATAGCCGTGTTGTTCGTGGGTATTTTTGCAGTACTCCGCCTAACCTCTGTTGTCGAAGTTGATACCAGACGGAAAGTATTTCACGGCATCATGGTTGCGATGCTTCTACCTACTATTTTCGTGGATCCGTGCTTTATTGCTTTGGCGCTGAGTCTGGTGTTGGCCGTGTTTCTTTTACTGGACCTGTTTCGAGCTTCACAGCTTCCTCCGATGTCAAAACCACTCACAACGTTTCTGGCTCCATACGTGGATGGACGTGACTATCGTGGCCCAGTCATCGTTTCGCATATATTTCTCCTCATAGGGTGCGCGATTCCTCTCTGGTTATCGCTGGCTGCGACACCGCGTACTGGTGAGGACGCTTGGAGTGGATGGGATACACCTGTCCGCGAACTCTCCATGGTCAGTGGCGTTGTTTGTGTTGGAATGGGTGATGCTGCAGCCAGTCTGATTGGCAGGCGTTATGGAAAGACAAAATGGTATTGGGCTGGTGGAAAGAGTCTCGAAGGCAGCCTTGCCTTTGCTGTTGCCGTTGTTTGTGGTCTAGCGACAGCCTGGACGTGGCTCAGACTGGGAGGCTGGGCACTTTGGTCGAGTGGGCCTTTTTCACTTACATTTGCAAAATTTGCCGTCGCAGGACTTGGAGCGAGCCTGCTAGAGAGCACTCTGACTGCGGCAAACGACAATGTGGTTGTACCCGTAGGATTGTGGCTGTTAGTCAGAGGGTTGAAGATATAGAACCTGTCTTACGGTGCGGAGAAGGCACTAGGCTGAGAGATACCATATACAATACCAAGCGCGCAGCCTCGCGAGTGTTTCGCTTAACCCTGCAAGTTAATCAGACGACAAGTGGAAGCTACAACATCTGATACAATGTCAGCGGCAAAGAATCGGGCGCTCCCTTCGGTGTAAATCTCAGCTGGGAAGTCGAATCCACAGGTGATAAGGGATCGGCTGACTCCATTGAGCCCAGCGCCTCCGGTATTGGGGGATGATTCGTTGTGGAGGAATATTTTGCCTTCCATATGACAGGAAAACATGACCGTCAGACTCAGCAGCAGTTATTGCCAAGTTCACTCGAAACGCGGAGGACTTGTTGTCAGACAAGATGCCCGTGCACCTCGTGCAGAGCACGTGATCGTTATCACTTATCGCGGTCAGGCGAGGCAGGTGTTCCGAACTAGGCCAAAGTGCATCCATCTATCCTGCGTGCACTGCACTGCAGATGTGTATGACTAACCTGATCTTTCCACGGAAACGAAAGGCACAATCGCGTCCTGTTCAACTCTGGTCATTTCTCAATCCTTGCCTCTATCTATCATTATCTTTCTTTCTTTTATTCGCCTGAGCCGCATCCTTTATACCCTGGTGTTACTAGCGTTCCGATATGCGTCACTGATTGCACCGATACTCATCCGACACCTTCCCCCAGCCAACACTCGGTCTACAGTAGCGCCCCCTACATGATCCCTATCCATCGAACTCGATGCCAGCGTTCTAGTCGTTAGCAAGCAATTCAATCATTGAGGTCCTCACTGGCCACCGTTACACCGCGTCCGGATTGACGCAGCCTGCCGTCCCAATTGCGCCATCTCCACACTTTGCGGCCTGTCGCCTGTTCTTCCAGTCACCTAATCTGTCGAACGATTACATCTTCGAGCCTCCCTTTATCTCGATCAATCCATGTCCAACCATATAACACCTACTCTCTATCCACAACTGAGAAGATAGCGCTCCAAAGCCGTCGCCGCTGTCTGCTCAACACGGCTCTCCACGCGGTGTGGCGGAGGAGGTGAAGATGGCGTCTACCACATCACAATCCACCACATCTAGGAGGTCAAAGGATTCTGACCGAATAGGCAGTTTTCAGCGCCATGAAGAGATTGGGCGAGGTAGTTTTGCAACGGTGTACAAGGCCGTTCACACTGTGAGTCAAGCCCTATCAATTAACCTTGCGGAGATTCCTGGAGTTACTGATAAATCATTAGAGTTCCTCCGGTAGCCAGAGCATCGTTGCCATCAAATCTGTAAACATGTCGAAGCTTAACAAGAAACTAAAAGACAACCTCACGTCCGAGATCTCGATCCTGAAAGGACTCCATCATCCACATATCGTTGCCCTCATCGACTGCAAAGAATCAAGCGCTCACATACATCTGGTGATGGAATATGTAGCCCTGGGAGACCTCTCACATTTCATCAAGAGACGGGATCAAATCAAGGATAGCGAGTTGGTGGGCAATACGATGATCAAATATCCGAACCCTAGACATGGCGGTCTAAATGAGGTCCTGTCAAGGCACTTTCTACAACAGCTTGCGAGTGCCCTGCAGTTCTTGCGAGCCCGAGATCTCATTCACCGCGATGTGAAGCCACAGAACCTACTTCTCAATCCGTCACCTGTCTACTTCGAAACACACCACCCTCGCCCGATGCCATATCAGCCCAGTCAAGACGCTCTGAGCCCGGTCTGTGGCATTCGATCACTTCCGATGCTGAAGATTGCAGACTTCGGGTTCGCTAGATCTTTACCGTCTACCGCACTGGCTGAGACCTTGTGTGGCTCTCCTCTGTACATGGCACCTGAGATATTGCGCTATGAGAAGTACGATGCTACAGCCGACCTTTGGTCGGTTGGAACAGTGTTGTACGAAATGGTCACTGCACGGCCTCCTTTCAGAGCTTCCAATCATGTGGAATTGCTTCGAAAGATTGAAAAGAGTGAAGACAAGATCAAATTCGGAGAAGAGATCCAAGTCTCGGAGGAGATGAAAAAGCTCATTCGGTCGTTACTTAGAAGGGACCCGAAAGAACGTTTGACATTTCCAGAGTTCTTCAGCAATGAGATCATCACGGGACCTATCCCAGGCTTGCACCCTGAGGATATGCCTGAAGATCCCCAACAACCGGAGGCGGACCGTCGGCGAAACAGTCGGACAGATCCTACAGGCATTGCTCGTCCAAGTTCAAGGAAGGACCCTGAGAGCCCTTATGGCGATTCCACCAGACTTACTTCGGCGGAAAATTTGCCACGTAGATATTCTGTGACCCGCCGGACCTCAGCAACTAAGGATCAGCTTACGACCTTAAGACGACCTTCCAATGAGCGTGGCTCTGGCGGCGCCTCTCCAACTAGTCCCAAGGAACCTCGACCAGCACTACATCCACATGCCACTGCGCCTGGAAGACAAGAGCTGGTTTCTCGGCCATCTTCGTCTCCTATGGTTCGTCAGTCGAGTGCAGGTTCGCACAAGTTACCTCCATCATCATTGCGGGAACAAGTTTACGATGAAAGCCAAGAACTTGCTTTGCGCAAGCAACAAGAAGAGAAAGAGAGAGAGCGTGTAGCTCAAGATATTGCGTTCGAAAGGGACTACGTCTTGGTCGAGAAGAAAGCCGTGGAAGTCAATGCCTTAGCCGACGAGATTGATGCGATTCCCAGGATGAACAGAAACACAGCGGCATCACCGAAATCCGGTGCAATGGTCCGTAGAGCAACCACTCAAGGTCCGCCTGGTTCCGCGACAGGGGCACAAACTAGTGCCTCTCGAGCTGTTCAGATCGCGTCTGGTAGGCGTCCAGACGCCCTACATAACCGGCAGAGTTCGTATGAGAGACGATATGGTCCCAGTCCCAGCTCAGCAACGTCGGCCATCTCGAAGGCTCTAAATATGGCAAGCGGTCGTCTTTTCGGAGTTGGATTCTCTCCACCCGTGAACTTCATGCGTGGCGGCAAATCTCCGCCGATTAATTACAGCCCATTTCCAGCATATCCAGGTGCTCAAAGCAGCCTGATTGTGCTCGGAGATTCCTCCAAAACCCCAGCGGCCACTGATGAGGATGCAAAGTTTGTACACCTCGTTGAGGAGATTGCGACTCGAAGCGATGTCGTCTACGGCTTCGCTGAAGTCAAGTACAAACAGCTTACTCCGGCTATCCCTTCCCAGCCAGGACTCGGTTTGCGAAATGCGTCCGATGCTACCAGTCAAGATAGTCGATTTAGTGCATCCAACGAAGACCTTACCGTGGAAGCTACAGTAATTGTCGCAGAAGAAGCACTCGTACTCTATGTCAAGGCATTGGGGCTACTCGCCAAAGCCATGGACATTGCAGCACGCTGGTGGAATCGCAAGAACCGTACCGAGGCAGTAGACGACACTGCCTACCGTTCCTCAGTGACTGCAAGCCAGCGGATGAACAATGTTGTCCAATGGATCAGAGGTCGATTCAATGAAGTTCTTGAGAAAGCCGACTTGGTCCGACTTAAACTTGTTGACAACCAACGTCGACTACCCGAAGACCACCCCAGCCATCCCAACAACATTTCTACCGCGACCGCTTCAAGTACTGGTATGGGCACTTCAGCCGATCAGGTTGTTGTGAGCTCTGGAATTACGGCTGAGAAACTCATGTACGACCGCGCCTTGGAAATGAGTCGAGCTGCCGCAATCAATGAGTTGACCAACGAGGATCTTCCCGGCTGCGAGATCTCGTATGTCACGGCAATCCGCATGCTCGAGGCAGTACTAGAGAGCGACGAAGACGCCATGCCTAGGCATCTTGGTAGTACGAGCGACCAAGATGAGAAAGCCGACTCAGCACCGATCAACGGTTTAGAAGCGGAAGACCGTAAGACGGTGAAGAACTGTAAGTTGGCTAATGGTACAAATGGATCTGATACTGACATCCCGATAGTAGTTCATAGTATTCGCGGACGACTCACCGTTATCAGACGTAAACTACAGGTTGTCCAGAAGCGATCATCTGCTCCGCTGCTATCCTCGCCCGGCAGAGCCTCTCCGCCACAGCTCAATCGAGGCAGTCTTCCCACGGCTACCCTCATTACGCCATCACGTTGACCACTACGATCACGATTTTTTGTTTAGCTTTTGACATCAGGCAGTCATTAGAACTGTTCCATAATTCCCACCCGGCGTTTATTGACAACAATTGACAACTTCAATGGCCAGGTCTCAGATCGTGCTGATGATGGTTGCGCAAAACTTTTTGTCTTGTTTTCATTATGTATAGGATTGAGGGGGCGTGGTGGATGGCTGATGATGGGGCTTGTACATGGTGGCAATCAGGTTGTCTTGAGGCGTATGGTCTCATTGCTCTATGACCAGAATGATTTGCTCCTTTTGATGAAGAGACGGTTGAGCTTGTCCCTAGTTTAGGCATGGAAAGATACCCCGTCATGAGATTTTGGAGCTGGTGCCTGGGATCAAATTACTTGAGTGTCAAGTAGCAAGCTTGTTGTGATATTGTACCCCTTTGCGGATACAGAGCTTGAATTGCTCATTGAGAGTATCAGCAGTTCTACTTCGACCCGTTTTGCTACTCTGGAGGGTAAACTTGATAGAAGGAATGACAGTCAAAGACTCGGTTTAACACGAGAATATGTTTCGACAACATATGTTCCTTTTTTGAGACTCGAGACATAGTAGAGTCGTGTTTGTACCAGACTTCTATGGAAAATCACCCACTGAATATGAATGACAACCTCAAACTAGCTGGGATTTCTATGGCAAGAAAATAACCAAGCTGTTGCCAGCAGGGCCTGAAAACAAATCGGTAATGCACAAGTTCAAAGCATCCCGATGCCGGTTCTTGCGTCTTTGGTTCCGTGAAGCTGTCCACACAGAATTTTCCTCACAGACGATATGTGTATTGACCATCAACTCGAAACTGCAATGTTCGTCTTGGTCAAGACGACATAATGAGACAAGTTGTACTTGTCCTGAAACATGGATATTAGACGCGTACGACATGTTGAGGCCTTGTGTACTATGTAGTACTGAAAGGAGTGCGCTGGTGTTGTGAGGTCTCGACAAAATTCACAGTTCTCCGCACTAGTTAGGCAGGTCAGGCGTGCGTAACGGGAAGTAACTAGTATCTCGAGTATGAGTGAGGCCTTCTCAATGCATTCCTAACCGCGGCACGAGACTTTCTGTCCTTTCCCTCCTCCTGCTGGGAGTTTGTACACCTTTGATAGATGAAGCCACTTGCACGGTCTCTTTCAAGGCTTGTTGGACCTCGGATTTCTCTTGCTCGACTACCTTCATCATCATCATCATCATCATCATCATCGACCTCACTGCTCCCGCAGATCAGCAGACGATCCTTCCAGACACAAGCCAGGCCGAGCCCCGTTCGTCCTGTAACCACTCCTTATACTCTCTTCCCCCTACGTCGCACTTCGCTCATACACCAGTCTCGTACGAGCAGAGCGTCACCATTTGCCCTCTCCAAGATGTGCCGTTTCATGTCCGATTCGCCTGGTGTTACCAGTACCCAGGGTCGAGTTGTCCTTCCCACCAATGTTGTGCCAAAGCACTACGATGTGACTTTGGAGGTTGATTTCGACAAGTTTACGTTTGAGGGATCTGTCATCATCGATCTAGAAGTTGCTAAAGACAGCACAACCATTTCCTTGAATACGTTGGAGCTTGATATTCACAGTACAACGGTCCACGCAGACGGTGCCTTGGTGACATCCTCACCGTCACTGTCCTACGATGCCGATACGCAAACAACGACCATCGACTTGGGAAAATCCATTAGCAAGGGACAAAAGGTCCAGCTGAAGCAGAGGTACACTGGGCAGCTCAATGACAAGATGGCTGGATTCTACAGATCCAAACGGAGGGACGGGCAGTTTCTCGCTGTGACACAATTTGAGGCAACTGATGCTCGACGAGCTTTGCCATGCTTTGATGAGCCCGCCCTCAAGGCCGAGTTCACTGTCACTTTGATTGCCGATGATGACAAGACGTGTTTGTCGAACATGGATGTTGCTTCGACTGAGATAGTTGACTCGAAAATCACCGGTGGAAAGAGGAAGGCTGTCAAGTTCAATCGCTCCCCACGTATGTCGACATACCTCTTAGCGTTCATCATTGCCGAACTAAAGTCGATCTCGACCGACGCATTCAGACTGCCAATCAAGGTATGGATGACGCCTGAACAAAACGAGGAAGACGGCCGTTTTGCTCTAGACGTTGCGGCCAAGACTCTAGCCTTCTATGAAAAAGCCTTCCAAGCACCTTATCCCTTACCCAAGATGGACATGGTCGCTATTCCTGACTTTGCTGCCGGTGCTATGGAAAACTGGGGCCTAGTCACCTACCGAGTCGTTGACTTGCTTTTTGATCAGAAGTCTGCAGGTGCTGCAACTAAGGAAAGAGTAGCAGAAGTTGTCCAACACGAGCTCGCCCATCAGTGGTTTGGTAACCTGGTAACAATGGACTTCTGGGACGGTCTTTGGTTGAACGAAGGCTTCGCCACCTGGATGAGCTGGTACAGTTGCAACGAGTTCTATCCGGAGTGGAAGGTCTGGGAAACTTTTGTGATCGACACTCTTCAAGGCGCTCTAGGTTTGGACGGCCTGCGCAGTTCTCATCCAATCGAAGTCCCGGTGCATCGCGCGGAGGATATCAATCAGATCTTCGATGCTATCTCGTACTCAAAAGGTTCGTCAGTCCTGCGAATGATCTCCAAATACCTGGGAGAGGAGACCTTCATTGAAGGCATCCGACGATACATCAAGAAACACGCCTGGGGCAATACGCAGACTAGCGATTTGTGGGATGCGCTGGGTGATGCAAGCGGCAAAGACGTTGCACACGTAATGGACATCTGGACCAAGAACATTGGGTATCCCGTCATTACTGTGAGCGAAAACGAGAAGGATTCCAGCATCACGGTGAAGCAAAATCGGTTCTTGCGCACCGGAGATGTCAAAGCAGAAGAGGATAAGGTCCTATATCCTGTTATGCTCGGCCTCCGAACCAAGGACGGGGTTGATGAGGCCCTTATGCTCACCGAACGTGAACAGACTTTCAAGATTCCGGGGGGACTAGATTTCTACAAGCTAAATGCAGACCACTCTGCATTCTATCGAACGAGCTATACCCCTGAGCGATTGACCAAGTTGGGTGAAGCCGCTCAAAAGGGATTGCTTTCGGTGGAAGATCGTGCTGGTATGATCGCCGATGCTGGTGCACTCGCGGCAAGCGGATACGGAAAGACGTCCGGAATTCTGAGTCTGCTTCAGTCCTTCAACACTGAAACACAATTTGTGGTGTGGAACGAAATCCTGACACGGATCAATGCGGTCCGGAACACGTGGATTTTCGAAGACGAAGCAACTAAAGACGCTCTCAAGGCATTCCAGCTCAACCTATGCTCTGCCAAGGCGCATGAACTCGGCTGGGAGTTTTCTGACGATGAGGACCATATTTTGAGTCAGTTCAAGAGCCTGATGTTCGGTTCCGCTGGGCTGGCTGGAGATCAAAAGGTTCAGGCGGCAGCGAAGGATATGTTCAGCAAGTTCTTGGCGGGTGACTATGCTGCTGTGCATCCTAACCTACGTGCGTCCGTCTTTGCCATGGCGTTGCGAGATGGTGGAGAGAAAGAATGGGATGCCCTCCTTGCACGATATCACTCGGCCCCGACTGCTGACGAGAAAAACACTTGTCTACGAAGTCTAGGCCGTGCAAAGAGTCCCGAACTCATCCAGAAGACGCTGAAGCTGGCCTTGAGTGGCGAAGTCAAGATGCAAGATATTTACATGCCTATTGGGGGCTTGGGTACCACATCCGAAGGTATCGAGAAACGGTGGGAGTGGATGTGCCAGAACTGGGATGAATTGGTCGAGAAGCTGCCTCCGAGCATGAGCATGCTGAGCAGCGTTGTCAGCATTTGCGTTGCAGGATTCACCCGTGAGAAGCAACTAAAGCAGGTCGAAGCATTCTTCCAGGACAAGGACAAGAAGGGATTCGACAGGAGTTTGCAACAAAGCTTTGATAGCATCAGGGCTAAAGCGAACTGGCTGCAGCGTGATAGTGAAGATGTGGTCGGGTGGTTGAAGGCAAATGGTTACCTTGAGAAGGGCAAGCTCTGAGCATTCGTGTGCCTTGACTAAAGAGGTGTGTGGTGGCCAGAAGATTGACCGGTTCTCCTACAAGGCTGTATGAGTAAGAAAAGTAGATGTCGAGTCCAGTGTACTCCGTAGATGTTGTAGTCCTTATTCCTGACGGGACGGATGGGCCAAGTTAGACCACGGAATATGGATCCCAAAGTCACCTTATTACTCGAAATGGTTTGATCAGAGGATGCATTTGATACACCGGGTGGCTTATTCGTGTGTCTAAGGGCCGAGGGTTCCATAATGGAGACCGGAGGAGGTTGAGGCGTGGTGGTGCGAGGGCGTTGACTGACGTTGGAACGGTGGGCTGATGCTGGACTGTACAAACTACAGTACACAAACTACAAACTCCCTTGTGGTCACTGGTGGCTCGACTCGGATGGCGGATGCGACCATGCATGATCCGCCAATCACGCCGACGCGGTACCTGGGCTCTATGATTTTTTGGCGGGACAAGGGACCTTCGCTAGTTAATTACTTCTGGCTACTGACCCTGGATTCATCGTTAGAAAAAGAGCGGCGACACTCTCTCTCGACACCATCTGTCTACCAACCTTCGTTTTGTCATCCCCAGGCGCAGTCAGTCTGTGCACGTCACACTCTTTTGCTTTTCTCTGCCCTCAACTCCCACCGCCTCCTCAACAACTCCCTGCCCGTGATCGCTTCATCATGGGTTTGCTCGCGACCGTCGCAGCGCCCCTAGACCGCCTCCTCCAGAATCTGCCTGTGTACCAGACCGTCGTGCTGGGCTTCGTGGCCTTTCTCCTCCTCTCGGTCGTCCTCAATGTCACCCGACAGCTACTGTTCAAAGACAAAAATGCACCGCCCGAGGTTTTCTCCTGGTTTCCTCTGATCGGCAGCACGTACGTCGGCATCCTCTGCACCACGCACTCACACTCACACGCTCGTCCTACTCGATACCACGAATACTGACACACTTTCACATCTAGGATATGGTATGGCATGGATCCATTCGACTTCTTCTTCTCCTGCAAAGAGAAATACGGCGATGTCTTCACCTTCGTCCTGCTGGGGAGAAAAGTCACCGTCTGCCTGGGCACAAAGGGCAACGAATTCATCTTGAACGGCAAGTTGAAAGATGTCAACGCCGAGGAAATCTACACCGGCTTGACCACACCAGTGTTTGGAGAGGGAGTGGTGGTAAGTTCTGAAAAATTGAGTTCGCCGGCAAAAGAGAGAGAGCATGCGTCGCTGATGACCTCCCTCGGTAGTATGACTGCGAAAACGCAAAATTGATGGAACAGAAAAAGATGGTCAAGTTCGGTCTTACGATGGACGCTTTCAAGTCTTACGTCGACCTGATCTCCTCGGAAACCAGGTTATTCGTGGAAAACAACAAATTGTTCAAGGGCGCATCCGGCGCAATTGACATTGTCCCCGCCATGGCCGAGCTGACCATCTACACGGCATCCCGGTCCCTACAAGGAAAAGAGGTACGGGCCAAGTTCGACTCGACTTTTGCGGACCTGTACCACGACCTGGACATGGGCTTTGCACCCATCAACTTCATGCTTCCATGGGCACCGCTGCCGCACAACCGCAAGCGAGACATTGCTCAGCGCAAGATGGCCGAGACGTACATGGAGATCATCAGGGAGCGACGGGCCCAGGGTGGGAAGCGCGCAGGAGATGAAGAAGACATGATTTGGAACCTGATGAATTGTGTATACAAGGACGGCACGCCGGTACCCGACAAGGAAGTAGCGCACATGATGATCGCGCTGCTCATGGCCGGGCAGCATTCCTCGTCGTCCACCTCGGCCTGGATCCTGCTCCGACTCGCCACGAGACCCGACATCCAGGAGGAGCTTCTCGAAGAGCAACGACGCGTGCTGGGCAAAGACCTCCCGCCCCTGACGTACGACGGTCTGCAAAAACTGACATTCAACTCCAAGGTCGTCAAGGAGACGCTGCGCCTGCACGCCCCGATCCACAGCATCCTGCGCAAGGTCAAGTCGCCGCTGACCATCGTAGCCGACACACCCACCGCGACCAAGACGTACATGATTCCCACAACGCACGCGCTGCTGTCGGCCCCGGGTGTCACGTCGAGAGAGTCGTCCTACTTTCCCGAGCCGCTGCTGTGGGAACCGCACCGCTGGGACGAAGGCCACCCGCTCGCCTACACGCAGATGGGCATGGAAAAGGAAGAGTTCGAAGACTACGGCTACGGCATGATCAGCAAGGGCGCCTCGTCGCCGTACCTACCCTTTGGTGCCGGCCGACACCGCTGCATCGGCGAGCAGTTTGCCTATGTTCAGCTGGGCACCGTGCTGGCCACGATGGTTCGCCACGTCAAGTTCAGGCAGCCAGAGGGCAAGAGTCTCGTGCCTACAGATTATTCGAGTTTGTTTTCCAGACCCATGGGTCCTGCTGTTGTTGAGTTTGAGAAGAGGTGAAGTTTTTACCAATAATGAGCATGAAGCCTGGTTTGGGTTTTGGGTTTGGACGCCTCGGCTCATGTGTATAGAGAGCGAGGGACAGAGAGATTGCCAAGCAACCAACCAAACGAGCGACCGACCAACCACCTTGATAACGTACCAACCTACCTACCTCCCTTCCTACCCTTTTAAAGCATTCAAAACATCTAATCTTTGAAACGGATCAAGAGAGAGAGAAAGAGAGGGGGAGGTGTCTGTGTCAAGGATAGACAAAAAGGCCGATGAGAGAAGGCGAATCAATCACACCTAGGTACATAAATGGAGTCAGGAATGAAGTTTGCAAGGGTCCTTGGAGTCGACGTTTGAGGAAAACGAAGAGAGAGATCTTCAACTGCTAGGTTTGTTGATACCTACCTACCTACCTACCTACTACCTTAGATATTATAATTACATCTGTACAGAGTACCTTAATGTGCCTACCGTACATACCTATCTGTAATATACCTACGGAGCAGCGCTATGCCTAGACGTGAATCTTGTGTGTGAGCAAGAAGTTTTCATCCTTATTATCCTTTGGTGAAGCCTCTATGAAAGAATTAACACTGATAGTTTTCGCACTAGTAGTCTGCCCTCCATAGCCTATACATTCGTATATTGTTCAAGTACCGCATCTCCCCTATCCGCTCAATACGACCTTTCACCGGATTCGACCATTGCGTAACACGCCATCGACCAGATTTGTATTCTGCAAGCTGTTGCGTTGGCACGTGTGCTTGCTCCTGCGCCTCTTGGTCCTTGATTACGAACTGCGCAAGAGGCGTCTGGAGATGGTATCTGGGGGTAGCATCCAGCTCCGTAATCGTCTCTGATTTGAGGTACACGGCATCGAGCGCTCAAGACAACTCAGAGGTGAAGTATCCTGTTACGTTGTAAGGTTATTCCTCGGTATGGAGGAGTAGTCTGATCACGGCTCGTATGTACTCTATACCGTGGCATGATGGGGGGACGAGCTGAGATCGTGGCCAATCTGACTCGGAACGAGATTCATTTTGACGCCGAGTGTGGATTAAAGGGATGTAGAACTTAAGCCTCTACGGCCTAATAATCTTCCGAAATCTCTTATCCGAAGCTTAGTGCGCATCTGCCCACAGGAGATATGGAGCACTCCATAATTGACATTTATCATGTGGTAGACGGGGATTCAAGACTACCAGTACGGTCAACAAAAGAAGCTGGCGAAGATAGATATCATAGAAAAGCGAGGAGGGGAGTATTGTTCAACATATACCTAGGTATTATTCACATGCCAATGAAGAACGTTGAGTTTCCTTTAGGTGATTGAGTATCCTCCTTATAGGCGTGGACGGTGGGGTTTATAGCTTTCCCCTATAGGGATAAGTTAGTGGGAGATGGGGCTCAACTAGGCTCTAGGTGCCCGGGCCTGTCGCCTAACTTGAGGCATGGTTGGCACTAACTAGTAATTGGAGTGCCATCTTTTTCGTGTTTTGGAGCAAATTCCCATACTGCACGAAGTTTAACCCCCATCTATCCGTTTTGCCCTTCAGCTGCAGAGTTCTATTTATTTATTGTTACAAACTCCGCCTCCAGTCCGGCTTTTGCATTACATAGACCTTCTTTTTTCCTTTCCACGTCTTGGATTCCGGTTTCGAATTCAGACTTTCTTTCATCAAGGCCCCACGCGATCTACGCTTACATATTGTATTATTCTCGACTTCTTTGTTACCGGGCACTTGCACCTCGTGCCCTATCCTTGCTCCGTTTGAACACCGACGCTTGGACGGGCTATACACTCTTCCTAGACGATACCTAGAGCGCTCCTATAGACACAACAACGAACACGTCAGCCACTCAAGACCTAGAAAAGCACCGACGCTGACATAACGCCGATTTTCCCAGACAGAGAAGCATCGTAAAGCCAGACATTGTCCCTTCCGACCGCTTGACCGAGTCCTGCCCTCCATGGGCCTCTTGAACAAGGAGCCAGCCTCGACTGGCTCAGATCCAGCAGAACATGTTACCTCCGGGGCCACTACCGTTGTTCCCAGCCAAAACGTTTCGAATGTCGACTTAGAGAAAGAGCTGCCGGTGGAAACGACGGTAGCAGAAAAGTCCCACACTTCTTCGCAGAAACGCATGGACGCAGAGAAGCGGCAAACGGTGACAGGAAGTGCCTCATCCACTGGGGATGTCGAGCTACAAAACGAAAAGGCGCACGAAGACGGAGAGCCCCCATTCGGCGACGAGGAAGCCGTATACCCTGCTGGCTTGAAACTCGCATTGATCACACTTGCACTGTGCTTGTCTGTGTTCCTGGTTGCATTGGACAATACCATCATTGCGACCGCCATCCCCAAGATCACGGACCATTTCAGATCTCTCGGAGATGTGGGCTGGTATGGTTCCGCATACCTCCTAACAACTTGTGCGCTGCAGTTATTCTTTGGAAAGTCAGTCACTCTCCGTAGTCCACCAGCTCCAATGAGGAGGCTCGTTGCTGACGTTCCGCAGGATGTATACCTTTTTCTCGATTAAATACGTCTATCTGACTGCCATTGTCATCTTCGAAGTCGGCTCTGCCGTCTGTGGTGCCGCCCCGACGTCGAATGCGCTTATCGTTGGTCGCGCCATTGCAGGTATCGGATCTGCTGGTATTTTCTCTGGTGCTTTGGTCATTATTGCATATACCGTTCCTCTTGTGAAGCGCCCAATCTATACTGGTAAGCATTTGTCCGGCATTTTTGATCCTGCCGCTGGATCCTGACCACTTATAGGTGTTATCGGTGCCATGTATGGTATTGCCTCAATTGCTGGACCTCTCCTGGGTGGAGCTTTCACCGACGGTCCTGGATGGAGATGGTGCTTCTACATCAACCTACCACTCGGCGCTGTCACGCTGATTGTGATCTTCTTCTTCTTCCAGTCCCCCCACAGAAAGGCCGAGGCAGCGGTCTCGTGGAAGGAGAGAGTCAATCAACTTGACCTTGGCGGTACAGCTGTCTTCATTGTCGACATTGTCGTCTGCTTGCTCGCTTTGCAGTGGGGCGGATCGACGTACCCATGGTCAAATTGGCGCATTATCTTATGCTTGGTTCTTTTTGGAATTCTCACCATCGTCTTCATCGCAATCCAGTTCTTCATGAAGGACAACGCCACTGTGCCGTTCGGGCTCATTTCTCAACGCAGTGTTGCGGCCGCGAGTTGGTTCGCATTCACTTTGGGCGCCGCGTTCTTCTTGCTGATCTACTGGGTCCCAATTTGGTTCCAGGCCATTAAAGGGGCTTCGGCATTCAAGTCGGGCATTGACAGTCTACCCATGGTCCTGGCGTTGGTCATTGCCACTTTCATCAGTGGTGCACTCACCACCGTGGTTGGATACTACTGGCCCTTCTATTGGTTGAGCGCCATCTTTTCGGCCATCGGTGCTGGTCTCTTGACAACCTTCGACGTCAACACTGGCCACGAGAAGTGGATTGGTTACCAGGTCATCTACGGCCTCGGCGTGGGCTTCGGTATGCAGCAGGCCCTCATGACCGTCCAGGCCGTTCTCCCACTCGACAAAGTCCCTACTGCAACCGCGCTCGTCATGTTCATGCAGACATTCGGCGGCGCTTTATTCGTCTCAGTTGCGCAGAACGTCTTCAACAACCGGCTCATCGCTGAGCTTCCGAAATATGCACCCGGCGTGAACCCGCAGATTGTGGTGCACACTGGTGCTACATCGCTCAAAGATCAGATCCCTGCTCGACTTCTGGAAGGTGTGCAGCATGCGTACAATATTTCACTAACCAACACGTGGTACATCTCTGTTGCCATGGCGGCTTTGTCCATTCTCGGCGCAGTGTTTGTTGAATGGAAGAGCGTCAAGGGTATGAAGCCAGGTGCGGTAGCCGCCTAGGTGGCTGGTTGTGTGCTGTGCCCATTATTTTCCTTACTCTTGGAACTTGTTTCATGTTTGCATAGCGATGGCCGTATGGCCTGCGTGGGCGAATTTAATGCCTGTATCGGCCGGTTAGATTCTATCGCTTGATTCCACACGTGTCCCAGATAGACCTGATGAATATAGATCTCGGCTCTCGAAAAGCTATGAAGGGTATGAAAGTAAATACTTGATAATGTCTAAAACATACAACCGTTACGAGCGCCTCGGCTTATCGTTTCGTGAGAATATCGCGTATAGAATCTCCTAATACAGGTACTGGAGACAGCAATAATAAAGTGGCCCGGATCAAGCCCCGGAAGAGGACAGCACGTGACTAACTTGTCTGGAGCAATAATGGAGTGTCTCTAATCGACAACGACCTCTCGAGTCGTTATCTCGGCCCAGGATAAGACAGCCTGCCGAGCTTTATCAATGCTTTTGTCACATCGTTGGTCTTGTATTGTGACCCATTGCATCGGCTGGTCACCATTGACTACACATCCTTTACTACTTGGATTATGAAAAGAAAGAGGGAACTTGGATTTCCTGGACTCACCATGAGGTCGTGAAGAAAATGCCTCGGCCCAAAGTCCGTCCCGAAGACCGTCAGCGAGCGGTCAAGGCGTGCATCCCGTGCAAATCGTCCAAGAAGAGATGCGATGCTCAGCAACCGTGTTCGAATTGTGTGAGGAAAAGGGCGGCAGAGACGTGCGAATATGCAGAGTCCATGGTCCGACCTCGCGGCATCCACGCCCACACGGCCAGAGCCGCAAGTGTTCAACATTCGTCTACTACCGCCGTCGCCAAGGGCGACCATGAACGCGACACAAGTACGAAATCACCGGTCGAGGAGGAGTATCAGTCGCCAGTATCGGCGACTGGCAAGCGCAAAAGATCGCCTGCGCGGGGTGCGTCGACTCTACGCAGACTCAGCGGCGGCCGATTGCTGTTAAACTCCCGAGGCGAGAAAGGTGAGGTTTCCTGTCTTTTTCAACCAGTGTTGTAGGGGATGGAAAGGAAGGATGAATTGTCTAATTCGACCCTGTCGTAATAGTATACGTCGGTGGTACAGCATCGCTTTCGTTCTTGCAGTTCCTTCGCCACACCCTCAAGCAGCAGATGGGTCCGTCGGTTTTCACAGATAATGATCGACGAAATGTCATGCTCGAAGTACGGAGCCCGGAAGACACGAACGCCATCTTCGAAGAGGACGAAAGCCAGAAACGGGCATTGGTTGAGATCTATTTTGCTGCGGTATGTCGTGTCACTTGCGCAGGCACCACCTCGCTCCTCTCGACCTCAAGCTTTATCCTCCTTCGCTCGGTGACTGACTCACGTCCAGACAAATGGCTTTCTCGATTTGTTTACGCGCGACGAGATCGAAGCATACCTGACGGGCGCCACCACGCCCGCTGACGGCGTTCATGAATACGCACCTGTAGCACTCGACCTGGTCGTCGCCATTGGCGGTCAGTGTCGCGCACTTGGACCCCACGACTTGCGCTACGCTGTACGATGCTTTTCGCGGGCGCAGAAAGCAGCCATGGCGTCTGCGCTGGAAGACCCGTGCTTGGACATGGTGCGCTGCTTCCTTCTCATGGCGTTCTACATGTTGGGCGCGTGCCGAAGGAATGCCGCATTCATGTACGTTGGCATCGCAGCACAAGCATCCTCCGCGCTCGGGTTACATGTCACTGAAGAATATCGCCACTTTACCGTTGCCGAGAGGAGTGTTCGGTACGTTTATTTTTTTCCATTCCACAGCCCACCATATGTGTCTTTGTCGGGAGCTGACAAAAAGACAATTTCTCTCAGACTACGGACGTTGAAGAGTCTCCGCGTTCTCGATGTATTGGTCTGTTCGATCCTCGGCCGGACCTATTCCACACCCGCAGTACGTATCGACAGCGCAAGTTTTACCGGCATGCACGTCCAGCCCGCCAAGCCGAGAGACATGGCTCTCAACGCTAGTTTCGGTGCGTGCGAACTGATCGCCGAGATCATGTATAGTCTCGACGGTAATATCTCCAATCCGATCGACACTCCCACGGCAAAGCGGTTTCTCGAACGTTTGAGGAGTTGGAGCGCCAATCTCCCGCTTGAGATCCGTCGATTTGAAACGACAGGCAAAGAGCCGCTCAATTCCACGGATCAGGAGTGCATCATCGGAAGTATCCACGTGAGTTGCGTGTATTACTTTGCCGTGATGCTGGTGACGAGACCATTTCTCATCAATCATCTCATGGCACGATTGCCAGGCGCCTCATCGAAAGAAGCCGCGCAGACCAGGCACTTTGAAGACGCGGCGAGGGCACAGGATTCAGAAGCGGTGAATCTCGCGCAGGCTTGTATCGACTCGGCGATCCTCATGGCGCAGACGTGCTTTGATGCATTGCAGGGTGGGATCTTGTTGCAGAACATGTGTATCATGAAGTAAGTGATTGCCTTCCCCTCTCCCCGCCTACAGTCTCTCCTGCTACGCACGTTTAGGCAGCCTACAGCGAGCCTTGCTAACCTTGAAATTCCCAAAGGGCGTGGGTCTTCGCAGCTGGTTTGGTCCTAGGATTCTCCATGTTTGCGCAAGGAGAGTCTCCATTCGACATGGATGAATCGTTCAACGGGGCGAGAGAAGTACTCAAGAAACTAGCCGAGCACAGCCCCCAGGCAGAACATTACTATGATATCCTAATCGGATTCGCCGACGCCATACAGCGACATAGGCAGCACTTGTCGCGCGAAAAGAGACGTGCGAGCGGCAAGTACGTCAACAGGATCTTGTCTCTCGACGTCAATGTCAATCTCGGCGGCGGGGGCGGCAGTAATACTAAGAACAATGCCAACATATCGAGCGCGGGGTCCCAAGCTACGTTCTCTCCGGGCAGTATACTGGATTTGAGAGATAGGGACAGGGATACCGTGGCATCTTCAACGAACCAAATGACGGATGTCGAGTTCGCTGCTTCTGCTACGCCGGCAGATGCTGACGTTCTACCATCATCTCTCGCTCACGCTCATGCTGATGGGCAGACACCGTTCCAGTTACTCGGTACGCCGCATTTTCCTGTAGACTCTGGAGGGTTCGACTTTGGGCTTTTCGGCTGGGATAATTTCGCCATGCAGATTTCGGAGAATTTCTCGTTTGACAACTACGAGGATACCTGGGGGCCAGCGGAATAATGCAGACTATAGTCCTCAAAAGGCGGGAGGAGGGGGCGCACATCGTATCACTGACTGCATTAGGTGTCCAGGTTTTTTTTCTTACTGTAGACTTACGAGGAAGGCGAAGTTTGGTTCTTGGATCTGGGTCAGGAAAAGAGGTTCGCTTCCGAGGAGTGAAAAGGGAGGTAGGTATCTGGGGTGGGTCTTTTTGTCAGTTCGACGGCACACAGCTCTACGGACTGAATTTCAATCTCAATCTTCGCGCTGTATCTGCCGCTGAACCATTGCATAAGCCGGACTCCAATGGGTCCGGTTTGTTTCGTCAATCAATTTGGTACTTTCGAGGCCTGAGTAGCCCCCATATCTTACCTGGCACTTGCAAGCAAACGGAAGTACTTGAAAGCTGTGGATCCACCGTGATTCTGGCTACCTGTTACACAGGGTAATCGAAACTCCGAGACGGATCATCTCGGAATTTGAATCTCGAAAGCGGCCGTATGATGGAAGCAACACAAGTCCGGTATCGGGCGGCTATACTATGCGGGGAAATTGCTCGGTAGCAGCCCTGAAGGTTCGGGCTCCTGATATCTGCTACTTATTAAAATCAGGATTCGCAATTCGAGGGTCTCAGGACTCCCTCACAGCGTCTGCAAAGGGAAAGCAGCGAGGGCAGCATATCTATCCAGTGGTGTCTCTCTGGATCTCCCAATCTCCATACGGGCTCTCACACCACAACCACAAAGCTGCAATCGCAGTCAGCGGGACTCCCGACGGGATGGCCGTACCACGCGTACCAGGCGTCCGTTGGACAAGCCTGATCAGTACACCGGCATCCCGGTCATTTCCCCGGCGAAGATTCACCTCATCGTGTCGAAACATGGCCTCCAACGACGCCAAATCAACAGCAGAAGCGTTCTTGAGCAAGTTCTCCCGAGGCCAAACATTTGTCCGAAAACAGCTGTTGGATGCCAACCAGCTACGGCTTTTCTCCCTCACACTGGATAGACCGCACCTATGGTCCAGCTCCGGCACGTCAGGCGGCAGCACTCTGGAAGATGAAGAACCGCTATCTGGCACACCCATCCCATCCTATTACCACCTTGTCTACTTCACCCCGGCCCAACTACCGGGCAGACTAGGCCTTGACGGGACGGACACCTCATTCAATCCGGACGCACCATTTACGCGGCGCATGTGGGCTGGTGGATCTTGTCACTGGGTCGGAGCAAATCCGGACGCGAGCGCAAAAGCCTTGCTCAGGGTCGGAGAGATGGCCACAGAGACTACGAAGGTGCTCAGCTGCGAACCAAAGGTGATTGGCAAAACAGGCGAAGACATGTTGGTGGTCCGGGTCGAAAAAGAATTTCGTAACGCCAAAGACGAGCTTTGTGTCGTTGACCGCCGAAACTGGGTGTTCAGAACTGCCCTGGACCCAACAAAGCCAGCCACCGTAATCCCGAAGCCAGCCGAATTACCAGCGTCGGAGCTAGAGCAAGCAGACAAGGGAAAGATTGTCCAGGAGTACAGCCGAGATGAGGCGACACTGTTTAGGTTTTCAGCATTGACGTTCAACGCCCATCGAATCCACTACGACAAGCCATGGGCCAGGGACGTGGAAGGACACAGAAATGTGGTGGTTCATGGGCCCTTGAATTTGATGGCCATGCTGGATCACTGGAGAGATGCCAAAGCTGCTACTTCCCAAGACGGCATTTTCTATCCTGAGAAGATTGAGTACCGAGCCACCAGCCCGGTCTATGCAGGGGAGGCATACCGTGTCACGATGGACGAAGGCGCGGTTCACCAGAAGGTTGCTGATGTCAATGTTGTCAGCAACGATGGGACTACTTGCATGAGAGGAGCCATCAGCAATTGGTCATAGTGATGGGAGGATTTCTTCTTATCTAGCGGCGCACCTGTGGGCCTCGCATCGCAAAGGTGCGGTGTTCAAACGGGGAGAGGATGGCAAAAAGAAAGTGACAGGAGGCAAATACTTCGGTATGTCTGTCGGTGAACAGCCATGGAAAGCAGATTCAGCAGCAGCCGTCGTCGGCACCATCACGGTAGAATAACATGTGATTACATCGATGTGACTGTCAGTTCCGGTTATTTTGCGGTGGAAGCGGATGCATGGCTTACAGAATGAGGCCTGGTTGGACATGAAGGATGCCTAGGAGGCTCACCCTTTAAAGAAGAATGTCGTCAGTTTCTCGTATCTTGATGAGAGTGCCAGCATCAACGGCGCCAACAATTCGCCCGTCGACCAAAATAGCTCTGTATGCTGTCAATCAATCGACGATCGTGGATACGAGGCGAGCAGTGCCTAAAATGCATCCCTGCGGGTTGCATGCCTCAATGACCAAAGGGGGGTCTTCCTTACCCAGGTAGGCAAGCCAAGGTATAGCCTAGCGCCTCGAGTAGTCCCTAGGGAGTGTACCGTACTTTAGGTATCGTAGACACTTCTCGGCCTCCCGGTGGGCGCCGAACCAACTAGCCCCCTATAGGCTGTCGCAGCTGCAACTCTTGTCCCTCTTCCCCCGCAATTTGAATGCTGCACCTCAATCCACAACCCAGCGACTCCTCATTTTTCTACCTGTCGGGCGTCTTCATCCTTGCGCAGACTCTTTTCCAGCTCCAATCACTTGCTTTTGCTTGACAACACCTGCGTCTTCTAATGTCGTCTCTTCGTGCCTCCATCTGCTGGTAGAGTCACACCGCACGCTGTGGCTGCTCGAGCAACCCCCAGCTCCTCGTATTCCAAGCCACCGTTCCATCCCAAATCCATGGTCGCATGCGATCTTGGGCATCTCCTCCGGAATTTCCTCACCGCGCCGTCTGAGTCGTCTCACCCGGGCACCTCGCCTACATCAGACCTCCCCTTCAAGATGATGTTCGCTTCGACCTCACATACACCATGATACCGCAGACTCCCTCCGCGACCGTTCCTCCGGATACTTCTTCCCAACAACTTCTTCGCATGGGTAAACCTTTTGTCGAGTTCCCAAGATTCAGCATTCTGTCTCTCCTGGACGAAAAAGATCATGCTGGCAACAGGCTGCCGTTCTCGGAGTGGCTGACGAGACAGCTGCAGGTTGGCAAACCTTTCGTCATTGCCGACTTCGAGAAGCTTGATACCTGGCCAGGGTCGGACTCTCGGAGTGGGCATCAGCCCGGCTTCAGCATCGAGAGACTGATTGAACTGAGCACCAAAAAGAACATACCCGTGCGCAATTGCAGTACAGGACGAGATCTTTCCTTCACCCTCAAAAAGTTTGCCGACAGTGCCAGACAGTCGTATCCCGAGTTTCAAAATCTATATGCTCGAGATCTGCAATGTCCACCAGAATGGCTGGAACAATGTCGCAAACTCCTTCCCACCGAGGTTCAGTGGGGTGGTCGACTGGACCTCTTCCAGTGGCTTCCCCAATGCGCTCGAAGTGAAGTCATGATGGCCTACGTCGGCAGCGAGGGGAGCAGCTCGGGCTTCCATCGATGCTTCTCAAGTACTGTCGCTCTCAATCTGCTGGTCGAGTCAGATAACCGTCCAGTCGTCTGTATCGGAACCGACTTCGATTCGCAGAAAAAGTATGACTCGTTCATATCGTCGAGGGGAGCTTCGCCGCATCTCGATTGGGTGAATGTGGGTTCGGGCGAGCTCGCTCAGGCCGATTTCCCGTTGTACGTCTATGATCAACGTGTAGGAGACCTCGTGGTGTTCCCACCAGCAACGGCACACCAAGTGTGGAATCCTGCTACTCTTTCAGCAAAACTCGTGTGGAACATCCTCCACCCTCTATCTCTCGAAGTCGGTTTCCAATGTGTTCAGGTACCCTTCAACCGTTTGTGTCACCCCGATGTTGCTCGCACCAATCTATCCCTCGCTTGCGCCATGCTCTCCCTGCTTCAGGACAATCAAAGCATGACCACGGCCTCATTGCCACTTCCACCGGACTTGCCTCTCCTTTCACGTTTGTTCAGACAAATGGTTCATGACGAGTCGATCGAGTCGGAGCCCTTCACCCCGATCAGCTTAGTGCCCATGCCTGCTGGGACTATTGCGACCTGCAACTTTTGCTCCACCGCCATTTGGAATCGCCACGTTCGCTGCACGGTATGCGCTGATTTTGATCTCTGCTTGCTGTGTTACCTCAGCGGTCGGTCTTGCGAGCACGCTCAGTCATATGCATGGGCAGAGCTTGTTCCGACCGAGCAGTGCACGAGGGTCCTCAACAGAGCCAGAGAGATTTTGGGTTTCCAACCAGAGGCGCCCCGGGAAATGGATCGTTGCAAGACTCTTGGTACCGCTGTAAACGATCTTATGCGGGCCAAGGGTACAACTTCTGCTAAGCTCTGCCATCTATGTCGCATTGACCACCAAGAATGGAAAGGTCGTCGATGCGACAAGTGTACGGCCTTCTTTTGCTATCGAGGTCTTTTCCGCCATTTTGACCAGTATCCGCCTGATGTATTGCGACACAAGGGTCTATGGATCTGTCCAAAATGTGAGGAGACATGTAACTGTCGTTGTTGTCATTTCGCGACCGCTTACGTCAAGAGCGAGAAGCCAGCAAGCAAACGGCGTGTCAAGGCGTGCGACAGCAGGGGCAAGGTGATGGGATTTGCAGACAATGTCTTTGACCAGAAGCGAGGGCGAAGGGAAAGTCATCCTGCTGCCAGCGGAAACCATGCTTTGCCCGGGATAGTCCACACCACCGGCAAGAAGCGACCACTATCTGCGAGCGGTGATCGTGGTCCAGAAACACCCTTCAGGAAGATCGAGCTGCCCACTCCGGAGCCAGACTTTTCACATCAGCCGAGATTGGTGCTTTCCCGCGAAGGCTCCGAGCTCGTTCTCGATGCCTTTGGAAGCATCAATGGCAATTTGCCAACGCTGCTCCCGAGCCTGAATACATTCACAGATGGACATGATTTCATGGTAAGTCCCCCGGACGAGAGATATGCAAGAGTCAGCACATCTCCGGCAATTGCTTCGTTAGCTTCTACTGCTGTCAACAATGGGCGTGTACCGAGCAATTTTCAACATGTGCAGAACAATACACTCCCGCCGATGCTAGGGCATACTACGCACAACGGCACGTTTGTACCTCGCCACAGCTCCAGTAGTATTATGGGTACCCTGGGTACTGGTCTCCCGACGTCACCAACTAAGGCTACGCTACCAAACGACATCAAAGCTCCGACCGCGGCTCTTGATGCATCGATCGTCGAGTTGGAGACACAGCTTCGTAGTCTGAAGAAGTACGAAGAAGAATTCGTTGCTCTGAACCTTGAGGACAGCAGGAGAATGCTTGCCACTGAAGTGGCTGAGCTGGAAGAAAGGCTCAAAACAAAGAGACGTGAGAAGAGCATTGTACTGATTGAAAGACTCAAGAAAGAAGGGTTTGGTGGACTTGCAGCTGCAGTGGGGAAGGAGGTGGGACTGGGAATTGACGGGACCGATCAAAGCACTGGATAGTGCTTGAGCAAGATGAATACTTGATGACTGACCGCATGTCGAAATAGTCCTTTTCTGGAACGGTTTTAATGCGTGGCTTCAAAAGTGTTAGGTTCTGGGTATTGGGATGAGAATCGTGGGCGCTTGGGTGCATGTGTCTGAGGAATCAACGACGGTAATGAACGGACTCGGACAGTCCAGACCATATATACCCCCAAATATCGCACATGAAGTTTGCACATAATGACATGATTGACTTGTTTATGCCTCTCACATCGCAGCATGATGGGGTTGATCTCGCCTTGGACACTGCTGTGGGCGACTCCGATTGGATTCCAAGCCGCCGGGAGTTTCACAACGCAAAGGCCCAGTACGAGTAGAACTGTAGAAGTAGTTCCTGTCACTCCATTTTACGGCCCGTGGGAAATGAGTGGTTTGGACGACGTATTTCGGCTAGGTCCAACTCGGTGGACACTGGTGAGATGATTCGGTAGGCCGGGACGTTCATATTCCGCAGAGGTCTTTCTCCGGTATGGTTGGACTTCTCTAGCAAGGTTACCTGGCTACCGGGTACGTCGAGGAGGTATGTGTTGGAGGTAACGGTACCATTGGTCCTAAAGCCACTTGTCTGGGTGCTGGAGGACGTACATTTCACACGGTGAGTGTGCGCAAGGGGGTCTCACCCAAAACCTCAAGGTACTGGTCATTACTGTACATACTGCACTGTACGTATGTACTGTACGTATGTACTGTAGTAGGTACCTGTAGTTGTACCACCAGATTAACTAAAAGTTAGGTACCTACAGTACAGTAACTAGTCACTAACTTAGTACGCTCGGGACGCCCATAAAACTTACGCGGCTCTTGCCGACGGCGAATGATGTGACAACCGACCGAATGACAACCAGCCAGCAGCTGGTCTCAGGTTCTGGATAGTCCTGCAATCCTGTCGTACCCTGTCCTTAATATGCTTATACGGAGTACCTCGTTTTCTTTCACTTCTCGTAACCTGTCCCTCCTTCGTCGTCGCTACCGCCACTGTTGCTGTTACTTTTGTTGTTGATTGCCCTTGATCATTTGTAGCCGCGACCTGTTTGAGCGTCTTTCTTCTTCTTTCTCCCCATGGCAGAAATTGGAACTCCAGCGACACCGGCGTCGCCCGTGTTCCCGGACACTCTCGGTTCGGTCACCGCCCTTGCGCGGTTTGAATTCGAGCCCGGACGGGGCAACGAAGGCACCAAAGTCATGATGGTTGAATGGCAAGACGACGACCACACCCGCTCCAACTCCGGTAGATGGCAGGTCTCCTGGTCCGGCAAGAGAACAGTCTTCCCCGCGGACGACCACCCTTCAGACAACATTCGCCGAGTCTACTTTCTTCTGCCTCCTGGCGCGACCATCCCTCCTCACGTCACCCTCGCGTACCATCCCAGCTCTTCGGAAAGGACGACCGAGGAGCCAGCCGCACCGCTGCGGATGACGGTGAATCCCCTGCCGGCCATCTTCACTCCGGAACTCGGCGCCACCGCAAAGGCCGCCGGGAGACGAGGAGTGCTGCACACGATATGGGCCAAGAAGAGACTGCAGGTCCTCGAGGAAGAGATCAAGCACGAGGAGGAGCACAATCTGGAGGGCATAGCCCTGGAGATGGCCCTCTCGGAACGGAGCTGGATAGAGAACAACTTCGGCGTGGCCACGAAGCCTCCTGCGTTGGATCTGACCGCCGCCTCCAAAGCACCTCTTGCGCCGTCGAGCCCCGGCATGCAGAGCCCACGCTCCCCGGGTGGCAGGAGGCTGAGCGAGAAATTGAAAGGGTTGACCCTGGGGACCAGCGAGAAGGACCTGGCCGGCCGGGCCCTCAACACGCCTACGCGCGAGGTGCATCCCTTGTCCCCCGAGGCATCTGACCTGGCATACTCTTCGTTCGGTGCCTTCGGGAACGGACCCTCGCCCGCGTCCGCCGCGGTCCCGTCGAAAAGGATGGTGGCCCAGGCACCCCCTGATCATATTAGACAGCAGCAGGAACGATCCATCGGAGGCTCGATGGACTTCGTGACCAACAAGAACCCCACGGACTCGACTGAAGATGATCTTTTCGCCGTCGCTCTGAGTCCCCGATCACCCGAGGATACAAAAAGTCCGTTCTCTTTCTCCAGCGCTGACATCGGGGCGTTCGAGAAGCTGAGGGGAGAGCGGTGAAATACAGACACAGCTTTTTATGAATGAAATGACCTTATGAACGACCAAACTATAAAAGCGATCTGACCAAGTGAGCACCTCCGAACCCATTCCGAAACTCGGATTATACAAGTCACCGCACTCTAGTTATTTCCTTCGAAAGCCGCCGACTCGCTATTCGAGTCCCGTGATGGCCCAAGACCCCAATCCTAACCTTTGTGAACCCAGAATACCATCAAAGTCCGTCCCGAACTATAAAAATGCAGCAAATGCGCCCTGCATATCTGTCGTCTATGCCAGAATTGCAGCAATCAGCACTGCGATTCCCAAGCCTGAGCTCACCATGCGAGCAGCATCACCACTGTATGGAGTCGTACTGGCTGTTGGCGCGGGCGCAGCCGTGTTCGGCGGTGGTGGAGGGACATTCGTGGCGGCATTCGTGACCACCGGGGCAGTATAGTTTGACGTTGGGTTTGTTGCAGCCGGAGCAATGGCAGTCTTTGTGCATCCGCAGTGGTCATCGTACCATGTGTAGGTTGTCCCTAGCGTGCCTCCTGTGGCAGCTGCGGCCGGTGCAGGCATGACGGAGGTCTGACGGCATCCGCAGTGCGGGTCCCAGTAAGTGACAGTCACAGTTGGTTCTGTACCGGCAGAGATCAATGTCGCGTTGGCAGTTGGCGTGTAGGGTGCAGAGGAAGTCGTCGTTGTCAGTGGCGGTGCAATTTCGGTCGCGCCGCTGGTGGCCGAGGTGGTATTGCTTGAGCCAGAGCCTGGCCCGGCAGCGCTGATGGTGAAGAGGGGCGAGAAGTTGGATGAGCCCGACTGAACAATCCCGAGACCATAGTCCCCGGGGACGAAGCCATCAGGGACGGTCACGACCCAGTCGTATTCGGCCGATGCAGCTGGGATGTTGGCTGTGCAAACGAATGTGTCAGCAACGTGTTGGACTCTGGAGGGGGCCTTGGGGGAATTGTTGATGTGGACGTACTGGCAATAGGATCGTTCCAGCTGAGATTGCCAAAGAACAAGGAGACGGGGGAATTGTCTCCGACGGTAAAGCGGATGGGAACCATTTGTCCAACGGTGACTGGACCCCAGGTCATGTTGATGAAATCAGAGGCAAGGGCCGTGGTGGCCATGGTGGTGCTGACGCCGACGGCGATGGCGATGAGACGAAGCATGGTTGTTGTCGTTGTCGTCGTCGTTTGCGAGTAGACGGGGTCAATGTATCGCAGGGGATTAGGGGAATGATCGAGAGGGAAAAGGCCAAACGAGTGACAAAGAGATGAGAAAAGACTGGACCACAAAAAGGAGTAAATGAGTGACTGTGTCTCGGGTTGGATGGAAAGGGGAAAGACGAAGAGATAGAAAAAGTAGATGGTCAGCACGATCGATACCGGTAGGTATGTGGTCGTCAAGTACTTTTGATGGCAGGGACGGTGGGTCCTTGATCGAGTCTCATGGTTTGTTTTGTTTTGTTTTGTCTGGTGCTTCTGATCCAAATACCTTACCTACAGGTGGAGGTACTTACTTGGTACCTAGGTAGTAGAATGCCATGAGGTTGTTGTTGTTGTGGTGGTGGTTGATCGATGCTTTTGCATTCCAGCCAGAGAGAGCATTCGGGTGGAGGAGAGATACGGTCCAGTGAGTGAGTGGATGGTGCACAGACGATGAAAATCGACCCTTTGCATTCCACTGGGAAAGTGAAGTAAGTGATTTTCAATCTTGATTCTGTTGGTCCTTTTTGATCAGTGGCGATGTTTGATCAGTGGTGATGTTTGATCTTTGGGTCTGTTGATCTGAGAGGGTCGTTTGGTTTGGTTTGGTTTATTTGGGTTTGGGGAAGAAGTTGTCTCTCGAACTACTTACAACAATATATGGTGGAGCGGTAGTGTATGTACATACCTTCCTCGCCTCCAGGTACCTAGCTAAGATGTGACGAGAGAGAGAGAGAGAGAGCATGGAACAGATCCAGGAAAGTGTATACTACCGAACCACTTACTCACCATACGTGGGGGGGTTCATCCACACCCGAGGAGCGTGGTCTGGACTCTACTCTTCTGTGTAGTCTGTGTGGTTTGTACATACATAGATACGTACGGTGTGACATGCACAGTAGGTAGGTGGATAGACAGCCTTTGTGTCCGAGGTAGACGTTCCGGCCAGCCTTAATATCTACCGACTTGCCCACCTAAGGTGTACGGATACGACAAGGGATGTTCAACTTTAGACAGGTCAGGTGAGAGGTAGGTAAAGGTAGATTGGGGGTACACGATACTCGTCGAGTACGGACATCATACGGAGTACAGTACCTTGGGTGTTTTATTAGCCTTTTCGACCACTCGGCACTAACTAACTTAGTTAGTCAACTACTGTAGTCTCGTAGTAGAGTACTTGTAGGGGAGTACTTTACAGCCTTTTTTTCTCGAGGTACTAATAAGTTACTAACTAACTACTGTAGTTACCTGATTCTTGGCTCTCAAAAAAAACTATAGTATAACAACAACCTTAACTCACGTGCTACCCCCCTCCCCCCCCCCCCCCGGCGGGGGGGTTACTGTACTCCGTAGTCGAGGCTTATTTCTAACACTCCCACTCCGTACAACTACCCCCGTTACCTATCACTCTGTATCTACCTGCCAACCAGTGTAGGTACGTGGGCTTCCCGGTTAAAAGCAGATGCTAAGGCGTCCCAACACAGGAGCTACAGGTATTTTTTATCTACACTAGAATCACGAATCCAATCCATTGTCCAGAAATGACCATGGTATTCTTTCCGCAAGTTCTGATGAATCAGATCCTCCTGTACGTAGTACACGATTTCCAGTTTCTAGAGTCATCCCCTCAAGTAGATAGATATGCTACCGCAGGTACTCCGTACTGTGCATTGTTGATCTCAAGCTTCAACGCCACCGCCCAGTTGCGCCAGACAACTCCCCCAAGGCTCCAAAGGTGCATGATGCGTGCCGTTGGAAGAAACCTTGCCAGTGGTACTCCGTAAAGAAGTGATCATCTACATTGTCCCCAGTCAAGCCAAGGGACTCGGTAGACTTTGGTCGATTTGTTCGGGGAGGTATCCAAAACAAGAATGCTAAAATGCTTCCCCCTTTCCGTTCCTTCCCTTCCCCTTTTTTGAAACGCCTTTTGACCTGACTCCCTTTGAAATCAAGGATACTGCCTCTGCAAACAAACAGCTGCTGCATACATACTGCTTCCGCACACGCACACACACACACACACACGGCTTCTGCAGCTGCAGCTGTGTGTACCACATTGTGACACGCGACAGGGGATGGGTGTTTGATGGCTTCACAAATTACAAGGCAGCAGCCAGACCGAGGATAGCGGCACCGACTACTCCCATTGCAGGCAGGGCGACTCTGTCCACTCCGTTGTCGGTGCTGGAGGAACCTGTCGCTGTTGCTGCTGCTGTTGCCGTCGCGCTCGACAAGGCGCTTCCAGCCGCACTGGTGAGGGAGCCTACTGCACTCGTGGCGGCACCGATCTCAGAACCGGCCGCGGACAGGGCGGACGAGTACGCCGACGCCGCGTCACCTGTGAGGCCGGACGTGGCGGAGCTCAGCACAGATGCGGCGCTGGAGAGGAGGGTTTGAAGGGCAGTGTCGGTGCCGACGAGAGACGACGCCTCGGAGAGGAGGGAGGAGAGGTCCTGTGCCGAAACGGTGGAGGTGGCGGTGGCTGCGAGAGCGGCGAGGAGGTATGTGAAACGCATGGTTGCTGGTTGTGTGTGTGTACAGTATGTGCGTGTGTGGGAGATTCTGGTTCGATGGAATGAATGGAGAAAAAGATGGCTATTTTCTCTTTCGCGATTGATGGATTGATTGATTGCTTGATTATCCCGTAGGTAGTAAGGAATAGGTAGGTAATTTGATCACGAAAGATAGGGAACGTGAGTGAGTGAGTGGATGAGTGAAAAGAGTGCTCGAGTGGTCAGGACGAAGGAGTCGTGTGCCACAGCCTACCTACTTATACCGGGTACTCGCGTACTAGAACCCATGTTATTTCTTTTTTGTTCGATCGAACGGTTACCCACGTTCCCTGAAAAGTTGGAAACTGGGCTGGACGGTCTTTTTGGACCCCAGAAAAAATGTCAATCGTGTCAATCGTGTCGGTCGCCTGAGCGTCTGTGGAGTATGGGACGTTTACAACAACAGGAATACGAGTACGACCTTTGACACGCGGTTTCACGACTTGTCCCTCACAAGTAAGCTAGTGCACTATCATACTAGTCTTTTAGCCTCCTGAAGAACGACTTGTTGATCAAAGTACTGGAATGCCCTGGAATAGGCCCCCCATATCCCAGGTCAAATTTCAAAAAGGGGGTTCGTCGTTCATCCTGCCATCCACTTCTGCCCTTTGACTGGCTGGGGGATGTCGTTGAATAAGAGAAACGACGGGGTTTTGGAGAAGCTGTCACTGGGTTCAAGCAGGTGGATCCGATCGCACTCGTGAGAATCTCGTATGTTTGCAACACAGTACCCATACGAGCTACAAGAAACGAGTCCGCACGACAGGAGGCGTTTCAAGGGCCGGGGACCGCTGCACAGGGGGCGGCGACGCACGAGCGACGAGGGGACCCGTGTTTGAGATCTGCAAGGGGGGCGGAAATGTGGAATCACTTTCGAAAGGGGGGGGGGTTCGTCATTGACTCATTGGAGAGTCTGGGGTTTGTCACAATCCAATGACGGAGGATCTTGCAGCTAGTACGACTTACAAGGCGAGATTTGAATTGCACTGCCACGATAATCAACCCGCACAAGGAGACCTCAGTATTGTCGATCCACCGTACTGTGTATCGTGCGACTTACAGTGCCTACTCTACACCTACCGAGTCTTTTTTTGGCTGAGTATCGTCCGTCAACGGGGGCAATGAGAGAGAGAGAGAGAGAGAGAGAGAGAGAGCACGGACGAGGAGGTGTGACACCGGTCAAGTCGTCGGCTGGTTACCAGCCTTGCAGAAACTTCCAGCCTCGCAACCTGGCAAGGGAGAACTCGATTGAACTTTAGAAAAGGTCAGTAAACCTCGGTACGAGTAAGGGGGGCTCAGGACAAAAGACTCACTCTCACACCGGTTGCGGAATACTCATGCTCTAACAGAGGCGTCGATTAATTCTACCGATACTGATCGATAGATTCAAAACTACCCCTAATACAAATACCACTACTACCCAAAACAATACTAAAATACTCATACCGCAATGCCATTCCTTCCCAAAACGCCCCTGTCATCTTCCCATACTACGTCCGCTCCTCTGTAGAAGTGGAATCGTCCTCCGAGCTCTCAAACTCCTCCTCGTCAGACACGCCTCTCACGTTATTACTGAAAGGCTCCTGGTCCGTGGGTGCGTGGCCAGTCCAGTACTTTGTCAGCGAAAGGCCCTGAAGCCTCCTCTTCCTCACCCTAGCTTGCCTCTTGTTGCTTCTCTCGGTAACCCTCGTGTCACGGTGTTGTGTGTTGTAAGCGTTGATGGCGTCTTCTAGATTCCAGCCTCTGGGTCGACCTCTAGCAGCAGCGTCATTGTTCAGGCGTCGGTACCCATATTGCGCTCCGGCGCCTAAATTGCCTTGACGATCCAATTCCACGAGCTTGTCTATCAACTGGTCTCTGGTGCTAGCACGAACTGTCTCCAGCGGGATTTGGCGCTGTATGGTAATTTCTCGCATCAGTTCGTCCCGGAACATGGCGGCATAATCATCTCTGCTCGGAAGCGGTGGCCGTTGCCGAGGATTGTAATTGTCGACCCGTTCTTGCTCTTCGTCAGAAAGGAATGATTCACTGTCAGTCTCACTGCCTTGTGTTGTCGGCGTTGCCCTTTTCGCCCCCGCATCTTGTTGTCGCATATTCTGGTCATATTCAAGGAACATGCGACGCAGGTTGCGCATGAGCCGCAAAAATCGATTCAACGCATGCCGCAAAGCAAGGTTCAAGTAGCTCCGGAGACCCCCAGCATCAAACATCTTTAGGATACGACGATATTGCTCTTCAATGTCTATCAGCTCTCTGAACATGAGAGCACGAGTTACTGGATGAGCTGGGTGAAGTCGAGGAACTTCACGTCTGGGGATTCGATCAATCTCAATGGGGACGGTGTCGAGTAGAAGACTTTTGTATGCTGCTCTCAACTCGTTAGTTTCCCTGCGCAGGTTGTTGAATGCATCGCGGATTGAGGCTCTTGCTTCGGCAGATCTCATAGACGTCGCAGTGTTGACTGTGAGCATTCTTGTCAGCCCAGGCAGATGCACGGAGCCAATAACACCAAGCACATTTCTGAAGTGGCTGTTCCGAGGAACCAGAATTTGTACGGGACTTTCGTCGTTGGGGTGAGGAAGAACCCGAGCCGCTCGATGTGGACCACGTTGGTCAATGTCTTGCTCAGATTCAGTATCATCATCATTTTCAGCTTGTTGTATGTCCTGATCATCTTCGGCATCGTCCTCGAGTTCGCCTTGCGGGTCGCCCTGTGGTTCGTCCTCATCGTCGTCATCATCGTCGATTACAGGCTCTCTTTCCCTCTGTGATCCGAATCGACTCTCATTTGATGATGAAACTCTCCCATCAGAAGGTATACGTACCCGGTTAGGTTGAATTGAGCATTGACAGAAGTGATGGTATTGCCCCGGGAATTGAGGACACTCATGGCATGGCCCATCAACATGAATATGAACAGAAGTTGGATTTTCTTGATTCGTATTAGTCACTGAGCCATGAAGATTCGGGTCACTCTCAGTACTTCCTCGCGCTGCGGGGCCATGTAAATTTTCGTTATCCTCGACAACGAGCTCACCAAGGGGTTGCCGGCCCGATCTGGGCCTAAGGTCATGACCGTCCTGGCCTCGGCCTCCTGCCATCTCACTAAGAGGATTGCGGGTTTGGGCTTGCGACTGTCGTGATGGAGTACCATGCAAGTCGTCAAAATTGGGAGGAGCCGCCAAGGTCGTTTGATGAGAGAGTACATGACCTCCTGGGGGGTATGAATGCTCTTGCAATGGTGGTAACTGGATAGGGCCTCCTTGGGGCGGGTGAAAAGGGTCTTGCAATATTGGTGCCTGAAAAGCAACCCCTTGATGCAGATAGAAAGGGTCTTGCAACCTTGGCATCTGTGGCATCTGAACACGAGCTCCTGGCGGTATGTAGAAAGGGTCCTCCAATCGTGGCATGTGGGTTGGGCCTTGCCAATGTGGTATGGTGGAAGAAACTGTTGCTGCCACAGGAGGCACTTCACCCTGCGCATCACGGGTAGAGGCCCTCGTTGATCGCCTTGAGGATCCGCGCTCTGCGCTAGGGGAAGGTACAGCGTGCTGAACGTGACGAGAGGTTGATTCAAACTTCACCCGGGGCGAAGATAAATCTTCTTCATTCGCATTCCCCGGGACACCAGATCGTGGTACAGGTACCGACTGATTGTGTAGAGCCACGGCATTTGCAACCCGAAACGCCGATCGTTCCAAGAGATCCCATATCTCGTCCTCACTGAGACTTGTCATGGAGTTGTGTCTTGCATAATACATTTGCCTGAACATCGCGATATGCTGGTCCCGAAAGCTTGGTGAGCGATTGACGTTGGTATCGACCGAAGTCTTTCTTTGAGGCGAACGACTACGAGCTGGGGTCCCACCACCTCCGCCTCGTAACTTTAGTGCTGCGGTCGTCTTGTGAATGCGGCTGTTTGGGTCTATCACCGCCTGATGACCATCTGCACCTCTTCCACCTCTGTTCTTCCGAGCAACAAGGGAGACGGGCGATAGAGGTCTACTTTGTCCAGGAAGGAGGCGCCGTATGAATGTTCTTAGCCGGCCAAAGGGTCCAAACATCCTAGTGTACTGAGATCCAAAGAGCGAGGATGAATCTCGAGCATGAGCGGGAGGTCTGTTGATGAGGTATTCAGCTCGCAGTCCTTCCGAATATATCCCAGGGGTCGCCAATTCCCGGGTTATCTGCTCGCTATGCGCTACTTCCTGGGCGCGCGTCTCTGGAAATGGACAATGGACATAGTCAAAATCACTGATGAGGTTTATTCCTCGTGGTTGCGGGAATGACAGCTCGGATGGTATCCTGCCGCGTTGACCCGGGACGGGTTGCTTAGCATCGATCGTTGTGCTTCCAACATCTGCTATTACACTTGTAGTGTCTGCTGGGGCCGGCTGTGGTGTATGCTGTGGTGTATGCTTTTGCACATTTTCCCCGTTTGTGCTTGGCGGTCGCCATGCTCGCCCTGATAAACTGCTTGTGGCGGGGGAGACAGTGGAGGAAAATGATGTCAACCGGCTCCCTTGGGCACCTTCTCCATCGTTCCATCTTCTGACCACCGCCGGACCACCGTTGATGGCATTGAGTCGAACCACCGCAAAGTGTAGCTTTGGAAAAGTGTTGGAATCCAGAATGTTGCTCTCTGTGAATCTCCTGAGCGATGAAATGACATGCTCCCTCAAAGGGTCCTCTTGCAACCGACGAAGGTGAAAGTACCTCTCGTTGGGGTCTGCTCTGCACCTATCGATGAAGCGACAATACTTGCCCACCATATTCTCAATACTCCTGGGGTTGGCAGCGTCCGGTAGCCGGAGTAGACGCTTGAATTCTCGTGCTACTCCGGGCTTTTCAAAGAATTCAACCTCCAGACATCGTCGGTCAGTAATGTGCAACAAATCGCCGGTGTCAAAACTGACGAACGCCTTCTTCAGACATCTCCAGATATGGAGCCACAAGGTCCTTCTTTCTGATTTGTATGTGAGGTTCTGGAATTCATCTTGCAGCCAAGCACACCTGCGCAAGGTGCTGACAACAAATTCTGGGTCTAGTAGGGGGGGCATGTTCTCTCTGGCACTTCCTAAGAAGCTCGGAAGAGCAGGGTGTGCTGCTACAGACTGTATCCCAAGTAGTAGCGTCGTGAAAACTCGTTCTTGGATAGATGTCGGTGATCGGCGCATGCAAAGGTACAACTGATCAAGTTTTTGGACCAATTCTGACTGTGTGTATGATTTCCAGAGAGATACGAAGGGTAAGTAATTTTCTTTAAGTTTTCGAAGATGACGTTCAACTTGTGATGTGTCGAGGTTCTCTTGAGACAGGGCTGAGATTGTCTGAAGCCTATCGGTGATGGCAGTCATATCCTCCAACAAGTTCGCCGGGCCTCGGGAATCAACAGTAGAATTCCTACTCCATTGCTCGAAATAATCATTGATCCTCTCTAGGATACCCACAATGTCCTGAGGCGAGGGGCGAACATCGATATCAGGAAGCCAAAGGGCAGACGTCGGCGGATGCTCGGTTTGATTTCCGGGTTCATAACGTGCTCTGCCGGCGAGCGTATTCTCGACATTTTCCGGGGGAAGGGTCTCGCGAGGCTCTGCGTAGCCGGGCTGAATATGTGTATCTGTTGAGAGACGCAGATGGCCTTGAATTGGACCAGCAATGGAAATACCGCTTTCTCGATGCAGGGTAGTCACTGTTCGCCCTAGCGGTCGAGGTAACACAAGTCCGAGTCTCGCTACGCGAGGGACTTTGCGCTTATAGGACTGGCCCGAGGGTCTTCGAAGAGCACTTCTCGCGTTCCGTTTTGGTGCCATCTCAATACGAAGAAAGCAAAAGGGAATACAGCACAGAACACAGGAACTCACCAGAAGGACATTAAATAGAACCTTACCTTGGACAAAGACCGACAGGTCCATGACCTGGAAACATGTTTGCATCAATTGCACTCAGCAGCTGCGTTCAGGTATGTTAAGAAAGAGGCGCGGTTGAAGGTGTAGACGAACACAGCTCATTGTCCGCTTTCGGTTTAGCGGCCGTGCTTGTGAGAAACGTCTTTGTCTTGCACTTCAATGGACGGCCAAAGCTCGGAATGAGAGTGGTCGCCCATGGGCCACGTCCAGGGTCTGGTTTCGGATGGTATGAAAAGAAGCCCTTCATTAGCTTCTGCGGATGCTAGTTGTTGGACAAAAAGGTGATTGGGCAACCAGGCCGTTCCAGCCGAGATTCTGACGGGGAGTCCGAATTCGTCGTAAAGAGGAGAGAGGTGGAAACAAAGAACCATGCATCAACCATTATGCCCGGAAGGCGGGAAGATTGGGAAAGAGATGGAGATGGAGGTGGGTGATTGGCCATAAGAAGGCCAGCTATTTGCTGGGATAACTCGCTTGAAGCTGAGGAGTACTGTACAGAAGTGACTGGCACGTCGAGCTCGTACTAGTAGTTGCTAGTCGAGTCGTAGAGTTGAACCATGATTGCATGTGATTATTCAAGGAAAGGGAGGAGAGCCAGGGAGTTCCAGGTTGGCATGATCTGAGGTAAACGAGGAGTCGAGAACCCATGAGAGAGGGTGATGCTCTCTGTTGGCGTACGAGCACGGGTACGGCGTAGTCTGATCGCTTCCCCACACTTTACCAACGGGGCGTCGGGGCCGGAATTGGTTGGCGATCCGCTGACGAAGAAGTTCAGAAGATGGAGGGGAGTGGCTGGCAGGGGTGAGATGGATGTTGTCCGAAAGGGCGGGTGTTGCGTTGCGTTGTGACGAGGTCGATTGAGACAAGCAGGGGCTTAGGAAGTAGTACCAGGTACTTCAGGTGATAGCAACAGTGAGAGTAGAGTGATGGTACTGGTACTTGCACGGCGTCCTCAGCCAGCTGACTGGCCATATGGTCTGACTCTTCCCCTCCTACCTCAACAGCTCGTACTGGGCAATTATTAATGAGTGCAGAGGTGTCCTGACAGATGCCTATCCTCGTACGGGTCCGAGGGTCCCTCTGATATGCGACCCGTTAAGCCTTTAGGGATCCTCTAGTGGCCTGTGCAGGCCCGTGGAGATGTCTAGTGCACCTTAAAACGCGTCGACCAGCTCCAATTGGGCTTCGAGTCTGGAGAGAGTGCACTAGACACGGCCCTAATGCACGCCCACGTATTGTATTACCTGGAGATAGCGCTTAGGAAAAGGAAACTTCCATGCCTATCCGGTGTTCTCGATCACCTGTGAAAGTCAGTCATGTAAACCGACAGTACAATCCCTCCCTCCGTCTCTCTGCTTTCTCTCTTCGCCAATCCCTCTCAAATCTACCATCTCCTCGCTGTTGAAACCACACCAACCTTCCACCGTTTCAGACCGCACCGACCATCGACAATCCAGACTGAGCTGATATACGTTTGCTCACCTATCTCGAAACCCCACGCTCATACCAACCATGACGTGACCTTTGGCTGGCATCCCCTTTGTTTGATCCCTTAAAGCCATCTCAACTGCACCTTCTCGAGTGATCCTGCCATCATACCAACATCCTTCACGTTGCTACTCCGTACATATTGCCACAATCGATTGACGCTTCCCGCCATGTCCAGCCAAAACAGGCCGTCCTCCCCAGCTCCCCAACATCGCCGACGATCCTCCTTCATTGACATGTTCAACCCTCGTTCCAACACTACGAACACCGGACTCTCATCCTCCCCACCTACCAACACATCCTCGACTCCCAACACTAATCACCACCGAAGAGGCACTTCCATCACCGGGCTAGGCCTCACCACGAACCCCTCCGGCCAGACTCCCTTCTCAGCCTTTCAACGCCGAGCAAGCATCGCGACCTCGTCGGTTTCAAGCTCTCCGGACTTCAAGAATAGCTTTGGTGACGAACCCGCTGTCATTGAAGAGGATGATACAACAACACAGGCAATTGGACAACCTCCATCTCCATCCTTTGCTAGAAGAGTTAGCTTTGGAGCACAAGCGTTACGAGACGTGAGAATGGGCTCAAGCCCTGGTTCTGCTGCTGGCGGTGGTAGGCGCCCCTCGTCTTCCCTTTTTACGCTGGTTGAGAATTCAAATTCCGAGAATGCCACTCCTTCGCGACCAAGCTTGACGGGCACGGCCAAGACTACAGGTAAGAGTCGAGGCTAGTCCTTTTCATACTATCCCGAGTGGCTACTCCGATGTCCCTGCGCTCTTCCATCGATATATACTGACCCTTTACCTAGAAGGCTTCAACTGGTCAGAGGCTCTCCGTGATAGGTCCAGACGCTCTCCGTCCTTCTCTTCCGGCAATCCATTCGCTCAGGGGGCCAGTCGACCGCGATCGGGAAGCATCTCCACTCCAGAACCGCCAAAGGAGATCCCAAAGGCTGTCGAGCCCCCTGCTCCGGCTAGAATGAAGAAGCCAGACCATTTGGGTGAACGAATGCTTCGTGGTGATTTTATGATGGACTAGGATTAGGGTAACAAAATCCGTGCTTGGTCAGTATCTTCTCGTCACCTTCTGTGAGTGCCGTCATCTCATTATGTTTGGCAGAGCCGGAAAATCATGCCCTGGACAGGGTCGGGTGCTGGAGGAGCTTGCTTTTTGGCAAAGGTTTGGGCGGTTGTTTCTGTGCCTGGGCTACGCTTCACGTGTAAAATATGCCGGAAGGGTTACGTATGCTTTACGTTACAGCAATTCAAGGTTGAAACATGAGAATGAAACTGAAAGATGAGCTTTACGAACATTGTGTTACATAGCAGGAAATGACAATTGACCGTCTTGAAAACGCGAGGAAGTAGCATCTTCCTATCCACAAGCTGGATGAAGCCCCTTCTGCCATGTCCACCCTGCCCTGTTTGCTCAATTCCGTGAAAGAGATCATTGTGCACTGTAGATCGTGAAGCCGCTATTATCGCATGAATACAGTCAGCGTCGAGATCTCACGCTCGAGGCTAGAAGCAAAAGTCCCTTGGGAAATCCAGGATGGGCAGCCCTTGACTCATGCATAGAACAGCAATACTTTGCGATGGGTTGTGATGGATGACAAGGCTGACTTGGTCTCCGGCATAGGAAGAGCCAAGGGTGGCTACTCTACTCGGTCGGGGCCGGGGCAACCGAAGTGTGTTGTCCGATGAGCTCCGCCTCTTGGAGAACCAAAGTTGGCACTTCTCGAAAGTTAAGGTCTGCATGACATCTCGCCAGTGTATAGTTCAACCTATAGAGACCATCTTCCCTTCGACATTCCACGGCCACGGTGCAAGCGCTTGTTATAGAAGCAGGGACCTTCACTGCTGTGTCCTACGCGACGAGTCAACGTAGAAGCTGCGATTCGACCTCACAGCAGTCCAACTCAGCCAGCCCCGTGGCAGTCACCGACGTCCTTTGCGACTTTTGTCCAACATGGCCTTATAATGGCAGCCCCAGCTCAAATCACCTGCTTCGGCCGCGCCCATTAAGCACCGTAGTGAGCTTTCCTCTCACCCCAGTCACCATACTCGTAAAGTTGCGACGTCCAATTTCCCTCGGTCACTCCTTCACGCAGTCCTGCCTACCAGCGCGTTCCGGACACAAGACAACGAACAACTTCCAAGCAACAGTCTGACAGCGTTGATAAAGCGAAACAATAACCATGGAGAAGATTGTTAAAGGAGCTACAAAAATCAAGGTAGAGGCTCTAGCTTTCTCAAGATGTCAAGGCTAATTGGACTAGTTGGCCGCACCCAAATCCAAGTACATCGAGCCTATTCTGTCTGCAACGCATGGAGGAGATTCTGGTGTCGCTGAAGTCTTCCGCACTTTGCAGATACGATTGCGGGATTCAACATGGACGATTGTCTTCAAGTCGCTGATTGTGGTCCACTTAATGATAAGAGAAGGGCAGCCGGAAGCTACATTGAAGTTCATTGCTGATTCACCAAAGCGCATTGCGATCAGTGGATTTGCAGAGGGTATGCCTTCTGAGTTGGAGTGGAAGAGAAAATTGCACACCGGCTGACATGGCACAGTCCAAACCCAAGGTTTGAATATTCGAAGATACTATGAATACCTCATGGAACGAGTGCGGGCCTACCGCGATACAAAGACAGACTATGTCAAGTCAGGAACGGGCAAGATGCGAAAACTTACGGTTGAAAAGGGCCTCCTCAGGCAGACGGAGATAGTCCAAGACCAGATACAAGCCCTGATTCGATGTGATGTGAGTTTGCTTTTTCGGATGCCGGCACTGGTACTAACCCAAGAAGCTGCTGAACAGCCCAGATCCAGACAACGAAATCACATTGACAGCCTACCGTTTACTGACGCTCGATCTGCTTGAGCTCTTCAAGGTCATGAACGAGGGCACTATCAACGTTTTGGGTATGTCTGTCCGGTCCCATCCCCAGCGGACTACTAACAGTTCTGCTCAGAGCATTATTTTGAAATGTCTCGACCCGACGCAGAACGAGCATTGCAGATTTATAAGACTTTTGGAAAGCAGACGGAACAAGTAGTGCAGTATCTGAGTCTGGCGCGACAGTACGAAACGTCGACGAGATTGGAGGTCCCGAAGTTGAAGCACGCACCGACGACGTTGACCAGCTCGCTGGAAGATTACTTGAATGATCCAGATTTCGAAATCAACCGCCGACAATATCTTGCACAACAAGAAGCCAAAAGGACAGGGAAACCTATCTCCTCGGCGCCGAAATCGACAACGTCTTCTAATACAACAGCACAGAGTCACACAACCCAGCAGCCGACCCGGCAATTACCAAAGGGGCCAGCACCGGATCTGATCGATTTCTTCGAGTCAATTGAGCAGAACCAGCAACCTATGGCTTCACCAAGCAATCCTCAACAGCAATTTCAGCCAGGAATGATTCAGAGCCAGCCATTTCCCCAAGGACAGATGCCGCAGCAAACCGGGTATAACCCCTTCATGCAGCAACAGCAGCAGCAGCAACCTCCGTTCCAAGGCCAGCCTATACCACAGCCTGCGCCCTTGCAGACCGATTTCACCGGCGCAGGTTTTGGTGGATATGGCCCTCAGCCGCCTCAACAAACACACGCTTTTCAGTTTCAGTCTAACCTTTCTCCCATTCCCCAGAATGGGGTGGCGGAGTTCCAACAACCACCGCTTCCTCAGCAGCAGATGGCTATACAACCCCAGCATACATCTACGAACCCATTCCGTCAGTCAATGATGCCAACAGGCCCCGCGCAGATCTCTCCCATGAGTGCAGGTCCTGTCCGACAATCAACTAACCCTTTTGCGAAGCACAATACTGGAGCGGTAACTCAGAACGGGCCTGGATTTAGTGGCAATGCCTTTGAACAGACTTTCTCACCTAGTCCGATCTCTCCAGACCAAACTTTCAATTCTACTTCATCCTATAGCTCCCAACCTCCCGCACTTCAGCCGCAGCGAACGGGAACGAATCCATTCGCCAAAAACCGGCCTGCTACTGCAGGTGGTCCGGTGACTACCAATGTGACGGGGAGCACGAATCCGTTCAGACAAAGTGCTTTTGTGAATCAGGAGACTGGACAGGGGTGGCAACACAGTTCCCAGGGGACATTTTCAGGGTTTGACGTTAACAATGTAAACACGACGCCAGTCTTTCCAAGACCAGGGCACAATTAATGATACAGCCTAATCAAGGGTAATCCTGTCTAAAACTTCAGAGAAGGAGGCCATGGACGCTTTTCTTGGCTAGTTACATTCCTCGACTTTTCAATCTAGCGAATTTTTGCATTGTGGTATGACATGTAGGATTCTTCTGTGTCGAGGTAGTTCGTGTTTTGCAGTCGATCCTCTCGCGGTGCTTGTAGATCGATTTCAACGCCACCGGCTTTTTGATCGCCTCCGCCTGGTCTCGGCAGTAACACCCGGAATTTCAGAACTACCTGACCAACTTCATTCCTCAGCTGTTCTCAACTTGAGACCCTCACAAAGTCAATCCAGACGTCCGTTGCAAATCCGGTTCTACTGGGTTTCGACTCCTCGGTTGCCTTTTTCGAGAATGATGGAGTTCTCAGCTCAATCACCGCTCACAAATCCGCCATCTTCCGCTCGCTGAAATGGACCGAGACGACGCCAACGGCGTCCCAAACCTGTCAATTATCCCTTATGACACAAATCGAGATATTGTGCTGTGAGTTGGGCGGCCCAAATCTGATCCAGGCCCCAGATCCAGAGGAAACGGTGCTGACATCCCTGGTGTACAGTCGGCACGCAGACACGATCGTCTACCGCGATCCGCGAACGAATCAATTAGTTCCTTTCCACCACAACCGGGCAGTTGAACGACGACCATCCGACTGCCCAACATGCGGTCGACCCTTTCACTCCCAGGCAGGGTCGTCCACTCAGGACTCGGGCAACGGTCCGCGGGAAGACCAACCGAGTTTCATCACCCAGGACTATTTCGAGATGCTCGCCCGGAGTCTTCCGAATTCACATCAGACATCGCCACCGCCCTCTCCAAGACGCCGTATGGTACAGCCGGTCCGATCGCGACTCGGGCCGTCATCTCCAGTGCTGTCGACTCCTCCTGCCGACGCAGAGTTCGTGGCGAGCACACCTGTTACCCCGTCACAAGCTCACGGGATTTCCGAGACGGCATTCTCGCCCAACTATTTCGAAAAGTTCTTCGTCGAGGACCGAGAACTCGGCAGAGGCGGGAGGGGCGTTGTGCTGCTAGTCAAGCATGTATTGGACGGTGTCAATTTGGGCTACTTTGCGTGCAAACGGGTCCCCATTGGCGATGACCACGCGTGGCTTGAAAAGGTGCTAGTCGAGGTGCAACTACTGCAAGGCCTGTCGCATCAGAACCTCGTGTCGTACAGACACGTCTGGCTCGAGGACTACCAAATCAGTACCTTCGGCCCGAGTGTGCCTTGCGCCTTCATCCTGCAACAGTACTGCAATGGCGGTGACATGCACAACTACGTGCTCGGGTCGGCCAAAGCGGCAACGACTACTCAAGAGCTGAAGGAGCGCATCCGCCGACGCTCCAGGGGGGAAACAGAACTACCTTACCGGCCGGGCGAACCAAAGAAGCTCCCCTTTGACGAAATCTACAACTTCTTCCGGGACATCACGTCTGGATTACGGTTCCTGCACCACAGCGGCTTCATCCACCGAGACCTGAAACCGAGCAATTGCCTGCTGCACACGGCAGGCGGCGAGACGAGGGTACTGGTGAGCGACTTTGGCGAGGTGCAGTACGAGTACGCCACGCGCAATTCCACCGGGACCACGGGCACGATATCCTACTGCGCACCGGAAGTGCTTCGGCGCGTCTCACCGGGGGGGCCATACCAGAACTTCACGTCCAAGTCCGACATCTTTTCGCTTGGCATGATCCTATACTTTCTATGCTTCGCGGCGCTGCCGTACAACTACGCCAACGTGCTGCACGAGGAGCGCGAAGACGTGGACTCGCTCCGGGCCGAGATTCTGGTGTGGGAAGGGTTCGACGACCAGCGCAAACGGCGGCCCGAGTTGCCCGCGGCCCTGTACACGTTTCTTAAGCGCCTTTTGTCGCTGGACCCGGACCAACGTCCGAGTGCGGACGACGTGTTGCAGGTGGTGTCGTCAGGTCGACTCGACGACATCCCTGCGGCGAGGAGGCGTGGGTCGATGGATCCCGAAGAACTGACTCCCGGACGACGGATCCAGAGAATCGACACCCCTCAAAAGGGTAACTCACCTTCACGCGGCAGTGGTGGTAGTGGGACCGCCGATAGCATTGGCATCGGTGGTGATCACGACCTCGCGGCTCCCAAATCTCCTCGGGCGAGATATCGTCATCACCACCACAATCACCAGAACATGTCTTCGTCTCCTGAACGGATCATGAACAGAAACAAAGACAAGAGCTCGCGGGGACGGAAATCGGAACGGGGATGGGACTCGTCGAGCCCAACGCCAGCCGCCGGCAGAGGCAGAAGCAGCGGCAGCGGGAGCGGGAACGGCAACGGCAACGGCAACGGGCCCATCTCGCCCGTCCGACCGCATCAATTACTCCTTGAACCCCCGACGCCCATCGAGAACTACGGCACGAACATGGATGTTGTCGACATCGGCATGCAACCGTACGATTCGGACTCGTGGGTCCGCCGTCTCTCGATCGCGCTCGACCGACCCATGACGACGCCGTCGACGCGCATCCTCGTGCTCGGGCTCAAGTTGCTCAGCACGCTCCAGCCGTGCATGTCGTACGGCATGAACGCCTCGGTCGTGTACCCTTTGATCTGCCTTGCGCTGCTCGAGTTCGCCGTGCCCAACATCCGCGTCTGGAAGGCCACCCTGGTCATGATGGCCCATTTTGCGATTTTGATCGTCGCCATGAGGACGGACAGGTTGTGTAGTAGTATATTATGATTACGTTTCAAAATCAAAATCAAAATCAAAATCAGTAACAATAACAATAAACGCCCCCCCCAAAAAAACATAGATCCATCATATTAATAACGACGACGACGACGAATGATGAATGATGATAAGAAATAGTCATGACGACCAGACGGTCGCAGCAGCAGGGATGGTGGTGGGTGCTCGGCGAGAGCAGCACCTAATCAAATTTGTGTAGTGACGGTCCTCCAGCCGACGAAGCAGAGAGGTCCAGACAAGATTCATCACATCAAACCCGACAACTAGAAATGGTAACCGCCTTTGCTTTGCTCTGCTCTGCTCTGCTCTGTTCTGTTCTGCTCCGTCCTGGTCTCAGCGACAAAGATCACCACATCATCATCATCATCATCATCATCATCATCATCATCACCATCGTCATGCCAAAGCGGCGCCCGGTGGGTGACGGCGCCCGAAGGTCTTTTTTGAAAGGCGAGGGTGACGACGAGAGGAGTAACGAACGACGGAGGAGGTGTCGTCGACTGTGTCAGACAGTACAATATATGTAAACCCAGGTGCAACGAAGGGACACACGTCGAACAGACCGGGTCAGCGGTTCCCGGAAGTAGATGACCCAACACATACCCAACTTATAACTCCGCGGTAAACGACTACTGACGACACGAAGGGACCGCGTACCCTACGCGTATATATAGATACACGCCCACCCCACACGGTGTAGTTAATCAGTCACCACTCGACGTCAATCCTGGGATCTTGACATCGTTTTGCAAGGTCGATAGATACAAAGAGAAAGAGACAGAGAGAAAAGAGGAGAAAAAAAAGATTGACACAGAGTCAACTTCAAAACCGCCCACCCCGCCAGATCGATCCAATCCATCCAGGAACCAGGATTTCAAACCGGCCCCAAAGTACAAGGTACCTACCTACTCGTACCTATGCCCCCATGTACCCTTGGTACCCTCTGCCCTGTACCTCGGTATCCGGTACCACATACCTGACCCGACCGGACCCAACCCATCCCAACCCAAACTCACAAAAAGCTAACTCTGTTGATTCATATGGCTGGGCAAATTCTGCCTGGCGTAATCGGCATGCACAAACGCTCGGTCAACCATTGGCACACTCTCCAACACGTACTGCAGGCTCTCGCTGAGGTCGTGCGTGTCGCGGAGACTCATATGCTCGTCCAACACGATGTCAACCTCGACGTTCAACTTGTCACCCGCATGGTAAGCCTGCAGGCCCTGGATGTAACGGATCGTCTTGGCGAACCGCATCGTCAGGTACAACAGAATGTTGCGTTGGTCCGCCGTCGCCGCGGCGCCGCAGAGGTTCCGCACGTGCTCGCTGCTGGTCTTGCTCCAGTTGATAATGACGTACACCGACAACAGCAGACCGCCCAGCGCGTCGAGCCACCAGACCTGAGCGTAAAACCCGACGAGGGGGAAAATGATGCTGAACGTGTTGAACACGACGTCGGTCGCGGCATCCTGCGCGAGCGCCTGCACCGAAGAGTTGCGCACGAGGCGGCAATAGAACCAGCAGAATCCTTTGACCGCCACGGTCCCGAGCATGATTGAGATGGCCGGTATGCCCAGCTCGACGACAGAGTGGTCGCCCGATATCAGTCGGTTGAAACACTCAAGGCTGACCTGGAAAAAGGACGTGATCATGATGATGCTGAAGACAAGCACCCCGACGGGCTCCAGGCGTCGTCGGCCAATCGGGTACGCGTACTGGTCTTGTTGGGAGATGAGCTTCGTCGTCGACCAGACAATGGCCGTAGATAGAAAGTCGAGAGCCGCGTCGACGAGAGAGGCGAGCACCGAAAGTGACGAAGTGAGAACGATGACTGCAATTTTGCCGACCAACAGGATGATGTTCGCCACAAGATTGAGGTAGATTGCGACGGTGACGACTGGGTCATCGAGGTCCACGTTGTCATCTAGATCTTCTAGGTTGATGTCGGGGAACTCTCCATAACCCTGTTCTTCGTCGGCGAGCAATGGCGTCGTTTCGTTGTTATTGTTGGTGATGGTGGTGTCGGGTAGCTTGTACAGATTCTTGGGCGTCCGCTTGAGCCTGGTCTCCGTAGGTGAGGAACCCTCATCCGCAACGCCATTAGGTGAAGCTGATACTAATGCTGCCATAGAAGTCGTACTGCCCGACTCTCGTTCCTCCGAGATGGTCTTCATGTTCGTCTTTTGCGCGGCGCCGTTTGGTCCATGGTGGTATTCTTGGATCAAGTCGTGCGGAAGACTCGAGTCCAGGAGCCGGTCAATATACAGGTACTGGGCTACCAGGAAGTTGTTGCGCTCGTAGTATTTCCGAAGAGGCTTCTTCATCTTTGCCAGCTCTTCCTCGGTCTTGTAGTATCTCTGCCAATGATATCTGGGGTTGGACTGGCCGATCAAGCGCATGCTCCGCATTTGAGGTGTGTTTAGAATCTCGGGTCCTAAACTCATCCTCCTTGCATCGATCTCCATCGGAGACTGCGTCGATCGACGTTTGCGCAGGGGCTCCGGATCGTCCAGGTGGTCTTCATCTTCGGTCGAGTGGTGACTTCCAATGGAACCGCGACGGAGGTGAGGTTGGCGGCCGCGTTTGGGCAGAGTAAAGAGAGAAGTACTGGAACGGTTCTGTATGAGGAGAGGTAGATGTTGGCCGCGTGTCGACACGGCGCCAGGAGACTCTTCGTTGAGAGGCACGAAATACGAAAGGCCACCCAGCCGATAGTCCCTCTGGGGGGTGCTGGCCATGTCCATCCTGGCCGACGTAGGCGAGGATCAGGGTTTTCGTCAGGGAGTGAGTTTGTCAGTTGGTGGATGGTGAACGGTGCTTTGCTGCTGCACGTCGAGAAAAGAGACGTAACAAATTATCGAGGCTGGATCAGCCCAAGTCTCGCAGCAGGCGGATCATCTCGGCAGGGTGGATATGGAAGCCACAAGGTCGGTGTGTTGTAAAGGCGAGGGACTTTTAATTAGACGTGAGATGCACTGTGCATACCTTTTTGGTTTTGTTGGAGGGTGCTGAGGAGAGATAGAAGGAATCGCAGCTTCGGCGGGCTTTCTGGGCGGGGGCAGCAGTAGGCTAACTCATTAGTAGGCTTACCAGCACTTAAGTTAGGCTTCCCAGAGCGAATGAACGATTGTTAGCGGTGCATCTTCCGGGTCCACTAGGTTGCTAGACGAACAACTAACCGCCTACAGTAATTCGTATGCGTCCCTAACGATTGCCAACCCAGCACTTTGGAGCTGCAGCTTGGCGTCATGGGTCAAGATCCATGTGAAGACCAGTGCGAGGCCGATTGCGGAGGTCCAAGTACGATATAGAGGTGAACAGGCGCTGGCCAGGGGCTTCATGAATAACTTTCACAAAGAATGCACAAAGCCATCAGCAACGCAATCTCATTACTCATTACCGGTAGCCAGCCAAGCTGGCTGGGGAGCTGTAGGTAGGCTGTGCAAAGTCTAGATAATCTAGATAGTCTAACGCGATTCTTTGGAGTCCACCTTTATTAACTTTCCAGTTGCTTCTGTGCTGCCACAATCCCTTCAACTTGCATTGCTTTCATGACAGACCAAACTTCATCAATATTCCAGTAACCTGTGGCCAACTCCAAATCGAACAAAAAGCACCATTCTTCTATCATGATCCTGAGACACCCAAGGCCGGACAACCCCGTCCCATCAGATGTTTTCAGCGTCTGAGAACTTCGATCCCATTTCATATCAAGAGCAAATAAAACCCGCTCAAAAATGCCGATGCAATGATACCTAAAATCATTGTAGAGAGTCCGCTCACGCCATTAGTATTGCTTGCTCGTGCGGTGCTGCCGGTGCGAGATGCGGCATTAGTATGAGTAGATGATGATGATGTGCTAAAAGCAGTGCTGGTTCCCACCGCACTTGTGACAGGACTAGCATCTGGAGAACTGGACGCAAGGGCAGCGCAAGCGCTCGCATTCGAACTCCTTTGAGCCAGTGCTGCTCCAATATTGGCTACCACCGCCTGTGTATCGCGAACGGGTACTGAAACACTGCCATCGTCTCCAATAGTGACTTTCGGGATGGTATCATTGACCCGAGAAGCCGTACCGTCACCATTCTCTTCGTAGCTGACGCCAGCAAACGTAGTACCGTGCTTCGCGTCAGCGCCGGCGTTGGTTAGATAAGAGAGGTAAAGGTCTTGGCCAGCAAACTCAGTTGGCAGCGACAGCTCAAAGGTCAAGGTCGGCTTATCGGTTGATGAGACGTTGGCCGGGTTGGAATTGATCAGAACAATCGTCGCCAGGCTGCTGTCCTGGTAAATTGAATATGCAGCAATCCGACCTGCATACACCGCCGGTGCATCATGAAAGATGAAGCCGCCAACCTGAGCCTGGCAACCGGGTCCGATGGCAAGATCAAAAGCAGCCGCACCATAGTAATTAGGTCGCACAAACGGCTGGTTCCCGTAAAACTCAACCGGTTGCCAGGCACTAGCGTTACTATTGTCGGTCATGTGCAGCTGAACCGAAGAGATATTGAGGGTGGCTGCATACAGAAGGAAATTCAACGTCCATAGAGACGCTCCGAAAGTGTTTGTGATGCCGTCCATTCCAATGGGCCCGACAACACCCATTTCACGCAGGGCATATGGGTAGTCTGTGTCAAAGGCTTGCTGTATCTGAGAGACCCAGGCGGCAAACTGATCATTGGTGGTGGAAAGCGTCATGAAGTCGTACTGTGTCAGTGGATAGGTCGAGACGCCAATATAGTAGTAATAGTCGTGCTGATTCCAGCTGGCGACGTAAGGCTTGTCGGAGTTATTGGCTTGGACAGTGATGCCAAATTGGTCCAGGTCCTCAATCATAAAGGAAGTGCCAATGGTCGAGGCAGTGGTACCCGGCTCAAAGAAGCTACTGGGAAGATTGTTCGGCCGGAGTACTTGTTCCCAGACGGCACTTGCTCGGTCCAACCACTGCTGGGTATAGACTTGGCCACCCCAGTTACCGGTTCGAAAACCATTCTGGAGGTACAGATCAGGCTCATTGCCAATTTCAAAAGACACCAAGTTGACATTGTTCAATCCTTTGATAGCTTCTGAGGCCATGGTTGTTATCCGGTCGATATAGTCCGACTCCTCGTACGCCAGGTTTAGGCCGAAGGTGATGGGGGTATTGCTGGGAAACCGGTTGATGACCTCGAAGTACCGGGGTCCGATAATGAGCATGTCGGAAGGATAATTTCCCTGGCCGACGGGGTTAGGGTTGTGCTCGCAGATATAGTCATTCTGAGACTGGTCGTAGATGAAGTAGTCTTGCGTGTTCCCTCCGATGCGCAAATGCGGCGGAGTGCCGGTGTAGTTTGCCAGATTCGCCAACAGATTTCGGGTGAGCTGGTTTTCTGAACTTCCTCCTGTGAACGAGTAGAGGTTGGAGGACTCGATACCAAAGCCCGCGAACGAAGGACTGATGACCTTGGACACACCGGCGGTGGGTTTGGCGGTGATGGCCAGAGATACTGTGCTTTGGGCGGCTGCGAGGGTGATTAGGGATGCGCCGGCGAGTGGCAGATATAGAGGGTGCATGGTGAACGAGACGCCGTGTTCGGATGGTCTATTACGACTTGAAGTATTCCAAAAACGAGAGACAAAAGACGCAGACCACCGCAGTTTCAACCCAACTCCTGCCTCGACAGCGACCCCCAACGGCACAGTCTCGCTCTCTCACACATACGCAGAGCAACCAAGAAGGAACGAACGAGGGCGTTGGCACAAACAAGACTTGGAGTGCGGACAAGTAAAACAAGGAAAGCCAATGAGGTCAAGAAAAAGTCCGATAGCCAGTGCCTCGAGAATGACAAGACGTGTGTGTGTACGACGTCTCCTGTACCAGGTGCTCCGCCAGACCTGATCAAGGTATCGAGGATATGATGATGACGGTGAGAAAGCACAGACCTTTGGGCATGAGATCTGGGGTCGGTACTTACCTAAGGTAAGGTAGATTTGCATATGCCATGTCCATGGGAATTGGGTGGACGCGCAATGATGTTCATGATGTTCGAGCTCTAAAACGCCCATTCCGTCATGCAACGGAGACTCGAGTGGAGGACAGAAACTCGCCAGGCCAATCGAACTCGGTGCCTGGCTTGACTTGAGCCCCAGGCGGCTCCAAGTTGTTCCAACTCTCATCCACCAAATCGTCCGATCATTGTCGCCGTGAAATGACAGACAGAGATGGGTGATGATGATAAGGAGTGCAGCAGGAGTAAGGAGAAGCGTTGATGACTCAGGCTGCTGAGGCCGAGCAAAGCCACATACTCGTACGAGTATGTCGACGTCCTTTTCACTCTTTTCCGTGGGTACGAGTAGTTGTGACATTGGGATCCCTCACCTCTTCGACTCTGGGCCCCAGGACCGGAAAGACGGCAGGATACTCGTACTGCTACTCCTCAGTACTACTTGCATGGTGACGAGAATGCCTACGGAGCACCTCTGGTATCAACATTAAGGCGTACCTACCAAGGTACTAATGAGCCGCCCTTCTGCACAAGGTTGCTATTCCGCGGCAATATCTTGATTGTCTGTACGGCGGTAGGGATAATAGTTCGTCCGCCGTTATCTCGACCAGGCTGGCGCGGGCATGGCGTGGAGCGTCCAAGAGTGAACCCAAGTATTTCGTTGGTCGTGACTCTATGAACCATGATCCAGGCAACCTGGACGATTGACGGTGGTGTGGCCGTTCCCCCATTCCTTGCTAGATTATCCATGGCCTGTCAAAAGCTACCGTCGTCGGATGTACCTCCGCAGGAGAAGTAACACGGTAACTAATTATAAGATTTTTGAGCAATCTAGGTTCTCCGTGCCTATCTTGCCTTTTCAACTCTGCGTTTGGGTAGCAACTCCGTACAAAGTCCACGTGCGTACAGTACTTCTGCTCGTACAACAAGGTTGAGACGACGGACTCTCCCACGGAGCAGACACTAACACAAAGTATCTGAAAAAGTGACCGTTGATCACAAAACAACAACCGCCCTCCCCTCCCTCCGTTACGGATATCTCGGGTCCAGATATCACGTATTGGCATTTTGTGCTCGACGTGTCCGATCCTGATCCTGATCCTGGCCCCCCCTTTTGACGGGGAAGAGTACGGATACTGACTCGTATGACATTGCCATGTCCTGACTGCGCCCCCCCCCCCTGCCCCTGCCCCTCGCTTTATTCCTACTGCAAGGTCTCGGAGCATGTGCAGCGTCCTGAATCAAGACACCCCAACTCAGGTAGTTACTCCGTGATGATCATGCCAGTCAAACAAACCCGCCCTGCAAGGGGCTCCCTCGAGTATCAAAACCGACTAATGTACATTTGCCGCCCAGAAGTAATAAATCCTTCCGCTGTACCTCGGTGGCATTTCGGTGCAAGGGGTATTTTTGGATTGGATGCATTCTACACACAAACGTCCGAGCACAGAAACGAACCATTAGAATCCATATTACTCGCAAGAAACAGAAATTATCCATTAACTGCTGCAGAGCATCACAAGTGGCTAGCTAAAAGAGAACCTGTCCGTCTCAGTGTATATAGATAGTAATACTAGCTTCAGCCTCTCCGGGCTCGTCATCAAGGCATGGGGCGCATTACGTGCTCGGGTAGTAGTGTACAAAACAAGATGTCTGGCCGGCCACCGTTGACCGGTCAGTTCACATCAGCAGAGCTAGACCTGCATTCCTCCGCAAGAACAAATGGCTCAAAGAAATATTGCTGGGGGGTATCGACTTTTGGTACATGTGGTTTGAACGACTGTTGATACAATTGGTGAATGAGAAGGGCGACCAATCCTTCGTGCGTGCGATAACACGAGCCGTCGGATGTCGTGGTCTGTTGTTGTTGGCCGTTATTAGGGTTGGCAAGGGTTGTTCGGGCGCATGGAATTGTGTCAAACATGGTGTGCTCGTATCTGCAGACAGGCGCCTCCCGTGTCCAGCAGGAAACTCGGGAAATTCTTCCGAACCGGGAACGTTGGCGATGCCAATTCAGCCATCATTGCTCATGTGAATGTATGAATGTTCTGCTTGAACTGGTGGATATGCCAGCACATCATCTAGTGCGTATGCGGCCAAGGCTAGACTATCCTGTCCAGGATAGCAGTATGCTGGTTGGTGGCCTCCAGACCGTGAGACGTTGATTTGTACGCTCGGCTGTGCTGCGGACAAGGTTCATGTTGTACATGACACCAAAAATGAGGAGAAAGGCATTGAAGCTTGAGTCCTAGTGGATTGCGAGGTGTGAGGCTGGTTTGATTGGATACCGAGAAGATGATGCTCTCGTCGGACATCGCCCGCCCATGGAGACGTTTACTTGGGTATGGCAGGAAGAGGCCGGTTGGGAGGAGGGCCTGGGCAAGGAGGATACTTTGATCCGGCAGGCATGGCGGCGATGCTGTATGAAGCCGTGTTGGCGGACTGCTTGGGTGGTAGGCTGAAGGGTGCTAGGGTGGTAGGATGGTAGGCTTGGGAATTAATTCAGTGCTGGTGACTGGGAGTCTGTCGAAATGATAAAAGCCTGGTGGTTATTAGTTGAGAAAGAATATTTCACCTGCTCGGTGAGCGGGATCCTTCCAGATATTTATTTTTTCTGATACCAGGCAGCCTCACCCCGGTAGAGCCGAAGGTTGTTCCAGAAATGGTGACGACGCGACCACAGTCATCCTTGCAAGGATTTTTTAGCTTCTGGAGCCTGCTTGGGCCAGTGGGTCCTGAAATGAGGCTTGCGGTGTGTGACACGATGGCCGCTGAATCCTCATGCGGTTTGTTTGAAAAGGCCCCTCTCTCCAAACCCTGGTTTCCGCTGGGCTTGCAAATGGCCTAGCGCTCTCGCCGTTTCCACGACCGAACATGGGCCAGACGCTAACGCCCTCACACGCACAGGAAAGCTGAGAAAGGAGGTTCCAGCTGACCGGGTGCCCTGGGGTTGCTGGGTCGCGCACAGGGAGAAAAGGAGGAGATTATTTGTGCTCATCCCAGGCGGTTCCTTGCTTAGAGCCTCCCGGTCCAGATGACTATTTTCTCATGAATTTGCCCTGTGTCCACTCTACTTTCCACCCGGGTAGCGGTGAGTAGAATTATTATTGATTTTGCTGTGCCCAAATTTCGGGGACGCTGTTTTCCAGGGGTGCCAGCCTGGCACGCCGCAAAGGGTGACCCAGTCTGCCCAGAGGGAGCAGGACAAGTTACAACGCAACCCGAGTCGGCTGTCACCCGGGCGGCAGGAAGCTGAACTCGTACGGGGGACAAGGTTGTAGAATTCGCTTCTCGGAGTGCCCTACAGTGCGGTATTGTACGTGCCGGATAGTATCCGTACTCGGTGCAATTTTTGGCAACACTACTGTACGCTCCCACGAGCACTGGAGAGTTGCCGGGCTCGCATAACGATACCACCCACCCATCGCATTGGCAAGACGCGGAACGTGGTACGAATACGTCTACGCCTACGCCTACGCTTCAACGGTGGTGAGGATTAGAAAAGCCAAAGCCACTTGGTCAGCAGTTGAACTCGTGATCGATTTGTTCTCTGTCATCAATCCTCTTTTCATGCCGTCGTCCCGGCTTCAGTTCCCTCGGCGGTCGGATCTGTCCTCACCATTGGCTATACCGCCGCAAGTGTCACTCACTACTGGCAGCCGGACGCGCGCTGTCAAAACCGAGACTCGGTAAGTTGTACAGTAGAATATCTTGTGACCACCACACCACCTTCTCGCATTCGCGACCCCGTTGACTATCCCAAGGCTGCTGATTCGCGCGCGCATGGAATGCCTGGTCGGTTGCAATGACTCTTGCTAAGAATCGCACCTCCATTCCCCCCAACATCCGTGATGGACATTTTGCTTGCCGGTCGGCTAGTAACTGTCACGCGCAATCTGTTTCACTTCGAGCATGAAGCGCGCGGCTGGATTGGCCAGTTCACCCACACCGATGTTCTGCGTCGTCGGCCACGAAGTTGGCAAAATTCCATGCTGGTAGGGAGAAGATACGTCAAATGTCCAAGTTTTCGGGTTTCCCTTGACCCTGACACGACTCGTATGATTTGGATTCGCTGGAAGACGCAGCTCACTTCCGTTCTGAACTGGACGGGGAGAGTGAGTAATAGCTGTCGATGATGATGATGATGATGATGCTGATGCTACGCGGTTACCGCATATACCCCTCAGACGGCTGTTTCATCGACGCACAGATGCTCAGTTCATCGGTGGCTCCAACTTTCTGATCTGTAGCTGAGCCAACTACAGGCATGATCCCACAACGGGTTCCTGAAGATCTTTTGGGCGTGGTGTCATTCCCCAACGATCACCGCGTGGGTGTTTGCCACCCCCCCAATAATATGAATACTACAACACGAGTGTTAGGCCTTTGGGCTTCTTGGTGTGTTTCAGACCTGCCCCTGAGTCAACAGCCAGCCGAGGCAGCGCCTACACCCTCAGGGCCCGTCGTCGGCAATATTTTCTCTCGCTCTGTGATCGGCTTTTACCATTTTCCTTGACATCTGGGCTTGATGTCATGGTTCTGTGCCGTCGTTACTGGTCTGTCCCCCCTGTGAAGTCCAGGGGATTTATTCGTCGTACGAGTAGTTGGGCAGCATACTAGTATCTAATCTTCGGACGGAGCCAAGGACCAAGTTTAGCCGGTGTGCGGAAGCAATGTATCCATCTGCTCCTGAGCCAGATTGTTGTGCGTAAGTTTCGGGTCCTTTTGTCAGCTGAGAATGTGAGACGCACTGCAGTGCTAAAACTCCTACTGTAATTAAGTTCTAAGGAAAAGCAGCAGAGGAGGCGGCGCCTTGGTACGGGGTACGCCAAAGCTCAACCCGGAAAACGCTGCAAGGTTTGCTTCTCGAATCTTACATTGCTTTCCGCCAAATTGCCCAGTTCGTGTCTAGTATCGTGCATATTGCTACGCTGCCCTCCCAGGTGTTGAAATTGGGAAACCCTAACGCCAACAGCGAGGCTGGGCCCGAACGCCGAAGGGTGCAATTTTCGTAAGGCGCGGCGCCCTTTTTTGTTTATTCCTCCTTTGAGTTACGATAACCGAAGCTTGACGTGTAGTCCGTAGTTCTAGCCATCTCGCACCAGCTATAGTTCAGTACTCGTACACGGTGGGCTTCCTAGAGGCGCCGCAAGTCGTACAGTACGAGAATACTCCGTAGTAGCCATGGTGCTAATGGCCGTAAAGCGTTTTGTGGTCCGCGGACAGAACTGGATCTCCTGTGGTCGCAGGTCAACTGCAGGATATCTTGAAACCCTTCGTGGCCCAACGCTGTAAACGTGGGAAGAGCGACCTTCTGATCTGCGCAGTCACACTAAGATTGAAACATGCAGCCGACAAAAGTGTTTTGGAGCTCTGAGAACAATAAGGTGATCTGGCCATTTCTGAAACACTGCTGCAGAATAATTCAAGCACTAAACACACCCCTACTTGTACTTGCCCTACCGATAATCTGGTTACTCGTACTCGGTACTGCAGCTAAGGGAAAATTGTACGTAGTATGGACGACAAAGGGCTCCGAAGGGATGGCATTGGAGCTGCGCGCCGAAGCGAGGTGGGATCTTCTCTGGCGGCTGACCGTAAGAGGCTGGCTGGGATCCGTCGTATGCAGGGCTTCAGGAGAAAAAGAGTTGCTTTTTGCAGCCACCACGTGGAGATTGCGTGACACAACGCCACAATGGATCGTTATTCGTGATGGAGCCCAAAACCACAAGTGACTTGAGATGTAAGTCACATCTCGCTTCTGCCGATGCAGCTTGTGTCGAATCTGTCTGGGCGATTCCTCCATTCTCATGCATGAGCTGAAGTGCAGTCAACTCCGGGGTTGTGCCAGCCATGGCCTCAAAACCGACCACGTATGGGCTCATGGTTAGTCGCCCGACGTCTTTCCACGCTGCGAGGCATTTTTCTGAACTTCCGCAAGGCCGGGTCCCAATTTCAGAACACTGCTTCGGTTACAGACTTGCTCTTGTCACTGCTTGAATTGAGGTTGTTTCACAATCGCTCAGCTGCTGTGACAAGACTCACATCGCTTGCGGTGCAAACCACCAAGAGAGAAAGATTGTCAGGTGTCATCTTCTTCCCGTGCTTGCGTAGAAGCTATCCAATCTTGCATGAGAGCCTGAGCCTCGACTCCAGATGATTTCTTTCCTGGGCCACCCTTACGCTCGATGAAGAGGCAGAGCACCCAGCCCCAAATACTAAATCCCTCGTACGTTGTCTTGAATCCAAGCTTTTTCTTATCATCGTCATCTATCGTGGCCGTCGCAGTCTCAGGTTCCTCGTCGGGGCCCTCTGCCTGCGGGATCCGTGCGAGGCTGACGTTCTCTTCGTCGCTTTCATCCTGGATTACAACCTCATCTCGAGCAGCGCCTGTCAATTTGCCGCCATTATTATCCCGGAGCAGGGAACGCTCTTTGAACGTCTTGTTTTTCACGAGGAGTGAATGTCGAGTTCTGATTTCCGTAAGGAATATGGAAACCTCAAAATCGTCTGCCCCAGATTAGAAAATGTGTATTATACAGTAACAATTCCAAGCTGTCCAACCTTGTTTCACAACATCCTTGACACTCTTCTTCTTTTTGCCCTTTCCACGTGCTCTCTCATTCTCTTCCCTCAACTTTGGCAGAACATACGGTACGACTGCTTGGAGGACGCGTGGGAGGGCAGGATCGCCGTCACGGAGCAGCCACCTAGATTCATCGGCGGGGTTCTCGAGGAATATGCGGCATTCAAGGACAGAGTGCTTGCTTATGCGCAAGTAGCGCCGTATCGGTGCCATTGCATCCCGAACGTCGCTGCGTGGGCGTTCCTGGACAGACACGGACAGGCGCAGGCAACTTAATAGAGAATTGATCCTCGGAAATGGTACAAGTGGTGCCGAAGGTTATAAGCGCGTCATTAGGCCGTATGCACCGACCCCAAATCGGCCAAGAGATTAGATAATCGAATGGCAGCTTTGTTCCCTGAACTTCATGCCAACGTTTTAGTATGCTGCTTTGTGGTTCATGTTCTCGCACGGGATCAAGCCCTTCCAAGGGCCGCCTGGGCAAACTCAGGAAAATGTCCTTGTAACTGTGTTGTGTCTCCTCCTACAAAGCCGCTATGAGCGACGATGGCTTCCTGGATCTGTGCTTCAACCTGCAGCGGACTGTAAACGTTGACGGGAGTAGAAAGCCACTGGAACAAGGCATACACAATGACGAGCAAGAAGAGACAACTCCTTCTTGCGCAGTTTCTGCCGTTGGTGGTAGAACGCTTCGCAGCGCTCGTCAAAAGACTTCTCATGAACTTCTGTAAAGTTGATCGCATCAACATGTCGCTATCACGCTCTCCATCCCCAGTTGACCATTGCGCTTTGCGAGTGAACCTTTCTAGAGAAGCTGCAGTCTCGGTTGACAAGGAGAGTCACGATGCCTCGTCTTTCTCGTCTTTCGAGCATCCCAAACTTCTCCAGACCCTTTCGATTTCGGTCTGCCAATGGCAAGACTGAGCCGGCAGTGAACAGTGGTCAAGTTGAGCCTTCTAGTGCATCTAACCCAGGCCCAGACGCAGACCAAGCACAAGCCGCACAAGGTGATGCCTCTATCACTTCACCAGGCAAAGAATCATCGGATTTGACACGTGCCAGTCCAGCTGAAAGCAAAGCAGGAAAGCCAGCCGAAGCTGGTCAAGATGCAGTCAATGCAAGTGCACTTGCTGCCTTTGACTTCCAATTTGAGCCCGATCCCAATGTTTTGAGGTATGCCATTTCTCTCACCTTTCCAAGCCAACCATGGACTCACGAATTGATCCTAGCGCCGACTTGGGTGGCATTAGCAAGCCCATTCCCAACTTCCGTCCTCATCTCTGGAAGCAAATCGACAACAGCCGCCACGTTCTTAACCTTGACCTCTTCTGGCCGATCAAACTCGAGGACCTTGCGGACCAAGAGGACGAGGAGGAAGCGACTGCAGATGGCGACACCAAGGGCGTCTTTCCGTTCAAAGACCTCGAACCTCTCAAGACCTTCCGCAATCTTCATTACCTCCAACTCAACGGCATGATGCGCTCCTATCAACCAATCATCTGGGGCATCTGCTGGGCAAACAAGAACCTGACCGTACTGCATCTTGAGATGGCCTTGGAACCGCTCTTCAGTGAAGACATTGCGCACAAGTACCCCGAAATCGACGCGAATTGGACCTACAACGCTCGTGGCGACCCCAAGAGTCCGATCGAATACATCGGCGCTCACGGCAAGGGCGTGTTGCATGAAGAGTTTGGAGACGGAGAGTATCTTGACCAACAAGCCATCAAAGCAAGCCAACTCGATGTCTACAAGATCCTCCCTATCGAGAACGTGCGCTTCCTTCCAGTCACCCACCTTACCTTGATGAACTTTGTCGTCGATGCCGGCCCGTTCTACCGCTGGTTCAACCCAAAGAAGTTCCGAGAGATCACATTCAAGAGTGGCTGCCTCGATGCTGGCTTCTACCTTCCTCAAGAGATGCGTTCCTCCGTGGCTGTCAAGTCTCCCAAGCCAATGGCGCCCCCTCGCTGGGTCAAACCGGGAGAAGTCAAGCTCATTGATATCAAGAAGAAGAAACCGGTCGCTGGTGCTGAGGTCGTCAAAGGTGCGGTTAAGGCGTCCGACGACAAGGGTGAGGCCAAAGTTTCTGAAGCCGAGGCCGAAGCAGGTGCCCCCAGCGCTGCAGCTGCACCAGGCGGACACGGACTCAAGAGCAAGATCAGTCACATTCTTCCACGCTGGACACACAAGGCGAAAGACGGCAAGGAGCACCCTGATGCAGAGGCCACTGCGGCGATGGTTGAGGAGAGTCTCAAGAGAGCTGGCATCTTCTAAGTGATGTCATTCGTCACGGGCACCACCTTGGTTCCAATCCTCGGTTCGGGTCACGTTAGCATGGTGTTTTGTGGCGCATTGGTGGGCTGAATTAAGACGAGAGAATACGGAATGATCTTTGTTTGTACAGAGCGCGAAAAGGAAACGAATCAGGACATTACAGAATAGCACAAGACTATCTGTACATTAGACTTCGACTTGGGTATTACGGAACCAGTCCAGTCCCATTTTCAGAGTCACAAGTCTTGCTTGGGTCATGATGAGATTCATCAGATCAGCAAAGACAACACATAATGAATTCAATTCAATTCAACGTAATGGCCTGCTTTAATGTACAATAATGATCAAGAAGCGCCCTCATATCCGCTAATTATCCTTGTTCTTGATCCTGAAACTGATCTTTCGGGGTATAAACAAGACAAGTCTGAGATGGATTAGGTGGAACGGACACCACGCTAGCCGACTCCTTTCCAACGATGAAAAGGAATCAGGACTGACAGAGGAGACAAGTGTGCGATATCAGCACTCAGAACTTCTGATAGCCTCTTCCGTATCCGTATCCCGGCGAGGGACTGCGCATGGCAGCCATCATGGGCTGACTCTGCTGGTGGTGCAGCGTGGGTCCGAAACCGTTGCCGTTGTTCATCACCGGCGAAACGTGGACCTGGACCTGTGACTTCTCGTTACGCGATCGGGCCATTTCGGAGCGGTAGGCCATGACCTCGGACACGTTCTTCTCGTACTTGGCATCCTCGATCAGTTTCTCGTGCTTGCCGGCGCGGCGTTGGCGGACGCAGAACCACGCATAGAGGGCGATGAGGATGAGGGCGACGCCACCCACAACGCCGCCAATGATGTACTTTTGCGTCGAGGTCAGGCCGTCCCACTTTTGCTTGATGGTTTTACTGGTCGAGTCGGAGTTTTCGCCGTCGAGTTTGAGGGGTTTCGTAACACTATGGCGCAAAAAAAGGGGGGGAGTGTTAGTAAAACGTAGACCTTGGACCATAAACCATAGAAGCGCCTTGAAGAGATGAGAAGTGGTGAGTGATACGTACTTGAGTGCTTTGATGCTTTGCCAACTGCCGGATCTATCAGTGTACACGTACTGTGTGCCCGTGCTGGCGTCGCTGACCCGGACAGATTGGACGGCCATGGTGTAGCTGTCGGAGTAGTCTGTCTCACCACCGGCCCAGTCAATGGTGTACTGATTATTCTTGGGGTCACCGCCGGCCCAGATACCCAGTCTGACGTTGCAGGGAGTCTGGGGGAAGTTGTGCCCGCCATTGGCGTCGGCATAGTTCAAGACACGGACGGATTGGCCGTCAATGAACCACTCCAACTTCTCAGGTGTCCAGTCGACCGTGTAGTTGTGGAATTTGCCTTGAGCGTCGTCAACTTCGTGGATAGCGGCACGGTCGTACGAGGTTGTGTTGCCCTTGCCGAAGTAGTTGCTTTGCACATATGTATTGTTTGGGCCGATCCACTCCCAATCCACCTCGTCTAGGTCGTCGGATTCCAGGACGATCGAGGAGACAATGCCCCTGCCGGGTGCGGCCTTGAGCCAGACCTCAACCTGTCCAAAGAAGATGTAAAAGTTGGTCTGCACAGTAGGTGCGTCGCCCCGCTTGTTGATGGTGAATTCTGCACCCTGGTCGCCATAATCGGCCGATCCGGCTGTCCAGTTCCAGACGCGATCAGTCATGATGCTCTTTTGGAAGTCGATTGTGTAATTGCTCACGCCGAGGGCCGTGTCGGGCGGGCACTCCTTTTTCGTGGGATCGCATGATGTGTATGTCTGAGCGCAGGCCGAGGAGAGGAGTGCGAGGACAGTTAGCTGTACTGTCTTGGATAGAAGCATGGTCGCGGTGGGCTCTGATTGTCTATGTTTCTAAATCTTGTGCGAAGGGCGTTCTGAGACTGTCGCAAGTCAAAACCAGCAGTCAATGCTTGTGAGGAAAAGATAATACCTTGTGGGAATGAGGAATATGAAGGTGGCTGACTCCGGGTCTCTGCCTGTGGTCAATGCAATGACCGTGCGATGTTCTTGCGTGGTTAGGAAACTTGGGATGGGAGCTTAGACTGCAAATGAGCGTGGGCGTGTGTCGCGGCTCAGCTGCGACAGCTAGAGGAATTGTTTAATGAGAGACCAAGAGAGGAAAAAAATGAGTGGCAGAGCACACGTCGCGATGTGCGCTCAAGCTCGACCGAGGTGAATGTCGATGCAGTGAAGTGAATTTGCCAACATTGTGAGTTTGACGGTTGAGGAGCTCATTCTGCTATCTACAGTCAAGGGGGATGAAACACGCACTCAAACGACCCCTGCTGGAAAGGGGCGCACTAAATGCCCCGCGACGCCAATCAGCCCTCGCTGCGCCCCGATTGCCGCGTCTAGTCAGGGCCCAAAGCATGCCTAGAACGTGCCTAAGAAGACCCTAAAAGGCGCCTCGATACCTCTCCCAGCCTAGTGCGTCCATGAATTCCTCCCATTTGTTCTCAGCCACCACCACCACCACCACCACCACCACCACCGAGATATTGATACAATCACAGGGAGGACAGGTCTTTAACAAGCTACAGTGCAATAGTGCACTGTCCATACCAGGATTTCACCGTCATTCCCTGCAGGCCTCATCCCTCCAGCTTTGCTATCGTATCTTGTTGATGGTGCTGCAACAATTGGAGAGTCTCCGTGCCTTTCTGCAGCTACAGTTCCTCGCTGCAATGACCCAACACATAGATCGACAAAGGGCAATTTACCTGTTTGGTCAGGCGGCCTCGGTAAGAATGAAAGAGAAATTATAGCTACCACCAAGATGGTGGTTGTACGAATAACGAGCAGCTCTTAGTCCATTGCTCAGCCACAGATGCCACAATTGTCGACGTATCTGGACAAGGATGCCGGCTGGTCTCGTGAATACCATCCCTAGGTATGTCGGAAAGCAGATACTGGTAGTCAAAGGACAAGGACCGAGTCGCTATCACGTTAGAGAGATTTTCCGTCCATCCCACCGGCATAATGTGCTATCAACCGTCTAAAGAGGCAGTACTGAAGCAGTCCTCGTCCTCGACCTGATGCATGCGAATCAACAATGCCATGCTACACCTTCCCCACTTGATTCCGCTAACTCAATAGGGCTAGCCTTCCGCGCTCTTCTGTTCTTCCTTTGTCTTGTAGGACTAGAACAGACATCAACTCCAGACCAACGGCTTCATTTGAGCCGAGTCATATGTTGTAGACTCCAAAATGGCAGTTTGATTTGTAAGTCACTCGGCACAGCAGCCTCTCCCTATCCGGGCTGGGTGAAGGTAAGTCTATATATGTATTCAGTACCGCATGGCGAACTTCCATGTCTTCCTCGGTCATGGTAAGCTTTGTCTCCAGCAAATTCTCAAGTATGGCTCCAGTCACAGTCGGTATTGCAGGCTTCACCGGGAGGGTTGCGACCTTGTTGGCCTCCTCTCTCCTCGAACAGGACCCAAATGTCCATATCAAGGGTCTTGCCCGGGTTCCAGACAACGTCGCAAAATCCATCTCATCCAAGAGCAACGTCCAAGTGTTCCAAGGAGGTGCCTTTGATCCCGACCAGATTCGTTCCTTCGTCCGTGGATGCGACGTTGTGGTATGCTGCTACTCGCACGATGACCGTATCATGGTCGACGGCCAGAAACTCCTCATTGACCTCGCAGAAGAGGAAGGCGTACCTCGTTATGTCGCATCAGACTGGTGCCTCGACTATACCAAGCTTGAAATGGGTGAACTGTTTGCTAAAGAGGCGTCTCAGCGCATCAAAGTCTATCTAGATTCCAGGAATTCCATCAAGGGTGTGCACATGCTCATTGGGGGATTCGCAGAGGTCATCTTCGCCGCATTTTTCAGAATCTGGGACTGGCAAACTTCCACGTTGCGATACTGGGGTACAGGAGACGAGATATGGGAATGTACCACTTACCGTGACTCGGCACAGTATACTGCCGCAGTATGCTTGGACCGCAATGCGGTAGGGGTCTTCCGATGTAAGTAAAATGCATTGCTCTCTCACCCCAGCACAGTAAACGAGATTCTTACCGCTCACTAGTCGTGGGAGACGTGATCAGCACCAAGGCTATCGCAGCTGCACTCGAGAAAGTGTACGGCGTCAAACCAAAGCTTGAGTATCAAGGTTCCATCGACGAACTGCGTTCCACAATGATTACCGAGAAAGAAAAACATGGCGACGACTATTGGAACTATGTCTTTCAGTAAGTCCTCTCCAATCAGCCTTTGGTGGTCTCTGCCTTTTTGGCATGAACAGCATTAAGGTACTGGGCGTCCAAAAGCTAACTTGCAGCACAGCTGGTACCATTACTTTACACTCAGCGGCAAAGCCCTAATGGGACCAAAATATGACAACGACGAGTACCCACAGGTCAAGCCAGTCAAGGTCGACGAATTTTTGAAGACGGTGCCACTCGAGCAGCTAAATGGAGTGTATATGGCTATGGACGACAAGATCAAGAAAAGCTGACAGATGTAACGCTGCTGGAATGGACTGCAATGTCAATCCCGAGGCTATACGCTACCCAAGCAGAGAAAAAGGGGCATAATGCTTTTCGTACTCTGTCGCGCCAGACTGTAGAATCTGAATCTGGACCGCGTTATGTGGATGGAGCACCAGCGGTATCTACTCACACCTACTGTATCGAGTATCATTCCCCAACGGACATAAAAATGCTCGGACATACGATGCCGTTCCATTACCTCACGCTCCACCTTATACTCGTGCTCCATTACACAGTATGACGATGAAACATCCCAGCACTCATTCCCCCCCAGGCTCGCGGGTTCCCATACCTGAGGCTTAGAAATGCATCGGTTGTCAGTCCGACGTTGGTCTGGTCTTGTCTTGACTTACGAGGTACGTTACCTACCTACCTGAGGTATCTACACTTGACCAAACCAGGACTATACAAAACGGCGGTTGCCCGATCGAGTGGAGTTTGATGAGGCCTGTCACAATCCACTTTCTTCACAGCCTCCAGCAACGCAATCCGTACTCACAATACACGAGTGCGCAGAGAGTTACCTGAGATATATTCGCGATGGCCCGAACGAACCGAGCAGCTTGGCTCCCGGGGCCGCACGAGAACCTCGAGATCCGACCGTCCGAACTCGTCAAGCCAGGCAGAGATCAGGTCCTGGTCAAGAACAGAGCCGTCTCCATCAACCCCATCGACTGGAAGATCCAGGACGGATACATGCCGACGGACAAGCCCAGAATCCTCGGCCAAGACGTCGCAGGCGAGGTAGTTGAGGTGGGCACCGGCGTCACCGGCTTCTCCGTCGGCCAGCGGGTGCTCGCCCATGTCGTCGGGCTGGCGACTGGGATCCCCCAGCAGAGCGCGTTCCAGGGGTACTCTGTCGCGACGGTCCTGGGCACGTGTCCCATTCCCGACGACGTGAGCTTCGAGCAGGCCGCGGTCCTCCCGCTGGCCGTCTCGACGGCCGCACACGGCCTGTTCTCCCCCAAGCACCTTGGCCTACCCCTCCCGAGGCCGCACGACGTGGCCCAACAAGAAGACACCGGCACGACAAAGAGGACGGGGACGCTGCTGGTCTGGGGCGCGGCGTCCTCGGTCGGCTGTGTCGCCGTGCAGCTCGCCGTGGCCGCGGGCGTCAAGGTGGTCGCGACGGCCTCGAAGCGGAATTTCGACTTTTGCAAACACATCGGCGCCGAGCACGTCTTCGACTACAACTCCCCGAGTGTCGTAGGGGACTTGACGGACGCTCTCGAAGAGAAGAATGTGATTGGTGCCTATGACGGTAAGTGGCAGAAGAAGGCCACCACCACCACCCCTTTCCCCCTTTTCCCCAACAGACACGTACCCATTTCTATCTGAAAGCCCCCCCGGGGGAGGACACTGCTAACGTTTCTTGGTCGCATTTCCCTCCGTACAAAGCCATCTCGATGCGAGACACGCAGTTGAACACAGCTCTGGTTCTGGCCCAGCTGGGAGGAGGCCCGCTCGCCGTCACATTGAGCCCAGCCGACGAGATCCCCGCGACCGTGAATGCGAATCCCGGTATGTCTGTAACCGGTTTTTTCTCTTTCACCATAACAACCGACTTGATTTTTTTCCCCCCTTCTTTCTTTTTCTGTCCCTTCCGTCGAGACCGACTGACAAGCTTTACGCACGCAGTCTACGCCGTGAACATCATTGTGAGCGACAAAGACAAGGCCATAGGCCACGCCATCTGGCATGAATTCTTGCCGGATGCTCTCAAGTCCGGTCAGATTAAGCCTTTGCCAAACCCGTTCGTCTTCGGACACGGCCTGGAGAGCCTTCAGGGTGCCTTGGACAAGCAGCGAGCCGGAGTGTCTGCAGCCAAGGTGGTTGTTACGTTGTAGATGTGGTTCAGCTGCGACCCTTTATCAAAGGGTATCTGGGAAAAAGGAGAATAGTGGGTAGGGGGATTCGAAGCCAACGCCAACTCCTGTATCTTGACAGAACCATGGCAGATTCGGTCCAAACAAGTGCAATAGCGTAACGATTTTTTGCATAGTGTCATTAGCATTATATCGTATATCTACATACCCGTACCTAGAACATGTTTATGCATGTATGTAAACCTGAACATTCAATCCAAGGTCCCATCCAATAATGACCCTCTCTCTATCTACCTCTTTTCCACGAGCAAGAAATGCATGGCCCCGTAAGCAATGACAATGAAGACACTGGCAAATATTGCCAGTCCAATCACATCATTCCACAAGGCAAGATTGTCAAAACCAAAAGCGCTGAGAATGCTGGCCCCCGGGACTTCAATGTCGAGGCCGTATCGATGATCTTTGAGTCGTAATTTGGCCACTTCGTTCACAATGAGGGCTTCGTAACCGTAGTGAAAGATTGACAGCTGTAAATGAGTTTAGTATGAGCACTTCCTCCAGATAGAAGGTATGGTAACTTACATTTTGCAACCATTGCGTCGCCATCTGAGTAGAATCATGGTTGAGATTGAGTAACAGACCTGCAAATAACAAGCTGAAGAGCATTACCAGGCTGCCAATCAGATTTGCCACAGCGGGATCCTTGAAGACGATGCCAATTGTGAGACATATTGCTGCTGCCGCCAGATTGAACAGCACCAGGATCAACATAAATATAAAGAAAGTTCCCCATTTAGGTACAAGACCAGACATTGGATAGATGATGACACCCATGATAATTGGGGGAATCAGCCTCAGGGGTATGATATCAAAGATGACCTTGGCTGCGAAGTAGGTGATAGGAGAATAGTATCCATTGGCTCGTTCTCGGACAAAGATCAGCCTCTCAGAGCTGAACACGTTCAAGCTTGTAAGCGTGCTGAAGCCGAAAAGAGCCAGCAGGAAGAAGAAAAGACCTAGTCGATTCTGGAAGCCACCAATATCGTCACTGACTCCATAAAATAGCCATCCAGACAAGACGGCGAGCAGGATGGCCACAGCATAGTGTGTCAACATAAGGATAGGGTTACGGTAAAGATTTCGCCATGTACGTTTCGAGAGAATGAGGAATTGTCGTGGTAGACTGACGCGCCGGAATCCTTTAATAGACCCAGTCACAGGCTCACCAACACCATTTTCATTGTTATGACCATTGGAAGACGAAGCTGCTTGTATTGAAGCGGCAATCTCGTCGTGAGTGGCCTCGGCGACACTTGAATCTCTGAAGCTCGACACGAGAATATCGAGGTCGGTACTGGCATCCGGTGGAAGATCGTCGGGGTCCTCTATAATCTGAGGTGGATTAGAGCCATCTCTCTTGGATAGAGGCAGCCAGCTTCGCACGCTCCCGGTTGCTCGACTGAAGACGTTGTCTTCGTCATCAGTCTTCGGAGTTGGCGGAGTCTCTTCGCCCCCTCTCTTACGAGTGAACAGTTGTCGATCCTGTTTCTGTTTCAGAGAGATGCGCCTCTTTGTTTTGATTCTTTGTGGAGGGTCTGGGGGGCTTTCCGTGCTAACGTTGGAGAAACTCGCGATAGACTTGACAGCTCGTGTGCTGCTAGACTCAGTACCTATACCATCGCGTTCGGGGAATTCTCTTGCAACATCTTCAAAGATTGGGGAGCGTGGTATGCTGGCGTGCATTGTCAGATCAACCAGATAATCAGCAATGTTGAAGCCCGGAGGGCAAGAATATCCAATGTGGTCAAAGTACGCCTGACAGCTGGAGAATGGACCAGAATAGACCGTTCTGCCCTTTGCCAGTAGAATGAGCTGGTCGAACAGCGCAACGATATTCGAACGTGGCTGGTGGATGGTGAAGATAACAGTTCGGTTGTACGTTTTCGCCAGCGTGACTAGACATTCAACCACGTTGAATGCATTGAATGCATCAAGGCCACTTGTTGGTTCGTCCAGAAAAAGGATACTCGGGCTTGTGACCAGCTCACAGGCAATTCCAACTCTACGTTTCTCGCCACCAGAAATGCCTCGCCCGGTGCCTTCTTCTGAGCCAATGATCTGATCCTTGATATGATAAATGCCAAGCTGCTGCATCACCTCGACGACACGCTGCTCTTTGATGTTAAGCCCCATGTCGGCTGGTAATCGAAGGAGAGCACTCGTGAGGATTGTCTCATGGACCGTCAGAGTCGGCAGGAGGGTATCTTCCTGATCAACATAGCCGATTACATTACGATACTCAGCATCGAGGATCTTTTCTCCGTTGACGTACATATTGCCACCGACGAGTCCTCGTTTGTTCTTGCGAGCAAGAATATCAAGGAAGGTAGATTTGCCCGCTCCCGATGCACCCATGATGGCAGTAATCTGCCCAGGTCGCGCAATGCCCGATATACCAGAAAGAATCTCCTTGCCCTTCAGGTTGTAGGCCACATTCTCGAACTGCAGAGCCATCGGAATGTGATTGACCATAGACTTGGCGGCATCATCATCCGCATCCTCTCCGAGCCGAATCGCGCCCCACCTTTTGTAGGCTGCCCTGCGAGAGAGGTACCACGATATCAACGTGATGGCTAAGACGAGAAGGGCACAGCCAGCGATGACGCCAGCAATGAGTGGCGTATTGATCTCCTTGATCGGTCGAACGTACCCTGGCACTTCGGTTTCGTACAGGCATTCCCCACCTCGACATTGTAGTGAGATATACTCGTCACCAAAAATCATCGAAATCAGGTTGTTCATGGCCGGTTCTTCGAACCTACTTCCGTCCTTGGAGCTTCCGCCATATGTATGTTGAGAGAAGAATGAGGCAGGGCCTTTTATTTCCTGCTCCAGAAAGTCATCGATGTTGACGGAGCCATCCTCACCGCACAGGAAGCGATCTTCAATGCAGGAGCATTTGATGTTCTCACAAGTATACTTGGTCGTGTTACGAACATTTGTGTCGTGTGCCTCCCAACTACAGGTGTCCAGGGCGCAGTAGAATGACTCCTTCTGGTCCACCCAAAATTGGAAATTGCAGGTCTCTTCGTCGGCATTGCATGAGAAGGTAACGGCCGGGATCCTAGGATGGATCTGATCCAGGATAGCTTTGTTGGTGACATTGCACATTTGGTAGTTCTCGTGTACGACGAGACCTTGTTTATAGCAAACGCCACCTTGACCCAAAGGCATCATTGCATTGCAGGCATTGTCGGAGGAGCAAACGTTGCAATTGATACCCTCCCAGCCATCTTTGCATTCGCATTCGCTTCCTTTCCGTGGTGATCTGTTTTTGCCGTCTGCCAAAGATCCACACAGCGGCTCTGCGCAATCATCTCCTCCAAAGCCAGGTGGACATACACATTTTCCATTGACATTACCGCAGTTCGCAAACTGTAGACACTTGAACTCATCGTAGTGGCAATCGAAGCATCGAGGACATGGAGGGCAACCGTCTGGCACTAGCTGGGAAAATGGATCCTGCATCAAGGCCGAGGAGGTGTCATTATTGTAGGCCGAAGCAAATAACACCGGACCAAGGAGGAGTAGGACCGGTGAACCGCCATGAAGGAGCATGAGGAAGGATGCGGCGACTTTTGGCGGGCGAGAGGCGCTTCAGAGGTGTGGCTGGTGCCTGTCACTAGGAGCTTGCCAGCAAGCACTGAGTAAACAGAGATAAGGAATGAAGGTTGCGAGGAGCTGGCAACAATGATGGACGTTATGGTGAACGATGAAGATGCGGCACCGATGCGGAAGGAAGAAACAGGAACGGAAGAAGTCAGGCCATCCAGACAATAACAGTTAGAGATGCGGACGGACAGCGATGAGAAGTCGATGTTGCTACTGCTCCAACTAGTACAAGTAGAACTCGGCAGGAACAAGCGTCACCACGAGCACCTCGTATTGAAGCTCCGATACGAGTAAGTGGCTTATTCCCTTAGGCGGCCACTAGGCGGGGATTGTACCGAGCAGGACCGCTCAGCACTCCGTCCAGCTACAATACCCAGACACGAGATACGAGGAGAGATGGGGTTGGTGAGGCTTCTCCATCCTCCTCCGTTGCTTGACGCCGCAGTCAGTTGATAGAGGGGCTAAAGCTCCGCACAGCCGCGGCAGCACCTGTATTAATTCTCAGGCACAAGGCAAGCGAGCTACATGTAGACCCAAGCATCACTTCATTTCCGCTTCTTCTGCTCTTCGCGCATCTTCCTCAATGAGTGATTCATCAGCTGCAAAGCCACCTGAGGTAACGTCAATTGTGCAAGGTCGTTAGTATCGTTCCCTGTCTCGAAACTGACAAGCCCCAGTGGTATCGGTGGCAGCGTTCTTCTGCAAAATATGACCTTTTCTCGTCCGGCGTGAGTCCAATTTCAATCGCAGAGCTGCTCGAGATATCAGAAAACAAACAAGTCTCGCAGCAACAACTGGCGCTAGACAAAGTCCGACTGGACGACGATGAATCGCCCTTGGGACATGCTCAACTGCGCAAGAACCTAGCGTCATTGTATTCTGCTCGCTCCGCTGGAGTTACTCATGAGAATATATTGATAACTAATGCAGCTGCTTCTGCAAATTATACGACGTTGTCTGCCATCCTGTCGCAGGGGGATCATGTTATCCATCAGCATCCCATCGACAATGTGCTCTCTGACACCCTAAAATCGCTTGGTGTAGAAGTAACAGCTTGGGAAGCCAAACCGGCTAAGAAGTGGCAGGCTGATGTCCAGGACCTTAAGGATGCTATCAAGGAGACCACAAAATTGGTTGTGATTCAGAGTCCTTGTGATCCTACGGGAACGGTGGTGTCGAAATCACAACTGGAGGATATGATTGAAGTGGCGCAGGAAAAGGGACTCATCATATTGGCGGATGAAAGCTACAGACCTCTCTTCCATTCACTATCACCATCTGACGAAGACTTTCCGCCTTCAGCAATCAACATGGGATATCGAAAGGTCATCGTCACGGGCACAGTCAATCACGCTTACAGCCTGCCGGGGGTCAAAGTCGGGTGGATAGCTTGCAAGAACGCCGATATCCTCGAAGCGTGCCAGCGGACACAGTCGCGGATCGCTTCCTCTCCCTCCCGACTGGACGAAATCGTCGCGGCTGAAGCTTTGAGTGATAGATGCATCCACGCGCTGTTAAGCAGGAACATCAGACTCTGCCAAACAAATCTAGAGCTTCTTCAGGGGTTCGTCGACGAACACAGCTGGGCAGTCTCGTGGGTGAAGCCGCAGGCCGGAACAACCGCCATGCTTAAGTTCCACAAGATGGGCAAACCTGTGGACGACGTCGCCTTTTGCGCTGCCCTGCTCAAGAATGCAGGAGTGTTCCTTTGCCCGGCTAGTGCAACCTACGGTGACTCTCAGAGCTATCGAGGTTATGTGCGCGTCGCTTTCGGAGCGCCGACATCGCACGTCAAGGCAGCGCTCGCAGCTTGGACATCTGTCATGGAAGACTACGAGTCTGTTCCAACTGCATCTCAAAGATAGAATCTTTCTCGCTGGTGCAATACATATCCATCACAGATCATGGCCCATTGCCAGATCAACATTAAACATATCAAAAACCAGAATCCCATGCAAGTTTTGTGTTCAGAGATGCCTTCGTCGCGTCCGTTAATGTAACAAGAAAGGTTGTGCCGAACGCAGATATCATGCTCTCATACACTCTCTGCCAGCAAGCCACTTAGGCTCCGAAGAGAGAGCTTGCTGGTTTCGAGGCAGAAAGATATCATAAGTCACACACTAGGCTTTCATCATCTATTGCACTGTCAGTAAAGGGTGATTCGACGGGGTAGAAACAGGACAACTCACATGTTCAAAACTTGGGGGGATGAAGAAAAGAAAAGAAAGAATCGCGCTGCGAAAACAGATTTTGTGCGGAGGGAGACGCAGTCGGAGTTTCGCAGCCAGAAATGCCGACTGCGCCTTCTCCAAAAATTGTCCCTGCCGCATGGACGAGCGTCGCGTTGTCACGGTTCTACGTTCTACGTTCTACGAAAGCTCCTCTGAGCTGCAGAGATCAGCATGTCGGTCAGTAGACCGACTAGATTCCATCAACTACGCGACAGCTACGTCCAGATATCCAAATATGTACGCGCGCAACTGCAACAGAAACATCCGAGCCCCGGAGTCAAATGCGCTTCCCTCTGCGCTCGACGGTACAGTTCGACGGTAGCACTCAGCGACGCGAGGTCCGACAAGGGCTCAGAGGCAGAGGTAGCGCGAGATGGTGCTATAAGCACCACCTCTCAAAGGTGGTCTAGGCTGTCAGAGAAACAGTCTGCGTGCTTGAAACGATTCGAGCGGAGTGGTGAGGGTACCTACAAACCTTCATAGGGTGACGACTGACTCGATAGCTCTCAACGGCTCTCGTATAACTACGTGGGACAGTCTTGCATCTATAAAGCTGGACACTGACAAGCAAGATGCTGGCGCTGTCACAATATGCGGTTACATCACTTCACAAAGGTCGGCTGGGAAGTTCGAATTCCTGCAGCTAGTAAACCCTCGCCTAGACAGGGCTGTCCAGGTCATTTGCTCGAAGGAGAAAATGAAAAGACCAGCGCCAGGCTATACCGATGATGCTGTAAACGGGCAAGCCCAGCCTCGGAATATTGAGACAGAGATCCGAGGCCACACGCCAGTTCAAATAATCGGCTCTGTGGTTCGTCGAGCTGCGCCTCCCAAGAAGAGAGGACAAGCAGAGAGCATACATCACCTGGAAGATCAGCAGAGCAGCATTCTCGATAAACTAGATCCTTTTGTGGGACAGATTGGTCTTCTTCCACACGTTGAAATCCAAGCGGAATCAATATTCCCACTGAATACCTTTCCTGCAGACCTTGTTGCCAAGTGTGATACGGCATTTCCACCAGAGTCTCGCCATCTCCAGTTCAGGACAGATCACGAGCTCCGCAGTCGAATACGTCTTCGTAGTATGGTCGCGTCCAAAATCCGCGAGGGCATGCTGAAGAAGGAGTTTGACGAAATTGAAACCCCATTATTGTTTAAGTCTACTCCGGAAGGGGCGAGAGAATTCATTGTGCCCACGAGAAGGAAGGGTTTGGCTTATGCTCTTCCCCAAAGCCCACAACAATACAAGCAGGTGCTCATGGCTTCTGGAGTTTCTCGCTATTTCCAATTCGCAAAGTGCTTTCGAGACGAAGATCTGCGGGCGGACAGGCAACCTGAGTTTACACAAGTATGTCCATCACAGTCACCGATCATCAACCGCTAATCTAACATGTCAGCTCGATCTCGAAATGTCCTTTGCCGGAGCCGAGGACGTTATGGCAGTTGTTGAAGATATCGTACGCAACTTTGTATGGCCCAATGTGCCTAATATTTCGCCACTGAGGAATGCGACTTCAACCGAAGCTAGCTTGGAAGGGCAGAATTGGTCGCCACAGGAAGCCTCGAAATTTCCCCGGCTCTCCTACGAAGACGTCATGACCCGATATGGATCAGACAAGCCTGATACTCGTCTAGGGAGTGAAATTCATCCAATAGATGGATGGTTGCCCGATAATGTAGTAAGCATGCTGACGTCCCTAGAAGAACCGATTGTCGAGGTGGTGAAGATCGAGATGAAAGGAGCTCATCCATCTGCGGCCGCTCGATTCATCAGGTCTTTTCTGGACGCACCAACCTCGGCGCTTTACTCGAATAACCCTGCCGGTATGCCAGGAATTTCAGTCTATGATCCGTCGAAGCCACTGAGAGGGTTAGCCAGCTTTGGTCACGAGGCAGCTGCGCGGATAGAGGAGAGTTTCGAGCCCGAACCTGGAGATATATTCATTATACAGACACGCGCTAGAGCTCCGTTCGCAGGCGGCTCAACAGTCTTGGGAAACCTGCGACGAGATGTCCTACAGAGTGCGATCTCTGAAGGGTTCATTCCTGCACCCACTGGCTTCGCTGGTCTTTGGGTTGTCGACTTTCCCCTCCTTTCGCCTACAGAGGAAAGTGAACCAGGCCAGGGTGGCCTTGCCGGAATCTGCTCAACCCATCACCCATTCACTGCTCCGCAAAAAGGCCAAGATCTATCACTCTTGATCACGGATCCTCTCAAGATCATTGGCGACCATTATGATCTGGTCATCAACGGAGTTGAAGTTGGCGGAGGATCACGACGTATCCATGTTGCTGACATGCAAGAGCTCATTCTTCGAGATGTTCTGAAGTTACGTGCCGAGCGGCTTGAGGACTTCAGGCACCTACTCAATGCCCTCAAGAGTGGCTGTCCTCCCCACGCAGGCTTTGCTTTGGGTTTCGACAGACTTATGGCAATGTTGACTGACCGAGCAAGTGTCCGTGATGTGATTGCTTTTCCGAAGTACGCAGATGGTGAAGACAAGTTCGTCAAGTCGCCCTCACTTCTGACTGCGGAGCAATTGGCGACATATCACCTTGCGATTAGGGATAGTGCAGAGGCAAAAGCACCTCCCCCTGTTTCAATCAAAGCGTAATCTATGCTTTGTGTATATATATAGCGCAACACAATAGACTCACATCTCAATGTTAAGCGTACAATCAATTGTGGCCCTCTCCTTTGGTGGCGTGATCTCCGATTTGCCTTTGTAGCAGCTCAAGGCTGAGCCCCTTTACAGGCAAAATGTCATGTGATTGAATGCGGAGAAGTGACAGCGCTAACACCCTGGCCTGTCTGTCGCCGCGCAGGGGTACATATTAAGGACAATCAACACTCGCGCTCACGAGTTTCTCTTTCGCAAATGCCATCGGGACAAATCTCCTTTTCGCGTTGAATTGAGAGACCTCCATACTCCATCACCATGGAGCAACTACAACAACTCGTTCTCGATCCTCTCAAACCCTACTTGATCCCCATCACATCAAACCTCCCGGGACCGGTCAACGACCTCGCGGTTAATTTACTAGGCGCACCCTGCCACAGCGCCCTCCTGCTCGACCTCGATGTCACGTCGCACCCGGAATGCGTTTCCCTGGCCATCTCCAAGGCACTCGGCATAGGCATCATCACAGCGGCGTCGATCGTCAAAGTGCCCCAGATCATCAAGCTGGTCAAGTCGCAGTCATCCGAGGGCCTGTCGTTCACGAGCTACCTCTTGGAGACGGCGAGTTTCGTCATCACGCTGGCGTACAACATGCGCAACGGGTTCCCCTTTAGCACGTACGGCGAGACGAGCCTGATCGCGATCCAGGACGTGGTCATCAGCGTCCTGATCCTGGTCTACTCGAAAAAGACGGTGCAGGCGGGCGCGTTCCTCGCCGCGGTCGGCAGCGCCGTGTACGCGCTCATGGTCTCGGACACGCTGGTCTCGGACGCGCAGATGACGAGCCTCCAGGCCGGCGCTGGCGGGCTGAGCATCGCCAGCAAGCTGCCCCAGATCCTGACCATCTGGCAGCAGGGCGGCACGGGCCAGTTGTCCGCGTTTGCCGTGTTCAACTACCTGTTTGGCAGCCTAAGTCGCATCTACACGACGCTGCAGGAGGTGGACGACAAGCTCATCCTCTACGGCTTCGTCGCCGGGTTCGCGCTGAACGCCATCCTCGCCGCGCAGGTCCTGTACTACTGGAACAGCCCGACGACGGCGGGTCACGGCAGCGAAGTCGATCAGTCCCGGAAGTTGCAGGGTGTGGGACAAAAGGGCACAAAGGCCGCGTTGGCCACCGAAGAGGTTTTGAAAACAAATGCCCGTGCCGTGAAGAACACGAGCTCGAGCTCGCCGAGGCCGAGTAGCAGCAGTGGAAGACGCAGGGGATGAGGTGGAGCTGGAGTTGTGAGAGATACGCTCTACATAGTCAAAAACACTGTTTCCTCTGTGCAGTCGGGTCATCAGTCACTGAAGCCATCTCATGAAGTCAATTACGGTTGTTATGTTTCACAAGCGAGACAATCCGAATGCAACCCCGAATCCAATCCGAAATACTATTACGCGAAAAGTTGCTGTCTAGCAGGAGAGGAAAAGAAAAGGGTTTTCCACAAGAAATGAAGCCTCTTTTCACGAGAAGGAAAGGACACCTTTAAAGTCCTTCTCTTCTTCCAGTGTGATGCATGCTGGGCCGTGTACGATATATTCGTGTGGCCTTTCCGCACAGTACGATACAATTGACGGCTGGTGATATCACCATGGGAGACAGGAAAGTCTGTCTGTTTAAAATGAAAAAGTCTACTCCTGCTTTATTTGTTGTTGAGCTTCCCTAACAAGTAGACAATTCTCCAGATGCAGAACGCACTGCTGGACTGTCCTGTAAACGCCGCTGCAATGTGATGCAATGCAATGCAAGCCTGTCAGGAGGAAAACTTTGCAGCCGCACAGGAACAAAAGGTGCCGCGAAGCTTCGTCTGCATAGGCTACTGCAAGTAGAGCATGCATGTCATGCATCGACACGGCAACGAGCCATCTCGTATTGTTTTTTCTGCCTCTGTACAATAGGTAGAGTTTCCCAGCCTCGTGATCTGCCACTTACCGAGTACGAGTGCGCGGACCGTGCCCTGAGGTACACATACTGTACGCCATCGACGGGCATGAAGGGGAGGAGAAGGCCGTGTGCATATGCATGACACGTCCGAACTTTGTGATGAAAATCCTACCTGCCTGCCTGCCTGCCTGCCTGCCTACCTGAAGATAGATCGACTGTACTCCTCACCATCCTGGATGCCGGGGCAACTGTAGAGAGGTCTCCTGGCCGACCACGGGCGGGGGCAGCATAGTCGTGTCGGGAACACCTCGTCGGGGTGGGATCTTCCTCCCAAGGAGAGATACGGGTGGGAATGTACGTGATGGCGGCAGGACGGAGTGATTTTGACCTCGCTTCTCGGCTCGGTGGGACGTGGGGGACATCCCCTTGTAGCAAATCACTCAGTACGTACTTCAGCTCCCAAGAGGCCGTCCTAACTGACAGATAGGGGACGCCGACAACATCGATAATATATCGAGGGGATGTTGAGTTTGAGTACTCGGAGGGTTGATTAAGTTATTGGCCTCAGCGGGTACAACAGCACTGCCCGGAACGAGCGCGTGCAGACGTATGCTCCCCCTCCCGAGACGAGGCGATATTCGTCTCAGGCTTGTAAACATGGAGCAGGCACTCAGGGACTTTTTCTCGAGTGATGCAGAAGACCGTCCGGCGAGGCAGCGAACGTGAAAGCTATAGCAAGCACTAGTTAGTCAGTTCTGCTAGCGGGGAATGTGATCTGCTAGAATGCGTCCAAATCAATGGCAACAAGTTGTGCGGCCAACGTTCGTCGAGTCGAGTCTGGGCCTTTTATGTAACAGGCGGATCCAGCGTACAAACGTGATATCTCCTCTCGTGACTTTGTTTGAACTGGCTGCAGTTCTTCACCAGGAAATTAGCTTGGCTGAAATAGGAGCCTCAACGTCCTCAAAGCAAAGAGTTATGACAAGAGAAGGAAACACATCTCGAGAACAGGTGGGCTCGGATTGGGGACGCCAACGACAGAAACTAACTAGTACACTGGTGAAGGTAGATGTCTCCATTTCTCATATAATTCTCATGCACCTCAGGTTCTGCCGGCAGGACAACGTTGAGCCATCTCAGGACAAACCTTTGGGAAAGCTCTCCATGTCCAATTCCGGAATCGTCTGACGGCAGTTGGTGGTCCTGTATACCGGACCACCCTGTTGACGCGGATCTCGTCAAGATGTACGAAAAAGCGCTCCCATACTAGCTTCAAAATCAATAAAGAGTTGTCAGTTCCTATCCCTGCGTAGAGCGGTCTCGTCAAGTTTCCTGCACAAGCTAGAGATGAGTTGTACGACGTGAAATGCCGGTATGGTACGTGATTGACCGCTGAGCATGGACCCAAGATAGCAGGATTCTTTCAACGAGCCAATCTTATCAAATGAGGTACACGTATCACCGGCTCGACCTTTGAATTAGGCCCCTCTCCGTGGAGAGTATGATGAATAGCCAGATACAACATTGTGATGTTTCGTCAATGTTATGACGATCTCTGGATCTGTGCATGAGGTTTTGGTAAAGCAATTGAATATTGTTGTGCCTTGCGGATGGCTTTAGACTGATGATATGCATGTGGTGGTGTTCCCAAAACATCCTGTGATAGATCAACGCCCTCGGAAATGACTTTACGTGTGTAGTTAAAGCCATGATGACCTGTGCGCGCAGCTTAAGGTTCATCAGTCCCTTATATCGTTCGTGTCAGTGAACAAACTAGCACTAGGAAGATTAGATTCTGCCTGTTGTTCGTGTTGATTGACAAAGCGGTGGAGAGGCTCAACTTTAATGCCCAGACAGCCATTATCTGCCTTTGCTACTCCGGAAATGCTCATGCCGACTGACGAAAGCCTGCAACCCCGGTGCCAAAATTGAGTTGCGCATGAAGGTGACAATAATAGTGTACTCCGTTGGGAGGCGAATTCTTCAATGAAGAAATCTCGTTAGTTCCAGACCTCATTAGTCGAGGTTGCTCATCGATCCACTGTACGAGTATCGTGTATTCATCAATGGCCACAAGACCAACGCAACAGTGCCGATGGGGGTCGTCCAAATGATCCCAATCGGGAGGCAATTCTATTCTGCACAATGACAGATGTTGTAAGAGATTCAAGTGGACCAGTATCTAGTGAAAGTGAGGTCCATGCAGGACGTGAGACGAAGGAAGATACCTCACTCGTAGAAGAGGCAGGGCCGCGACGAGCTTTGGCCACATGGCTACCCGTCGCAAAGCAGCAGGGAGACCCGAAACCATCCCTATCATTCTGCGATCAATAGGAGAATTCTTCAGCAAGAGAGGCGTCTGGTGGGCATTTCTCCGCAATCTCGTTGCCGTGCAAGATGCGCGTACTAAGGGGGGAAGCGAATCTGAATGCCACTTGGCTTCATGGTGCGGAAGCTTGAACTGTGGCCTCCCCTTCTGTGCGTGGTCGGAAGGCTGAGATGGTCAGGTTGGGCTTTTAAGAAGGGTCAACCGAACTGTCAGGGGTGACTTTTGAAGGTTTCAGCCTCCCTTTTTGATGCCACTTCTCTCAGTGGCGACGAGGCCCAGGGGGGTGGTGAGAAGGACGACATCGGGCATAAGCAAACTGACAACATTGAGACGTGGGCTCGGGCAGCGTCTTGCTCCGGATTCGGTCACGACACTTCTCTGCCGCCAGCAGAACAACTGTCGTATGCCCGCCCGGAGCAGATTCGAGCTAAAAAAACAACCCAACACGCGTCAAGCTGCAATCACTTTGGCCAAATTGGGTTCCAATCTGGATAGAGGCGCGTGTCAAAGATTTCGGCGCGTCTTCTAGTCTCTGAACTCCATCCCAGGGCATGGACGAGTCTCTGTACGCCTCTGCTTTTGGAGAAAAAGCCCATCCATGAACCAGCCTAACCCCTGCGGATCTGGGATTGATTTCTGTCTTGGCTCGTGTTTCTCTGCTAGGTTTGAGCTTGAACTGGTAGCGTCGGAATGTGGCTACCGCGACCACAGGACGAAGCCAGACACAGGCTCGAGCTTGTCCTTGAAGCTTCTCGGCCGGGTCGAGGCCACCATATTATTTACATACGATTAACATGACAGAAATTCTGCTGCGAAAGGTTGATTGTTGGTCGATCACACGGGATGCAGCAGATTATGGGTATATGCAACCTGAGTACACTCCAAGTTCTGAACCAGATCACTGCTACAACATCTGCAAACTAGCCACCGTCACCAGCAAAGAGGCTGCACGACGTCGTTTCCGGGTGCGACGCTCGTACAGGTGCATCGGAGGTTCGGTTGTCTCAATCTCATCTCCGTCACGCGTTTCGCTTGCAACCAAAATTTTTCTTTTCGTGTTGGGTGTTGTTTTCTCGCGTGTGCTGCGTGCTGCGTGCTACGTGGATCTATTATGTATTAATTGCATGAGGTTGAGAAAATTTTTCGCCCTTACACTGAGACTTTTCTGTTTGAATGATAAATCGTGACTGGGGATATGCATGTATTCTGTGGTTTCGCAGGGCCGGCGCCGTCCTAGCCTCATCCGCAGTGATGTCAGGCAGTGGATTGGCTCGCGGTCTCGAAGAGTAACGGTCAGGCAGTTCCATGCATGTCCGAGTAGCACGGCTTTACAGCCGCGGTGTCCTCAGCCTGGAGCCCGCTCAAGAAACCAAGGCGGATTACCGGGAGTGACATTTGATCAGTAGTAACGTCAAGGGACACGAGGGCAGAGTTTGTCGCGAGTTCCGAATGGGGGAGACGTTAGACATGAAATCATCATCTTGCGTCCTCCCTAGTGCTGAGCCTGCAACCCGTATCGAGATTCATCGACCAGGGTGTGAGTGGCCACTATCAAATCCAGCTCCCAAAGTCGGATGCCAGAAATGAGAGAGTGCTGGAAGTGCTACGCTTCCAGTTAGGAGCAAGGCTGGCTTGGAGATTGACAGCGGCGATGAAGGTCCGCTTCTACGCCACTGACAGCTTGCATGTATTGTCCATGGGACCATTTGGCGACGGGCTGCTAGAAGTTCGCTTGGAAGGTTGGCACCATTATGATTGACTGGGACGCTGAGAGGCTGAAAGTCGGAGGAGCCCCGTATCTGTTACGGGAATAGAGCAGATCTCTGGATCTCAGCAACAACAGCCCACGCCAGCGGGGGTTGCTGTGGCCAATCCCTGCTGCTTCAAAGTTGCACGATTCATGAGACTTCGGAAGCGTCATGCAACACAGCAGAGCAGGGTTGGGGTGACAAAAGGCACCGCTTTTGACTGACCGGCTGCAGCTCCAACGCGTTCCTGTTCAACGAAAAGAAGATATCTGCATCACTCTGACGAGATAGATTCCGGTCAGCTCGTAACCTATCTAGCCAGACCAAGGCGAGGCCGTGCCGCTGACAGTGAGCAAGCGTATCTCACGTCAATAGGCAGGGGGGAGTGGTCAATGGTGTTTCTGAGCTAGCAATGGCATTCGTGGCCAGCTTTGGCCCCGAGCGACTGGCACAATGTAGGCTTGCATTAGGGCCTGCAAGAAAACAGGAAGTCTGTCCACTAGGCGGGCCAATAGACGCGACCTGACGCGCTTTCTCCTGGACTCCAGCCGCGCGACCAGGGCCGATGTGCTGTACGGAACACGAGGGAGCTGGGCAGACGGCTCGCTGTGACTCGCATGTGCCTGTAATCAGTACCGGTAAACAAACGAAACGAAACGGCGAGGGCAAAAGAAATGACAAGCTTTAGGTGTAGGCAGAGAGGTCGGGCGTGCAACCCAGCCTGGTAAGCCTGGCCGTGACCAGATCTCTGCAAGGAGGAAATTGTGCTGTCGGTCAATCGCATGCTTGACAGATGGTTGGAGGGCGTCGAGGGGCATCTGGGCTGGCTGCTGAAGCGAAAGGGGGTTCGGATTCGGGTGATCGTTGAGGGTACCTTAGGTACAGTTGCTGCTTAGCTGGCTGTCGTCCGGAAGGGCTCTGGGCACAGTCCTCTGGGCGTCCCCGAGGCGTGACCTAGACGTGTAGGCGTGCCTAGGAAACAACCGCGCGGGAGGCTTCTAGTAGCTGGTAGACGGTCACTGGTCCCCCCAGCCGGTCCCCTGGCAGGGCCCTGGCAGGAGCTGTGGTCAATTAGACAGCCGAGCAAATGAGCTTCTGCCACAGGAGAGGTCGCGACGATTCTGCCGGAGAAAGACCCTCCAAGGGCCCGTGGTTTGATGACCTGATACACTTTGACCAACATGACCACCATGTTTGCGGTGTATCGTACGGGCTGGTTCGCCTTGGCCTGGCTGTCTTGCTACTGTCATTTTTATGGCTGGCTGCTGGCGCTGCACGTCGTCGTCGCCGCACATCCTTGTCATCCCCTGCAAGCTTCTGGGATGCGTGCCGCACCCAATCACCGCCGACAAGCTCACTCCTCCTGTCAAGCTCTCGCACACTCCACTCTCCACTCGTCTTTCACTTCATCTGGACGGTGCCATCTCCTGTTCTTCCTCTCCTCCACCGTCGTCCTTTACCCGCTATTCATGAGGCCTTGACCTCGTCCTTTTATCCTCTCTCTTCCCCTTCTCCTCTGTCGTTGGACGAAAAGATATCACGAAACCCTTCTTGAGTATCTCGAACGTCCACGACTCCTCTCCTATCCCTCTCAGCTCTCACCAATTCCTGCCGACCCTGTCCAAGGCCATCAACTAAAGCTTGCCCTTCTCGCCGAGCTGCACTCGTTTGACTGGACGTTCTGGATAGCGTTCCTGCAGAGGTGACCGGAAGTACTCGAACTATCCAGCCAGGCTCGAAAAGGTGAGAACAGTCTCTTGCATTTGATGATTCTTGAGGAAAAAGGAAGGTGTCCGTCTGAAGCACAATGGCTGGCCACAAAAGACACAAACTCGGTGGTTCTGGTCCAAATCGAGTTGCAACATCAGAGCTCTGTTACCTGGTCGTCTCATCATTGCAACACCCGGATCGACCAATGCAAGACAATGAACTCGTAGATCTTCACCCCACTCAGGGCGACCACCCGATCGAACACCCCTCGATGTGCCTCACCCCTAAGATTCGGATGCGAAGCAGTCAAATGATAGGCCATGCTAGGAGGTGGATGATATACTGCTGGGAAACAAGGATCTCACTGACAACAAGCCGGAGTCATGCTGCCTAATGTCTGGCAAGGGCGTGAGTGGTTATAGAGGTTGGCTGGGGCTGCCTGGATTTATGGCTTCGTCTTGGTCATGGAAATGGAAGTGCAGTGTGTCATTCCTGCAAGGATCCTGCAAGGAATGATGGCCCCATTACGCTCGAGCCCTCGAATATCGACGTGGAATCCCTGGAACCCTGCTCACGCTGAATCTGGACGCTGTCCCTTCTGGTCGACCTCAGTCCCTACGGATTTTTATTTGCCCATGATATACGTCTGAAATGGTCATGGACCAAACATTTGCTGATACTTGTGAAAGTAGACAATATCTCTTCGACCAAGCGCTTGTCTCGAGTACCAGTCGGGTCAAACAGTCTTACAATCCCAATCGTTGAAGTCAAGGTCAGCTCTTATTGATCCTCTCCTTGACAACCAAACTGATCTCCATTCGTTACAGTGCGCAAGAATCTGGTATCCTTTTGTGGATGACAAGTCCACATTCCTGACCACAGCCAAAATCATCCAAACGGAGGCGTTCATTCGACCTACGTTGCCCTCGACGCACGAGCACTCAATCTGCCCGCCATTCCAATCCTTGACTAGATGATCCCTAGTAGCAAGGATTCTTGAATCGTCGTGCTGTTTTCTTCCTTTTCAGGTTGGTTATCCCGTTTGACCGCCACTTTTTTGGGTAACTGACACCCCTGCGCACGTCCCAGATACTCCTCGGTCTAGAAGAGCATCTCGCCTGGTTCCTGGCCACCTCCAGTCTCGTGCAACATTTGATTGCATCGCATCATTCACTCCTTGAGAATTATTTTACATACGACTGTCATTCACTTTTCTCCGTCGTCTGAAGTTCGCTCTGCTGGCAAGACAACAACCCGTAACCACCCCGCACACCAACATCAAACAGCCAGCTTGCACCTCATTCAATATGGCTTACAACAGGATCTCCTCCTTCGGCTCCAACGATAGCGGGTACGAGAGTGGCATCGTCGAGATCTTCGACGAGCCTTCCCTACCTCTGAACAAGAAGACGGACCACGCCAAGGACGTTGCAAGACGTCGACAGCAGCTCCTCGCTTCAGAGTTATCGAGGAGGGATTCCGATGAATACCAGAATGACATGCTTGAGCATATGCTGAAGATGGACGCCGACACCATGCCGGACGTGGACGCCATTGACATTCAGACAGAGATCCAATGGTTTATGAGGCCATACCTGCTTGACTTTCTGGTCGAAGCTCATTCCGCTTTCCAACTCCTACCAGAGACTCTGTTTCTCACAATTAACCTTCTGGACCGCTACTGCTCCAAGAGAGTCGTCTACAAACGTCACTATCAACTGGTTGGTTGTGCTGCTTTGCTCATTGCAGCAAAGTATGGAGACAAGAAGGAGAAGGTGCCCACAATCAAGGAGCTCAAGTCAATGTGCTGCTCACTCTACGATGATGATATGTTCTTGCAGATGGAATGGCATGTTTTGTCGACGCTGGGCTGGGCCATCGGTCATCCCACCGTTGACTCGTTCATGCGTTTGGCCGTCAAGGATAATGTCTATGACCCTGAGGCGGAAAGCTTGTGTCTTTACATCTTGGAGATTGCTCTCTACCACAGGGAGTTTGTGTCAAAGCGATCATCCACCCTCTCTCTATCTGCGTTGGCTCTTGCCCGACATATCCTTGGCCGCCCTCAAGCCCGTGTCAACGAGTTTGGGTCCCACTTCTGCAGCACCACTGTGATGGAATTGCTGAACAAGGTCCACGATCCTTCATCTATTCTCACACGGAAGTACGCCTCTGTCCGCTACAATAGCGTCTCGCGAGTGCTATCAAACTTCCTTGCGCAGAAGGCGACTGCGATGTCTGCTTCGACCAGAACACCACTGACCCCAAACTATGAGCTCACTCCACCTTCAGTCAATGCCAAACCTGCAGGTACTGAATACTTCCAGACCTATGCCACGCCACAAAAGCCCCAATTCCCCTCAGTTGTTCAGCATGGTCTTTATACGCCGCCTATCACTCCTGAGGGTGACATGTTTGGTGTCACACAAAAGACCTTTGGAGCCCCGAACCAATACGCACCTCCCACCCCGACCCCTACCGCCGTCATCGGCCAGCAATACTCCTCTCAATACCCCTCGACCACCAATCACTGGAGCGCCGAATCCTACTAAAGAAACCACGGCGGATCTATCAAGAAAATAGAATGTTGATCATCACGACTTCAATTCTCCCACAACCCTAAGTATCTCTCTGCAGCACAGAGTGTTCTGTTACAACAAATCGTCTTTGTGAGAATGTATTTTTTTTATCTGCATTGCAAGCGTCCCAGTTCGGCATCAAAGCTAGTACTACTTGAAGAGTCATGGAAGGAAGAGGGCAAAAATGAATATCTGCGGCAACGTTCTTTTTCTTAATCGAGAGTGAAGCGACTAAAGATGTGTGTTGTCCCCGGGTTGAAACCATAAAAAAGAGTCCCCACAACAGCGGAAGAAATGTTCCAGTCTTGTTTATTGTTGCTTTTGCTTGAGGGACGGCTCATGCTCTCGAGTCGGCAACACAGACGGAGGACGATGTTTTTTCGGGGGTCTTTTCAGCGGTTCAGCTGCGATGACATCTCTCCGAAGCGGAGACAAGAGGTTGTTTAGATTGGACGTCCGGGAGGCAGCAAAAATTGTGAACACTAGCTAGCTAGCCATGGCTGGGAGGGAAAAAATTGGAGTTTGTCAATCACAGAGCAAAGAGGATTAGATACTTTTTTGGCTGGAATCTGTTTGTCTGGCAGCGAGGAATGGGACCCCAAAGTAATTCTGTTGCTTGAGTGCTAACTATCTAGATGCCTCAACCTGACCTACGTTGGCAGGTGTGGTACTCATTGAGGTCTATCCCTCGATAACTGTGTCAATAACAAATCTGAGCCTTTGTTTATCAGTTCACCTTTGTCTTTTCCATGTTTCTTTTCGCGGAATGTAAAACGAGTACTGGGTGGATAGACGTCGAGCCTTGTTCAGCTATCTTCAATTCGAGCAATACGAAACAAAGAAATTCCTCCGGCTGGAGTATGTATGGCCAGCCGTGTTGATGTTCGTCCCGTCCAGCTTTAAATTTCACTTCCGAGGGATTAACAGTTATTTAATGATGATGATATTCCATCCCTGAATGTTTTCATGTCGTTTGTCGAACCAAGGTCTCAACGTTGGATCTCGGACACGGTTCTATTTTAATTTTATCCCTCACGTTTCTACCGAGAGGACTTGATTCATCAATGCCACTAAGCGAGGCGAAGTGCTCGTTGAACGATCATTGTCTCATTATCCGTACCTAGACGAGTATCATAAGTCACACCACGACCTACGTGTTAAAAAGGAGAACAGGGGGGCCAAATACGACTGACCCATTCGTTCCCTGCATTGTCCCTGTTTCCATCCATCCCCTTTCCATTCCGGTCGTCAGGCCCATCCGTCGTCCAGCAACTCCTGCGGGATCAGATTGTCACCGATCCTTCCATGCACGGCCCTGAGATGGCCATAGCACGCCCGATCACTCTCGAATGTCTCCAAACACACCCAGCATATGTCTGCCTTGCACGCGGCGCATACCATGTGGTTGCAGCCGTCCAACTTCTGGATGGGCGTTGTGCATTTCGGGCAGTCCTTGATATTGTTCCATTTCTTCATCTCGAGGAATTCCCGGTGCTCCTTGCTTCCCCTGTACGCCTCTTCTCGCGCCACGTCGCAGGTGATTCCGTCGTGGCCGACACTGCCGCATTTCGTACATATGAGGGCAAGACAGGTGTCGCAGACGATTTCGCCCGGGTCACTCGTGATGCGGTAGACGGTCGTGCAGTCCGGGGTAGGGCAGTAAGTAAATTCGCCTGGGTGCGACCGGACGTAACATTCCAGCGAGGCGGATAGCAGGTTTTGGAACTTTTCGTGGGCCAGGATCTTTCGAAGAATATCGAGACTGACCGTCTGACCACAGGCACCATCATTCCCGTAGCACACGATCTTGAGCTCGCGGCCGTCGGCTTCTTTGCACTGATCCTCAAAACAGACCCGGCAGTATCTGTGGCCGCACGCTAGCTCGAGGGCGTCTTCGACGTCCGAGAGACAGGCGGGACACTCGCTGTCGCCCGGCGCGTCTGAGTGCGGTGATGGTGCCGTCGCCGATGGCTCAGCGTCATCAGCTTCCAGTAATTCTTTCGCCTTGCTGAAGTCTTCTGGACTCCCAGAGAAGATCAGAGCCCGCCCATTTGGACCAATGTTGAGCTTAGCTTTCCCCTTGCCGAACTTGTTTGTTAGGCGTTTGAAGCCGCCACGCAACACCTTAGACCACAGCTCACCTTCCAACAGGGTGATGTGTACCGAGTGCTTGCGACGACAGAGCTCGTTAAGGATAGCAAGTCGAGCACCGTTGAGAAGCGCGGCATCGCCGTGAAAGACTAGTCGTCTTGTCCTGATATCCCTGTACAAAAACATTTTCCCGGGACGCGAGAGCCCACTAAGAAAGGCGAAGCCCTCTATAGTGGCAAGGTATTCGTCCCACAAGATGTGGCTGTTGTCATCGCCCAGTATGACGGTACCAGCAAGGATAGACTCGACTCGACCCTTTGTCTTGGCCACGTTATGAGATTGTGGTCCATAGATGTGGATCACGGCGAGTTTGTTGTGCTGCTTCGGACCAAACATCGTTATATACACGCCAGCCTCTGTCTTCTTCCGAAGTTCGTGAAGCTGGATTATTGACAATGCGTAGACCTCGGGCAATACTCGAAACTTTACTGTGGCGATTTGCTCGACGTAAATCTTTGACCCCAGCTCTTCGTAGTACGTCCCTGACCATGAAAGAGCACGTCTTGCATGGGCCGGGTTATTGAGCTCCATAAACAATGCGGCCTTTGCTCCGGTCGAACTTGGGCTGGTGGTGGAAAATTGGAATGAATTCTCTTCGTCGGTAAATAAGTCTTCGACGAAGGACCATGACTCGGCTTCTGTCAGCGTTGTTGATCTCTTTCCATGTACATATTTCTCAGCTCTCACACCCTTGAGTATCTCTCTCAGGTGATGGTCGGTCGTGTCGACAGGAACATTCGAGAGTCTGACCAGCCATTCTCGTTCCTGCCCAGCGTTCTTGCGTTCGTGAATGCGGGCCTGCACCTGACGGCCTCGAAAACTCTTGTCAAATCTCTTGCTGGCTTTTTCGGCCCACTTCCTGCTGAGGTAATGAAGATAAATGATCTTGGAGGGATTAAACCATGTGCAGCTAATTGTATGCGCCTTGACTTTCCCTGCGGCTTTGTGAGCCTTTGTTCCGTACTCACTGGGTGAATGTTGAGGAAAGGTAACATTCATGACTTGAGCCCCATCACTAAAGTGAACAAGAACGCCCTTTAGATGTTCCAAGATTTGGTAGTCATGCTCGAGTTTTGAGACGTGTTCCTGACTCTGATCCCAGCCGTGACCGAAGTTGCCTCTCATTGTGACAGACTGCTTAGCACTCTCATGCATAAAATTGCAGAATTGTCCTTTATTGCATTGACCTTTAGAGAAGAACCGACATTCCCGAGCAGCGCGGGGTCTGAATATTTTTGCTTCTGGTCTCAAGGGATGAGTGTTTGATGACGGATGAGCATCATGTGTCGTCGAAACTGGTTGAACGATTTCGTGTTGATATTTGCATCGACTTTCATGGACGCAGGATCCTTGGGCGTAGTATTTACACCGGCGCATGATTGTAAGCCGACACTTTCGATGAAGGTGATGTGAGGGGAACGGGAATCTGGCAGCGTCCCAAAGGCGAGGGTGTGGTGTTGCTGGGAGGCGGAGGCGCAGGCGCGGGCTTCCTTAGCTATAGTCAAAGGCAACCTGAGTGAATATGCTGGCATAGTGATTCGTCGCAACGGCCGCTGCCGTGATGATTGGAATTCCATTCACAGATGCAGTGGCATTTGCAACTCAGAGGACAGAGTCAGGCGAGTGTCACTCACAACAACCGCCGCTGAGATTGAGGTGTCGTTCAAGTTGTCGATGTTGGAACACTCCGCCTGCTCCCAGACGCTCGCACCTCGACATCCTGCGCAATGAGCATCATCGAACATCCGGGATCCATCCGCATTCTTCACTCGTTCCTCGAGTTTAAGGATCGGCGTGTCACCCACCACTACAAGGATGGTCTCCCAGCACAGGTTCTGCTGTGGTCAATGTCTCATAGCTGTACGACATGGAAGCACAACACAACACAGCGTCATCTTGTGTCGACTATGTTGTCAGGACTGATACCAAAATCGAATGGAAGACGCGCTTGAAGTTACAGGACGTAAAGCATTATTGATACCAAGTTGACTAACTAGTGTCTCCAACACTGACGTGGGTGGCTTCACGTCAACCAAAGTACGAGATCCTGCGGCTCCTGAACTCTCAGATAGTCGCATGACTCGACTCAGCTGGGCTGGCTCGATAGCGTCTGTCTGACCTTGCCTTTCTTCCTTCCAATCCATCCATCTGCGCCAGAGACTGTGAGCCGATTCAAGATGGGTAGGTATGCGAATGGCCGATTGTTTCCACGAGGCTCGGATTCAGCAAGGATGATCACCTACAAAAGGCCGATGCAAATCTAGACTGTCAATGATGGGCATACGTCAATTATACTTGCGAGAATTTGAGCGAGCTTAAACATGCTGGTGGCAAACGACAGGCAAAGTGCACAGAGTACGAACGAGGATTAATCCGGCTACATCGGTAGCACTTCCATCTGCAAACAAGACGGTCGTGCATCCTCGCTTCTTCTGGACCGGTCGAGGGTGTGAATACGAGGCCATGCAAGTGCTCATAGGTCAAAACGTTCTCGTCGCCAAAGACTGCCCCGTTTGCCCCCAGACAAGATTCCTGGAGACAGGGCGGGGTCGATGCTTACTCGACCACACTCAGAGCCAAAATACTGAATGGCTGACGGCAACGACTCTTGCCAGACGATGACGAGCATCCAGCGGTCTGCTCGCATAGTTTATAGCTTTTCCAGGGCTCTCCCCCCTCCTGAAAGCTGAGTGCTCACCCGGATCGTGCATTGCTGGCATACATATAAAGACAAGACAAAGTTTGGCTCACCCTTCATCCCTTCTCTCTCTTCGGTCACCAGGCTTGGAAAGCATTCTACTATTGTCTTACGGTTACTTTGACTGTTTGCTGTATTGAAATCATGGTGTTGGCAGCAGATCCCTATTACAATCGCAAACCGGTCCCTGGTATGTTGGTCTTCTAAACTCAATCTGGGATCGCTTCTCCCATACTAATTCTGGTAACAAAGATGACCTGATCAAGGATGTCGGCCTTACAGGCCTTTCGCCTGAAGAGGAGTACTGGAACCGCGAGCGCAAGTACAGCGTCGATGGCGTCGATGTTAGGAAGTTCAGCAACAGCAGAACAGGGGGCATCGAGCCTCAAGCGGACCCGTACTATGGCCGCAGACGGGTCTCTAGTGTGTTCCCCAATTCGTCTTCAGCAGTTGAGCGTGTCATGTTTAACATACCTCGCAGACGCCGAGATTCATGACGTCGGCAAGACAGGCCTCACACCGGAACAAGAGTTCTGGAATCGTGAACGCAAATACAGTCTCGGTGGTGTGGATGTTCGAAAGTTTAGTATGAGCAAAACAGGAGGAATCGAACCACAAGATGATCCTTACTATGGTCGCAGGAGAGTATCCAGTTAGTGCCAATACGACTCTTCCCTTTGTGTTTCAAATGAGAACTGACCTCGTCGGCTTTATAAGACGCGGAAATCGCTGGCCTCGGCGAAACGGGCATGACTCCCGCTGAACAGTACGAAGTTCGGGAACGCAAGCAATCCCTCTTCCAACTGTCGGACGACCCCTTCGAGAACATTGCTGGCCGCCACCGAACGAGCATCTCCGGCGTGGCAAGCGGCGCATCAGCAGCAGCGACGACCCGCCGCCGCAGCTCAGCGGTTGCTCCAGATGCGATGGGTCCTTCGCACAGTGGATACCATGGCGAGCATCTCGCTACCATCGAGAGCAGGAATGAACTAGCACCGAACAATATCCGAAAGACGAATTCCACTGGGCAGACAGGTAGTTCGGCTACCTCGGACACGCTGGACCATGGTACCACGAGCTCGTCGTCAGAGGCAGGGCCGTCAGCTTCCAACAGTCATAACCACGCGGGAGAGCATGCAGTGTTCCACGATGCGGTGACAACGGGTCACGATCATAATGTCCAAACTCCCCAGGATCCAGATAGCATTGCTCCCCATGAGATACGATGAATTTGCTCGCAGATTCTGTCTCACCATACCGAGTGTATGGTTTGACATTATGAGGAGGGTGTCAGTGAGGTTGTTCATAATGATATTGGGGAGATCTGCGAGTCTATGTGTGCTTTTGTTCATGCAGGGCGCAGGCTGTTACATTTTCCACCTTGGTTGCTATCTAATTACCTGAGTTATCCTTATCTTTATCCATGTCGACCGCCATGATTAGTTCCCAATCCTTGATCTTCGCTCTGCGGATACCGTAGGCTTTGTTTGGCAATCGTAGAGTCATACGTGTTCAGTAACGAGTCCGAGGTTCGGAAGTACTATTTTGCTTGTTCCGCTCTTACTGACCGATGCATGCTATCTGCTGGTACTGTACAACAAAGTTCATGTCAGTGCGGGCTGGTGTGTAGATTGGCTATGATGACACCATCCAGGGACGAAAAGTGTAGTCCTCGATAAAAATTTTTATGCCTTTTCACGCCTCAGGGGATCGCCGTGTCGGCAGTTCTCTGTGTGGTAAGGCGTGTCCAGCCCATCGGATACAGACGCAGCCACAATGGATACCGAGAAAGCCCTCTGGTGTCAATACAGCCAGGTCTTGACGAGTATCTCCATCTCTGATTCCAAAAGGACATTCCAAGCCCGTTTTCGGCACCTACTATTGCAGCCACCAATTTCCACGTGAGGACCGCATCAATCTAACCAAGGAACACCCAACAGTCACGAAGGATATATAGTGGACGCTACCAACAGTTGTGGAGTATTTGAAGTATTCCGTAGAATGTGGACACAACTTACAAGTACCGCTCCTACGATTCTACAATAGCAGCGTGGTTAGGGCTGCTACGGTCTGGCCCGCGAGCACCTCCTGTCAACCAAACTTCGAGAAATCCAGACCTGACATACTCTCCTTAGAATCACTTTTCCTCCTTGCACCTGGGAACTGGTCGAAGGGAGATCATGACACGATCCAATGATGGTCTGGCGGGGAGCCCTCATTCCGAGGTCATCTCAGGGCAGCAGTTACGAGTTCGACACTGACAGTGGCTCAATCTCCCCACATGTGGCGCGTCTCAATAGTTCTCCCGATCTTTCCAGACACGTGGAACGAGCTCGTCAATCGTGACGAAGAAATCTGCTCTGTTTCGAGGCCCAGACGGGTTGAAGGCGTGGGCACGAGAGCGTGTCCGTCAAAATACAAGTCAGGGGAAATGAGACGTTTTTCCTCTTTGGGCCTAGTATTCGCCATAGCAAGCTGTGATTGGCTCGCCCGCTGCCGCACTCTCTGGGACAGCGTGTACAAGCCGCTTGAAAGCAAACTATGTAACCAAATTGCACTCCACCTCGACGGAATCTCTTTGTTTTTTCTCGCTCTGCTAACGTATGCTTCTTCCCAGACTCGGCGAGCATCCAAAGATGTGAGGCCCAGCTGCAGGAGTCAAAGTCGTATGGATTGCCTCCTCACGAGACAATCCATACGACTTTGATCCATCAGCCAGAACTTGGACCGCGCGGCGCTGTTTGTGCGCCACCCGCTGACACCCAACTCCCCATTCAGCCAGCCTTGGGTCCATGCTCGTGTAGGAACCTGTCTGAATTTGGCGTGAAGATGTCTTCTGGACGGACCCTTCCATTCAGTCCAATTCCAACAAGAAGTACGTTAGCGGAGGGTTCAAATTAGGATGCGTGATGAAGGTTATGGCGCAAGGCCCGAGTGCCTCCGCCAGCTCATCCGCTGGTAGGTACAGACTTACGACAAACGTTGTGGCGAGGCCGATCCCCCAGGTGAATATAGCGAACACGTTTCGCTGCCACCATTCTTCCTCCCTTGCTGTGTGCAGTTCTCGACGCCGTCGCTCTCTACCATTCTGTTGTTTTGTCCAGTCACTCGTTCGCCATGCCGTCCTCATCACTCTTTCTGAGGTCGAGCACCACGCTCATTTCTGCTTTGTCTTTGCTTTCAGCGTCCGTTTCGGCGGCGCCAGCTAATACCTACTACGCGTTGGATACTGAATATTCTGGCACCTCCTTCTTCGACGGTTTCAACTTCCAGAACGTACGTGTCCGTCTTCTTGCAAGCAGAGGAGTCAAGCTGATATTTGTCTAGACCGCCGATTACAGCCATGGTTTCGTCACGTACGCCTCTACATATCCATACCTTGGTCTTGTGTACATACTGACAGTTGCCCCAGCTACGGAGATCGAAGCTTTTCTGAATCGAACGGCCTTATCTCTTACGATGGGGGCTCGGTGCAGATGAGAGTGGATTCCACACACACCTACGATGGAAATGCGGATTATTATTTGATTAATGGCGTTGGACGACCGAGTGTGCGCATTCAAAGTGCTAAATCATGGACGCACGGTCTGTTCATCGCCGATATCAAGCACATCCCTACTACCACGACAACCGGTGGATGTAGTGTGTGGCCCGCTTACTGGACTCTGGGTAACGGAGAATGGCCTTACACTGGCGAAATCGACATCATCGAGGGCGCAAACAACCAGGTGGTCAATTTGGGATCGGCCCATACTGGCTACCAATGCACTATTCAACAGAGCCCTTCTCAGATGACCGGAACCCCAGGAGGTAATAATTGCGACTACTTTCTGGGCAATAATCAGTATAATGGTGTTGGTTGCGGTGCTTATGACACCCGCTCGACCAGCTGGGGCGCTGGCTTCAACTCTATCGGCGGTGGTGTGTATGCTACGGAATGGACGTCGGATGCCATCTCGATCTGGTTTTTCCCGCGAGGAAGCATTCCATCTGACATAACTGCTGGCACTCCTGATCCAAGTGGCTGGGGTCTGCCATTCACAATCTTCAACGGTCCAAGCTGCAACATTGATGCCAACTTCGTCGACCACAGCATTGTTTTCGATACCACGTTCTGCGGTAGGCCGTCCCTGATTTGCTAGAGTGAGCTTCGTTGACGTATTACAGGTGACTGGGCTGGTGCTACGTGGAACAGCAGCGGATGTGGTGCATCCTATGGAGGCTCCTGCTCGGTCTTTGTCGGCGACAACCCAAGCCAGTTCGTTGACGCATACTGGGACATCAACTATGTCAAAGTCTTCAAGACCCAGGCTGTGACGACGAGCACAACATCGTCCACGACGTCGACGACTTCCACCACAACGTCCGCGACGTCCACGATTTCCACCACAACGACAACCACGGCCGGTACCACCAGTGCCACCAGTATCACCACTAGTGCTATTCCTTCAAGCACTTCAAGCAGCACTAGCAGCCCAGCTCCTGTCAGCACCACCACCGAAACGACGACGACCACTGCCGCCGGTACCACGACCTTGACCACGACCACGACCACAAGCAACGGCGTCGGACCAATCAGCCAAACAACTACGACCACGGTCTCGTCATGGAGCTTCTTCCCAAACATCTCTACGACAACGACAACTTGGAGCTTCAGCGTCGGCCCGATTAGCGGAAGCACCACGACGACGGTATCGCCCGTGTCGACCGGCAGCGCCACATGGCTTGACTGGGTTGACTCGACGACGACGACAAGCACGCCCGTCACATACTCGACGACGACGGCAGCAGCTGATTCCACGTGGCTTGACTGGCCCGAGACCAGCAGCACGACGACGACGACGTCTTCCTCTGTCGACCCGACCTGGCTTGATTGGACAGCATCGACGACGACGACGACGACGTCCTCGCCCGCGAAGAAACCCACGACCACCACGTCGCTCCCAGCCACATGGGCAGACTGGGACCCAGTCACCATCACGCTGACGCAGACATGGATCGAGCCCTGCGCAACGGGATACGTCACGAAGACGACCACGCTGGTCACGACGCACTGTGGATGCACCGAGACCCCCGTGCCGACCATCCCCGGCAAGACCATCACCATCACCCCCAGCTCCGGATGGCCGGTAAAGACGCCCGTTGTGGTGACCGTGCCAGCCGGCTCGACTTCAGCCGTCCCGGCGAAACCGAAACCTTCCGAACCCGCGGGTTCCATGGTCACCGTCACTGGCCCGGCAGCCGAAACAGGAGCAGCCGCAGGATGGGGCAATGGTGGTGGTGGCGGCGCACCGCCATCTCCCAGCGCGACCGTGGCCGTGACCCTGACCGTCGAAGCGGTACCGTCTGGACCAACCCCGGTCGCTCCGGCCGGTCACACTACCGGCGGCGTCTGGTCTCCCGAGTCGTCGACCACCCAGACGATGCCCTGGGTGGCAACGTACACCGGCGCGGCTGGCCGGTCGAGCGTCGTGAATAGTGCGTTTGGCGTCCTCGCGATTGCAGGAGCGGCGGGTTTGGCCATGGTTGCTTGACTTTTTCCTCCAGGATGAAAGGCTCCAGCAGGGGTTTCGCTTTTGCGATCGATGTGTGTACAGTACCCAAAGTTATAATGAGGCGCGATGGGATGCTCGGTTAGATCTCGTTCTCCCTTCTTTTTTTTTTTTTTGCTCTTCTTCTCTGTTTCACAGACAAGGGGGAACCATGTTCCAGACATCAATCTAACTTGTTACTTGATATTCTTGCCTACCTGTGGACAATATATCTATGAAGCGTGCTTGCTCTTTTTTCTTCATGATACCCAGTTGTTGACGTCCATTTCATAGAGTATCTTTGAGAACATGACGACCAACCAGGTGTCGACTTTCTCCCGTTGCATTGTCTCTTTTTCGTACTTGGAAAGACGACGAAGTCGAAGAAGCCTTCTTCTGTTTCCCCTCTCCAGTGCTATTCATATAAGTACACACGGTAGGATTCTTGTCTACTTCTTTTTCGACGTCGGTTGTAGCTTTTGTTCTTCTATTCTACTATGAATCGAGACACCTTTCTTAGGTGCGTGCCCCCTTCTTTTTGTCCTCTTAAAAAGAAAGAGACGTCCATAGCCTTAACAAAGATAGTAAGTAGTTCGAGCCATCTCGTCTCTCTCACCACTCGTTCCAACAAGAACTCCTCTCATCACTCATTGATAAGGTAAACAATCGACAATCAACTCCTGAATGAGATATTTCCTCAACGCTCCAACTCCAACCCGAAGCCCGAAAGGAAACCAGTCCCCAAAACCCAACCAGCTTCATCAAGGTCGTCAAACGTTCTTAGTCGAACTCAATACGATGAGATATCAGGTTCCTTTACACAAACACACGCTGATTCGCTCATTTCCCACGCACGCACATACCCAAATTCCACGAGCTCAAACAACGCAAGACTTTTTGTCATTTGTTCTTCCTCGCATCCCATCCACTATTATGTAGTGATCGACGGACACCAAGAGTATAGGTACGATTCCCGTTCCGCTGCTGGATAGAAGACATGCTAGTACTGTGCATCGTGGTCACGGGCCGCATCAAGACGTGGTTCGTTAAAGGCGTTGATGAAACTGGGGGCTTTAGCTCACTTTCTTTGGTCCGGGCAGGCATTCGATTCTCTTGCCCTTGGTCACAGTGGTTACCATTGCGCTCAAGATGCTTGACCTCGAGTTCTGGTGGCAGCGGAGGCGACGACAAACCGGAAGAGGAGCCATATATATTGGCATACCGACTTGTGGCATTTTTGTTTGTCTTGTTCAGTGCCGGGGGCCGCTTGCTTGTGAATGGAGCGCCAGTGGTCAATTTATGTGAAGCGAGTTCCAGTGGAATATCCGCCTGTCTAGATGGTACTTCCACCGGACGTTGACCTGCCATGGGCTGAATTGCAGACTTTTTGACAGGCCGCCGCTCTTCGACTGGTTGCACTGGTTTTCGAGCGGGAACTATCTGCGTGGCAGAAACGGTTTGGTCTGCCGGCTTCGGAAAGAAAGCAGCAATGTTCCCCTGCGCTGATGCTGATCTCGATAGCTTTGGTTTCTTCGATTGCGGAAGGCCTTCCGAAGATAGTCTCTTTAGCTCGGGTGGCTGCGTTCTGAGGTGTTCACTCGCCGTTGTGAACCCGCCCAAGGTCATATTCGAAGTGGAGAAGGAGCTAACATCGTTCATGGTAGTGTTGAATCCCCGTCCGTTCGAATTGCCAGAGCTCGAGTTATGGGAATACAATTCTCTTCTGGCTGCAGCAACAGCCTCAGCCAGTGGCTTGCCGAACTCTGGGGTTGCTTGAGCTCCTGAAGGCAACATGGCCACAGGACGGCGACTGCCATCTGTGGGCCAAACATCATCCGAGAGACTTTCATTGGGTTTCAAACTTTGTAGGCCTTTCACTAGTGCCTCTTGACTGGGCTTTGGACGACGAAGAATACTGGCAATAGACTCGATGATCCTATCGCTGAAAAGTGGCCCGGCCTCAGCCAGGTGATGTTGGATCTGCGGTGGAAGAAACTGTGTCAACACAGAGTCGCCCTGATCTCTGGACTGTGTCAAAGGAAACGACAGTGTCAGAAGAGCTTGAGCCCGTGTCATGGCAACATAGAGCAAACGTCGTTCCTCATCGTTATCTTCCGCACGTGAATGTGGTATGGACCCTTCATAGACAGCGGGTATGAAGACCACCGGCCACTCGAGGCCTTTAGCAGAATGGATGGTCGAAATAGTTACGCGGGGTTTGTCTTTGCCTTCTTCCGAATTGTCCGTGTCCGTAGATAACACAATGTTAGCTAGGAATTGTGTAAGCACTTCTTGGCCACCCTCGGAAACTTGCTGTTCGATGCCGTCGACCTGTGCAAGCGCTTCCTCAGAAGGGTGCAGCAACACCTCCGAGGCGTGTGTGATGAGTTCTTTGATGTTTTCCAAACGATCTTCATGGTCATCCTTGTACTTTTTCTTGATGTAATCTTCCAGATCTATCGACTTGATCACCACATCAATCAATTTGCTGGGAACCGTGGCGGGCATCATGCTCTCCATTTTCTGTCTTGCGTTCTTAATCAAAACCATCAAGCGTCCGAGTTCCTGCTCGGCAGGCTTCGACAGCTTCTTTTCCGGCGTAATATCCCCGGCAAGGACTCCTTGAACTACGGCCCACAAAGACATTTTCCGCTGCTCTCCAATTTTCATGAATTCGGCGAGTGTGGTCTCTCCTATTTTCCTTGAGGGCACGTTGATGATCGAGACAAGAGCTTGATTGTTATCAGGGTGGTTGATAGTCCGAAGGTAATCAATAATGATTCTAATTTCAACACGGTCAAAGAAGCGTTGCCCTCCGACCATTCGATAAGGAATTCCAGCACCACTCAGAGCTCTTTCGATAAGCAGAGACAAATACGCGGATCGAAGTAGAATAGCAAAATCCGAATATGACAAAAGGTCGCCGGTCATTGTCGCCATTCTCTTAATCTCACTGGCAATCCAGAGACCTTCCTCGTTTGGGTTTGGTAGTTTGCGTAGAACAGGCTGAGTACCACGACAATGTGTTGCCTTGAGCCGCTTTTGCGGCCGATTTGTGTCTTGCTCGATGACGCTTTGTGCAAGCTCCAAGACAGCGGACGCTGAACGATAGTTTTCTTCCAGATTTATCACCACAGTTTCTGGGTAGAAGGCTTTCATGCGTCGAAGGTTCTCAATTTCGGCAGCCCGAAAGCCGTATATGCTCTGGTCAGGATCTCCGACGATGGTAATCCTTCTTGCAGCATTCGCTAATAGTTTCATCAACTCAAACTGCACCACGTTCGTATCTTGAAATTCGTCAATTAACAAAGCTTCTACATTGCTGACACAACCGGGAAAGGCTCGAAGTAGGTCGACACATCGTACGAGCAAATCGTCATAGTCCAAAAGCTTTGAAGTTGCAAGCGCGGCCTCATACTCGTGAAAAGCCGTTATGAATTCTTGTCTCTCCACCTTTTTCTGCGGTGTCTTTGGCAGGTCTTCCAACTTTTTGCCCTTGGCCTTGTGACTCGAGATCATTCCCCGGGCAGCCTTCGGTTCGATCGATAGTTTCAGACGCTTGGTGATGCGTTTGATTATACTCTGACTGTCAGAGGAATCCGCAATCCCGAACCCCTTGGGTACGCCGATGAGGTGTCCATACGCGACAAGGTATCGGCGACAAATGGAGTGAAACGTGCCCAAGACCAACTTTGCTTCGAGCTCACTCCCAATCAGACTCCTGAGTCTCTCGCGCATCTCCCGGCTGGCCTTGATGGTAAAGGTACAGCAAATAACATTCTGAGGGTTGAGGCCTTCATTGGCAATCAGGTTCGCGACTCTGCATGTGAGGGTCTTGGTTTTGCCTGACCCGGGAGGGGCAAGGACTTGCAGTACTGTCGCTTTGGACGTGACTGCAGCCCTTTGAGCAGGATTCAGCCCACTCAAGAGCTGCGTGTCCATTGCGGCTGTTTGGTCGAGTCGAACCAAGACGTGGTTGAAGCATTCGGAACGCGATGCGAGCGCGACGAGACTCCGCGCGCGGATCTCGCGAGATCACGTGATACGGAATCCTCCCTCTCAACGTCCAATGCCTTGTCGGTCGTTCCTTTCCTACGCAGCAGAAACCATCCCTGACATAAGGTGTACAGCCGAGGGTGCTGTTTAGATATGGAGATAGCAGGTTCTCTTGAACTTGTAAACAGCCATATTCGATATTTGCATGAGCTTGAGCCTCATCTGCGGCCCGGGGACAACAATCTGCTATGGTAGCAGGCACTCCAGAAGGCAGATAATGGGAATGGAGTCGCACAAGGAGAGCACTCGACCAGCAGATTTTGAGACTGATGACTCAGTTACAGAGAGAAGCTTTTCACCTATCCATGGATGGGGTCCTCGTAGTTCTTCAGTCTGCACCAAATATCAATGTCAGGTCCTCATGGATCCACTCTACTTTTGGCTCGCCAACGACGAGAATAGATGAGATATAGACCCCCATCGAAGTATTATATGGAAATGTGTTAATAGGACCGGTAGCAGCTGCTGACGGGCTGTTTTGTGGACCACTGCCAATGCCCAACTTGTACAGTTTTCTCTAGCTGAGGCGTAAAGAGAGGGCGGCTGAGGACCTGGACATCGATCTTAGGAACCGGTATACCTTGCTAGACAGTGTATGTACCATGAAAGGGGGAAATCTAAAGGCCCGCGTAGATATGACTCTCTCCATTTATGGACATGTAAAACTTTGTCTTCGAACTGAGGACCTGCCGAGTCCATTCTTGAGGACTGACTGTTGGCTATAAAGGCGTCCTCTGTTACCATCTTTGCTCGATCTCGAAACGACTTTTCTTAACACAGTACGACCGCCTTCAGCAGAAGTAAGCATTCCTACTTCTTAGACTTGACGACCTTCTCACCTTGACCAGACGCCACCACAACAGCGCTCGACACACATCAAACCTACAACACCATCTCTTGCACCCGACACACTTCAGACATACAACACCACCTCTTGCACTCGACACACACCACACACACACAGCCATCAACAACATTTGTACCTGACACTCTCTATCGACACAATGGCCAGCACTCAGAAGACCCTTATGACGCCACCACCAAAGCAACATAAGTTGCTCCCGATGGCCGCCGCCAGCACAACAACGCCAGCACCAAAGCTGGCCAGAAAGACCCGACCACCACCATCATTGTTCGTCAAGGACAAGAAGAAGCCCGCCAACGCTCAGATTGGGATCTTTGACAAGCCCAACCAATCCGACTTGGAGCGGGGGTTCATCGAAGGAGGTCCAGTGACCTCAATTGAGAGGCCCTACTTGGTACTTCTTGAGTGCCGAAGGGGCTTCACCAAGAAGGACATGGTGCTTGGCTTGAAGACTCGACCGAAGGCGACCATTATACCAATCGCCAAAGACGCCAAGACCATCAGCCAGGAGGGAAGGATGAAGGAGCTTCTTGCCATCACAAAGGCAGAGAAGGAGCAACGAGAGGGGGGGAAGAAGAGAAGGAGGGAGGAGGAGGAGGACGTCAAAAAGGAGGCTGGGAAGCAGCAGGGAAGGCCGAAGAAGTTGTTCAAGGCCAGGAAGTGAGGGAGGGGGTCATTCTTTGTACAGGGCGAAAGGGTGAGAGGAGGACCAAAGCACCGACTGAATTCATGGTCAATTTGCTTGTTTGACAGACTCGAAGTTGGAAAGTTGAGGAGTTTGGGATATTTGGTTGGGATTGGGATTTTGTTTTGGGAGTCACTGTCGAACATTGTTGATTGTTTTGACATTCACTGTGAAGGAAGAGTATGTTGATTTCTGGAAAGGGGAGGAGGACAATACCACAATGCAAGAAAAGACATTGAAACCTCCAAAGATGCCCTCTCATTCTTTACGCAGTGTAACCTTTTTCTCGTAGCTGTCTCGATGTCCGTATGAATTGCGAGTTGGCTCAAGTCGCCGCTGCTTGAAGGTCGACTGACAATAGGTGGGCTGGTACTGCCTGTTGATATTGTTGTTATTCACCAACAACTTCTAGTGCATGCATCACTGCCATTCTCAATGGCGTGAATAGGAGAAAGACTGGAGATCCCGAGCCTCGCTCGCCCTCTTGTTGTTGTGTTTTGGCAAATCCATCGCTTCTCACAACAACCCTTCATTTTCCCATCAAGACAACTCCTCATCTCCTTTGTGCCTGATCAGATCAAGTGAACAGTTTGCAAGGTTCACCAGGAACATCGTGTGTCATTCTTGACAGTAGACTCACACGTCCTCACTGTCCAATCCTACCTGTTCACAGGGCTTCACACAAGAAGACAGCTCATATAGCTTTTACCGAGAAAGCTTTCCCGTCGACAAATTACCTTCCAAAATGCAACCTTCAACAGAAGAGTTTGGGATGTCTCTCTACGAGCGAACTCAAAAGGCAAAGAAGGATTTGCACAAGCGAAATATGGCCGAGCATCTTGCAATAGCCACCACTTACGTAAGAAACCCCCCAGATACCGATGTTCTGCGGTTGTCGTTCGTTTCTCCTTCTCTTCTGGAGCCTTCTGATGATTTGCAGCTTTGGCAAGTTCACTTGGCCAATACCAATGGCGGTCACCAACCTGAGCCGCTCGAGGGGACGTACCGTTCCGCCGTCGACATGTTGAAATTCGACATTGAGCATGGTGGCAAGACCATTCGAGAATTGTATCACAAGAATGTTTTGAAGAACAAGCCCTCCCGCAAACCAAAGAGCTCCAAGGCCAAGAGCAAGGTCTCAAAAGAGCAAGCTCGCAAGGAATACCTAGCACAACTGAAGCTCGAAGCAGAGGCACGACTGGATGCTCGGTTGACCAAAAACACCATCCAGGAGATTGATCGAATCAATGAGCGTCGCAACAGCGATGGCGCAAGAACTCTGACCCTGAAGAGAAAGCTCTCGAGCGAATCTCTTAACAGCTCCGACAGCATAAAAAGACAGCGCACTGGCAGTATCCAACCCATCACCAATATGAACAAGCCGGATCATGAAGGCGAAACCAAGCGGCAGAAGTCGGATACTCCAGAGAAGGTCGCTGTAGCAGCACCAAACGACACTCAGGTAGGATCGAGAAAGCATTGTAGAAGCTCCGTGGTGCTAACCCGTCATAGGTCGTTGGAGGGGACAAGAGCAACATCCACAAGCAGCCTTCTCCGATTAAGGCGGCCGCTCCTGCCAACAAACGAAAGAGAGTAAGCATAAGCGGCTGAAAGCAGACCAACAGAAACACATACTGACCTCAAGACAGACATATGATGACTATGACGACAATGAGAACGGAGAACCCGCCAGGAACAACGTTCCAGCTCCCAAACGCATTCGTGGTGACCACAACGGGAGGTTGAAGGCTGTCAAAACACCTCTTGCAAAGCAGTCAGAGACTCCCTCGGCTATATCGGGAGCTGTAGAGCCATTTGCAACCGGTGTGCCCAACAAGCTTACGACTCCGACCGCAGTCGCAAAGCCTGGACCTAGCAACACCGCTCCAAAGCCCAAATCGACCGGCACGCTGGCTTCTGACCAGGAGGGGCACAAGACTGGCGATAACTTTGTGTTGAAGGGAGGCGATCAACTTCGCAACAAGTACAAAAAGAAGCCGCTGCCACCGATGATGACGAAGATAGGCAGTGTCCCAAAGGTTTACAAGCCAGTCTTCAAGTCCAAGAAGCTGTTAGGACTTGGGGACGCAACGCCGCCTCCATCTCCTTAGATGGATGAAGGGTGAACAACTTGGCGTCCTTGTCAATCCAGCATGAAAACGACTTACAATCGACAGACACCCACACTTGAAGGGCCGTTAGCAGGCTTGCTTCATACGCCTTGTGTTTCCTGTACGAGTTCACAACAACTTTGCTTCTTGACTGCAATCTTGTGCACAGGGCGACCATCGTCGACGCGTCCAACCGAGCTTGGTGTTGAGGTCTTTGAGCACCGCAAAGTTGCTGTTTCCAATATCGATCGTTTTGAAGCTGATGGGCCCCATACGTCGACCTAGCAGCTTGATACCAGTTCGCACCCGGAGCCAACGACCGATGCTTTGCCAAACTTGACCTTGAATAACCCGCCGTCAACAACTGGAGGAATCTGGGAAGGACAGAATTCGGAGCCTCAGCGAGGCCAGGGCAGGAGTGGAGGGATCTTGAGGTACAGATCGTCCTCAGTTTGGAATGAAAGGGGATGGAGAGACTGAAATCGAGAATGAGACAGGAAGGGAATTGCACCAAGCATGATTGAGCGCAGTGGCTCTCAGCCTCGAGGTTTTACGCAGGAATGAGGAATAGGGAATGGCAGGAAAGGGACTTAGCATTGCAAGGAGGTGAGGTTTGCAGGCACAAGTTAGATGGCAGGTCGTAGTGTGGGCGGTGCTCAGGCATCAGAATTTTATACCTTGAGGATCGAGAGATGTTGGTCTTGATTTCTGGAACGTTGTCACGTTCATCAGAACAGAGAAATAACTGACCTAGCAATTGACAAAGAGAAGGTGAGGTGATCGAGATTTTGGTGATATATGGGGAGAGCGTTGATGCTAGATAGGCCCTGTTTAAAGTGCTTGAGGATAACTGCTACAGCTATTGTAGGCACAGATGTAGCTAAAGAGCATCATCTCTAGCAAGGTCCAAGGCGCTGCCACAGCACTTAGGCACATACTGTACCTAAGGTAGGCCAGTAGGCTACTTAGTTAGGAAGCTGGAGGAGTGAGTTAGGTAAAGACCATCAAGCATATCGATCGCCCCTCCATTGATTGCACGAATAAGCCAGCTTGAGCCTAACTAACTAGTGAGCCCCAGCTCGATCCCCAAAGTCGCTTAACGCGCGTGCTGTACATTCAACATTGCCATCCTTACGTTCCCGGCTTGATTGTAGCGACTTACAAGCAAACCACAAGTTCAAATCCCCTGCAACCCACAGACTGTCCTGCTGCTACCTTTGGCAGTTCTCCTCTCTCTCTCCCCGAGGAACATATCGACGGCGCTGCGCACCGCCATGAAGCTCCTCGCCCCTCTCCTCGCCGCGGCGCTGTCCTTCACCCATCTCGCATCCGCGACTGGCCTTGAGATCGATTACCTCACACCGGCCATTGAATGTTCCCGCAAGACCAAGAAGGGAGACAACATTGAAGTACATTACCGCGGCTCACTTCAGGAGTCGGGGAAGGAGTTTGACTCGAGTTACTCGCGAGGAAGCCCTCTACCGTTCCAGCTTGGTGCTGGACGGGTGATCAAAGGGTATGTTTTGTCCCTTTCCCCGTCTTCTGTCACATTTGTATCTGTGGGCGTGCGAGGCAACACCGTGGTGAGGCCCGGTGTACGTACGGCGCACCCTACAGGGAGAGGAAGATGATGACGAAAGCCATTTGTTAACCAGACTTTGCTGGATAGTTGGGACGAGGGACTCGTTGACATGTGCATTGGCGAGAAGCGGCGGTTGACCATCCCCCCAGACATGGGCTATGGTGCGAGAGCAGTCGGGCCTATCCCCGGAAACAGCGTTTTGGTCTTTGAGACCGAGTTGATGGGGATCAAAGGTGTCAAGAAGGATGAACTTTGAGTAGTTGCGCTGTAAGAAGCGGTCAAGACCCCCCCCCGGAGCCCGGATGGTGCATGGCTTTACGGAAAAGAAGAACAAATTTGGGGGAAATGCCATGACAACACGATGTGCATGGGCAAGAGCTCTGGGTATAGACACTTTCAAAAAAGAGAGCAGGCAATCTACGCTGATACATTCGTACAATCTAGCTGTATCTTCGGGCATGGCTGTTTCATCACCGGTCATTCTAAAGGGGGTATCATAGTCTAGCTTGTTCGTCTTGAGTCCAAATGGCGATCTGTCCGACGCCAGTATGCATCTTCAGTCCATATCATCAAGACCGCCACTCTTTGAGTCTGCCATCTCCTCGTCGTTCACGAGAATGCCCACCATACACTCGCTCAGCATGCCATCCCAGTTGACCCAAGGATGCACCTCCATGAACAACTTGTCTGATGATTTGCCGGAACCCCGCAGGATCTCGCCTTTGCCTCCGGGATGGAATGGCACGTATGGTGTTATATTGTACACTTTACCCTGGTATACGGTCCACGCGTCTCTTCCTTTCCGCCCGTTTTGCTGTTTCAACTGCGCAGGTGTTACCCGAATCAAATTGTCAGGAGCATCTTTTCCGCGCAGCTGACTATTCGGGTTCGAGGTCAACGCGGCCCAGTCGAGCGGCGAGTGGCCCGGCTCGAGGATGACCTTGCGCGAGACTTGCTTTCCTGGAGGCATGATTGAGGATGTAGGTGCCATGGAGGTATTGGGGAGTAGTTTCGTGACGGGGACACGCAGAGACGACGCAGCGGAGGGAGGAGGTCGCAGAGCCCCGTTTCCAGGCCGTGGAGGGGCTGCCATGTTGCTGAAGGTCGGAGGTTTGAGGCGAGGTGGACTGGCAGGTCTCGGCACTGTTGTTTTCTGTCCATCCACCGTAGGCATTTTGACTACGGTATGCGTGTCTTTGAGGCTCGTTGACTGGTTGGTAGAGGCGCTTGAAACAGCAGGCACGGTCACTTTTTCTGTTTCCTCCTGGACCATCTCCGCCGCAAGGGTGATCGGAGGGGTTACAGTAGAGATGAGCGGTGCTGGAGTGGATTTCTTTTCCGTAATGTCATCTATGCCCTGCTTTCGGCTGTAGGAAAGAAAGTGATAGAGAATGAGGCTGGCAAGGAGGGTGGTGCAACATGCGACAATCCACGCCATCAGATACCGCGTATGGAATGAATGAAAAAGGGAGTGTATCTCATCTCGTCTTGTAACCGTTAAACGCGGACCATAACAATCGTACAAGGCTATGGGGTCATGTTGTTGGACAAGACAGTGGTTCAAGCATCTGAAGACAGAGTCATCGAGGGACCAGAAGCATATGCCCGGAAAAACATCGGGATAAATGATCCGAGGCGGTGGTGATAAGGCTGACCACCCCTTAAGCCCTCGCTGAATTGTTGTCCATGTCACTGCACGGAAAAGCGTCTACATGTTGACGCTCTGATCGAGCCTCGTGGTGTGGTGAGAATGTATCAGCTTGAGCGGACAGACTCATGAGAACAACGAGAGGAAGCTGGTTGGTATTGAGAGGATGCACCCGGGCCGGCAAACGGATAATTTACAGGCGCCTCCTCATCACGTTTTCTGCCACCCACGGCGTCCTGCCAGGCGGTCGCTTCTTCTCACTGTCTTCTCAGAGTTTGGGTCGTCAAATACAACCAAGGCAGCTTGAGAGTGGAGGCCGAGATTCCAAGACCCGTGGGCGAACCTACGCGGCCAAATTGTCAGGCTAAAAAAGGCAACTGGAGGCTGCGGCGATTGCTTATGCCTAATAAGTTTGGGCTCGATGGGCTGTCGCAGTTCTCGTGCAGAGTCACCGAACTTGACATGCATATTGATGTCCTGTGCGGAGTGATATCTTCCTGCTGTCCTCATTCCGGGCCACTGACCTACAGTCAGGCGCTCGCTTGGCCTGTCTCGTTCTGTGCTCGGCCTCAGCTGGATGGTTGTTTCGGGTGGTTCGTGCAGACCATTCGTGCTCGGGACAATTGGCTGCTCAGGGAGTTCTTCATCGACAACGCATATCTCACAGATGCCACTGTAGACGCAGATTTCTGCATTGCATTGCCGACCTTCGTCTGCGAGCGTGTCACATGAGGCTCTCCGGTGTATTACTTGTATGGAGTCCCAGTCCGGTGCATAAGGTAACATTATCTTCCGGCACCCATTGACGCCCTCATGCGACACTTGCTGATGCCCAAACACATAACCAGCGTAAGGTTGTCGATTCAACCACTAATCCATTCATTCACAAATCCCTCGTTTCCTCTGACCGGCTCCTCACTCCAAACATTCCTGGCTGCTCGAGTCCTCGTACTGTCCTGTCTGAGCATTGACATATTCACCCACTCTGCCACCTCCTCCGTCACCAATAATAGCCCATGCTGGGGACCAAGGATCAAGCACAAGCGAGCCGCCTTGGTGTCTCCTTCAAACTCCAACTAATCACCGTCTGGCGTGCCCATCTCGATCGGGGATTCCGTGGTCAAGCTCGCATCATCCGTCTGGATTACAGACCCAACCTTACTTTCACTACCGTCTTCCACTCACTCTCCATCACAACCACTCCTGCACCATCAACATTGCACTGTGTTCTTCTTGAAGCGGGGTGACACTGTGGCTGCTCCCTCCTGATATCGATAGTAGTAGCCTGGGTTGTTCCTCCTGGCACGGCCTGGTTGATTTCGGCAGTTCATCATTGCCTTGCCCGCATCCGCAACTCAAAGAGTCGAGACAGTGAACCTCTTCTGATCAAACTCTTGGATTCAACACCGCAGTTTCCGAGGGAACAACCCATTACTGTTATTTTTACGCCCTTCACGCCAAAGCGGCAATTCGCGAAAACCGAGTTCGCTGCCGAGGGGTTTCATGGAACAACTGAGACATTTCCAGCGATAAGTCAAACTATCACCTCCGCTCAATAATGGCCTCACCACCGTTTTACGATGATATAAGCCCCTCGGGTTCGCAAGACCGATCTGACAGAGAAAATTCTTCTCACAAACGTCGACGGCTCACTGCAGAGGCCAGTCCTCCTAGGATGGCCATGAATGACCCGTATCATGCGACGAACCCAGGGGGCCAGCCCGAGGTCTTTTTTCAACCTGCATATGTCCTACCTGTAACTGATGGCTTCTCAAACATGCCGGGAGATGGATACTGGCCAGATCAAGCAGCACTCGAATATCTTGTTACCAATTCAGGACCAACCTTCGTCCACCATGCCAGAAACCTACACGCTCCAACATTCCCGACGAATCCCGCTGGCAACGAGCCTCTACCTCCGCCGCAAGCCTTGATGAGTCACCATCCTATACCACTGCCCTCGGGAAGATCAGTAGATATGTTTTCGTTAGGAATGCATCTTCCAGACGATTTCTTCCGAAAGCAGTTTCACCTCGCGGGGCCTCCTGCCAGACCAACGTTCCGATACCTGAGCGAAAACGAGATGAGGGCCCCTGTCGCCACAGCAAGCCATCCTGCTCCTCTTCCTCCAAATCCGAACACAAGTACTCCAAGCCAGATGGTTCCACTGCCACATAGACGAACAGCATCAGCATCAGCGACCACTCCCGCGAACAACAAGAATATGGTCAAATTGGTTCTTAGCCGTGCAACAAGCGAGAGCATCGAAAAACTTGACGAGCTCAAGAGAGAATGCCCAGCATGTCAACTTGACTTCGAACCGGACAACTTCATGGCCACTATAAGCTGCTGCGGGACAGTGATGCATGCCACCTGCCTATCAGCTTGGGTCAATTCTCAGACTTATCAAAAAAGTCGAACGTGCATGAAGTGTCGAAAATCGATTGATGCCAGGCGTCCGTTGAACACTGTGGTGCCACCAGTGAGCGACAAGAGCTGGGACGATGGAGCCGACTTGAATGCACCAGAAAGCTTGAAGGGCGACACACAGATCGAATTGAATATCACCGGCCGATCTGTACGCTCGGGCTACCGACACATCCGAGGAGCTTCAGGCTATTTGCCACAATATCGAGCTATGCGTGGTGCCCCGGTGCCTTCGCTAGATCAAGCTATGGTCGAGGAAACCCGCCGTGCGATAGACCGAGCCAGAAACGAGTACGTTGTTGAAATGGAGGCTATGAAGGGCAACATCAGGGCGTGTCACGAAGTACGGAGAAAAGCCGCCGACGACGAACGGACCGCCGCACGCACTCTCCTCGAAGCACAAGCCGCCCGTGGCCGTGGTGTCAGCGTCGACATTGTCCCTCTGGCCCAGAGGTGGGAGTTGACCAAGGCCGCCAAGGGCGCTGCCGAGGAACGATTCTGTAAACTCCAGCGTGACATGGAATTTTTGCAGAGAAGTCAGTTTAATCGATTGACTGGCTTGGCTGAAGCGGCTTGGGCCGAAAGTGCTCGACAAGGAGGACGAGAACGAGGATACGGAGATGAAGAGGTGGCTCGACACAGAGAGGAAGAGGTGGCTCGACATAGAGAGGAAGAGGTGGCTCGAAGCGTCGCTTCGTCCGCATCCGCATACAGTAGTGGAGGGACGACTTCTAGGACGTCTACTTCGCCTTGAAAGAAGCATTTGAAATGAACTTACAACCACTCGGCACTTCACCTTCACGCGGCTTCGAGAAGGCATCCTAGACACGACAGACTTGGTAATTTGTCAACAAGAAGGTGCGGAGTGAGAATGCATCATTCAAGACGAGTAACATGAACAGAAGCGAGGCCACAAGAACAAGAACAACAACACATCCTTAATGGTTCACCTAGATTACCGGCGAATCAATCAGGGAGGGAGAGGGAGCAAGGGAGGGAGATTGAAATCAACGTTTACGAAGCAATCTTCACCCATCCACCCAACCACCCACACACACACACACACACACACACACACACACACACAGAGCCACCACCACCACAACACACGATACACCAACGACACAATGCCATAACGACTTCTTTTGCTGGTTTTTTTTTTGCTTTTTCGTTGTCCTCGTCCTTCTTCACACGACTGGGGAAAGAACCCCATCGTTACGCATGATTCACCACTTCACCACACCTGCACATTTTCCTCCCCCCCCTCTTTTAGTTCTCAACGACTCGCGGGCGTTTGGTTCAAGCTCAGGTATCTTCTCTTATGTTTGAGGGCGTTCAGGACAGGCAGGCAATGGTGCAATCACGGTGCAATTGGGACTTGGGAAACCCTGGGAGGTGGGGGGGGGGTGGGCCTCATGATCGAATGTACTGAACTGAATCCAGTGCAACGGTGGTTCCAGGGGAGGCTTGCATTGTTGGACCTACCTCTACCTCTGCACCTATGTGGGGAGGAACCTACCCTAGGGAAGGTCTGAGTACCGTACGGAGTAATTAATACCTACACAGTACCTAGGTACTTACTAGGTACCTCCCTTGGGTAGATTCTGGTGGTGTCAGGTACTTTGGGCGACGTAGGTAGCCTACGGTACATTGGAGCAGGTACGCCCAAGTCAAGCAGGATGGCTTCCTTTTTTCTCTGGTTTCTGTCACTTGGACCAAAGTTGAGCGACGTATGTAAGCTGAGACAAGGCATGGCAAGACACGGCAAGGGTCGGGGAGCCTCTGCAGCATCAGCATCATCATCAAAGGTATCTATGTATCTTAGGCACGAATGAAGGAATGAAGAAATGAATGAACGAATTGTTTTGATGTTTTGATTTTTCTTTTTCCATCCAAGAATCTGCTTCGGTCGGCATGACCATTCTACAGCCTCCAAACACTATCTTGCAGCCAACATCTAGACATTTACAGGAATCCGCTTCAACACGGGGTGACGAAACGGTGTCGAAACATGACGCGCGCGCGAGAGAGGGAGAGAGGTAATCCAGAAAATTTCTCTCGACGCTTTGTTTCTCTCTGTCTTGAGAGACCATGAACAAAGAAAAAAAAAGATCTCAGGGTTTCGAGACGGCGAAAGGTATCATAACCTCGTCGCATTGTCGTCTTGGTCGTCTTTCGGTGAAACATGTACATTGTTGTCATTTTCCGGTTCTCGGTTCTGATAAACAAAAGGACAGAGCGAAGGAGAGGGTACAGAGTGGACGAAATAGACACGTCGTCATCCCTTCACGTTAGTGGTGTACTTTGGAGGAAGTGGCCCTGCGAAGAAGGAGAAAGAGAAGACCACATGGTATATATGTTTTGCCGTTGCTGGGGTTGTCGTTGGTGCTGTGATTGTTGATTCGGTTGTACCAGAGACAAAGCCTCGTCCCATTGAGATTGCTTTTGCACCTCGTAGTTCCACACAGGTGAGGCCGTCGTCATCATCGGTGTTGCAATACCACTACTGCTCCTGCTGTTGCTGCTGCTGCTGCTGCTGGTATTGGAGAGGTCTTGTGACTTTGCTGCTGCAACTCTACTCGTCAGCACCAGATTGCATGGGCCAAAGATAGATACTCGGGTGCTTTCTCACCGAAGAAGGATTCGAGAGTCCTCTGGTTCCGCTGAGGAGATTGTGGCAGCTCGGTATCGGCTCCGTCTGTCATGTCGACGTCTCCATTTTCTTCTTCTTGATCGAAGTCATCTTGCTCGTGCAAATCGACCACCTCGGAAATGGGCAGGGCCTCGTCGAGGTGCAGTCGTTGTGCGTCGTATAGTTTCCTCAGCGTGTTTTCGTGGATGATCTCCTCCTCTGGTCTGTTGTCACGGTACCGCTTTCGCGTCCGGCTGCTGAGATATGGTACTGCTTCGATCTTCCAGAAATCGTAGGGCGTGCCGGTGTTGTTGCGCGAATCGTGCGTGGGAGAGACTGTGGTCGTGGACGCGGGAGAGGAATACGTCAACGACGGCGCGACGGGGCTGCTCTGGTGTTGTTCTTGCAATTGGTAGATGGACTCTTCGAGAACCGAAGCTTTCCGTTTGAGACCCATGGCTTCCTAGGTTTGAATTTGCGCTTTGCTGTGGCCGAGAAACAAAAGGACATCAAGGTGTGTGTACAGGTAGAGTGCCCGGGAGCGAGAATGACGCGTGGAGGGATTATTACTCCGTACCGTGTCAGTACTAACTAGTTAACTACTCTACGCGTCCCCCGCCGAGAAGGCTGGGAAAGTCAGCCTCGCGCAGAAAGTTACAGACGGCGAGAAAGAGTGGAGTGAAGACCGGTCACAGACTCAGCATACGAACGTAGATTGATACAATAGATGCCCAAAGAGTAGTATCATTATCACCTGTCTCTCATGACTTGAAGACGAGATCAACGTAGGGTAACGAGAACAATGACAATGAGGCGAGGCGACGAGGCGAGGCTGATCCCCGCGGCACCTTGATTCCCCCTCACATGCTCCGGCTGGTGAAGCCCGGAGAGTTCACCCTCCCAACGTACGGTAGTATGTACCGTAGCGCCGCAGTCATACGCTCTGGTGAGAGATTTGCAAAACAGAAGCCAGAGTCTCTAGCCCAAACACTTTGCCGTCTTCGTACCTGGATTTGTCGGGAGGCAATTGCCGTCACCGACAATGTCCGTCAGAGAAGCCACCCACGCAGGCTCGTGGTACTCTGATAACGGACGACAACTAGCTGCACAATTGGATTCATGGCTGTCGAAAGTACCAGAGAAAGAGGTCCTACCCGGAGTTGACAAACTACCCTTACCAGGTGCCAGGGCGGTCATCTCACCTCACGCAGGATACGCCTATTCAGGTCCTGCGGCGGCATGGGCGTACAAATGTCTCGACTTATCTCAAGCAAAGCGAATCTTCGTCTTACATCCCTCACATCACCATCACCTCAGTACAGCCGCGCTACCCGTTGTCGAAGCCTACGAGACGCCCCTGTCCGACCGACCTCTCCCTCTAGACCTCGAAACCCTGAAAGAACTGTCCTCCCTCTCAGCCACGGCCAATGGACGAACGGTCAAGTTCACGACCATGTCCCAACCGGTCGACGAAGCCGAGCACAGTGCGGAAATGCAACTGCCATACATCCACCGTCTTCTACAAAAGCTCTATCCGAACCAGCCCGAGTCGTCGTATCCTCCTCTCGTCCCCATCATGGTCGGCGGCACCAACCCTGCGACTGAAGCAGCGCTAGGCAAGATGTTGGCCCCGTACATCGCGGACGAGAAGAACGCCTTTGTCATCTCCTCGGACTTTTGCCATTGGGGGAGCAGATTCGGCTATACGTACTACCTCCCTGACGCCCCCAGCCCTGCCATGTCACCGTTGATGTTGCCGAATGGGGTGCGCGGAGAGTACACGTCTGCAAAACAGTCCGTGAATGAAGATGTTCACAAGATGCCCACGTTGGGTCAAGGTCAGCAACTGAGGAGCGGGAGCAAAATCCCCCACGGTGGTCCCCAGATCTACGAGAGTATCGCCCACGCAGACAGAGCGTGTATGTGTGCGATTGCGACAGGAAAACATGGAGAATTTTTGCGGGTTTTACGCGAAACCGGAAACACCGTCTGTGGCAGACATCCCATTGGGGTTTTCATGGCGGGAGTCGAGGAGGTTGAACGACTGGAACACAAAGGCAATGACTCTGATGATGGCACTCGACGGAGGTTTCGGTTCATGAGGTATGAGAGAAGTAGTGACGCCGAAACGGTTCGGGACAGCAGTGTTAGTTATGTGAGCGCCTTTGCAGTACTTTGACGATTGAGGATTAGGTAGATATAGGTACGAGTACCTGAGGTAGTGTCCGGAGTGTGGGGTTAGGGTTACTACATTTTCTAGAGAGCGTTCCAAACATGCATCTTGTCAATCCTGGAGAATGGTGAATTCGTGTTCGAGTACAGTAATGAATGGCAGTATCAGTACTCGTACCAGCGTTGTGGACGGATACAACATCCCGGGCCCGTTTCGTCGCATCTTGGGTCAATGTGGCCTTGACGTCATTACGAATGCTTTCTTTCGGAGAGTTTATCTCGTATTTGTACAAGATCAACAACTTCTGGCCGCACGGACGACATCGTCCTCGTTTGACCATACAAGTACAATCCCGGTTGCGACAAGGAGTACTTATCTGAGATCCCCAAGGTGACCATATCTTATGGGTGAGTTACTCGTACGGGGTCACGGGGGCACTCACAGAGGGCCGGTCTAAACTTGGAGGATCAAACGAATAATGACGTACGTCTACCTACAATACCTATTGTATGTACCTACCTTGGGCAGCCAGGTGCCTCGTACTTTACTCGCTTTGAGTTTAGGTAACTCACACAGGAGTACCGCAGTACTTTGTACACTTGTACACCTGTACGGGTAATTAGTGCAGGCCGTACCTAACACACTCGGGGGTCTTCTTTTCTGAGGCTTGTCGTCACTCCCTCGTAAAGAACATTCACTAGAAGTAATCTCTGTAAGCATGAACATCTTCGATCGTGAATCGATCGCCGTCGATGAAAGGAGAGCGGGGAAGCCAGCGACCAGGCCAAGCCAGGCCAAGCAGATCCCATGAATGTTTTCCGTTTTTAAGAGTGCGTTAGTCCAAATCCTCGGGTACGTCAAAGGCGGAACACCAAGAAGAAGAAGAAGAAGGGTCCCCTTTTGCCTACTCGTGCCGCCTCGGCATCGCGGTGCTAAAACATGTTAGTCAGGTCTTGGGTATGACGACAGGTGAGAATAGAACAATCATCAAAAAATCTCTCCTCTTGAGAACAAACTCGAGTGACTAGCAGTAGTTGAGCGAAAGGCGTACCAGGTCAGGACGAGGACAAAAAGACGTAATTAGAACATACTCTCAAGGTATTCCGTGCCGGTGTACAAAGTGAATTTCGTTACTAAATGCCTGCTGAAAACTTTCATGATCCCTGCACCACTCGGCATCCCATGGCAATCACCATTCTTGGGGGGCTTGAAAGTAAGATCGGGCGTGAGATGAGGCGAGGTGAGGATGTGGCGATGACCTCTCTGAAGGCGGGTGGTCAATTTGTCATCATCCTCCCTCCCTGCCTCCCCCCCTTGCCTTCGCGAGTACTGAGAGAAGGGAAAGAAGCCCCGTGGGGGGGGGGGGGGGGGTTGAACCTTGGGTACCTAGGACGCGGATATCGCGGATACAAGGGATACACTACTGTAGCGAGTAGAGTTTGTGGCAAGAATCTGTAGATGACCTCCCCCCGGGTACACTTCAGATCGTAGATGCATACACTGTGGATAAGTGTATCCCTACGTTCAGACTAACTATCTCAGCCCAAACGTGCAATCCAGAAAACGTAGTGGAAACGTACAGCGTAGACATGGATAGACACATCGTGACACAACATTAGTTGAACATCGATTTTCCAAAGTTAAAAACCATCAAGTACTTTCTCCTGTAGCGATTCTCAATATTTCCTTTTCAAAAAATCAGATTATTTTCATTTTCATTGACAAAAATAACTGGAAGACAAGACTGAATTATGTTGTCAAGGTTGCTGAGCAGACAAAATAACAACAACTCCATCAACTTCCATACCACGCGCGTCTTTGGGGGGGTATCCAAAAATAGTCATCGTAGCATGAACAAACAACAAAACGAGGGGGGGTATTTTGAATGGTAGTTGCTAGCTATTATTTTCCATCTCCATCTCCATCTTCGCGTTCTGTTCCTCCTCTTTTCGCAGCATCATTATCTCTGCAGAACATCACATCTGGGCACGAAGGGAGTCGGTCCCGAAAAAAAGGACCAGAGATCGCATGCGCCCTACTCCGACCCCTTTCTGAGGGCCAACTTGAGAAATCACATTTTGACCACGGCACAAGACGACAAAAGTTTTATGCTTGGTGCTCAATATCTCTCTTTTCGGCGCGCGCAGCCTTGCCCTTCTCAGACCAAGGAAAGTGGGCGACGGGGATGATGAAGAAGCTGTTCGAGGTGTCGGCAATACCGGCCAGGGCATTGTACCAAGCGGCAAAGGCGGCAAGGATACCAAAGGCACCACCTGCGCGTGTGCAACCTGGGCTTGGGGCTCCGTTGACGGGCCGTAGATAGGAGATGGCCAGTAGGAGGAAGGCCAAGTCGAGCGTGAAGAACAGGAAGAAGAAGGCGACTGTGGACTTGAGAGTGCAGAGCAGGAGAATGAAGGTGAAGATGAACCAGCCCTGGTGTCATAGATTGTTAGTCGTCAAGACAAACACGAAAGAAAATGATACGGAACGAAAAACCAAAGACATACCATCAAGTAGAGACCCAAAGAGTTGAGCAGAGCTGAACCACCTCCCTCTTCCTCGATAGTGGAAACCACTTGGAACCCGCCGGGGGTCAAGATAATGGCGAAAGAGATCCAGAATCCACCGTATGAAGACAAGGCGGTGCCACCGAAGGTATTGCCTACGGCGATTTCCCTGTAGCAAACAGTTGTTATTAAGGGGTGAAGGGTGTCGTGGAAAAGTGCAGGACAACATACCACATGCCGGCCAAGAGCTGAACAAGACCGCCATAGCCAAAGGCAAGACCGATGACGATCGCGTTGACGCCAGCCAGGCCCCGAGTGTTCAAGTTGATCAAACTGAGGACGAAGGTGGTCAGGGCGAAAGCAGAGAGACCGAGAGGAGCAGGGTTGGCGAATTTGCGACCTTGGACGGGCTTGTAGAGCCCTGGTTGAAATTCCCCGCCGAAGGCCGGAAGCAAGGCACCTTCGTGAGTACGCATATGGGCTAGAGGACCATAGCCAAAGCGGGCGGCATTGGTGGCAGCAGCCTTTTCCTCATGGCTCATGCCCCGAGTGGCCTCTTCGAACTTTTGCTGGTTGGTCGATGGGTTGCCGTTGGCCGTGACATTGTTGGACGTGGTGTGAACGTCAGTTGTTGGTTCGGTGGTCGCCATGGTGAGTCGAGAGGTGTGCTAAGACCTGTGATCGCAACAGCAACAGCAGCAACTACTACTACTTGTATGGCTCTGGGCGAAGGCTCCGCTGGGTGAGTACCGGAATGAGGAGGGTGATGATGGCCTGGAGAAAGGAGGGAAGATCACACGGCCCATGGGCACGGGGGGTAGCAATGTTATTTGTACCCTTTTCTGCGACACACCCCTACCTGTTGGTTGCAACTTTTCTGGGGAACTCACCTGTGCGGTGTTTGGAACTGACCGGGAGCAAGCGGGGAGGACCCTGACACTGGAGATGCGAGAGGGAGAGCATTCGGCATTCGCTGAGACGTCCCTGGCGAACGACGGGTGGACCAAGGGAACGACATGATGTGTGTGGATGGACGGGCAGATGATGATGATGGTGATGGAGATGGGAAAATCTGGTGCATCAACAGACACGGCGCTATGACGGAAGCAGGGATCTCTTTGGGATGTCATGGCCGGCCTGCTGGATGGGGATTTGTCGGGGGCCATGGTGAATGGAGGATCGAGGCTGTTTAGCCTAATACGACGACAGACTCTGGAGTAGCAGAAATGAAGTGGGTTGGGTGGAGGGTGCATTAGTTACGGAGCAGACAGTAATGGCTAGGATGCTGACTAGGATGGCGCACGGTCGAGCGGAGGAAGTGAAGCTTTGTTGTAGCGATCCATGCGCCACCAAAACACGCACCTCACACCACGGTGGTTTGATGAAGAAACGAGGCCAAAATCAGCAGATCGATAGACACCTGGCCTTATGTTGGGCTGTGCTCGGCGATAATTAGTAGGGGGCGAGTTGACTTGATGGCTAACAACATACGGGGGTGGAAAGGGAGACAGAGTGTGTGATGATTGTCATTGACGCTCATTCATGCGCTTGTCAGTCGAAGCGAGAGTAGAATGGACAGGTAGAAATTAACCGGAGACATTACAAATGCAGAGTTACAAGTACCATATACTTCCAATACACCGGGGAATGTACGTCGAACAAGGTACCAGGTACCTACGCATGTTGATGTCCTCGTGGTTAGTACATATGGCGCGGGAACAACCTCCTATTTTACTAGGCCACCCATACCGTAGTTGATGATGGTTACTAGGCAATCAACTACTGTACAGTTATCATTATTCATTGCAGCTGTGACTCCGTTTCTGTGGCAAGTCGAAGCTTGGGACTGATGCTCGTACTTGGTTGTACGGGTCTCCGGCACTCTCCACCGCCACAGATCTTCACTTGTTTTGTATATGCTTTCTTATTGCACTCGTTAGTATCTCCGCTGTACATGTCGCTTGGGTGACATGGACGCGAACTTGGATCCATCTATCGGTGTCTTTTTGCCCCCATTCTCGCCTGCAAACTTTGTTATAAACATATCCCTCACGCCTCCTTCCAACCTTCAACCGTTTTTCTGGTTTAGGTTACATCACTGATTACTTTGTTCTATTCTGTGCGGTTAGAGCCTCGTGTTCTTAGGCTAGTCGGGATTCTGTTGAGCTCTACCGGTTATGCCTTGTATGCGACTTTTGGTTTCCGACAACATCCTCAGAGATACGACTGGCCTTTCTGTGCTCTCGAAAGTTGCCCCGACCGCGACCGGTACGACCCTTGTTGGGATGAGACACAATTCCTGCTCCCACCCAGCCTCTGACTTTCAGCTTCAACTCTGATCGGATGCAGTACAGTGTAGAACCAATCGCGTTTGGTCAAATAAGTTCCGCAGGACAGATGTTCTAGAAGAACGCTATGCTCCGTAACAATAACTTTCTCGGCGTGCATCTACGAGTAGGATTTGGCGTTTCCGGTCGCCTTGAACTCGACATTATTTGTTGTCCAGTCTGATGGGTCGAGAGAGGTAACGAGAGCCTCGTCCCCGGTCAGGCCAGGTCAAGCTCGCGAATCGCTCCAGCTCTGTCTGGCTTCTGCACTACTGAGGTAGATTCCAGTAACTGTAATTTTCCTCGACTACATTGTTACAATAGCACCAACAATACGAACACGACCACGACCACGAGGAGCAACATGTTCCCTCGCGTTTGACAGGGGGTTCTCAATTAAAAAATCGTAAGAGAACGCTGGGGTATTGCTTCCGCAAAGTTCCATATGCGCATTCACCATTCCGGTATGAAAGTGCCTAGAAGTAAGCAATACGAAGTACAGCCTCGGCTGGCTGAGGCTTCCCCTGGATTCTCCTTCCCCGTTCCCTTGGGCCGTGGAATCGCCAACAACATCAGACCACTTTTTCGTTCAGCCACACTGCGCAGTAGCTCCTTAGACGGGCGAGCATATTCCGGCCCATGGAACCCAAAGAATGAATTGTAATCATATCTGGTACCTTTGTCGGCTCTTGAAATCGGGATCTGGCGTGGCAACGACAAGCGAAATCTCCCTTGGGACTTTCGCGAATCTTGCAAAACACCCGAATCTACGAGAATGAGAAGGAGAATGAGGAATGCGGGAACGATAAGAGCGCCCCTTGCATACCCTGCAGACGAAGGCATTCCCCTGTCAGAGCCTAGACCACGTTCTCTCTCACACAGCTCACTGGGCTGGCTCGTCCACCCTGCACATCAGAGACATGGAGTGACACGGAATGTTCTGCCACAGGGGTTTTTCGGAGGATGTTTGGAATGGTAGGAATCGTGCTAAGGATCTCAGTTGCGGCTGCACCTATGGATACTAGACTGTATGTTGAAGAGTGATGAGGATGTGTACAGTGATTACTGCTTCCCGACTGTACATCCTCACCACAAGCGCCCATAAGTATACGTCACTCCAAAAGTGCTGTAATACTTGGTGGTACAGTACCTGAAAATGCCAGGTCCGGAAGCATTCTGCTCTTGCAACATCAGAATTCAACAGTCACATCAATGGCCTCGAAAAAGCCAGAGCGACATCAAAAGATATGCAACCTCCTTGATAAAGGGTATCACTAGAGTTAGTCTTATGTAACATAAAATCCGAGTTTGAGAGGAGAGTGACGTGCACCAAGTGAGCAAGGGATCACGGTACCAACAACCTTTGCTGAATAAACAAGTCCACGCCAATACAACGAGCATTGTCCTTCTGCAGGAGCATTTGAACATGGGTGCTTGCCGCTCGTAGCAAGTAAAACTTCACATCCCCATATCAGATAACAGCATCAGTTCTCTTCAGAAGAGGGAGGGGGGATTTTCGACTGATTCATCCTTGTTGATCTCATATGTCTGTCATAAAAATAGTCCTACTTCTTCACAAAAATCAGAAGAAGCAGGGTGGAGTAGACAAGGCCCTGCTAAAAGCCAAATTTCACTCTTCCACTTGCGATATTGAGACTTTGGAAAGGTCTCTGGATCCACGTCTTGATCATGGAGATGAAGAGTCAAGAAGCTTCCGAATGTGGTGAAAAGGACAAGGTTGTTTCGCTCGTTGTTTTGACTGGAAGAAACAACACGGTAGAGAATTTTCCGTGATCACAATGCACGCGCGTCTCAGCTGACTTTTGCATGCATAATGGGTGACAGGGCCATGGTCTTGATTAGACATACCAAGTCGGCCAGCATCAAGCTCCGTAGAAAAGCCACGGAGAATATGAGACAGGTGAATGCCGTTTTAGAGAAATGTGTATGGAGTACAGAAGCAGAGGTGGAAAAAAGATCAAAATAGCCAAGGGTGGTCGCTTTGAAAAAAGTGCCAAGCTGAACTTATCCGTATCCGTAGTAGCTCCGATAACTATGCGCTTATCCTGATTAGGTATAGCCTCTCAACCATCCCCAATATCAAAAATCTAAAAGCTCGAGTCTCCAACTTGTCTTCCTTTTCTTGTTCTTCACACTTCATAACAGATATGAACGCATAATCAACCGCTAGATCCTCTCGCGGCGCCGATCCGTCACAGGTGGTGCGCCGTGCTATAGGCTGGTAGGTCATATTGGCGATCTAGACCGAATTTCGTGGCACTTTAAGGCTTTCCTTTCTTTATGTGGATGCGTCGTCCACCCGATGGCACATTCACTGTGGATGGAAAGTCACCTGCGTGCCGGACAGATCTTTTTCTTACCTACTCATTCAGTCATGTCAGAGACGTCAACTGAAACATACTATGAATATGACAACGAAGTACTGATTGCTGCTTAAACTCCGTGAACCGCGGCCATCAGAATGGTCCGCGCAGAAATTGTATACACAGCAGATATTTGCATTCGGCCACGATATCAATGATCAAGCACCACTATAAAATTCGTATAGTACTTCATTGAAAAGTTAGAATATCAATACCCATCACTGTCCGCTCCAGACTTTGCCTTGATTCTGAGAATCATCTACGTCCAAACACCCTCACTCTTGGCACGAAGAGACAATAAGTATGTAACGAGGCGCAAGGGTAAATTTTGTCTGCCACTCTGCACACTACAACCTCACGAACTCTCAACCCTCGAACTTCTCTCGGGCCTTCATTTCCCAACGGGCCTAGTATTATCATCTATCAGGAAAGAGAAACCAAGAGACTCGTCACCATGAAACTCCTAACGACAAACTTCCTCACATGCGCCGTCAAAGCCTGCAAATCCTCCCCGGACAGTTTTCCACTACACTTCAAAGATGCGACGCTCGAACGTACCGAGATCGACTACAACCCTCTGTTCGTGCGCAACATACTCCCCCGCGTGAACTGGGACGCACTCACGACGACCGCGACCGAACTGGGTCTCCAGGCTCTCCTCCCCGCCACAAACCCGGTCGAGACCATCGACTCCCCGTCGCCTGCGACCGACGAAGCTGCAGGGCCGAATGATGACGGAAAAGACGTCGTGGACGACGAAGTGCTGAAAAAGTTACACAGTCTCCTCCTCGAGACGGGCGTGGTGGAAGGCAAACTCGTCTGCGGGAACTGCGGCTTCGAGTACCCTATCAAGGAAGGCGTTGGGAATTTCTTGTTGCCGGCGCATTTGGTGTGAATCTGCCTACTCTTCCGTGGAATGGTCCCAGAGACACAAAGGACTGCCGGAAACTTCTGGAGGCGATAAGAAAGATAAAAAAAGGGCAGAAAAGACCGGACAATTTAGCGCCCGGTCGAACGCAAAGGTCCTTCGTCAGGGCGTGGGTTTGATACGCATACACACAGGCGGGCGCGAAAATGCAGGCTGCTTAGCAAACCCACCAGGAGAGAGGGGAAAAAGGGAAACGTTGTGCTCGGCTTGATTCGTGAAGCCACGGAGAGGGAGTTGATCGAGTTCGGACATGATGACTACATGAATCCAGCGCTACTACGCACAATGATCGCTCAAGCGACGACATTGAAGATGCTGCCTCGAACATCTCAAATGCAGACGTCGCGTGGGACTGTTCAAGAAGCCGAAGTGAAGTCGGCCACAAGTTGGCGTTTGAAGATGGTGGCACGGCAACGGGGTTTGATGATGTTCGCGAAGCCAGAAGAAAGGAAGAAAGGACGGTGAAGCAAGTGACAAGAGATTCTTGACGGTCTAGATGAGAACATATTCCAGTCGAGTCCGTACAGTGCAAAACGAAACGAGAACTGACCGACCACCAGTCTCGCCCGTGAAGGCAGGACATTAACACTATGTACGCAACCTCCTCCCAGCGACAGGCAAGGTCAAACCAGCCCACACTGCCCGCAGAAGATGTGAGGTCCATTATACAAATACCGAGTACATAAGGAAGAAGATTCGCAAATCATTCGGGCATACCTTTCGTTCACCCTTTCCCCATCGCACGATAACCCCCCGCCACCCTTCTCACCAACCTCTTGCTCATCCGAGACCTGAGGCTGGCAAAGAATAAGAAAACCCCCTCAAATCGAAGGTAAGATATTCGCCCGTCCCTCAATGCTATGCGATCCAATGCAAGAGTTTACACCTGTAAGCAATTGACGATGCTTTTTGCCCACCCGAATGCAGAGATCGCTCCTGTTCATGCACAAATGAGAGACTGGAAACGCCAACCAAGATGCCCACCCCAAGTCCTCTGTTTCGTCACCTGCACTTGCACAGAGAAGAGATATGCTGCCAACGCCGGTTCTCTGGAAGTTTGAATATTTTGCAAAGGTAATTCAGTTGAGGAAGCCCTTGCAAACCGCCGAGCCACATAGACAAGGTATACGATCGTCATTGTTGATTTCGCGCTCGAATTTATAGTCATAGGTCAACTCTTCGTCTGCCAGAAGGTCAGTATGTGCCTGTCGCCAAGAGATGGAATAACAAAACTCACCTTTCTCGATGTCCCTGAGGGCATAGATGACAATTCGCTTGGTGCCACCTACTCGAATGATCTTGGCGGTGCAATTAGGATTACAGCTGTGGTTGATAAAACGAGCAATCCCGCCCTTCTTGGTGGCGTCCACAACGGTCCCTTCGTCGATGCGGAACAGATAACTGCTGCCAATTCCACTTTCGGTGTATTTGATTTCCCGCAGGTCGGCGACTTCCTGTCTGATCTTCTCCCCGACGTATTCGATAATCATTTCGCTGGCTTGAATGCGTTCCAGGGAATATAGACCCCAATTGTGGATTGCGGATCTAGCAAACTTGACTGGCTTCTTGCGTTTCTGGAGCTGATTGAAACGCAATACATCAGCATCATCACCCATGGCCTGCAGCAATTCTCTTTGTCGGTCCAAGTCCTTGACTGTCCGTCTATCGTCTGCTCGTTTACCACGAGAGGAAGCCTTGGGCAACTCCACGACAGGTTTGACTGCCCCAGAGGGATCTTTCTTGGCTTCAGCCTCACGTTTCTCGCGCGCTTTTTGTACCTTGATACGGTGGGGCAAGTATTTCGACTTCTCCGACTCGAGAATCTTCTTGATGGGCTCAGTTCTTGCGGACCCTGATGCATTAGGAACATAATACCCATCGATCAGTGGCTCCGTACGCAGGCCTCCAGGTTGCATTCCTGGCTGCAGATTTCTGATCTGTTCTTGCTTCCATGCCCAAGCCATAGGATCTCCAATGTCCATCGCGGACTTGGATTTCAGCGCTGAGGCGAGATACTGCAAGTCTTCGGCGTCGAAAAGACTGGCTTGCCATCCGCGGAGATCTGGAATGATGTCCTCATCGTCGTCGACCGTAGGGAGTGGCTCCTCCGCGGACACACCCCATTCGACTTCAGGTCGCCATTCCGCTGCTTCAGCGAGTGCTTCTTCCTCTTCAGCGTATTCTAGAACATTGTCCACGACTTCTGCCGCCTCAGCTTCGGCTTGTGCTTGCCGAAGTGCTTCTTGTTCTTCGAGGATCTGTCTCTTTGTCTTCTTCTTGGGCTTTGATTTCTTAACGATGGGCTTCGGGATGTCCGACTCAACTTCTGGAGTGCCCTCAACAGGAGTCTCCACATCCTGCATTTTGACATCGTCGGAATCATCGCGCTCCAGATCGGCTCTGCCAATCCCGAAAAGCTCATCATCTGCCTTTTGTCGCTTTCGAGCTTCAAGTTCCTTGACTAACCTCTTGCGCTTTCTCGAAGAAGGCGACATTTCGTAGATACTCCTTTCCAGCTTAGAGATGATAAGGTCCTCGGCGGTTGTTTTGTGCTCAACTTCTTCCTTAACCACGCTGTCTCCCATTTCTGACTCTTCCCTTGCGTGTAGTCGGCGTTTGGCAATCTTGCGCAACAGCTCATCTTCGTCGTCGGACATTGATGTCATGCTCATGCGACTAGCAGGACGACTCTCCAGCTCTTCGGTGTCCCTAGTAATGGATGTTCTCTGCTCATCGTCTGAATCCTCATCATCGTGAAATTGGGCGAGCTGGTGGAACAAAGATCGAACATTGTGCCTCGCTGGAGGAACCTTTCTCCTCTCGTCGCGAAATCCAACCATTCCTCGCTCTGTGCCTGGCTTCTTGCCAATCTTGGGAAGGGATAGGATATTAAGATTTTTGCCGCTCAACGGCCGTCGATTTGTCATGCCAATCCCTGAACGTGAATCTGGCGTCCATGAACCGTCATCAGTCAGTGTAGACCTCCTTGGTCCATCAGGATCGTCTATGCCGAGGGCTCGCCGCCGCTCTGAGTGCCTGTCTGGATCAAGGAACTCGTAGAGAGTTGGGGCAGCGATTCTGGATTTGACATCCTCCAGAAGTTTATCCCGGAGTTCTTGGATTACTAATTGGACGACCGCCCGGGAGGGATCAAGGTCCCTAGCTCGCTGCCGCTTCTCTTCTTCGAGGTCCAGATCATGCTCCTTTCGTAATCGGTATGCTTGCTTAGAATAAACAAAATCAACTGGCCCTGTAGGAGTTGGTAGAGGCTGCTCGCCAGAGCCAAGGGCTTTGGGATGGCCATTAAGATGCAGCTCCAAATTCATCACATAGGTAAACAGTGGCTGCATATGACATCCATGAAAGGCTCTCTTGGCTTCCATTTGCCCATTTCGTGATTGCTCGAACGTGACGAAGTATCCAGTTTCGTCGCAACGGACGTCGCGCCAGTCGTACATTCTCAATCGTTTCTTCAGATGGGGAATTGTGGTGGGCATGACCGGCACGTGGCTGTGGGCGATGAAGATGTAGGGCACCTTCAGAGTCTCGCCAATAGGCGTACTCTCAACAACTGATGCTCCCCCCGTGGGTCTGGCTAGAACAGGAGGAGTAGGCTTGGGGGCAACCGCGAAAGGGGTGTGTACAACGGGAGGTGCATGAAAAGCCGGCTGGGGACGAAGGCTAGGTTTTCCCGACGGACCTTTCGGGGCGGTTGGAGGTGGTCCTGTTGACTTTGCGAAGCCTGTTGTCGGGGTGGTGACCGTAGGCGTCGAAGGAGACGGGGATGGCTGAACTCTTGCCTGTTTTGTAAAGCCACTCTCTTTTCGGTGAAGGGCAATGGCTTTCTCCACCAGCTTCTCGGTCACAGAGCCATCTCGATCGATGGCTATTTGCACTGTCTTCAGGCCTATCCTCTGACCCCGTTTTCCTTCCAGATATGCTGTCTTCGCGGCAAGAACGGCGGAGATCGGGCCACCACCTTGGAATGAAGCGCAGTCTTGATACTCGATACTGCATATACCCAAAAAACGTCCCGTAACTGGATCTGTTCTGTTGTCCATATCTCCAATCTCACCGAAACTCGAGAACAAAGCGCTGATTTGGGAAAGAGGCGTCATCGGATCAAAGCCCGTAACGACCACGGTGGTCGCCGGAGGAGGGGCAACAGCGGTGACATTGTCTGGCGTCCATGACTTCAAGTTGTATGGTGCAGGTCGAAACTTTGATTTTCCCTTTCCTATAGCGCCTTTCGCGTAGTTCGGTATCGCCAGGCGAGGATCAGGTGGCTGAAAATTGTCCTCGGATTTCCCTCCAAACTCCTCAAACTGCGCTTTCATTTTTCGCTTGTCCTTGGAGCTCAAATTTCTATCTAGTTCGGGATCGTAAGTGCATTTCATTCCTTTTGGATGTAGAGTCGAATCTCGCGCCGCCCTTCGATGGGCAGGTGGGGTGTGAAGCGGTGTCATCGAGCCCGGATGGAGAGATGAGGCGGTGATAATTCCATTCGTGCTTGTGTGGGTGTTGTTCTCAATCCCAGGGCTCATTGACTTGCCGGTGGGAGGGGAGTCTGAATTTGTGAGAGGAGTGAGGGTCGTAAATTGGAGATGGTGCGTGCTCGACATAGCTACGGCAGTGGTGAGAGGTGCGCTGAAAACCGAAGAAGCGGTACTCGACGAGCTCGCAGAACTGGCAGCATTGAGAAGGTCGCCCGGGAACTGATCTGCCTCCTCCTTTGTAAGAGTGTCGCTGTCAAGTCTGGCTAAAGTGTCCACGGTCGAAGGCGATATCTGACCTCGAAAGTTCAAAGAAGCCTGGGCAGGGGCGAGACCTTTATGCGCATGATCCGTACGGTGGTTGCGATCGATATGCTGGGGTCTATCGACCTCTGACACCTTTGAAGATTTCCGTTGTATGACGCTCGGGGCGGTTGGGAAAAACTCAGCGAATTTGTTGCCCGGCGGGCGCGACATATCCGGAATCAATATCCAAACGACGCGATCATCTTTGCACAGATGCTCCTGTAACTATCATCAGAGCCAGAGAATACGTTAGACTCAGGACCGCAGGGCGATGGCCTGCAGAAATCTGGCGGCGGGCTGGTTGCTAACGCGTCGGTGGACGTCAAGGGGATTTCCCAGGAACGGCGCAGATAGTGAGTTTGGGATGAGGAGGAGAGGTCGGGTTGACGAAATCAGATCCAACACTTGATGGGCCTCAAAAACGAGGATTCCGATGGGTATTGGAGGGTTCGACGAGGAAAGTTGTGATCTGGACACAGCTTCGTCGCTGTGCTGAGGCTCGTCCTTGACAGCGTCGACTGCGGTAGGCAGCCTTGGCACTCTTCAACGCGCTCGAGAGAAAAGGCGCAGGCAGACGGTGGGAGGTCTAGGGACGACAAAGATTCCTCACAATCACCTCGCACCAGGGTATTATTTTCTTTTCTTTTAAGCCTATTCTACCACTGCACTCTATTACTGCTGTTTATCCGCTTATTCCAACTCTTCAGTATTTCCCGCGCGTGGAGTCTCACTCCCTGGGAGAGTGAGAGCGTCACTGGGAGTACCGTCCGTCAGCCTTCTGCTCCGCTATACGACAAGTCTACCCATGTTATAATCATTTTTGACCTTGATGCCAACTCTTCACGGCTGTATATCGCTGGAAAGAAGGAGGATGATCAGGCTGGGCCTGGGGTCTCATTGTGATGTTCTTGGATGATGGTCTACGTTGAGAGTAAAAGGCTCGAGTGACTGCCTCCGTGACTGCCGCATTTTTCTTGCACGAACTCTCGCTCGTGAACTGCTTTGCTCCATTGATTGCGGGTAAAGTTGACGATGGAGGTAGGTGAGAAATGTATGTAGCCGGGAAAGGTTGAGGAACCGTGTCTGGTGCCTATTCCGAGCAGTCGAGCGGGACCATCAACATTGCCGATGACGGACAAAATCTTACCATTGCACATCTCGCTTGGAAAAGGACCTCGAAAAGGTCTCTCCTTTGGACATAAATCGACCACAGTGGGTATGGTTGGCAACAGAATCGAACTGTAGGCGGTTGGAACGGAAGATGAACAGATAAGGTAACCAGCACTTTCCCGGGGAGCCTGTGATTGGTCAATGTCGTGATGTCACGATTTGTCCAGCTGGCGACTCGCACTTTACCTTCACGGCAGATGAGGATCAACAGTCACCTACGAGTAGTCGGAGAAGGTGAAGATGGAGGGTACAAGTAGTGCAAGACACCTTCAACACTCCCTCTTTTTGATTGCTTTTCAGTCTATCCTATGGTTGGCCGAACTCTGAGCAAGATGCCTTTCCCTTACAAGAAAGTGGTGGTGATTGGTGCTACTAGTGGTACGTTATTATTTTGGCCTCTTCTTTCAATACATGGCAAAGCCAATGTTGTTCGCATGCACAGGCTGGATGTACACTAGCATACTGGAGTCGTCCTAGTTTCCCAGCCGCTGAAAATTGACGCTCGAGACAGGCATCGGCGAAGCATTCGCACATCGCCTCATCGATGACGGCTCGTTTGTCATTGCCGTTGGACGTCGAAAAGAGAATCTCGAAACCCTCGTCCAGAACCATGGACACGACAAATGTCAAGCAGTGCCATTCGATATTACCAAGCTGGAATCTGTGCCGCACTTCGCAACAAACATCATGAATACCCACCCTGACGTCGACTGTGAGTCGGCAGTCATTCCTTGGAAGGCTCATTCTGCTGATAAGTCATGACACCAGGTATCATCCTCAACTCGGGCATCCAAAGAAGGACAGATTTTAGCGACCCCGACTCGATTGACATTAATTCGTTGCAGCTCGAGTTCAACACCAACTACATCGCACACCTGGCTCTGACCAAAGCATTTTTGCCGTTTTTGCAGAAAAGGTCGACAGAGTCTGCACTGGTCTACATTACCTCTGGCCTGGCACTGGTTCCGATTCTCCGCTGTTCAAACTATTGCGCTTCGAAAGCCGCATTGCATCAGTGGATACTGTGTCTGCGAGCACAACTGAGTAAGACGAAGGTGAAGGTTATTGAGATTTTGCCACCGGCGGTTCAGACCGAGCTCCACGACGAGAAGCATCAGCCAGATATTAAGGACGGTCGCCAGATTGGAATGCCTCTAGACGAATTCATGGATGAAGCATACTCTGGATTGGTCCGTGGCCAGACTCAAGTACCCGTTGGAACGTCCAAGCGTGCCTTTAACGGGTTTGAAGTAAAGCGGCAGGAGGCCTTTGCGCATATGCTCAAAGTCATGGGCTCTGGACCGTAGACTATATGTCTGTTAGTCCCGTCTATGTCAAATCAAGCGTCGATGGGCTGTTGTGTAATGATCAGAACAACATTGGTGCCCCCCGTTTTTCTCAATATTCTTGTTTGGACGCCACGTATTTTGTACCCAGGTGGGCCACTGGGCCGATCTCTGAAACCGGGTCTGAGACGATCTATATTGGGGGCCAACATGTCTCAGAAAGCGACCGAGGCTAATTGGCGGTGACGCCTCACTTTAGGCTTCTTTAGCATCCCAGTCAGGGGGAGGCTGAGGGGCAGAAGGCGTAAAAATACGGCTGGAGTTGACGTGGACTTCTATTTTGGGGCCCTGCGGCTTACTATTCTGTGTTGATGCTCCGAGTTGGCGGGGGCACAAGGCATCTTGTCTTACCGTAGGCCAAAGTCTGCATTAGGACACTGGAACGTTCAATCTCCTTGCTTCTCGCTGGCATCAAAAAGAAGAATTGAAAATCGTATTCTGGCCTCGTGATCCAAAGAACCAACGAGAGAAGTCCATGGGGATCGATCTGGTCCAGCAAGACGGGAAATCTCTGCAAACTACCTGACCGCACTGTCGTCACGATTGTGAACGGGCCCAACAAGATCGGTGAACGTGCTGGTTCTTGTCCTCGTATACCTGCTAGTCCGGCTCTAGGCTGAAGATCCATGGGTAATATTGTTCAGATTGTCTGTGCTGCCAGGTGTTTATAGGGAGTAGAATACCTCATACGTAGTGACTACTGAGTTCTGGCCCTCGCGATAGGGCCTTCTGTATGAGTGCCAGGACCGCCGATGCTCGCACAGACGCCACAGTCCGCACTCGATCGCCCACAAAGCCATGGGCACTGGCCGTTTGCGGTCGTAACGTGCCTGCCAAGGTTCACATGGCGGTTGCTGTGCAGGGCCGCAGGGACCAATTGGTGACTAGTGTGGCTTTCTTAGCATGTATGCGCTCTGAAGGGCGTCTCAGCCCCGTGCGAAACATTCAAGGTTGTCAGCACCTGAGAGGCACACCGTCCTACCGTCCTTACAACAAGTAATAATAACACGACTCGTCCTACGAGACTCCTCCCTCCATACTCCTGGCTGTTCTCCTGCACTTCGCTGTCGAGAAAGTCCCTCATTCTTCGCGCAGTCCTTTGTTGTCGAATCCTTTCTTAAGCCCCCTCACCGACCAAGGGGCTCGCAGTACCCTTCGTCAGACTCCAGGCCAGCGGAACTTCCTCAGGCTCACCATCGGACCAGAACACCCTCTCTCGTACCCTGAGTTTCACTGGACAGTGTCGATCCTCGACAACTCGTCGATCATTCTTCAAGATGTGGTATGTCAACTATCCGAGGCATAGGAAGCGCAGGCAATACTAACAGTAAGCAGTGGCATCTTTGGCTACATCAACTACCTCGTAGAGAAGGACCGCAAGTTCATCCTTGACACGCTGCTTAATGGTAAGTTCTGAAGCCACTCTGCATCGAGAATAAGCCCTCTAACGCATCCCCCGAAGGCCTGTCCCGACTAGAATACCGAGGTTACGATTCTGCCGGTCTCGCCATCGACGGTGACAAGAGAAATGAAGTGTTTGCTTTCAAAGAGGTGGGCAAAGTTGCCAAACTCCGAGAGTTGGTGGCAGAGTCCGGTGTCGACATGACCGAAATCTTTGACTCCCATGCTGGTATTGCACACACCCGTTGGGCCACCCACGGCCAGCCGTCAACAAAAAATTGTCATCCCATCAGGTGAGCACCAGTGTCTCATAGTCCAAGGTCCACTGACTGATGTATGGCAAGATCTGACCCCAAATGGGAGTTCGCTGTGGTCCACAACGGTATCATTACGAACTACAAAGAACTCAAGGCTCTGCTCGAGGGCAAGGGCTTCACATTCGAAACCGAGACCGACACCGAGTGCATCGCCAAGCTAGCCAAGTTCCTCTACGATTCTCATCCTGACATCGATTTCACCACTCTCGGAAAGGCCGTCATAAAGGAACTCCAAGGTGCTTTCGGTATGCTCATGAAATCCGTCCACTTTCCCTCCGAAGTCATTGCGGCTCGAAAAGGTTCTCCGTTGGTTGTTGGTGTGAAGACACAGAAGAAGCTGAAGGTAGATTTCGTGGACGTCGAGTACGAGGGAGATGGCGGTGCACTTCCTGCGGAGAGAGCGAACCACAATGTGGCATTGAAGAAGAAGGCTCCTGGCCTCCTGACTCCTGGTGGACACTTGGCCCCCCCAGACAAGTCTCTTCTCCACAGATCGCAGTCTCGTGCCTTCTTGTCTGACGATGGTATGCCACAACCTGCCGAGTTCTTCCTGTCCTCCGACGCCTCAGCCCTAGTCGAACACACAAAGAAGGTTCTTTATCTCGAGGATGACGACATTGCTCACATTCACGATGGCCAGCTCAACATCCACCGGTTGAACAAGGACGATGGCACCAGTAACGTCCGTGCCATTCAGACAATTGAGCTCGAGCTGCAAGAAATCATGAAGGGAAAGTTTGAGCATTTCATGCAGAAGGAAATCTTCGAGCAACCAGAGTCTGTGGTCAACACCATGCGTGGTCGTCTGGACGTTGCCAACAAGACTGTTACTCTAGGAGGTCTCAGACAGTACATCAGTACCATCCGGCGATGCAGAAGAATCATCTTTATTGCTTGCGGTACGAGCTACCACTCGTGTATGGCTGTCAGAGGTGTTTTCGAAGAACTTACCGAAATCCCCATTGCTGTCGAGTTGGCTTCGGACTTCCTTGACAGACAAGCGCCGGTCTTTCGAGACGATACCTGCGTATTCGTCTCTCAGTCTGGCGAGACGGCGGACTCCTTGATGGCTCTGCGATACTGCTTGGAACGTGGTGCATTGACTGTCGGTATCGTCAACGTTGTCGGCTCCTCCATCTCCATGCTCACTCACTGTGGCGTGCATATCAATGCGGGTCCCGAAATTGGTGTTGCCTCCACAAAAGCCTACACATCCCAGTTCGTCGCCATGGTCATGTTTGCCCTGTCGCTTGGTGAAGATCGAGCGTCCAAGGCCCAGCGCCGGGCCGAAATCATCGAAGGTTTGGGCAAGGTCAGCGAGCAGATCCGTGAGATCCTCCAACTCAACGACTCGATCAAGGAGATGTGTGCCAAATTCCTCCAGAAGCAGAAGTCTCTCCTTCTGCTCGGCCGTGGCAGTCAGCATGCGACTGCTCTTGAAGGTGCATTGAAGATCAAGGAAATTTCGTACTTGCATTGCGAAGCAGTCATGTCAGGTGAACTCAAGCATGGCGTTCTGGCTCTTGTCGATGAAAACTTGCCTATCATCATGATTCTCACTCGCGATGACATTTTTGCCAAGTCCCTGAACGCATATCAACAAGGTGAGCATGAATATATTCTTGCACCAGGGAGCAGAACTAACATGACACAGTCATCGCCCGTAATGGACGCCCAATTGTCATTTGCAACAAGGATGATCCTGAATTCCCACCAGATAAGACCGAACGTATCCAGGTGCCTAAGACCGTTGACTGCTTGCAAGGTCTCCTGAACGTCATTCCGCTGCAGTTGATCGCCTACTGGCTGGCGGTCGCAGAGGGACTGAACGTCGACTTCCCACGAAACTTGGCCAAGTCTGTCACTGTCGAGTAAACTTTCGTTGGCACTTATTGAGGATGTTAGCAACTTGTTGTCTGTTGAATTACTACGTCTAGTTCATGCAGCGATGGAAAAGGAATTTGGCATACAATCGGGTGTTTCTTGTTTCCGTCTACCCACGAATTCGTTGAGAGGACATGTAGAGATACCGTGGAGTCACCGGCGTAACTAGATGAAAATGAGTATGATACCATGATCCATCCATATCATATGCGCGATGCAGTATACATATGAGCCTGTGAAGGTGACTAGAGACTGAGACGGTTTACATAGACTCGTCTTTCCTTTGCGTGAGGCTCACATGAGTTCGTGAGGTTGAATGCGCGAGGCTGAACTTTGGAGACAAAAATTGGGGTCGAACTACGAGTACACAGGGCGTTATTGTTCGTCTCCAACTGCGTTCTGTTTAAAGCTGTACTAGACTTTCTTCCCCTTGCCATTGAATACCGTCCAGAGTTCAGCTTATGTGCTGAAATGGCTTACCATGTCGAAGGTGGTTTCGGAGTCAGAGCCGGCGACTAATGAGGTGTCGCATCCCGATCAAAGGACCACGCCTGCTTCCTTCAGAGTTGTTGTACCGACCTCCCTCGTGTTCGACGTTCGTGCAGTGTTTCTGACCCTTGTTGGGTTTCGACTTCTGAATGCCTTGACCATCCGTACATTTTTCCAGCCAGATGAATACTTCCAGGCCTTGGAGCCAGCGTGGAGATGGGCATTCGGGGAAGATGCTGGAGCTTGGATCACATGGGTGGGATGAAAGACTACACACTTGCAGGACACAGAACTGATAAACAATCTAGGAGTGGAACAGCCATCTGCGATCTGCTTTGCACCCGGCGGCGTTTGGCATGTTCTATCAGACTGCCAGCTTTCTTGCCGAAGCACTGAGCCTGGATAGCCATACTCGGTCAGAGCTGCTCCTTGCAACGCCCAAGGTAATGCAAGCCTTTCTTGCGGCTGGTGGTGACTATTTCACCTGGAAGCTTGGGTCGTATATCTATGGAAATGACACAGTTTCATCCTTGATGGTACTTCTCTTGAATGTCATCAGCCCGTGGCAGTGGTTCTGCTCGACACGCACTTTCTCTAATTCAGTGGAATCGACCTTGACCATTGTCGCCCTGTACAACTGGCCATGGCACTGGATGCAACCACTGACTACGGAAGGCCAACGAGATTCAAATACCGATTCCAAAGGCCTTCGAGTGCGTGGATCGAATTCGGAAGAGCAAGCAGACTCCGCGGATGAAATGACTCGGCTGAGAAGAGCCCTTCTCTGTGCGGCAGCCGCAACGATTCTGAGACCTACAAACCTCTTCATCTGGTTCAGCCTGGCTTCCATGGGATTTTTTCGATTCTGGAAGTCGGCAGGACCGAGTTGGACCGAGTTGGTAACATTCATCCGCGAAACGATCCTGTGTGGTAGCATTGTGCTCCTCTTTTCGAGCTTGGTTGACCGACTTTTCTACGATGAATGGGTGTTGCCGCCGCTCAAATTCCTATATGTCAATGTCATCCAGTCTCTAGCGACATTCTACGGTAGTAACGATTGGCATTACTACCTCTCCCAAGGTTATCCCCTGCTTCTGATGACTGCGTTGCCATTTACTCTGATCAGTATGTACCGCGTTCTCTGCAACAGAGTGGCGGAGTCAGAAGCAACACCCACAGGACTCGGCACCTTGAAACCGCTGACCATGCTGTGCGTTCTTGTACCGGCTCTGTTCTCAAATATCGCGCATAAAGAAGTCCGCTTTATATACCCGCTGCTCCCGGCATTGCACATTATTTCGGCGCTCCAATTCTCGAGGGTTTTCGGTTGCCTAGTCACAGGGTCGAGTAGATCTGGTCGAGCCAGTAAACAGCTATTGCTTGCGGTTCTGCTTGCTCTCAATGCCTGCATAGCATATTATAGTTCGTATGTGCACAATTCCGGCATAATCGATCTAACACACTACCTCCGCCACGAATTCGAGCACGCATACCTTCCAATGTCTCCGGCGTCGAACATGACAACAGGCATGCTGATGCCCTGCCACTCCACACCGTGGCGCTCTCACTTCCAATACCCGCCGACAGCAGCACATCCAGGGATCCTGGCGTGGGCCTTGACATGTGAACCGCCTCTCGGTCTAAATGCGACTGAAAAGGCGGCGTACATGGACGAAGCTGACCAGTTCTACGACAATCCCACACTGTGGCTGAAAAGGCACATGTCGAGACGACCGCCGCGTCGGAAGGATGGCGTCAGGGCGAGAGGCGACGCAGCTGGAGTCTTCGCGCCACTGGATGCGTCCTCAGCGTCGAGAAAAAGGACCGGCGTCAGTTCAGACTCGATCGACGCAGAGCGTGACAAACATTACTGGAACACGGGAGAAGGGAGAAAACCCTGGCCTGACTACTTGGTGGCGTTTGCCCATCTCGAACCGACCATGACAGTGGCACTGAGGGGGAGCGGATACGTTGAGTGTAAGAGGCTCTGGAATAGTCATTGGCACGACGATTGGCGCCGGACAGGTGACGTCGTGGTATGGTGTCTTGACGGCTCGCGTGCGGCGAACTCGAAAAGCGCCGGTGAGAATGCAGTTTTACACGAGACTGGGAACCTTGAAAACGCCATTCACGACGGTGCGGGTGGACAGAGTGAAGGTGGCCAAAAAGTCCTCGGCGGTCGTCAAGGCGAGAGCCCAAAGAGCAAGGGTGAGAAAGTGACGGAGAAAAGGGTCAAGAACCCGGTAAAGAGAGTCGTCGAGAAGCCGTTTTGGAAAATCAGAGATCCCGAGCTTGAACCCTGAGAACGAGACGAGACGAGACGAGACGAGATATACGATAGGTATCCTTACCAGTCAGTCTCCTTGAATCGCCACCGAAAAAGACTTTTTGTATCCTTTGAGTCTGTGCGGTGGTGAGCCTCCTGCTGGATATATCTGCGTGGTATGCGTTCTATAGCTGTCTTGTCTTTGTGGTCTACTTTGGACGGACGGAAAAGGTGACCTTGACCTTTACCTGACCAGGGACGCAATGAAACACGTACGAAAGGACAAGTACAGAGACCTACCTACCTACCTACCTACCTATAGATTTCCCCAAAACCAAGTACGCCTCGCATAGAGAAGAAAATGCAGAGTAGCTACCTACCTGGCAGACGATGAGTGGCCATTCAGCATTCTTTTCACCCGGGGATAACACCTGGTGGGTAGGTAGGTAGGTAGGTAGGTAGGTAGGCAGGTACTGTACGACAGTAGCGATTCAAATCAAGACATAAACAGCACTTAGTACCCCAAGGTACGTACGTATGATGCCTCGCATGCGCCCTGCTCGGGTGTGTATGCACGGTAGGTAGGTACCTGACCGTAGCGTGATGCCCCCTTTCATCAACGGCGACTCCTCGCGCGCCGCCACCAGTGCTATAGACGAGTTAAAAAACAAACCACCGTATATCCAATTACACTGACAGTCAGTAGAGCGGCCCCTCCGCGCTTGCCTAGGCAGGTACTCTGTAAAAGCAGGGCTGCTTCACACTTCACACAGCAAATACAGTCGAGGGAACAAGGAAATTCGTAACATGGCACGCTACCCATCTCTGTCTCGACTCGATACAACCACCTGCTATGCTTTGCGTGAAACGACCATGTACCACCTTCTTTCTACTAGGACCAGCCCGCCCCCTCTTTCTTTCGCACCTTATATCAGATCCTCCTCTTCCACCAAAGGACCAACATACCATAAAAGTACCTCCCTTCTCCTATTCATTGGTACCTTGCACTCAAGCTCGCAAACGCATCTGGACTGTGTCTGCCATTTTCGAGGCCACTGATGATCATGCTCTCTCTACTGGCGTGTCTTGCGGCAATGCCTTGAGGGGACTGCATCTGAGCCTGAGCCATGTTGTTCGGCATCATCATGTTTGCCTGTGGGGGTGAGCCGACGCCAAAGTCGTTGGCACTGACTGCATTCGCGAAGAAAGGATTGCGGTTTCCCCCACCACCAGCCGAGTGCATATTCGACAAAGATACGGGCATTGTCGAGCTTCGCTTCGTCGGAGTCAAGGCATTTGGTTGACCGAAAATGTCGACTGCTGGCGCGGGTGATACAACCTGTTGTGGATGCTGCTGTCGCTGCACTTGGTTCTGATCTGCCGGTTCAGGGATCGAAGCGAGTTGTTGGTTGCCCTGCTGAGAGTAGTTATATAATGCCATTATCGAGTTCTTATCGTAACGACCAGTTTGCTGAGGCATGATAGCCTGGGGTTGTTGATTGTATTGTTGGTAATTAGGTTGCTGGTGTGGCTGGGACTGCTGGAACTGGGGCTGTCCATATTGAAAAGTTTGGTAGCCCATGGAGGCTTGAGGACTTTGATGCTGGGACGTCTGGTGGTGCTGCTCTTGTTGTTGTTGTAGTTGCAAGTCGAATGGGTTGTTCTGATTGCCATATCCACTTGTCTGAGAAGCTCCATAGAAGTCTGATGCTTGTGTTGCCGGTCGAGCTGGAGGCTGTTGCTGTTGCTGCGATGTCGTTTGTGTTGACTGCAACGGAGGAATACCGAATGGATTCAAGTTGGCAGGGAGAGAGCTCTGGCGCATTGGGCTCTGTGTTGGTTGTGGGGGCTGGAAGCCAAAAAATGGATTTGTCGACATCGAAGGAGTAGTTGCGGACTGAGGTTGCTGGAGGAATGGATTACTCCCTGTGGATTGTGTAGATAGAGGAGCAGGCTGGAAGAACGGGTTCGTCTGAATGGAAATAGCAGCAGGCGATGCAGCATAACCTTGCTGAGGATTCGAGGATAGCACGGGAGGAGTCATAGAGTACTGCAGTCGTGGGTCTTGCAAAGGAGCTTGTTGAGCAGGGTATCCACCGGTGCTGTGAGGAAACAATGGCTGAGAGACCTGCAAAGCTTGAAGTGACTGTTCAAGGCCGGTCTCCGTCTGGCTTCGTGTTGGTTGTCCAAACGGGTTGTTGCTGCTATATTGCTGAGCTGGAGGTCTCTGAGGCTGGTCCATTGAGAGACCAACCGTCGGTTGACCGGCTGTTTGCGTGAAGGGATTGTACGACGGTTCCGAAGGTTTCGATGTAGTAGGTACGTCCGGAAACTCAGTCGAATGTTCTCTTTCTGGAGGAGGCCTGGGTGCAGCCTCCTTGCTGCCGCTGCTGGGACCCAGCTGAACCAATGTTGCAATCGTCCTTTCAACGTTTCCATTCAGCCGTCTCAGCAGGTTGGTGTTGCGATCGACGTCGGAAAACCCCATGTCTAGGAGCATGTTAAGCTTCTTCTGGAGATCGGAATCCGTCATCTCGAAGCGTGCATCTGCCATCCTCGACATCGAATTGTAATCTTCTGTAGGTACTTGAAAGTTGCTGTCTATATTTCTCTCTTTGGCAGCCTTTTTCTTATCGTGTCTCGACAGGGGGAGTGCAGAGGAAGACGTTCGAAGACTAAAACCAAAGAGCTTCCCTTTCTTCGGAGGCAACGGCGGTGGGGGAGATTCTGCACGTTGCGGCTTTGGATATGTTGTTTGTGAATGGTCATCGCGTTGTGGAGGTTGTGGTCTGCCATCTGCTAAACTCTTTTCCTGGTATTTCCTGCGGATGAACCTCTCCATCGCAGAGTCTACCTCGTCTGCATCAAGGGGTATATCAGGCTTCTTGTTCTTGGGATTGTAGACTTTGTTCACTTCATTGTTTCCGTGACGTTTCATATTCTGCAACCAGTTAGCGAACGATCATGGGTAGACCTCCTGGGAAGATTGACCTCGACTTGATCGTTTGACCATGTATCCATGCTCAGGGACTTGACCTTGCTGATATGCGTGCCGAGTTTTCTGTGCAATGAAGCGCATCGCATGCACAGGAAGATACCCAGATTCCAGCTTGCCCATGCTGGATTCTTTGCGCCACAATCGGCGCATGTCGAATTCCCGGGGAGGTTCAACAACTCATGCAGCTCTCGTTCATTGCGCGCCTGCGTTCTCTTACTCATGGAAGCCATGTCGCGGTCTTTGTCAGGTAAATAGGGATAGCGGCCAGCTGGAGGTCTGGGGTATCAATGCGACAACGCAGGATGACAGAAGGCGCACGGTGGCGGGAGAATGTCAAGGTACCGTATGCACGAGGCTCGACTGAGAGCAATGATCATGTCTGTTGAAAGCTAGTCATTGTCGTCTCGGGGGCTTGATGGAAGATTATCCAAGCAGAGGACTTGTTTATGGGTGTGATTTGGCCGGACTCTCTTCCATCATCCTTGCCGCATTTTGTCGAACCCCATTTCGGTTAATGGTCCGGCGAATAAATAGTCTGGCGCAGCCCAGTCCACCCGGAGGAGAGGACAGGGTTGACCGGCCCATACTCCATACGAGCTCCCGGCCTACAAGGTCATACTGGCAGTTCTCATGCACCTCCAAGGCCCTTCTAGAGTATCAAAACGGCAAAAAGAACCCAAGGCCCAGAAAAGAAATTATGATATTGAACCATATTCATAAAGGAAAATGCGAGTGCTATCTACACCATCAATCCATGCAACTGGTCCTCGTTCAGGTTCTCAATCCTCCAACATGCAACGCTCACGTACCATAAATCTCAAGACATGTCGGCGTCACCACCACCATTCTTCGTAGCTGAATTGTTGAATCCATATCCCCACATTTGTTGAAGCATCCCATACTGGTGCTCCATTGGTTCTCCGTCGGACAGGTGCCACCATTCTCGACTATCGTAGGCGGGATCATTCGAGTGCCTATACTCTGCATCCTTCGCAGCTGTAGTAGATGCTTCGGCTCTGTTCGCGTCGTCGGTGGCATAGCCATGAGTCATGTAAGGCTCGGCGTTTCGAGCTTCGGCGTCTGGTAAACCCCACAGATTCTTCATCTTGTCTTGTTCTGCCACCTCGAGTCTGTATCGCGCGGCTTCTTCCTCCCTCTCCATGCTCGTCTGTGGCCAATTTCCCAGGGCATCAGGGTGCATTTGATTCCCATAACCCGGGGGGGCTATTTGCCACAGCTGTATCAATCTGGACCTCTGTTCGGAATCTGCATGTTTGAACAACTGCAACTGTGACGGAAACAAAGCCGAAGCATTGATTCCAGCCTGCTCAATAATTGAGGAGACGGGGAGATCGTCCGACTGTACCTGATGTGCAGAATGGTGATAGTGCTGAGTAATGTAGGTAATTGGTGATGCCTGAGGGACAACCTGAGGCGTTGGAGGCATCGACATATCGTGCTGGTGCTGGATGGGATTGAGCTGAAGATTTCTCGTCATCAGGTTGATCAAATCTTCCTGCATTTTGGTGTCGCTCTCCGAGGCTGATAGACCGCACTAGAGGAAAGAATCAGAAGGTCATGAACCGAGAAGGGAACGAACAAACCTGTCTGCAGTGGGGGTTCTCCTCAAACACAGCAATGTTGTTTGACAGATCCGTCTCGTAGCCACAAAACTGACAACGATGAAACGCCGAGGCCATTTTTCAAAGCCTTCTTTGAATCGACCACACCAGCTGTTAGAGATCCTTGCAGCAAGACAACCAGAAAGAGGAGGAAGCAAAAAGTCGGGATTTAGGCTTCAAAATCGTATTGTACTAACTAAAACACGAAACTGCTATAGAAGCTCCCAGTGTCCAGTGTCCAGATCCGGTGTCCAGAAAGATGGTCCTTAGGTGGTCCAGGTTCCAGAACAAAGAGGTCGGTGGTCCAAAGGCCCAGTTGAGATAATGGTTCCTGGTCCTGAGGGAGACTGGTAGCAGAGAACTGCTGGCTTTGTGAAAATACGGTCAAGGCAGACAGATAGGAGAAGAGCGGGGTAGGAGGATGGGTTGAAAGATCAGGCAGATGTGGTCGGGAGAGCAGGATCAGCTTCAGCTCGACATTAAAGCCGAAACGATCGAGTCTTCAAGTCAAAACGGAAGGAAAATTTGATATCAATGATGGACGGAGAATGAAGTTGGGCAGAAGAGAGAAGGGGGAAATGAAGTCGTGACGAGATTACAGAGTGACCTGGTTCTTGCTGGCAGCTGCCCGACGCGCGACACTTGCCGGGACGTAGCCAGCCAAGCCTCCGATATCAAGCTAAACTACTTTTGGCCTCCGGCTTTGGCCTGCGAATGTTGAAGCAGCGACGCGCATTGCGGAGGCCTGGAGTGCTAGCATTCTGTAACTGATTAAACACCATCACCAAACGATCTTCCCGTGCCAGCACCGTCGCTTTTCCACTCCCTCCACTGATTGCTGTGTCGGTAGCCACTCTATAATCAAGAGAGCACAGTCACGATGGTAAATCCGCAGGCCCAGTCACTCCAGGTTTGACCACTGACCTCATTGCCAATAGACGTCAATAGGAACAGGTTACGATCTGTCCAATTCCGTTTTCTCTCCCGATGGTCGAAACTTTCAGGTCGAATATGCGGTTAAGGCCGTGGAAAATGGCAATACCTGCATTGGCATAAGAACAAAGTATGGCGTTGTCCTTGCCTGCGAGAAGATCATCTCCTCGAAGCTTCTCAAACCAGGGACCAACAAGAGAATATCCACCGTAGATCGCAACTCCGGTGTCGTTTGTTCCGGCCTTCTACCTGACGCCCGGCATCTTACCAGCAGAGCAAGAGATGAGGCTAGCAGTTGGCGACAGACATACAAAGCGCCAATCCCGATCAGCGCTCTGGCATCGCGGATGGGAGGCTACGTTCAAGCATACACTCTCTACTCATCCGTACGACCGTTCGGAGTCACAGCAATCTTAGGTGGCTGGGATTCAGAGGCTGAGCTTGGTGTCGACGGCCAGGTCGGGGTCGGTCCCAAATCTGGCGCGGGTGGAAAGTTTGAAGAGGAAGCAGTGAAAAGAGGTGGACCGGGCCTCTACATGATCGAACCCAGCGGTTTATATTGGGTATGAGATCGCAAGGAGCTTGTTTGACGCAGACACTGACGGCTTTAGGGCTACTATGGAGCTGCTACTGGCAAAGGACGGCAAGCCGCAAAGGCTGAACTAGAGAAACTGGATCTGGGTTCTCCCACATGCCCTCTTACGCTCAAAGAAGCCGTGATGGAGGCAGCAAGAATCATCTACGTTGCTCACGAAGATTCGAAAGACAAGGAGTTTGAGCTGGAAATGAGCTGGATCTCCGCCTTGGATGGTCCTACAAAAGGAAGACACGAGCAAGTCCCGCAAGAGTTGCTGGAAGAGGCCGAGAAGGCGGCGAAGAAAAGCCTGGAAGGGGACGACGAAGATGAGGACGAAGAGGATGCTATGCAAGAGTGATAGCTTGCTTGCTCCCCTTCATAGCATTGTAGCACTACCACTGGCGTTTCAAGATGGATCGATAGGTCGGGTGTCATCATGCAAAAGATCCTCAGGACTTTTAGAGCCGTATTCCGTTTTGAAATCTAGCCAAATTCATCGAGTGAGCTGTCTCTCGACGTAGTATCCTATGCGTGCCGAAACGACAACGGCTGCAGCATGCTTTCAGAAAGACGCAATCTTGCCGGCGTTCCAGCCTTTCCTCTTGACTCCGAGCTCGACGGCGGCATTTCCCCAGTCCTCTCCATGATTGTGCCCTTTGGCTTCCTTCCCAGTGCCTCCCTCGAGCCCCGCCCGGGCTAGACCCTGTCCTTCGGTGAGCACCGTCAAGAGGCCGAAAATGACCGGGACTTGGCTGTCCAATTGGACCTTCATCAGGCCATGGCTCACTGCATCTGCAATGTACTCAAAGTGCATGGTCTCTCCCTTGATGAGCACACCAATAGCGATTACAGCATCAAAGGCATGCTTCAATGCCGTGTCCTTCTGCTCGGGCTCTGGCGCAGCCGGTTGGAGACTGCCCTGGAGATCCGTTGTCGAATTGCTGCCGCCCAGCAAGTCACCAATCCCACTCGCCAGACTTCCTACACCTCCAGCAACCGTACTGGCAGTGCTTTGTATTTGAGACGCAGCGTAGACTCGTTGGACCGCCAGAGGAAGCTCGTAGGACCCAGGAACAGACTCGAGGACGATGTTCTCCTCCTTGACTCCTGAGGCCAGCATGGCTCTCTTTGCGCCGCTGATCAAGGAATCGATTATGGTGGTGTTCCATCGGGCATGAACAATGGCGATGCGCAGGCCGGAGCCATCGTGCTTCTGGGGAGCACCTGGGCCTTTCAGAGAAGCCATCCTGATGGCGTGGGCGCAGCTTCAGTTGGGGATTTGGGGGTGTTGAGACTGGAGTGAACGTTACGCCCTGCGATCATGCGAAAATGGTTACGAGGAAGAGGTGAGTGAGTGACGGTGAATGGCTCACCCGCAACTAGCCGCACAATGGCAGCGATCAAGGCACCAAGATGAGCCTGTGCTTCCAGTAAGTGGCTGCGGTGCACTGGCAGCGATTGGGGCGGGAGGCTTTTGCCCCTCGAGCAACGCTGGCCCCTCCAGTCCCTCCCAGGATCTTAGACTGCAGGCTGTTGCCCTTGCATCTTCACAACCACCACACAGATCGTTCGTTACTGCGGGCCACCATCCGAGGACGCTTAGGGTTGCTCTTAGCGGTCGACCTCTTGCCATTAGGGATATACCTGCACTTAGAGGCATAGCAAATGACAACAGGTGAGTTTTGGTTGTGAAATCTCTGCACATGACCTTCCTTGCGGTCCACAGGCGTGCCGAGTACATAATCTGACTTGGATCCAGGCTATTGAAGGCGAAATCGCACTATCTTACGGCTACACATACTCTGTGGTGGAAATCCTACTGTCGCCGTCTAGACTTGCTTCAGTCCCTTCGCTAAACTCGCTGGCCAATCATCCGGACTGTATTATTTTCGTCTCAGAACCTCCTTCAAAATAGTGGCACAAAGGTTGAGTCGTACAAAGATGGCTCCGACGGCAGTAAACGGCGACGGTGTCAATGGGGTCACCCAGGTGAATGGACATAGTACTGGCACACAATTGAAAGCCACGGCTCCAGCTTTCCATCCGGCCGGTACTCCAGATCGAACAAAGTACCACGCTTCTTCATCCGATGAGGCCATCCACGCCGAACATGAATATGCCGCCCACAACTACCACCCACTCCCTGTAGTGTTTGCCAGAGCACTGGGAACCACAGTATGGGACCCAGAAGGCCGACAATATCTCGACTTCCTCTCTGCATACTCTGCAGTCAACCAGGGTCATTGCCACCCGGAACTCGTCAAAGCTCTCGTTGAGCAAGCCTCGACACTCACGTTGAGCTCGAGAGCCTTCTATAACGATGTCTTTCCCCGTTTCGCAGAATTTGTCACAAAGTACTTCAACTTTGACATGGTTTTGCCCATGAACACCGGTGCGGAAGCCGTCGAGACTGCTATCAAAATTGCCAGAAAATGGGGCTACAAATGCAAAGGCATTCCACAGAACGAAGCCCTTGTTCTCAGCGTTGCCGAGAATTTCCATGGACGAACTGTAAGCATTGCGTTTGGCAGACATCACGTCCTTTTACTAACCTTCACCATAGTTCTCAGCCATATCTATGTCAACAGATCCCGAGTCGCGTGACAACTACGGCCCTTACCTACCTGGCGTTGGAAGCGTCAACCCAGCTACGGGCAAGGTGATCCCCTACAACGACATCTCCGCTGTCCGAGAAGCGTTCGAGTCCAGTGGCGACAAGATCGCTGGCTTCCTGGTAGAGCCAATCCAGGGTGAAGCTGGTATTGTCGTGCCCAGCGACAACTACCTATCTGAAGTCAGAGCCTTGTGTGACAAGTACAACGTCCTCCTGATTTGTGATGAAATTCAGACTGGTATTGCTCGGACGGGCAAACTCCTGTGTCACGAGTGGGCTGGCATCAAGCCGGACATGGTTCTCCTTGGTAAAGCAATCTCAGGAGGCATGTACCCCGTTTCGTGTGTGCTTGGGCGCAAGGATGTGATGCTCACCATTGAACCCGGCACGCACGGTTCGACGTATGGTGGCAACCCACTGGGTTGTGCTGTTGCCATTCGTGCGCTTGAGATCATTCGTGAAGAGAAGATGATCGAACGCGCCGAGAAGCTGGGTCAACTTTTCCGTGATGGTCTACGAGACCTACAATCGCCTTTAATCACAACTATTCGGGGAAAAGGTCTGCTCAATGCAATTGTCATTGACGAGGAAAAGACAAATGGACACAGTGCGTGGGATCTGTGCATGCTGATGAAGGAGAAAGGTCTCTTGGTAAGTTGTTCGTCACGGTGTTTTGTTAATTACCTTGCTCACGGAAGGCAGGCCAAACCGACACATCAAAACATTATCCGTCTCGCACCACCTTTGGTCATCACCGAAGATGAGATCAAGCATGCTCTGGCTATTATCGGCGAAGCAGTTGTTGAATTGCCGCACCTCAAGGGCGAGCTGGAGAAGAACATCATCCCACCCGAGGAGAAAAATGTGAAGATCACGGTGGATAACTAACGTGCGAAAGGACGGAGAAGCCTCAACCAGGGGAGCAGCAATACGATGATGATTACATACCTCGAACATGACAGTATCGGCGTCACGAAGTTCATGTTTCTCTACCATTTTACCAGGGATGGGTGCAACGGCAGAATATCGGTCTTTCACTCTGGAGCACCAGACGGCCATGTACTCTGATGTTATAGAATGATGGGCAGCTGACTTGTATGAAAATTTTACGGTCATGAAAAAGGAAGGAGGGTTAGGTCGTTGAAGACCGTGTTGGTCCGAATACCAGTATCGCTACTGGGCTGTTGATAGTTTCCGCAAAACTTGATAGGACCGAGGCAGAATTGCAGCAACGACAGGAGACATGCTTCTCCTCAAGATGCCATCGGTTTCGATTCTTCCTCTTGATGCAGCTTTTTGTGTTTTTGTCGGCGTAATGGTCAGCCATGTCTCACCACCACCCCCGGTGCTCGTCGGCGCTCCGAGATTGAGCCACCCAGTATACTTGAAATCTCCTGCACTGGGTTTATAGCTCGCCGAAGGATTTGAGACGCCCGTTTACACGTCATGGGAGTCAAGGGCTTGCTTCGGTTCGCACGACTGGGCTTCCTGCTCTTTTTGCTCGTCCACCGAGCCCCTCGCTTGATCTCACTGCTGTTCCCAACGTCATCGGAGCGACGAGGACCTCCCTCAAGGACGCATCGTGTAGTTAGTAGACCTCCACACGTGGCTCGTGTATACGGAGGAGTAGGTGCGAGCCACGATACCGGGGCGACAGATTGCGCCGTTGTGGCTTCACGCATCGGGACCAATCAAGTTCCTGACGGGGGCGTCCCCAGAAGCTGTGTTCAGACACTCACGAAATGGAGGCAAAGGAGCGGAGTCCGAGGCTCTGGGCCCGTTACCGGCGACCACCACGGGCAAAAAAAAAAGAAACCGACCGCGAATCAGAGACAAGTACTTGTATGCGACGAAGGGGGGAAAAATATGTACATATGTATGTATCGTCCGACATCTTGTGGTGCTGGTGGTACCCTGGCGACTTGAGTCGTGGGGCCACGAGGTTGGTCGGTATCGTCGCAGCGTGCATGACAACTAAAAGTTCAGAGTTGACACTAACTAGATATTCAGTATCCGGATACTTGTTAAAAACAATCTGTATTTAGGATCGGGGGGGGGGGGGAATGCGGAATTGACACCCTTTGCGCTCCACGGCTGAGGCACCAATGAGATAGATGATAACTTCAATGTCTGAATATAACATATACAGCGTACGCTTTATCCGCTCTCGGGACAAGAAATAGAACTTGTATAGATGTCCATTCGAGAAACTAGACGGGTACGACCCATTGCATCGTTCAACGCACCAAAACCAACACCGTCCGCTATGCAAAAACTAATTTGCCATTCACTTGCCGTCGCCCGCTCATCGTCATCCCACCTTCACATTTTCTCCTTGACATTTTTCCATACCGTCTCTATCGGCCAAACTCGAGACTGGGCACCACCACCGGTCCGTACTTGACCACATTTCCGTATGCGCCCTCCCCCTGTACGAGGAAGTCCGTGGCGAGACTCAACCTGCCACCACCCCGGTGCATTCCCGTACTACCGAAAGTGCCATTGACAATTTCCGGATCGTACACGACGATGGCGACGTAGTTCCTGCGAGCCATGAGTTTGCGATTATTCATGCCTTGGCCCGTCACGTCATGTGTGAAGATCTCCATCATGTCCTCCTTCGTGTCGGTTGGTTGCGAAGGCGTCGACCGTTGACCGTTCGGAGGAATGTACAATGGCTTGTTGTTGTTCAGGAGTTTCATGACGTAGCTAGGGGGTGGTGTGTTGACGACTGACGATGAAATCAGCTGGTACATCGTCTTGTGGTCAGATGGATGCGATGGATCGTGAACCAGACCAGCACCACACGTGTTGACGGCGCCCGAGATAAACGTCATACGGATGGAACGCTGGTGAGAGATGCCTTGGAGAGTGCGAATGAAATAAGTGCGCTCAAGATCCTGTACGGTAGCGTGTCAGTCACGTCTTCCGGGACGAAGGGGCAAATAACCCAGCGTATACATACCTTCGACTCGTGCGTCCACTGGTCCTTGAGTTCGTCGAGTACGTCGATATCGCCGAAAGGATTCAGGATACCACCCATAAGTCCGGATTTGCCAACAGCACGCTTGACAGAATCAAAACCTGAACCGACTGCACCTTTCGCACCGACGACACCCGCTACAGAACTTGTGACTTTACCAAGGACGTTGTATGCCCCGGTCACGGCCTTCTTCCCGGTAGCCATCGTATGGGCGATTTGCTCTGCTGCGTCTAGTCGAGGATAGATCAGTGGCACCGGGATCATTAGTATACAATGCTGTATCGTTTGGGGGAGTAGCGCGATCTTGGGAAATAGACCTTGGTACGTTGGTCCAGCCATGACTTGGTGAGGATTACGTTCGCTTCTGGTGTCTGGACCCACCACAGCGACTGCTGGTCCGAGGAACTTCACAAAATGCCAGCCAGTGCCGGTGACGGTGAATAAGTCGTGATCGTCGGATACATTGCGCAGAATTTCGAGAGTAGTGTGGTGCTGAAACAGCAGGTACATTTCGATACCTATCCGCCCAATATTCTTGAACATATTGCTAAACTGCATATATTCAGGATAAGATCCAAATCCGTCAAATCTGCCCTGTAATCAGCAAAGTGCTAGCCCCGTCTGGAATCATTGACTTACATATCATGATCATCAAGTGTGAGGACGTGGGGTATTTGGGCAAAAGCTTCTCGTAGGTAAGGTTGGTCGAAGTGACTGGTGTAATAGTGGAAATATGCATGTGTCACGTCCTCTTCATGTGCTGCGGTCCAGACTGCATTCTTCCTATTCTCCTTGCCGCTTGTCGCTAGCCATTGTTTCAGCGATGCAATCTCTTTCCACATCCGGTCAGCATATATCTGACTTCCTAGCCCGAGTTGGCAGTGGAAGCCACCGCACTCGGCATGCTTCTGCATAATATCCTTCCACATAAAGCCGACACCACCGAGTCGCGCACGCTCGTTAGCGCTGACGTTAAGAGTAAAGTCGTTGCCCGAGGTTGCGATGAAACGCCAATTCGTCTCGTGTTTTCCAGCGACTAAGAACTCATAACGAGTACAGCCAAGGTGGGAGGTGATTGCATACGTCCACTTTGCAGGTCCGGATTCTTCCATCTGAAGATCAATCTCGTACTTGTAGAATGTCCATCGCTGGTGCTGTGAAATATTGGCGGCCTTAAGCTGTCGTGGATTCGGTGACAGATCAATGCTTTGGTGGATGTGGATCGTTGGTGGTTGTGGAGCGTCAGTCACAAGCAGTATCGAGCCGTACCATATCCCCCGGTCTATGTCCATGTTCGTATAACGTAGATACGGGCCAAAGTAGACGCCATTTGTGGCCACGACTTTGTATATGTCAATGCCGCTGGTGGGAGGGGGACCTGTGAATGCTGCTGGGTTCGACAAGTTCATCACGCTCTGCTGGTCGTAGCCTGGTGTTAGCGGTAAACCAGGCGAGGCCAGCGGCTTTTGGCTAAAGGAAAGACCCGGGGAAGAGAGGGGATTTTGGTAAACACTGCCTACGGGCGATAGAGGAGTCTCGTGCAGGTTCAGTGGTGTTGGGCCTTTTGGAAACTCCCATTGCGTGGCCTGTGTGGGGAGGTGAATATAGTAATACTGTCCAGAATTTGCGTCAAGATGCGCAATCCACCCCTCGGGAAGCGGTGGAGGAGATGCTGGGGGAATTTGCGCAGGCATTTGCTGCGCATGCTGCTGGGTCTGTTGGGCTTGACCATTGACGGCGGCAGCAGAAGCAGGACTCTGATTGTGTTGTCTAGGGTCATTGGCAAATGCAGGATGGCCCTGCTGGTTCGGCACTTGCGCACCCGGCACGGTGTTCGTTTGCGCGATTGGTACAGGAGCTGGAGTACCCGTGGCTGGTGCTCCTGCTCCAACCATGCTTTGTCGGTGCTTTTCAGGCGGCCGGCGACCATTCGGACCGGAAACCTGAGAATAAGCTGGTGGAGGCTCCTCATGAGGCTGGAGCCTCGATATCTCATTCTCTACAGGATACGGATTGCGGCCTGGAGAAGAGACTGTAGGCTGCTGAACCACCGGAGCTGCCGAAGCAGTTGGCGGAGACGACTGTGCGATACCCATGCCTTGATACACTGTAGGCGGCGGGTGCGGACTACTACCGGGTGCCTCTGTTGGTGTCCAAGGCCGTCTAGGCTGGTCATTTTGTTGTTGAGCAGGCGCACCATATTGAGCAGCTCTCTGCTGTGCAGCAAGACTTTGTGCTTGCAGACTGTTGAGAGTGGCAGCGCCAGCAATGCCAGATGCCGCATATCGAGCCTCGATGTCGGTCTGTGGGCGTGCGGCTGGCCCCGAAATAGGTGTCTCTGGCGGAGGAGGGGATCCGCGCTGAGCTCTCGTTGTCGACGTTGAGGCAGTCGAACTGATGCGATTGATTGAGCCCGGATCCCTGATCTTCAGTCGGCTCAATGCATCGGCCGCCGAGGATGCAGAGGGAGGAGGCCAGTATTGTTGGCTGCTCTGACTTTGCGAGCCAGGCAGCGGTGCAGTAGCAGGGCCGTCTCCACGTTGTGGTTGACGCTGGAACAAACCCTCTTTGTCCGGTGCATCTGGACCAGGAGACTCGGGCAAAGGCTTGGGCATCGTCCCCCGACGCTCGGCTAATGTCTGTCCACCTCCTGATGGCCTTCTCTGACCAGGCTGTCTTGAGCCCGCCTGCTCTGGAGATGTCACTCTTCTCACATCAGGGTAAGGATATGGAGTCGATACCGGGTTGCCATTGATACGTGAGGACTGAGCCTGCTGCCTCGGTCGTTCGTCAGGGTAGGGCAACGATGGCATAGGGTAAACTGTCGTGGATTGAGGGGGTTGCTGGGGCACAGGGCTTTGCTTGCCTGCAACCGACGACACACTTGAGGATGCACTAGCGGTCCTCTTATTGATGCGCAGCGGTTCCACAATGGTGGGCGAGTCTCTACCGGAGGGGCGATTGAGGAACATTTCACCCTCCGGCCTGCCCTGATGCCCAGGGACACTCATGGCGACAGGCGACACGCTGCGCTCGAGGTTGCAGGAAAGAAGATCGGAGGACTCGGGGCCGCAGGTCGTCTCAGGTTGAGGCTTGAGGCCGTTGGGTGCGGGGTGTGTTTTCAAGGATGCTTACGATGACCGGCGGTCGACCTGGGGTTGCTTCGAGTTATCAGCGAGGAGGATCAAAGGCGTGTCAGCGACTAGCTAGACAGACAAAATAAGCGCACAGGTTGACAGTCGCTGAGATGACAAGCCAGATATGGCCCAAGATAGCATGCAGAGATAAATACCTGGACGGCGAACCTGGCGCCTGGTAAAATGCAGTATGCCAACTCTTCAGTATCTCTCTCTGCGTTCTGCCTGAAGCAGGATGAATGTAACAACAAGGCGTGAGCAGGCTGGCCGGGGACTCGCGCCCTATCCCCTGCTCATGTACTGGACGAGTCTCTCGCATCTCCCTCGAGATTCATCCATTCGCAGGTCGAGGATTGTAGCCGCCCGGCCAAGCGCTCAACACCAAGATGATGCCCCACGTCTTCGGGCGTCAATTGCCCTGGACCGCGTCTTCATACCACTGATTGGCCCCTTGCACCATCCACTTGCCGTGACACTTGGAGGAAGACGCCAGCATCCGGGGCGGTTGGATAGACGGTGCGCTAAACGTGCACTGACTCGAGATCCATGGGCTCAAGGATCCTCAGGTACGAAGGAGATTCCCTCCAGATGTTAATGCACAGTGCACATTGTCTGCTGCAAAGACTCTCGAGGACGCGCGTCGGTATAACTAGAAGTGGAATGCTTGATGTGACAAAACGAAAGCATGACAATCCAAAAGTTGCTAACTACCTTAAGGTATCTAGAGATACTTGCGCCAGCACATCACCGAACCAATGTCGTGTAGATCATTCTCGTGCCAGTAACTGTCGTCAATGACATATGTCCCCAACCTCAACTCAAAAAGTCAATCTCTGCCCGTGAAAAAGAACGCAATTCTCACCACAGCTACAAAGTCCAAGCTAGACATCCCACAACAGCGGCCATAACTCCAGAGAGTACCAAAGCAGTTGTATGGTCTGCTCCACCAGTGAATGTCGGTTTCGCAGGAGTGGAAGGAGTGATAGGTGGTGAGACAGTGCTGTTGCTTGACGGACCTCCCACTGCAGCATTCGAAGTATTTCCAGAGGCAGAATCGCTCCCGCTGTCCTCGCCGACATCAACCCTAGAGCTACCAGAACTAGATCCAGCTCCAGCTCCAGCTCCAGATCCAGATCCAGCACCTGAGCCTGAACCCGAGCCAGCGCCAGATCCAGTGCCAGATCCAGCTCCTACCCCAGACCCAGCTCCTGACCCAGAGCCTGTTCCAGAGCCGGCACCACTTCCAGCTCCAGATCCTGAGCCACTAACAGATCCTGAACCGGAACCAGAACCACTTCCGCTGCCAGATCCTGAACCTGAACCGCTGCCGCTTCCACTGCCGCTACTGGTGCCGGAGCCTGAGCCAGCACCGGAGCCACTGCCAGATCCTGAGCCAGCACCAGAGCCACTTCCAGATCCAGAACCGGAGCCAATTCCACTTTCACTGCCAGCTCCCGAGCCAGATCCGGATCCGCTATCTGCAATAGGACCAACGACTGGAGTAACAGATGCATACGCGCCTGTAGCGCAAGGGGTCGTGATTGTGACGGTTGCAGCAGCGCCATTCTCGCCGCAAACACTGCAGACGGTGACTGTCGTAGTGAAGCCTTCAGGAATTGTGAGTGGGTTTCTTGTTTCGCATGGACATGCCTCGGTGATGGTATAAGTGACTGCCTGCATGCCTGTACCCGTAGGATTCGGATGATGGTACACGGTCAGGTACTCATGGTAGACACCGACATCGCCATTGGGATATATCGTGGTGAATGCAAGGATCTCGGTGCCAATGCCATCGACGACGGGCGGAGGTGTAATGGCAGGCGGGCCTCCGCTGCAGCTGCCGCCGTCAGGGCACCAAGTGATTGTGCTAGATAGAGTAGTTGTAGTGGTCACAGCGGTAGGGCACACGGAGAGGGTGAGAGTTGTAACGGCAGTGTCAGCAGGGTCGTTGATCTGAGTCGAAGTCTGCGCGAGGACGCTGGTAGCCAAGAGTGCCACGATGGGCATTGCTTTGGTGGGTCGTGTCATGGTCAGAGGATGCAGTGCAGTTGGTCGACAACCGCTCTGTAATCGATGGAAACGAAGGGAACAATTGGAATTGAAAAGAAAAGGCGTCCAAATGAGTGGCTGAAGCGCGACGGCACTTTCTCAAACGAAGGTACGAGTCTCAAAACGAGCTGAGAAAAACAAAAAAGATATGAACTTTGTAGCGAGCCATGGTATTTACCTTTGGTGAAGTCAACCGTGCGAGGTCGAGGTCCACATAACAACCTTGCTGGAATGCACAACACAGCCATCTTGTTTAGGCAATGACCTGACTGTAGGAATGTGTGCACGAACCAGCGCATACTTGGTTGTCGCATTCGAGACTCACAGAGCAAAGGCACCACGAGTGTTCGTAGCCAGTCAGCTATCGCTCCAGGCCGTTTAGAGTAGATCATCGACCACTCAGTAAGGGAGAAAGAGAGGCTCGACCTTTTGAACCCAATGATAGTGAACACTCGGGGTGAGAAGTCATGCAATATCATTTGAATAACCTGAAATAGAAGTATTCGGGGCAGCAAAAAGGTATGTTTCCCATAAATCGACATTCCAGACTCATCGCCCTCATTGAAGAGGACCCAACGAGAAAGAAACTTCCTACAAGGAAAATCGCTCTCCAGAGCCACTGAGTTCGTAGAACTCATGGCAACACATCGCTGTAGATAAAGAACGAAACGATGGTCGTGGCTGGCTCTGTTGCTTTTTTTGATCTGAAGAGAGGAAAAAAAGGAAGCGAAGCTTCAGTACGCGAAATGAATTTTGATCACGGCCAAATGCCAAGGGTTGGGACCCAACCGACTTTGGAATCGGTTTGTTGCCGCCTTGTTCCCGACGAGGGTTTCTTCCAAAAGCAGCGTGACAGAATGCGTGCTTACGGACTTGGAGAGCAGTGCTGCGCTGAAGCTGACGTTCTACAAAAGGCTATACCTTCACAAGACGCGGTGTAAAAGGAGTGAAGTACCCTGCCACTGTAGTTGGTATGGGAATTCTATTCGGAAATTTCAAATGAGTCGCTGGTTGGTACGGTATGCCGCGTCGCTTCTCAATAATCCCTCGAGAGGACTTCTGGCACACGGCCACTCTAAATGTTGGGAGCACCCCGGGAATCAACGAAAAACTGTGCCGATCGCGTGAGAGATCTATTCTTTCTCTCCTAAGCCGGGTGAACAGTTGAAGGTCCAAGCATCCAATCTCACCATTTGCAATGATTGTACCTTCGCCAGCGGTAGGTTCTTTCGGGTGGCTCTCTCGGGCAGATTCAACGTGTCAGGCTCGAATATCATTGAATAGTGACCGGTGGCATTGCTCGTCCAATGACCCCGGTGGCTCTCATCAAAGAATTCCGCGTTGAGTATACGCCGCTTACCGAGGTCGAACTACAGCACTCTTGGTTAGGGGCAGGAAAAGTTTTGATCAAGTATTGTTCGATTATCAATTAAATAAAGCCACACAATCGTTGTCTTGAACGTCATCTGTCCGAAACCTTTGCAATCGGAAATGACAGCTTGTCATAGAAGAGAAAGAGTCCTCCTTCCGTATCTGCTGTGCTCAAGATATCGAGCCTGTCATCTCTGCCTGACCTGATTGTCGAGACGAACTTTCAGCGAATGCATCCTCTTATGCAAACTGACCCGATGATGGCTGCCGGGGAGTCGGTGGATGTTGATGAGCTGAGTCGAAGTCGTCTGGTTCGGCGGGTATGAACTTATTTGAGTGGTTCAGGTCTTGCTTCGGCGTCTCGAGGTCTGGGGCGTCCGCCCGTGCTCGGTTTGGTTATTTTGATCGGTTTGACCGAGGTCCAGTCGGTCCATGGCTCAACGCATGGTGGTCCAGGTGGTGTTCCAGGCGGTGGGATCACGCAGACGGCACCTGGATGGCTAACGGGGGCGGCAGAGACGACGGATGAGCCGATGGCGGCCAGTGCCAGCAGGATGACTTGAAGCTGCATGTTGAACGAATGGGGGTCGTTGAAGAGTGAAAGAGAGATAAACGAGAGACTTTGGGTTGGAATGAATTCGACTTCTGAACGCTGGGAGGTAGGGTCAGAGAGGTGATATATATATCTTCCATCCGGAATTTCCTCCCAGCGGTCGCGACCACATGCTACGCGCTCGACAACACATGAGCAAGCTAGGATTATTGTTGACTCGGCCGGCCTTGGAAAGAGAATCGAGGGACTAACAAACGTTTGTCTCTGAGATCTTGACTCCTGACTCGTCAAGCGAGATGACCCTGGCCATTTGTCCAGCCAACTAAGCCTGGATTGGTGAGCGGGAAAGCTCGTCTAACTGATTTGGACGACTGCTTCCGCAAAAGCCTGTTGTAGAGTCGTCCGGACCGGTAGGGTATCATATGGATCGACGGCAGAGCTTGTCTTGCAATTACGGATATAGAAGCGCGAGTACGATGTGCTACACGTACAGAACAGGGGTCTAGTTTACTTCATTGGCGGAAAACGGCTGGTTCCTCCAACAGCTTCCATGCCTTTTGCTATGTTAAGATATCCGACTGTATTCTTGCGCCCGGCCTACCCTAGAGCCCTAGAGGTTGGTTGTCAACACAACTGTGCCAGGGTTATGCAACCACCGAAGAGTGGCGCAGTTCGGTAAAGGATTGCCCTTTGTACGGAGCACAACATGATCGGTTCGCAAACTGCTTGTAGCTCAAGAGGGAGACTTGAGACCCTCTTGGCCCCCACATGGGCAGAGGAGGCACTCTTTAAAGGGGGGGGGGGGGGGGGGGAGAACTTGACGGCATCGTCTCCTACGACTCTAGCACTGGCCCGTCGAATGTTGCAACAAGTTGCACGACCGGGGCGGCTCGTTCTCTGCAATGCTCTGGGCTCAACATGTCGGAGTAGACCAGTTAGACTTTGGAGACAGACGACTACAATAGTCTGGTTCTGGTCTGAGACTGCATGGTGCCTAGGCAGGTATTATTGTTGTCAGTGACTACGGAATGATGCTACACAGCATCCGCATTCTGTAGAGGCAATTTGCTTTGCTCCCCGCGCACATTTCAGCCACACGGCGCTTGTCTCAATCTCGATTGCCGTCCCTTGCAGTAGCTTTGTGGACGTGCCGCCGAACAAGGTTTTCCACACCGCGCGGTACGGGCGCTGTCAAATCACCTTTTCTCCGTCGAGCAGTGATCGCCTGTCATGGCCGTCACTGCGTCAGATCGTCTGCCACGCCGCACGCATCATCTGCAGACCAGTGACCACTACTGACAGAATGATGTACCGTACTCCGTGCTATTGCAATCTAACAACGATGATCGTCCGAAGCGAACACACGTGGAACAGCCCCCAGATCTTGGACTCTCTGCAGCTCACAGGGAGGGTGATCTGCAATAAATTGGCCAGGGCTATTATTAAATGGCCATGCGACGGCCATGATTCATATTGTACAACGACCTACGCGAGACACACAAGAGGTGGATTCTTCACTGGAAGACTGTATTGTACAAATGCTACGGATACTTTGTGTCTCCGGAGTACCTAGAACAAAAAGGGGCGCTTCTTCGGCGATCCTTGAAACGTTTCAATTTCAGCAACCTCAGACACGGGATACAATACCGACCAGGGTGACCCACCGACTTGAATTGAAGCGAGGCTTGTGGCTTGGATGCGGCGTAAAAGTTTTTTTGTTATCTGCAAGAGCTTCGAGACATTTCGGCCTTGTAAGTTACTGTCACACGACAACGAACTCGAGAGCAAAAACGGCTTCTCTTCCCTGGCCAGTGGTTTTGTGCTCGAACTCCACACCCATTGCAACAAGTCGCGCAAATACGTTCTGCAACTTTGGTGTAGACGCTTCCGCAGCGGACTGACTTCGACAATGAGTCAGTGTGCTCTTGTCGATCGAAGGCGCTGTTGGACGACGGCAAGATGCGCAACTCTGGAGGATTCGGAAAGGACAGGGTTGTACTGGGGAAGGGGCACGTACCATGTGTCTGCGCGGACCTCACCCGCGGCATTAGGTACTCGATCCCGATACCCTGGCTCTGGGATTTATAGACCCGGTGTCCGTGCGCAGTGCTCCAAGGACCTTCTTTGTTGAGGAATCATCACCGACTACCTGAAGAAGTCACTACTGTGTTGACAGTGTTGTACGTACTCGACTCCTCACGATATCGCCGACGAGACCACAGACCACGCCACCGCATCATTGACCCTGAGGAAGTTGCCTTCATCGTGGAAACTTCTTCGGCAGTCGGCAGGTAGACGTTATACCAGGGCTGTGGCCTTGGCCGTGGTTCGGGCCTTGGACCCCTCTGCGCGGTCGCCATGAGCTCGCTGAGCACTGGCCACGCTCGTAGGTGTATTTTTCGAACCTTGGAAGGCGAGAGACCCTTTAGGGTCTGCGCTGACGGTCAACGGCCTATAGGACCTTGGTCCACCGCTGAAAAGTCTATCGATGCTCCAGGAAAACTTGTATCGGCAAAGTGTCTTGGACTTCTGGGAAGGGCTGGCCACGGAGGAAGAGAACGTGAAAGAGAAAAGAAATCGTACCGAGTGTCGGAAAACGCCTCACTCTGGACGGGTAAAGATCTACAGACAAACTCGGTAGAAACTACAAAGCCCTCCGGAGAGGCACTTCAAAGACCACCGCACCATTCTTGCCGTTAGGCATCTTCATCCATCTGCCGAGGCGCATTTGCTTTCCAGTACCGGCCACGACGCAAATGCCTTGACATTCGCCTTCCTTCTTGCCTCCGAATTCGTTGACAATCTCTTTCCTTCTCTCGAAGACTGCCAAGGAGTTCACAAAGCCTCGTGCCACACCGTGATCGATGTCCTTGCTTGCCGGAGCCGCAACTTCAGAGACACCATTTGATGAGAACGACTTGATCTCGGGCCCATTTGTAGCTTGCCCATCCACCTTCCCAATCGTACCCATAGGCAAGATCGTTCGTTTGTCGTCGCTCAGCTTCCATGCTCTCACCCAACCATCCCAGCTCCCACTCAATATGACGTCTGTACCAGGTATGGCAGCCAGAGCGGTTATGCCACGAGGTTGTGGCTTCCTTGTGTCTTCTTTCTTTAGCCTTTCAATGACAGCAGGGTCTGACTCAGACGTGACCTCCTCAAGTGGGGCAGGTTCCTCGACACCGTGAGCACTGTGTATCGTGAAGACGGCCTTCTTTTTGTGTATGCTCCAAAGACTAATTGCACCGGAGTCGGAACCGGTCACAAAGTTTGAAGGTGGTAATGCGGCAACACAATCTAGACTCCCCGTGTGATACTCGTCGTTCCTCGAGCTATCGCCCAGAAACTTGGTGAGCGATTCCTCGACAACTTTCCACCACATAGCTTTGCGGTCTCGGGCACCCACAGTCACGCACTGATCAACTGACACTGGCGAAACATCCACGACGTGATCCTGGTGGCCGAAGAGTGTCTCAACATACGCAAGGCTGTCCTCTCCTGCTAGATTGTATGTCTTGAGTGATCTGTCCATGCTAGCACTGAACAGTTGTGCCCCAAATCCAGTTTGAGTATTTGAGCTAGGAGCAAATGCCAATCCCGTCACGCCGTCACGGTGCGTCGTGAAGGTCTTTAATGGTCGCAGGTCCTCGGCAGACCATATTATGAGCTTCTTGTCCAGTCCTCCTGTAGCAACGTATCTGCCGTCGGGTGACGCGGCTACACAGAGTATCGCCCCATTGTGGCCATGCTGTTGAGGGGCTGATGCCCTCACTTGTACTCCCCTGACATATTTCAGCTGCTTGGGTTTTCGTCGTCGAATGGCCGGTGTGGCCTTGTCGCTACAAGCTGCGGGCATCTGCAGTTGCCACTTGATCAAAGTCCTGTCCCTGCTCACGGTGTACACATAAGGCTGACACACCGCGACACCTGTGGTAACGTCGGTATCTGCTCGAAAGTTTGAATGTGAGGCATTAGCGAAATCCAGGCTGTTGGCGATCAGTCTGAACTGTCTGCCCTTGGCTTCGTCGACATCTTCTTTCAGTCTCTGTGCAATCAAATCTCTGTCCAGATCCTCGGCATCAAACCCAACTTCGTCCACCTCTTGTCTGATGTTGTCTAGGTATCGTTGTGCAAGCCGCACTCTTCGCTCCGCCGCAGTCTCACCCTCTTCGGAGGTGGCTTCTGATTCGGCATCTGTCTCGGGCTCTATATTGTCTTCGGACTCGCTGCCAGATATCGATTCGTCTCGTTCTCTGTCTCGTGGTCGAGCGGGTTTTCGCCCAGGTCTTCCTTCCTGTTCGTCTCGTGCTCCATTCTTCTCTGGTTCCCTCCGTTTTCTGGGTTTGCCTGGGTTATCTGCATCTCTCTTTCGCTTCCGCAAAGAAGCTGGGGTCGTAAAGAACGACGACATTTTTATTAGTTGAGGTTCAAGAATACAGAACGCAAGGCAAACTCTGCCTTGTCTGCATTTCAGTGCAATTCGCAGGTGGACGGGTTGTCTCCAATTAATTTTTTTTGAGTTGCGGGCGCAGCCTCGTCCGGGCGCCGTTCAGCCTTGTCTTCGCTTGACCTTCCCTAAAGCAACTCCCAATGCACCACTTGAAGTCCCCCGACTCGCAAGGCACAGCTCGCCGCGTGTCGAAGCCCAGCGGCATTGATACTTGTATATCACGAACAGCTTCTACCCAGAGACTTTCCACACCTGCAAGCCTTCTTTTCTCTCCCGGTTGACTATATCTAATCTTGTCCAAAATGTAAGTGTTTCTGCCTTGTGGCTCCGGCTTTGAAGTGTCTCGGTCTTGCTGTTGACACAATTGCACAGGGAAGTCCTCCTTGGCCTCACCGGCCGCGATTTCACCATCATCGCTGCCAGCAAGGCCGCCATGCGCGGTGCCACCATCCTCAAATCCTCCGACGACAAGACCCGGCAATTGAACAAGCACACTCTGCTCGCCTTCTCCGGGGAACCGGGTGACACCATCCAGTTCGCAGAATACATCCAAGCCAACGTCGCCCTGTACACGATGCGTAACGAGTCTGATCTCTCCCCCAGCGCCGTCGCCAGCTTCGTCCGAGGCGAACTGGCGCGGAGCTTGAGAAGCAGGAAACCGTACAACGTGAACCTGCTGCTTGGTGGGATGGATCCCATCACCAAGCAACCCAGTTTGTACTGGTTGGACTACCTCGCCAGCAGCGCGAAGGTGCCCTATGCTGCGCATGGATATGCTCAGTATGTGCTTCATGAACCCTTCCAAAATCTGGTGGAGATTGTCTCCTGCTAACTAGCAACCTCCAGGTACTACTGTCTGTCCATCTTGGATAAGCACCATCACCCAGATATCTCGTTCGAGCAAGGCATGAAGATCTTACGCATGTGCACGGACGAGTTGCAGCGGCGGTTACCCATTGATTTCAAGGGGATGACGGTCAAGGTGGTCAAGAAGGATGGCATCGTTGATATGGAGTATGACACGAGCAAACAAGTCCTAGCCGCGTAGTCTCTCACCAAGGTAGCCTGGAATGGAACTGGAAATGGGAGCATGGACTGGGAATTGTAGAATTACACATGCATAGCGTGGCGCAAAATGGGACAATACAATATCAAAATCAGGCAAAATCAATTTGGGGGTATCAATTGCTTGGCTGAGGCGAGTTTACTTCTCTCGCATTTCTAATGTAGCTCTCATGTCAAAGCCTGAGGGCTCCTGGCCCGAATTCGTTAAGTCATGCATGTGGTTCGCATCTTAACCCATGCTCGATTCTCTCTGAAACCCAGTAAAGAGTTGCTTCCCCAAGGATGCGTGCAGCATGATTCTATCACAAAGACCGGCTAGTAGTGCCGACCGCCGCCTCCAACAGGAATCCGCCGGCCATACGCTGGTGCGCTGTATTGGCCAGATTGATGAGACCGTGAGTGATGGGCACGAGAGTCGTAGGACGGGGGAATATACGGTCGGGATTCGCCACGTCTGCCTCGTTGAGCATTGAGGTGTTGCATTCGGCGTGCAGCAGATTGCGGAGGTCGGATATCGTCCTCGTCATCGTCCTCGTCCTCGTCCTCAGCCTCTTCTATTCTTGGTCTTTCATCGTCGTCCCCAGCCACGAAATCATCATCATTGTCAGACTCGTCTTCGGAGTCTCCCAGAGATATTGGTTCGTTTGCGGTAGCATCGCTATTATCCTCGTCCTCTTCGTCGTCGTCATCGCTCACAATCGTCCTCATGTGTCGTCTCGAAGGAAATCCGAATTGTCGATGTGGTTGGAATCGAGAAATAGGTTCGTCGTCATCATCTGATGCCTCTGACGGGTCGTCGTAGACTGTATTGTGACCTGAAACTTCGGTCCCTGTCACCGATCTGTCTTCGTCATCATAGTAAGGAGTTGCTCCCGCATAGTTCGTGGTATGATCATCGGACCATTGGTCATTTTCATCGCCCGTCGAGTAGTCACTGTTGTGATGATTCCGCCGCCCTACAATTGTGGAGACACTCCGTGCATCGTCGCCATCGTCGTCGAGGTGGATGGGAGCATCGTCTCGCTCGATGAAGCTATCCATATCGTCCTCATCGTCGTATTCGTCATAATCAGTACGGCTGGCCTCTGTGCGGTCCGATTCGTACCCTGTGGTAATGTGTACCGGACCAAAATCAAAATCCATATCGACCTCAGAGTCGTCATCGTAGTCGTACTCATCCGTATCTAGTTGAGGACTAGGATTTGATTCCTCGTCCATGTCGCTATCACCAGGCTCGTACTCATTGAAACCACATTGCATACACTGTCCATCCTCCAGTTCCCAGTGACATTCTGGACATCGCATGACATTGTCCTCCTGATCAAGGATGCCCCTTGCCCAGATACTGGATAAATGGAAAGCATGGTGATGATGCTGCTTGAAAACACCGTTGAAGAGGCCTTGTCCCGCGCGATCTGCGGCGAGTTGTCCAGCCTCGTCTTCTTTGGCTTGTTGGTGTTCCGCTACGGTCTCGTCTTCAGGTAGCAACTCTGCTCGGCCAATGAACATATGTACGAGGTCTCGCAACAGATAGTTCGGCGAGGGTTGTGACGTGACTTCAGCTCGACAGTCCGGGCAATTCTTCTTCTTTTTCCGATTTTGGGCACCTCCGAACCAGCTAGCCAGGCATGAATAGCAATATGTGTGTCCGCAGGCGAGGATGAATGGCTCATAGAACGGCTTGATGCAAATTTTGCACAATGAAAGGTTACGCATGTCCTCGATATGTTTTTGAAATGTCGAAAGCAGGGGCAGGTCGTTCGCCGCTGGTCGCGGGCTGGTGTCGGCGGCGGACATCGTGAGATCGCGAGGTTGATTTGGGGGCACAGGCTTTGAATGTTGATTTTGAGATCTTACTAGTCCGTGACACCCCAGGTGCCGGCCACTATACGGACTATGAGAGTAGTGGTAGTCCTGGGAGAAGCGCGAAGAGGTAAGGCGAGAGTTGGCGGCGCGTGTATCACTTTTGAAGTGGCTGAAAGTTACAAACTCAGATACTCCGTACTTGACCGTAATTTGATACTGCGGAGTATTGGGGCCGGCTTTTTGCCATGATCGTTTTGCCTGGACAAAATATATACTTATAAGATACTTGATTCTTTCCCTTTGCGTGCGCCTTGACAGCCATGTCGAAATCAATATCATTTGGCTTTGGTAGGCAGAAGCCATCAGCTCCTACAAAGGGCTCCATTGTCCCTGCGAAACGACCGGCAGCCTTGGGTGGTCGAACGAGACATGCACTCCACCACGACTCAGACGACGAAGATGAAGAAGAGCCTAGGCACGAGTCAGTCACTGGCTTTTCGTCAAGTGGTGCTATTCTAAGTCAGCCTGTACAGGAAACCAAAGAGCTAGTCATCAAGAATCCAGGAAATGCAGATTGGCGAAGGCGAGGGCATAAAAACCTTCTTCCTGTTGAAGTCCAGGCGCAGCAAGAGAATGGCAGCGTTGTTATGGTCGAGAAAGATGAGGTCAGCACCGCCAGTGGTCTTCAATTTGTTGCGAAACAAGACGATGCAGACAAACAGTCTAAGGAGCCTGTGCAGCCTACCACAGCCCACCCGACCGACACAAACGAAGAACCTAAACAGTTGACCGCAGATGAAGAAGCATTGCAGGCGCTGCTGGACGATGGAACTGGGAAACCAAAGTCCAATGCTGTGATTATACAGCAAGGCAATATGCATACTTTCCGAGACGAGACACAGGACTACAGGGAAGATGTCGCATCACGGCCCGATTCCAGTACCCTGGAAGAATACGCTGCGATGCCAGTTGAAGAGTTCGGTATGGCGATGCTGAGAGGTATGGGCCAGAAGCGGCGAGCGAATGGCGAGGTTATCAATCTAGACAGGAAGGACGAAAATCAGCGAAAGCTCCGCAAGCAAGAAGGGTTTCTTGGTATTGGCGCGAAGGCTGCTCCGGGCACAAATGGCGTCGAATTAGGCGCTTGGGGTAAGGCGGACATGCGCAAGAACAACAAGGGCGAAGGCTTTTTTACGCCACTAATGCGTGAGAACAAAACCACCGGGGAGAGAATCTCCGAAGATGAGCTGCAGAAGAGGCTGAAGGAGTCCAAAGGAAATGAACGTGAAGAAGACTGGAGACAGAGGAGAGATCGCAACTTGGAGCGAAGTGGGCGGGACAAGGATCGAGACCGGAGGAACGGAGATGACGACTATCGTGCCCAGATGAACGCATTCTCTCGATCTGGTTCGGCCAAGCGAGACTCAGATGATCACCATGGCTCTCGCTCAAGAAGGGACAGGGACGACCGCGATTACGAGAGCTCGAAGTCGAGGAAGGATGACGACAGGGCTAAAGATCGACGGCGGCGAGATGACGATGACCACGATAGTCGACATCGGGACAGGCATCGGGACAAAGACCGCCGTCGAGAGGAGGATCGGTATGACTCGAGTTCCTCACACAAGAGTCACAGAGATCGTGACAGGGACAGGAACAGAGACAGAGACAGAGACCGTGATCGCGACCGCAATAGAAGATAAAAGTACAGATTAATGGATACCTCCGTCCTCCCGCTGGCTATGGATCCAAGCACATAATCATTGTCTGTTCAAGCATCAAGACATCCTCCTCTTTCTTGACCTGTTTTGCAGGCCCGTGTCCATTCGCCAAAATGCCTTCAATTCCGCTAGCAATGCCCGCAACTTCATCCATCTCGCGCAAGGTATACTCAATCAGATAGCTCTCGTCCAATAACTCTTCCATGCGCTTATAGTGTCGCTCGGTGTACACTTCCAGTGCACGGAGCAGATCTTTCATGCCCCCGCCACTTTTACCCTTCGTGGCAGAGCCTGAAGAAAGACTGCGATCCTTGGCCATCTCCACGAATGTGCTGGCAGGATAGCTTCGGAACAGGCAATTTAGGATGGTTTGCGCGACCGTCGCTGTTCGTGCATTTGTGTTCCAGTCCCGCACACGTTCTAGCAGCACATATATTTGTCGCCGGTCCAGCGTGGCGAGCACTTCGTCTACAGCGCGCAAGCCAGTTAGGCTGTCGGACTCCTTCTCCGCATCAGGTAGCGTAACAACATCTTCGAATACGCGGAGGAGACGGCCCGGATGATTGAGAGCAAGCGATAGCGTTATAGCTTCGCGGTAGTTTTTGGCATGGATGTGGTTCTGGAGTTCTTGATCCTGTTCAATGCGTTGAGTCGCACGCTGCGAAGCAAGAGTTGCGGTTTCCACGGTAGTATCGCGCCAGAACGTGAGGGTTGCGTCCGCGGCACCGGAGACCAGAGGATATGGATATGGTTTGCGTTTAGAAGAGGGTGGTATGTAGTAAGCATTAGGAGCTGTAAGGGCCCAAACGCGGTCGGTATGGTTGTCCAATGTTGTCAGGAGGTGATCGGAGTCGGAGGGTGAGTAAGGGGACCAGAGCTTGACAAGAGTGTCGGCGGAGGCAGATGCGATCAAGGGCTCATTCTTCGTGGACGGCGGTCGGTGACCATCGGTTTCTGAGTCTGAGGATGGTGTTGTGGATGGCAGCCACAGGACTTTGAGCACGGAGTTGCTATGCCCTTCGAATGTCTGCAGGCAGGTATACGTGGATAAGGACCATATTTTGACGGTACGATCACCAGAACCCGAGACGAGGAGGCCGCGAGAACCGCTAGAGCCACCATCAGAGGAAAGGGGTGGTATGCCGGCAGGTGAGAAGCGGATCGACCAAACACCACGTTTATGGCCGCGGAGTATGCCAGTGACAGAGCCGTCCTCGAGCGACCAAATTTTGATGGTGCGATCCTGTGAAGCGGAGGCGAACAGGGGCGCAACAGGAGATACGTCAATTGCGTTAATGTCCTTTTCGTGAGCGACTCGGGTGAAGAGTGCTTTGATGCCGGTATGGGGCTCAGACATAGAAGGGGTGTATTTGAGCCGAGAAGTGTCCCAGCGCTTGACAGTTTTGTCTTGAGAGCCGGTGAGCAGGAACAAAGGAGGATGCTCGGAGGGATTTCTAGCCGCAGCACTATCTTGACGAGGGCTTCGAGGTAGAGCGATAGCACCTAGTGACTCGGCGTGTCCTGCAAAAGTTGCAAAACACCTGTAAGATGAGGATGCTGGATCTAGACGCCAGAGCTTTGCGGTGTTATCCTTTGCACCCGTTGCCAACCAGTGGCCAGACCAGTCGACGTCTAGACAAATTATGATATCCTCATGTCCTTCTAGTAGGGTTACATCTGCTCCGAACGGTGACCCTCTGCTGTTGTCCTCCGCGATGGACACCAGTCGGACACTCTCAGTGTTCGTAGCGAGCGCAAGAAGCGATCTGTCGGGCCCAACACAGGCCATGTCAATGACTTCATCGTAGTTTCCTGCCATTGTGCGGAGCAGGGGCAGACTTTCTAAAGATTGCGATGCCTTCAAATCTGCAAGCTGACCAATGCTCCAAACCCTTATGGTCTGATCCTGATGCATTGAAAGGAGCGCATAATCACCTGGTGCATTGACGATTGTGGTAATAGCATCATTCTCGAGACCAGCTTTTCCCTTCGGCGTGACTTCTCGTCCGGCAACAACATCCCATACTCGGACCAGCCCGTGCTCTCCTCCTGTAAAGCAATATCTGCCATCGCTGATGAAACCAGCAGTTTCAAGCACCTCGAGTGCAGGAATGACCTTGCGTTGCTCCCATGTCTGTGTGTCCCACAGAATGATTGTTCTATCCCGACTGGCGGAAAGCAAGAGCTGCTGCGTCTCTGAATAGTCGATGCTTCTGACCACGCTTACGTGTGAGTCAAGAATCGCGAGTGATTTCCGCGAAACCAAGTTCCATACCCGAATTTTACCATCTTCACCACCAGATGCAAGGTAAACATTATGAGCCAGCGAGTGATCGTCGAGATTAGTTGGTGCGCCATCTCGACTCTTTCGTTTCCGGCTTGAGCTGCTGTTTGATCGATCCGTTGCATTGATCGATGGTAGAGTGAGGAATTTCAGTGCAGAGACGACTCCGCCGTGCCCATGAAAGGTGTGTGAAACGTAGCCTCCTCGGATATCCCAAACTTTGACAGTTCCATCAGCACCACCAGTAGACAATAACGTCCCCGTCGTGTCGATAGCCGAAGAGACAACAGGGGTGTTGTGCGGTTTCAGAGTTCGCAACAATTTGGAGGTGAGTGTCTGAGCATCGCCATCTGGAACAAGCGAGAAGATGCTCATGGAAAGTGATCGTGAACATATAACCAAGTGCAAGGCATCGGGTGCCAAACAAAGGCTGGTGACAGCCTCCCCGTCTCCTTCTATTCTGCACAAAACGCTACCGGTCGCTGTGTCAAACACAAGAACATCGTCATCGACACAACTTGCGATGAGGCTGCCGCTAGAGTTGGAAGAGACATCTCCTCCAGTGTAGATCGGCTCGATGGTTTTGGCAACCTCGAAGGTGGTTTTGAAATTGACCTTGGTTGCCATGTTATGCCGCGACAGTGATTATATTAGCATGGCTCCGTCATGTATGACTCTTGGATATCATAAGGCAAATCCGATTAGAGTCTGAAATCATACACCCGAGTCTGAACTGGAGGTTTGGAAATTTTGATGGTCAAACGAAAAATTGGTTGTGATTGGCTGGGCTTACAAGGCTACGTTAGACTTTATACAGAATAGCTTGGCGCCACAGCCTCGTGGCTCCCCAACCTTATTTGTCGCCCGCGTCCTTCGCTTCAACTTTCCTTGGCCGCTCCTTCTCGTATGCACCTACGTCCGTGGAAGTAGTATTGTTCATGTACGACTAAACTCACTTACTGCCCACGCATTCTTCCAACTCAGGGTTTCAGGGTAGCAGCGAATATATATCTGCGGGATGGCGATATGATTTGCTCCGCTCTCTGCCCCCTTGATGTCCTTCTACAATGCGCACTCTGGAGGACCAGGTCGAAATTGATGATCCTGTCTTAACTTCTGGCTATTGAACCACAAACCGAAATGGGTCGCAAGGCGCATCTTGCCCGGATGGCTCTGGTAAGTAACCGGTGACTGTGTCGCACTGCACTGGGAGCGGGCTTCGCTGTGTAGGGAACTGCAATCTCACTCCAGCTATCAAGTCAATCTTTCTCATCAATATCTGCTCTATCCTCGCCGGGACTCCTTCGTACTGATCCTGCTTTAGGGAAGGTCACCTTTTGACGCACCACTTCAAGATGAGGATGGCGAGTTCATTCTAGGCCCAAACGTTCAGCACGCTACTGCTCGAAACTATGTGCAACGATTTGATAGTCGGGGTCACCCGGAAAACCTCGCATCTGAGGCCTCACGGAGGAGACTTCGACGTGCCCAGAACGAGGTTCTGTCAACCGTCGGTGTGGTCGTCCGTAAGGCCAAAATGAATCGTTCAAGATGGGAAAGCATGGGAGATGATCAGAAACATCTGCTTCTCCTGGACGAAAATATTGCAGGCGCCAACATTGGCATTGTCGAAAGTGTCGTCCTGAAGATGTCAACACGCTGGCTGAGTGCTCTCCGTCGCCGAATCCTAGTCAGTCAAATCTTGCTATGCTTATATATTCTTCCCTCCCTAACTTGCTCAGGTTTTCAAATCATACGTGGGTCTATCAGTACCTCGGATCTTGAGGACTGAGTGGAATGTTGTAGGTCCTTGGTCCGTTCTGTTTGCCGGATTGCCATTTGGCGCCGTCTCAGCAGTCAGCCAGGCTCTGAGGGACGATATTTTGGATGAGCATCGCTTCACAAATTTGTTGCGGTCATCCAGCACCTCTCCTGCGATAAAATTTGCCAACCTTATTGGTAGCCACAGGTTAGACTTCCTGAAACTGTTGTGTTCCTCGCTGATTGTATCAAGTCTACGGATGCTGTGGTTCGCGGCCGAATACCCTCTTTATGCATTCTCGACCTTACAGTCTTTGTATCTGATACCAGCCGGCGCCTTTCCACATCCATGGAGTTTTGTACCATTCAGCAATATATCCCCTATCCAACTTCCTCGGCCGCTTCCAGACGGTTCTTTAACGTCGGTAGTGATCTACGTTACGCGGCTATGCGCGCATCCATTCACGATTGCCTACGTCCGAGACCAAATTGGGAAATTCATCTACACCAAGCTCTACATACTGGCCCGTCATCTTGTAGTGAAGCCTGACCGACCAGATCGGATCTCATTACAAAGCGCGCGAGCAAACAGTAGCGTCTTCAATGATACTACAATTCCAGGACTGGGGGCTGACGGCAAAGCACTAAGCAGTCACAATGAGCCGTCACCGTTCACGGAGACTATCAAAACACTCTTTCCAGCCTTGTTCTGGCTATGGGAAAAGATTTTACAAACGCAAAGTGCATCATTGACGGTAGAATTGACGCCAGATATGCAAGAAGAGCTGGTACAGAGGAGTATGATGTATTACCGAGATTCCATTCGACGTCAGCGAAGAGATTACGGTGCGACCAGACATTCTTCCCGGACACTCAGAGTGATGGCCATTCGGGATGCCTTCGCCGATTTTGGTCTCGACCCAGACCAGGCTATGGTCGATATCTTTGAATTGGCCGAGGGATTGCATGTCAGTGCCAGGGATGATGCTTCCACTGCTACTCCAGAACCCGAAGCCGACATCTTGACTTCTCCGATGGTAATTGTGGCGGAAGCTGATGGAGCTCTGCATGTACAGCCCGCTCGTACCGCCGACGCATCGCAGCTTGAGAGCCAACACTCACCAGGAGACAGATCTCCGGAGAACCTCCAGGAAGCGAACGGTGCAGACGCCACCCGCACAGACATCGTGGAGGGGATATCGGAGATGCCAACACTAGACGAGCGTACCGTGCCTCTCGAAAGGCTGCTTTTGACTGCACCATCAGATCGTCTTGCCATTCACGTTGACGAGCCTATCGATGCGCAGCTCTTTCCTAGCCCTCCACCCTCAAGCCCTCCGAGTCCTCCTGAACTTGGGATCAACCGAGCTCAGAGTCTAATAGCGACGGCTCCACGGCCAGTTCGTCGGGAAACAGATATATACAATGAGCAAGCTCGACCGATTCGACAAGATTTGTTCTCGCGCCACCACTCGTTGCGGGCTCAAGAGGAAGACGATGGAGTATATCGTGTTACTATTTTGTCCAACCATCCAGCAGAAGCCTTCGCCCTGAATGTGGCTTCTGCAATAGAGCCTTTGCTCCTCCTTCCGCTTGACATACTCTTCTTCCGGTCGATGGTACGCAACTTTACAACTCAACCGACCAGCTACGGACTCTCTTTGTCTACAGGATCGTTATTGACCCGGACCCTCCCGGTTGTATTCAATTTCGGAGCCGATGAATATAACGGTTCATCAGCGATGTTACCGATTTTGGGAAATTGGGTCATCACACTTGCTACGCAAAGTATCATTAATTTCACGATATGGAAGATGACCACACATTTGATATTGAGGTTGGGACGGCGGTTTGGCTGGGGCAAAATTTAACGGCATCGAGCACCGCATTGCGATGGCTGCTTCTTGCACAGATCTCATTAATAATGATACCCAACTAGTCCGCAGTGCGATAGATAACACTGCCGGAAATATACACATCTCTTAAGAGGATGCATCCTCTAGCTCCAGATTCCGCACGATTTGGATGATTAGACAGCCTCGCGCTTCACCAGTGGCCAATCATATCTGACGAGGCTGTTGCCTGCGATGAAATTGTTTCCCACCTTTGTTTTTCTCCTTCAGAGAGCCCAGTTGGCTCACAACTCACTCTCAGATCATGTCGAAACGCAAGTCAGAGGAACCTCTTGAGAACCTGCTTGTCGAGGCGTCGCCGTCGAATAAGAGACCCCGTGCGGAAGACGTCCCAGAAGGGGTACCCGAATCAACTTCCACGATACGAAACGGCGCAAACCATGAGAGGAAGCCTCTTTCCACGAACGGAGGAACGAGCGCAGTCAGGGAAGAGGCCGACGAAAACCCTGAATCCGACAGCGACACTGAAGATGACAGACTTCCCAACGCTCCTTTGCGACAGGCCGCACCAACGGAGGGATACTGCGATCTCTATCTAGACACGATTAATCGGACACTACTCGATTTCGACTTTGAAAAACTCTGTTCCATCACTCTCTCCAATATTAATGTGTATGCATGCCTCGTATGCGGAAAGTATTTCCAAGGCAGAGGCCCGAAATCGCACGCATACTTCCACGCTCTCGAAGTCGATCACCATGTCTATATCAATATGGAGACTAAGAAAGTTTACGTATTGCCTGAAGGTTATGAGGTTCACAATAAGAGCTTGGACGACATCAAATATGTGGTTGACCCCAAATTCACCGAGGACGAAGTGCGCAAGTTGGACAAAGATCCCAGAGTCTCGACTGATTTGTCGAACAAGAAATATAGGCCTGGATTCATTGGCATGAACAACATCAAGGCGAATGACTACCTGAACGTGGTTGTGCAGGCTCTAGCCCATGTTGCGCCGATCAGGAACTTCTTTTTGTTGCACCAATTCCCGCAGACGACACCACAACTCCCGGTACGATTCAGCGCGTTGGTACGAAAGATCTGGAACTCCAAAGCCTTCAGATCCCATGTGTCGCCCCATGAACTCTTGCAAGAAATCGCACTGAGATCATCCAAAAAATTTACTCTTACCCAACAATCAGATCCAGTGGAATTCCTGTCTTGGTTTCTCAATACTCTACATCTGAGCCTTGGCGGTTCGAAGACGAAGCTCTTGTCGTCCATCATCCAAAGGACTTTCCAAGGAAAACTACGGGTAGAGTCACAAGCCATTACCGCAAAGTCCGACACTACTGGCGACCGGCTTAGATTCGAAGATTCCTCTACCATTACAACCAATACTACTCCTTTCATGATCCTTACTCTCGATCTACCTCCTGTTCCCCTATTTCGAGACGCTGTCGAGTCAAAGAATATCATCCCCCAGGTGCCACTGACGACTCTATTGCAAAAGTACAATGGCATCAACGCGTCGGAGAGACAAGCACACCGAGTTCGTCATCGCTTGTTACACCCGCTTCCACAATACTTATTATTCCATGTCAAACGATTCTCCGTGAACAAATTTGTCTCGGAGAGAAATCCCACCATTGTGACGTTTGGGTCGCCCAAAGGCTTAGATATGTCACCGTATGTCGAGCCAAATCCTGCTCTCCATCCTCCCGGCGAGCCTATTCTCTACGAGCTGGCTGCCAACATTATTCTCGACACAACATCTGTATCCACTGGCGGTGGGGAGGATTCTAATGCTGCTGATGCTGCCAACTTGGCCGCTGGCGCTGACGGACAAAGAGTGGCTTGGAAGGTGCAGCTTCACGACAAAGCAGTTGCCTATGCGAAGAGGAACGACCTGCCAGAGTGGATGGAAATTCAAGATCTGTATGTAGAGAGAGCTGAAGCAGAAACATTGTTCACCAGAGAGGGATATCTCATGGTGTGGGAGCGGAAAAAAGAAAAGCCTAAAGCAAACGGCAATGCTCCAGGTAAATCAAGAGCGTAATGTTGGTATAGCGCCATATATCACCACGATATCGTAATTCTTCGATACGCCCTATAGCATTGTCTAGTCTCCAGTTGCTGCTGCTAGTGTGACGCTGTGACTCGGTCGAAAGTGGTTGCGGAGTTCGTCGCAATTAATGGCTTAGGTAAATGTTGGAGAGCAGAATAGAGCTATACAACCTCAAATGTATTTTCTGGATTGTACTCACAAGAACAGGTCCTTTGTAATTCTCTCCTTGTCATCAAGAAGCACTGAACATGAAGCTGCTGTGGTGCGCGGTGGGCGTCGTAATTCCGTTTCTTACAGTTGATGCGCTGATCCCCGCGAGCAATCAACAACCAATTCAACAACCCGCCGCCTTGCCTGGAGCTGCTCATGAGAAATTGGAGGATGTGATCTCTGCCTCGCCCTTGCTATCATTGCACAGGGCGATCTGCGAGGTCGAGTCCATCTCCGACGATGAGCTCGCTGTTGGGAAACTGGTTATATCCCTCCTGAAAGCTCACAACTTCACCGTCAAGACCCAAAGCGTCCCCCAACCAGAAGAAAGGAACAGCACGAAACCACGTTACAACATCTACGCCTATCCAGATCCGTCAAAGTATTCCGGAATCGACGTCGATGCCATCCCGTCTCCTAAAGTGGTGCTGAGCTCTCACATCGATACCGTACCGCCTCATATTCCGTACTCGCTGTCACTCCCGCCGGCGAAGACCGCGAGAGAGGACATATTGATATCCGGCCGGGGAACTGTCGACGACAAAGCTTGCGTAGCAGTCCAGATCCAGGCATTACTCGATCTACTGGCCGATCCGGACGCGAAGCTCGACCCCTTGGACGTTGCACTGCTCTTTGTGGTTGGCGAGGAGGCGCACGGCGATGGGATGAGACATTTCTCAGCGTCGGACCTGTACAGGCAGACGAACACCAATTACCATGCCATTCTCTTTGGGGAACCTACAGAGGGTAAACTGGCGACCGGGCACAAGGGAATTGGAATGGTCAAGGTCAAGGCCCGTGGCAAGGCTGCACACTCGGGATATCCCTGGCTCGGGCGCAGTGCGAACAGCATGATTTTGCCTGCCTTGCTTGCGCTTGACGGGTTGGGCGATATTCCCGAAGATGCCGGAGGTCTACCCAGAAGCGAGAAGTACGGCAAGAGCACGGTTAATGTCGGATTGATGCGCGGCGGTGTTGCAGGCAATGTTGTACCAGAGTATGCGGAGGCGTCTATCACGTTCAGACTCGCCGGGGGCGACAGTGACGAGCTCAAAGAACTGGCCACAAAGGCAGTTCGGAAAGTTGATCCAGAGGGTTTGTTGGAGCTCGAGTTCGCTCAAGGGTATGGTCCGATTGAGTTAGATGGTGACGGTGTTGACGGCTTCGACACCATCACTGTGAACTACGGTACGGACATACCGAATTTGAAGGTGGCCGATGGCGTTAAGAGATATCTGTACGGCCCGGGCAGTATTCTGGTCGCCCACGGGAAGAATGAAGGCTTGACCGTTGGGGACCTGGAGGAGGCATTGGATGGATACAAGACGCTACTACTGCGTTCACTGTAGCCGAGATGCCGAACGAAGCCATAGAACACGAGCAAGCTCAAAACAACATGGAAGATTCTTGTACAGGACTGCCCTACCGTGCGGATACAGTAGGAGTACTTATTTGCCTTTTGTCCCTGACCCGATGATACTTGTGTTCTGGGCGGTTGTGGCCGGCAGCCGGCAAAGGCCAGAAAACCTTCGGCGGCGTCCCAGCGACATTGCCAAGACTGGTCGACCACGCCATTCCCATTTCGGAGCCCACAATCGCTCTACCTTCCCTGCCAAGTTTTTGCACACCGCACCTGAGATTTCGCTGCGGCCATTTGCGATTGAACCGAGAACCACTTCATCCTTCGACAACAACCGACTCGAACCCTCGTCGCCAACCCAGTCAGCAGAGATGGCGAAGGAAGCGACCCCAAAGACCGGCCTCGCCGTCGGCTTGAACAAGGGCCATGTGAGTCTGCCCATTTCTCTTCGAAGCCCCGAGAAGTAAGATGAGGACGTTGTTGTGTGGGACAGGGTTGAGGATCAGGATTCAAGTTCCAGCCAGAATCTGTCCTGGCAGCATACGGGGAGAGAAGGGAACACCACGAGAAGCTTTTTCAACCCTGTCTTCACACAATAACTCATCTGTTGCCTCCCACTGGGCTTACAAGGAAACGGGATCATGTGTTCCTTTTCCTGGAAAATCCTGAGACGAACCCGAGAATGCTGACGAGACTTTTGTCCAATTTTGTAGCAAGTCACACCCATCACCCCCAAGCCTCGCATTTCCCGCCGCAAGGGAGCCCTCAGCAAGCGCACCGCTTTCGTCCGCGACATCGTCAAGGAAGTTGCCGGTCTTGCCCCATATGAGCGTCGCGTTATCGAATTGTTGAGAAACAGCAAGGACAAGAGAGCGAGAAAGCTCGCAAAGAAGAGGGTATGTTTTGTGCCTGACTTCTTCCTCTACCCTTGAAATGGTCACCCCGGACGCCTTCCACGAACTACGGCAATCGACGGATCGTTTATTGTATTGCTGTATCGCAGATGTGTGGACCTAGGGGTTGCAGGAGCGTTCCTCCTGGGCTTGTCAGGTTCAAAGGCTAACTCTAGTTTCAACAGCTCGGTACTTTCGGCCGTGCAAAGAGAAAGGTCGACGACCTGCAACGAGTCATCGCCGAGTCGAGAAGAGCCGGTCATTAAGCTGCCGCGTCGTGAGTCGTGGGACTACGGAGACACGATATGTGGTTGTCAACATGAGAGAGTGTGGATACGGCACATGGCATATTTTCGACCTGGCGCATTTTTTTACTCGAAATCCAAAAAAAGGAAAGGATGATACCGGATCGCAAGCGGAGATATGTCTGGCGAATTCCAAATCCATTAACTTCACAGAAGAATGGTCTACTGGAAATTTCACAAGCAAGTCAAGGTTCGCTTAGAACAGCCTCTGAACAAATAAAATGACAAGGTCTTTGACGAATCAAGAGGAACTCCTGGAGGTGCTGGGCAACACTGTCATCCTCTCATAAAATCATGTTCTGTCGTCCAAAATATGCCACCCAAACTGCTATCCGCCAGTCCTGTTTTTCTTTGGACGAGAAAACAGTCCATGGCCCCAAGCAGTTGTATCATGCCTGTGCACTTGCTACCGTATACTAACTTCGACTTCGTCCTCATCCTCCAGTTCGATGTCTTCGACAGTCTTCTCGGGATCTAGTCTCTCACCATCAAAAATCAAGTACGCCGTCTTTCCTTCATCGATTTTCCGCGTTGCCACGAACCCACGTGTGATTTTCGCAATCGTCGTATGCGGCCTTACACGCAGCTGCATCGGCTCTAGATTTTGTGCAACGAGTCTGATGACAATGGAGCCATCACTTTCCGGCGCCGGCGTCGCAGTATGCTCTTCGTCTTCTTGCTCCTGCTCCCGCTGCGATTGGCTCTGTTCGCGCGCCTTCTGGCGCTGCTGTTCTTCGTATAACTCCGGTGTCATGGCATCGATCAAGATGTTCCCATGGCTTGGGTCCTTGTCCTGGTCCACACCTTCATCGAATTCGTCATCGGTCAATCCTAAGCTTGCACTCTTTTCTCTGTATTCGGTCTTGAGCTTGAGCAGGATTCCACGCATCGTGGTTGAGTCGAACAGCCTAGTTCCCCTCCAGGTGAAGAAGACCTTGCGTGTCGTCTTGTCATCCAGTTGCCACCTTTTGCACCAAAATTCTTTGACTTGTTTCAGAGGTTGAGATGCTTTGCGTTTGACTATCAACGCCTGCGTATTGGGGATTTCAGATCGGATCATGATGCGGACATGGGGATCGTCTTCCTGTTCCGAGGCTGGTGTCGCACGTCCATAGCCTTGTGCTGAGTCTGATGAAGTAGGGCGGCTGAGCGGTTTGTCCACCGATAGATGTCTTGAACGTTCGGATGCTGCTGAGGATGCACGGAGGGGTGTATTGGATCTGTCTCTTTCGATGCTGGGTTGCTGGAGTCTGGCTTTTTCCCGAGCTTTGGCTTTTAACTCGCGAACATAAGCGTCTTCCTCCTCCTCCGACTCTTCGTCTTCGGAAGGAGGTTCTGTTTTCCGTTTGGATGCCGAGGAGCTACCAACTTTGGATGGTGGAGGTGTCCATATCACCAGATCATCCTCGGACTCTTCATCTCCATCTTGAAGCACGACAACCTTACGCCTTGGACTCTCCTGTTCTGCGGGCGATTTGTATATGTTACGCGACTGACCAATACCTACACTTGGCAACTTGTCTTTACGGGGGGTGCTTCGGGTCCCGGGTCGACCTGGTCCGTTCTCTTTCTTGACATTTGCTGGACTGTGTGTTCTGTCATTGTCCGACTCGAAATCACTCTTCTCCTGTGGCTCTGCCGGCTCGATTGATACCCGTCTTCTCTTAGTTTCAGGCTCCTCGCGTTCCTGCTTCCCCGTCTTTTGCTTGGGTTTCGCAGCCTTCTTTTTCTTCTCCTGCTCGGCCTGAAGGATGTCGCGGTAAATATCGGTGCGCCCGAAGACGGAGGACTCTTTCTCCGATGGCTTAGAGGTTGTCGGCGCAGCCCAAGCTGGCTTCGTGAAGAAAGAACGTTTGGCTCCGCTGGTCATAATGGCATGTTGGGTTACTGGGTTTCGAGACACAACGATAGCGCATGTTGTGGAGAAAGAGAAGGCATGCTCGAATCGCTCGAGAGCATGATGTTTACGATGTGGAGTCAAGTCAGCCTTGTTGGTGGGAAAGTACAGCCTGATGGACCAGGGCAAACAACTCTCACCAGCCTTATTACTCCTCCATGTGTTCGCCCTTTTTCATTCCTTCTCGCACGAACACGTTCAAGCTCCGGCTCAAGTATGGCATGACCCTGTCGTAAATCGCCAGAGCTCTATCGATGTCTGCTACACAAGCTACGAAATATGTATGCGTCCTACATCAAAACGCCTAAGATGGTTTGATCTTATCGCCATTTCGGAGATTCTACCGTGCGCTCTTTCAAAACATTGCTTCAAACTTTTCGCTCGCTTCCACCGGCACAACCCACCCGTGCCGCCTTTTGCAATAGTACTCTTGTTGAGGCACGAAGTCTTTGCGTGCCTGCTCGTCGAGACAGCCCGACATAACTATTCGAAAGTCCTTCAGTGCCGGGTTGTCCAGGTTGACGGTGAACAAATTCGATCCGCAAATACTGCAGAAGGACCGGAGGACGGTGGTTCCTGCATCCGTGGCGCTGTCACGATAGGATGAAAGGGTATTCTCGCCTTTGACAAGGACGAATTGCTGTTATTGCTACGTCAACGATTGCTTCTCCCCCCAGATGACATTCCCCTGATGATGGAGGCCGTGATCTTGACCGACTCACCTCTTCCATGCAGAACCAGTTCGCTTGGAACGATGAGCCGCTGGATTTCTGGCAGTTGGTACAGTGACAAAGGACAGAGGTGAGAGGGCCACCAGTGATGACGAACTCTATGGCGCCGCAGAGGCACTGGCCGCGAGTTTCAGCCATGCCTGAGGATCACTCGTTGAAGTGGGAACGGATTTTCTTTTTTTGGGATTGGGGAATCTTATACGATTAATTACTGCTTGTTACGAAAAGGCAGAAAAAGTCATTCCATTGTTGAATCCTCTGTATTACATATATAGCAAGTCGACTCCTCAACGTGCGGGAGCATTCTTGACGTTTATGTCCGGTAGGGTCTCTTTGACTGTTCGAGCAATGGGTTGATACTTGAGTAACTCCAGTCCTCATGTTCTTCAGCCTCGCGTACGTATTGAATTATATCGCGCTAGGCGGCAGGCTGAATCGGACATTAGGAATGTCAAGGTTCCTAATGCCGACCACTCACAGGGCTACGGAGGTGTCGTACCCACGTACCTTGCGCTTGCATACTCTCCAAGGCTTCTCGGTACCTACCTCCCTGACGTACTCTGGATGGTGTACGGTACCAGACGGCCTCCGCTGTCTGACTCGGCGAGTAGCTACCCACCTAATCAGTAGCCAAGGTATTTAGTGCTGGCGTGCTGCCCTGCTTAAGCAGGGGGCGTGAATCTCTCGGGTACAAAAGTTTGACAATCACAACGGCTCTTGAGCAGTCAATCAGAAGCAAACCCTCTCGGGTTCAGGTGGTACGGTGGTAGTGTCAGTTGACCGGTCGATTGATTACGGAGCGCTATTGTTTCAAATCAAATCAATGTAATAGTACTCGGTGAACAGTCGTCAAAGTAGTCCGTGACGAAGACTTGTCCGAATCCTACCCTCTTGTACGTTGGGAAAGGTTTGCGATCACCGTAACCGCCACCGTCAGGACGGTGGTGGTCCCCGACCCGTTCCAAGATGAGCATAGAGTTGGTCGGAGGCAGACTCGGCCCTGGGCCGAACGGTTTCACAGCTATCTTTAGACAGGCGATTGTGCCGGAGTCCAACAACACTCGCTTCTCGTCCTCAAGGTACCATCCGATTTGAGGCGCCGCACCGCTCATCCACGCCGGGTACTCAAGGATGCTGTTTTGCAGTAGATCCGACGGAGGGATTTGTTTCAGTAGACCCGAGACGGTGACGTCGACGTACTGGACAGGGCCGAACGGGTCGGAGCCAACCAGTGACACTGACGTGTCCCGCACTTGTATCGCGGACTCGAGAAAGCCATCGTCGCTCTGGACGAAGCCGTCGCTGCGGTCGTAGCTCACGGGTCCGTCAATGCTCGCCCACGACCACGAGGGGGCGCGGTATACACTGGCCCTTGTCGCGTGCATGTCCGCGGCGATCTGCCAGGAGAGTCCGATGTGAAGACGATGCATCCATAGTCCGGCTAGGTATTCGGAGTCAAGTATACGCTGGGCACGTCTAGCTAGGCCCGCGATGGCGGCGAGCTTGTCCTCAACGAAGGCGAGGTCTCGTCGCGAATAGTCCTCGACGATTCCGCACCACGAGAGGACGTTGTACACGTCTGGCGAGGGCTTGCGGGGGAACGCATAGGGGCCTTGTCGTTCGAGCGAGACGTGGAAGCGCCACCATTCGTCGTTGGGATCGAATTCGTCGTCGGCCCGTCGTTCGCTTTCGTGCCGGAGGCAGCGCACGCACTCGAAAAAGACCTCGCTCCGGCAGACGTGCAAGACTTGTCGCGAGATCTGGCGTTCTTGGAGACACCACGCCCGGCGAGCAACGGGGCCGCGGCCGACGATTTCATCAAAGGCTGTGCCCGGCGCACAAAAGTGCAAGTTCCCCGTGGCCCCTGACTCGTCGAGGCAAGGAAAGACGATGCCCTCGCGCTGTAGTGGTGTCCGGATGGCTATGAATCCGTCTCGGCAGTCTCGAGAGTCGCTGGCGGAGATGGTCAGCGCTGCGTTGCCGTAGATCTCGCACATCTTGGAGCCTTCTTCTAGCCAGTCCTTCTTGTTCCCTTGGAGGATGCAGAGGCAGTCGATCCATAGATACTCAAAGTCCAAGGCAAGGGTGCTTGCCACGGCATCCAGGAGCGTCTGTGGCATCTGGTCGATTTCGATCCAGGGGTCCTGGTCCCGTTGGCACGCCTTGACGTAGTCTAGCCACCGGCGGTACTTGGCGCCCCAGCAATAACTCAATGCGACGTAGTCGTGCGGGAAAGACGGCGAAGTTCGAACGATCTGTGCTGTACCAGTGGTCTTGACGTTCCGCAGATGGAGTAGTCTTGTCGGGTAGATCTTTGCTCGAGAATCGGACAGGCGGCATTCAGGGTGTGTTGTCAAACAATGAGATCGCCACTGTTTGACTGTTGTGAGAACCTTCAGGTCGAGTGAGGTTCTGCTGAGCGCTTCGCGAATTTGAATACGCGATGTCGACAAGGGATCTCCTGCGGATGTGTTAGTCGCCGAGTGTAGCTATTTCGGGAATTGCTTCGTCAAGTACTCGTACCAGGATAGACATAGACTGGAACTCCGACGTAAATGGGAAGCCGCCGTAAGAGGCTTTTCGCCAAATTTGATCGTGGCAATCCGTCGTCGCTCCCTTCCTCGTTTTCCTTGACGGGGCCACAAGCTAACGAGAGATGCGATCTCTGGGCTGGCTTTTCTTGTAACTCATGGCGGTCTTCGGGGAGAAACATCCCACGGATATAGTGTGCTCTTATGGGTATTTGCAGCGGTCTCTGATGATCGGTGCATAGGCGTACGATTTCCTCGACGACCCTTGCTTCAATATTCGCTCGCAGATGGTCCAGGAATAAACGGCAGAGATCACATGTTTCGGCTGAGCGTTGTAGGGAGAGCCAGTCATCGTGCAGAGGGTGTCCAGCATTTTCAGACGCTGATGGCAGCGTTATACCCTTGCACGAAGTACAGAAAGCCATCTTGGAAAGACGAAGATCCAGAGTTCCCAAAAACCCAACCTCATCACCATCGCCAGGCTGAAACGCCGTTAGGTATCTGCCAAGCCAGGCAGGAGTTGAGAGAGCCCAATCATTCGGATTCCAAGGAGCTGTGAAACGATGGGTATGAAACATTCTCTAGCCTGGCCCACTAGATGTTGCAAGTGTTCATCCAACCGAACTGACTTGGATGGTCAGATGAGTAACAACTGCGGCGAGAGGATCCTGGAGGCGCTGTTGAAGATGCCAGTCTCGCGGTCTAACAGCAGCGTACGTTATCGCATCACCCCAGAGGCTGTGGCGTTGCTTGTGGTGGGAATGTAAACAAAAGAGACACAGGTGCCTCAGTTGGGATGGAACCCGAACGTGGCTTTCGAGAACAAGGCCAGTGCTAGGTGAGCCCTTGATACAGTCTATGCAATAGCCGGATTGTATATAGCGCGGAGCTTTGAGTATCAGCAAGTGTCGTCTACGTGGACAGACGAGTATGACGACCGCAGCCAGTTGGACTCGTGGCAGCTTTCGGCAACGTTCACATCACTCCCAACCGTCAATTGAGTAAAAGTGTGTTCGCCAAAGCTCAGATGAAGACTGCTGAGCTTCAGAACACATCTCATACACCAGACCCGATTGTGGGAGGTGTTCCGCATTCACCAAAGCCATTTGGAATGGATGTTCGTGGCCCCCTATGGTGTCATTAACTCCGTCCAATCAAGAATTTCTTCTCGTAATCCATTCACATGCAGCGGATGAGAGCATTGTCAACTATCCTGGCAACATCTCTAACAACATATCTGACTAGAGACCTCCTAGTGCAACAAATCGAAATGGAGCGATATGGTAGCCATCGAACACGAAAAATGCTCGCGGTTGGAGCAGTTTCGTCAATACCAGGATATAGTTGGTAGGGGTGATATGTCTGTTGAGTCTGAAAGGAAACCATTCCGATACCGTTGAGAGGGTTTCTCTTCCTCGGCATCAACTTCAACTATGCCTCGAAATACACGTTTATTGCGGTCAAACTCCTTCTCCAGCAGTTATGGTTCGCGCTCGTCTTCAACACATACTTCTTTGGAATGCGAGCTGCCTTGTCAAGATAGCTGCCGTCGGGCATTATTCGTCGTGTCGAGTCAACTATGCCAAAGAGTGTGGTGCACTCGGCCAAGCTCTCGCCCGCTAAACTTCACCCTTGTCAATGCGTATAAGCGATTTGCCTTCCCAGCAGTCTTTGCAATCGTATGGCAGACATGTCTTTCCTTCGTGGATCGTCGCGAAGAAAAGACTGGACTAATAGGGACCACCGCGGATCAGGAAAGACAGAGAGTGTTGGAGGGCCCCGAATCCGCCTCGGTCATGGCTGTTCCTCGCGGGATTGATCCAGGAAAGGATGACTGACGCCGATTTCTTGCGATGTGGACACGCAGAACCGTGATCTTGACACCGTTTCAGCGAGTGGGGAGCTTCTCGTGCCCTGGATCTCTTTCTGAGGGCTGGATGAAACCGTGCTCCAAAATGGTATCGAGCTGCTCTTCGAGAGATGCCAGGGTATCATGCCAACGCTGATTCTTTTCACACACTTGCTGACGCTTTGCATCTAGCCTCGGAGCCGACGAGTTGAGTCGCGCGATGTCGTCAGTGAGCTGGTTGATTTCTCGAACCAGCTCTTCATTGCATTCCTGGAGTTGACGACTGATGTCCCCGAGTCTGTCTTGCACCGGAGGCAACATTTGACCGAAAGTATGGACCCCTGGAACGAGTTGTGTCGAGAGAAGCCAGATGCGAGGAAGAGTACCGAGATATAAGTGTAGCACCAAAAAGGGGGGGTCGGGTTTAGGGAATCATGCCTTCACGCGTCGTGGTATGTGACAAAGCACTCTGTTGGGCAGCGGAGCAGTCACACAACGGCGCCTCAAGGAGGCTTATTGCAAGCATTATCCTTGATAAGCGGCAACTGAAGCAGCACCGGCTGCATCGCCGACATGTTCCACTAGCGTACACCAGACGTGTTGGCGCTAATGCAGTCTAGTGTCCCGATATTTGATCCATTTTTACGAGGTTGGCGGCGAGGCAAAGGCGACATGAAGGATGCTGACGAGACAAATGTGAGCAGTTACAGTAATTATATAGCATCTGAGAGTGCAATACCTCAGAGGTGCAAGAGGCAAGGTACCCGAGGGAGTGCCTAGAAATCTGTCATGAGCTGTAAGCCCACTAGCCACGCCTAATCCGGCGAAGGCCACTAGGTTGGCTCTAGGCTCACCGCAGCCCCTGAAAATTATCACCTTAGGGGTCCTTCAGTACCTGACTTACCTAAGGCAAGGCCTGTGATTGCTAACTTACGAGGCTGTCACAACAAGCTCAACTGCTCCCCGCACTTTTCCCACTACAAGGCTCGCTCTACCGTTCGAGATTTCCCATCTCCAACACTTTCTTGTTCTCGAGACCACAGTCAGCCCCCCGTGTTGAACAAACGTACCGCCTCGATACCCATTCACCGTCTCTATACAATCGACCATCCAAAATCTCTCGTACCATTTGGTCTGTCCATCCGCCACGACTCCAACACACCCGAAGATGGAAAACCACAGCGCACCCGCAGAACCTAAAGACCCCGCGAGCTTCCTCTCCTCCATCATTGGTGTCCCGGTAACGGTCAAGCTGAACTCGGGACTCGTGTACAAGGGCGAACTACAGTCTGTGGACGGGTACATGAACATTGCGCTGGAGAAATGCACCGAGTACGTCAACGGGCAGTTACGGAGGAGTTATGGTGATGCTTTTGTAAGAGGGAACAATGGTGAGTCTCCCGTTGTGGGCCATGGCATGGAACAAGTTTTCAAAAATGCGAGAAGCTGACGAGATCCCCGGGAGGGTGTTAGTACTCTACATTTCGAGCGATTGAGTTGCAGTCTTCGTTGGGCGTTGCGACAGAACTCAGCAACGACTCAAACCCTCGAATGGTGTACGGCGACCATTTCTTTAAGGTGGCACTCTAAATGGATCCCAAACTGTATCTTCAGGCCCCATGCCTCATCTAGGAGCGTGAAGTGGTTGCAACCACGGAGGCTTCAAGAGAGACGCACACGAGACATTATTCGACTAGGTAGGCCTCGGGGTGCTGCGTATGCATATTGTACAAGCAACCGAACTGTGGAGCGGCCCAGTCTCAGATGCGATGAACGATCGATGAGTCCAAGGCAGAAGAAGACTCAATCTTCTCGGTGGCGGCGAGAGACAAGATCTATCCGGAACGGTATTGCTCTTCGAACAAGCATGTTGCGCCCCTTCTCGTGAGCAATTAAATGAAACGGAGCGAAACTATTACAATGGGCCGAATTATTTTTCACGCCATGGGGAGCCTATACCACGTGAGAATACAGGGCTTGCACACAGACAGATGAAATACAAATACAAATTCGTCGAGTATCTTATGCATTCGAGGGTGCTGAAGTTTACCTAGTCGCCTCGCTCTGACCTTAAGTTGTTGAAATTGATTATATCTCACACGCTTTTCGTCACCTATGTGCAAATGCGTCTGCATACAATACCGTATGGCGTGGTACAGGATCTAGGTACGGATATGTTTTCAACCTCTTCGTGTACGAGGATCTCTCTAAGACGTCCTTTTTTTCCGTCACCATTCCTCTCCCCAATTATTCCAAAATCCTTTTCCTCCACAGCTACTGACAGAATCCTTACCACTCGCCTCCGGTCCGAAGCCATCGGCGTAGGTGCCGGGGACGTCGATGATGCCCGCGCTCACGACGGTCACGCTGGTATTGTACATGCCGCCGTTGACCAGCATCACCTTGGTCTCGTCGGGCATGACGGTCAAACTGCGACTGTAGCCTACGCCGTGGGTGGTTTCGACGGTGAACCAGGCGCCCGGGTCTCCGTAATCGGTGTTCATGAAGACCTCGGAGTACGAGCCGTCGCTGACGACGAGGGTTCCTTTGCCCGTGGGGCCGACGGGCGTCCACACCACGTACGGGCTGGAGCTGGGGATCTTGCCGTCGGACGAGGAGCGCAGGAGGTGCTCCGCGGCGTCGCCAAAGGACTCCGGGTCCGACGAGATGCGGTAGTGCACGGCGTACGGCGAGTTGGTCGGCAGGCCGTCGGTCGAGAAGCCCAGCTCGTAGGTGAAGATGTACATGCCGTTGCCCATCTTGGCCATGGTGGTCATGCCCGGGCGCTGCGTGTAGTTGGCCTCGGCCGCGTCGTCCACCACGGGACCCCAGGTCTTGAGGTCGGGCGAGGACTGGTGCGCGAGTTTCTGCCCGTGCGCCGGGTCCCGTTGGTCAGAGTACGCGTTCATCACCCACGGTGGGCTGTGGCTGACGGGGGACATGAGGAGGAACGGTTCCCAGATCGGGGTCGCCCCGTTGGTGGTGTTGGCCGGCCCGCCCTGGGCGACTTGGGAGACGAATTCCCATGTATATCTAGATACGTAGGGATAGTTGCCGGCGTTAGTACTTCTGTTCAAAGTCTCCCAGAGCGAATCATCGACGGGACAGCGCCGTTTCGACTCTCGTGGTTATGTGTGCTGCACGGTGCTGAGGGGGGAGGGAGGGGGCTCGACAAACTCACCCTTTATCTCGGGAGGCATAGACATAAATGTTCGTGGATGACCGGTCGTTGGGCTGACCCATGCCCGTGAACAAAACGGTTCCTGCCGGATACTCACCCACGTCTATGGGCAGTTCGAGGAAGTCGGGCTGCGCCAGGAATCCCTGGCTGAAGTCATGCCCTGTATCGTCTTGGCTGAAGTAGATCTTTGAGATCTGTTCCCACGACTGGCCCTGGTCATGGGATGCAAAGACCGGATAGTAGCGTTCATCGTCGGGAGTGAGCGTAAATGTCGTCAGGAGGACATTGTCGGTCTCGCAGTTCTGGTTCAACAGGGCCACTCGGGCGTAGCTTGTGCTGCGACGTGCCCAGTTCTCTGGAGCCACGAAGATGGTAACGTTGTCGAAGTCGGGAGTCGACGACGACGACGATCCACCACCACTAGGGGTTCCCCATGGTACAGCCGCTGCTACAGGGAGCAGTGGCAACAACAAAGTTGAGCTGAGCATGTCGATGGATGATTCGTAGATTTTTCCTTCCCGACGCGCCTCATTTTGTTGAAGCTTGACATCGCCATAGCTGGCACTATATATCCTCAGGTCATGTTCGTCCCTGTGGTCTTCACGGGATAAATTACCAATGTCCCAGGAGCTTCGAGAGCCGTAAGTTAGTGTCCTCGAGAAACAGCTTCACGATATTTGCCGTCGGTCATACTCCGTATTGCAATGTTATGATCGTCGAGCATGGATATTAGCCTCAATTGAAGGCGGTGGCCCTGGGGAATTGGAGATACATGGGCGATCCAACGTATGTTTCCGGCAAGGTCGCAAAACAGCTGATGTTTGGATCGTGGAGAGATCGAAGTACAATACCTACCCTTCGTTTTCTCTCCATAATTCCACCGTCTGGGGTACTGATTAGCCGGAGATGGAACGTGGGCCACTAGCCTCAGGGCCAACTTCGCCATTGCAGCGCCGAACACGGCAAGCAAACAATACTCTGAAGTATGCATTCTGCAGAGGTCCCGACACGGTGCATTGGACGTCTCCGGCTAAATTGGCACGCAAGCTCCGCTGGAAATCATTGTGGCTGGTAATGTGTGTTGACCGCCATAACTGTGTTGTAAAAGGACTTACCCGAGCGGGATGTCAGTCGGCCCGGTGATTGAGTAGTCAGTGGTGAGTGGAACAAGTTCGAGTTGCTGTCTGTAGCCTGGTGAGAAAGCACAGAGGACCTACGTGTATGTGGCAGGTCGTCGGCATTATGGCCTGTCGATTCGATATGGCTGATATCTGACGATGCAAGTCGTACACGGATTTTCCGGAGCCTCAACAGGACGGGAACGACGCACTATCAGAGATCCGAGGCAAACATTACACCTCTTCAACTGCCAACAGTGGAAGTTCTGTTTACTTGCCTATCCTTGCCCAACTTGGAAGCCGAGAGCCAGGCTCTGAGGAGCATGTCTGTCGTGTAATATCTCTGATCTGACTGTGCAAATACCCGACTGCCGATATCCGCCATCGAGGAGGCGCGGGAGACACTCGCAGCAGTGGGACAGGACGCCGGAGACTGCATGTGAATATTGCTATCGTTCTGTGTGCACACTACTCCATGACAACAAGCAGCTTAGGCTGATATGGTGCTCCCCACCCGTCGATGAAAATTTGTCTTCAAGGCGAGTTAGGAACCTTCGACACGTAGAGGCGTCGTGATGCTCATGCAGAGGCCAGGAATGTGAGACAGGAAGAAGAAAAGAACTGAACCTCTGCATGAACAGACAAGATATCCCATATATGATAAGCTTCGCAGAGCCTACTTTGTCAGGGCCTACAATACCTATGGATACCTCGATGTATGAGGTATTTCTATGCTCACACTATTTCAGGAGGAGACTCGCGTTTGTCGGCACCAATACTCACTGTAACCAGGCTCTGCCTAAGGGAATATTGAGGCCTTTCCAATTTCAGAGGACATTGGTATAGTCCTGAGAGCCAAGTGCACAAACATTCAATGTATGCAGAGATACAAGGCCATCCCTCGGGGCCTGGGCAGGTCTTGCAGACACCGTTGAATCCATTGCCACTTCTTCTCTCCTCGCCTCGGCGATTTCTGATTGTCAGTCATTCAAAATAGGCTCCGGTTCATATGCTTACCAAAGCTACAAGGCTCCTATCACAACGTTCATACCTCTTATTGCTTGATCTATGAAGTGCGCTGATCAACGTCTTCGACTACATTGTCGGTTGATCATGTCGAGATGCAGGACTTCATGATTGGAGATCTCAGGTGTTGCGTACTCGAAGTCGCAGCTTTCTTGCTGGATACAAAAAGAAGAGATGCGAGTTGTAGGAATGCGGCGCGGTAATTCCCTGCACGAATCAGGCTCACTCGTGGGGGGTTTATCCTTGACTCGTGGTTCTGTACCCCGCATTGCGAATTGCGAAACGCAGAAAAAAAGTCGTCGCAATGAGCAGCGCTCACGCAGTAGAAACCAGATATACATCATAGTGTCAGACTTAGAAACTGGCCAGCTCGGTGCTGATTTATCTTCATTTCGCACGTACCTCACCGGCGACATGGTGTTGCAAGCGATCCAATACGAAGCAGCATCAGCCGATTCTCCTCCCTCCCTCCGCATCCTCGATCAGCTTCTCCTACCGCACAGAACAACTTATGAGCAGGTTTCGACCTGCGAAGAGGCTCATGGGGCTATCAAACAGATGAAAGTGCGGGGTGCACCAGCTATTGCTATAGTGGCTGCCCTGGCCCTCGCCGTTGAGATTGGGACAGCCGTTGTGGCAAAGAAGTTGCCCGACAGCGCAGAGGTTGTCAAGGAGAATTTAAACCAGCGCTTAGAGTATCTGAAGACCAGTAGACCGACGGCTGTCAACCTGGGAGATGCGGTAGGGAAACTGAAGATTGTTGCCAAAACGGCTTCTTTACGCCCAGAAGCCACGCCTGATTCCGTGGTGCAAGCTTACATCGCGGCAGCCGAACGAATGCTGATCGACGATGTCTCCGACAACAAAGCCATCGGCGAGCATGGTGCGAGGTGGATAGAAGAAAACACAATAGCTGGGCGAAGAAGGAAGCAAGATAAGAGTCACGAGCTGAAAGTCCTCACACATTGCAACACAGGGTAAGAAATAAAGCATGGAGGACAATTTTCTTTCCCAGAACTGATTATCTTCAGGTCTTTGGCAACCGCTGGATATGGTACCGCGCTTGGTGTGATCAGGTCTTTGAGGGCGGCTGATATGCTGAGCCGGGCTTATTGCTCGGAAACACGGCCATACAATCAGGGTTCTCGGTTGACTGCGTACGAACTTGTCCACGATCACGTACCAGCAACCCTGATCACAGACTCAATGGCTTGCGCCTTGCTGGCCAAAGAGGGAGACGATCTCGCAGCCATTATTGTCGGTGCTGACCGAGTCGCAGCCAATGGCGACACTGCGAATAAAATTGGGACGTATTCGCTCGCAGTACTAGCCCGCCACCACGGTGTCAAGTTCCTCGTCGCCGCGCCAAGAACCACCATTGATCTCAGTACGGCGTCTGGTCAGGACATCGTCATAGAAGAAAGAGCGCCTGAAGAAGTCACAAGGGTGAAGGGACCGAAGATTGACCCAGACGGAAGGATACGGGTTGATGAGGATGCAGAAGTCATTAGTACGGCGGCCAATGGCATCGATGTCTGGAATCCTGCTTTCGATGTCACACCAGCAGATCTCATTGATGGAGTCATCACGGAGGTTGGTGTGGTGGTCAAGGTGGATGGGCATTTCGAATTTGGGTCCCTCTTCGATCAATCGTAATCAGTACAGCTCTGTTCTGGCTTCTCGATCGAGACAGTTACTCGTTCTCTCAATCGCTTGGTACGGGAACCGCTGCGCTCGTGAATTCCTTTTCGCCGTCCGACAATCTATAGACATGGGTATTGTCCATGACAAAATGCATGCTAAGCAACGTCCGCCTTGTCCAGAACCAGCATATTTGTCTCGGAACCTCCCGGTGTGGCCAGTTCATTTGTGGGCTGCTGATTCCGACGCGTGGCGAGGCTGGCGGGAGCCGGTTTCGACACTTGCCAACAGCTCCTCGATGCGACTCTCGATGCCGTCGAGTTTCGCTTCCAGGGCTGATGCCGTCCTCTCGCCACTGAGATACGAGATTAGTGCACTAGAAGCAATGCGGGGAAACATCATTCTTGATCTCTTACTGTGCGAGTTCCTGAAAGGCCTGTTGGGGCCAGAACGAGTTTACAGTCAGTGGCAGCAGAGCAGACATCAACAAACAAGATTTCCGCTCACTTTGGCCATCTCGCTATTCAGTAGCTGTGGATTGTCGTTCTCACGGACCTGCCCTGATTGGCCGCCGCCAATCGAATTTTGGTTGTCCTCTTTCTCTTGGGCCATTTGAGAGGCAATCTAACCAGGTTTGTGCTTGGAGTCCTGATGGGGAAGAGCAGACCGTGAATGGCCGTGGACGACCGCGGACTCGTACTGTATGTGTGCGAGCTGCGAAGGCCGGCCGGACGCAGGGTCCAGGATCGGCGTCAAGGTGTTGCTGCAGGGAGAATTCGACAGAGAAGCCTGGAAAAGCAGGTCGGTGGAAGTTGGGTCGTTCAGGTAAAGTTGGCGCCAGCACAGGGTTTGCAAAGCAGCAGGACACAACAATCGGCCCGGTGGTTCACGCCAGACTGGTGCAGGCTTGGCCTGCCAGGCCCTGCCCACAAATGATAGGGCAACCCTGGGCGAGCTGGATTATACCCGAACAAGGCCGCCCTCTATCCCGCGTTCCTCGTCTCGATCGTCGATCGCATGTGCTTCACCGGCCTCGTCCGAGTACGAGCATCAGTAGATCATCTGCGCCTGATAGGCATTTCTACTCGTACCCTGGCTTCCCGTTCTTGCGACCCGGCGAATGGGTTGATAGGGGAATCTTTTGCCTCGCCTACTTTGACTCGGTGAGCGACAACTACCGTGATGCGACACCCGCTTCCTGATTTGGCTGTGGCCCCGTGTTCTGTGATTTTACTTTTGAGTTTTCACACATCACACTGCATCAATATCCTTCCTCTCCGGTTCGCTAGCGTCGGAATGCCCCAACCCTGTGCATTTGCTTTGCTCAGACCCTGCACGCGTCGGATTCCAAGACCCCCTTATCACGTTCGTGGCCAAGGATGCGTATTCGAGGATGAGCCCGGTTTGTCGCCGTGGAACATGAAATAAGAGATGCAAGGAATCTTTGAGGGAAGCATCCGTCCCGAAGCCAGGAACTTGATTCGATGGCGAGCGGACTTCTTCTACCTGGATCTCGATTCGACAAACCCGTCTGACATAATGGTGGATTGCAGGAGAGGCTAAGCGATGTTAATTAGGTGCAGAAGGCAAAGTGGACAATTGAGTCACGCAAGATGGGTGTTTTTCGTGGGCAACTAGCAAGTAGCATTCGTACCCTCGTTCATTGGCACGTCGAAGGCAATGTCGATCACCAGACGCAACAAGATTTGGAGAAGCAGACTTGAGCCCACGAAGTTTGCCGCCTTGCAAGGCCGGGTTTCTACTCGTACGAGACCCCATTGAATCGTTCTCCAAAGCGGTCGACAATGTTCACTCGAGTCAAGACTTAGCTGGGTACATTGCTCAAAGAGACCTGGGGCTGCTTCCGTAAGCTGACTTCGGATGGATGCCACAACGGCTTTCCTCATCCGATGTTAAATTGTACTGTAACAGCCATAGCCTTGCGGCTAAAGCAAGATCGGACCGGATTCCGATGCCTTGTATGGGGTATTCGTTACCAGTATACGCTGTTTTGAGGTTATCCTTGACGGTTTTCACGGGTAGAGATTCGAGAAATACTGCCTGCATGCAGAGATTCCCAATATGCAAATGCCGTTTGGGCCTGGCGGTGTCCTCGGAGAACTTTAATCTGGTGCTATTGTCTCGGAAGAATCGCATTCATGGGCCAGCAAGAAAAAGGTTCACCCTATGCACGCAACTCTGGCATGTCCCGTATGAGGGTGGGTGCAATAACAGCATTTCCATTGAGAACTTGAGACACCCATCCATCACACTCACACCCGGAGCCATTATTGTCCATGGAAGAAGAAGAAGCACGGGAGACGGTGGAAGCTTGACAGAAGCCGCTACAAGTACAGGAGTGGATTCTCCTAAACTGGCTCCGCCGCGACAGGATCGAGTATTCGGCGAGGGATCTAGGTTTCCTGAGGAATTGTGTCCAAGCCCAAGACTTCACCGGGATCGTGGTCTTGGGCGGCGATCGACGTCAGCGGTGGATTCAAATCTTCCGCACTCGTGGCCAGGGAGGGGCTAGTCTGTTTCAAGTTAGGGCTCGTGGCTGCTTCTGCGCGTTCTCTCTTCTTCCACCGACCGAAAGGAGCTCCAGGTGGTGTTTTCAACGCCAGATCGACCGCTTAACGGCCATGCCATTCTCATGACGCTTCACAGGACCGCGACACCATGATTGCAGCGCATTGGCATTGCAGACCCGAGACCGAGAACGATTTTCCCATGGTGCAGGCTCCGTTGCTGGCTCTCAATCTCCGAGACAGCTCGTCGAGTGATGGACTTCTCCTTACGATCCACGGATAATACTGAGGCTAAGCTCAAACTAGCTGTCTCCTCATCGTGTAGTACTGTCCATCTACTTGCACTCGCACGGTCGGCAGAAGATCAGGGCTCACCCGCGAGAGGTAAGTCGTACAGTACGTGGACGATGACGAGAATTCAGGGTCCAAAATAGACGTTCCACTTTGCCTTTGATCGAAATTCGCTGAGCCGGAAAGGGCCCAGGGTGCGGTATATGGAACAGTTATTACATTTCCACTCTGTACCCGTATCGGTAAATGCTCGAAGCGGACTTGCGTACATCGCGGGAGACTGCGAGGCATCAGTTTGGCCCGCTGTGGACGTTCCGGCTCTTGTTGATCAAACATATCTTCCCGCTATATAATGTCTCTCTCAGATGTTTTGCGCCCAACGCTCGTGCTCGAAATGTCTGCGAATCAGGAGGCCCAGTAGGCGTTGAGGTCGCGAGGGAAATACAGTCCCTCGACGGAGCACGTACTGCACAGTCCGAGTACATTGGCGGAAAGGCAAAAAGAGCCCGCTCCACCCAGCGTCTGCGGCTAACAAGGGTGGGCTCGATTCCAGGGTACGGTAGGTGTCCAGCTGCGATTTGGGCACCACCGTAACTGGAACGAGATCCATCTCAGGCTGAACCCTGCATGCTGAGGTCGGCCGTGGACACGGTGGGAGAGATTGAGAAGCGCTCGAGTCAGGGTGAAGCCGTCTGTCGAGGGCGCAGAGCGAGAACCAAAAACAAAAAACAACCCACAGGCGTCGCTAGGGTGGAAAAAGGCGGGTGACGGCACGTCAGACCAAAGGCGAAGCTCCCTGCATCATGCGCAAGGGAGCCGAATTAGCTTCGTATTCTCCACGCTGCTATGTCTCTCCTCGTAACAATTGCCTTTTGGCTTCTTTTCCCTTTGGCAACTTCATACAACCTTGGTCTTTCCCACAGATCAATGAACCGCCTGTAGTCTTTTCCTAGGCCGGCCTTTCCTCGCCCTCTTTTTTCATTTTTTCAATACACAGGCGCTTGTCGCCCTTTTTCTCTTCTTGTCTCGTACTGCTCGGGTCCTAGGTTGGCGGGGGAGTTTCTTGTATCTCTATTTGGGGTCTACTGATCGTCGCTTCATCCAAAAGACACGGCCTCCCTGATCCGATCACATCTCGCTGAAGGGCAGTCTTGTTGCCAATTTAGATCTGGCCGAGCCTCCCCTTCGAGGGCACATCACTGTTGCATCAATCCAACTTTTCGTCTCAGGGCACGCCCAGTCCACGGTCTTATTCGCCGTCCCCCACCAGCCGTCCCCTCAACGCTCATGGGTGTCTGAGAGGACCCTTGCGGATCCTGACGATTTAGGACTGCATCTTTCATCACGAGCCGGCGACACGGATCGAGCTGCAACACGCTTAAAAAAAACACCTAAACGGCAGCTTGTCACCCAACATCGATCTGAATCCAAGGCTCTCAACCATAGTCATCTGCTATATTTCTGCTCTGCTGAATTTCCCCTTTCCGGAATTTAGTACGACAAATTTTGTTCTGGGGCTAGCGTACTATATTGCCAAGGCCTCCAGAGCATCCGCCGGGCTTCAGCTCACCCCTAGCCCACCCGTCTTTGTTACTAGATGCTGCCACGACAGAAGGTCTAGACCACCTCACTGCCCTTTAGCGTTGATCCCACATGCAAAACGCAGCAAAGCCAGTCACAGCTCAGCGAACGGCTTGTACAGCAGATCCCCCGGATTGAATTGCAGGAAGTATTCTGGCGGTAGCTATTTACTCCTTGATCGATGATTCAACCGCCACGCTTGAATGACAGATCTTGCGCCCTATCTCGAGCGCTTAGGCCTTGAGCAATACCTTGATGCGTTCCTGGGTGAGGGCTTCGATACCTGGGAGACCCTGACGGATATACAAGAGAGCGACTTGTGAGTACCCAAACTCCCAGAGGCTTCGTTCCCCCCACTGACGAAGTGCAGTGATGCGCTCAATGTCAAGCTCGGTCATCGGAGGGTAAGTTGTGACTTTGAACGACTGCTTTGGGGTTCTGGAGAGCTGACCCGTCCCCAAAGAAACTTCAACGGGCCATAGCAGACCATCGAGGTATCCCGTATGAGCGCCTTATCGGGTCACCCGCCCAGGAGCCGCTTTCGGATGCTAGTAAGACAGCCGAAAGCGGTGCGAATCCAGCATCGGGCGCAGACCGAGGATCGGGAACTGTTCACGAAGCCAAAAGGAAGTATAGACGCCACCCGAAGCCAGATGAGAATGCGCCTGAACGACCCCCTTCAGCGTACGTGATATTCTCCAACAAAGTGCGAGACGAGGTCAAGGACCAGAATCTGTCTTTCACCCAAATCGCCAAGCTGGTTGGGGACCGGTGGCAGAAGCTAGATCCCGCCCGGAAAGAGCCATTCGAAGCCCAGGCCAACGCCGCTAAAGAGAGGTACAACATACAACTGTCGACATACCGCAAGACAGATGCATACAAAGAATACATGCAATACTTGGCCGACTTCAAAAGCAAGCATGGACAGCCCCCGGATCCAAAAAGGCCTAAGCTGGAAGCTGAATCTAGTGGGAGCATCATCTCCACCAAGTCACTAGAGCTGCAACCTGAAGCAGCGTCACAGATGTCCGGGCACACACGAGGTGGTTCAGTCGGATCCGTTGCGTCTTCATCACTCACTGGGGGTGCCATACAATTGTCCGCTTCCATACCAACAATGCCGTCCCGCCCACCATTGATTTCGTCCCGCAGCGGTTCCCCTCCCATTGCTGCAACTAGAGATTACTTTCGTCCAGGGATTTTATCAAGTCACAGTTCCGCCTCAGATGAATCGTCTACTGTACGGAGTGATTTACAAGAACCAGTAATGCGAACGGCAGCTCTTTCTCTGGGGGGCGGCGCCCCAGTCCCACTACCGACATCACTACAGACGGCCGCTGCATCGCCAACAGACAACTTGGCCAGTCCCGACCATCTTGAACGTTCTAGAATAGCATACTTTCTCCAACAGCAACACCCTCCAACACCCCCTTTCGGCCCTCAGGGATCCATGAGTGCCCCAGCTCATCTGGCCCCGACGTTACAGGAGATGAACTGGAGGAAGCAGCAGCGACTCTCGGATCCTAGGGCAGCGTATCAGGAGATGCCGAGAGCACTACATGCTTCCCTTCCCTATAATCCCGCGACGCACCAATACCAGTCTCCATCCCGATTACCAATGGTGTCTTCGGACCGGGCTCCAGACTTTTCGCAAGGCGCAAGCATGCGGACGCTACCACCACCGCGACCACCGTCCACAACCAGCCAAGCCTTGCCACCAATAGGCTCCCCTTCGCTGGGCGAAGAGCCACCGCATTTCCGTCGACCTGTGTTAGAAGAGGCACGACCCCGTCTAGACCGATCAGAGAGCGATGCCGCCAGCACCCTGGCCGGACTTGCAGCAGGAGTTTCCAGGCCGGATACTGTGAGACCCATCAGGCCTCCCCCTCCCCATACAGCGCCCTAACACAGGGCAGTTTGCAGCGACGGGACTGACTTCCCAACGATGATATGATGAGAAAAGGCTGGCGTTATTGGGCTTTCAACTTCAAACCTCTTGGAAGGTCTGCCTTCCTGGAGCATTTTGAGCCGGAAGCGTCTAGATGGTTTGAAAACTGCTAACCTCCGGGATTTCTACCGACATTATACTTTTTTGTAAGAAGTGCTTCTCACACGTTTCTACACTTTTTTGCTCTGCTCCCTGTGCCAAGGGATTGTGCAGGGCATGACGGGCTGAACAAATGCTACGTTACGGATATGCCCTTAGAACCTCGGTTGGGAGATACCGGAAGCAGCATATCCCTGAGGTGGAAACAATTCGGGATAGGATGAGAAATTAACATGACACACACCACTGAAGTGCGTCTTGCATGAGTCTCCTATAGTCCAACATTACTTACCATTTTCATCTTCTTCTTGCTCATTCTCAAATCGCATGGCTGGAAAAGAATTGACGACTAGGTTGGAAATCTTGCAGGTGTGATGCTTGCCATAACGTCTCACGTTTATACGAGGGCTAGGGTTGGGACCAGGGCCGGGACCAGGTAGATGAGGACGACCAGGAGGAGATTGGCAGAACTCGAATCAAGGTTGCAGTGTAGATGCATCCAGTAGCATGTCAATCAAAGATGGAGCTCGTTCGTCCGCCTGCTGCCCCGCGGGCTGGCGATCCGGCATGGGCCAGCAGGTGCAGCAGGCTCATCGTCAAACACGGAGGTGAAGAGCTTCATTTCAAGAGCACGAATAAGGAGGGAGACTTGAGAATTGTGATTAAGCTTGATCTGCCTTGAAGCTTAAGTAGTCGTAAGTGTGGGATAGAGCGAGGGCAGAGCCGGGAGAGGCCTGTACGCTGGAGCAGTGTAGCACCCGGTCGAAGCCTAATGGGCTGATGTTGTACTCCGTGTTGCGTGGCTGAGAGAAGGGGGTGTCGATCATGCCATTTAGCGTGTTCCACCCGGCAGCCAACCACAAAGAGGCATCGCATCTTTCATTTCACGACTTCATCTTAAGTTTCAACGTCGACTCCCCCACGACACCCAACAACACCGCGCATGTGCCTTTCGCCTTGATGGACTTGCGTTTCTTTTGTTCCTGATCTCGTCTCCCTATACCATGCGTCGTACCGGTCCATGTTTCATTAAGTCCAGCTCAATCTCTTCAAGCGCCAACCTAAATCTGCCTGGGCCACTTTCACAGGCGTCTTTTCCTACTGTCCGCCCAATGGTCCTGCTGAAGATACTTTTCCTTTTCAGATGAGCAATGCCGAATGTTCCTCGAGTACGCGGATTGCCCTTGTGTTTTCTCGAATCAGACATGTGCTCTTGAACATTGAATTCAGCCTTGGTTATCTACCTTCTCAAATAGTGCATGTCTCCGTCTTCAAAGTCCCTGAACACGTCCTTCAATATCAACGATCGTCATCGAAGGGCTCCAGAGTATCATCGCGTTATGTTTGTTGTGGCTTCCTGCCAACTTTATGCATTGACTGTTGGAGCCGGTTCCGGCCAGGATAACGAAGACCTCAACTATGAAGATATACATATCCAGGTATATAAGTACAAGGGAAGCATCTTTTCTCAGGAACCTTTCCATAATCATTCAGTCGCTCTTTCTTGTCTTAACGACAGTATCACGGTCTCTACCTCCCCTTTGCCAGCACAACAGCCACTCTTTTGTAGTTTTACTCGAAACATCCGCTCTTTCTTGCATCAATCATGCATTCTCTTACAGTTGCGCTGGCACTATCTGCCCTTGCATCGACTTCGCTGGCAAAGCCAATCCCGGCCCCTGAGACCTCGGTCAACGCAAAGAAAGGGTTCACGGTCAACCAAGGTCCGACAAAGCCTTACCAACCCGGTCCAGTTCAGCTGTCGAAGACCTACAGCAAGTATAACAAGACTGCCCCCGTCGATGTCAGCAACGCTGCAGCTGCCGATGGCTCTGTTACTGCTACCCCTGAACAATATGACGCCGAGTACCTTTCCCCGGTCACCATTGGTGGCCAGACCTTGAATTTGGATTTTGATACCGGGTCCAGCGATTTGTAAGTGTGATCACATGTGAAAATCCAGATATGGAGGTGTTGACGATGAACAGATGGGTTTTCTCTTCTGAGCTGCCCAGCTCCGAGAGCAGCGGTCACAGTATCTATAATCCATCCAAGTCATCCACTTCCAAGAAGCTTGCTGGGGCCACCTGGAGCATCAGCTACGGCGATGGCTCTGGAGCCAGTGGCAATGTGTACACCGATACTGTCGATGTTGGAGGCACCACGGTTACCGGTCAAGCCGTTGAATTGGCGGAGACAATTAGTGCCCAATTCCAGCAAGACCAAAACAACGATGGTTTGCTCGGTTTGGCTTTCAGCTCGATCAATACAGGTAAGAACAGGCAGCAGCTCTTTGTAGATTGCTATTGACTTTAGACAGTCAAGCCCCAGAAACAAACTACATTCTTCGACACGGCCATCAACGAAGGGGTTCTTGAAGCGAATGTCTTCACTGTCGATTTGAAGAAGGGTGCTCCAGGCTCTTACGACTTTGGCTTCATTGATAGCAGCAAATATACTGGCGACATCACATACACAGCCGTGAACAATGGACAGGGATTCTGGGAGTTTACTGGCACCGGATATGGTGTTGGAAGCGGTCAATTCCAGTCCACCAGCATCGACGCCATCGCTGACACGGGCACCACTTTGATTCTCATCGGCGATGACATTGTCTCTGCATACTACGATGAGGTCAACGGAGCTCAGTACGATAACAGCCAAGGTGGCTATACCTTTGACTGTTCATCCGACCTTCCTGATTTCATTGTGGGCATTGGAGATACCCAGTTCACCGTCCCTGGATCCTTTGTCAACTACGCTCCTATTACCGACGGCTCATCAAGTAAGGCATCTCTTGAACTATGTGTGGTCCGACTGCTAATCATCTTGCACAGCATGCTTCGGAGGTATCCAGAGCAACCAGGGACTGGACTTCGCCATCTACGGAGATGTTTTCCTCAAGGCTGTCTTTGCCGTCTTTGACAGTGACAACCTTCAGCTTGGCTTTGCCAACAAGGATTTGTAGAAGACGAGCTCTCCACGAGCTCCTCGGCCGGGGCAGTGCTCTGAATGTTGGACCTTTTTCGGCGTGGTTTGGCACCGACAGCTTTGGCGCAATCTACGACCTACACGCACGTGAGGGTGGGCAAAGATATCTTCAACAGACTTCTTTCGCTCCTTTTTCTGTTTTAAATGTAAATATATATACGTGGCACAAATTAACAGTATGGAATAATGCGCATATATCGTGTCCTTGTTGCTCTGCTGCCATGATACGAGTAATAATGCAAGTGCGAGTGCCGATGCTCCTTGGAGTCCAAGCAATTGATACGCAGCATTATGAACACGAGCTACGAGGAAATACTTTAGCTACCTAAGGTAGAGTACGTCATTTTGTGAGGGGGACAAATGTTCGTCACCACCTCCGTACAACGCGCAACTTGCACTTCGGGAACAAAGAAATACATACTGTATGTCCGCCCCGTAGTTCAGGTTCCTGACCACGAACCAATCTCTTCTCCGTGCAATCCATACCTGTCACTTGCGGGCAAGCGACCTGCTTTCAATGCCAGCCTGGTAATCATCCCTGATTACATGCTGCGGCGCGGCGATTCCGATTTTTCCTGGTTTCGCGAGCGAGCTCAGTCCCTACACAGCGACTCCCTATCTGCTTACACCGACGAAATGGTCACCACAAGGTCTTCCACTGCCGACAACGAGGGCCCCGGAGGCTCGATTCACGAACCATCCGACCCTCGAGACCGTGCTGAGCATAGTCTTCCTCCGAAATCGTACGCCCAAGCTGCCGACCCGGAAAACAATGCCCAAGAGTTCGGGGACAAAGGGGTGAATGGCTCGGCTAGCAATGGGATCGGCAACGGGATGGTGAATGGTAACGTGGCAAATACGAAGAAAGTAGACGATGAAAAAGTCCTCTACCAGGAGCACAAGGGGCAAAACGGGGAGAGCTTGTTGACGAGCATCAAACCAAGCGAGGAGTACGAGCAGAGTCTGCGTCACAGTGCAAAGACGGCGCCGCGGAAGGAAGTTGGTCCTGGCAAGCCAAAGAAGCGGCAGGATACGACGAGTACCAGTACGCAACCAGCAGCAAATCTCGCCAGTGGGCGGCAAGCAGGAGCGGGATGGCAGACTTCTGCGTAAGATTGGGACTCCTCCTCCTATCGTATTTTGGCGGGCATATGCTAATTGACTCGACCTACAGGATACGCTGGGCGCCTCTGAATGTACCGTTGCAACGACGTCTTCAGACCCTCGCGGTGCTGTGGCATACCACCACAATCCCTATCTTCCTATCCCTGTTCTTCCTCCTCTGCGCGATTCCATTGACTTGGCCACTCTTGATCCCGTACCTCCTCTACATTGTAGTATTCAGCGAAGAGGCCACGAACGGGACACTCTCAAGACGCTCCAATTGGCTGAGACGGAGCAAATTCTGGTCCGCGTTTGCCAGTTACTTCCCGGCGAGACTGCACAGGACGGTGGAACTGGAGCCTACTCGGAAGTACATATTCGGGTATCACCCTCACGGGATCATCTCGCACGGAGCGTTTGCCGCGTTTGCAACGGAAGCGTTGGGGTTCGGGGACTTGTTCCCAGGCATCACAAATACGCTGTTGACCCTGGACACCAACTTTCGAGTCCCTCTGTACAGAGACTACGCGCTTGCCATGGGCCTGGCTAGCGTGAGCAGAGAAAGCATTGAGAATTTACTGAGTAAAGGCGGCCACAACGGCGAAGGCATGGGTCGCGCCGTCACGATTGTGATTGGTGGTGCGAGAGAGAGCCTGGACGCGAAACCTCATTCTCTCCGGCTGGTGTTGAAGAGCCGAAAGGGATTTGTGAAGCTGGCCATCAGGATGGGCGCGGACCTTGTTCCCGTGTTGGCGTTTGGGGAAAACGAACTGTACGAACAGGTGGACAGCGTGGAGCACCCGTGGATCCACAAGATGCAGATGGTGATCAAGAAGGCCATGGGATTTACCGTGCCCTTGTTTCATGCCAGGGGCATTTTCAACTATGATGTTGGCCTTTTGCCGTATCGGCGCAACGTGAATGTGGTCGTGGGAAGACCTATCAAGGTTGTGCAGCAGGGCGGTCGAGATGGGAAGGTCGACGAGGCTTACCTTGATCAGGTACATCAGCAGTACACAGACGAGCTGTTGTGGCTGTGGAATGAGTACAAGGATACCTTCGCCAGAGAGAGAAAGGGTGAGTTGGAGATTGTGGAATAGACGGTGACGAGCTGGGTTCGACATAGACCGGTGTATTATTAGTATAGTAGCATGGTAAATGAATCAGGTTTATCTTCCTCAATGATCGGGGCTTGCTCGGAGCAGGCAAACAGCATTGTTGTTCGTCTACGGAGTGACTTGGTTTTTGCGCGCCTTCTTCGTTCCACTCTTATATTGTATGCCTGTTTTGGGGTGGTGGGAGTAAGTACTCTTCGACCATTGAAACTTCTTATCATCACTCTTTCGCGGCAGCGCACAATCCACCTCCACTGTGACTGATCTGGACGATCTCACTCCAGTCTGAAAAAAAAGCGACCAGTCAATCTACGCCATCCCGTTCCATTATGCCACCAAAAAGACCTTCTCGCAAAGCCACACGAGCTCAGCCCGCGTCCTCTCGTCGACGCCGGAACGATGCCGCCGCAGACGATGATGGCGCGAACGACGCGCCGATCGATGATGATATCAATATGGACGACGACGACGACGGCGACGGCGACGGCGAAAGTGCAACTGAGAGTGCAAATGACCTCCGCAGCGTCGAGGAAAGTCTGAAGATCAGTATGGTGGTCGATGTGAGTCGCTTGTCGCTTGTCGTCTTCCGCATCGAGCCGGCCCAAAAATGCAAACCAGACCCGAGTCGTGCAATAACTAATTGGCGATAGACCGGTTTGCGCAAAGAACAAAGACAGCGCCGTCTTGAGACCGAGTTTGAGGGTCAGGTTCGCCTTGTGGAGGAGCAGGTCGAGAACAGGGGCGAGGAGAGGAAGAGAGAAGTGTAAGTACATTCACTTCTGATATCTGAGCTCAAAATGGGGGTTTATATCTCTCCTTTCTCGGCTCGAGGCGACCCTCCTACTTCCTTCGTGTGGACATTGTCTGCTTCAGATCCGTCCTTTCCGGGAAGGACAACGTTGGATCGAGGCATCTCCCGCTCTTGACCTGTCGTGATCCGCAGCGCCCTTCTCTGTCTTCAACACGGATGGAGCCTCCATTCCAGTTCCTGACATTTCTGTTTCTTCTCAGTGCCCAATGGCAGAGCGACGTCCTGGCCAGACTCCTCGCCCTGTCACGTCGCAAGTCCGACCTCGAGACTCAGATCTTCAAGGAGACCCAGGAACTCGCCGACGCGTACCTCGCGCTGAAGGAGGAATTTGAAGCAGTGTTGCAGGGCAGGGAGGGAGACGTCAACGAGGCCATTGACTCATTGAACAAACTAGAGGAAGCCGCTCCTCCAAAGACTTCCTCGTAAGAGCAACACACCGGTCCAGACTACAGATACTTAAAGAGACCCTGGCACCAGGTAGGGCTAGGTAGTCAGCAGCCGGCCAAGGGTGAAAATTCGAACCAGACAAAGCACTCCCGGCATCTCCACCTGTAACTTTGTGTCATCCCTCTTCGAGCGCGAATAAGACCTTGATGTAGAGACTGCACCCTCGGCAGCCAACGTAGATCTCCCCGTCCTGGCTCTCTTCGTCGAGATCGGTCTCGGTCAGAACGTAGCCTCGTTCTTCGCCGCACCGACAGCTCTTGGACCATGTGTTTTTGCGCTCGTCGTACTGCAGGTCTTCGAGGTCGAACGCCTCGACGCCGATGTGTGTGTTATCCTTTCGGTTCAACGTCGAGCCGTCTCTCTTGTCGAGTGTCTCGTCGTACATTCTTCGCTTTCGCGGGTCTGCGAGAACCTCGTACGCGACGACGATGTCATCGATCGAATACGCCGGGGAATCATTACGGGAGGGGGGCTTTTGTTGTTCTTGTTCTTGTTGTTGTTGTTGTTTCTTAAAGGAAACTTGTGCAGCCTTGTCGGGATGATGGATCAACAAGGCACGTCGGTATGCCGATTTGACGTCTTCGTGTGACACGCGGCTCCAGTCCGCACCGCGCGAGAGTCGCAGGACGTCGTAGTGGGTATGGCTGTGTTTCTGATGGGCGGCAGCAGTGGTGGACATGGGATACGGAGTCTCTCGTTCGTGCTCGTATGTACGTACAATACAGCCTCAGCAACCTAAGGTGTACATACACATGCTGGTACTGTACAAGGGGCGATTATTTGGACACCTGTCGATCAAGGTCGTCAGGAGAGACCAAAAAAGATACAGAAACCAGACCGGTACGGACGTATCTGTACTCGTATGTGTGCCGCCGCTGGGGTGGCGCACCCAAAAAAAGGCAAAACTCTTTGTAACATGGACAGGTACGAGTACAACAGGGGGGTCGGTCGATCATGGCGTTTCGGGTGTTCGGGTTGGAATGTTTAAAAATAACGGTTTGACTTGGTATTCAGATATCTATTCCTTGATTCTGCATCAACAAACACACTCGCCAACTATCCTTACTCGTACAAGTATCCCTCTTCTGCCGACATGCATTCGTCGCGTCCTTGCGATCAAATGAGCGACCAAAGGATCTCGCTCTGCGTACAGTTCTGTGCCCGTCGACTGCTGATCGTCGCAGCGCCCAAGTCCTTGTCCTGCTGGATGCCGGTTTGTGGGGAGTTTTGTCTCGCTTCGTCTCCAAGTTTCCTGTGCCTGGACGTCATCGTCTTCCCACTGTTTCTTGTCTTTTCTCCTCTCGTGGTTCCATGCGCAGTGAGGGCCCTGACCCGGCCTGGGCGTACGGGGTACGGAACGCGATGATGCTGATTGACGGTGAGCAGCAATTCATATGCTTCATTTCCTCGTGCTGAGTATTTTCCTCTCGACTCTTGACTGACCAACACACTGGCCGACTTCCCGGGCCCCGCGTGTTTCCCGACTTGCTTGTAACTTGTATCCAGTATCGTTCATCAGGTAGGCCCGGCTGGGTTTCTTGTTCACGTTTGTATGTTTTGTATGCTTGTTCTTGTACTCCCGATCGTCTGCCTTGGAAACGAAAACATCCTCTCCCGAAGCCATCCGTCATGGCCAGCAACGACGAATTCGAGCCGGACTCTCGTCAACGCAACTACAGAGCACCCTACACCTCCCGACACCCTATCCCTACCGTCCAAAAATACAAAGCCGAGCGAAGTGAGTTGAAAAGTCAACAGGACGAAGCCGAGTCCGCTCAGCACGACGAAGAAGATGACTCCAAGGTGAAACGAGCCTACCATGCCGCCAAAGGCGTTATTACCGGTGACGAGCCTCCAAAGTCCATGCATGATCCGTACAAGACAGAGAATCGAAACCTTCAAGGCGCAGGCTCCCACACCGAACCACGACAAAGACCTGAGGACTCAGGAGACGAGGATGTGGAGGAACAACAACAAGAACGTCCACCCTCACAAGATACAAAGTCTGGCACGCATAGTAAGCGAGACGGAAAGCCGGACAACGAGGGCAAATCAGCAACCGAAGCTGTGGCTGGCGAGATCGACCCCAGAAAAAAGAGGAAAGCCATGAAACACCAGGATCGCAATGACGGGGGAAGAGAGGTGACGGACCCGGTCACGCATCTTCCAATAGTCATCAGAGACTCGACAAGGAAGGATCTCAAGCGAGCGGATGAAAATCTACCCGCTGTTGGCGAAAGGCCAGAGACCCAAACAGGGGTTGCGGGAGCAAGTAAATCGTCCGAGACTCTCGATCGGGAAAAGGACGAAATACAGAAGAAACACAACGGGATGCAGAAGCTATTCCCGCCTCCCAGCTTTGACGACTTGAAAAGTGAATTGATAAAGACGTATCGGATCGCTCTCGCGGCTGGGTTGGGCAGTATAGTCCTCCTGGTTTCTTTCTCGATGGTGGCTGTACACCTCTTTGGCATGGACTTTTCCCGTCATGACAGCAGAAGGCACTCAAGTTCGTTTTTCATGTTCATTCCACCCACGACGATTTTCCTGGCCTCTGTCGGCATTGGGGGAGTAGTGGTTTGGGCTGTTCAGGGTTGGTTAGGCAAGAAAGTCGAGGAGGTATGGAAAGACGAAGTGTGGGATGCCGCACGGTCTGAGGAGCTCGAGGCAACTGATTCGAATGATATTGTTCCCGAGTCCGTGTCCTGGTTGAACAACTTACTCGCGGCTGTATGGCCGCTGATCAACCCGGATCTGTTCACTAGCATTTCTGACATGCTCGAAGACGTGATGCAAGCTTCCTTACCGAAAGTCGTGCGCATGGTCAGCGTAGACGACCTTGGACAGGGCAGTGAAGCGTTTCGAATTCTCGGAATTAATTGGCTGCCAACGGGAGCTGCCAGTCAGAGCGTTGCTTCGGATGGGAAGCTCAAATCTCCAAACAGTGAGGGCAAGAGCGATAGGTCAGCTCCTGGTGGAGGTCAGATTGAGGATGGGGATGATGCCAGCGATGATAACGGAAACGTTGATGAAGAGAACAGTCACAACAAAAAGCAAGATGAGACGGAGCAGCAGGCTATTCGCGAAGGCATGGAAGCCGAGCAAGGCGACTTTGTCAACATGGAGCTTGCATTTGCGTACCGCGCGAGATCGTCGGGGAAGTCCCTGAAAGCAAAGGCAAAGAACGCTCATCTGTACCTGAAGTTCTACTTACCTGGAGGCATCGCTGTACCTGTCTGGGTGGAGTTGAGAGGCATCATCGGCACGATGAGGTTGCGATTACAGCTCACACCAGACCCACCTTTCTTCAGTCTTTGTACCCTGTCGTTTATGGGACAACCGCAGGCGGATTTGTCCTGTGTGCCACTGTCAAGGCATGCGCTTAATCTGATGGATGTTCCGTTGATCTCCTCCTTTGTGCAATCCTCGATCGATGCAGCGTTGGCGGAATACGTCGCGCCAAAGAGCTTGACGCTGGACCTGAAAGACATGCTGGTTGGTGACGACTTCAAGAAGGACACAATCACCCGAGGCGTGGTCATGATTTTCATCAAGTCTGCAAAAGGCTTCAAAGAAGGTGACGGGGGTATTGGTCCGTTTGAAGGATCGAGCGATTCGTACGTGACGGTATCGTGGGGCAAATTCGGCAAGCCGGTTGCGTCGACCAGGATCATTGTCGATGACCAAGAGCCGGCGTGGCACGAATGGTCACATATCCTGGTCACACCGGAGGAGGTGAACGCGGATGAGAAACTCCGTTTGCAACTTTGGGATTCGGACAAATACACCGCTGACGACGATTTGGGACGAGTTGAGGTCGACTTGAAGGAACTCATGCATAGCACCAAATTCAAGAACAAGATGTGCGACCGAGAAGACCGATTCGTTGGCGAAGATCCTGACGAGAAGATGCCTGGGACTTTACAGTGGAAGGTTGGCTACTTTAGCAAGATCAAGATCACCGAAGAACAACTCAAAAAACAGACGGCCGAGCCGGATATCAAGACTGAAGCCGACCTGCGCGCCAAAGCAAGCGAGGAGGCGCAACGCAAATTGCGGGAGGCCACGGCGAAGGACGAGAGCAAGGAAATCAAACAGCAGACATTGGAAGATTACAAGGACCACGAAGACCAGTTGATGATTTCGTCCCCTCCACCTGATGACTATCCGAGTGGGGTCTTCAGCATTCAGATCCACAACATCACAGGACTCGAGGTGCAGAAGCTGCAAAAGAAGGACAAGAAGAAGAATGAGGGAGACCGTGAAGACGAGGCGGAGCACAGTGAGGACATGCCCAGCAGTTATGCCACCATCATCTTGAATCATCAGAAAATTTACCGGACGCGGACCAAGCCCAAGAACGCGAAGCCGTTCTTCAATGCCGGCACCGAGAGGTTCGTGGCTAACTGGAAGACGGCAGAGGTCATGATTAGTGTCCGTGACGATCGCGAGCGTGAAAATGATGCACTTCTTGGTATGATCTACCTGCCTCTGCGACGTGTTTTCGAGAAGAGAAGCCAGGTGATGCAGACGTACCCTCTTGTTGGAGGGATCGGCTACGGCCGAGCACGTATCAGCATGGTCTGGCGTAGTGTGGATCTGCACCTGCCGAAGGAGCTGATGGGTTGGAACTACGGTACTCTGGAGGTCAAATGTCCCGTTCGGTCAAAGGGAGGCGGTGACGACAACTCTTACACGCAGCACCGGATCAAGTTGAGAACGAATCTGATGAGGGCGAAGATGCTCCCTGCCGGAGACGGAGGCAAAGGGGTCTGGAAACCCAAGCGTGACAAACAATCGGTGTTCTTGGCCGTTCGAAAGAGATATTCAAGTGCGTTGGTCGTGGAGTTTCGCAAGAGCGTCCTGGGCCCAGACACGACGAGCCAGTTCGCCGTGTTTTGGTTGAAGGATATCCCCGACGAAGAGGAAGTGACTGTATCTGTGAAGGTGTGGAAGGGTGGAAAGAAGGCCATCCACCGCGCAACGACGAGCTATGGGTATGAGGGACAAGACCATGAAGAGCCCTTGGGAGAGATTGAGTTGACCTTGAAAATGTGGAGGGGACTGAGTGGTTACCACAAGAGCTACGCCAATCGTGCGTCGAACACTGATATCAAAGATGTCATGGAAGTTCTGGATACGGCCAACGACGAAGGGCAGGTACCCGATGACGAAGATGGGGAGGGAGATTCTTCAGGGTCTAGTTCGGATCCAGATTCAGGTTCGGATTCGACGGAATCGGGAGGAGGAGGACGAGATACAGAGAGCGATCGTGACGAGGGACGACGACAACGACAACAGAGGCGACGTGGCAGGAACAAGAAGCTCCGAACTCACGCAAACGACGATAGCTCGGACGCAGATAGCGATGCCGGGAAGACTTCAAATTCCAAGCTGGACCCGACACATCTTGCGAGCAAGCCCTTGGAGAAGGTGAAGGATGTGGCGGAGAAGGTGTTCGACGTCGACGGGCACAACGACCAAGACGACGGGTCGAGAGGTGCGAGGGCACAGGTCAGGGACTACAAGGACCACCATAGACAGATGCACAGGAAACATAGGGGCGTGATGCAGTGGAAAGGGGCAAGGACACTCGACTGGATGGCGGGGAAAGTGAAGCGTGGAAAGGGGAGAATCGGGGAGGTGTTCGAGCACAACGACGACGATAAGTCCGGAGGCGTTGAGACCGAGGTGTGACAAGGCCAGTGAGGCTATACAGTTAAACACGAGGTGTGTGAGGTATGACCAGAGTTTACTACTACTACCTTGCAAAGGAAACGTGAGCGACGAAACCGATGATGAGTACCGTGGTAATGTAACAGATACAGAGAGATCTCAGTAGGTCTTCTTGCCGAGGAAAGTCATGGAGGTCGCCATTTCAAGGAGAAGAAAAAGAAACGATAAAGTCTAATCGCACTACAAGACAATCAGATCACAACCATCGTGTGTGCATTTTCCTCGCACCCTACCGCGCGCCCTCAGCCGCGGTGTGCATGAGACGATTTCCCAGAGACGTTTGTCTCCAGAACTAACTAGTTTAGTCAGAGAGAGCGTTCTCGTCGACTCAAATCTGTGCCCGCTGCACGATTCCATTCTCGTCTCGCCGGTGGAGGCGTCTCCCGGAGCAGAGGAAACGACCGATTCAGGTACATGGACAATCTTCAATCGAGGTTTGGACATCCGCTCGATGTGTCCCTGTGCCATCAGTTTGGCTGTGTATATCTATGTACTCATGTACTTGGGCGGCGTCTGGGGTCGCGCGAATATGTACATTTCTGGCGTTTCCGGTCAGGAGCCAACGAGTCTCCGAGTGACCAAAGTTGAGTTACATACCTACCCACCCGACTACCCGACGCCCACCTGTAGGTAGATAGATAGTCGGTTCATTCTGTCGTATACTGGGCCTGATGTCTCGGAATCACGCTGCGATCACGCCTTCGGCTCCTCCTCCTCCTCAAGACGTACTTACCGTAGGTACGTACACGAGAAACCAAGAACAGACCCATCGTGAGCCGTGAGTCATGAGCCACTACGACGGAGATGGGGCGAACGTCTGTCAGTTAGTCGGTCAACCTCCGTCTCTGTTCGAAGCTGGGTGAAGATGGATCCTTTTCATATTGTCCCAACCCATCCCATCCTGGGGTGTGAGTGGTTGAGATGAAATGGATTGCCATTGACGGCAATCAGGGAGCAGGACACATCCCATGCCAGAGGGGCTGCTCCCAATGAACCCCAAAAGGGCAATGAGGTCGACGGTCAGGTCATTCTGGCATTTTGGCATTCTGGCCATCGTCGTCTCCCTACCCCCTTCCAAACCGGGGTGAGTGCCGTTCCAATGCCCAGTCCCGGTCCACCCTCGGATCCTTCTTCTTATCCTTGCTCCCTTGCGCTCTCTGAAACGAGTGCCTGTCCCGAGCCTCGAGTCCGAGCCGTGACTGAACCTCTCCAAAACCCTTCACATGGCGACTTCGAGATGGAGGAAAGGTACCCGAAGTTCCACTTCGCGCGCAGCAGTGGAGGAGACAACAATCAACAACCCACACTCAACATTTGTTTTTCTACATGGGTTTGTCGAGAGCGAGACGCGACGGTATCAGTCGGATCAAGTTGACAGTGCCCTGTAGGTTAGCCACGATTGTTTCCAACAAAGTTGCCTATGTCCAGGAATAGTTAATGGTCTCGCGTGTCGCATTGTGGTCTTGTGTCGGCAGGGGAGCGCACGGCGCTGGGGCCATTCCTACACAGGTACATTGCACCTACGAGAGGTTTCAGAGTGGTATACCGGGTCCATTGAAGGGTAGCTCGGGGGTTGCGGATTGTATGGAACCCGTCGAGGAAGCGTCCATCGTGGGGCAGGACATTTGAACAAATCAACCTCGCTGGCGGCAGGAAGAGGGTCAAGGTCGAGAAGCGAAACAATGACCTCCATGCTCAGCAAAGCATGGCTGTGGTGGCAAGGTCCAGCCCGCGAGAGGCCGCCGGAGACGATGGACGTGCGTTCTTCTGATAGGCATATGTACCTCGTTGATTCTCGAAGAGGAGGGAGGGGTGGGGCGGGGGGAAGAGCGGACGAAACAACAGGCGAGTGGCGAAATCAGCAAGCGAAATACTTCCAGGAGTTGCGATATCCTCTGTTAGGGCCAGAATCACCCATTATTGGACTGTTGGGGCGTGTAAAAGCCTAGAGTACAGCCAAAGCGTGGTTTGATGAGCTAGTGGGCTCGCACTGTCAGGTCTCAGGGCACATCATACGATGGGAGTGCATGGCGGCTGCTGCAGGACATCAGGCATGGACCGAGGTGGGTGGGCAACCTGCACCTAGCTCCAGTGGCAGACAGTGCTTTTCAAAAGGACTTGCTGTACTCGTACTCCGTACTCATGCAGGATTTGTGGGCGCCGCAGCGTGTCGACATTGACAGGTGAGGTGTGCCATCACAGCACCACTCAATGCCACTCGGCTCCAGACCTGTCAGCGTGCTTGGCCCAACCTCGAACACCAACCCCGAGACAACATAGCTGCACTCGGCCGCAATGGCGTGATGGCCAGGTGTGTAAAGCCGGGGGAAAACTGACAGCCAATCTCGTATGGTCGGTCATCTCGGAAGTAGAGGGGTGAAAAGAACGGTGTTCCTTGCACAAATGTGCAAGTCCTCTGCGAGGGGGCGGAGATGGACGCAGCGCGCATCTCTTGGTCGTGGTCCTATTATTACTCAGAGCAGATCTGGGGTATCGGCACGGTAGAGCACGCAAATTCAACCAATGGTGTGACATTGTGGCTGTACGCACATCTCCCGGCACCAGATCCGGACAGGATCCAAACCGGGGAGAACTCGCCAGGGACGAAGTACGACCGTTGGAGGGTGTCACAAACGTTCGCCGACCGTGGTCAGCACAACGAGGTCACACAGACAACGGCGTGAGGCGGGAAAAGCGTCTGGCGGGCGATGGAGGCGGCCGACGACGACGAGACAAGGGAAAAATTGGCCGCACACCGGGCTCGAGGGTCATGAGCCTCGTCTAGTCAATAGACCAAGGCTGGGCACGCGTGCTAAACTGCTAAAGGCCATTTCTGTTACGTCTTCGGTTTGCCTCGCCTTGCGCTTCTACCACCAAAACTCTGCCTCTTCGTCGTCTGTCTGATTTTTCTCTTTCGGCACGTGTGACTGTCAAAGCTTTTCGCTGATCGGAGCACGCATGATGCAATCGAAGCCTCCAATAGTCGGAGCAATATTTACTTGCCAGTAGAGCCGCCTTCCTGCGACAGCTAGAAGTCTCGAAAAGTAGAAAACTGACCACGAACACATCCCAGCGCTTCGTGCCACTCTTCTTTGCCTGTCTTCTCTCATTCTCCACATCGCTCTGTCGTCTTTGCCTACTTGCTGCGCGCGAGCGAGACTCCTCTGTCCTGCAGTTCACAGTTTTGGGTCACCGCTTTGTCCCTGAGCGAGTTTTGCCCCAACGTCGCTCGTCCTGGTGGAACGGCCTTCATACTTTTGGAATCACCTGGTTGCTGCGATTACTCGTCCTACCACCACCACCATCCCAGACAGACGACCCCACATACCTACCCAACATGCCTGAAGGAAGACCATTCACCTACGGTCGCGGCGGTGCCGGTGAGTAGGATCTGCGAAATCACCGAGTCCTGTGTGCGTGGGTCGGTCTCTCTCTAACATTTGCACCGCAGGGAATGTCACCAGCAAACCCCGCTCGCCCGCGCTGGAGCCCCAAACGACCCCTACCTTGAAATCGCAAATGTACACCACTGGCCGCGGTGGCACTGGCAACATGGCGAAAAATGACAACCCCGAAGAGGCGCGACGGGCACAGGATGTGGATGTCCCTGGCATCATCATGCCAGAGGGTACCCATCACACAGGCAGAGGTAGGCACCACCGTCTCGACAACGAAGCGGGAGAACCACACATGACTGACTGTTTCCCCTCCAGGCGGCGAAGGCAACCTGTACAAGCCCACAGAAGAGGAGCAGCGAAAGGCTCGAGCCCACAACGAGAAAGTACGGACAGAGTCGTTCAATCGCGATGGGTCCAAAGATCGTGGCCACATCCGCGCCCTGGCCGACAAGGCCAAAGACAAAGCAAGGGAGGCTTTACCTGTCAAACATCACAATGAGAAATAGACTCCTGGCCATGGACCGGTGTACCTGGAGCATCCTGAAACGGTCTGGACCTGTTTGGAGTTAACTTTTGGCTCATTTTTTTTTGTTGTGGGTTGTGTCAGACTTGCAAGCGACATATAATGAATGTAATTGCGCGTTTCTCAGTCTCGGTGGGGTTTAGCCACAAATGAATTGAACGTCTGTTGATGTCATGCGGAGAGCCATTCCTTTTGCCGTCCTGTACTCGTATGCGTTGACAGAAGTCTGTGTACGACCACCAGCAAAAGTCACGCCGTCACCGCGATTCGAGTACGAGTACGAACGAAATACGAGGACAAAGTACCAGCCGAAAATGTGTACTTTGGACTCTTTCGACATGTGCTACAAAGAGACGCTAAATGATCGTCGTGGCGGGTGCATGGCTGCTCTTTGCTCGTTTTGCACACCACAGGAAGTCGACACATTTTGGTGTCACATCAGCCACCCACGTCAACTCATCTGGCATGTACTTGTACGGCCTTCCGTACTACGTGCACCAGGGACCAGGGACCAGGGACCAGAGAGATGCCAAGGGGTGGGCTCGCCAGGCTCGCTTACGAGCCCAACGGCGTCGCCGGCGTCCTGGCGGAAGGTCGCCTGGATGGATGCAACGCCTGAAACGGGACAGACCACGCCGATGTACAGTAGCTGGCGACCGGATATAACTTGCGGGCTGGGCAAATTCCTGGCGAACTCAGATTGTACATAACTCGTACTTGTACTGTAACCGGCCTAAGACAGGCAAAGGCGGGGTTTTGGTGGCGGATCGCAAAGCGTCGCGCGAGTCGATCACTCACCAGGAACTCGCAGGGATGAACGGCCATTGGCGACGACGACTTGAACCTTAGGCAGACTAACAACAATAGACATGAAGCCTCCGCGGAGCCGCCAACAATGTTTCCATCGATAACGTCGTGCAAGGAGCCTTAGCGCACTGTCGAGGCACACGCCGATTAGCATGCGCAAACACATGATGTTCGTACCGACTAATAAGTTTGCTGGCACATCAGGTCCCTACTGTAGGCCGTAGGTAGGTATGGAATGGGTCTGTCTACTGGTGCCGCCCGCCGCCACCGCCCACCGCCCACCGCCCACCTTGCCACCAGCCGGGTGCTTGTTTCCGTTCGAAATGTACGGGATACAGGCTACAGCACAACTCACTCAGGAGAGGAGGAAGGCCACGGCCGGTAAGTCGGCATGGGAAGTCGACCGTGTTTGTGATACGGCTGACGAGCTTAATAATTGTTCGAGCGAGGCCGCTACCTGATAAACTCATACGACGCACTACGCTAGGTACAATACGCCTAGGTACATAGAGCCACCACTACCCACCTAGTACTAGGTAGGCAAATGATCATATTGTAGAGCACCGTTTTGTCCGCCCACCGAGGATACTGGCCGGAGTGCTGCAAATCAAGATCGAATGACGCGAACACCAACGCACCGTCCCATCGCGGCTTACCTAGATATTCACGAATCACCACGGTGCGAACGGGCCTCCAAGGCGAAGTGACTCCGTTTCCAGCTGTTTGGGGCCCAAGGTTGTTGCGTGCAGTAGCGGCTCCAGGCGCTAAGCTGGGCGTGGCCTGGGCGGGGCCCGGGCTTCTGCTAGGATCTCTTAGGCTTCACTTGGGCCAGCCGTAGGGCTCCTCCCAACCTATAAGCGCCTACGGGGACTTCTTTTAGTGCCCGCCCGCCCGCCGATAAAGACTTGTCCGTCCGCTATCACTTCGGCATCGTCTAGCCTGGGTATGCAGGGTTCCGTCCAATAATCCAGCGAATCCTCTCGTGTCAATCTGACGCTTCATCGTCGAGTCCTTTCTCTTTATCAACAACGTCGCCGCCGACAGCATTCGGATTGTCGCATTCATCTCATCTCTGTCCATCGACACATTCCGTGAAGGAACTTCTCACCCGTGTCTGACCACCGGTTCCCGCTGTATATCGAGACTCTGCGGCGCTTGCACTCTTCGCACAACGACCCGGTCAAAGCCTGCGACCACATATCCTTCGACTTGCGGTTACAGCACCTTGTCTTCGTCCCACATCCCCTCGTCGAGCGCAAAGGACCTGAAACCGTTGTTCCCCGCCATGCCATCTCTGCCTATGCCTGAGGCTTGCTGAAGTTCAACCTTGTGCCGGGTTTGCTGGTCTAGCGTTGCTGTGCGTCATCTCCGCTCGCGATCCCGCTTTGTCGCCCATACACGAGCAAAAGCTTATGGGACCATTGCCGTTGCAAGCGTCAGGCTTCTCAGGTCAAAGCCACGATCCAAGGCTTGAAGATATTCAGCCTTGTAAGAGTGGCCCTTGTCAAACTTGTCAACCATCCCGCCTGTCACTTCCGATTCCCAAGCTACCGCCAACGGACTCACGTTGAGGAACCCCATCCCCAAGTTTGAGCGCCACCTTGCGTAACCTTGAGACGCCAGTTGTGCACCTCGCCTCCAGACTTTTTCTCCGACGGCTTCTGTGCGACATCAGCTTTATTTTGGTTTTGTTTGTCGACGTCTTGTGCCTCGACTTCTCAGGCGAAGGCCGTTATACTTTGCCCTGGATTCCCCCAGGATCAAGTGCGGAACATCTTGTGAACCATCTGCAAACTAGTTTCAGCGCCCCAGCAAGGCACGACTCTTGATCGCCGAGAAAACCTTGTCCGGTCGAACGTCTGCCGTCGCGCCTGCTGTTGAGACACCAACTCGAGCGAAAACCTGGACGAGCAGAGATACCTGGCCATTAATTGAGTTAGAAGGCTCTGTTGAGCGGTTTCTTACACGAACTTAAACTGAGCACCTTCTCCCTTTAGCCTCCGGCTCAGTCTTTCCCCATACACGTATATATCAGCCATGTACCACGCATCTTTCTCATCATCGCATAACTACCAACGTACTCGACCTCCGATGCAGTTACCATTACCAGCACCTCTTTCTCTGTCTACTCAATCACCACCATCTCAGCATTCTCCGTCATATATGTCGCAGACGAACCCAACTTCTCCTCCGGTGCAGACACCTGGCCAGGCCAGCAACAACCAGCCAGATGAAAGCCCGACACCGGTTGCCGAAGTGAACGACGAAGGAAATTACAATATACCAACACCGCCCCCGGTCTGCAAACGATGGCAGGGAATGTTATGGAAGATAGAGGTTATCCAGAACCCCTTGCGTGCACGCATGTGTGGCTTTGGTGACAAGGTATTTAAATTGTGTACGGGTGCTCGACTTTGAGTTGCAGACTGACTTGTATCAGGACCGTCGCCCGATCTCACCTCCCCCAGCTGTCCTGTTGACAATATGGGACCCGAGGACTGGTGCGGAGATAGACTACAAGTATGGCACCTGGCAAACTCTCGTACACCTCTGCACTGCTGACCAGAGATAGGAGAATCGCCGATCTCTCGAAATTGATCCTCATCGTTGATCTTTGGAACCTCCACGGCACACGCGAAGATAATTGCGTCAGACACACCACAACTTCACCTTCAATTTCCACGACGACCGTCACCGCTTTTCCCTACACATATACCGCCAAGATGATCAGCAATCCTTCTATTGATTACGACCAGAGCCGGATTCCCTCTTACATGAGCAGCTACGCCGACCAGGTCATCCCCATTGCACCAAACTCTCAGGGCGGTCCAGTTCAGCCAGCCACTGGCTTGCAGCCGAGCTACACAAACGGCAGCCACGCCTACGAGGGGAGAAATAGTTCTTTTTCCAACAACAATCAGCCACCTTTGAATGCCCAGTTTCCAGGTGGCTATGACCATTCTCCGTCGACTCTAGTCTCGCCTCGATCGATGCCTTCTTCGTCTCGTTCGTCCCAAGATGCTGGTGTCATGGCCAACGGCAACCATCGAGATCCTCGAGATTCCCGAGACACCAGAGAAACAACGATTGCGAGAAATCTTATTGGAAACACTACCGCCAGTGCCAACCTGTTGCATGATGAGAACGGAAAGTATGGCATTTGGTTCGTCCTTCAAGATCTCAGCGTCAGAACCGAAGGCTGGTTCCGTTTGAAGGTCAATCTCTTCAATCTGGCACAGCCCCCATTACTGGAGGAGGATAGCACCAGCCCCACGACCAGCACCAGCCCTAGCAACGGCAATAACAATGGCGGCAACAATACCAGCAATGGTCAGACTCCCGCCAACAACGAATTGCTGCAGGAAGCGCCACTTTTAGCCTCGGCTTTCAGCAAGCCTTTCAAAGTGTTCAGTGCCAAGAAATTCCCTGGGGTGATTGAGTCGACGAACCTCAGTCGGACATTTGCCAAGCAGGGCATTAAGATCCCGATCCGCAAAGACCACGGCGGCAAGAAGAGAAAGGCCGGGGCCGACAGCGACGACGATGATTCAGATGACTGAGATGTTGACGGGCTTTTTTTTTAGTTGATGGTGTCTACGACGTGGGCAAAACGGCGTTTTTTCTGTGCAAACTGCTGAGGATGCAACCGATCAGAGTTTGTTGGCAACGATAGTTTACGAATCCGGGGGTGTTTTTGTTTCTTTTTGTTTGACGCATATCATGGGATGAAACAATGCATGACTACGGAGTACAGTTTGGTGCGATGCATCATGATGAGAACTCGGGTTATGGGCTTTTTGTGTGTGTGTGTGTGTGTGTGTGTGTGTGTGTGTGTGTGTGTGTGTGTGTTGGGGGGGGAGAACGTGGGAGAAGAGAGATTAAAAAATCAAAGAGGGTAAAGGTGCGCGCGAGACTGGGCTGTTTTTTATATTACTAGAGTCTAAGAATTCGGGATCCGTGGTCTCTCCCCTCTGCGGAAGAAGATTCACCAGGGCACTGCACAATACGAGGTACATCGAACATATTCCGGGGAGTATGAATAAAGTGTTGAATTTCAAGCACCTTGTTGGTCGATGCTGATCATTCTCTTTCTTCTTCTGGCTCGATCCATAGGGCTGGCATAACGGAGGAGCTTGTCATTGTCAGACAGATATACATACAGCAAGGTACCTACGCAGGCAGCATCATCCTACCCGTGATAAGTGCGTTCATTGATTTTATTCATGCGTTCGTTTATTGACTTGGCTACCTGAGGTACTTGGGGCACAAACCCACCACAACCGTCGAGCTCGTTGATTCCCCCCCCCCCC